AAGAATATTCCGACAAACTTCTATACCCGACCCAACCATATTCATCATGATTTTATACAAGCATATCTCATCAAACGCGCGGAGCATAATCACACATCAGCGCTGGTATATTCATCGCTTACCAGCTTGAGCAAAGATCTGTTGCCAAATGTCGATCCACTGCTGATGCTTATATGACAACTGACGGTGGGGGTTGCGGAAAGTGTTCGAAAGGATCTCGCGCAGGCGGCTGTTGAGGATTTTTAAAGCTAGCATAGACTTCCAATCTCGCACAGCGAATCGAATACGGTTTGCATCAATGGAGACCACACCAGAATACATCTATTTTGGTGGTGGTTAGCTTTCTACTAAATGGTATTAGGAAAGGGAATGCTAAAGATCACTGTCATACCTTGAACTCAGCATCACCACACAGTAAGGCTATAGCAAAATCATCCACTGCGCTGGTATCATGGGCGCTGAGGTTGCGGGCACGTGCCATGATGCTGTAGTATGACAGCCACTTGACGGACGAGTCCGCCCTCTTGTTGACAGAAACGGCGGGTAATGTGACTGTTTGGTTGTTGCCAACATTGCGCCAGCCCTTGCCTTCGCGTGTCAGAAGCTTGGGGTAGAAACTCCAGGCGATGACCGAGTTGATCACAACATCGTTGTTGCTGTTGACGTCGAAGTCTTCAGGGATGATGAAAAACTGGCGGTTCCGGCTGTTAGAGCGTGCACTGTAGAGTTGGTTAGCAGTAGTCAGGATGAGATGCGATGTTGAGACGACGGATTTATTACCGGTTAAGGGCCGCTTTCTGTGATGCATCTAGGGTCAGAAGACCTGCGTCGGCAATTGACACTACCAGTTGCATTTTGATATCCTCGATCGCAAGCAATGTCTGCGCGCTGAGGAAGTTCTTCCGGCAGAAAGAATACTCATTGGACCCCGGTGTGCTTCTTATACGTCGCCAGCTGCAATATGCGTTGTATACCGTCAAAAGATCCGAGTCACCTAGCATTTGTTAGTTATCAACTGTGGAAGACCGATATATTGGGACGTACCTCTTCGGAAAGATGCCCGTGCACCATCCCGCTGTGAATTGGATCCGATTGTGTTCACAAATGGCGACTTTGAAGAAAGAATAGCAGCAATGCTGACAGTCGCATCCAAGCATCTGAAGAAGGCTCCATGAATGATCATTTTGCCGAGGAAGACATCTAGTGGCAATTTGGCCAGTTGCGTCCCGAGAGAGGTTAGGCTCTCGTTGCTCGTCAGGGCTTTAACCTCCTTCAGTGAATCAATGGCGCGGCGAATGTTTTTAGACGACGGCGGGTCAAGAGCTTCGAGGAGTGTCTGTTCCACTTCTCCCAATTTGCAGATCTTCACACGAAGCACTAGATCCTGCAAAGAAAGGCGCAGCAGTTCAGGGGTTTGCTGTTCAGAAAGCAAATTTTCATGGCGGTATCTAGTGAACATGTGAAAGCAGATACCGTTCTGGACACGTCCAGCACGGCCACGACGCTGTTTAGCGTTTGCACGCGATATGAATGACTCGACAAGACGAGATAATTGACGTCTCTCATCGAAGCGCATGATCTTCTCCTTTCCTGCGTCGACCACAGCAGTGATATCTGGGATGGTAATGCCTGTTTCCGCAATATTCGTTGCAATAACAATTTTTCTTGTGCCTTCCGGGGGTACGTTGAAGGCCTTTTCTTGGTCTTCACTGGCAATGGAGGAGTGAAGCGTATGAACAATCCAGCCCCTCTGGAACATTGGCTCGGACAGGATCTCATCGTTCAGGCGACGGATTTCTGCTAGTCCAGGCATGAAAACCAAGATCGCTTTGCTGTAGTGAGTCATCTCCGGGGCTGTAGCAATCTTTAGAAGCAACCTCTTGATCAGGTCATAATCTAGTCTATACTCGTCGATATTGATAACAGTCTCCTTGGTCTGTCTAGAGTACCCATCAAGACTGGCTTGAAGACCTCCTGTGGTGTCAGCATCCGTGGGTGGGTCATCCATATCATCGTCAAGGACTGAGTGCTGGGCGTCCTCCGACAAACGGTAGTTGGTCATCTCGACCGCATCCTCCAAGTACTTCATTTCCACCGGGAAAGTTCGCCCTGGGATGTTCAAAACTGGCACTCCGCCGAGATAGTTCGAGAAACGTTGCGCATCAAGGGTGGCTGACATGAGGATGAGTTTGAGGTCAGGTCGCTTCTGCATGAGTCGTCGGAGCACGATCAGAAGGAAGTCACTGTCGATGGTGCGCTCGTGAACTTCGTCAAGAACCACATGAGTGATGTCTTGGAAGTCATCGGGCCGTTCGAGCATTCGTACAACCACTCCCGTGGTTCTGTAAAGTATTAGTTGAGCGACCACAAAGGTAAAACTGAGAGAAGTGAGAGCTTACGCATAGATTAATGGCGTGGATTGAGTGAACTTGCTTTCCAATCGCACCGCAAATCCGATGAGAGACCTATTCGTGCCCACTTCATTCTTGCTCTCGCCAAGCTCCTCGCTGACACGTCGAGCAAGCGATATTGCAGAGATACGGCGGGGCTCGGTCACATAGATCTTGCATGGTCGGCCTTGGATCATCTCATGCTCGAGAATGAATGACGGAATCTGTGTACTTTTTCCACTACCTGTTTCACTGCAAATAATCAGAGCTCGGTGATCATCGAGCGTGCTCAGGATCTCATCTTTGAAGCCCCAGATTGGGAGGTTCATTCTGCCCTGGATCATGCGGTGATAAGAAGGCGTTGACGATTTAGCCATCCATGCTTCTTTCAAGCGGTCATCTATACCCGAGTAATTGTCACGCGCAGACCCTTTCATCGGGGCGCCCGGCTTGCTAGCAATGCCGTTTCTCTTACGAAAATTGTCAGACAGAACGACATCATCTTCGAAGGTGCCTTGATTCTCTTGGACTAGGCGCTTCAATTCTTTCAGGGTATTCTTGTCGACTTCATCCTGTTGGGTCTTCTGCAGTGTTGCAAACTCAGTCCAGAGTTCTCTCCAAACCGCTGGCAATCGTAGGTAGGCCTTGCCCTCCTTGGAATTCTGAGGGAACAATATGAACAAAGCCAAAGTGGACACATATGCCTCAGCCTGCTGCGCATTCGGTGTGGCAATACCATCCATTGACACAAAAGTAGCCAAGGCGTTCGATTTGTGTGTAATCGATTCCACTGCTAACGGGAATGGGGCGTCTTGAGGCTTCGACCATCGCACCTCGAGAGCCTTTCTATTTAAATGACTTGAAGAGGAGAAATCCTGGTAGGCAACCACGCAAGATGAATCTCTTGATTTGCAAGTCTCTTCCAAGACTCGCCGTGGGCTCAGACCTGTCGATTTCCCAAAGTCGCGGAGTGTGAATGAGGCCTGGTTCTCTGGAGGAGGAATACCTAAGATCGAGCCCGAATCCTCAGCCTCGGCTTGAAACAAATCCCCAAGGGCATCCTCCATCCCATCAATTGTAAGGAGGTCCGGATCTAGCTCTTCGTTGACCTCGGGCTTGGGCTGACCTTCTGCATCGGTCGAAGACTTTTTCTTTCTGTCCACCGGGCGCCGAATAAATGAAGCATCCTTTCTGAGCTCGTCGAGCTTTTGTTCCCATATGTACTCTGCTTCTCGGCGTTCGAAAAGGACATCACGTTCGATCTTGGCAATCTTCCGCTGTAGTTTAGAGATTTCAGGGTCATCTGACAGATTGCTAGCCCCGCCTCGACCTTTCTTGCCCTTTCCGGGGCGATCGAAGAGATCTGGCTCCAGGCTATAAAGTTGAGTCTGTAGCTCCAGCCATTCAGGAACCATGATATCTGGGTCGACTGAGCTGTCTGAGTCGTATGAAACAGGAGGGGAAATCTTTGACGCCTTCCAATCAGTCTTCTTGTTTCCTTGCTTGCTTCGATTTTGGGATGAAACAGGAGTTGAGGTCACTGAAGCCTTCGATTCTGCCCAGAGTCAGCATTATGCCTCAATGAAAAAAATTCAAGTCACGAAGGGGTTTACCTGTCATCCATGAGGTGATAGTATCCGCGTCTTTCAGTTGGCGAGTACTTGTCTGCGTGTAAGAGGGCAATTCATTCTTATCACTGTGCATAGCCAACCATTCCATCGCTTCATCCAGATTCCACACAACATCCCGACCGGCACTGGTTGAGTTGCCTGCAAAATATTGCAAAACATGCTTCAGTGCATCTTCGACGCGGGTTTGGGGGAAGTCGAGTTTGAGCAGTGTTTCCTTCAAAGTCCAAAGTTTGTTGTATAGTTCCTCCTCAGAGCCAGCCTGTTTTGAACTTGTGACCCGTCCACTTGCTATAAGATAGTCGTGCTCTTCGGCACCAGCCAGTTTGAGGATACTGTCCTGAATCTCGGTCGGTAACCACTCCATAAGGCTCAATGTTACTGATTGCTGTCGGAAAACGCGGCGCTCGTTCTCCAGCTTGGTGGCCTGGCGCGCAGCGTCATTTTTACACTTGGTAGCGTATTTATCAACCAGAATCTGAAGTTCTGCTTCTTCAAAATGTTTCTCTAGCTCCTCCGGTGTGTAATCCTGTAACGAGGTGGTCGTTTGTGGTGCGGTCGCATCTACAGTGCGTTCTGGCTGCGGCTCGTTTTCCGGTGTGGCTTTGGATTCTTCGGTGACTGGAGAAGGTGTTGAGATCGCCTCTGGTTTAGGCTTTGAGGGCATAGACACCGTCGCAAAGCCTCTAGCCGGGTTGGAGGCGGGCTTCTTCTTTTTCTTGCTGCTGGGCGGCATTATGGCTGAATTATCAGCGGGCCCAGCGGAGGAGTCTTCGAAGCACGCTGAAAGTCAGCGGTCAAAGACCAATGAATTTAGGCCGTGAAATACTGTGAAATATGGTGTAGATTATTACCAAAAAAAAGGTGTTGAAATATGTAAAGAGCGAAGAGTCAGTTATGCCTGTTTAATGGCGGGATGAAATCCAGCTCCCCACACAAAACTCTTATGACAGCATTCCTAGCCCACTTCACCAACTTCACACTCTCTGAACCAACCCCTCTCTTTCCATTCCCCCGTATTGACCGCTGATCATGGATGGAATTCCATGGGACCAGGTCAAGGCCGGGGATCTGGATGCCTTGCAGGTCGTTCTCCTCTCGAGTTCGACCTCGCGCAGGCTCCGGGCCCTGCAAGAACTCCGCGACAAGAATGGTAGCGTGATAATCCACCGCCTCATGACAAGCAAATCCACTAACCATTCATCTATAGGGTCTGAACTATCCCCAGAAACCCATCACGATATACTAGAGTTGCTTTTCCGTACCTATCCTCTCTATGTCGATCGATCCTCCCGACAGGCGGTTCAACAATGCCTTCGCTCTTTCCTCCGCGGGCCCAATGCGACCGAAGAGTTAAAATTCCTGACGCAAAAATTACAAATTGAGGCATCCAGATCAGGTCTGGCTTCCTCGTTTGCATTTGTTTTGTTGGAATGGTGCTGTATCCTTTTACAGCAGGCTAGCGAGGACCAGAGCACCCCGTTGGCTACCGTGCTAGATCTGATTGTGGTTGATGCCAAGGCGCTGGAAAATTGTCTTTCCCACAATCCCAAGCCTGCAGTAAAGCAGTCAGCTCTTCGAGTAACACGACGTGCTTTGCGCGCCGTATTTTCGTCTGAGGCATGGGGCGCTGATGCAGTGCGGCAGTCTGTTAGTCGACTGACCGCAGAGTCTACTGCAGCATTCAAGAATGCACCTCTTCTCGGTGTCGTATGTGGTGTCTGCGCGCGGCTAGCGGACAAGACGGCAATCCTCGAAAAGTCAAAGAAAGAGATTTTGGCTTTCTACATCAAGGAGATCGTGAGCTCAAAATCTGCTGTGCCCGCACATGTCGCCAATGGCATGTCTGACTTCTTTACTTCCTTCGTAACATATGAAGATTTTGCCACCGAACTGGTACCTCCTATGGAAAAGTCCATACTACGAGCACCAGAGGTGGTTCTCGGAGGCGTGATTCCCCCTCTATGTGCTTCCTTGCCGGAAGAAATTGATCTCTCAGAACTGGTGCATACACGCCTTTGCAAGCATCTTTTAAGTAGCATGAAGTCGAATAACCCATCAATTCGTCAAGGAGCATCTGACTCTTTTGCATCTTTGCTCTCTCGATGCAGAACCGATTCCTTGGTCTTGAAGATTACAAATGAAATCATTGGCCCTCTGAAAACCCAAAAGATTACTACTCCTGAACACCGCTTGGCTTACGCCCAGGCCATTGCGGCTATTTCACCCTCAGCGGATGTCTCGAAAGAGATTGTTCAGGGATTCTGCCCTGTCTTTTCACGAGAGTCGAACGAAGCTGCTCTGGAACAGGAGATTAAATCCTTCGGCCAACACCTCACCTACCTCATTCAATCCAAGCTCAAGGTGAGCGACGATGTTGTCAGCACTATCGTTAAGGGTGTATCCGATAAGCGAATTCCGTTCCGAAAGACTTGGCAAGCAAGTGTGGGAGAAGTCCTATGGAAATCTGATCTCGAGGATTTGAAGACTCCTGAGATTGAACCACTTGTCTCCAAGTTCCTCGCGAAGATGAAGGATTTGTTTGGTGAGGTTGCTTCCAACCCGCTTCCCTCCGCTCAAAGTGGTGCTCTATCTTCGGCTTATCTATTCCTCGCTCTGTTCCACCGAGTTTCCGATGTTCAAGGGTCTGCCAGGTCCGCTTGGGAGGAGAACGTAGCCCAATCAATGACCCTCAGTCCCAAGCCTTCTTTCCTCCTCAACCCTAAGGCATACTCAAAGTTGAGTTCCAAGGAAGAAGTCCAGTGGTTTGTCAGGGCTCTGGCCGCTGTTGCATCCGGTCCCAAATTTACTAGCTCTGAAGATGCATCCAAGACGGCTTGGGCTCAGGCCTTTATCTACGCAATTACTGCGCCTGCTATTCCCTCGAATATCCGCGAAAACTCCGCAGAAACCTTATCTCAAGTATATTTGACGGACGTGGCCTCTTTTGGGCGCGTCGTTTTCAATGCACTGTGGGCCTGGATTTTTTCATTCCGGACTGCGGAGAAGGAATCAGCGGCGTTTTCCGCTGGACCAGAGAGCGAACGCCTGCTCTATATGGTCTTGAAGGCTCTGTGCCCAACCAAGGCTGTCATAGAATCCTCTGGGATTTCCCCTTCCGATCTGGAGGCTCTGCTCGTCGAATTTCTGATTCTGGGTCGACCTGAGTTAATTCCGAACACCTCATGGATTGATTTATGCTTGAGGACCGGCACCGACCCTGGGAATCTTGTGCGCGCACACCCTGAGAAGTGTATTGAGCAGTTGGTTCGCGTAAATGCAGACCCTGTCCAGTCAGCGGTGCCGAATGTTAACCTCGCTGTCTGGAGTGCTGGGGCTGAATTGGCATTTGTCGCCCCTGATGCAATGATCCCACGTTTGGTTGATCAGATTAAATATGATTTGGACGGCACACGCCTATCTAAGTTCACTGTCACTGATGCCGCCATTTCACGCACCCCCGAAGGAACCGCTTTCATCGATGTGCTCAGTAGCAAGTCGAAGCAGCCTGCCTTCGATAAGAGCACTAAGGACTATGATACCCTTAAGTGGGAAGAAGAACTACGTGCGCAATTAGCCGAGAAGAAGGGCCAAAGCCAAAAGAAGCTCACGCCTGAGGAAAACTCCAAGGTCAAGGCGCAGCTTGCCAAGGAGGCCAAGATCCGTCATGAAGTTTTGGAAGAAGTCAAGCGAATCGAAAGAGGAGCCGGCCTTATCCAAGGCCTCGCAACAGGTCCCGCCAACGATGTCGAGGGATGGATCAACGCTGCCGTCAGTTCTTTGCTATCACTTGCTCAGGCTGGGGCTGGTCTGTTTGTCGGTGACGTTGTCTCCCGGGCGTTCATCACTTGCGCCGACGAGGTGTCCATCCGCCTCGGTCCCCTGCGTTCTTTTGTCGGTATCGCAACACTGCGAGCCATCGGCAACACGAATCTCCCCTCTGATATGGAATTAGAGCCCCTCGGAGAACTCGTGACAAGAATCCTCTACCGATTGCGCTTTGCTTCTGAGCAGCGTCCTTTCGATGTCACATCTCTCGCATACGTCCTTCCTCTTATCTCTCTGGTCTTGACTCAGAATGGTATTGGAGAAGCGAAGGGAGAAGAAGAAGGCACCCAAGTCCTCCTTGCTCTTGAGTTCCTGTCCTTCCACTCTGGCTCTTGTGAGTTTTCCCCCAATCCCCCTCCTTTCGAGCCAGTGAAATCAACCGTTAACGCTCTTTTGTAGTCGCCGACGCCCGTCTTCCTCGCGTCGAGGTTTTAAGTCAGCTTCTATCCGCCATGCAAAGATATACCCAGCACTACAAACTGGTCAAGGACACCTTGTTCGACTTCTGCCGGTGCATCTCGCCGAACATCAACAGCGAGGAGCTAGATACGCTTTTGCGGGGAACGATTGTCGCCGAAGCCTCCGTCCGAACAACCGTCCTTCAGGTTGTTGAGGCTGAGATCGATTTGACTGACCTCGATTTCTCAGAACACATTTGGCTTGCTTGCCACGATATCGTGGAGGAGAATGCTGATATTGCAGACACGATCTGGGAAGACAATGCGCTGGAGGTGGATGACACCTCATTCAGCAAGATCATGAAATACTTGGACTCCAAGGACCACCAGCTTAGAGGCGCTGCTGCTCGCGCTTTGGCACATGCCATTGAGTTTGATGAGAGCAAGTTTGCGGGTATTCTGTCCGAACTGCAATCAAAATACGTGGAAGAAACCAAACCTAAGGCACCTGAAAAGGACGCTTACGGAATGCCTAAGAAGATAGACACTGCAGACCACTGGGAAGCTCGCAGTGGTATTGCATTGGCCTTCAATGCCATGACTCATGGATTCGATGGTGACGAGGCTGTCTCCTTTTTGCGCTTCCTGATTGAAAAGGGTCCCTTGCTCGATGGAAATTCCCGGGTCCGTGGTCAGATGACAGAGAGTGGTAAATCTATCATCATTTTGCGAGGAGAGTCGAAGGTTGAGGAGATGATGAAACTGCTCCAAACAACCTTGGAAACCTCGGATAAAGACACAAAAACCTCTGACCTGCTGAATGAGGCTGTCATCGTATTATATGGATCTGTGGCGACACATCTCAAGGCAGATGATCCTCGCTTGCAAACTGTCATCAGTGAACTGCTTGTCGCCCTCGATACCCCTTCCGAGTCTGTGCAGCACGCTGTATCCGAGTGTCTCCCACCGCTGATCAGATCGTCTGGTTCGAAGACGGCAGAATACGTGGAAAATCTCCTTTATCGCCTTTTCAATGCACCCGACTATCCACGTCAACGTGGTGCTGCGTATGGTCTTGCTGCGGTCGTGTGTGGCAGAGGTATCGCAACATTGCGGGAGTACCGAATCATGAGCCAGCTCAAGGAGGCCACTGAGAACAAAAGAGAAAAGGATCACCGACGGGGTGCTCTATTGGCTTATGAACTTTTCGCCCTGGTTCTGGGCCGGACCTTTGAGCCTTATGTGATTCAACTCGTACCCCAGCTTCTGGCAGGATTTGGTGACACTAGCATTAGTGTTCGCGATACTTGTCTGGAGGCTTCAAGGGCTTGCTTCCAGAACCTCAGCTCTTATGGTGTCAAGGAAATTCTTCCGACCCTGCTCGATGGTTTGGATGATACGCAATGGCGTAGTCAAAAGGGTGCTTGCGATTTGCTCGGAGCCATGGCCTACCTCGACCCGCAGCAGCTTGCAGCCAGTCTGCCTGATATCATTCCACCTTTGACGGTTGTGCTCAATGACACCCACAAGGAAGTCCGTAGCGCAGCGAATCGCAGTCTTCAGCGGTTCGGCGAAGTCATCAGCAACCCTGAAGTGAAGAGCTTGGTAGGTGTGCTTCTGAAGGCTTTGAGTGATCCCACGAAGCACACAGATGAGGCTCTGGATTCCCTCATCAAGGTTTCTTTCGCGCACTACCTCGATGCTCCCTCCCTGGCCCTTGTTGTGCGCATTCTCGAGCGCGGTCTTAGTGACCGATCTAACACCAAGCGGAAGTCGGCACAGATTATTGGCAGTTTGGCTCATCTCACAGAGCGCAAGGATCTTATCGCGCACTTGCCTATTCTTGTGGCCGGTCTTAACTTGGCCATTGTTGATCCAGTTCCTACAACCCGTGCTACTGCCTCCAAGGCCCTTGGTTCACTTATTGAGAAACTCGGAGAGGATGCTTTGCCAGAACTCATTCCTAATCTCATGGCTACTCTCAAATCTGACACTGGAGCCGGTGACAGACTTGGATCTGCTCAGGCTCTTTCGGAGGTTCTTGCAGGCCTTGGTACGACCAGACTTGAGGAGACCCTGCCAACTATTCTCCAGAACGTTTCCAGTGCCAAGCCTTCTGTTCGTGAAGGCTTCATGACCCTCTTCATCTTTTTGCCTGCTTGCTTCGGTAATAGCTTCGCCAACTACCTTAGCAAGATCATCCCCCTATTCTTGCTGGTCTGGCTGATGATATTGAGTCTATTCGCGAGACCGCTCTCCGGGCCGGTCGTCTGCTTGTCAAGAACTTCGCCCACAAGGCCATTGATCTCTTGCTTCCTGAGTTGGAGCGTGGTCTTGCGGACGACAGCTACCGCATTCGTTTGAGTTCCGTCGAGCTTGTCGGCGATCTCCTCTTCAGTCTTACGGGTATCTCTGGCAAGAACGAGGGAGATGAAGAAGAGGAAGAAGCCACTCAAGCTGGCCAATCCTTGTTGGAGGTTCTCGGGGCCGAACGCAGGGACAAGGTTCTTTCGGCTCTGTACATCTGTCGCTGCGATACCTCAGGCCAGGTCAAGAGTGCGGCCCTGGGTGTCTGGAAGGCTCTTGTCGCCTCCCCCAGGACGCTCAAGGACATGGTTCCTACGCTGTCTCAACTCATTATTCGCCGCCTCGGGTCCTCCAACATGGAGCAGAAGGTCATTGCCAGCAATGCTCTTGGAGACCTTATCAAAAAGGCTGGAGAGTCTGTTCTCAACACCTTGCTGCCCTTGCTCCAAGATGGTCTTCAGACTTCCCCCGATGTGGAGGTCAAGCAAGGTATCTGCATTGCCCTCCGCGAGCTTATCAATGCCGCTTCTCCCGATGCGCTGGAGGACTTCGAGGATATTCTCATCGCCACCGTGCGTGTGGCTCTGGTCGACAATGACGATGATGTGCGAGAAGCTGCTGCCGAGGCTTTCGATTCATTGCAGCAGATCATGGGCAAGCGAGTCGTGGACCAGGTCTTGCCTTACCTTCTTCACTTGTTGAGAGACGAAGAGAATGCCGAGCAGGCGTTGTCGGCTCTGTTGACGCTTCTCACGGAGCAGACTCGCGCCAATATTATCCTTCCCAACCTCATTCCCACGTTGCTCACCCCACCAATCACTGCTTTCAACGCCAAGGCCCTGGCATCTCTGGCCGAAGTTGCTGGCTCTGCCATGACAAGGAAACTGCCAACTATCCTCAACTCCCTCATGGACGGCATCATCGAGACTACCGACGAGGAGCTTCGTACAGAGCTCAGCACTGCCTTCGACACTGTCTTGGTCTCTGTAGACGAGTACGATGGCCTGAGTGTTGGTATGAATGTGATGGTCACTCTTGTCAAGCACGACGATCACCGTCGTCGCGCTGCCGCGGCGCTTCATCTGACCAAGTTCTTCGCGGAAGCCGAGGTCGACTTCTCGAGGTATTACCAGGACTTGATCCGCGCTTTGCTGATTTCATTCGACGATCCAGACAAGGATGTCGTCAAGGCTGCTTGGACTGCCCTCACTGGTCTCATGTCTCATATGCGCAAGGAAGAAATGGAGAGCTTGGCTATTCCCACCCGCCAGATTCTACGACAGGTGGGCGTGGCTGGTGCGGATCTGCCTGGCTTCAGTCTGCCCAAGGGCATCATGGCTATCTTGCCGATCTTCTTGCAAGGTCTTCTGAATGGTACTACCGATCAGCGCACCCAGTCCGCTCTTGCGATGTCGGATATCATTGACCGGACTCGTGCCGAGTCATTGAAGCCTTTCGTGACTCAGATCACTGGTCCGCTTATTCGTGTCGTGTCAGAACGTTCTGTCGATATCAAGTGTGAGTCATGCGAATCCTTTCTGTGGTTTCTGTTTACTGATCGATTATTCCAGGCGCTATCTTCTATACTCTTAACAAGCTGTTAGAGAAGATCCCGTTAGCTGTCAAGCCGTTCCTGCCTCAGCTCCAGCGTACATTTGCCCGTGGCTTGGCCGATACCACAAGCGAGACTCTGCGCAATCGAGCCGCCAAAGGTCTCGGGATATTGATTACACTGACCCCCAGAGTCGATCCTCTTATTGCTGGTAAGTCTCCGGAAGTTTTATACATGGAATATAGCTCATCGCTAACTTTGATGTTTCAGAACTTATTACTGGATCTAAGACCTCCGACATTGGCGTGAAGAACGCCATGATGAAGGCTCTCCAGGAGGTGGTTGGTAAGGCCGGTGCCAACATGAGCGAGGCATCCCGACAAGCGATCCTTGCCCTGATCGATGATGACGCTAGCGACCAGACTGGTAAGATCATCATCACCGATTCCTGTGATTCACAGTCTTCTAACATGATCGCAGATTCCGTTGCCATTACCAACGCTCGTCTGCTCGCCGCTCTCGTGAAGGTCCTTCCTGCCGCAAACTCGGTTCCTCTCATCAAGTATGCATATCCGTTCTTGTGCTTTGATCTTACTTGGTGCTAATATAATCCCTCGTAGGAGCCGTATCATTGCTGCCCCTCTTTCCCATGCAGCGATTCTTGGACTCAATGCTCTTTTGGCTGAATGCGCCGAGGTTCTGACGGAACACTTCGCTGTGGAACTGCCCACTGTCATTTGCCAAGGTCTAACAAACAAGGATGTAAGTGGAATGCTAAATAATCACCCATTGCTGGTCGAAACTAACTCAAAGACAGCCCTTCATCTCCGACAACAGCGCTCTTGCTGCAGGCAAGTACCTTTTGTCCAACGATGGCGACCATTCTTTCGAGTCAAGCAAGACCATTTTCGAGGCCTTGGCATCTGCCATCCAAGTTGGCAACCCGGTCGACACCCGGCGATTGAGCTTGGTAGCCATCCGTACTGTCAGCCGCCTTCACCCTGAGCTGGCCCGTCCTCATTTGGCTCTGCTCGCACCACCCATCTTCGCTAGTGTCCGTGATCTGGTGATTCCCGTCAAGCTGGCTGCGGAAGCGGCATTCTTATCCATCTTCTCCGTAGTCGAGTCCGACAGCGAGGTGTTTGACAAGTACATGGCCGGTGCGGGTGCATCTCTCCCACCAGGCCCCAAGCGCAGCATGTCTGATTACTTCAAGCGTATTGCTGTTCGTTTGGCTAATCAGGCACGTGAGCGTCGGGAGGCTGAAGGTGGTGAGGGTGGTTTGGGACTCTCAAATGATGAGATAGATGATGAGAAGGAATTGTGGAGCATTGGCAAGGTTGATCTCGGAGAGGCCTTTGGCGATGAGTGATGATCTGTTTGCGCATCCAAGGAGCATCTAGATGTTTATAGATATACCCTTGGGTTTATTTGTTTTAGTCGTACAAAAGTATTGCATATGTCTGTGTATATTTTATATTGCATCTTTTTATATCAACAGACAGCCATCTACGGAGTATGTACTGGATTGCTTTATACTGCAGATCACCCTTTCCAAAACGGGGATATCAGATCATGTGACACTAGGTGTCTTTGACGTCACGTGATAATGCTCGATTTTGGCCATCTACAACGAAAGTCATAACAAACAACGAGAGAGAGAAAAGAAGTAAATCCATGCGGCAAATTATTTACCTCCCAGCATCTTGAGTCCAACTTCTTCCAGTATAAGTACTCTTGGCTTCTTCCCCGGACTGCAAGATCTTCAAGTTCTATCACCCCGATTCGGACTAGCGCTAGGGCATGCACCCTTTAGCACTCCGCCCGTTGTGGAAGGAGCACTCGCTTAGCCCTCGGCTGACCTAATGTGGCCCGCAGTGCCCTCTCAAACTCTCACCGTCGGGATTTCTCAGTGCCACGAACATCATCCGCCAACGACCGTCGATACGCCGACATCAAGATGTGAGTTCATCTCCAAGCTGCTATTCAACTTCTCGAATGCACTCCCGTGTGCTGTGGAAATTCAGCCCAACACCCAACTCGTGGACCCGATATTTTCGTTATAGTGGAGGAACGACTTAGTGATGTGTGTGCCATGATGCTGACCGGGTCTTTCATCACAGGGTCAACCTTACCACCCAGAAGCGCCTCGCCGCCTCCGTGGTCGGCTGCGGCAAGCGCAAGATTTGGCTCGACCCCAATGAGATGAACGAGATCTCCAACGCCAACTCTCGCCAGACCGTCCGCAAGCTCGTCGCTGATGGCCTCATCATCCGCAAGCCCGTCACCATGCACTCCCGTGCCAGCGCCCGTGAGCTCAACGAGGCCCGCCGCAACGGCCGTCACCGTGGTCTCGGAAAGCGCAAGGGTACCAAGGATGCCCGTATGCCCAGGTATGCACAGCACCAGCTTCTGTCTCCACCCGGCCTGTCTTGAATTCGCTTGATGGAATTAGAACTCGGCAGTTGCTGATCTCGTTTTCCTCTGTTTAGCCAGGTCCTCTGGATGCGCCGCATGCGTGTTCTCCGTCGTCTGCTCGTTCGCTACCGCGCCGCCGGCAAGATCGATAAGCACCTTTACCACGAGCTCTACCACTTGAGCAAGGGTAACACCTTCAAGCACAAGCGTGCCCTCGTTGAGCACGTAAGTTACAACCCGGATCAACCCCACGAATGACGATCGAATATGGAGCATGAACTTCGTGAAAGCCATATGAAATATGCACATCAGAACACATCCAGGCTGACTCGTTCTTTTTTTACCGCTACAGATCCAGAAGGCTAAGGCTGAGCGTGCGCGCGACCGTGTTCTCAAGGAGGAGATGGACGCTAAGCGTGCCAAGAACAAGGCTCTCCGTGAGCGCCGGTTGGAGCGCAAGGAGGCTAAGCACAACGCTCTGATCAGCGAAGAGTAAATCTGATACAAAAATTCAATTACCCTTCCGTTGTTTGACGCTTTTCTTGCAATTCGGCGGTCCGGAGGTTGGAAACGGTTAACTTCTGGGTTGGATTCGGGATTCGAGGCTGTTCCCGACATCGAACTCAGGTCGGCCTTCGGCGTCTTCCTATTAGTCTAGATCCTGTTACGACTTTCTCTCCTTCCCTTGTGTTCTCTGATAGCATGGGGTTCGTGGCCTTGTTGGATCTTTCGGAAAATATGGGGTATGGGAAATAGGAAGATGCGATGATGATGTGATACTCAAGCTATTCTTGTTAAAATGTAACGAGAAAGCAAAAGGAAATCTTTTTTACTTCACCAAAAGACACAGCAAAAACCGCACCCTTGTTTCTCGGCCCATCTACTGCGCTTGGTATAAACCTGATATGCGAAGAAGCAAATGTCTTCGCTCTATAAACCTATCATTAGCCCGGTATCCTGTTGTGGTCTTGTATATTTCCCCTTGGTTTTGCGGCTCATAGTGACCACTAGATATACGTCACTGACCAGTACTGGAGAGTGATGGATGTCTACATGTATTTCGTACTCTTGCAGACTCTATCTCAATTCTTCCTTATATTTCTTGTCCCCTTGGCAATTACAGCCTAAATCAAAGACCTCCGGTGTAATTTATGGGTCTTGTGGCTACGCCACTGCTATTCTGGGGATTTGATCTAAAATGGCCTATACCCACTCACTTCTAGACTTAACAGACCCTCAACCCACAATATTAGCATAGACATGAGGAACAATGCTTACTTTTCTAGGGTTTGGAATGACCAGAACCATATCAAACATTAAGGACCTGAATATATTTGTCCTAAGTATCATTCCCGCTGGATATATATTTGCATCAGACAACCCGACAATGTTCCGAGCATAAGAATGCATTAATTCCCAAGTAACGGTAGAGCGAATCCACAGCATATTCTATTTGTCTTTAAACAGCTCTAGCCTTCTATCATTTTAAACCATATCAATAACCCCGAATAGACAACGATGAATTGAATGTGGTGTCACCCGAACTTTGCGAATAAGTAGGCCGACGTGTATCTCCGTTCTTATGCTGCTCACAATAGTGGGATAGATGAAAACATGGTAAAGATATGTCAATGTATTGTGAAAATAAACATAAAATAGGAGTCCCTCCTCTCTTTGAATCGTACATATCAATATAACCCAATGAACAACCTAGACCTTCAACACCGAACTCGAGATAAGATATGAATGCACCAAGAGGAGCCCCGGTAAGTAAATGCAATAAAAAAGAGAAAGAACATGTAGGCATAGCATTCGTCAGATCTTGTCATCGTAAGTCAAAGTAAAACAAGTAAAACAAGTAAAACAAGTAAAGGCAATGTATCAGTGTAGACGTATAGTATATGCAGGAAACAAAACCCAAACCAGAAGAATATCACGAAGCAAAACATAAGCGAGCCCAAGGTAAAAAAAAGGACAAACAGACAAGCGTTCGCCTTCTAAAACTTGAGCCCCCACGTAGTCGGGATCGAAGGAACAGAAGACCGGCGGTGGTGAGCATTCGGCGGAGGCTCAAGATCAAGATCAAAGGGGTCACTGCGCATGCTGTCACGCATCATAGGCGTATCCAAGTATTGATGCGGTACAGCGAGGGTATCCGCACCGTCACGTTCGCAGTCCCAGTACCCCTGCCCACCTCGCCCAGCGCCCCGGGAAGAAGTAGAATAGAGCGAGACCGAGCGAGATGGGGCTGAGATCTCGATGACTGCAGACGGCGGGTCCGCGAAGGGGTCCCGTGTTGTCTCGCCGCGGAGGTACATACTGTCCAGCGATAGATCTTGATTTGAGGGCTGCTGTTGCAGCGGGATGACTGGGAGTGTGGGTGATCGCAGGCCGATGTTGCTTGGGATCGAGGGGTAGGAGTGGTAGCGGGAGTGGTGATGGTGGCTGATTGATGAACTTGTTGAGTCGCCTCGTATTAGTTTCTGTCTGATACCTAGATGCTCTTTTACTATTTTTCGTCGTCGACGACGAAAACAAAGTACGCAGGCGAGCAGGGCGAAGATCGTGATTGCTGATCCTCCGATGACGCTCCCAACTATCGTTCCAGTTTTAGAGGATGGAGGGGTTGAGTGGTCGGCGTCGGCTGTTTCTGAAGAGGCTGCGCTTGTAGCGGTTCCAATGAATGGCGGGATCGAAGGTGTGGTTGATGGTATGATGCTCAAGCTGGCCGGGGTACTACTGGAGCTCATGGAGCTTGAGAAGCTAGTGGTTGTCTCCGGCAAGACAGGCAATGATGACGAAAGAAATATACTCGAGCTAGTCAATGGAATCGGTGGAGTCCATGTGCTGCTAGGAGCATCAGAATACCAGAGATCGTCAGAAGTTGTCGAAGTAGGAGAGTCCCCCATTGGGCTTGATAGGACCGAGGTTGGGACCAGAGTCGAGACCGGGGGATCCGAGATCACGATTGCTGTAGAGCTGGAAGTCGATACTATGGTGTCCTGCTTAGTTGTAGACAGCTGAGTCGTTGTCAGGATCACCGGGGTTGGGCTCAGTGTTGACGATAGGAAGTCAAGGACAGTGGTGACTCTGGGATCAGGTCCGGAACCAGATATTGTATAGATCCACGTAGGATAGATAGTCTCCGTTTCAACTGATGTGATCGTCACCAAATTGAATGGCCCAGAGGAGATGGGTGTGGACCACGCCTGGATGGAGTTGAGCGGTGCAGGGGAAGTATCAATGGCGGACAAGGCACTCGACATCTCGCCGTGAGCCCGCAGGCAGCACGGTTAAAAGACAAATCTGATGATACTTTCCGATTTGTTCAATAAATGGGACATGGGGGCGACGTAAAAGGATAGATCCCTTTGTATGAGTGTTCGATAAAGCACAAAGCGACAAAGCAACAACGCAGTACTCCGTAGGCTTATCAACTTGGATCTGATGGTTCACCCAAGCCCCTTCTGTTTCGTTGCTTTGTTTCTTGAGGCCTCTCGAGACCGCCACAAACATAATCCTCGTGATCAGGCTGGGCTTCCATACAGTTCCCGATTCACCTTCGAAAGAGCCCCAAAAGTGTATCACGTCAGGTATGAAGAGGTCGGAAGATTATATACGGAGATTTTTTTCTTTTTCTTTTCCTTTTCTCACAGGGGATGTTTTTTTTTTGTCTTTCATTAGTCTGTAACCCGGCGCTTCTTCAGGAACTGCCCCTCCTGTGACAGATGAACGGCGCTTAGCCATCTGCCCAATGAGATACTTTGGTCTACGGACGATCATCAGAGAATATGAGAATTTCCATGATGTGATACTCTAAACCTTTCTGTACACTGATGATTTCTTGTAGGAATTGAGTGTATCATGTGTCATTGATGAAACATGAAAGTGGAGTAATTGAGGTCCAACCTGAGTTCACATTTTCCCTATTTCAGTTGGTGTGCAGAGGATCCTCGGCATCGAGGAATGCCTCTTTTGGTGGAGTCATGTGACTGGAGGCATGGAAGTCGAAAGTCATCTCAAATCCAGAGAGTAGACTCAAACAAATGGGATATTGGGAGTATTATAGAACTTCTCGGACAGACCCCATTCTCCATTGCCCATTGCCCATTTCTTAGTGACGAAGGTGAATATCATACACGGCTTCAAGAGGGCATATTAATAGGTAGATCCTAGGTGAGCAGTCCATAATAGTTCAGAAAGTCACTTGTAGGGACAAATGTCCCCGCCAAATTCCCCACTGCAAAAGTCCGCCTTTCGAAAGGTCTTCTTTCATCTCTCCTTTTTCACCCGGGACTTCGACTTCTGTTTATTTATTTTACCTTCATCCGGGGGTTCTGCCTTTTTGCCTTTCCGCCTTTCCCTTCCCCTTCCCATGTGACCCTGGGGACTGGAACTTTACGATAATCGTGATTATCGTGCATTTGCATTTGCATTAGATCTGTGAGAAAAAAAAAAAAAATGTTTGGCTGGGGTTCTGGGCTGGGTAAGCAACCTTCTTTTACCCCTTGATGTTTTCCCCTTTCCCCCGCCATACTCGGTGGCGTTGAAATGATTCACCTAGCCTTGGATTGGGCATGACTCGTGACCTATGTCCTATGTGATCCTCCTTGTGTCCAGCCGTGGACAATGAATTACATTGACAGTATCAGCTAACACTTCGTAGCCTTGCCCTCCGCCACTTCAGAGCCTGAGAAGGAACGCAGACCCCCCCGCTGAACCGACCCCTCTCGATTTCCCCGTCTACAACCTATCCAATGTCCTCGAAAATGAGTCGGAGTCAAGACTCATGGAGATATCTGACCTTCTGGCCGAGATCAAACGCCCACAGGACATCTGTATGGAGCGCTTTGAGCCGCTGAACCTGCGATTGGACATGGACGTCGAAGTCGCCGACATGCTCCCCGAAGACCACTCGCACCCCCTCGCCCCATTGCCATGGGAAGATACCACCGATTCGACGGAAGACAGCCCCCGGCCGTTGATGGACAACGGAGCACCGTATCCTTCGAAGGAACGATATGAAACCCTGGAAAAAGAGCTGGCATTGGATAATGACGACGCTTTCCGCGAGGTGGCTCGATTGCCGCCGCGTGAGGGCCGTAGTCGGGTTCGTATAACCCAGTCGAGGAAATTCTGGACGGGATTGGAGCACATGGCTCAATACTGGGATACTAGCCTAGACAACTACTACGAGCGCCCAGCAACTCCTGAGCCGACACCCCCATCTGAGATGGAACGGACAGAAGATGACACAATGCAAATGGATAGTACCGAGGATTCCAAGAGCAGACACTCTCTGACAGACGGTCCAATGGACCTGGATGAAACACAGACAGCCGCGCCGTCGAGCAATGACATTATTGGCGATGGGCAGCATCCCTCTGTCCCCGTGTACACGGGCCGCCGAATTGGTAACGGGGCCGAGATGCCCGATGAAATGCGTGACGAGACAATCCGATCCTTCGTGGAGATGGTCGCATGGCCATTCGGATGCCAGGTCACGGCCCCCACGCTCCCACCACGATTGACGACCAAGAACCTCCTGTTCCCCGTCCGGCAAACTTTCCAGTCCTCACGTTCCCCGCGAGACCGCCAGATAGCGCGGAGCGGCATGCTCGAAGGCCCCGTCCTCATCTCGCAATGTCGACCCGAGACTTCTTTCCGCGCTGCGGACAATACCCCCGGGACCGGAATTGGCGAGGTAAGTGATTTATTCCGCGAGGTGGGCGGCATGCTTCTCGCGGCGCAAGAGCGTGCCCGCCAAGGAGCAGTCGAGAAGCGACCCGGCGAGGGCAAATGGTGGACCATGGAGCCTCGCTTTGGAGGCGCCCCCAACGACGGGATCCTGGATGATCTCATTAACAAGGGACACGGGATGTCCCTGCCAGACTCGATGATGGAGGAAATCAGGCCATCTGCCCAGGAGGCGGAGAGCGCTTCCAAGCGCCACAAGATTGACCATCCGTTTGTCACGTCTCTCTCCCGGAAACCGAGTGCTATGCGCAGACTTACTAGCAGTGAAAAGTGGAAGATTCTGCAGCCTGGACCTAGTCTTTGGGATAAGCGGATGAGTTATTTGCAGATAGGCAAGGTCCAGGATAGTCCATTTGACGATGTATGCGGACCCTGCTTTCTCCATGGAGACTGAGTGTACAGTTCACGGCCTGATAGAGCTAACCCTCCATTTCTTGCAGATTTACATGATCTCATCCATCAATCACCACATCTCCATCCTCCACCTCCGCGTCCACAGGCGGTATTTGGACATCCTCACCAACGGCGACAGCACCTTCCCGGCAACCGAAGGTGAGCCGTGGCATGTGCTGAAGCTGCAGAGGACCAGGTGGTTCGACCTGCTCGATGCCAACGACCGCATAGAAGCGCTGAAGGGGGTGTGGCAACTGTTCCACCACCAGCTGAGACAGACACATCGCGAAGGCGACGTTCCCGTCCCGATAGAATTACCTTTAGATTGTCCCTTATAGAGCATCCATGATGGTGTCCCAGGTGGCGTGATTTTGACTCCCTGGCCCTCTGGCCCTTCTCAGGCGATGCATCTTGTACACACGGCGCAGCAACCTTTGGTCTTTTCATTTGTTGTGCCAATCTCTACCTCGGTCTTTCACCCATACCCATTTTCAATGACAGACTACATTGACTATTTACAATCTTGAATATATTGGCACCTGACGGGCTATATACCGGATACTACGTGTTCTCCTTTTTAGAAGGTGATTAGTGATGGTTGTGATGTTCTCGACATGATATGCAAAATTCCCGGATACGTTTCTTGATAGGCTGCGACAACTTGTTTGGATATAATGCACACTGCGAGTCCATTGAGCTTCATCAGTTGGGAGATTCCAAATGTCATCACGGACCATTCCTCTCTATACACGATTTCAAAGTATTTAGATCAAAGACATCCCATTCAACAGATATTTCGTTCTTTACACCAGTAATTGATATCCATTCCATTTCTACTTACTGGCCCGACATACGCCGTATAGTGCAATCCAATTCACCTCGTTCTAACCCTTGGTACTTTTGTCAAAATGACGGCCGTCTTCATTCTCATTCTAAACAAAACCACCAATCCTCGCACCCTCACCTTCTATGAAACAACCAAAGCAACGCCCCGGACATATTCGGTGTTCAAATCTCATGACCTCACACAATACCGATTATCCAATCTCGCAATACACCACCAAAAATGAAAAAAAAAAGAGGCAAAGCGAGAGGGGTCCAGACCGGTCAAAACTCGACCAAAATGTGATATATCGACATGACAGTGGCCCTAAATCAGCTTTGGTCTCTGTATGGCGTAGATGGTGGGAGGGTGGAGCAGAACTAATTGGCTAAGGGGGCGCTGAGGCCCTTTGTGGTGTTATTTCCCGATTTGTTTTTCTAGGGTAGTGAATAGGAAGATGTACTGCGGAGTATACGGAGTATACAATAAAAATGTCTACCTCATAGATGAATATCTTCATGTGACTCTAACATGTACCAGGTAATGTACAGTCCTGTTTCCATTTCGGAGGCTTTTTAAATTCTTGGCCGTCTGAGCGGATGCAACGTAGATTTTCAATACAAAGGTACTCTGAGTATGAACGGAGGAGAACTTCCTTTATGGGGCATATTGCAGAAGTGCGGGCTTGACAGATCCGACTTTTCCTCCCGTAACTTTCCAAGTTACGGGGTTTGCTTATTGCGATAGGACTGGGATGACTGCCCAGGTGTGTATACGGAGTACAAGATATGTACTCCGTATATCACTCTGTACTCCGTGCATGGCCGTGAACTGGCTGGTTGCGGTGAGAGTAGCATATATGGCAACGGATCTTCATCTCTAGGTACATAGAGTTTGATAGGTCTCTGGTGTGGTGAGACAGAAGCTGGTTGGATGTCTTGGAAAGAAGGAAATATCGCAGAAGAAGCAAGAATATGCAAAGGGATCAATCTGTCCATGGGAAGGTTTGATGCTACTTTTCATGTGTGTGTGTGTGTCTTAAGAGATACGTTTTAACGAATTTTCGAGATGGAAAGTCATGATATGGATCTGGAATAGTCAAGCATTGACCATTCAATGTCAACCCTTGAAATGCCTAGAAAAAGTCCGAGCCACAGCGTTAAGGCTAAATTACTCCGTAATCCTCCGTATTATATTCTCTATAAAATCCATCCAATAAAACTAAGACATCCATGGGTGCTCCATACATATATGAGCCTTGTCCAATTAAAACCAGAGTCAGCCCCAAATCCCGAGTATCGACAACCAGCTGCAAATCAGATCACATCACACATAAAGAAACCATCGCGCTTGGTGCGCTTTGTTGAAACAAACCCAAATCTGGCATATGGCCCGTTTAGCGCATCTCGAAAATAGACCTCGGTCTGTGAACTGCCCAATACGGACGAAAAAAAAGGTACATGTACCCGCTTTACTCCGTCCTTCTTATGTACTTTGGATAAAGGCTATGTGGAGGCTGAGTGAACATTGAAGAGACTCGGGGTCCTCGGGGACCAAGATGAGGGGATCAGGCTAGGGGTGTTTGATGTACTTTTAAACATGAGCTATCCCTTGAACAAAATATGATCAAGGAAGTATTGGTAAATACAGAGAGAACCTTGAACTCTGTTATACCCTTGGTGCAAGGAAACCCAAGATGGGACACGAATATACCAGTAGCCTGGGAATCTGGTGATCTACTCGCACAGATTGAAAAGTGTGCAAGTTGCTTCTTCGAGGTGTGGGGATGTATATGTGTAAGTAAGTACCCTTGGAGGCTGTCAATAACTTCAATCCAAGACTACTGCCTAATAGAGCAATGCCTACATAAATTCTCCATCCTCAACAAGCAAGCAAATAGAGGTGTGCAAGGCTATATCTTGTGCGTGAAGGGTGTGCATAAAGTGAGTGTGACTCCAAAACGTCGGATTCGATTATAGCGGGTATATAGTCGCGTTTGAAATCTTTGTCCTTCACGGTAAGGTACACAGCCGCGCTAAGATGCTGTCGGGCCGGCGGGTGATTGACTTGTGTGTGGTACGAAGTACCTTGTATGCACGGAGTACACTGGAGGGAGTATAAAGAAGGAGAATGCTAATAACCAATAACTTCTGACACTGGCCGGCCAGTTTAGAATGCAACCGGGACTCTACTCTCCTGCCGAAAGGAAATCGGACGTAGCTCACGGGACTACTCCATAGAATCTCTCTGGTTGGAGTCTTGACTACCCTGGACTTCTGCTGGATAGGAGGTTAGAGCCTCTGCAGGAGTACTGATTGGGATCAGTGGCGTAGGGCTTGTTCTTGAGTTTTGTCTTTTTTGGGTTTCCCTTGCATCTAACGAACGGACCAGTGGTTCATATGAGCTAGGTCTGGTTGTTTAAGCCTCTATCAATTGGATTGCTACTCAAGGGGTGATACACCGTAAGGAGGTTTCTTTTTATGCATTTCTCTTGATTAAGTCTTTCGTGACTTGCGGAGGATGATCATTTTGCGTGAGCTGGTGGGGCCTAGTGTGATGAGCAAGCAAATCATGACGGTCGAGATAACAAGTAGGGGAAAAGACAACTCCAATATAGATCCCAGAGGGGCCACAGAGTGCTCTAGTGAGATCCAACGATAGGTCAAGTAGATCCTATCATGACCACATGGAATCCCACGTGGAAGGGCATCCAGCCGGGCTTCAGTGACCAAGTCAAGTTGGGAATCTTGACCTATCAGTCGCACCGATTGGGAATACGGTCAAAGCCATGATCTCAACGAACGGTGAGAGTCTGTGTTGTACAATCTATACACATCACATTTCCCTTTTGTGGAGATATGAAACCCAAACCTGTGTCATGCATGCGGGGATGGGCGGAGAATGAATCAGACGTCTCAAATCAATTTGCAGGTCTGAATCTGGAAGATGAGCGCTGGCAGATTCACGATTCTGTGGGTTGACTGTACCAAGGAGCGGGAGAGACCCGATTGTGAAGAAGCATGTTGTGTCTCGCGAGATGCAGGTCCTAGGCTCTCATTCTAGTTAGGATACCCATGAACCGTATCTAGGCTGTCCGCATAACAGTTTGAATATATATACTCCGTAGCCACAGAGCCATCTGTCTAGGTACTATAGTAAAATGGAGGTGATCACATTTCAACTGAGGCGGGCGGTACAGCGGATTTGTGGCGAACGAATCACAGACTTACATCGCCGATGAGGTCTAGATACTCCGTAGTAATATAAGATTCTAATAGAAATTGAGATATTGTATTGTCGAAGTTATTTACTAGTGTGGTATTTTTACCCTTGAAGTGTTACAATGTATACCTAGACTGCGGGGATTCCAGAAAGGTGAATCAGAATGTACGACCCCGTAGGCTAAGACTTCAAGCTCTGCAGTTTTCGTGTGATGTGTTCCCGAGAAGAGGATATCGAGAGAGTGGTAGACTGGGGTTGCGGTTGCAATTTGGTTCTGGACTTGGTCGTTGGCGCGTGTCAACACTCCCTTTCTAGGCTATACTCACCCATCTGTGTACCACTCACCAGCCCTATAATATTAAGGTTGGAGACCATCACGCCAATGTGATATACTGTCCATTTTGAAGTAGCACAAATCTGCCTATGTATCTTGTTTCACCCCTTATCTAGACACCGGAGGTCTGAAATGTATCGCGTTTGCTGCCTAGGTATGCCGATTGCGCATCAAAGTCTCAGTTCAATGCGAGGAACCCAACCTCTTCCGCAACCGCTATGCAACCTTCCGTGTTGCCTCCCCTTGATAGGTGTGAGGATTCTTTTGTCAAGGGAGAAGATCGCCTGTATCTTCCCCATATGGAGCCATTCCAATAGTTTTGTGAAGTGATCTTCAGTGCTGATTGGACACAGGCTAGCTCTGCTGCATCCTCATTCGGGTGCTGTGGTTTCCTCAAGGGCGTTTGTCTCTACAGTACTGTGAATAGTAGTACATGGCCCTAGTCCTAGGTACAGGATATCTGTTAGTACTCAGTATACAGATGGGTAACAGCGGAATAGAATCTCCAGGCTGACGTTGCGGTGCGAGTTCAGGAATTGAAGTTCCAAGGTCCTTCATAGTAGAATTTGAGCCTATGTTTAAGGCTATACCAATAGGGTTCCATTTGACTCTGTATTTCTTGAGAGGCTGGATTTTGGGTTCCTTGATGGTAAATAATGTCAGGTTGTGGTTGCCCCTTGCGTTCGCCCATTGAATATGTAATGACATGAGAAAGTCTATTCCAGATACCTACATACTGCAATATGCATGGTGTGCAGTCACCGTCTGCACGATATAGGCCCGTGTCATCTTGGATGCTATGTCTGTTCAGCGACGCTGTCAAGAATTGGGACTCAAATAGCGATAGGATAGCTGCCTATGTTTTTCCATTCCTTGTTTTCTATTAGCGAGCAAAAATAGCTCGCAGGATTTGTCAATCTCCACGATACCCACTCAAATCAAGTCTTCGGGCTGGGACGCGTAGCCACAGATAATGCCGAGCTGAAGATCTAAACCAATGCGCCGCCCCGAACCCAGGAAACAGGATAGTGGAAGAAAGAGTGGAAACGGCAGATCGACAGGGCAAATCAGAATTGGAGTTTAGCTTAGATAGATATATCGACATTGAATAGGTGGAAGACCCGTGATGGAAATGCATGTAACCCTGATAGCCCCTTAACGGTGGCAAGAACCTGTGAACAAAGGCAGAGATACCTTGGGGAATTTGCAATCGACGAAATACCAAAATTACGCAAGAATGAAGTTGGCTCAGGTTAGGTTCGGGTTGTTTTTCATTCCGAGATTTTAACTCAGATCCCGTTCATGCACGCCAAATCCCGTGCCAGGTTGAGTTTCCTCATATGAATGATATCACTACGTTGGAGATCCTTGATACATGGGAATTACATCCCGTTACTTGGATGTGAATAAACACGGAATCAAACAAAGAAAATCATCGCTTAGCAAAGTCTTGGCTCAGCGCGAATTGAGCACTATTGTACTGTAAGCAGCCCTAAAATGGGTATCCGTACTCCATCCTCCGTACTCCGTACACACCACGAAGTTACTCCACCATCCTTCAATCCTTCATCTTGACTTTCAGCGGCTGAAGCGGGTGACTGCACAGACAAGACCCAAATTCAACGGCTGAAAGAAGCAAATAAAAAGAGAAAGAAGGGGAAAAAAAAGGCCAGGAATGCTGGGGCAACTCTGTGTCCTTGTACCACTTTCAGTCCGCGCGTTTGACTCGTTCAGAAGACCTCCGACTGGGGAACACCGTTGAGTCTTCTGTGGCACAGAGGCCTTGAGCTGCATCCTGTTCAAGCCAGGGGTAAACTGTGCTACTGCCTAAATTGGGAAAAAGATATGTTGAATGAGAATCTGAGATTTCCAGGCTCCAGTGTGAAATTTGGCAGGTGGTTACAACATCCATGGAGAATGTCAATTCCATTTTATAACGTGGACCCATACTGATGCACTAGTTCCAAGGAAACCCCTGGAGCCCATGGGATGGTTGTCATTAACCATGGATGGAAGACGGGTAACCCCGAGCCCCGAGGTGTATATGGTATACACACTACGTCACGTATTTCTGGTATTTACAATCCTATTCCAGCATACTTCCATACTTCCATGTTTTTTATATATATATATTGTAAATTGTATACGGTGTATACTATTGCATACAATATACTCCGTATATAGGTCAGCTTTCCCATGTGCCTTCTAGTAGATGCCCCAATTTGTAAGATTAACCTACAGTGCCACGGGGAAGAACAAGGTGTCCAAAGCCCTGGGTTGCTGATCAGCACCGACAACCATCTCTCTGGGAGGCGGATGGATAAAGTATCCCTTCGAATGACAAGTGCGCTGGAGGAGGGGCTGGAAGATTCGACCATCGCCGATCCGGAGCTGTATATATGCACTGATTTGAGCATCGAATTTCCACAGAGTTTGCCTTGAGTTGATGTTTTGGAAGATAAGTGCCCCTTGCGAATTGTTATCCGTGACCGACTTGACGGCCAGTGCGGCGTGTGTTATTGGGTGCATGGGGCGTTGAGGGATATTTAACTTGACATACGGAGTACATACCCCTCCACTGGTTTCGGTTATATTTTCTACGTTCTCTGAGAATATATATAAACATGGATTGAATTGTTGATTAATCTAGATATTTTCCAAGAGTACCCCGTACCCGAGTCCTAGGTATCGGGCACCGATCTATGTCCGACATGGGTCATATTAGCATAATGTGAATTAGGGAAACAGCGAAAAAATAAAATAAAATCGAAAGACAAAAAACAAAAACAAAAATAAAAAAAACCCCTCCCCGAGATGAGAAAAATAGTCAAACATTGCTATTATTACTTGCATTCTCACATTCGTCCCATAATCCAAATTAGTATACACAATTCCCGGGTGAATCGACTTGCATGGCGCATTTCCCGGCGAAGTGGTTGACCTTCGGGCGGCAAGTTCGATCCCCGTTCCACGCGGAGGATCCTAGCTTCGATCATAGCACATAATATTCTATAACTTCTAGTTATGGGGCATGTCGATTTTCTCCGTATATATTGTACAGATTGTATCCCAAAACGACAACAGATTAATTTCGCTTCTGCAGAGCATCTCATATTTTCCCAGTCGGACCCACTGCCTGTTTAAATCGAAGAAAAAAAAAAGAAACCAACAAACAGACCTGTCAACTGTACGAAGTAGTAGAATGTGTTTCCTTTCTCAGGGGGTATGGGTTATATATGTGATATACAACATACAAATGAATTGGAAAAACCCAAAGCCATTTAATTATTTTCTTTTTAAGAAAGGTATTTGATAGTCACGATTCGAGTATTTAATCCAGGGAGGGGCAAACACGTCGATCCCTACAGAGGGTAATTATCACTGTAAATTTATTATATTATGTATCCCGTCCCCAGTTGATCTTACAAATTTTCTCTTATTTTCCCTTTTCTAATGAACTTTCTATATGAAATCCAAACTTGATGAGATTTGAAACTTTGAAATTACCGATCTACAGGTAACGGAGCTTCCCCCACTTGGGATCCCAGCCCAGGTACGTGAGATTACAATACCATACCGAGGTAATAACCACGTACCCCATATACTGGGCCGTACATATAATTGTACATCACCCAACCTTGGTGTTTTCCCCCTCCTTGTGGCCCAACCTTGTACTTCTGTTTGCGATCTATCTGATATACAGTGGATACTCTCTTACTACCTTTTCAATTAGTATTTTTTTTTTTCCCATATCTCCATAACTCGACCTAACAAGACCCCTGGTCGGATCATCACCGTAATCTGACTATTTCTTTGTCTAGCTCCACACTTGCCCACTGCGACATCAACACCGCATTTTTGCGACTCGAGAGAACCTCGGGGCTTTAGACACTTTGATTCGCAGGCTGCTAACGGCGCGATCCGATTTCATTGTTTCTTTCGCTCCTTCCGCCAGATCCACCGATCTGTCATTCATTTCATTCCTCTTATTACATCCTCTCTCGACGCCATCCGAGATCGCCATGTTGATTTGAGTTCCAATCATCAAGATCGCTTCTCGACGATAGATTGGCAGATATACCTAGTGTCAACGGCCCGGGCTAGTGGTGACAAGACGACGTCTGGAAGCTTCAAACTACACACAGCTGGACCCTCCATTCACAATGAATCGCATGCCTCCTCCGGAAGGGCATCATGTGCATGCGGGTCCGCATCCAGCATACGAGCCATCATGGCGCCCTTCATACCCCCCAACCTTCGATAAACATCCCTCCGACTCCCGCCGCTCCTCCGCAAATTCCCAGGCATCCTTACCACCGCACCCGCCAGGGTACCCCGTGATACCCAACCGTGAGCTGCCACAATTAACCTCGGAAGGTCCGTACGGTCGTCCGAATGGTCATGGCCTGCCCCTGCACGCGCCCGTGCATTCCCCGCAGGACCCGGTTCCCCCTCACCCAAACTTCCACCAGCCGATGAATGGCGTGCCGCACGAGGGCTCACCTGATTATCGCGCTCGTATGGGATACCAACCCCCGGATCAGATCAACAGCGCTGAACATACACCCGTTTCCGGCGCTCTGCCTCCTGCTTCACAGTTCCTGCCTCCCGGCGCTTATATGGCTAGTGCTACGCCGCCTGCTGGGGGCGACCCGGCATTTTACCAAAACCAGGCGTTTGGTACACGTCAGCGTAAGGCGAACAGAGCCACGCAGGTATGTCAAAGCTAGTGGACGATGGGATGGCTTTTGGGGAATCTTTGACTGACACTCGGGCTATATAGGCTTGCGATCAATGTCGAGCTAGGAAAGCAAAGTGCGATGAGGGACGGCCTCTTTGCAGCCACTGCAAAGAGAACAGTCTTATCTGTGTTTACAAGGAGGTACCACCACACAAACAAGAGAAGACTACACAACTGGTATTGGATCGGCTTGCCCAGATAGAGAACCGCATGGATGAACGAGACCACCGCATCGAGGAACGAGACAATCGCATGGAAGAACGAGACAATCGCATGGAGGAGCGGTTCGAAAAATTGCAAAAGCAAATACAAGAGCAAATGCTCAGAAAGCTGGCCCAAGAATCACCTCAGTTTGTCCAAGAACGGCTGACTCTCCCACCGCCACCACTGCCGGCCATCAAGCAGGACCCACCTCTCAAAACAGAGATGCCTCCGACCCAGGCGTCAACTCCAAACGTTCTGGATCCCGGGAGTCAGGATTTAGGCCCTTCGAAATATGGCCAACCGGTTGGAGCAATGGACCCGATGCTCGAGGACCAGAAGGAGGCCGAAGGAGAGCTCTCCATCCCAGTGGAGCACACCACTGCGGCTCACAAGCTATTGATGTGGCCGTCTATCAAAAGGCTACTCCACCCTGCATTATATGATGAGGATTATGTGATGCGGTTGGAGGAAGAACGCGGTCTGATCAGTATATACGGCCAAGGCGAGATCTCATTCACCGCCGACGACAGTGAGTTACCAATGGGCTCTAAGGATTCTCGATCCAGCGGGGCACGACCTGATGGGGATGGCGCGGGGCCAGATGCTGATGTCGACATCGACGAATTTGGTCACATGAAGCTGGATGCCACGACTGCAAAACGCTACTATGATAGCTACATCACACACATGTTTAAGCTTCACCCATTCCTTATGGAGGTCGAACTCGGTATCAAGGTTGATAGCTTCATTCGATGCTATTGTCCGCCTAGTAAATCACCGACTTCAGCTTCCAATCACACACGACTAGCTCGTGATGGTCCGCCACCAGCCAAAAGAAGGCGGTCAAACGAAAACTTGGGTGTTCGCGGCGAACCCATGGAGAATATCTCGAACCCGGTGCGCCCACGAGTCGGTAGAAATATCGATAATGTCTTGGTGATGCTGTGCATGGCCATCGGAGCTATCTGCGAAGCTGGTGCTCCTCTCCCTGGGCCTATCATGGACAAGGATATCGACTACCTCCGCCAGCCCATTCCTGCTCCGCTGCCACCATTTGTCTCCCCACCAACTGTAAATGGGACATATGTCACCAATGGGGTACTCTCCCCCGCAAACTCCGACTCGGCGGCCATGCCGGTGGCACTTACACATTCACTTTATGGTATGCCAATGCAGGCGAATAGCCAACCTTTCCCAACCGCTCCAGCGGAAAGACTACCGGGCCTGTCGAGAAGAGATGTGACACACTCAAAGGATACACAAGGCAACAAGAAGAACTACCAGGCCATCCCTGGCTTGACTCTGTACGGATACGCGACCGGAATATTGGGTAACCTGCAGGGTGGCAACGAGCTAGAACATGTCCAGTCCGGCTTGCTTGCTGGGCTTTATGCTGGCCAGCTTGCGCATCCTTTCCAGAGTCACAGTTGGATTTCTCAGGCCTCAAGGGCTTGTCAGGTGCTTGTGAGGAATAAGCGATATGAGCGACTCGAGGAGGGGCCTTTACAGGACTTGTACAACTTTGCGTACTGGACTTGTCTGCAATTGGAGAGCGATCTTCTCGCAGAGCTGGATATTCCGGCGAGTGGCATCTCCCGCTCCGAGGGCCGCATGGCTATTCCAAAAGGGAAATGGACACTCGTTCTACCAAACGACCTCAACGCACCCCAAACGATGATGATGTTGTTCTATTCTGCGCAAATCCATCTGCGCAAAGTCCTGAATCGAGTTCATACAGACTTGTACAAAGTCGAAAAGCAAGGCCAGACACGATGGTCATCCACCGTTCAAGAGGCACTAAGCCTGAATCTTGACCTCTGGCGTAAAAGCCTACCACAAAGCATGCAGTGGGAGGAAAACGACCCGCCGGCAAACGAAATCAACGCCGCTCGCATGCGTGCCAAATATTACGGTGCTCGGTATATTATTCACCGACCTCTTCTCTACCACGCACTGCATTACGGCCACACAGGTGCGCGCGTTGGTCCAGTCGGCCAATCTTTAGTCGACTCGCCGACCTCGCAACAATTATCCCCTTCGATGCTACATAGCGCTGTTCGAGCTCCGAACATGGCGCGTATGTCTAGTGACATGGGCTCTATGCCGGCTGCAGTCTCCACGGACTGGCAGCCCCCTAAAGTCCGTTTACAAGATCTGCCAAAGAAGCTGAAATCTGCCTGCGATATCTGCGTTAAATCAGCTATCAAGAGCACAGAGGCCTTTGACGGTGTAGGCGGACATCGATTGGTTGTCACGAACATTTTCGGCACTGCCCATGCGTAAGGACCCTTTGGCACCCGTTCAAATAAACACAGATATAGAGATAAGACTAACGCATTTTCTTCACAGGCAATTTGGCAATATGCTCGTCCTCTCTGCAACTTACATGTCAAGTCTCAAGGAGCTCGTCGATGCAGAACTACTCGAGCGCCTCCTCACACGCACAATAGGCTTCCTCATCCAAAGCGAAAATATATCCCCCACCCTCCGTGCCGATGCTCGCATTCTCACTGAGATCCACCGGAAGATCTTCGGTCGTGCTCCTGATATGGGGCATGCCACCAGCATGAGCAACCATACCACCAGCATGAGCTTCCCTTAAATGTGCATCTAGCATCAGAGTTATTATGTTTTAGTCCCCGTTCTTGTAGGCCTCGCAACCTGATATATGGTATCCTACATCCTTATGAACGCATCATGCATTGTCTTTGTCCCTCTTAGCCCGAGCTCTTCCGCACTCGACATCTGTTATCTGTCTGTCATCTATACCTTGTGCACTATACGGTTTACTATTTCTTTTTGTTCTTTTTTTCATTGATGATTCCCCAACCCTATCCAATTCAACACTCGGTATCCATGCATCTGATGCCAGATCAGATGACACGGGCTTTATACGCGATGGTTGATTGGTATGGCTTATTTTCATACGTCGAAAAATTTCACCTATTCTTTCAATGCCTCTCTTCAGGTCGTGACTAGATAGGGTTTGACTCGTTCCTTTTTTCCTTCTCTCTTCTTGCGTTTTGTTCATTGGGGCTGAAAGCATTTCGCGGCTTCGACGGTCTATCCCCGTGGAGATACGTCTCGGGAATGGAGTTACTGTGTTCTGTGTGCTCACTTTACATACATTGCATGAGTCTCACGTCATACATGTGTGTTGGCTCTTCTTTTTGAAAGCTCTTACAATATGTGAGCTTCTTTCTGCTGATTTGGCTGTGCCGATCATTTTCAGATACAATGTAAAGGTTTGCATTTCGTGTTGGCTTTTTATGTTTTGAATCCTACCACGTCTTCAGTGCAGACTGTATTTTGGGATTTTATTTGCTGTAAGAACTTTGAGTAGCTTTATATACGTGAACAGGGCTTGGATCAATTGAGATGAAGCCTGATATCGTTTATGTTATTGAATTGGAAATGGAAGCTTTAGGGCTCATGGACATGGATGGAACCTTGGGAATACGGTGGATCAGACCAACCTTAGATTCAAGTGGACCCTTACCCCATGGGTTCCAAGGTTCCTCTCGGGCCGATATCAAACTTCAAAGTTGAACTACGAGAATACATCAGGCGATGGGGCATATGCCTGAAGAATCACAGAGAGACCAACGTGCTGCTCGCGGGCCTCGGCTTCCCCGCATTTTGCTTAGGGGTTGATCTAGAGACACGAGTCAGCTTACTATGTACGGAATAGATGGTGTACAAATAGACATTATCTTGCAGCTCTCCCGATGTCCATGGGTCCAGCTTCTGATGTCTTGAGTAAAAACATATCTCTACTTCAATCCTGATATGGCGCCAAATGCAAGGAGATGGCTCTCGAGAGAGGGTATCGACCCCTATTCCTATCACAACCAGCCAATGCTAACGGACAACCTCAGGCTTCACGGCTGATGTACTAGGAGACTTCATCTCCCGGAGTCTCCTAGACCCCTGGAAATTACTCCCAATTATTGCTCTGGCCCATTACACAGCCCAAGGCCGTGATATTACCAAATCACGCCCAAATCTTTACAAGGCCCTCAAAGTCCTAGCAGCCCAAAGTCTTATCAACCGGGTAAACAACTGGCTCGACCATCGCACACTAAACAACAGCATCGGCGACACATTTGACTGGCACCGCGAAGTTGTAATCCTAACAGGGGGCAGCAACGGAATCGGCCGACGCATCGCCGAGCTACTCGGGGCACGCGATATCAAAGTCGCCATCCTGGACATTGCCCCTCCAGCAACCGACGAGGTGCTTCCCAACAGCGTGCGCTATTACGAATGCGATATAACCTCTGCGAGCAACATCGCAGACGTAGCGTCTAAAGTCCGCGCCTCATTTGGCAGGCCCAGTATCCTAATCAACAACGCGGGCATTTGCACCGGCAAAACAATACTCAAAACCACCCCAGCCCAGACGCGCCGCATGTTCGAAGTCAACACGCTCGCTCATTACTGGCTAGCGCAGGAGTTCCTACCCGATATGATCGAAGCGAACCATGGTATGGTTGTCACTGTTGCTTCGCAGGCGGGATACACTGTCACGCCTAATATGGTCGATTACTCGGGATCCAAGGCTGCGGCTATTGCTTTCCATGAAGGACTTGGTGCCGAGCTGGTTACGCGCTACCATGCGCCGAAAATTCGCACTGTGCTTGTTACCCAGGGCTTTACTAGGACCAATCTTATTAAGGACCTGACCCCTGAGGATACTTGGTTTAATCCCCTGCTGCACCCTGAGACTGTTGCTGAGGAGCTTGTTGAGCAAGTGCTCAAGGCTGAGAGTGGACATGTTGTTATCCCTGCCTCTACTGGGTGGATGGCAAAGAGATTCAGGGGGCTGCCTGCATGGTTACAGCACTCGTTGAGGTGTAAGTTGGAGAAGTTGATGAGGGCTGATTAGGGTTGTGGTTGTTTTTAATACATGCGGCTGTGTCTGTGGTATTATTTGGTGTGTTCATGCATATATTTGCACTTTTATTGTCAATAATAGGAAATTGGACATACTGTTTTTGGTTGCTAGCGAGTACAGCTAGCAAAGGACTGTCATTGCATTGAAACGTACTCTGTACTCGAAGTTGGAGGGTAAGTACGGAGTAGACTTGTACCAAATGACTTTCCCCCCTCTCCAGATGTATATCTGAGGTACGGAGTACAGAGACCGTCTTCACTGGACTCCGTATAGATGGCTGGGATGTGAAGAAGTGACGGAATAGTCCCAGCCCCATGTTGGCCCGTGCACGATGCTTCACCGCGATTTTGATTCGCTCCACTTGTTGCACCGACAGTTCATCAGCGCTGTCAATCACATTTTTCACTGTCGCATTTTTTTTCCCCAGCAGATCATCTGCGTTTCCCTAACACACAGATTTCATCCGATCTTCGATACCAAAGTAAGAAAACAAGGTGAAGTTAAGCGCCATAGGGTCAAGTTGAGATCCACTGGGGGCCTTTCCCGGGTACAAGATCCACGGGTCAGCTCCGTTGTTTACTCCCCTCCCCAAACCCATAACATTCGCATTCTTTCTAACAACTAACACTTCCCGATTCATTTACCCCCATCATTCCAATCATTACATTCCTTTCATTCCACATGGTTTACTCTGGCTACCCTCATTAATTGCCCACCATGTTCAAGGCCCTAATGGGCGGGGGCCGTTCGTCTTCCGACGTTCGCAGCAGCTCCAAGAGCAGCCGGCGCAAGTCCGAAAAGCTCGATAAATATGACACAAGATCGATCTCAAGTCGCAAGTCTTCACGGGGTGACGACCGTGAGCGTGGCCTGGGTGACTTGTCGTCTTATCCACCCTCGACTTCGCGCAGTAAGCGCGGCCCAACTAGCATCGCCGGCGACTCCATCGCATCAAGCTATGTGACCGCTGAGCCAGAAGCCATTGATGATTCCAATAGCTACTACGTTGAACGCACACCCAAACGCAGAGACAGTGATAGGGAAAGCAAGAGTTATCGTCGGCGCGACCAGGACCGATCCGAGAGTCCAGAGCGCGAGAAGAGAAGGAGCCGCCGAAAAACACAAGATACTCTGGATTATGACTTGGATCGCGAGCGCTCTCGCACTCAGCCAGGGGATCCGCATGTGCCCCAATTTCCCACAAACATGCCGTCTAGCGCCCCCGGCGCGCAGTTTGCCGCCGAGATTGGCGCCCCCGGGTTCTCACAATTCCCCATGCAATACGACACTGGGATACCATCTGCAGGCCATTCGCCAGCGCATGAAGTCTCATACGACCCCCACGTGCAGCACCAATTTCCCGGTCAGTTCCCAGAGCAAAGTACTGCACCGTATCCGCCGCCTAACCCCGCCGGCGCTGCGGCGGACTACTATGGCGACCAAGGCCAATCTGTTGAGCACCAGCCCGGTATTCGACCGGCTCCTCCAAGCGTGCTTCCTAACACTCAAGCGCACTTGATGGCAGCATCTCCATCGGCTAACCCACCTCCAGAGCCCAGTAGCCTGGGTGAGACCGGTGCTGCGGCGGCCTATTTCGACGATAGTTTCCATGTTCCGACACAGCAAGATCAGCCACCAGCAGTGTCTTCACCTAGACCCCCGAAGCCACCTAAGCCTTCGAGCCCCCAAAGCCTTCTTCATCGGGTGTTCTTCCTGCTGCCGCTTTTGGAGCTGCCGCTTATGGTATTGGTGGTATAATGTCTCACTCTGATTCGCATTCCGCTGCGCAGCACACTACTCCCTACATTCACCAGGGCCAGCCAGTGGCACACAACCAGTCAATGGGATACGATCAGCCAATGGCAAGCTTCAGCCACCAGCCTCCCTCCAAGCCGTCTCACTCTCATAGCTTCAGTGAAGGTGTCGGTATTGCAGCCGCAGGCGCAGCAACAGGGTACATGATGGGTCACCACCATCACTCCTCCAGCCCCGAGCACGCACCACAATACGCCTTCCAGCACCATGGTCCACCTTCTCAAGCTGGTGGTATGCTACCGTATGCCCCTGGCCACAATAATGCTTTGTATCCTGCAGGCGCGGGAGGATACGCTGCCCAGGCTGCCTACAACCCGGGGTTCTATCCTCATGGACCTAGCGCGCTAGCCTTCCAAGAGCGCCAGCGTGGGCCCATGGGAAGATTCGTTGATTTCTGGCGGGATCCCGAGGCTGTTGGAAGATTTGAGGACTACACGGAAACTATCGGTGTGTGCAAATACTGTTTCCAACCAGGCACGACCTCCGCCGATGCCCCTCGCAAGCACCATTATCACAGCCGCCGCCGACACTCCGACGATCGACGGAGCAGTGCCAGCTCCAGAGTCAGCAAAAATAGTCGATACAATTCTTCCGAAGATGAGAGCCGCCGACGATCCAAGTCCAAGAAATCTTCCTCGTGGCTGCCAGGCATGCTAGCTGGTTATGCGACCAAGTCGCTCTTCTCGAGCAAGGAATTTGATGATTCTTACAGCCTTCGCTCCGGCCGAGTGAGCTCCTCCCACGGGGAAGAAGATGACCGAAGAAGTCATACCTCTCGTGGTGTGACCCGTCGTTCGGGCCGCAGTCCCCACAGAGAACATTACGTAGACTCTAAGCATGCGTCTCATTCTAGACAGTCTCGGTATACCCGCTCCCGGTCGAGATCTTCCTCTCGATCTGGCCGGCATTCTTATCTGAAAGAAGCTGCACTCGGTGCCGCAGTGGGTGGGGCTGCTCTGGCTGTTTCAAAGTCGCGTAACCGCTCCCGGAGTCGTTCGCCTGGAATACGACAGAGCCGAAAGGATTCATCCTCATCATCATCCTTCGTCAATCTGCCCAGGCCAGGCAAGAAATCTATTGCTGGTGGTATCGGATCTTTCTTTACTGCTTCTTCCGAGAATAGGAAGAAGCGCCATACCAAGAAGCGGAGCGGTTTCTTCTCTTTCAAGAGTGGCTCTTCATCCTCTTCATTGGACAATGATCTTGCCTTCGGATATGGATTTTCAAAGAAGCCCTCCAAGGTTAAGAGGAAGGGCAAGAAAGGCCAAGACGTCGATACCGCCCTGCAAGAACTCAGCGACACCGCAAACCGATTAGCTGGCTCCTCGCCCCACGGTCCCGGTCGCACCGCGGGCCAGATGTACACAGCACGGCCTCGACAGTCTAAATACGCGCATTCCACCACGCAGGACGAAGAATGGGTTGATGCAGAGTCGGAGGACCAGTCTTCTTCAAGTATTAGTTCTGGGCTCGCGTTCGGAGGAAGCAGCGCTGAGCTTTCTTCTGACTCCGCCAGCAGCAAGTGGGGCTGGAGATGGGGAAGCAGGAAGGACAAAAAGAAGAACAAGCGCTCGAGTGCCACGAATGCCGCCCTGGCAGCTGGCGCTGGCGTTATAGGAGCTGCTGCCATTTCTTCTGCCCGTCAACATAATAGCGATCCCCCGAGTAGATCTGGGAGCTTGCAACAAGTTCACCCAATGCCTACTTCTGACCCTTCTCGCTTCGATGTTGCGAAGGTGTCCCCATCTGTATCTGCTGGGGAGCCAACCCTCATTCGCCCGGGACCCATCCCCCTCCAGCAGCCTCAGCCTTTCACCCCAGTGTCCCAAGCAGTGTACACTACCCAGGGAGCTGTGCCAGGATCAGTGCCTGTGTACAGTGCCCCGGCAGTCCCAGTAGTGCCGCCTTTCTTCGTCAATGGAGTTGAACACTACGACCCGCGGTTCCAAGGCCCTCGTGATCCAGCATGGGCATCAGAAGAGCCAACATATGTCGACCACCGGAGACCTTATCGCAGTGACTCTTCTCCCGTTTTCCCCACCCAAGAGACTGCTTCCAGCCTCAAGCGCCGGTCCACCGCTAAGGACCAAGCCTCTGTGCAATTCAACTTGACGGAAGAGCAAGCAGAGAGGGAACGCCATCTTATCCGTCGTGATAAAAACTCCCGCGGTGATTATCAACCGGTCCAGCTGATTGACCGAGAGGAAGAGCTGGCTCACAAGGAAACCGAGCGTCGAGAGCGCCGCCGAAAGGAGCGTGAGGATGAAGAGAGCCGGTACACCGACGACAAGGAAAAGGGCGCATCCTGGGTTGGCGCAGCGGCTGCTGGAGCTGCGGGCGCAGCTGCTGCCAGCACTATCCTCTCTCGCAAAACAGACGATGACGAAGCCTCTGAGGCCAGTCAGCGATACAACGAACGCCGAGAGAAACGCCGCGCTGAGCGAAAGCGCGATGTGGATACGATGCCAGATACTTCAATCGTGTCGCGGTTCGAGCCTATTGACGAGAAAGTGACCACGGTGGAACCTCGCGAAGACCAGACAAAAGTGTCTCCTCGATCTCCTCGTCCAGCACCTGTCTACTACGACTACGCAAAATTTTACGCTCCGGAGGAGATACGACACAGTGGAGATGATCATGCTCACAGCCACGACTCCACCAATGTGCCAACAATTGTGGAGATAGAGCCCGCTAGCGAGCAACGTAAGCACGAGGAGCCTGCACCTGCAGAGCTAGACTATTCATATGAACCCTATCAACACGTGGATCGGCTCCCATGGCCAGTCCCCGGGCTCAACTTCATTGAGCCAACTCCTCCCCAGAGCGTGCACGATGGCTCCGTACGCGACGCTACCTCCCCAACCGTCCCAGTAACCAAATCTTATGATACCAAGCCCCGCGAACGACCAACGGGCTCGCGGGTCTCCTGGGGCGAACATGAAACCCATGAATATGAAATCCCTTCTTCCTCTGAACAGGATCCTCTTGAGCATGACATCTCCCCTAGCGAAATTTCAGCCAAGGATGTGCCTCTCCCAGCATCTGAGATATCCCAAACCAAGGGTATCCCTAGCAAACCGGAGTACGGTGCCGACATTGAATTCGCTGCCACAATCGCGGCTGCAACCGCCGCAGCTGGATTCGACCCCACTCTGATCACAAACGATCCATCCTACCACACCCGCACTTCGCCCCCTGGGTCGGAGGATGAACACACATTCAACTCACCCTGGTCTACATCGGCTCGGAAGAATCCCCATGGGTTCGTTGAGGGCGAACTCGAAGAAATTGACCCCAAGTCCACGAAGGATATTGCTCCCGCTGAGGAGCCCGCGGTTCATAGCAAAGAAGAGCCTTTCTCCGATGAGCTCTTCTCAAGAGATCGGGATATTTCCTCGGGGCGTCGTGACAAATCATCCATTGCACAGGAGGTAATTGAGCAACTGAATGGCAAATATGGCAAGCGTGATCGTACCGCTTCCCCCGAAAAAGACGCAGATGTCTTCTCAATGCCTGGTGGCTTTGACACAGCGGACCCTAGAGAGTTGGTTGACGATAGATCCGCTGTCTCGGCGCCGACGCCTGGTGCCATGGATCCAGAAACCCCGACCAAGTCCGAGTCTAAGAAGTCGAGACGGAGTGGCGATGTCTTTGATCTCCCCGAGTTCCAAGAGCGGGAACTCGCCAAGTCTCCTGGTTTGAACGATGGGACATCGAAGTCTCGTAAGTCCCGGCGTAGCGGCGACGACTTTGAGATTTACGAGTCACGGGAGGCATCCCCATCTCGGGATGACTCTTATTCTGTTGTCTCTGCTCCCGTTTCAAAGGACGAAACATCCAAGTCAAAGTCCAGGAAGTCCACGAGGAGTGGGGATGACTTCGGCATTGTTGACTACCCGGAGTCAGTGGTTCCTGAGTCTCGTGATGATTCATTCTCTGTTATCTCTACTCCTATTTCAAAGGACGAGACATCCAAGTCCAAGTCCCGCAAATCTCGACGGAGCGGTGACGACTTCGAGATCTACGAGTCCCGCGAACCATCTGAACCTCGGGATGACATTCGCTCGACTACCTCTACTCCTGCTGGCAAAGAGTATGAGTCGTCCAAGTCAGAAAAGTCGAGACGCAGTGGGGATGAATATGATATTCCTGTATCACGAGAGGTCTCCGACTTTCGCGATGACAACCGGTCTGTCTTCTCTGTACCAGTTTCGAAAGATGAGACCAGCAGATCTCGCCGGTCTCGACGCAGCGGAGATGACTTTGCTATATCCGCATCGCGGGATGTGTCCGAGTCTCGTGATGAGTCTCGTTCTGTCGTCTCCGAATCAGCAAAATCTAGAAAGTCTCGTCGCAACGGCGATGATTTTGATCCACGTCGTGATGCTGAAGCTGTTCATGACGGCGAGGAAGGTGGGGAGGAGAAGAAGAGACGACGCAAGCGTCGATCCAAGCATGAAAGTGACCCCTTCACTGCTGATGATGATACCCGCTCTGCCATCACGGACATTGGAGACGACAATTCTGAGCGTCGCAAGCATCGTCACCGGTCTTCCCGGGAAGCCGACTTTGATGACAATGCCTCTGTAACCTCTTCTCCAGCTCGGATTGACGAATCCCGGGAGAAGCGCCGAGGCAAGGATGAGAAAGAAAAGAGCGGTGGCTTCTTGAGAAGTATTTTCGGCTCGCAGGTATCAGAGCCAGCTGAGCGTGTTCGGTCAGACCATTCTCGCTCTTCCTCGCTGGACAAACGATCATCCCGCGAAGCCGTATCTGAAGCTGGTGTGGATGATGCACGCCGTCGCCATAAGAAGCGTTCTTCAAAGCACCGCAGCTCCAGCAATGGAGATGAACTGGATCGCTATATGGCGGACAAGGAAAAAGGTCAGGATGACCCAAATCTGGAGGAGTACAGGTCCAGTAGACAGCAAAAGGAAGAGCGGCGTCGGCATCGGTACGAGGAAATCGTGGATTCAGGAAGGAAACGGGAATCTGAGAAGGTATAGCATCTGAACTTTTCTTTTACTTACTTATGTTGTGATTTTGGTTGTACATTTTATTGTGCCATATAGTTGCCCTTTTTCGCTGGTTGATCTAACCAGCTTGCACAAAAACCACAAAACCCGAACAAAAAAAGAAATGTACTAAGCTTTTATTGGTTTTATTCCGTGCAGGACTATAGTGACAACTTTGACGAAGAATCTCTCCTGAGGGCGCGCCCTGAAATTCTAGCAGAGCGTGAAAATTACGCTTCGTGGCTTCCAGCATCAGCGGATAGCGCAGCTGTACTCGCTGCAACATCCGGGCTGAATGAGATTTCGCAGAGACCCCGGAGCCACTCAGCCTCTCCCCCAGCCACAGAGAAGACACTTGACTTGACCCCAAAGTCTCTGAGCCGCCCCGCTTCACCTGAAACAAGCCACCCCCAGGGGTCCCGATCCCCCAAGCAACGCCGACACTCCGTGGCCAAGTCCACCATCGAATCACCTACAGCCGTGCCTCTCCACTTCCGCCGGCCCCCAACTTCCCCAGGCCTTACGCGCGCAGTCCCCGTTGAACAATCTGCCCCTATCACTTCCCCAGGCTCCCCAAGCCATCAACGCAATCGCCGGCCCGGGTCATCCGAGTTCCGAAACTCGCGCGAGATCCGCCCTCTATGGCTTGTCGAGCGCCATGGTCTGATCAAGGGCGAGCCCGAGGTCGAGGATCCCTTGCCATCGCTCCCATCTAGCAAGAACTCCTCCCGCGTGCCATCAGTAGAGGACCTGAAAGCCCTTCGCGACGACGACGGCCTTAAGAGCTGGGAGCATGTAGACCTGAGCCACTCAATTATGGAGAATCAGAGGCCGACCGGTCTGACTATTTCCACTGACCATGCAAACGAAACCCATGATAGAGACCTTGATCTCCTCGGCTCTCAGCAGCCCACACCTACCGCTGAACACTTCCACAACGCAAATCCAAGGAAGGAGAGGCCCAGGTACGAATTCCACTCTCCCTCTGAGCTCCTGCGGGACCCCGCTGTTCTAGATGAGTTGCCTCCTTCACCCACGCTCGATGCTCTGCCTTCTGCTGAGGGCTCCATGGTTGGCATTAGCTCCAGGGAGCAAGAGACGCAGCGTGCTCTTGACGCTCTCGAGGGAGTTTCCCGCCCTCGGCATGAGAGGGAAACCCCAACCCAAGAGAAGAATTCCGTCTTCAGCGGCGCTGCGGACTTCGTCAAGGCCGCTGGTTTTGCCGGTGTTGTCGATGCAGCTGCCATTGCCGCTACCAGGGAGCAAGATGAGTCTCGCTCCTTGCCTGCAGATGAACCTGCCAAGGTCCATGGCTTCAGCGATATTGTCGATGCAGCGGTTGCCGCCGATGATTCCTCTCACAACCATGACAGGTTACCTGTCAATGAGGATGCGCCCACTGAGCCCGTTTCCGCTATCGAAGAGAATGCACCCGCTGCGCTTGAGCCCGTGTACCCAGAGACGGGTACAGCCAGGGAATTTGTTACTGGAACGACTGAACAGCCTGCTGAGTCTTCCGATCCTCAAACCCAGCCAGAGACAGATGCCGTTGCCGATGAGAGCGCAGCTACCCAGTCTTCTAAGGAAAAAGACAAGAAAAAGAAGGCCAAGGAAACCCAGGCCCTAAGTGCGGATTCCGGAGCCCCTGAGGAGCTGCCCGCGCAGAAAGATTTGTCCCAGGATTTGGTGCAGACCCCCTTGGTCGGCGAGCCTGAGGAAGAAGCTGTTTCTACTGAGCCTGAGGTTGGTCTTCCTAAGCAACTTGAGCCTGAGCCTGTTGAGACATCCCGTGAGCTTGGACCTGGGCCCGTGGTAGAAGCTGCTCCTCTCGTTACCGCGCCTGTCAAAAGCGCTCTGGTCGAGCATGATGTTGTCGTTCCCCAGAAATCTGAGGCTGAGCCTATCGAGGCCCCCCGTGAGCTTGATGCTGAGCCCTTGGTTGCAGCAACTCAAGAACCAGAAGTTGCCACTGCCCCTGAATCCGAACCTACTCAGGTGACCCCTACGGAAAATGAGGAGACCGAGGACAATGCATCATCGACTAAAAAGGCCAAGCGCGACAAGAAGAAGCAGAAGAAGAAGTCTAAAAACGCATCTGCTACTGAAGAACCTGCAGATGATACGGCCGCTGCTCAGCCCCAGGATGATACTTCTGCCTCTAGGGAGATTGTGGGCCAACAAGAAGACAAAGCACCTGCGCCTACCGAAGAGCTTGAGACTGCACCTTTGCCAGATGCGATTGCTATTCCAACTGGACTCCTTGAGAGCTCTCCTGACCAGATTGTGACCCAATCAGCTGCTACTGATGCAGAGCAGGCTCGAAGCCAGCAAGAATTGGAAGAGCTGATTCAGCCTGTGGATCAGGTATCTACTGAAGAATCTGTTCTACCTGTTTCTGAAAATCCCAGTCCACCCGTTCAGGAAGAGCAGACTCCAGACCTTGTTTTCACCGATGCCAATGAAAGTCAAATTCCCGGTGCAGATCAACCAGAACCGGAGGAACTTTCTCGCAGCTTGGAACATATTGAAGAACCAACTGAGCAGTCTACTCCGGGGGCCTCTCTTGATTACACCACCCCTAAAAGTCCTGAAACACCCAAAGAAGACACTGAAGGCGAAGACACCTTCGAAGAGGCCGTGGAAGAACAGATTCCACAGCCAGCCGAAGAGAAAGAGCCCGCACCTGAGCCTCCCGTCGAAGTGGCTGCAGATTCCCCTGCAGAGGCTTCGGAAACTAAAGCCGAGAAGCGGAAAAACAAGAAAAAGAAAAATCGCAAATCCACTACCGTCGAGGAATCTGAGATTCCTGCTGAACCGCCCGCCCCCGAGACTGGATCCCAGCCGGAGGGCAACGAGCCTGAACTTGAGCAATCAGCTGGTGTCGATCCTACGGATACCCAATCCCCTCCAATTGGCGGTGAAGCCTTACCTTCTGATCTTGAACATCTTCAACAGCCCGCCAAGGATGTTGACCAACCCCTCGAACCCACCGTTGAAGAGCCTGCAGCTACCCAAGGGCAGGAACAAGTCCCATTGGAGGCCGATATGGATGTAACACCTGTCACGACCGGGCCATTGGAGCCCGCGGGGCCATCCAATGAACTGTCAGAGTCAGCTGTCGTCGAGGATCAGCAGAACACCGAATTCCCAGATGCTGTCGAGGAAGCCTGTCGCGAAACCCCAAAGCCTTCTGCTGTTGAGACTCAACCCGAGGCTGAAGTTCAATCTGAACCTCAACCCGAAGTTGAAGCCGAGCCTGAAGTCGCCATGACTGCGGCCGAGAAGAAAAAGGCCAAGAAGAATAAAAAGAAGAAGGGTAAGCAGGGCGAATCTTCGATACCTGAGGATGAGAAGCCTGCTGAGTCTACTTCGCTGGCACCTGGAATTGAGACTGCCGCTGAGAACATGATCAAGGAAGACCCTCTTGCTACTGAAGAGACACCAGCAGATGCGCCTCAGCAAGAAAGCGAGATGAAGCTCCCCGTCGAGGTCGCTCAATTGCCCGAAGCCGCGCAACTTTCCGAGCCTGAGAAAATTTCAGAGGTTGTGCCGCGAGAGGAAGAACGGTCTTCTAGCCCTCTTCCGGAACAAATGGCAGAGACAACAGATGCAGAGGCAATTCAAGAAGAGCCCATTGCACCAGAGGAGGTGCCTAAGGCCGAAGAACCTGCTGCCGAGCCGGAGGTACCTATGAGCGCCGCGGAGAGGAAGAAGGCTAAGAAGGCGAAGAAGAAGCAGCAGCACAAGGAGCAGGAAGACAGTATTGGCTCTATTCCTGAACTTGTTGAGTCCGTTGAGCCCGCTGAGCCCGCGCCTGCGCCCGATGTTGAATCCACCGAGCCAAGCAAGGATACTGCGCCTGTTGCGGAAATTAATGATGTTACTCCAGCGGACTTGTCTGCACCTGCGTCTTCCGATCCTGCTGAGGCTGAACCGGATGTTGCGCTTACATCTACAAATGAGCCCGAGGCGGCTCCAATCACTGAAGATACTCTTCTGCCAATCAATAATGAGCCTATCGAGCTAACGAAAGACATTAATCCTTCCTCTGAGGCCGATGCTCCGGTAGAAGATAATGCTCTATCGTCTCAGATTGAGGCCACCGAAGCTGTCGCAGATGTCCCGCTCGTGTCGGAAGACGCCAGTGCTCCTATCCAACAGGACGACGCCTTTAAGGCAGATGAGCCAAAAACCGAGGACACAGCCATTGCGTCGACAGAAGAACCTTCGACTGATGCCGCGGAGATCGATGGTCCCAAGGCACAGGAACAATCTCTTGAACACGAGGTTCCAATGACTGCTGCCGAGAGAAAAAAGGCTAAGAAAAACAAGAAGAAACAACAGAAGCAAGAGTCCGTGCAGCTTGATGACCAGGCCACGCGTGAGATGGAGCCTACTTCCACCAAGGAACAGAGTGGTGACACTTTGCCCGAGAATGGGGCCTCTCCCACGGGAGAAGCTGTTTTGGGTGTTGATGAGCCCTCAAAGCCTGAGGCAGTCCACGGTCTTGAAGCTGAGCCCAAGTTTGAACAGGAAGCACCGCAGGATGTTGCAATTCTTGACTCCGAACTTGCCCCCAGGGCACCCGCAGACGAGGACATTTCCATCACGGAGATTGCTGAACACGCTGTTGATGTTCAAGGCGGGGACAAGGAAATCGCCTCAGAGCCTACGATCGAAGTTGCTTCTACGGAAGAGCCGCAGGAAGAACAAAATCTTGGTTTACCCATCAGCGAGGAGCCTGTCTTGGACAAGTCTTTCGATGACAAGCCTGCAGAGTCTGTGTCAGAGCCAGTTGTGGAGGAGACTCAGCCTGCGGAGTCCACAGAAAGCCCGGTAGTGGAGCAGGCTGAAGATGAGCAGTCGGCAACTTCTTCCAAGTCGAAGAAAAAGAAGAAGAACAAGAAGAATCGGCAATCAGTCGCCGCTGAAGAGGGTCAGCCTGAGCCCACTGAGGAGGAATCCAAGGTTGACCCCCCAGAGGAAGAGGTTAAGCTTGCTCCCGCCGAAGAGGATCCCATAATTGTGCCCGCTGAGAGTGAACCCACCGAACTAGCACCACCTCAAGAGCCGCAGCAGGCTTCTTCCAACAGAGATGTAGATACTCTTATTGTGGCGGAAGAGACGCCTAAGGCCGAAGAAACCACGCCGGTTGAGACCCCTGCAAATGATTCTGTCGATGCCGTCATTGAGACCCCCGAAGATGCATCGATGACTCCTGCTCAGAAACGGAAGGCTAAGAAAGACAAGAAAAAGCGCCAATCCGTTATTGCTGAAGATGAGCAGGCCGCGCCCGCTGAGGAAGAGCCTACACCTGTGTCTGTTGAGAGTGAAGCCACCGAACCAGCACCACCTCAAGAGCTTGAACAGGCTTCTCCCAATAAAGATGCAGATGCATCTATTTTGGCGGAAGAGGCGCCTAAGGCCGAAGAGCCCTCTCCGGCAGAGACCCAAGAGCTAGAGGCTCCTACTGATGGCCCTGTCGATTCAGCCGCAACCGAGGCCACTGAAGAGGCATTGATGACTCCGGCTCAGAAGCGGAAGGCCAAGAAAGACAAGAAAAAGCGCCAGTCAGTTGCAGCTGAACAGGAGCAATCTACACCCGCTGAGGAAGAGGTTAAGCTTGCACCCACAGAAGATGAGCCTACACCTGTGCCTGCTGATGGTGAATCCGCTGAACCAGCACCACCTCAAGAGCTTGAACCGCCTTTCCCCAACCAAGCTGCAGAGGCCACTATTCTGACTGAAGAGGCGCCAAAGACCGATCCCTCCCTAGAAGAGACTTTGCAGCCAGAGGCCTCTGCCGATGTAGTTGCCACTGAAGCAGCTGACGAGGCATCAATGACTCCTGCTCAGAAACGGAAGGCCAAGAGAGATAAGAAAAAGCGCCAATCCGTTGTTACCGAAGAGGAACAATCTGCGCCTCTTGAGGAGCCCAAGCCTGAGCCAGTTGAGGAAGCGGTCAAACCCGAACCAGCCGAAGAGGAGCCCGCGCCTGAATCCGCACAGAGGGAGCTTACTGAGCCTACCTTGGCTTCGGAAACTGAACTGACCACTGCCGAAAAAGACGCACAGCCTCCTATTCTAACGGAACAAGCGCCCAATGTCGGACAGCTATCTTTGGAAGCGAATCCTCAGCCAGAGCCCTCGGCCGATGCAGCTGCCACCGGGCCTACCGAAGAGGCATCAATGACTCCAGCTCAGAAGAGGAAGGCCAAGAAAGATAAAAAAAGCGCCAGTCAGCTGTCGCTGAAGAGGAACAGCCTACAACTGTTGAGAAGTCTAAGCCTATCGAGGATTCTAAGCCTGAATCTACTTTGGAAGAGCCCACTGAGCCTGTGTCGATTCAAGAATCCGAACAGCCAGCTGTCGACCAAGACGTGCAGCCTCCTATCATGATGGAAGAAGCACCCAAGACCGAAGAGCCCTTTCCCGAAGGGGTCAAACAGCATGATACCCCTGCTGATGCAGCTGCTACCGAGGCCGGTGCGGAGGAGACAATGACTGCCGCACAGAAAAAGAAGGCCAAGAAGGACAAGAAGAAGCAACGCAAGTCTGTTGCTTTTGGCGATGATGTCACACTGGCTGAAGAGCTGAATCCGGACCTGAATCCAGAGCAAGATTCGCCTGCCCCTGAAGACAAGGTTGAATCTCAAGATGCTCCGGCGGAGGTTATCCCCGAAGAATCAGTAAAGGAGTTACCAGCTACCGAAGAAGGCCCTGAGCCTGGTGCTGAAGGGGAAGTATTGGAAAAGACAGAAGAACCCGCCTCTGAACAAAACAAGCAGGTCGCCGAGCATGAACCAGCCTCAGCTGCTGCACCTGGTGCCATTCCCACTGAAGTGGAGGATACAAAGTCCACAGCGGAGTTGCCAGAGCAGCCGGAACAAGAGGTCCAGACTCCCTCGGAGCCCCAGTCGCCGAGTCCACAAGAACCCGAAGTTGCCTTGACTGCAGCGCAAAAAAGAAGGCAAAGAAGAATAAGAAGAAGGGCAAGTCTGTGGAGTCAGTCGGCGACGCCCCCGCTGCCACCGACACAGCACAGAATCCGGAGCCTAAACTCGAGCCCATTGTTCAATTTTCGACCGATGCTCCGGCTGAGACCCCAGAAATTCCGGAGCAGGAAAATACAATCGAGTCCGAGGCTCCCAAGGCGGAGGACCTCGAAACAACCATCGCATCCGACAGTGTACTAAAAGAGGAGACCCCTCACATTGAGGAGACCGACAATAAACCTCCTACCACTGAAGCGATCGTCGACGCCGAGCCAACATCCTCCCAGGAAGTAGAGGCGGTTGCTCCTCCTCCTGCTCCGCCGACCGAAGAAGAAGCTGGCATGTCAGCCAAGGAGCGACGTAAAGCTGCCAAAAAAGCGAAAAAACGCCAGTCCAAGAATACCGACGCCGATAATGACGCCGCAACATCCGATTCGCCTTCTGCCCCGGTGACCGAGCCTGCTACACCCACTGAAGCGGATAACAGCGTCGAAATGGTCCTCACCTCCACGGACACAGACGCCCCTGGACTATCAGCCGTACCGGCGTCCTCGCCTGCGGAACATGACGGTAAAGAACATCAGTCCCACGCCATAGATACTTACGACGCCACGGCGCAAGATACGGCCTCGACTGATAAATACATGTCTTCGCAGGTAGAGCAGACGCCGATAGAGAGTCCTTTTTTAGATTATCCTCCCCAGCCCGTGCTTGAGCGTTCAGTTGATTCCGGCGAGCTGGTGGAGGGAACTATTCAGCAGGAGGGTGATGTCGCCCCAACTGTACAGGAGCCAGAAGGGAAGTTGATTGAGCCTGCACCCCTTGAGGAGATACACACAAGTGTTGATGGTGAGAATGTTGAGGAGAAATCGTCTGTGCCGGAAGCAGCCGATCTCCTCGTGGAAAAAGATACCGAAGAGACGCCTGTAGATGTGGCGATTGATGTTGTTCCTGGCATACAGGCACAGAAATCTTATGTGGGGGAGGAGGCTCCTGGGACGGCCACCTCGAAAAAGCAGAAGAAAAAGAACAAGAACAAGATCAAAAACAAAAATCAAGAGGAAGAAGCTGCAGCCCCTGAACTCGAGCACTCTGCTACAGAGGGAAAAGAGGAACCCGGAGCGGCATCTTTGGTCGAGGCCGAGCCCCAGCCAGAAGTAAAGGAGCTCACTGAGCATGAGGCTATTGCCGAGAGCGAACCAGCGCTAGCTACAGAGGGAAAAGAGGAATCCCAAGCTGCATCTTTGGTCGAGGCCCAGCCAGAAGGAAAGGAGCTCACTGAGCATGAGGCTATTGCCGAGAGCGAACCAGCGCTAGCTACAGAGGAGCAACTGGTGGATTGCCCGCAGGGCATCGAAGAGGCTGCCGCTGCCCATACTGATAACACTGAAGAAATCAATACCCCGGAAATCGAGGCCGTTGCTCCTCCTGCTGAAGAGCTAGAAACATCCGCTGTTTCAAAGAAAAAGAGCAAGAAGGACAAGAAGAAGCAACGCCAATCGCTTCTTGCTCAACAAACCGGAGCTGAGCTCCAGCCCGAGGAACAGCCAGCGCCCAAGGAGGCTGGAACTTCTGTTCAACTGGCTGAGACTGCAACGGAGTCAACGCCTACCGAGATTGTAACGCAAGACAAGCCTCTGACAAGCACAGAGGAGCCTACGGTGCAGCTTGTTGATACCATCGAGGATGCCGCCAAGGACCTTGTGGCGCCATCTGAAGACACCGAACATGTTCCAAGCCAAGAGATTGAAAGCGAAGAGCGGTCTTTTGAACATCCATTCACTGAATCGAAGATCGAGGACCTAAATAAGGCGGTCGAGGAAGCTGCCGAACCCCCGGCAGAGATCTCAGATGACAAGCACCCTAGCGAACAAGTGCCACTCGAAGCCGCCACTGAGCCCAAAGGGGAATCAGCGACTGTCCGCATGAAGATGACCAAGAAAGAGAAAAAGGCCGCTGCCGCTGCCACCCTTCTGGAGAAAGAAAAGTCCGTCGAGTCACAGCCTGAACTCGAGGAGCCCTCGACCAGTATTTTCCAAGCCCCGGAGAAAGTAACAGAGCAGTCTATCGTCCAAGAAGAGACTAAGGATGCGCCTCAATCTGAGACAGAGAAAAGTCTCGACAAAACGATAGGATTGACAACTTCCGAACCGAAGGAAGATGCCTCGGAGCAGCTTGTTGAAGCACCCAAGTCCATCGACCCTCTCGAATTTGAGGACAAACCAGAGGAGTCTATAAGAGAGCTAACCGAGGAGCCAGCTGCGGTCGATACCATTACTCGGAAAATCTCAAAGAAGGACAAGAAAAGGGCCAAGAAGCAAGGCAAGCAAGAAGCCATTGAGCCGGCTTCCCCTCCGTCTGAGGATCATATTCTTATGTCTGAGCCTGCAGCTGCAGAGGTTGCCCCTGACCCAGAGAGAACTATTACGGATAGCCCAACAGAGCTTGTCCCTACTGCCGATCCCACAATTACGGAGGCTGATTTTGAATCGGAGGTGACTCTTGAAGAGACTCCAGCTGAGACTGCTCCTGAGCCTGAGTCCATTGTCGGGGAACAAGTCCCTAGGGCTCCTACGCCCGAGCCTGAAAGACCCGAGACACCAGCTCTTGACGGTTTATGCATTATATCGGACAAGCAACCTTCAGAAACCGAGAACAAGGAGGCAGTCGTCTCTCTGGACACACTCGATACGCCCTCGCCCGCAGAACCCACTGCCCAAAACACTAACAGTGAGCCCTTTGACCTCGAGGGTCCTGCTGAGAAGAACGAAAAAGAAGATGGGTCTCAAGCCGGGGCCGATGTAGGGGATATTGAGAAAATAGCTGATCTCCAGGCCGTCAAGGACCTCATTGAGGATCAACTTGGAGAATCCGAAGTGATGCCGGCTCTGTCCAAAAAGATGTCAAAGAAGGACAAGCGGAAGGCCAAGAAGAATGCCGGGATTGCTGAAGAAGTCTCGACTCAACAACAAGAGGAGCCCCAAGCTGATGTGGCTGAGTTGCCCACAAAATCTGAGATCCAACCAACAGAGCCCGCTATGGAGCAAGAGATCCCCACGGAACCTGAACATGCTGCAGAACCCGAACCTACATCGGAGCGAGAGTTACCAACCGAGAACCCCCTTCCGATTAGTGATCAGCCTATACCAGAGCCACTTCGGGTTGCGCCTACGCAACCCGACACCGAAGCTGTGGTCGGCGAGGATCTTCCTCTTGCACGCAAGGCCTCGAAGAGGAAAGGCAAAAAGGCCCAAAAGGCTAACAAATCCTTGAATACCGAGTCTCCTGCTGAAAACGAGATTGACATGGATCAGCATGCTACCATTGTGCCGTTCGAAGACGACCACTTCAAGGTACAAGTCACAGAAATTCCCGACGAGGAGTCGGCCCATGACGAAGAAGACTGGCCGGCGATTGACTGGCAGGCCAAGTTCGAAGAGTCCCAGCGATTAAGAGAAGCAGATCCTGAGCCTGAGCCAGATATTCCACCTCCTGAGCCGGAAATTATTGGAGAATTCGTTGAATCTGCATCCCCCGAGGTCTTGGAAGAGCAAAACGAAGTTGCAGAGGGAGATTCTTGGCCTTTGTCGAGCATAAGAGACAAGAAGCAGCCACAACAAGCTAACCCGGAACCCGCGGAGCGCTCACTAGAACCCGTGAATCACCAAGAGATCGAACCTCCTGCTCGAACAACTACTCCGGGTGGATCTAAGATTGCCAGCTTATTCCCCGGCCTCGAACGTGCGGGATTTCGGCGATCAGCTTTGGACCAGCCAAAACCGTCGCTAAAAGATAGTGCTGAGGATGAGACATCAACAGAGTTGGAAGCGAATCGCGATATCGCGGTCTCTGTCTCGGAAGCACCCCTAGCGACCACTGAAACCAAAGAAATTCCTCAAGATTTCGCCTCTGGGCTGCCTAGCAGCCTCGAAAGACAAATCGAGGCTACAATCTCGGAACTGAGCGCTCACTCCGAACCTTCTACCACAAAGAATGAATCAATCAGGAACCCAGGCCTTCCGATGCAAGGCGAAAAATCCTTGGATGCGTCATTATCGTTGACAATGCAGCCTTCCAATGAGCATACTCGTACCGAAGGACCTCCTTCTCCTACTCGTCTCCCACCCCCGATGAAAATTGGAGAGGAAGTGTGTGAACTACGCCGATCACCATCAATCCATGGACGGCACCAGCATCCACCCCGAACATGGAGCTTGGATGAACCTTCTCTACCAGCTCTTGCCCCATCGCCCCCTCGATCGCTCTTCGGACCGATTGACGATGTGCGACCTCGGACTCCGCTTGATACAATTGCGGAACAAGAGCCACGGGATGATCAGGGAGGGAGCATGGCTCGTCGGACTCGTCTAGAAATGAAGCCGGAACATGTCTTACCTCGACCTCAGACACCAGTCCGGAAATTTACAGACAATGCCTTTGATCGAGAAGCTTGGCCTACCGACAAGGATATCAAAGAAATTCCCAAGACACCTGAATCAATTCTAAAGCCAAGCACCAGCAGTGGAAAATTACGTCGTACAAATCGCAGTATTAGCGGCGATCTGCGGGCGGCTAGTCGAGCACTAGATCCCCAGCCTTCGCTCGATCTCGATCAGCTCCCGTCTTCCTCCTCTTATGACCCCGTCACCGACAAGGGCAAACGTCCGCTGCGAAATATGTCGGATGTCTATGTAAGTAAAGAAATTTTGACTTTTGATTTTTTGCCTTTGTTTTGGTTTTTGTTTACTAACTTCCACAGGAGGGATGGGGTGAGACGCCCAATTCCCCACGGTCGCCCAGCCGACCGCCTAGTGTCCGCCGCCGTCGCAGTATGCAACACTTACAAGACATCGAAACACGACTCGACCAGCTCATCTCCGAAAACCGTCTACTGATTGCCGCCCGCGATGAAGCTGAACATAAGCTTAAGAATTCCAGCGTCGCTCGTCGGAAGAGCGACCGTGCCCTTAACACCCGCGACGGCGATCTGCGCGATAGGGAATCAGAGGTGGAACAATTGAAGAACTCGGTGGAATGGTTGCAGAAGGAGATGGCTCGCCTGACTCAAGAGAACGAGGGGCTGACTGCATCCAACTCTGCTCTCGCTGTCGCTCACGCCGCCGAAATCAATACCGTGCGCGAGTCGTCCACACGCGAACTGGGCGAGTTGGAGTCGCAATACACCCAACTCTCCTCTCAGATGGAGGATCGGGTTCGACAAGAGATCGAGTCGGCTCTTGCGCAAAAAGACATTGAATTGCGCCGTCTACGCACCGAACTTGAGGAGGCTCGTGATAAGGTGAAAGAGCTTCAACAACAAATTGCAGCCTCGGTACATGACAATGCCCTTGTCTTCCGTGATGAAGAGTACTTCGATGCTGCCTGCCAGAAACTGTGTGGTCATGTCCAATCTTGGGTCGTACGCTTCTCCAAGCACAATGACAAGCGTCGCTGCCGCCCACTCAGCGAGTTGCAGGACGAAAAGATCGCAGACCGTTTCGACAATGCCCTTCTCGATGGCTCCGATCCCGATGCCTACCTATCCGATCGTGTCCGCCGCCGCGATGTCTTTATGTCGGTGGTCATGACAATGGTCTGGGAATACATCTTTACTCGTTATCTCTTTGGCATGGACCGGGAGCAGCGTCAAAAACTCAAGTCTCTTGAGAAACAATTGAGCGAGGTGGGCCCAACCCGTGCGGTGCATCGCTGGCGAGCCACCACTCTTACACTATTGTCCCGGCGACCAGCCTTTTGCTGCGCAACGTGAGAGCGACACGGAGGCTGTTACTCTGGAAATCTTCCAAACCCTATCACGGGTCCTCCCTCCTCCGTCTCATGTTGAATCCCAGCTCCTGGATAACCTCCGCAAGATCATGCGGGTAGCAGTCAGCCTGTCCTTGGAGATGCGCACCCAGCTGGCTGAATTCATCATGCTGCCGCCTTTGCAGCCTGAATATGATACAAATGGCGACCTTGCACGCCAAGTGTACTTCAACGCAGCCCTCATGAATGAGCGCAGTGGCCTGACAAATGACAACGGCGAGCTCGAAGCCCAGCAGTCCATTGTGCGGATTGTGCTCTTCCCTCTCGTCGTTAAAAAGGGCAATGATGTGGGCGAGGGTGATGATGAGGTCGTCGTCTGCCCCGCGCAAGTCCTCATTGCGCGCCCCAGCAAAGACAAAAAGCTATCAAAGATGATGAGCGGCGATCGCATGTCCATTGATGCTTCCAAGTCAGTCCACAGTGTTGCTCATAGTGCGGCACCGTCATCTATGATGGACATGAGCAATGTGATCTGAGGCGTCACACTCTGATCATGATTGTTCCCATCCGTTACATGCGCGCTTGTCGCATTCTTGCTCTTATTGTCTAATTTTTCTGTTTTTCTTGTCTCGGTGATATGGCGTCAAGGTCATCAAACGTAACACTCATTGCAAAGCCAATGAACGTGAATATGTGGAGTTATTTGTTTTATTATTTTCCTGTTTCTATTTGCTTTTCTGTGTTCTTTTCTAAGACAGTGTATCAGCGTGTGTATTTACCATGGCTTTGATGTCTTATGAAGTGATGACCTGTACTACTGGCAATGTAATAATTTATTTCAATTGTTTTCCTTCTCACTTGTCTCATATAGTGTACCTTGGCTGAAATTGTAACCTCTTTTTCCACAGTAATCATTTATTGCCACACTGTTATGGTGGTCCCAAAAGAATGCTGTATACATAGTTTGGGGTTCAAACATAGCTGTCTATGGCTTTGTGCTTTATGCTTCTTGTATAAGACGTCGATTTCCTTTGCTCCGGTACTTTGGCCCTCAAGTCGTACTCTATACTCTTCAGATGCAGATCCGGATAAAACACCAACTACCGCTTCAAGGCAATTTTTTTGAACTCGGCAGTGGTGTCCCGGATGGCTACTTCAACAGGAAGTCGCTCCATTGAACTGGCTCCATAGAAGCCATGTAAACCCTGCACCCTATCCAATACGAATTTCGCATCTTCTGGAGCAGCAATAGGCCCACCATGACACAGCACAATGACATCCTTCTTGATTCGCACCGCCGCATCCCGCATTGCCTGAATCTCCTGCACACATTGTTCCAACGTCTTTCCAGTCTTTGCTCCAATCAGACCGGAGGTAGTCAACCCCATGTGCGCGACAAGAATATCCGCCCCAGCCTTCGTCATAGCCTCAGCATCCTCGACATTGAAGATGTAAGGCGTTGTCAAAATATCCAACTCAGCCGCGTGTCGCACCATCTCCACTTCTTTACCGTACCCCATCCCAGTCTCTTCCAAGTTCGCACGGAAATTGCCATCAATCAATCCCACCGTGGGGAAATTCTGGACTCCAGCAAATCCCAATTCCCGTAGCTGCTTCAGGAACCGCGGGATGTCCTTGAATGGATCGGTACCACAGACACCCGCAATCACGGGGATATTCTGCACGATGGGAATGACTTCGGCGGCCATTTCGACCACCACCTCGTTGGCATTGCTGTACGGCATCAGTCCCGCGAGACTCCCACAACCCGCCATGCGGAAGCGACCGCTGTTGTAGATAATGACCAGATCTGCGCCGCCGGCCTCGACCGATTTTGCGGAAAGACCGATGCCTGGTAATAGTTCATTATTTACATTGAAGGGTAGAAAGTGGTGGGGGACATGTGACATCCACTACGTACCGGCACCGGCTCCAACGATGGGTTTCCCGTCTTCGATTTGACGGCGTAGGTTGGCAAGAATCTCGCTGCGAGAGGTGGGTGGCGCCATAGTTGAGCGAATGGTGATTTGTAGTTGGAGTAATGTAGATTCAAGGGAAAGATCGTTTCCACTTTACTATTCTTGCAGAGGCGGATTTAAGGACTTACAGTCAGAGTCCCGCATTGGATCTGAATGTTCCCAATTAGGAATAGCTTCATTTGGCTCTTCAGTTGTATCTCCGTCTTCTACTTCTTTGCCTTCAAGGTGAGAAGCATATCTATTCCTGATGTCACGATATGATATAGATCTATACAAAGTCCCCAGGTCGAACACTCTCCAATTGGGGCTAGTCTCATGGGCGGTTGGACCTATATCGTCAAGGGCGGAGATGATCATGGAACAAGATATACCTGGGTAGTTCCTATTGAACTCATGAGATCCCATGGGCCCCAGTCTATAACCGCCGGGTCAATCCTTCGCTCTGGCTCAATCTGCCAAACCAGACGGGGAATCCAATACTCGCCCAGGTGAGTGTATGACCAAGTGCAGAAATCCTATACCTATACCACCAGCTACCGCAGAATGGTAGTATTGGATAAGCGTGATATGAATGACGGGGTTGCACTTGATGCCGATCGGCTGATAATTCTTGTGGTGAAACACTCTGGCGGTGCCATGGCGGACTAGACGGTCTTACAACATAGTGGTCAGGGACATTGAATGTATCATGATTCCCTGATCGTTTGTTGGACAACAGCCTGAGAGCTACCAGAATCTGTACGTGTGTTTTTTTTTTAGCTTCTTGTTACTAGGATATCAATTTACTGATTCTTTTACTCTTTACCGATCTTTGAATATCAAATCTCTCCAACTGCCCTGGAGAATTGCAGTTGAACTACATGGATTTTATAGTTATGCTGACCTCATCCATCTTTTATGAGAAGCCTGCAGGTGGCATATATCCCAAGAAAACGATAACAGTCAGAATATCCGATTTCTCTTTGTAACTCTCCTTTTTCAAGGTACACTTCATCGAATTGTACAATTTGAGAGGAACATTTCCCCCAAGTTCAAAGATTTTGGGGCTATGGGGGTGTTCCACTCTGGCTTTGCCACCCGCGTCATCCCCCTCTGAGCTCCCTCCCTCTCCGCTGTCGACCATATGCCGAATGTCGGTTTCCCCGTGATCATCAGCACTAGTAAGATCGTATGGGAGTCTACAGTATCTCGCACGCGAGTCTTACCCTATGATCGAGAAGAAGATCCAGAACCCTGTTTGCGTTGGCCTAGCCTCATTGGTTGATGCGCTTCTGAAAATTCCCCTTCACTTCAGTACAGTTGCTCTGTACTGGAGACACCTCACCCCCTTCGCGACCCAATTATTGAGGCTGTCACAATGGATCCGCCCATGATCCCGACATCTGGCATACCGGCCTCCCGACCGGCTCGTTCCTCGCATTCGCCTAGCCCAAGAAAACATCCACAGCGCAGCGATTATCCACCCTCTGCTGATAACAACGCTAGCTATGGCCCAATGAGCGGTGGTCGGGCCCCAGGGACTGGTCCGGTATCCATATCCGAGACTACACAAGCCAACAAGACCCGCTTCGAATCCCCCGCTGATATATCTGTTGGCAAACCCTCCAAGTCCTCCAAACGCAAAAAGAACCGCAATCGCAAACGTCGCAATCGACACCAGTCTTTTATTCCACCTCGGGAGGAATCCCATGATAGTCCTGGGGAGGCTTCGGGTGCTGGAGGTGTTGGAGATTCAATGGAGGCTGATCGGCCAACCTCGAGGGACAACCCGTCGTTCTTCAAATTGGGGCGCAATCTGAGTAACACAAGCTTGGAGAGCGATGCACTACTGGATCATCGGTACGATGGTGTGCTATTGAGCGATTTTGGGGGCTTGAAATGAATGCTAATATTTATTGTCGGGCAGGAACCAACCTTCGATGCGACCTCGTCGTGACAGTCGCCTTGCATCGTCATTTCGCCCGAGTTCCCTAACATCCAATGTATTTCGATCGAATGATGGGCAATCCCGCAGCACCCCGAGGGGCGGACGGAGCCAACAACATCATGGCGATAGTGACGAAGAGGATGCCAACGATCGGACACCATTGATGCGGCCAGTCTCAGGCCACGCGTCCGGCCATAATCGATATGGAACAGATACTCGCCCGAGTTTGTTCTCATCACGTGCTCGACGGACCTCTGCTCAAACCATATCCTCGGGATGTTCGCCAAAGGACGACCGCAGCCCACTCTATTCTCCCACTGTAGAGCGAGACTATGATGTCAACAACCCACCATCGACCCCCGGGTCTCCAAAAATGGGCCCGGAGATGAAGTACGACGATGCTGTGGTAACTGGAGCTGAGTGGGACTTCTCGCTGGCTCGGTCAATGGAGAATCGCAGGGACTCTTTGAACATACTCAACGACACGCTTATTGACATAGACGGAAATGGACTACAGCCACACTCTGCGCCATCATCTGCACCTGGATCGCCAATGCTGTCTCCACACCAAGAATTGCGGCGACGTCGGACCGTGGCACTACCAGCAGAGGAAGATGTATGTTTCCCCACTGAAACAATATCCGAATTGGGAGACGAGGGACCAAGGCAGATGCGAGATGAAGCCGGTGATCGTCGACGGCGTAGGCACCGGCGATGGCCCGATCTCTCCGCGCTCGAAGAATGGAGCCGCGAGGAGAAAGAGGAGCGCAATGGAGACCTCCGAGTCAAAAGGATCAGTGAGCCCGTGCTTATCGAAGGCCGACTGCGCCCTCAGTATAAAGGCTGGCGACGGGAAGAAGATGAGGCGCCTTATCGGTTCACATATTTCAACGAGGAGTTCCCGAGCACCATTCATGCCCAAACCATCTCCGAGTTAGTACAACCAGGTGGTACCTTTCGCGATCTATTTATTCCAGATCCCCCTGAATTGGACGATTCATCGGAAGACGAGGAAACGGACGAGGAATCTTTTATGGAGAACCCAGTTTTCAATAACTTAACACATCCCGCCAGCAAGCCAACTCCTCACACGGACAGCCAAGTTCAAGGGCAAGGCCATCAAACGAACGTCAACCCTCAGCTGACAGCTCAGACTGTTGTCCCCAATGGAAAGACTACCAGTGACGTTGGCTCCGGTAATGCTCCTGTCAGAGGACCCTCACGTTTATCTGTGATCAGCGAAGGGCACGCGGACTCCCACCGAGAGTCCTCTCCCGCACCTTCAAACACCCCATTCAGCACTACTCCTAACCCGAAACCTAAACGGTACGGTCCGCGACCGACTTTCTGGCTAGATGTTCTCTCTCCGACAGATTCAGAGATGCGTACGATTGCCAAAGCGTTCGGGATCCATGCGCTGACGGCAGAGGACATTATGATGCAGGAAGCTCGAGAGAAAGTCGAGTTATTCCGCAGCTACTATTTCGTCAACTACCGCACCTTTGAGCAGGATACCAACAGTGAGAACTATTTAGAGCCGGTGAACATGTATGTGGTGGTTTTTCGCGAAGGTGTTATATCCTTCCATTTCTCGCAAACGCCACACCCGGCCAATGTGCGGCGGCGTATCCGCCAGCTGATGGATTACCTGATCCTCAGCTCGGACTGGATTTCATACGCACTGATCGATGACATTACCGACGTTTTCGGCCCGCTGATCCAAGCGATTGAAGATGAGGTCGATGAGATCGACGAGAAAATCATGCAGATGCACTCTTCCAGCAAAGAGGAGTCATCCAATGAGAGTGTGCTTCCTTCGTTTGGACCAGGAGAGATGCTCCGGCAAGTGGGCGAATGCCGTAAGAAGGTCATGGGATTATATCGACTCCTCAGCAACAAGGCCGATGTAGTCAAGGGTTTTGCCAAGCGTTGCAATGAGCAGTGGGAGGTCGCACCCAAGTCCGAGATTGGTCTGTACCTAGGTGACATTCAAGATCACATTATGACGATGACGGGTAACCTAACGCACTATGAAACGTGAGCCTTTCTACCCATGTTCCAGGCTCTTGGGAATCATTTTGCAACACTCGCTGACTGTATCTTTCTAGTATCCTTTCCCGCGCACACTCCAATTATCTTGCACAGATCAACATCCTCATGAACGAGCGTCAGGAGCATACTGCCGATGTCCTGGGTAAGCTGACTGTTCTTGGTACCATTGTCCTACCGATGAACATCATTTGCGGCATGTGGGGGATGAACGTCAAGGTACCGGGTCAGGAAATTGATAGCCTGACATGGTTCTGGTGCAGTAAGTCTTCCCTGTTTTCCCCTTTTTTTTTCTTCTTAGATTATTTGCTAACCCATCATAGTTACTGCCGGACTGTTCGTATTCGCCTTTGTATCTGTCTGGATTGCTAAAAGAGTCTACAAAATTGTATAGACGCATTGTCCCTACGTTGGTTTCTACTTGGTTTCAGCCGATTGAATCGATACCCTGGGTTTTGGCTTGGCTATTTGCTTTTTTCTGTTAAGGGGCCCGGATGTTGTTTTTACTTTGGTCTTTGCAAACTGTTATGTCTTTGGATTTGACGATATACGATGCCTGTTTTTTTTTTCTCTCTCTCTCTCTACATTTGGGGGGTTATCTGGGGACACATATATTGGCCACAAGTTGGATAGAATTGTATATTACGAACTGATTTCCTCATTATTCATTAATACACTCTATATTGTAGTAATCTGTTACATAAAATCGGTACTTCCTGGGAGTATCTAGGTTGGAATCCTTGATTTTGTCCTTGTTTATGTTACTGTGGCGCTCAGCATTGTGGCCCTTGTGAGAGAAACAAAGACAGGTTGAGCCCCTGGGGAAAGTCCTTGAATATAGACAATATAACTATTACAAGTCAAAGAATCAATAGTAGCTTAGCGCTGTGTATATATATATGTAGTATGTCAGAAGTAATACATAGTAGTCTCTTGCATAAAGTGTGCCTTTTCCGCCCTTTTCGTCTATGAATAGACAGGGTGAAAACTACCTATCTTAGAGATCTTCTAATAACTGGGAAACCCACCAAGAAACCTATTGTAAAGACTACTGAAAAGCCCTGTAAAGAAGTCTCTCCCCTTGTATCTTGTACTCCGTAGAGTGATATACAAAAAGCCATGAAGTCATTGTATTTTCCTTACATGGGTAATTAATAATTTCCTGCATCCTGCAACGTTTATTACCATTTATTACCATTTATTACCAATTTTGGCGTCATCCAACTGTTAATCCCCCAGATCCTACGGAGTACACAATTCCCCACTCCATGTTTTTTGTTTTATGCAACTCCCTTTCTCCCTTTGAATCACATTCACATTCTTTCGTCCTTTTCTACCGGATTCTAGACTGTGCTTCCCTGCAGTGACCCCATTCTCGACGTGGGCCACCGTCATTGGTCTAACCCTCTCTGTCAGCCACTTTTCACCGAGGTTTCGGTCACCGACTTCTCTGCACATTTGGCAGCTCAGACGCCACTACAGACGCAAAACCAGTCAAGCCAAAACGTTGAGCCGGATCGGCGGGTCTCCAGTGGCCCGAAATCCGCCAACCAAATCTTGTCATCTTCGATTCCTTCGTTCTAGGCCTGTTTTCTGTACCCTTCCGGAACAAAGCAGAACGGCACAGTGATGCGCGGGCTCTTTGCGCTACACTGACCTCCGACCCACTTGGTATTCTAAACAATCTCCATCTCTCTCCAGTTTCCCCAACCCCTGCACCTGCAGCAGCCATTTTTCCGCTTGTGCGTTTCCCTACAGAATCCGATTACCGGGCAACAGCATGTGGTCTTCGGCTATTCGTCCTGCTGTATCCTCACATGTGTAACGACCCGTATTCTGCGCAACATCCCATTTGATCCTCGTGATCTCTCATTCGCTCTTACCAACAATAACAACTCACTTCTTCACCGTCGAGCTTTCCCTGTCTAGGCGCCGTGCCTTACTTTCTCTGCTTACCCTTTTGGGCCCTGTGTCTGCCCAACTACCTGGCTACCTCTCGGGTCTCCTGACTTGTCTACATCGTGTCAGCCCATTCTGACTCGACAGGGACCATGGCTGCGGAGTCCGAGAGGCCGCCTCACCATAACGGCGCCTCTGGTCGATCCAGAGGGCCCGAGGATGTAGAAGCGGCGTCAGACCCAGTGCATCGATCGACCAGCGAAAGTGGTCTGATGGAACGGTCCATCGTTAAATCCCAGACTCAACCCATGTCTCAGGTGCCTAAGCTTTATCCCAATCCTCCTACCGGTTCCGCTCCCGCGTCTGCCACGAACTCCGCCGTTTCCTCCCGCGAACCCTCCCCGGTCCGACCCTCCTCACGTACTTACAATTCTTCTTCGCCTAGCCGGGTATCTTCACACTCGCGAAAGACCAGTCAAGACCAATCCAGTCCGACCCGACAACCTCACAGCTTGACATCTGGTCCAGCTACAAACTCACCAACATCGAATCCTCGACGTTCCTCCTCTTCTCCCATCAGGTCCCTTGTTCTCTCCGTTCCTAACGACTCGCTGGCCAATGTTCCCAGTCCGGAAAAATCCAATATGCCATCATGGGCCGCGAACCGTCGCACGGATGTGGATTCGACTCTTCCGAATACTTCACATAAAAGATCTTCATTGCCGTTGGAGGAGTTCGCGCCCAAGCCGGACCGAAACACAACCCGGACTGTCCCTAGAGGTGCCACTGGGCAAGGGTCCTCCCTGGAAACCGTCGAAGAGATGGCAAGCAATCCGTCTACGCCGTCCAGTGATACTCCTACCAAACCAGTGATGGCGGAAGAGTCACGATTGCACCGGATCGATGAAGACCCGACGACACCACGTGCCCTGCATCCAACTTTAGGGAGTGGCAGTGACAGTGGTGAGAATCGCAGTTCGGAACCAAAGGAAGAGACTCGTTCGCAGGCGTCTGGTGCGGCCAAGACACCCAGAACTCTCATGTCACAGCGATCGACAACATCACTCAGCGCCGGTGCTCGTGGCAAGCCTGCGGACGGCTCAGTTCGCAACATGATTGTGGAAACAGAGACCGTTAGTTCGATACCACAGGTTTCTATGGGAGTAGGGAATGGTGAGCGAGGCAACGCTTCCCGTACAGACCAGGGTACACTTCGCATGAAACCTTCCAATGAGACGATCCGTCCGCGCAAAGAAAAGAAAAAGACCCGTCGACCCAATGCCATCACAACAGGCGCCGTAACAAGCAAAGCGGATATCTTCGAGGCTAGAGTCGCTAATGCAGTGGATGAGGCTGATGTGTCCGACTCCGACGAGACTTTCGTTTACGACTCGAACCCACCTGATCCATACCCTTCCCGACCACCTCGGTATCATTCTCGGACTCCTAGTGCGACCTCTATGGCAAGTCAAGCGGAGCAGCTGGGTGGTCGTACAAGAGGCTTAGGATTGCGGGATGCTTCTCATGGCGTGACAGGCAAACGCAGCATGAAATTTACCAATGCCAACCCCTACAATAACAGCATAGATGGAGATGGTGTTGATATTGACCTAGCCTCTCGTTCTTCTAGAACGGATGGAAGTGGAACCATCACTCCCCGACATCACAATTTTGGCCGTCATTCACGTAACGGCGTGCATCCAAGTCTTTTTGATAACGATAGTACACATTCACAAAGCCAATCCCAAAAATCTCCTCGCCATTTTATCGGGAATAGCTATAGGCATTCTCGCCACAGCAATACCCGGTCTCCCAACTACAGAACCATCAGCAGTGTCAAGAAGGGCGGCGAGTTTCATAGCTATGACTACGAGGCAGAGGGTGCAGATGATGAACGCACACCGCTAGTAGGTACGCCGCGTACCATCCACAGTCGGAACGGTCGACGGCCCAACAGTGCAAGTGTGCGCCAGATGGAATACATGGCGCAACGCCAACGCGGACTTTTCGCTCGATTTGGCCCATGTGCTATCATCTTCCTCATGTTGTTCATTGTCGCTGGGGGTGCTACCGCATTTATTTTTGCGGTAACACAACCCCTTTTAGATGTCCAGGTTATTGCGATTCAGAACGTGCTGGCTTCGGAACAGGAGATCATGTTGGATTTGAACGTGCAAGCCGTCAATCCAAATTTGTTCCCTGTGACTATCGATGACACTGATTTCAGCATATTCGCGAAGAGTCGATTTGTTGGAAGCGACAAGCTTTGGCGTGAGCATGGTGATGCAGATAATTTCCCCCGCGTGGAGCAAAGCCGACGTCGCTGGCAGTTGTCGGAAGCCGTGAGGTGCATGGGCCGTGTGGACTGTATTAAGGGCCCGCACACCACTGACGGAGTTGACAAGGGCACTGATCCACCAACCGACCCAGAAGGTGATTCGCGATCTATGTTGCTTGGCCGTGTGTTTCATTTCGATTCTCCGCTATCTTTTGAATCATCTCCTTGGAATCATTTGACTTCCAGCTCCAAGGGACAGATTCGTCTACCCCAGCCAGGGAACAAAACTGAGGCCGGAGGCACCGAGCGATGGGAGCGAGTCCTCCAACACTCTTTTGAGTTGACCGTTCGCGGCACCATCAAATACCAACTTCCACTCAGCTCCCGCTTCCTGTCGGCATCTGTTTGCTCTAGCATCAAGGTGGTACCTGATACCGATGACAACGATCCAGAGCAAGCACCTCCGAGCAACGGCACAGTGCGGATTCCTGTGCAAAGAAGCGCACCATCCATTCATCTTCCACTCGATACTCACTCCACCCTCCCCGGATTGGAGGGCTTGAGACGACCTTTCACGGCATAACAAATTTAGCGATAGATCGATATCATTGACTTACGACCGCCCTATCTTTCATAATTATTTTTTTTACTTTTTTTTAATTTGTCATGTAACGCGACGAAAAGCAAAGAGCCTATTGCCTTTGGCCTATTCTGTATCATACATATATGCAGTATGGGCTCTATTTCCCTTTGAGATTTCTTTCCGCAGTATACCCCATTTGCAGCTTTTGTCTTTTCGTGCAAGCACAAGTTCTATCACGGATCAACTCCGTCTAGTCCTTGTCAGCCTTTCCGTCTTCTCTCTTGTTTTTTTTAACACATGATATCGGTTACATACCCTCCCTCCCTCCCTCCATCCATTTATCACACGGCCACTAGCCATACTTTTTAACCAGGTTGTATTCAAGGGTCTTTTCTGTGTCAACTGTTGGTGCAAAAGCACACTGTATCTGTACTATCTATCTGGCTTCTGGCTACCTTGAAACCAGCCTTTTGTCATCTCTTTTGTGAGGACTGTTGGGGAACAATTTTTTTGTTATTAGCTCAGTCTTCGGATACGAGACGGGTTATGTTTGGAATGAGGCTGTTCCAAATCATCAAGAGATATTTTTTCGGGCTTTCGGATATATCAGTTATTCACAAGAACAGCCATGTTCTTCTGATTCAGCTTGTTGAGTTGGCATATGATATTCACGCATGAACCCGTTTTAACATCTAGCTCGAGTCCGAATTCGCTCTTGCTTTATGCAAATTTCTTGTGATTTTACCAAGGTATTCAGTAGCTTAGAGAATATTAAGGGAATGACATCTACCAACTTCTAGAAAAAGTAACAAGCATTGTACTATCTGAACACACATACATCATAAAATCATTATCATCAGCAGCAAGCCCCGTTCATAACCTTGCAACAAGGATAAAATACCAAGGGAAAGGGAAATGAATGGACAAAGAGATGGGGTAGGTAAAAGTAAAAAGATAGAGTTGATCAAAGCAGAAAAATCCACCTAAAGCAAATGAAGAGACACAAATCCAAGGGGATGGACGGGGATAATGGGGTAGAAACATCACACGAGAACCCGCTAAAACAGGATTTTGGTAAACTTATTCACCAGGTCCTCAAATTTCTCCACGGCAGGATCACGCTCGGGAAGAAGACGGCCTTGTTCGTCAAAGCGACTGGGTAGGTCGACGGTTGAGTCAGATTCTGATTCAGAGAATTTGTTCTGGTCCTTTCTCTTGTGAATTTTCGAAGCTGGTGGGTGATGTCGATTGGAAGCAGAAGTAGGATGCGGCATAGGTGGGTAGGGGACGGATGAAGAACGATGACGACGGTGATGATGGTTATCACGATCTCGATCGCGACCGTGGTGCCTAGCTCGGCGATGCGAAGGTGAATATCGTTCAACGGTAGAGTCGCTATCATCAGTTTCGTAGCCAGGATCCCGCGGGGAATCCGTCAAGTCGAAGGCGACGGATTTAGAGACTTGTGGCGGTTGGCTAGTTGACCGGTGTGGAGATGGGAATGGGTGGATATTTAGACCTATCGATTGAATATTAGTTTTTGTTGCAATCTATACACAGTTGTGGTTCATTGAACCCACCCTTGTGCGCGTGGTTTACATCAGTAGGTAGGGTGGAACTGCTCACATTGTCTTCAGCCCTACGTGGCCGAGGTGCATATTGCTCTGGTCCCGGTCCCGATCCCGGTCCTGGTGGCCCAGCGCCGTAGGCATAGGGCTGAGGCGGGGCAGCTCCGGGTGGAGGGGGGTAGTCTGCCGGATTGTAGGAAACAGGAGTAGCACCGTTCAGGTTGTAGGTTGAGTCGCCTGGGGGTGGGGGGAAATAATTGTTGTTGGGGTAGTAGTGGGGGTCAGCCATGGGGGCGCCCGGGGCCTGTGGGGAAACCGGGTATGGTTCTGGGTCGTAGGATTCTTCATAAGGATCACGGTGGACGTCATCATGCTCTGCTTACACCACTAGTCAGGGTGAATATTTCTCGGGAAATTTTAGGGGAAGTTGGAACTTACTGGAGTACTCGCGCTCACGCTCTTTAGACTTACGACGTTCGTTGTACTTGTGTGCGGCATAACCAAGCCCTGTTGCGCCTAGGGCGGCGCCCGCGAGATCTCTTGAGCGGCTGCGGTGCTTCTTGCTGCGTCGGCGACTCTCGCGGTCGGAACCGGATGAGCTGCTGTAGCGGGCTCGGCTACGACTGCGGCTGCGGGTATGGCGTCTGGGACCGTATGCCTCCTGTGCATCGTAGGGCGCGCCGCGCTGACCGTAGTAGTGCTCAGATGGTATGCTACCAGCGACTGGGTCGTTGCCGTACTCGATCAGGCCGGCTGAGTCCCGAGTTGGATCGGGATAGGACTGTGACGGGGCGCGGCTGCGAGACCTTGAGCGATGGCGGCCCCGGCTCGAGCCGTCCTTTTCATCTTTGTCACTTTTCTTCTTCTCGTAGAGACCCGTGGCAGCAGCCGTAGCAAGACCAGCACCAACAATGGGAAGGGCTTGTCTTAGACGACTGCGGGAGCGGGAGCGCTCACCCTTTCGAGAACGCGAGTGGCTGCGGGCCTTTTCAACCAGGCCTGCCACAGCCGCACCGGCCAATCCAGCACCAGCCATGTGCTTACGGCGCTCAGACATGCTGCGTTCACCATGTTCAGCATCCTTCTCCGAGCGACCCCGGCTAAGAGCCCGAGAGCGGGAGCGAGTACGGGATCGGCTTTTGCGGTCTCCTGCTTTCGATTTGTTGTGCAGTGCGGCTATACCAGCAGCCACACCAGCCACGGCCACAGCACCAGCTCCAAGCTCCAGCAGATGCCTTTTACGAGAGTGCGAGTGGGAGCGGCTGCGGCTGCGGCTGCGGCTACGGCTGTAACGACTCCGGCCATGTCTGCTGTGGCGATGGGAAGAACGGTCATCTTCAAAGGAATGAGAACGGTGGCGGCTCTTACTACGGTGGTAGTAGTCGCGAGCACGTGATGCAGCATTTACAGCGACTGCACCAAGGGCACCGGCACCAACAGTCTTACCAATCCGGCTAGCGCCATGGCTAACGTTGCCGCCATCCTTTTTGCTCTGGCTGCGCAATAATTCGGCCGCGCCGGCACCTATCAGTGCACCCTCTGCTAGATGACGACGATGATTAGGGTGGTCCTCATAGTCGCGGGTCTCCTTTCGGATGTAGACTATGCTGTCATCGCTGCTGTAGTCTTGCTCACGATCACCGCGGCGGCGGCGACTAGTCTGGGAGACGGAATCATCAGGACTCAGCTCACGCCGGGAGCGTGATTCATCGTAATCGCGAACTCGACGGTGACGGTGGTAGTAATACGGGTCCTCGTCGGCCTCAGAGCGGCGCACGACACTATACTCGGATTCACGGGGGCTGGTATACGTAGTGCGGGCTTCACGAATAAGTACGGATTGTTTTTGAGTGGCAATGATGGCAGTAGGGGACTGCTCCATTCGTTCCAGGGTATCCATGGACCGGGAGTGTAGGCGATTGGTGTAGGGATGTAGGTACTTACGTTCGTAGTAGTCTCTCTCGTAGCGCGATGGCTCATACTCCACCTCTCGCTCGTAGCGCGAGACGGTCACAGGCTCTTCGCGATCCGTTGTGCGCCGGATCACCACCTCGCGCTCGCCGCCGAAAGAGTCTTCGTGTCTCGACATGAAGTCTCGACGGTCATCTTCAGCAGGAATGACGTAGCGCTTGATTGACACGGGACGAGTCTCGTCCCAGTCTCGTTCGCGGTCTCTGTAAGTGTACGACATGAGACGTAATATGGGCAGTGAAAAATGAGAAATAATCGAGGAATGAGTTGAAAAGTATGAAGTGGAAAGGCGAAAAAAGTAAGATGCACAATGCAGGGAGTTGAGGGGCGGCAGGAAGTGGGGGAGTGTTGAGAGGGCGGCTAATGGTCGGAGATGCTTCCAGTAAAAAGTCCAGGGGGTTCTGATTGGTAAAGATCTTCTCAGCCAAACAAATCAAAGCCAAGAAAAGCCCGCAAAAGCGCCCAGTGGGTTTTGGATAATGATTCAGGATGATGAAAGCCACGGATCTTCTGTAGGGCAGAGAGCGGAGTATCGACACACACTCGGCTCAGCCTCAGAAAAGATCTGCAGGTAGCACTGTATCGGACTCGTATGACTTGTGGATTGATATGTGTATAAATCTGAGATGAAATCAGAGGTGGTAAATGTGAAAGAAAAGAAAAAAGCAAGCAGAGGCAAAGAAGATAAAGGAACCCACGTGAGGCTCTGTTGGAAAGAGATCTTTGCCCGAGGGCTGTGGCAAAACCATCAAGACATCAAGACTCACCATCGTGGCTTAGATTGGAATGAGCTACAGCCCCCGGGGGAGTACTTTTATTTACTTTTATTGTTTGGTTCTTCCCGCTATTTACCCATGGGTTTTATCGACTAGCTTGAACTGATACCATGGTTCTTTGATCATGACCCGAGGTTCTGATACACTATAACTGCAGGTGGTATCTAAATCCATACTGTACACATCTGTACACACCTGTACAGCATACTGTACATGTATGTACTTCGGTAAATGCAGCTTCACCTGCATAACAAATGTCATCTGGTGCATTGACAGGTGCATCTTATCTGGAAGAACGGATCGGCACGATATGCACACAGTCATGAGAGCAATTTCCTGCAGCTCCAGCTGATAGGGCGATACGCATTTTATAGATTAATCTTCCAGTGTTTTCTTAGCTTACCATTTTCAAATGATTTATGTTGTACAGCAAGAATATCTGTTCCACTAAGCCAGGAGTTGACATCATACAGAGGACAAAGACCAACTATCTGCCCCGATGCTATATCACATCCATCATATCCACCCGGGCAATAAGAGGCGTCAGATCCAAAGCGCCCTGGTCTTTGTGATGACGTCAGTATTATGCGGGGCATCTTGAGTACGGGAAGTACCCGATCTCAGGGCTGAATGCCTGGTCCTCACCCCTTACCGCTTTTTAAAGTCGACCTTGATCAAATTTTGGAAAGTAATTATCTCTCAGGTTATCTAATTTCGCTTCTAAAGACAGCCTATGTATCTCTCTCTGTAAGCCTGCACAACATTACAATCGTGGAACCAATGAGTTCCTTCCAACTATCAAGCCTCTCCTATTTACGGGCAATACTACCCGTAATAGCGAATAAATTCCGTCCTAGGGCTAATCTTCCGGGCAGACGATGTCTCTCGCCACGATCAGTCTTGGTCATTGCCTTGAAGAGAACTTGAACGCCCTTTGTGGGATCACCGGGTTGACGGAGACTAATAGCAGCGAGAGCATCGCGGGTATCCTGGGTACCAACGTCTAACACAGGAATGTAGTTCTTGGCAGTAATTGAGGTTCAATTGGATTGACTATCTCCAGCTTGCTGACACAACAGTACCCGAAGGACAAACTCTCATGGGACGCTAGCTGGAACCACCCGGATTTCCTGTCTGGGGTTCAAGGTGCTGCCAATAAAATTGACCCGGTATGCGGACATTTTCATACTATCAAGCTCAGTCGATCATTACCGATCATGAGGCTACCTGCTTGAATGGTTCGTATAGTCGCGCAGCATTAGAACACGACTGGAACACTCGTGGCTTCGACAAAAGACCCAGGCGCTAATCCATTCTACTGATTGGAGACTATGCAATGATCAAACAGTAATCTTCCAATAAACGCATCGCACTGGGCACCAGAAATCTAACCTGAGGCTCTCCGAGTCGTGCTGACATCTACCTAGTGAGCCCCAACAACCCTGGTGAATCCGGTACAACATACGGGGTAGTGAAGGCTGAGTCTATTACTTCGCCCCGCTGAACAACAAAGGTATGGAAATACGGTGAAAGTAGACAGATTTATAAATTAATAAATTCAGGCTCGCATACGTGTATTCAAAGGGCAAAAGAAAATGACAATGAGCAATACCTCGACCCCTCCAATCGCCAAGAGTCATTTTCCTGTTGAGACTTACCCAGTATCAGATGGAAGATTTGGTATTGTGGATGCTTACCCCCAGATTATTTGAAACCGAAGAGGCGCTTGTCAGATATATGTTTTAATACCACAAAGTACAGATGATAATGCTACAAGTAGGGTCGCTGAAAACTGATGGTACTCAAATGACGTCTAGGGCTTTCATGTGTAAGTTTCTGTCAGACCCTAGACTCGTATTGCATATGTGTCAAATGTCCAGCGCTAGAATCAGGGGTTGTCATGAGGTTTCCTCTGAATTTATATTATCATCTGGTGATATTGTAGCCTTCTAAATGACGTCCGATCCAGCGATGCGTAAGGAAAGTTGAATAGGACCGAGCTTGAATTTCAGTTGAATTAATTGTTCATTGATCCCATGTTCCTCGGTACTCTTAAAGGTTCACCCTTCCAAATCAAGGGAAGGTGCAAAGGACGATGTCCACTTTAGGAAAGTACGTGTGAGTATAAACCCCCCCTCCTTTTCACATTTTCTTCCTCAAACTTCCAAGTAGCCATTCCCATTTGCGTCTGAGAAAATCTTCTTCGTTTTCCATCATATAAACGACTTGGCATTATCGTATGGGTAGATCCATTGAAATTAGTGCAATGTCATCTAGGGAGGGCGAATGCTGCTGACAGGCTATGACTCGGAGGCCAAGAGCATGCGCCCTTTATAGACCACACCACACTCCAGTAGAGTAATATCAAACAGAAAATTGACACTGTCATTGTTATGGAATGCAACTATCCTTGTAGGGCTGTTGAAAGGCCTATACACACAATCGATACAGGAAGCCAACACCACAGTGCTATTCTAAATCTCTGTCTTTCTAAAGGCCTTAGGCACCGGCATCGTAAGAGGGGTATCAGTGCGCGCTGTCTTCTGAATCAGATGCTCAAACGAAGGCGAGGATTTCACACGAGGCGTGAAAGGCTCAAATTCCCAAAGGTAGCCAAGGGTGCGCAGAATGGAGGATGCAGAGTAAGAAACGGTCTTGCCATCCGAGTTAGTGCCCTTCTGCTCGACCTGACCCTTGGCAATCCACGGCGAGATCAAGATAGTCGGGACACGACCACCGAGACGATCGAAGGGGAACGTATACTTCTCGCCGCTTGGCGCTGTCTCGGTGTAGGTTAGGTCATCCGGGCGAGTAGCCAGTGGGGGCGGGACGTGGTCGTGGAAACCGCCAGTCTCATCAAAGGTGAGAATCATAAGCGTCTCCTCCCACTGCGGGCTGGAGCGGACTGCGTCATAGACATTCTTGATGAGTAATTCACCCTCGGAGACGAGGCCGGTTGGGTGCATGGAGTTTGTGCCCACACCGCAGCAGTTGGGGTCGACGAAGGAGAATTCTGGGAGCTTGCCGGCTGCCGCATCGGTGTAGAAATCACTCAGGGGGACTGCTTTGTCGGCATTGCCACTTGTGAAGGTCCAGTCGAAGAAGTAGGCGTCAACCATATTCGGGCTTGTGTAGTAGTTCTTCCAGGTGTGGTTGGTCTCCGAGAGCTGCTGGAAGATGGAACGTTGAGTGAGACCGTGGACATTTACGTCGAAGGCATTATCATTGGTGCCGTGGCCGGCGGACGTGCCTGAGAGTACAAATGCCCGATTAGGGTTGGTTGGCTATTTATACATGTTAGAAGTTTTATAGGCGGCAGTTGTGAGAATGGAAATATGCTCAAACTTACGCCGGGGTGGTCCGAATGCCAGTGGTTGAAGGTAAGGTAGTTCTGCACGAGCTCGGTCATTACCGGCACCTCATCCTCAATATAGTAGTTGATGACCTGCTTGGCCAAATAAGCCTTGTCGGCATCGTCACCATAGCTGCGCAGCTGCTCGTGCACAAAGCCATGCTGACTGGGCGTGAGCTTGCCCTGAGCAATGTGGACATTGCTGGGGGCAAAAGTGCCATAGAACTCAATATTATTTCCAGTCACCGAGTGATCTGGATCATCCAGAACAGAGTCAAAGTCCTTAGCAGAGCTGCACACCGTGCCAGCGGAAGCATCGGTCAAGTTGTACGGGTTGCAGAAAGGGCCGTTGTTGATAGGGTTCTCCAGACCCTTAATAGTCTGTCCGCCGAGCAAGTTGTCCACAGAGCGATTTTCCATTTCCAGGATGACAACATTCTTGATCTTGCTCTTCAGATTGGCGATGAAATCCGAAGAAGGGGATCCCTGAGCCTTTGAATCCGCGGAGACTGCCGCGGCAAAGGTCAACAGACCAAGAAGGGCACCGAAGTTCATTGTGAATCAAATATATGGTCTGATTCAAGGATTAAACAGAGTGCTTAATTTTCTGAGGTCTGAACCAAAGGATCTGGTGTCTTTTTTATATGTATTGACCAAATATCCCTGGCATTCCTCCGAGCAATGCAATTTCGAATACCCCCTTCCACGTGTTGCTCTGGAAATCTCGGCTCGATGGTGTCCTATCTAGAAGCAGGGTATGGAAGGTGGTAGTTACTACAACATAAGTTGCGGGGTCATATAAATTAACACTCTCACAGGGCGGGGAAGAGCGTCAATATGAAAAAATGCACCCGATTGGCGATCGTCGTCCCCATAATACATCTACATATGTGATTGGTCACTTGGGGTGGATTGGCAGGCACCTGGACCACGTAAAAGAGGTACCAGCCAGCTCAAGTGTTGCCGTACTCCGTGCTTCATGTCTACTCGTACGTGAACATCCCGGTGGGTGTATTGCCCTTCCGCCAAGAATTCGCACGGACAAATTGCCAACGCATGAAGAATGACCCTAGAAAACAAGGTCACGAGTTGCCTGGCCAAGCTAGGTATGTTATCAAGCAATTTCATTCGTCCATTCTCTGCGCTGTGGAATTCTAACCACAAGACATCTCAGGATAAAGTGCGACTTCCACCACTCTCAGCATACAGTGTCGATCATTGCGAAAGGTGACATTCAATGCCTCCTAGGATCAAACAGTTGATTTTAGAGTCGAGCATCACGCGTGTCCGAAGGCGTGCGTTCAGAGAGGGCGGTGATTGGCTGTCAAGCTTGCAACATCAGGTGGCTGACTGGATTCGGGTTATCTTGAAGAATCGAGTCGACTGCGATGTAGTATTCGGGGAATATGGAAGTGGTACGGCTTGTCCGGGACAAGCTTGTCAAGATGTGGGGATGACCATGTCGTGTTTTCCACCATCACTCATCCCTTTCTATTGGCATAGAGCACAATATCAAGTGACAATGTCTCAGACTTCAGCAATCTAATCTAGCACATGGATGAAATTCAGGCTATAGGTCCAGGGTCCTCTCGATCATGCTAGTCAGAATCATGGAAAGGGTCGGCAATCCGACGGTGCTGCTGAGGTCCCCTGATATCTTCAATACCCCCAGATCATCATGATAACTATCCCCATTAAAAAAATCAGACGTTTTGTGGTGTGGCTTATAGTGTCCCTCATTTATACCGCCACAATCTTTAGCAATATGGAGCAAGTCTAAAGGGACGATGTGCATCCAAAAGAGGAAAGTGGGTCTATATTTCACGTGATGACTCAGCACTCGATTGATGGCTGTAAATTTTGGCAATATCTCGTTACACAATGGACTAGATGAGTTGTGTCTATACCTTTCGTTAGGATGCATTTCATCTTGTGAACTCATCCAACACTGCCTGTTCTGAAAATTTGACTTCCCAAATAATGTTCGCATCGGGGTAATTGTCGATGATGCAAGATTCAAATGTCTCCGACGCCACTAGACAGGCCCTCGGGCGTGAAAACAATTAATAATCATGTCTGAATTTCTCGCCTCGTACTCCGTTCCTTATATATAAGTTCATTTGGTCTATAAATCGTCACATAACAGTATCATCGTACTGTGGAATTACATTTCTCGTTTGCACCGAGTCCAACAGCCCCACACTACTTCCTCATCAGCAAAACTCCTTCAACCTCAACATCGCAAACCCTTGAATCTAGACCGTCAAGTACAACAAACCATTATAAAAATGACGACAGCAGCATTCAGATATATCGACCCTGCTTCGTACGATCCCAACGCCACAGAGCCATTCAAAAAAGCATGGGGCAAAGTCGACGGACCAGGCCGCTCCTACCAACTCACAGAACTGGAGCGCAAAGTGGAGGACATCCGAGGCCAAGAATCGAACTTCACAACGGACAATTCCGGCTTCGCTTTATACAACTCACCCGCAAAGGAGACCGCATTTACCGACGACGCCAAAGTGCGAGCGGGGTACTACGCGGAAGTAGAAGAGTTACTCCGCAAGAAACTGCCCGGCGTGAAAAAAGTAGCCATCTTCGACCACACCATCCGTCGGCGGACGCCAGGCTCAGCACGCAGTCCTGTACAGCTGGTTCACGTGGACCAGACACCCAAAGCTGCTGAGGCCAGAGTGCGTCGCCACCTGCCTGAGGATGAAGTAGAGGAGCTATTGAAGGGTCGATACCAGATTATCAATGTCTGGCGTCCGATTGAGAATCCGGCTTCTGATTTCCCGTTGGCGCTGATTGATTGGAGGAGTATTGCTCCTTCTGATTTTGTCAAGGTTGATCTTCTTTATCCGAAGGAGTGGCAGGAGAGTGGAGAGGTAGCGCCTGATTCTGAGTCGATCTTTTCTACAGAGGGGTATGAAGTCAAGGGGGAGACGTATGCTATCGCTCCTAATGAGGAACATCGTTTCTTTTACGCTAAGGATATGACGCCGGAGGAAGTCATGTTCATCAAGTGCTTTGATTCGAGGAGCCACACTATGACTGAGGGGAAGACGGATATTGCTCATGGGTCGGGGCATACTGCTTTCTTTGATCCGCAGACTCCTGCTGGATCGCCAGGGAGGCAGAGCATTGAAGTTAGATGTCTAGTTTTTTACGAGTAGGCACATTAGAGTTCCTATGTCGCAACGAGTGATGCAGTTCATGTCTTGTGTATATGTTCTCTCCTATTTATATCTATATTACTCATGTCTTTACATATATATTCACATCATATCCCGAGATAGGTGGGGCTCGACACTTATCTCCCAATTTCTTGGCTGTGTCATTGGAAGGCGCCTCTGATAAAGACCTTTCTATGCGAAAGCTCCGTTAAAAAGATATTTGGATTACCAATTGACCCGTGGCAATATTGTGTGTTTAGTGAGTCACAGAATATCTATCTAGCCCCTCTTCAACACATATATATATTCTAAAAGACATCCCATTGATACAAACTTCATAGATGCATAGCTTGCATAGCTTGCATAGCTGTTCTGTTTTCTCATTACACAAAATTTGCCCAAACAGGCGGGTAAACAGTGAGCCCTAACGCCGATAACCCCCTTCATCGAAATATACTAACATCTACAGGATTGAAAAAATGTCATCCACATCAGAGATACGAAACAAACCCAAAAACTGGACAAAGGGAGAATATCTAGTCTCCACCGACACATCCCTAATTCCGATCGACACCTTAAACACCTGGTATGCGGGCGAAGAATTCTACTGGGCAAAGCCAATGCCAGAGCCCGCATTGCGCGAAACATTACAGAACTCCCTCTGTTTCGGACTATACCACAGTTCAAGCAATTCAGACAAGACACCAGGGAATAAAGGATCGCCAGATTCGACTCTCGAATTCGTCGGCTTTGCACGCTGTGTCACAGACTACACAACGTTTCTCTTCTTGACAGACGTCTTTGTCCTGTCCTCGCTCCAGGGCCTCGGTCTGGGAACGTGGCTTGTGACCTGTGTGCAAGAGGTCATTGAGTCGATGCGTTATTTGCGGAGATCGTTGCTGCTTACTGGGGATTGGAAGCGGTCGGTGCCGTTTTATGAGAAGGTCATGGATATGGAGCTCATGATATGTAATCCACCCGTTGAGGGGAAGGATGCAGTGGGCTTTGCTGTGATGCAGCGGAAGTCTTGGGGGGGGCTCCTGGGTTTGTGGGAAAACCCTAGATTTATATTTTGAAAGTATAGAAAGGGTTGATTCTGAGGTTATCATATTATATATAGTGTTAGTGTGGATGAAGGTATAGTTTGTTCAGAAGAGACGCTTTTGATTCCATCTGCTCATAGCTCATATGATTCATAATCAAACATTATATAAGAGAATATAAGAGAATAAGTCGCCCAAATTACCATTTCATGTGTGCTCCACGCCGAAATCTTGGGTCCTAGGTCCAAAAAGTGAAATTTAAACGGTCGTCAAGAAATCATCCGGTCACTTTGCCTCTCTAGTCAAACCCATAGCCCCCAGTGGTAGACCCTAACGTATCCCACGGAACAGAAGTAGGACCAATCCAATTCTGCGGATGCATTTGCCCAAAGCTGGAATGCATGGTGTGCTCACTGGAGGTTGATGCAATAGTTGGTACCGGTGATCCGGATTGTGAGTGTGGATGTGAGAGGGCATAATTATCCTGCATTGTCATTCCCGGGGAGAGATTTTGCATTGAGAGTGGGGTTTGGATGCTCGGTAGGAGGTGGTTGTGGGACTGGGATTGGATATTGGCTTGATTTTGTTGGTGTTGGACTTGGGCTTGGACTTGAGCCTGGGCCTGGGCTTGGGCTTGTAGATGAGATTGAGAGTGACTGAGTGCTTGGGGGTTGTACTTTGCCGAGGCAACATCGCTGGTGTGTATATTAGTCACCAGTCCAGGTTTGAGAGGAACTAAGGGTGGGAGTGTAACTTGGACATACATTATCTGTCGAATTGTAGGGACAGCCTTGCTGCAGAAAACACTGCGGACTGAGAGCGAGGCGAACATATCTAGTGCTCGATCGAGAATCTCTTTGATCTCTTCATACTCGTGCTGGCTCTCGGGAATGTGTAGGATGACAGCCAATGTGACTGCAGCGTGGAACGCGTGGAAACTGCCGAGTCCACCAGTATACCATTTGTAGGGCTTGAACGATGGTGTTTCGAGGAGAATTTCAAAGATGGAAAGTGAAGCCTTGGCAGAAGCGATGCACTTTGCCCTTGTAGCGCATGTTTCGGGTGTAATCTCGCCTTGTAGGTAGCGGCACAGACCTGGGCGGAGGAGGAGGAGAAGTAGTTGATGGATCTGGCTGTAGAGGATATGGTGGTTGGCTTGGTGGTGAACGAGTAGGGGCTTGTTTGTATCGGGTGTGTAGCGGGCATCGACCATTTCCCGGACAGATATGATTTCCGCTTCGAGGTGGGAAGTGGTGAAGCGGGATGTATTTGGGTAGCTGAATATTGTTTCGCAGACCTTCGAAGAGATTCTGTATAGTCGGAAATTCAAAAGGAGGTATGTCATCTGTGTTGGGCGGGGAAATGGCGAAGGTGGTGGTCTTTTCATGCTTGGGCTGGTGAGCAAGTCGACGTCGTCGATATCTGCAGGCATTTTCACATCCTGTGTTAGACTCTGCTGCTCGAGACTCCCAAATGCTGTGTTTTGGATGGTGTACAGCATCATTAATCCGGCCCAGACCCGTCGTCGCTCTTCTCGCTCAATTGGCCCAAGATTGAATCGTTCTGGGTCTAAATGACATCCCATCGATATTGCAACATGATGTGTGAATCCTAGCAATGTCCAAACCGGTAGACCACGGTGGACTCTGGCGTAATTTATGAGTACTAGAGCTTGTAATGAGTTGATCGAATGCCGGGACATCACCCCATCGGCAGCAAGGCACCGCAACGCGGCAGATCGATACCGCGCTGACAGAACTTTAATATTCCGGCTAACCGCACGCTCTCGCCCCAGATCCGCCAGGAGAGGGTGATCATCATCAAGTGCGCTTACGGCGATAGAAAGAATGGCGAACAGCAGAGCCAACCATGATGTAGACACACTGCTTGGATCATGACAGAAATGCTGATACTCAGCCTCGAACGTCAGGTCGTGAAGAATATGAAAAACCTAACCTATTGTCAGCTAGCGTCTCCCCATTTCTGTCCACATGACATACCGTAGAAAAGACCTGAAAATACACATCTTTAAGGGTATCACAATACCGACCAGGCGGCAGAATTCCCAACAGCTCCGCACGCGATATACTTCCATTCTTGGCCAACGGGATCTGTAGATCATCGTCGTCCTCCGCGACATCCGTATCTAAATTGTGCAAACATTCCGCGGCGGGGCTGTTCGCCACTAAAGACTCCCATTGCGAAGCTAGTGGCACATAGCGCACATGACCCGAAGGCGAAGTCCGAAGCGTGCCAACATTATCCAACATGGGGCCGAGGGAGTCCCAAGTCTCCAATCCAGAGCCAATATCAGGCTCGGAGAAACTACCAGCTGCACTCGTCCCACCCAGTGGCGAGACTGCGCCACCGGCGGGTGTGCTAGCGTGTGAGTTCATCTGTTTTTGGAGCATGGCTTCCAGGTTCCGAATTCGTGCTAGCAATTCGTTCTGCACTGCGCTGTCGCCGGGGGAAGATTGCTCGGTTGAAAGCCGCGGTTGGCCGAGGTAGATGCAGTCTTCGGCGCCTAGACCACGCCGCACGCATGTTTGACATGGCCGGCCGTCGCGAGAGCATCGGATCTTGCGAGTTCGGCAGGCCTGGCAGCTGATAGGAAGGCGCTTGCCTGTGGAACGGGATGAGGCCATAGATGTGGGATGGAAGTCGAGGTGCACTGGAGTGAAACGCATTTACCTCCTCGTCTCGAGGGGCCGTCTTGAGGGGCTGCCGAGAAAGAACGCGAAGATTGTCGAGTGGAGAGGAGCCGCTGTTTAGGAAAATGGAATGGCCGGTTTCAAAAAGGGGTACTCGGGTACTCCACGATACAGGTTGTGGGTATGGATGGTTTGATCTGTTCATGAACTCATAGGGAAATAGTACATTGGATGGGGGGGGCATTTTCACAGAGATATAAGCGGAGGGAGTCTTCTATATTCCCCAATTTGTAATAGGAGGCAACCCTTTTATTTTGCAGCTACATCGTGCGTTAATCGGAGTGAAGATTAGCGTCATAGTGATTTGCCCCTGTTAAGCTGCGGGCTAAATCGAAAAGAGTAAAGAAAATTATCAAAAGGGTCTAGGGGTTTGAAGGTGACAACATTCCTAATACGGGGAGACCGATGCATATGAAACCTTTCCAGAATCGAAATCGAAAAGGGTCCATCAGAGAGCGGAGATGAATCTCCGATACTAACTGAATGTAGTATAGATCGTAAATCACTGAATTGTTGATTTTAGCCCGAATTGGGACACCTTCCATGGGTAGCATCATTGCTCGGGCCTTCCGAACCCATCTCGGGGATTATCGTAAAGACCGAAGTGCGAGTATAATATCAAGTCCAGAGTACGGAGATGTGGGCTGTTTTTTTTTTTTGTTTTTGACAAGTTGTTCAAGCTGTTGCCACAGGATGCTAAGCCACACAGATTAATCCCTTGCTTCAGCTTGTTCACGTAACAAGTGCTGAACTGCGCCATAGGGACTCCAATATACGAGGGTTGATTGGTCAGGGTGATATATCCTTAGCCACAATTCATGCGCCATGACAATCCGGTCGACCGTGCATATACTTGGTTGGAATTCCAACACGTGAAAAAATTCTGACTTTTCAGCTCCGACGTCAGTGTCAGTTCCAGTATGGTTCGGTGGATATAGTTCTTATTTTTCTTTCTAGATCCGAGACTTGATTGAGATTGTCCCAAGTATATTTAAAAGATAGTTGGCTATATAGGTAGATCGTTTAATATAAATCAATTCATGAACATCTCTCCGTCCTGAAATATGTCCCTTTGTGTATGCTCGGACCCTCCGTTCCTGGCTTTCGGCAATCCGGTAACTTTTTAACGTTAAACTAGTTCATGGCTTTGATTCCGAGTTAAATCCGAAAAGAATCTTTTTTGAGAAACGAAATGCATGTAAAAAAAAGAAAGGTCCATGGAATGAGAAGTATGTGGCAAATAATCTCGGGGATCATTCAGGGGAATCAATTGTTCCAAAGCATCATACAACATAGGTGGTTCAAGCTAGTGGCCCGAAACGTGTAGTAACTTATGTATTCACATCTGGTGATTGAGTAGAGATCATCCCACCGCGGAAGTGTCGAGGACATTCCAGCGATCGGATACCCATTCCATCGCTAGGTTGCAAGGATCAGAGAGTATACTCAGGGAATTAGCATATGAGCTCCGTGGATCATTAGCCATCGGTCGAACGGCGAATTATGCATTCAACGCTGATCGCCGGTTCTGCTGTGGGGGAGCTCAGGGCTGAAACCGGGGGCAAAATACAGTCCAATTTGAATATGTTTCAGCCTAATAATAAGACCGCTTGTTTTACTTGGTGGCTTCGGTAATTCTGGGGCAAATTAAAGCCGCAAATTTAACCGTGAAGAGTGAAGTAAACGAGGCTATTGAAATAATACCAATCAATAGGATACACCTCGACTTCTGGGTTTGCAATTGAAATTGCGTTATCACAAGCGCCTGCCCTCAAGCTCTGCCAATAGGGGGTCAAACTGCCTTGGCTGTTCCATCGGTCGATTCAATGTGTTGCGTCTCGCCAACCACACTGGTCGCACGCTTCGCTCCCGCGTCCTGATCCACGACCCGGTCACCAAACGCAGCAGCCACTTCTTCGAGAGTCTTCTGTTTAGTTTCCCTGCAGGAGTGTTAGCCTTCTTTCTCTCTCTTTCTCTCTTCGCGGATGAAAACCGAAATAGGCCAACGACTTACGGGAAGTAAAAGTAAGCGATAACCAAGAAGAATGCAGAACATGCTACAAAGACGTAGTAATAGTTCTCGTGAATGTTGGCAAAAGCACTAGGTCCAGCCTCGGTGACTGTTTCGGTGAAGAGGTTAGCGATCGCATACAGGAAAGCATGATCCTTCATAGATATCAAACATACTGCCAACATTGACGATGAAGTGAGATGCAGCGGCAAGACCCATGACCTTGCTGCGGAGAGCAATTGGAAGGACCTCGGCGCCATACAGCCATGTGGTACTGTTGAGCATGCCATCTACAAAGAAAACGAAAATCAGTCAACCATAAATCCTTGTAACTCTGGTGCGAGTCCGTACAATAGCAAACCACAAACAGGTAGATTCCAAGAATCGCAAAGCCCTTTCCGATGCGGTTATCGGTATTCTGGAACTCTCTCTGCATCACCGCGGCGTAGATTTCGATCAAGACAATGCCAGCCAATCCGGTGAGCAGCATCCTATGGCGGTTAGCGGACATGCAAATTGATAACCCACAAAATCCCACTTACTTCCGACGTCCCCACTGGTCGGTCATGTACATTGTAGTGAGCGAGTTGGACAAAAACGCGACGGTACCGTAGACTGCAGCCAAAGCGAGGATCGAGTGTGATCCAATTCCAAGGCCCTTGTATAGAATAGCTGAGAGAGATTTTAGCATTCTAACAATTATAACTCCTGGATGCGCACCCAAGACTCACTCTGGTAATACTGAATGACATTGACACCCGTCAAACTCGTCATCGTCTGCACCGCAATAGACCTATACATCCATGTCAGCTTCCACCCACACATACACACACACACACACACAACCTAGCAAGGAAGAAACAAACTCACACAAGCACCCGATGTCTAAACAATTTGAAAATCTCTCGGTAGGAAGTCATCTCCCTTTCCATCTCATACTCAATCTGCGCCTTCATAAGTCCAAACTCCTCCTCCATCTCGTGAAGCACAAGGCCACGACGAATGCGCGCAAACTCGCTACGCGCCATTTCAACCTTCCCAACGCGAATCAACTGCCGTGGCGAGTTAGGCATGAACGTTGCAAGACCAATGAACATGATGACTCCCCAAGGAATCTGGATACCCAAAGGTAGACGCCATTGCACGGGGCCGTAGGGAGCATAACTACAAGCGTAGCCGACCCAATTCGACATCATAGTTCCGAACGAGATACCGCAACCGGAGATACCACCGATCAGACCGCGGTATCTCGGGTCCGATATTTCACTCAGGTAGATTGGGACCGTTGCGACCATGCCCCTGGGAAGTTGTTAATTCTGGCCAGGTGTGTATAGATCTAGATGTATGACTTACCCTACTGCGAAGCCGGCTAGCACGCGGCCGGCCAGGAACATGCCGATGTTAACAGAGGCGGTTTGAATGACTGTGCCGATTGTCACGATAATGCACATCATTTGCATGAAGCGGATACGGCCGAGTCGATCCCCGACAAATGTTTGTGTCAGGGCACCGACGGCTTCGCCAGCAATGTACACGGCCACAACCTAGGATAGTCAGCTTCTAGGTGTGTTCTGTCAGATTGAAGGGCTAAATGGCTGCACATACAGCTCCTGTGAGGCCATTTGAGGGCTTTTGCATATAATCAATCCAGCTTTGGTGGGCAATCGCTAGTCAATCGTTAATTCGAGTCGCAAATATAGGATGTGGGAATGGGCATCACTCACTGGTTGTGGCAATGCCAGTATCGAATCCCTATTCTATCATTAGAGCTAACGTCACGTAGTACAGAGTCCAGGATCATTTAGTCTTGGGACGAGAAATCAACCTACAAACAAAAACGTGCCTATGGCAGCAAAGAAAGCAATCCCGAGCGAATACCACAATGTCATTTTCAAGGATGCTTCTCCGGAATCAGACAGGGATAAGAAGTGAGGAGAAAATGTCGATCAAGAATCTAAGAGCTACCGCGGTATATTAACTGGTCTCTGATCACAGCCGGGCTACGTCCGATGGGCCGAGGATGGGTCACACGAGAGGACATAGAGACAGACGATAGACACGTTCACTGTCGGAGGAGAGCCGAGAGAAGAGACCCTTGATTGGCATGAGCCTTTTAGCCTGAGAGATTGGGAGGTCCCCCCGGAATGCGGGGGTCGGGGTATCTCCTGCCGCGATCTTCGCTCTCTACACGGAGTAGACCCAATGATATTCTCACTCTCGAGATGTCTTACCCGGTCTACGGAGTAGATTGCTCTGAATTCAATTCTACTCGCGGGTTACCATTTTAGGACTGCATTTACTTCATAAGTCTTGGCGCCCTTCAAATTTTGTTCTTGACTTTCTGCTGTCCGATTGTATGTTTACTTCTTTTATAAATATGTGCAGGCTGAAACAAGGAAATATGGGTTTCTTGGACATGGTCTATATCGCTCGGGTCCAATGTTGTCAGGTGCTTGAGAAAACCCCGGTGTGCCAAGTTTACACCAGATCATGATGTAGTCCACCGGTGACAGCCTCTCTTTTTCTTTTTGACGGGTGATCACTAATCTGGTATCGTGGGAACAAATGAAACCAGGCAGACTTTGATACAAGTCTCACGACACTCCACTGGTACAAGTGGACCCATATTGAGGATGTGTATGGGGTCTTGGCAATAATTGGGGCATACCTATAACCCACTCTGACGGTCGAGATGTCTACAGCATACAAAGTAAACATTTGGTTGAGAACCCCAATACCATGGACAGTAAAGCATAAGAATGCAATGTACCACTACGACATTGGCAGCTACTAGCAGCTCTACTGTGAAGCAAAAATGATCATTCAAAGACTCGTAATCCGGTAGTCATAGATGGTGTTTTTGAATAGATGAATTCCTATTTCATTTTTCCATTGCCAATGTCATATATGCTCCGCAAAAACAGCGAAGCACTTTGTGCAATGCAGGAAACCCAGAAGCCGAACAAGGAAATTGAACAATCTAGAAAACGAGGGCAGCACCCTTGGTCTTCTTGTCACCACTGTAAAAAAAAAAAAGATACGTCAGTATTGAGGATCAAAACAATGGAATGTGCAGATGCAACATACCCCAGCTCGAAGTGCTTGCAGCGCTTCAGGGCGAGCTGCTTCTTGGCCTTGCAAGCAGTGCACTCGAGACGCAGAACGACCTTCTTGGTGGTCTTGGCCTTCTTGTGGAAGACGGGCTTGGTCTGACCACCGTAACCACTCTGCTTCCGGTCGTAACGGCGCTTACCCTGGGCGAAGAGGGAGGCCTAAATCACAAAAAAAAAACATCAGCAATAGCTCACGACTACCATCCTGGTATCGAGGGCACTAACCTTGCCAGCCTTGTACTGGGTGACCTTGTGCTGTTGGTGCTTGTGGCACTCCTTGGACTTGCAGTACGTCCGGCGGGTTTTGGGAATGTTGACCTGTGCGGAGAGATGTCATGAGCTTTTGTCCTTCGGTCTGATTGTGCGAAGATCAATGTCAATGTGGTTCGTGCCCCGAAATCCGATTCGAAATTAGTGCCGTCGCAAAGAGATAGGTCGCGTTGTCCGTGTTGTAGATATCTTTGGGCGAAAAGCGTGGTTGGGTATTTGGAATTCAAAAAGGATCGCGGGGTGCATCCATTACGGTCTGCTTCTCGAATCCTCGATTTCGTCACCAAGTGTTGTTATTGCAGGTTTCGCCACACATTCCCTCTTCAATGCCAAGTTTCAAATTGCATAATGCGAGAATCCGGTGTAAAAAACAGATGGTTGGGTGATTCATAATGTGGTGGTTCGTGACGGTCGGCGGATTTGACGATTTCGAGGTCGGCCACACAGTGGACATCTCACAATCTCTTCACGACTCGAGGAATTTCGAATGGCCGGGGCTTGAACACTTTGACATATCTCGTAGGGTGATATCCTTACCATTTTGACTGACTTGGCCGGATAGCTGGGTGGTGGTCGTTGGATTGTCGCTTGTCAGAGGAGAGCAAGTGCGATTGTTGGGTTGTGGGATTTCACTCGCTTAGGCCCTATCGGGTGGACGCTAACCTTTTTAGGTGTCGCCAAGAAGGCTATGCTGAGTCATTTATAAAGTTTCTGCCTTAGGCATCCTTGACATCTCTGACTTTAAATGGTTTGCTCTCTATTTCTAGCACCTATATTGTATTCTATCATACAAATCCTTCTCCTAGTACTATACTTTCACCTACTCCATACCAGGTTTGGCCCTTCATCAATTCCAACCCCTTTTCATGACCTATCACCCATTGCCCTTCAGATGGGTCCCCCAATCTCCTCCACACATTTGAGCGGAGTTCATGATTGAGATCCTCGATCTGATAAACAAGTTGCGATGCCTTTTTCTCGAATTCCTCCAGGGAATATAACTCTCTTTGGGGGGGACCACTGGTTGTAATAAAGCGCCCAATGGTGATGTGTGCAGACGGGACGGTATACCTAGCCGCGATTGGACAGTCAGATTGAGTAATGATGTTGTGAAGATCATTCCGCAGATGGTGATACGTAAACTTGTCATCTTTTCCACTGTACTCGTAGTGATCTTCCTCTCCAGCCGCGGGAACAAAGCTCAGAGCAATAGCAGAAGTATCGTAGCTGATTACTGGCTTGACCAACCGGGCACGGTGGGTGAGAGTGTAGTTTGCCAGTTCTGCTACGATTCCGCTCATCTCAAGAGAAGAGGAAATCTCATCGATCTCAGGCCCTGTTAATGAAGACCTGATCTCGAGTGTGGTCATGTGCAGATGATCCGGGGGTACGAGCCAGAGACCTATATTGTGGGACAAGAATTAAAACCGTCTCTTTACGTTTTGTACAGATCATATATAGCACACACCAGGTCCAATTAAGGGTTCAATCTCTTGCTGAATCTTGTAGACCAAGTCCCGGATATGCTGCGGCGGGCGTGCCCAAAAGGCAAGGTTATGTCTGGAGTCGACGAAGTCTGTCGACCCCATCTTTGCCTCGAGGACTTGAGACAAAATCTCATCTTCTTTCCATTTGCAAAATCCAGGTTGGCAGATTTCGTCTCTGAAAGAGGCATTTCTATTGCTTCTATGGGTCTCATAGGCAATCTGCAATTGTGTCTGGATGGAACTCTCAGCATTTGGTTATTCACAATTGAGGACGCAAGCCTACCGGGTCATTTTCACAACGAGTGATCAATTGTTGAAACTGATTCTCAGCTGTTACGTGTGTTGGTTCATTGGCCATGTTGAGTTCAGAGTCCAATTGACTGGTTTGGGTCGGGGCCAAGGGTTTCAGCGGGGTGGATGGGGTAAAACTATACGCAAGTGAGGAATTTAAAAAGATTTTATACGATCGATTTTTTGGATAGTAGGTATAGACAAGAACCTGGAGGTACCGCTATATTCAATCACTAGTCAAAAAATCGTTTTTTAAATCACTTGATACTTTCCAATATGTCAATCTCATCACGACTAGTCCATTATATATCTTGGTGAATTATGAAAGAAACTTCATTTTCAAAAAATGGTGCTCCAGGGGCTTACTGCTAGAATTTAACATAATAAGCTCATTTAAGGTACTATCTCGTTTTCCTTCAATAATCCTGATCATAGTGCTCCCTACACCACGTATATGTCGTCGCAAGTCAAGTGAGGCTCCGACGTGATCAGGCAATAAGGCCGCAGGCCCCCCACCAAAACCCCGCCGGGCTCACATCTTCTCTCCAACTCTTATTGACAGGAGCTGTCTAACTACATTCCGGCCCATACCTTGCTCTAATACCACTATCGAAACCGAGAAAGCCACAGTCTCTTCATTATGCTGATCAAGTGCGTTTCTCAGTTCCAGCATGGCCCCGTCATTACACCGCATGACCCCGAACCTGGAAAAGGTCAACCCCAGAGCCGCAAACTAACATGTGGCGTCCAAATAGGGTCCGAACACTCACCGGAAAGGAGATCGAGCTTGATATCGAGCCTGACTACAAGGTAAACCACCCGCCAGCCTTCATGCGTTTCCGGCTCCTCCCCGCACGGAACACTCCACCCTTCGACTGAAACCACACCGAACAAGCCTCCGCCATAAAATGGCTTTTTAAATCCGCTTATACTGATACGGACGGTCTCATACAGGTCTCCCGGATAAAGGAGCGTGTCGAGGAAAAGGAGGGAATTCCCCCGGTCCAGCAACGACTCATCTTCGGCGGCAAGCAGATGTAAGAAACCACTCTTGAGTCATTTCATTGCATTTTTCTACTATCAAAAACAACATCAAACTAACAAATTATCACAAACAGGGCGGACGATAAGACAGCCTCAGAATATAACCTCGAAGGTGGTGCCACGCTCCATCTCGTGCTTGCTCTACGTGGAGGATGCGCTGCGATGTCGATGTAAAACCTTTTTGTCATTTTTAGATACCATACTTCTGCAGCAATGTGAATCCGTTGAGGAACAATAGTGCTTGTCCATTTCGCATCCCATTCGGCGGGGATTGGAGCTGTGGGGACTGCGGCGAAGCGATGGGATTTGAGCTCGAATGGCGAGGCCGTGTTCTGGATTGGATCCTTTTTATCTATTTGCGCCCGTTTTTCCAAGAAAATAAGCTTCTCTCATGGATTAGCTTGGTTTTGCTATACCATTCCTAACTCTATCTCCAGGCTTTGGATGTTGCATATGTCTACTCTAATGGCGCGCAATCCCGCGGGAGATATAATGCGACTATTACTGCTGAGAGTATTTTTTTTTATGAAACACCGAGAGATAGGGGTTATAATGCTAAGCCCAGCTGAGCTGAGGATCGAACGCTATAAGGTACGTTCAAAGTCCTTCGCATTGGACAAACTATGTCCGTATCAATCTGACAGACACAACCGGATTTAGGGACAAAATGTATTTTTTCTCTTGGAAATTTATGAAAATGAAACAAATAAATTGCAAATGAGGTGCTTCTCACCTCGGGTATCAGGACAAACCCAAACTCCTTGCTCCAAATTGATCGAAAATGTTTAGCTACCTATGTCCCATATGGGTAAATATATAGAAGGCCACTTTCTGGAGACCCTGAAAATTACAACAAAATTGATCCGAAGATCACGACATGTGTCGTCGCTTTGCGGGCATGAAAATGCTTGGCGCTGGGCGTCGACGCATGATGCCCGAGCGGGGCGGAGGAGGCCCGGAGGAAGGCGGGCGGGAGGAAGGAAGAGAAGAAATGGGAGGAGCGGGGAGGGATGAAGAAGAGGAGAATGTCTCTGCACTGTGAGGCGGGGAAGTTGCACGGCGCTTCAGCTTGGGATCGGTGGCCACAGCCGGTGACTTCTTTGCGCTGGGCGCATCGCTGCTAGATGCAACACGGGGCGAGGGTGAGGAAGAGGAGGAGGCGGCGGAAGTCAGTGCGCGTAGTCGCGCCTCATTCCGGGCCAGCACAGGGTGCTGGAGTGAGGGTGAAAGCGTGCTGGGGCGGCTGATGCGTGGGGCAAGTGGTTGCGGCTTTGACATCGGCTGTGGTGTCGACTGCTCGCCGGGGCGGCGGTGTTCTTCAACCAAGCCAATTGGCGCGCGCTTGACTTGCGAGGCACGATTGTTGAGAGACTTGGTCGGCATTGTCAGCGCGGTGTTGCGCTTCTGCGGCTGGAAGATGCTGGGCTTCTTATCATGCCCGACCATCCTGCGATCATATGTAGCATGACGTTGTCGCACGGAGGGTCGTGATCCAGCCATGCGCAAGCCCTTGCCCTCAGGGATAAGCTTCGGAGTGAGGAGTGCACGCTTGGCACTAATGCCATCAATTGCCATCTTCATTCTCTCTGCATCGGCGTCAAGGGAACGTTGGACTTGGTCGTGGAGATCACAATAGACCCCATACCAGTTGTTGGTACTTTCCGGGAGTTGATACTTCTCCCAATCCGGGATATCTCGTTTAATAAGCTCAAGCCACAGTTCTTCATCTTCTTCGGCGAGGTGTGGGGATGCGAGCTCCATAGCATGCTACAAAATTCAAAGAAATGGTATTAGTATGTGATTTCAAAATAATAAATGTAGTGGAAATTATAAATGAAGTGCAAGTGAAGTAATAGAGAGTGACGTTGAGCAACACGTACCAGCTTTTCAGGGTTATGAATATTAAGCAAGATAGGGCGCGCAAGTGAGTACGGCATCGCGCCCAGATCATCCAGATCTGAAAATCACATAGTTAGTATTTAATCATCTGAAAAGTGTGATATTGTATTTGGCCTATACCTTTCACAAAGCGAATAGCCGTGGCTGTGGCCAGGTGAAGCAGTGATGGGGCCGGCATCTTTATGACGGCAATGGTTCGAGCCGAATTGGGTATTATAAGATGTGTCACATAGGGTGAAAGCAATCTGATTATAGCACAGCAAAGCAAATGTACAAGTCGCTTTTAAATAAGGGACAGATAAGAAGATGCTAGATGGGATGCTATTCTCATGGTTGTAGATGGTAGGAGTCTCGGCTTTAAATAAATGGATGATCACGCGGGTTCGGCTGGCTATCGCTGATTGGCTATCTAAGACTCCATACATTCAATGCTTTATTTCATGTTCTTTAATCTAATGTTTCATGTCTATAGTTACGGAGTCAAGATAGTGTTGATCTGGTCATTGTATAATTAGATATCTGCTCAAGTGTCGAGTGAGGACTTTCGTCATCAACTTGATGATTTCCGCTATTATTTTTGCGCAATCATTCATACTGACAACTTCTCCAAATTACCTTGGTATTGAATCATTGCAAGCTGGAACCAATAGGACAAGCGTTGTGGCTTTTTGACACAGTATTATATATTCCAACGGCTTCTTATTCATCTCGTGTCTCAGATTCATCTGTCTTTTGGAACTTATAGTTGGAAGCACGTGAGGCTCCACCTTACCACCAAACAGTGCAAACATCGTCTTGATAGCATCATCGAGGGGCATGGCAATGAACTTTTGAGAAATCAAAGATCAGTTTAGCATATCACTAAATTTTGTTGGCAGATCCAGAATCTAGAGGTATGTCATCTACATTATTTCATCCTGTCGTGATGCCCGTCTATATACACAGTGTCTTGAACAATTGTGCATAGCAATGTTAGCTGTACAGCTATCATTTGGACACCTTGAGCGCTGGATATAGACTCCCAATAGTGTTTATTAGAAGGCACCCTTCTCATCAATTTGCAGCTCTTCCGGCAACATCATTCGAGACCCGGAGTCAAACCCTCAGACACGTCTAACTCTCACACAGATAATCACAATGGCACCCCGCACACAGCTAGAGATCACCACTTCCTCTGTGATCCGCTTGGTAAAAGAGGAAGCTTCTTATCACAAGGAGCTTCTGCAGCAAGCTGAGCGTATCAAGAAACTGGAGGCCGATACCGCTGGTAATGACGAGAACCGCGAGTATACCCTGAAGCAAGAGGTATGTGTCTTTACCAAAGCTTTGCTTCTACCAAATCATCTTGCCTACCTATTTGCAACCTTGAATGCTGACATGGATGATAGCGCATGTCTCTTGAAGAGACCAAGAAGGTCCTGCCTACGTTGAAGGAGAAGATTGTGCAGGCTGTTGCGAACCTGGAAGCTCTGCTTGTGAGTGTAACATCCATCTTCTACCACCTACCTGTAGTCTTGGATTTTACTAACCGATTCTGATAGATCGAGGAGGGCAAGAAGGGTATGGAAAGCAATGTTGAGCATATTACTGCTGGCAAAGAGGCCATTGCCCAAGCTAAGACTGCAGAGCGTGAGATCTCGTGAAAGTGATGTCGATTATATCAAAGCTCAAAAAAATACCCGTAAGGTGGAATATTCCATAATATTATCCAATAAGTTGAATTCAGGCCCAACGCCAGACCATAAACCAGAACTCCATGCTAGTGCTAGTAATGTACATACGGAAATGCATTTTCAGCTAGTATCCATCTTCCCATTGAAGTCGTCAGGAAGTTCCTCCCCTTCCTCGAGCTCGGATAATTCGCCATCACTGATCGCAGAGATTTCACCTTCATCAATCATATTCGTGTCCTCCCGAGTAGATCCTGTTCCATCGATCTGGGCAGCTGTGACTTGCCGCAAAGGCGACGCAGCACCGGCAGCCCCGGGCTTCTCAACCTGCAGAGCAGATGATCGACCGGTCTCATCTTGGCCGTGCTGGGAAGGGGTCACGGCATCGCTCTCAGGACCAGGAGTGTTCCCACTGCTAGTCTTGCCCTTGGATGTGGCATCTGCCTCATCACCGTCTGCCCCCTCCTGCATGCCTTCCCGGCGCTCGACTTCCTCTTTCTCATCGCGGATCAGGCGACGAAGCTGCATCCCCTCGTCCACAATACGACCGAACTGCTCACGTCGCTCAGCCCAGGTCATGGCGTAATCCTTGCTTTCCTTCTCGAGATCTGCAATCTCCAGTCGCAATTTCTGAAGGTTCGCTGACTGGTCTTCGCGCGGCTTGAGCAGGCGGTTACTCGTAATTTTGTCCGTCAATTCATCGTAAGTCTTTCGTAAGGAAAGAAGTCGCTGTGCCTCTTCGAGCTGCCTTCGTAGATCGGCCGTACTTTCTCGTACAGACTGCATTGTCGACAGAATCTGAACTCGCTCAGTGGCATATCGCTGGCGTTCTTGCTCGTTGCTGGTAAGAAGGAACTGGACGCGCGCAATGCTGCCTTCAAAGGCAGCAAAATCGAGTGAGACATCCTCGCGGAAGTGGCGCCATTCCTCGAGTCTTTTCTGTTTCTCGGCTTCTGTTACGGTCGCATCGGAGTCGGCGTCTGTTTCTTCGGGGGAGGGGTGAGAGGGAGCGAGGAATGTGAGACAATGAGGGATTCGGGGTTCAATAGTCGTTTCGAAATTCGCTTGAATGGTTTTTCTTCGACGTTGAGGAGACGCGACTTGTGGAGCGCATCTGTAGCAGCTGGGGTGTTAATATTGACCTGGAAGGACAGAACTGGAGTGGACTCGACCTTCTTCTGGCTGACCCAGCAGCCCGTAAGAAGCCATCTTGTGTATCGAATTATGGAATTCGATATGACGGGCTTAATAGCACAGAATATATTGGAGATGTGCGCGACTTCAAGATGATCGAAGTGGGGAGGAACATGAAAAGTGAAGCTGAGCGGTCTGGCACTAAGAACTTCCGCCTTGAACCTTTATTGACCTCCAGGGTTTAATGGCTATTCTTCAACAATCAGCTGTGCTGCCTAACAAGATAATCGACTTTGGTTTACACAATTTAATCATAGCCCCAAGGCTTTTTGGCTAGAGACCAATTCATTCATACGCAGAATCCCTCGCGTGCTTAAGGATCACCCCGTATTCCGCAATCCAAAACTGTCTGCAAGCACGGCCTGGTGAAGCCACAGCCAGAGGCCCGATGGACTTTGTCTCCCAAAACTCTGTGACTGCTGTACTAGCTGCTAATATCGTTGTATCCTCTGTACTTGCCTCAGTCTCATCACCATGACTGAGATGTACTCCGGCCTCCATGTGGGCCAGCGGTTTTGCTCTCTGGAAGAGTTCAAAACAGTGGTACGAAGTATATCAGTCAGGCAACACTGGGAGCTTCGAGTGGCTAGAAGCAACAAGAAAAGCGTAGTTATCGGATGTCGATCATCACCAACTTGCTTCTTTCGTGTGGTCTGCCGCTCAAACAAAAATGCGACCTACATCACCAGTCTTCAAGACAGCCATAGTTGCCGCCGGAGTGCAAATTCCCCTGCGGCGACACCCGCTCGCTCTGAGGCTTCCCATGTGAGGTTTCTGCGAAGCGAGATTCCAAAGCTTTTCGATATGAAGTTGAAAATACGGGCCCAGGATGTCGTGGACGCTGTGAAACGCTACCACGGCTATGACATCTCCATGCGCCAGGCACAACGAGCGCTCACAAAAATTCAACCGCGGCATGGTGAGGGCCAGGATGAACCGGGGCTGGATCCCGACATGAGTGCAGAGGATCAGCAGTCGCCTGAGCAGTCCCCCGAGCCACAAGGAGAAGGGGCAGACGCATATGGGGAGATATCCGAGAATCGCTGGCTTTCAGAGCATCTCTCACCATCACTGATCGATGATGATAACATGTCCCCACACGACACCTCAAACAATCACGTATCTGCTCAGTCATCTAGTTCCCAAGCCCTGCCACCTCCACCCCAGGTGCAACATGTACCGATTCCCGCACAGAACCAACCCCCTTTCAACCCCAGTTCACACCAAATGACTCTACCACAATCGGGAGTCGAATATCAGACCGCTGCTACTTTACCAGTAGGAGTGATTGGACCTCCAAAAGACTACTCCAATCGCAGTGATCACGATGGCGTCCCCCAGATGGTTCTGACCAATTTCAAGATTGAGTTCACCTGCACAACCTGCGGGTCACTCAATCAGAGCTTTTTCCCAAATCAAGGAAATGTCACTGGTGCCAACTATATGACTCACCATACTGTACCAAATCCTGGCAACGCCCCAAGACACGCTGGGCCTACTCCCCAGGACGGTGTTGGTAGCAGTAGCAATGCAGTCGGCGAAAACCCTGCTTACGATATTAACGCCTCCAACACACCTACCATGCAGAATGCCTGGCCTGGTGGTGGTCTAGGAATTCAGATTGGACCGGCACATACCTAACATACCATTTTAAGAGTATGATGTCGGCCACCATATTATTGAGATCGGAACATGCGGCTGTGCAAACTCGTGCTTGCACACTCAGGCCCAAGCTAGCACGATCACTAGCTGACTTTATGCCTTACTATGCACGGCAATGTATGGTATTCGATGCTTTGGCCGTCCCGGGTTCTGAGTCTCTACGCATTCTATGAGACGGCAAGATCATAACTTTGGATATCCATTCTAGAACACGATGGCAACATTTGACTCAAGTCTGAAGGGGCTAGTTCGATGTGTCTTTTCTGGGATCACTTTCTTGATTTTGACCGCGAGATCTCTATATAGGTTCATTTTATGTAGGGAAAGTAACATCCGAGCTGATCTGGCACTGGATCTCACCAGGGCTAATATTAACATGAAATCGACGAGCTACGCTGGTTGATCCTATTTTGATACCACTTCTGTTGACGGGATTGAAAATTCCATTCCTGTCTAGTTTTGATCCCATCAGCTCTATCAGACATTGTTATACCCTTCCACTTGATCAAGTATGTTGTTTCCCAAAACAAATTTCTTTACTGCGGATCTGGATGATCTGACGCAACCTCTCACATGAGCGAAACTGCGTCCTTCGCCAGAGCGAAGATCACTACCCTCCAATGACTCGATTGTATCATGGGTTTCTCCAGATTAGAGATTAAAAGAAAACAATGCGCCTGGGCCTTCTCAACGCCTTTGGTGCAATCTTGTTGTTGCCAACTTCGCGAATGAAGCCTTTAACAATAAGTCTATCGCTCATATTGATTCTACCCGATGAGCCGGTTCGATTTGAAAATGCGAACCGCGGAGCTCCTTGAGACCAATGGACTTTCATTCTCGGACGATACTACTTGCTGGAAGCCTCTCAAAAAACAAGCAGGTGTATATCGAAACCAATAACAAGGCAGCATGATCTTGCAAAAGAAAAGGAGATGGATAGCGCCACAAATGTGCAGTCACACCTCACCTGACACAGTAAAGATTTAATACCCATGGAGAGAAAGAGATCAATTCCAATAAGCTGGTTTAGAAGGTGGTATTTTAATACTATCAACCTGGTAGATAAAATGCCCATCGGGCCAAAGACCTTGAGACGTATCAGCGCTCGCAAGCCCGTTTTCACGACTCTCCTCACATTGACTCGCAGTAGTGTGTGCCGAGGCTTACCGATCAGTTATCTTGTTTGGATGTTATTCTTGGATTGTATCTCGAAACAACCACTAAACATTCCCCTACAATAACTTTTCTGCCAGCTCCACCGGTGAAGGTGAGCCCATGGACGGATCTGCCACATGCTCGAGTAGTAGACAATCCTGCTATGACCATTGTGCACTGCACGGTGGAGTGCCCGATTCCTACCCAGATCAGGCACATTTGCATCCACGCCGTGTTGTAGGAGCAGTAGGACCACGTCGGCGTAGCCGTTTCCGGATTCTGCATGTACTGAATCTGGTGATTCTTGCCAGGATTCATCTCTACTAAGTAAGCGTGGCACGCTGGCTACCTCCGCGGGGGGAGGGTGCTGTAGACGTTCCGCGTCCCCACAGTGTAAATTATCGGGCATTACACGCAAGACATTGAATGGGTTCCGGTCAGCTCTGTGTTCAATAGGTATGAGCTCAACAGCAACTATATTGCTTTGGTGGGAGGCGCTGTAGCGAACATCGCTTCTGCGCGGTCTGGTTGTCTCCTCGTGGTGTACGTCTGCGCCGCTGTTGGATTTCTTTCTCAGTTCAAAGACACATTTTTTAGCCTTTCAAAACAAGACATGATTAAGACAATGCTTCGGAATCCAGTGGAAGCAGAATATGTGCAGAGGTAGAGGGCAGCAGAATTATACTTTGGCTCCATGAAATCCGATGCCATGGATGATCAAAGCTATCTAATGGAGTGCAGCTGTTACTTACCTTAACGGCGTTGATTACGTAGGGAAATTTTTGACATGGTGGCTGACTGGCCTATATCAAACGGATGGAGAGCCACAGGGCTATGAGCTTCAACGCTGTAAAAACGCCCAACTGCTTGCCTTCGTCAAAAACAACTTCTGTTTTCGAGTCGCACAGCGCGTTCAGCATATGCGGCAGTGTGACGGCACTAAAGGCTTCATATGAATATGTGTCTAGGAGACTCAGCTTCAAATAGTCGCAGTCCAATGTGCCAAATTGACCATCCCAATCAGTGATCAAGTACTCATGAGAAGTCTCCGGAGATAAGGGCAGTAGTTGCCCGATTCGGCATCCCGGACCATTACTCAGCCATCGGAGGTCCGATCGGCTATCCGACAACACGGATCCACCAGAGACTCTGCTCTTCGTCGACGGCACCGAAAAGATGACGCGGAACGGAGCCGACAGTGTCTGGAACGCCATCGATCTGATATCGGGCTCCAATGTAAACCGACACAGTTTCTACTTGCGTCGGACCTGGATCCGATGTCACACCGGCGCTCAAACTCCAATTGACATCTAGCGCTCAGTCGCCGACGAACCGGAAGGCAGTAAAATCCTGACAGGGAAAAAACTCTACTTATCAAACAAATGACTCTTCGTTTATATAAATATGCTGTGGGATAAATTCTTATTCTACCATTGAGACCCTCCACGTTCCATATCACGCCAAGCGTTTCCTCCCAACCTTAATATACTTCATGGGTTGCGTCTTCCACGCCACGGCACACATAAGCTTTTACGAGAAATCTCGAATAATCCAGGAAGGATCACCGTTTGGAGCGAGCTTTGTGCCACACCTGCAGTCATGAATCGACAACGAGAGGCCGAAAAGGCCCTTCATGATCAAACAAATATTCTACCCTTCGCGCAACTCATGGTTGTCTTCACGGGTCTGGCAATTTCTTTGCTGATTTGCATGGTGGATCAGAATGGTATCAGTGTCACGCTACCAACGATCTCACGCGAACTTGGGGCCCAGAATACGATATCTTGGGCTGGAACCTCATCGCTAATTGCAAATACCATGTTCACGGTGCTATACGGCCGACTGTCAGATATCTTTGGCCGGAAGATTATGTACATCTCCGCATTGGTGCTGTTGTGTATTGCAGACTTGCTCTGTGGTTTATCCCAGAACCCGGCTATGTTTTATGTTTTCCGAGGCTTGGCTGGTGTCGCTGGTGGTGGTGTTACCTCCTTGACGATGATTATTGTCTCCGATATCGTGACCCTGGAAAAGCGAGGCAAGTACCAGGGTATCCTGGGTGCATCACTGGGTCTTGGTAATATCATTGGACCATTTCTGGGTGCTGCATTCACCATGCGTTCAACGTGGCGCGGTTTCTTCTGGCTGATTTCTCCATTGGCTGCTTGCTCTGCAGTCGTCGGATACTTCCTCATTCCGAATAATGCACGCAAAGATAGCTTCCGGGAAAACGTTGGACGCATTGACTGGTTCGGGCTATTTGCCTCGTCCATTGGTATCATTTTCCTCTTGATTCCTATCTCGGGAGGTGGATCCTATTTCCCCTGGGATTCACCGATGGTCATCAGTATGCTCGTTATCGGAGGTTGTGCATTTGTCGCATTCTTCTTCATTGAGTGGAAAGTGGCTACACTTCCGATGCTACCAGGTATGGTCTGATCCCCATAGCGGTAAAAGTACATTCAGTTGACACGAACAAGTGGGTTTCTTCAAAAATAAGGTTGTCTCTGCAATATTCGTGCAGACGTTTCTGTTTGGTGCCGTTTACCAGGCAAATCTCTACTACCTGCCACTGTACTACCAGAATGCCCGTGGCTGGTCACCAATTGCCTCAGCAGCCATGACATGTCCTATGGTTGCCGCCCAGTCAATCTTTTCAATCACATCTGGGCTGTACATCTCGCGAGTAAAGCGCTATGGTGAGGTCATCTGGACTGGATTTGGCTTGTGGACCTTGTACGTGGATCGATGCCTAGGCCCTCTTACTTTGATCCCACACTAATAGTATCATTCTCCTAGGGGGTCTGGCCTCATGTTATTGCTCGGTACCCACACCCATCCAGCCGTTATTGCAGTCATTGTGGCACTCATGGGCGCCGGAATTGGCTTCACATTCCAACCCACTCTCGTGGCCCTGCAAGCACATTGCACCAAGTCTCAAAGAGCAGTTGTGATTGCAAACCGCAACTTCTTCCGCTGCATTGGTGGCTCATGTGGTCTCGCCATCTCTGCAGCAATTCTGCAGGCCACTCTTCGCTCTCACCTACCAACCAAATTCGCGTACCTGGCAGAGTCTTCGTACTCGCTTCCTTCAAGAGCGAATCTCAGTGCAACTGAGTGGGCTTCAATCCTCATGTCTTATAGCAAGGCTTCTCACGCAGTATTTATCCTCCAGGTCCCTCTCATTGGGGCGTGTTTCCTGACATGTGCCTTCGTGCGTGACAGAGGTCTGGTGCGACCAAAAGAGCCGGAAGAGATAGAAGGGGAGAAGCGAAAAGCCCAAGAAGCAAGAGATACCGAGGCCGCTCCTTCTGAATACACTGAGGAGTCTGTCGACCATGATACAAACCACCAGGGCGAGAAGCGTCATTCTATGTCGACACTCGCCGAATCAAAGATGTCGCCTTCTCGGGCGGAACCTTACACCGAAGAATACGGAGAGAACCAACAACAACAGCACCGAGCCACTTGAAAAGCGCTGAAAATGATGAACGGCCGTGAGTTTCGCTTTTGACTGGCGACATATGCATTTGTATTTGTTGCATGGGCGGCGTAAGATACCAAAAAGAATACTGTGTTTTGCGATAGATTATGTTAATATGAACACTACTTGGTACTTACGATTCTCTAAGCCACCAAGTCCTCTCAATGAGAACTGTATGTCAATAGTGTTCTCTGATGGGCTAGAAGCTGTTCATCCTTTCCAACTTTGCTTTTATGGGGGGCTAGCTCCAGCTTCTGATTTCTCAGACCTTCGAGATAGCGTACTAGTCACAAGTATCCAAACCGCAGAAAACAATAAAGCAATAGACTTAATTATAACATCCTAGAAGCCTTGTAAATTCTAGGCTGCGTTAGTGTTAGTAGACGTCTTGTCTTGGCATTCCGGTCCAACTTCATCTCCGGCCTCTTTCAGCCCCCCTTGCAATAGCACTTCGGCAGCGTCTTGATGGGTCAAATTGAGGTTGATATTCTCCTGAAAATTCAATATGTATGCGCTCGGACAGAGTCCTGGTTCATCAAGGCAGACAAGTCCCGCATCACGAGATTATAACCCACGAAAACGTGGAAGGACCGCATGCACTCGCTGCAAGACACGGAAGCAGAGGGTGAGCTATATCTAGCCTATAACATATTCGAAAATATGTTGACCTTGAGTTTTGATTAGTGCGACAATGAACAGCCAACCTGTTCCAATTGCTTGAAGGCTGGGGTCCCGTGCGATAAGTCGAGTGTCCGAGAAGACAAAGACCACCAGAATGAGTAAGGCCCTAATATATGAAGTATCCAGAAAAGACTAATCTGGATGCTAGTTACACACGTGGATTAGAGGAGCGTATAATGTTCCTTGAGCGTAAACTTGTTGAGTCTGATCGCTCATCAGACCGAAATGCTACGAATAGTGCGTCTTCGCTGTTCTCCCCACAAGGTGGTCACACAACACCGTGCACAACTACCTCGGGATTTGACAAGAATCCTGTTGGGGAAATCGTGGGACTTCTCGCCCTGAGCGCTTCCGAGGCCCCTGCATACGTAGGATCCAGTTCCGGTCTTTCTCTCGCTGCCGACCTGGGAGAGATGGTCCAAACGAGTGTGTGGAATCAATTCATCTCAAGAATGCAGCAGAAAACCAGTACCACCGCCAATAATTCTCAGAATAAGGCAGATCGAGTACACGGGCCCTCGGTGCAACCCAGCGCTACTGAGGTTCGAGATCGGGCAATGAGGATGGAAGATCTCTTGCCGGCGAATGTTGAGCCCCCAACCGATGAGATGGGGGCAAGAATACTCGAAACATATTTCACCCGGCTTCATTCTCGATATCCATTCCTGAACCGGAAACAAGTATGGCAGATCCATGCAGATCGATGGCGCTTGGCGAAGACCAAACGTGAGGACCTGACTCCATCTGATCGATTTGCTATCTTCAAACTCAACCTGGTCTATGCAATCGGCGCGACAATGCTTCGACTGAGTGAGAAGTATGCATACACGAATCCCGAGGTAATCATATACTCTTACCGTTAGATCGGTCAATGCTTACAAGTTCTAGCGATTTTACATTGCCGCCTTACAACATGTTCCCACAATGTGTGAAGCACGATCCATTGAGAATATCGAGGCCATGGTTCTTCTTGTCGTATATCATCTTCGAACTGCATCCAGCCATGGCATGTGGTACATGATTGGACTTGCTATGCGTACTGCTATCGATCTAGGTCTCCACCGAAAGGCAAATGAGAGCAACCTGGATCCATTTACGACTCAAATGCGACGAAGACTCTTTTGGACTGTATACTACTTGGAACGAGTGGTATCAATGTCTCTCGGTCGCCCGTTTAGTATATCTGATCGTCACATTGACCTTGACCTCCCAGTAGAAGTGGACGATGACATCGAAGATCCCACACTGCTCACAGCACCCCTAGATCCAAACAAAACCACATCCTTGACATTCGCAATTTATCTCTTCAAACTCCGTCGCATCGACTCCCGCATCCAACATAAAATCTACCGCGCCGACCGCCCTCTGTCTTCTCTACGACCCAAAATGGACCCCCTATACCTTGAACTAGAACAATGGAAAGAATCCGCCCTATTGCGATTCAGCGGCCCAGATCTCGACTACCCGATGTTGCACTTCAACCGAGCAGTTCGACTACTAATCCAGCCATTCCTCCCCCTCCTGCCAATCACAGACCCATACTACCAAATATGCATCCTGGCGGCAGGAAACATATGCCAATCCCACAAACGCCTGCACCAAACCTTAGAATATGGCCACTCCTTCCTAGCAGTGCAAACGGTATTCATGGCCGGAATCACCCTACTTTACGCGCTATGGACACACACGGACCAAGTCTGGTCCGTCCGGATGAGCAACGACATCCGCGCTTGCTCAACAGTCCTCTTTGTAATGGGCGAACGCGCAGCATGGGTCAAAAAATACCGCGACGCCTTCGAGCTGCTGGTCAACGCCGCCATGGAGAAACTACAGGGTAATGAGACTGCCCGCAACGCCGGAATGGCAGAGCTCATGACGGCCCAGTATGGCGTTAATTGGAATTCTACCACTGCCCCCGGCATGTCTGGGAGTGATAAGTACCCCCGGTCAACCCGACGGGACTGGCCCCTGATACTATGGGTGTTACGCCGCAGCCGCAGGGTTGTCCGGATGATGATTCTGAGCATGCGGTTCGAATGGCGTTGCAGTTAGCTCCGTGGATTGATCAGGATGAGAGTGATCCTTTGTGGGTGCCGGACTTTGGGACTTTGGAGAATCTGTCTGGGACACTGTGGAGCCATGAAGATAGCAGAGCCTTTGATCCCATGTGAGGTGATTTTGGAGTGCTGATTGTGCATACATGCGAGAAACGGAACATGATACCCTTTGATTGTGATACAATATGACAGTTCACATTTTTTATTTACTCATCGTGGAAGATTTGCTATGGTTGTTTAACGTATGGACGCATTCAATGTACCTGTGAAGCTCAGTCATGCTTGCTCGGCGTTGCATTGACTTTGGATTTCAGGTCTGGCGACGTGCAGCAGTCGACTGGCATCGGTCTGGTTCGATGGCCCATGTTGCATATTTTAGACAGTAATTTCACGCCGGTGATATTTTCAAGGAGGTATATCCGTGAACCAGCTTGCAAGATCAGGCAAATCAAATCTGCCAAGGAATCCAAATTCTTCCTGCCCCAAGCCCATCTCATCCCACGTTGTGAAAGGATTTATATCCATATTATTGGTATCGTGGTTGAGGCTGTGTTCCTCCGATACGGGCTCGGTATTATGCGACACCGAGTTGGGTCGGTTCAAATGTTGATTGCCCCTTTGATACAGCTGGTTAGAAGCCGACGAGGAAGTATCGCCAGGCCGGCAGGTAGCTATACAAGGATTAGCCTATACTTCATGAAGATTCATTAACAAACAACTAACCGGAGTAGTTTTGCATAATATGCTGGTGTGTTACTTGCAAGAACTGCAACGAGTTGCGGGCAGAGACACTAAACATAGCCATAAAAGCTAAGATCTCTTCGCACTTTTGCCAACTCTCATCCACGATTTGTGAATCAACCTGCTCCCGGATAGAATAGCATGAGTATGACATTATCAGAATGAAACCTGAAGTCGATGTGTCTAGTACATGTTAGTTGATGAGCATGAATGACAATGAGTAGCATCAATCACGAACAGAATCCATTGTACCACCATGCGTCAGTTAAACTTGTTCGGTATGTCTTGTGAACAAGTGAGACCAGGTCTATGGCTGCCATGACGCAAGAGGCGGCACATTTTGAGAAAACCGAGGAGTAGATTATGTTTTTCTCGCTAGGTTGGATATCAGTACGGCGTGATGATCCTGCTCGCTCATCGGAGCAGAGTTGAGTGAACATGGGGCGGTATAGTAGAAGGCGAAGGTGGATGAATCTATTTTGTTAGTTCAAGATTCTAATTCGAAAATTTTCAGAGAGAAGCTACCTTGCACGTAGCACATTCTGCTGACGTTTAAAGGTTGATGGATTGCCGCTTGGCTGATGCAGTGATACTTCATCTGTCCAATTCAAGGGCTGGGGCACGCTGGTCTCATATGCAGCAAGTTTATCGTCGAGTTCCATCAAAACATCCAGGCTACAAAGCTTGGAGCTTTGCAAAAAACTGGTGCGAGTGTTATCAGATCGACTTTGCCAAGCTTTATAAACCTCGGATAGGATAGACTCGAGGATCTTATATAGTTCAATGGTTGAAACGAAGAACGTCATATAGCCCAGCTTATGATCACAAGGTTGTCCACTAAGCGCACAAGGATCAGATTCTTGGGAATCAGTTCCCATTGCAGGTAGAGGTAATGATGGGATGTGAGAGGTCATGCTCGGTCTTCCATGTGTCATGCTCACAATCCTATTTTCGTTAGTTGGTTTTGTCTTCACGTAAAAATATAAAACAAGACAAAAGAAAAAAAAAAAAAAAAAACGGTGGCACCAACATATCCATGAGAACGCAGCTGTGCCAAGTACGCCGTCGTACTTCTGTTTCCAGGGGTTTGTTCGAGGTGTGTGTGGTTGTCTCATGTAGTCCGAGTCCTTGACCAACTCGACACGCCAGTCCAATTGCGTTCCAGCACCGAATCGGATAAGGGGTGCTTTGAAGAAGAAGTGAAACAATCAGAAGTGTTTGGACCACGCCAATAGTGCCTATATCCAAAAGGTCAAGATTTACAAATCGCTTTGCCCGAAGGAAAAATGAATAAACCGCGGCCTCCCGGTCTGCAGGCGGAATATCAGAGAAATGACAGCCAAGGGCAAAGATGGCATTAAGTGAGCAATGGAAGACAATTGAATTAGGACCGCAGTCAAATGCGCCCCCGAGTCCAATATTGAGCTGTGGCAACTCAGGCTTGGATGTCTTGTCTGACCCCCAGATATTTTCATACGCTAGCTCAAAACTGGGACGATGGAAAAATGGGAATAGACAGTGTACTCTATCCCAATAACACTCAAGGAGGTGGTCTGCCAGAGATCGAGGGGGTAAGGAGAAGTCGTCGAACCGAAGGTCTACCGATGGATAGCCTAGATCTCGCCAGATCCCCGTATCAGGGCCCTGGGGTCTTGCCGACTCATTTTTGCTACCACGTAAAGCTGACATATACGACCGCAAAGGCATCGACTCTCCTGCAAGACGCATGAAAGAGGCCACTGAAGAGTTCCCATAGTATTGCTGCTCCTGTGGAGAGTCCGTGCTTGGGTCGTCTTCTGTGACAGATATTGCGCCCATGGCGGTGACATTACCGTGGGAGTTGAGAGATGGCGAAGGATATATACTGCCTGCTCGTGGGTGGGCAGAGTCCGGAGATAGATGCGTCACACGTACTGATCTATAGCTCTCAGCTTCCGGTCGATTCCTCTGCGGTGGAAATATTGGTGGTTGAAAAGTAGGTGTTGAAGACGACGGACTTGGTCCAGATGACACAGGGGCTGAGCCTAGTCCTAGTAATCCTTCTGCGGCAACAGATGTCCTAGATTCTGCGTCCAGATGATCCAGATGCATAGCTTCACCCGTATCGTTTTGACTTTGACTTTCATATACCCTGTAATCTCCATGTTGTGAAGGGCCAGGGGGCACCGCAACTCCGCCTTTCGCACATATCTCTTCCAGCTCTCGAATTCGATTATGGAGAATCTTGAGGTATTCATCGTTGCTAGCAGACCTTGCATTATCTAGCTTGTATACACATTGATCAACGGCGTACGAGCGACGAGCGCAGGGACCACAAATTGGCTTTACACCGTCGCACCTGACCTTCTTATCTCGACATGACTCGCAGGCCAAGGCAATCTTGCGACGGCGAGGCTCTCGTTTAGTAATTCCTTTCGGAGGCATTTGACCTTCTATAGGCCACAGTGCAGAATATATGCGACCCACAGTATTGCTGCCCTATCTGATTAGTGATGCGGACGACCGCAAGAAAGGCGCATGCTGCAGGGAAGACGAAGTGGCACGATTCCTCGGAATGTACCCGGACAGTCACGTGCCACACTCGTGAGATTAATAAGACGGGGAATTGGAGAATGATGTTCCTGTTTATTTCTGTAAGATTACGGCCAATGAGCCCTGAAGGCTATAATTTAGGCTCTTTGGTCCACTCTGTTGAAACGACATCATATGTGGAGCTCCGGAATGTACCCGATGTGTTTTCATAGACAGGAGATACTTTGGCCACTTGGCACCATCGACTGCTGGCTTATTGTGGCGAAGGGGTATAATATGAAGAATATACATCTTTGACTCTATATGCGTTGAATTAATTGGTTGATCTATAGGGGTTGCGGATGTGCTGCGGATGCAGCTGCGGATCCGCAAAGACCGGGTGCATTCCGGAATTGACGTAGGGAACCGTGCTGCCTCATCAAGGCTTCAAATTACAGAATAAAGCCAACTTCCCCCCTTTATCTGATACCCCAGAGTGTCAGCTATCGCATCTCCACACTGAAGCCCGATATCAGAAGACCAAAGCCAGACTCACCTTCTGAGCAACATCTAAAACCCACAGTACAATTTCAACTGGATATCACCTGGTACCTGCATATCTTTCCAAAGCACCCTCACATCAGTTGAATTCTCCCGAAACCCTAGATGGAGTACGACAATCAGACGCTTCAAATGGGTCATACTACCCGTACGCTTTCACACTACTGCCCCTGGCAAGCCGACAAACCTCAAACAATCCCCCGAGGCCAATGGCCCGCCGAAGAAGGTCTCCAATGGGGTTCAGATCCCAGCTTCTGCTATCACGGCTATTCCAGTCCCATCGGCACCTGGACAGAGGAACGGCTCGTGCAAAACCTGATGCGGAATATGGCCAGTTTCTGTACCAGCATGAATCTAGGCTTCGATATCCCCCAAATCATAGATGAGCCACCTCAGAAGCCTATACTGGATGCATCGCAACTGAATGGATTCACCCTTCCCATGTTCCAGCCCTCGATGTCTCCACAAAGCGAACGACTCTCCGAGACACCATCCTCGCCATTTTCATCCTCATCGAGCCAAGGCCAAATACTCTCTTCAGACGATAATGAATGCTCACAACGGCCAAGCTGCATCAAGTCCAGAGCTAATTCCACACAAAGAAAGAGAAAGTGTGTGCAAAAGCCAGGGCAAAAATTGTGCCACTGCCGATCGGAAAAGAAGAGAAGAGAGTTTGTTGGAGAGCGATATAAAGAGCTCTCTCGTATTGTACCAGGGCTCAGGGAACAATCATACACAAGGAAATATGTTCTCGAGGAAGCTGCACTGTGGATACAAAGCTTGGTCCAGGGCAACGATTCCCTACATGAACAACTGAAGCAGTTGAAGGAACAGGAAAAGTTGAATCAGTAGCGGTTATTTTCTACTGAAGGCGAAGAAAAAGTGGGCTGCTAGTTTTGACATTGTTTGTATTTGTAACATATCACAGTGGCATATCATAAGTTGGATTGGCGTTGAAGGTATAAATGTAGGATAGAGAGCAACTGCAAAAGCAACTTAGGTCTTCCAGAATTGTCTGCTTCAAATCATATTACATTAAAGACTATACATCGAAAGCTGCTATTTGCTCAAACAGATCCAGCGTTACCTCACACAATACACAGTTGTACTCTATCCTTCTAGACCAGAAGATCTTAAACTACCAAGGAGGCGCAATGGCCACAATCCCCTTTCCCAACCTTTGAATCTGCGCAGCATAGTACGTCTATCAAAGCGTCAGCAACCCACTCAAATCAAACAGGAATAGGAAAAGACCTACACTCTCTGCCCCAGCCCCAATAAGATGCAACGGCAAGAAGCGCGTATACCACGGAACAGGCGCCTTATTCAACGGCATCTGCGCCTCATCATCACCAATACTCTCATCAAGCAACAGCCGGGGGAACTTCGGATCAATAGCCGCAGGTCGCCCAATACCAACCAGGTCACAAGCATCATCCTTAATAGCCGCCTCAGCCCCAGCACGCGTGCGGAATCCACCAGTCAGCATAAGAACGAGATCAGGATGGCGCTGTCGCACCTCCTTCGAGAATTCGAGGAAGAAGGCCTCGCGCGCGGCGGTGCGTGAGGATTTCGGTGCTGCAGCCGCATTGGCTTTACCATAGCCCATCATCTTTGGGTCCTCGTAGCTGCCGCCGGAGATTTCCATGAAATCGATGCCGGCTTCAGCTAGGAGTGCGATTTGCGTCATTGTTTCTTCAAAGGTCGCTGAGCTGTGGTCGGCAGAGTTCAGCTTTATGCCGATTGCGAAGGTTGCGGGTACAACTTTGCGCGTTTGCGAGAGGATCTCTAGGATGAAGCGGGCACGCTTTTCGGGTGTGCCGCCGTACGCATCTGTGCGGAGGTTTGTCTGAGTTTTAGTCAGTAGATTGGTTGATAATGTGGTTGGTAATTTAGGCTGGAGCTGGAAGAGTATCGCACCTTGCTGTTGAGGAACTGATCTAAATAGTCGAACCATTAGCATAAAGACAATCGAGCAAGTCGTGCAAAAAATCAAACAAAAAGAAACATACCAATCAAATACCCATGCGCACCATGCAGCTCAATACCCGAAAATCCAGCATCGGCCATCAGTCTCGCGGTATCAACAAACTGACGGATGACTCTCTCAATGTCCTGAGTCGTCATCTCCTTAGGCTTAGACCACACCAGACACGCAATCATGCTCTGAAAGCGACTATCTCCAACGCTCATGGGTACGGCGCTGGGTGCGAGGGTCTGCGCGAACATACCGCGGTGGCCTGCGACGCGGAAGGACTGCCGACCTGGGTGGCAAATCTGGGCAATAGCTGGCGTGCCATGTTTTTGGCAGGCGTCGGCGTATACCTTCCATTGAGCGACCAGGGCGCTGTTGGTTTTGCTGTCTTTGTACTCATTGTGTAGAGCTGGGTCGAAGGGGCTGCCCATATGGTTTACGTCGACTTGGACATTTCCTGATAGAATGTTAGGGTTGGTTGCTTTGGTAATAAGTGTTGATAATGCAGTATTGAATTAGTATCATGGTTAGGGTTGGATAGACCTTACCTGTAAGAATACTTCCCCATCCACCGTCGGACCATTGCTCATAGGCATCGGTCAGGGTGTTTGTCGGCTGGTTAGTTTTGGCAATCATCTCAGCCATTGCGGCCTGAAAAGGTGTTAGTTCCGTGTATAACGATCAAGTGTGAACAATGTATGTGATTTGTACCTTGCTCAGCCGGTTTGGCAAAACCAGTCCACATGGGAGCTTGACGGGGTCTGCGAGGGGAGATGGCATGTCGTATGTGCAGATTCCGTATATCAATATGTGCAGTGAAAATGAGATAGTCGAATGCAATTGCAGATAAAGTCCAATATAAACCTGAAAATTTAACTACTTATCTACTACTTATTGGTCGGAGAGATTAGTCTCCCCGTGTGGAGTCTCCCGAGGTCCACGAGGAAATGTGGATTTGGGAAAGTCGGGAAGTTCTATTCATCCGTTAATGGTTTTTTTAAGATGATTTGATCAACCTAGAAGGGAAGATGTTGCGAGCTCTATTTTTTTTTTGGTGATAAATCAGTGAAGATTGTACGATAATAGATTAGTAGGATGAGGTGTATGTAATTTAGTTTTGTTCATTCATATGAAGCTAGATTTAAACAATTCCCAAGATGCAAATGCAAACCAAAAAAAAAGGCCAAAGAAGATAAGTGCTGGGTATTCAATCAGGGAAAAAGAAGTTCGTGTCCAGCCCGAAAATAGGCAGAGAACGGGAAGCGCTGGGAACCAAAGGAGGAAAATATGAAGGTCAGAGTGACATGCGAGTCCATCACGCAGACATCCTAAGCGCTGACAGATTAGAACAGATGCTTTTGTTGTGCGAAATGCAGTATACATAACCAAGCCGACAAGAAGAAAAAAAAAACTCAAATCTTACAGCTTGGCATTCTTCTCCTCAGTCGGGGAACCATTCGCCGTGATAGGGGGCGAGATTGTTCCTAGACTGGAGAGGAGGTGACCGACCTCGCGCTCCAGAGCGCGGACCTCGGTGTGAGGGTCATACATGCGGGACTTGATCCAGTTGTCCAACTCGAGGTCGCTCATAGAGCGGAGGGCAATCTCGCGGTCAACCTTGTCCTCTTGGGCAGCGCGCATCACCTTACGGGTGACAACGACGCTGACCTCGCGAATGCGGGTGATGTCGGGGTAAAGCAGACCCCGCTCGAGCTCCTCGCCGGTGAGAGCAGAGGAGAGGGCATCGCCGGAGGCGTAGATCATGCTGTCTGTGACGCGGACGGCCTTGGACAGGATGCTGCCGAGGCCGATACCGGGGAACACATACATGTTGTTGCCCTGACCGGGGTAGTAGGTGCGGGTCTCACCGGCGGAGTTGGTGAAAGTGAAGTTGGGGAAGGGGGAGCCGGAGGCGAAGAGACAGCGGCCGTCGGTGTTGGTGACGGCGGTCTCGAAGTCACATTCGGACTTGGAGGAGGGGTTGGAGAGGGGGAAGATGAGAGGGGCGGTGTTCCAGTCAGCCATCTTGCGCAGAATCTCCGGGGTGAAGACGCCTCCCATGGTGGAGAGACCCATCAGGATGGAGGGCTTGACATAATCAACGACCTCTTCGAGAGTCTTGTATTGCTCGGCGTTGTTGTCACGGCGGGCGAAGTAGACCTTGTGGTCGGCGAGCTTGTCACCACGGTCAGCGGTGACAAGGCCCTTGGTGTCAACGAGGTAGAAACAGTTGCGGGCTTCATCCTCGGTCATGCCTTCGCGCATGAAGAACTCGACGATTTGGCGAGCGACGCCGACACCGGCGCTGCCGGCGCCGAAAAACACCGCACGGTGGTCCTTGCAGGGCAGACCGGAGCGCTTGACAGCGTTGATGACACCACCAAGGATGACAGCGCCCGTACCCTGAATGTCGTCATTGAAGCAGGTGTAGTGGTCCCGGTACCGCTCAAGGGCAGGGAAGGGGTTCTTGAAATCCTCAAATTGGATGACGATACTAGAGAAGAAGCATTGTTAGTCTCGGTTGCTGACAAGCGAGATCAGCCGAAAAGGCATGTGAGAATGAGTCACTTACCCAGGCCAGCGCTCGGTAAGAGCACCCATCAACTCATCCAAGAATTCCCGCTCCTCCTCGGCGGAGATCTTCTCACGACGGCTACCCATGTAGAGCGGGTCTTCCCGGAGGGCCTTGTTACCAGTACCAAGATCAAGAGTCAGAGGCAGGGTGGCCTCGGGACGAATACCCGCACAAGCGGTATAAAGCGCCAACTTTCCAATGGGGATACCCATACCGTTGATGCCCAGATCACCCAGCCCGAGGATGCGGGAGCCATCGGTGATACATGTGATTTCGACATTTTGCTCGGGCCAATTGGAGATGACCGAAGCCAGATTTCCACGATCTTCCCAGCTCAGGTACATACCTTAAAAAAAAAAATAAACATTAGCATCTCCGGTTTTATTTCGTGTGCGGAGAATATGCCAAATGCGGAGAAAATGGACAATTCACTGCGGAGAAGATGATCTCGATCATTGGTACGTACCTTCGGGCTGTTGGTAGATCTCGGACCACCTTTGGCAGGCCTCGCCCACCACCGGGGTATAGATCAGGGGGTCATTTCCTGCAGGGATTATTATGGTTAATTTTCGTCTCCCCAAAAATTTCTCGGTCCAATCACATGTCTCGGAGCTCAACGTACCCTGAGGTGGTCTGTCACAAGACGGTAGAACAGGTGCACATTGTTCTTACGCAGAGTGCTGAGATATAAGAATTTGTCGATGGGGGTGTTCTTCAAACCCAGCTGCGCCAGGCATCGGGTCTTTTGTGTCTCGTAGCCCTCGGCGCGAGGAGGAGTGAGGCCGTATGTGCGCAGGTATTTGCGAATGTATGCAGGGTTGGCGGTGTCATAGTTGGCGTCACTAAGAGAGAATTAGTCTCTCCATTGCACGATTGAGCACGGCTATAGGGTTGACTTACGCAGGCGAGGCGTGGTTCACATGAGGGGCCGGGGTTGCGTGCACCGGCCGGCTTTGTTGAGTTGGTAGTGAAGGGTATCGAGCCATTGTGATAGAAGACTTGGAGTTCGAGGTAACGGTAGAAGAATGATAGAAAGAAAAAAAGGATCTGGGAGCAGATACGAGTCTGTTCTTATGTCCACGAGACAACATATTAAATTTCCCCTGGGACATTCGTGTCAAGGACATTCCGACAGGAGTTGACCAGATAATTAACCGGGACGTGTCAAGGCGACACGGTCTAGTCATGAAAGAGTCATGATTTGAAGTCGGGAAGAGTCGGATTGGGGGAGAGGGTCATGACCCATGTGGATTCATTTTCGGTGTTGACAGCGAACCGTTGTGCATGAAAGTCCTTCTGGAATCTGGATCCCTCCAAAAGCTTTTTTTTTTTTTTTTTTTTTGTTCGGGAAGCAGATCCAGGTATCACTATGTGGAGACGGGGAGGCGCCGACTCCGACAAATGCGGAGATATAGTCAAATCAAGTTGAAAATGGTATGTTCCATGAGACATATAATTGCGGGATTTAATTCTCATTCCAGCATTATGCAGGGAGGATTGGTTCGATGTGAGGGGATTGAAACCATTGAAGTTCTGAGTATTTTGGAATCTACACGGTAGAACTCGAACTGACTCCCAAGTAGAGATGATTCCCAAAGAAATATACTGTAGTGTGATTGGTCGTAAAAGCCGGGGAGGAAAACGCCATGAAGCTTGCACTAGTCCTGTTTTGGTCCGTTCCACTCAAATCCACAGCTACGAGCTCCCAGAGCCGCAGATAGTGCCGAAGTGGAGTGAAGCTATACCCTAATTAATCTCAATTCGGTGTTTCATTTTTTTTTTTTCCATTTTTGCATTTTCATTTTCGTCAAAAGCTTCAGACTTCTGGCTTGGAAGTATAACAGGGAGTCCATGCCTATGGTGTCCATAATCACAATGCCGTACTACCCGTACTATCGTACTATACTATTGTACTATTGTCTGTAAAGAATCATATGTTGCTACACAAGATGATAAGCTATACTCCTACAGAAAATGGTTATCTCCGGAACCTTCCCGGTGAGACTTTTGGGCTTTTGTTTCGAGTCCGCCGGGTTGACGATGATATTCGGTCTTTGTGAATGGCTCTCGGTCGCCGACCCGATTTCTAATTACCTATATTCTCCAGCACGGTTGCGTTATTTTTTTTTGCCCCCTTCAATTCCTTTGTGTCTGGAATATCGAAACAATTCGGGGGCACAATTCGGAATCTAGGGATCTCATCGCCGATTGGCCCCTGTCCAACCTCTGTGTAAGGCGCAAAGCTTCTATTAATAATTTCCAGTCCTATGCCCTGCTCTACGGCGTACAGATTTTCAAATATCTCCGAATTCGTCAGGATATCTCCCTACAGTTCCCAACGTTGGGACATTGGGCCATTTCCCGCATGTCTTCAGAATGCAAAATGAGCTCATTTTCATGGAGACATTCGATATGTCATTTTCAAATTAATATGAGGCATATATGTACATTGTCTTCTGTTTTTTGGTCTCCCTGTCTACTGCAGATCTCCTTGGATTACTCACAAAGTGGTCAAATCGAGGATGAAAGGACCTCAACATCGAAATGAAGCCGATCTACTTCGTTGGAGCTGCAAGTGCAGAAAAGGCGACCCGGCTAAATAGCTTTCCCCAGATCGCGCCCCTGGGGATCTACTTCTTTACATAATAGCTTCATCCACTTCAATTACTCTAGAACTTCCTGTTTTTCTTTTTTGTTTATTGGAATTAATATCTAATGAAATACTCAAGAACATTGAAACATGGCCCTGGATTTTCTGAGCAAATATAGCACAAACATTTACGTTGCACTGTAGTGGTGTGTCGTCATGTGCCTAAAACAGGTTCCCAAGCCCAACTCCTCTCCCTACATACCGTAAGATCTCCAACCTTTAGCTTCATCACCACGATTATCTCACCCGGTCCTGTAGGGGCCTCATCAAATATGCCTTCCGAGACGGAACCCCTCCTCCCTCGCTATGAGGATGATACCTCACGTCAGCGACGGCTCCATCAAAAGCTACATAGCTACCAGATGGTCCGCGCCATCTCCGAGGGATACATGCCAACAACCGAACAAACCATCGCCAACCTCCGTACCCTTCTAGCCTCCGATGTGCTCAACCTCCGTAATCAGGATATCGGTAGTGTCGGTCGCCAGCTAGTGCGGGATAGTCGACTGTGGATCCAGGTCTTCATCGAATTTCTGCAGCAGAGGAACGGCCAAGACCAGCTCCAGGAGTTTTTGTGGCGCCTGGCCCGTTCGCGTGTCGAGGTGGACACCGAGAGGGTTTCAAGACAGGCCGCCCACGTGAAGGCGCGGGCTGATACTAAAGCTGGTGGGTCGCGTTCTTCCACTGCAACTGCCCACCTTCTGGGCTTGGCACATGCAAATCACAAGTGATAATCGTTGCTAATCCCTGCGAATAGCATATGACAGTTTCCGCACTGTCGGTGGTCTGCTTCTGACTAATGCTGATTTCCGTCTTTTCGTCGATGACATCGTTACCGTTGGCCGCCAGATCTTCGCTGATACCGCTGAATCCCTCGCCGAATCCTCCAAGAAAGTCGCGGAACAAGTGAAACCATCCGAGGAAGAAGAGCAGGCGCTACAGGGTGCTGGTGCCGATGAGGGTCATGAGCTATCGAAGGCCGAGGTGAAGGAGGAAGTTGCACATGTCGCGGGTGTGGCCGGCGAAGGGATCGCTCACACAAGCCGTGATGCTGTGCAGAGCGCCAAAGAGCACCTGTCAGGCCGAGAGAGGGACACTTTGCTGTTCCGGCTGAAGCAGGCGGTCGAAAAGCTCCGGGAGAGGACGGACTACTCTGATTCGGTGGCAACACTTGCCCAATTGGTAGCGCGCTATGCTAAGATCTACGCCGATGTAGCAGAGAGCACGGCCTCGGTGGCCCAAGAAGACATGGAAGTCAACGCTGACCTCAAACGGGCGGTCGACCAATTCTGGAATCTCTTGCGGTCATATGGTAGTGCAGAAGAGTGGGATCGGCTCCAGGAAAAGTTCCACAATGTCTTGCGCCATGCAAACAAAGATCCCGAGTTTGATAATCTGCTCGGAGAGGTGGGAACTTCCTTGCAGGACATGCTCACCAACCCCGAGTTCTTCGACTCGGCACCGCAGAAGCTTGATGAACTCAAACAACAATCTGACAAAGTAGGCTCGGAGACGAGCCTGCGAAAGGATGTGGATGATTTCCTAGCACAAACCAAACTCACACTTAGAACTGTGCCGGAAGACCCAGCCGTCTCCAAGTTAGTCAATGCTACCAAGAAGGTCTACCAGGGCGCTTGGGGTGCCTACAATGACAAGAAGGCCGACCTCCCAGCAGATTTGGTGAATGTCTTCCTCCCAATGCTTCTCCGAACAATCCAATACATTCCGTTCCCCCCGTTTGGAAATCTCTGCTCCAGAAATGGACCTCCTTCTCGAGAACCTAATCCTTGAACCTGGCCACACAGTAAACTTCTCCTCTTTCCTCCCCTACCGCATGCACCTCCTCACACGCAATGATATCGACGTGGTAAAAACCCACTCAAAGCGCACAGAAACACTCATGAAAACGGCCTTCACGGTCACCGTCCAAGGTCTCAACATCAGCGCCGAAGACTTTGGCTACTGGTTCCGCACCCACACAGGCTTCTTCCACCTGAAGGATGAAGGCATAGCAAGCTTCTACCTAGACCGCCGCGGCATCGACATCTCCCTGGACATCGAAGTCGGGCGCGGAAGCCTGGAGCAGATCTTCTCTTTGCGCGGCGTCCGCGTCTGCATCCACAAACTTGACTACACAGTCAAGCGCAGCAAATGGAGATTCATCCTCTGGCTGACCAAACCATTCCTGAAACATCTCGTTCGACGCGTGCTTGAGAAGAAGATCGCAGAGGAGATTGTTGCAGCGATGTTCGCGCTGAATCGCGAGCTAGTCTTTGCACGTGAGCGGCTGCGTGCTGCCCGCATCGCTAACCCGCAGGACCTGGCGACTTTTGTGCGAGCTGTCCTCGCGCGCCTTAAACCTGCTGACTCGGATGTCGAGACTAGGATTGGTCTTGAGCCGTTGGATCAGGGTGTCTTCAAGGGTATCTATGCTCCCGGCAGTATTGTCAAGACCTGGCATGAGGAGGCCACACGCGCGCAGGAGGCCATAGAGGATGGAGATGAGACCCGTGGCCTTGGCCATACTTGGCATAATGATATCTTTAATGTTGCCGGGCGGAACTGATTGCATTATCTGATTTAGGAGTTTGGAGGAGTTGCTCTACTTAGCTAGCAGTGTGTTTATGATTTTATGATGAATCCCAACATACCACCGGATGTCAGCCTGTACTTGATAGCTTTCATTTCCGTTTTAATTCCCATCTCTTAGTAATTTTTGAGAATGAATAATTAAATCTTAAAGAACATAGAGCCCGATAACGCCATAGAGGTGGTATGGAACAAAGAATCCCTTTAGCAAAGTCCCTAGCCCTTCTAATGAGGCGATGTTTGCCTACCTAACAATTATGATAGGGATATCTTGTGGCGGTAAATACCCCTCCGTTTGTTTGTTTCTTATCAATCTCACGATCAGCTATGTGTAGGAACTATGGATAGGTACCTAGGTAGGTACCTGGCATATTTCACTCCCCGCACCTCGCCGAGCCTCAAAACCTTTCTTACAGTTATTCCATCTGCAGACCAGACCTGATCCTCTTTAAAATCAACATCAACATTATTCACCATATCCGAATGTCATGTCTGATCACATAGAGGTATAGCACCAGAAAATTAACCACGGGCCCGATGATTATGAGCTCATCATATAGTAGCATAGGGAAGAAGATTCCACCGTTCAGATCCGTATTGGAGACATTGAATACTCCATTGACATAGCAAAAATCCCCTATTTTAATTCATTTCTCAGATTCCAACGGTCTTCCGGTCAACATTCAACCCAGTTGCCCACCCACGACGAGATCCCTTTTTTCAATGTGATCGACGAAGGAATCAAACATGGCTTTCGTCAGTTCTTCCGCCTCATGCCAACCCAGATCCATGACTACCGTGTTCTCTGCGAAACACTCGACTTTCTCTGTATTGATGTCCTATCTGGACGCGATATTCGCTCTATCATGGGAGACCTTAGGAGTGGCAAACACTATTGGAATGAGCAAATATTCAAAACCTGGGCACGAGACTCGGCTTTTCGGCTTCTATACCTGTTTCTTCTTGGTGACTTCGAGTCTGATGTCAAGGATAGCAATAGAGCCTACAATGCAGCTCTCTTTGTCGTCTCCCATTGTGGAATTTTCGAGCATAGAACGAGAAAAATGATCCGAGAGGCTTATGAGGAGCGGTTTGATGTATCAGCTAAACAGCTACGTGAGCTTGATAAGTGGGCATTCCACCCTCCTGTCTCTGACTACTCAGAGGACGATGGGACTACGGAGTCGGAGGATCTGAGCTTTGATTTTGATTATGATTATTACTCGGATCGGTCGTGAGCATTTATGTATGGTGTTCTGGCTATTGTGCACATATACCCTGGCGCGTACGATCTACATCAGAGTACCGATAGGTTTATGTATATAAGCCAGGATTGATAATTATTAAGTCTGGTGCTTCTGCTATATTATAAATAATTCTTCATGAACACAATCAAGATAAATAGAACTATGTAGATCCACTTGTCTTCCGACGTACACTAATATATATCCATGGAGTTGAACGAAACAACAGACGATGTAACCACACCAAGCTGCAACATATGAATAAACACACCCAATTACGTTCTTCGATTGCAGGTATCAAGGTGAAATCTGAAATTAATCTTTTACCCTACATCACTCATTGTTTATTGCCTATCTCCCAAGTACATCGTGGCCATACATCCACGTGACCCGGCTAAACATTGTTCCTCTTTTAGGCCACCTAATGTAGATCTAACACAACGAAGCTGCGGAGCCAACACCTCCAATCTTTAATTCTTGATTCTCTGGCATATAGCTCGACGGAGGAAAACACCTGTGTTGCCAGCCACTGCATACTTTATGTCGGATAATTAAACATCACAAGAAACCCACCAGAATCAGAGCTTGTCGAAGCTTGACCTATCTACATACCTCGGTCTACACAAACAAAAGCTCCACATCCCCTCCGAGCGCACGAGCAGCTGCTCGCGCAGCCCCGCATCGCCAAAATGCAATTATTACGACTTCTAGTCACGATAGCCGTCGTGCTATTCTCCGTTGTCGTAATCGCCGCCGAAGATTACTACAAGGTGCTTGGTCTCGCGAAGTCCGCATCGGAGAAAGACATCAAGCGCGCATACAGAACATTAAGCAAAAAATACCACCCTGACAAGAATCCGTGAGTGAAATTACTATTCTCTTATTTCTCTATGCTTTTTCTACTGCCCCGCACATGGCACACATCACACACGGCGCAATTGCTAACCCACCTCTTAGCGGCGATGATACGGCCCGCGAGAAATTCGTCGAGATTGCAGACGCCTATGATGTACTCTCGACCAGCACACTGCGCAAAGTATACGACCAATATGGCCACGATGGGGTAGAGCAACACCGCAAAGGCGAAGCAGCCGGCGGCGGCCACGACCCATTCGATCTGTTCTCGCGGTTCTTCGGCGGGGGCGGACACTCTGGCCACGCGCCTGGACACCGTCGCGGACCGGACATGGAAGTGCGGGCGGCGCTACCGCTACGGGATTTCTACAACGGACGCGAGATCAACTTCCTCGTTGAGAAGCAACAGATTTGCGATTCTTGCGAAGGGACGGGATCCAAGGATCGACACGTTGTGACTTGTGATCGGTGTGGCGGACGTGGAATGGTTATTCAGAAACATATGCTTGCACCGGGGATGTTCCAGCAAGTGCAGATGCAGTGTGACAGGTGTCATGGACAGGGGAAGAAGATCAAGAATCCTTGTCCTGTTTGTGAGGGAAATCGGGTTGTTAGGAATCAGGTTGAGACTAGTGCCACTATTGAGCCTGGAATGGGGAAGGGGACTAGGCTCGTGTTTGAAAATGAGGCTGATGAGAGTCCTGACTGGATTGCTGGAGATTTGATCGTTATTTTGGACGAGAAAGAGCCTGAGCTTGGACAGTCTGAGGAGGAGAGGACGGATGGGACGTTCTTCCGGCGAAAGGGAAAGGATCTTTTCTGGAAGGAGACTCTTTCGCTGCGCGAGGCGTGGATGGGCGGCTGGAGTCGCAATCTTACCCATCTTGATGGACATGTTGTTCGTCTTGGACGTGGACGTGGTGAGGTTGTGCAGCCGTTGGCTGTTGAAACTATTGCCGGGGAGGGCATGCCGCATTACTCCGAGGGTCATTTACATGACCACCATGATGAGAATGATGAGGCGGGAAAGCTGTTTGTTGAGTACACTGTTGTCCTGCCTGACCAAATGGAGAGCGGGATGGAGAAAGACTTCCATGCTCTTTGGGAGAAGTGGCGCAAGAAGATAGGAGTTGACTTGGCGAAGGACTCCGGGCGACCGGTTGCGCCTCCGCCGGCGGAGGATAAGGATGAGTTGTGATTACTTTCCAAGCCTTGTTATTCTTGATTCCCTTTTTTTTCATGGTCATTGTATATTGATTGCATTTGTTGGTTTGCGTGCATTATAAGACTCTGGATTAGATTAGACCCTCGGCTTGTATTAAAATGTTGTATATGATATACAATAGATGCCTGAATCCCACAAGGGGTCTTCCACGGTTAGAGAATGTAGATATAGAACTGGAGTCTAATTGGCCCATCGGGAATCGGAAATGCACTTCCAAGATTTTCGGCATACATGACTCAATATAAAGCCAGAGCCTCTCTGCACCTTGTTCAATTGGCCCGGCACATATGGACGACCGGGACACTGCTCGCATCGCCTTAGTACCATATGCAGATCGACGATCCGTAGATCTGGGCGGGACAAGATTCTGATTCTACCCAACACTGTCTGGGCGTAAAGCATACCTCTCACATGATGGGTTTGTGGCGCAGGATGTAAACAAAGAAAGACGGGGCGTACACAGTACAGCGCATATATCTAGCGCGATGGTCTAACTAGAATAGGCTTGAGAGGGGAGGATCTACTTATTTAGGACAGGGGTTGATGTTGTAGCCAATGGGCTTAGTTTACTTCTGACTACACACATCACCCACTTCCTTGACTGGTATTTCAAGTCGTTCGTGTTGGATGTGTCTAATATCAATGTGTCGGGTGTACGTTTGAGGGATCGGTTAGGAGATGCTCCATGTGCAAACAAGTCTAGAAGCATCCACTTCGCGGGTACAAGCGCCACTTAGATCCTGTAGGGTTTTACTGGCTGTCCCGGTTTATGATAATCGGATTTGGTTTATTCTACAAAAGGGGTTGGTGTACGGTTCATGCCGTAGGCTTCATTTTGTGCCCTACTGTTGCTTTGTTGATATCTCCAGTGATGTAGATAAAGATGGAAAGACAAATTGTTCTCCGATACAATAGATCTCAGATTCCTGATTGAATAAACCTCCCAGGAACACCCCAGTCCCTAGAAACACCCCAAACGCGGTGGGATAAACATTCGAATAAAGCATCAATTTGCCGAAGTTCCACCCGTCAGGTCAAACTTAGAATAACTAGAATTGAAAATTCTCCATAAAATTTACGAAGTTCATCTCAAAAATCAGACATGAGTCTGATTATAACCGATATTGCCAGTTGCAATATAGGAAAGGATAAACATCGCCACTGCGCCACGAACTACTCAAGGATTTACAAAACTTGCAGATAGACTAGGATAGACTAAAATTTTGTGCTGGTAGATAGGGTTATTCCGGGAGATTCACCGGCATGACAGTCCAAACCGCAGTTCTAACCTCCATTTCATACCTCCGTATGTACCCCGTATGCCGGCTGTCGTATGTGGTATGCACCATGCACTATCAATTATTCTGGTAAACGTCACCTGAAGGGAACGACCAGTTCATGCATAACATCCCTGCTAGGACTGCGCCTAGATTTAGCTATCAGCAGACTTCAGTGGCTGGCTGAGGGTACGCGGATCCGGTATCCAAGCGCGGGTTGTCTTCCGGGGGCGATAGTGTGTCATAGTATAAAAATTGCGAAAGCACAGGAGGAGCCAGTCGGAAAAGTATTTGTCAATTGCGACTAACTTTTGATTCATGCGCGTATCTCTGGAACATGTAGGCTGCATCGTGCATCAAAGAACATTACGGGGATCGCTTTGATAGCGGCATTTGTGGACTCCATAGATCTGTTCTCTGCCCACGCTGGATGTTGTCTCTTTCCTTAATCGGTAACTCCCTGGGGGCCGAGGGGATTCTCAAACAGATGGATCGACTATGGGTTGCGGTGGGGGGCTGGTTTTGTCTGATTTAATTGATTTCTATACTTCAACTTATTTGATATTCAAGAGAGTGGTTTTATTACCAGGGTTGTAATGAATCCGTGAAGTTGAATGAGTTAGATCCATCGACTTGAATTAGACAAATAATCATATAGCTTTGAGCAGAGAACCTTTACAATGGATTCTACATCTTTTATAAATAATCTTAAACCGTTGTCTGCAGTAATACTGGGAATATACAGAGTAAGACTGACGGCTGTTCAAAGTTCTAATCTTCTACGGAAGTTTTTAGGGCAAACGAATGGGAAGCACCTGGGCACTTTGTTAGTATCAAGGTAACCAATCAGCGTATAACATAACTTGACACAAGAAAAAAAAAGCCGAATTTGACAGCGATCAACAAACGTTGGGGTGCAGGTAACGGTAATGCATCTCTCCGTAGGTCTCGGAATTGATGGTCTTCCATCCGAACTGTTATAAAGTTTTGATATATGTAGCCATCTCTACTTCTGGGTCTATACACCATTGGCGGAAAACCCATGAGATCCGAAAATTCTTGTCTAATTTTTGATTTGATGGGTCCGGAGGTCCACTTGGTAGATTGTTACATGGCTATATCATAATTTTCAAATCTACCTAGGTAGGCCAATAAATGCCCGTAAATCTTGTAGATTTGCTGTTCACCGTTGAAATATGTACCTATATACAACAAAAACAACCCTGGAAGCCCTTGAAATTCCGAATATACCAGGTTGCTGGTATCCACTTTTTAAATGAATACAACCGAACGCAACCCAAATAGGCAACTCGCGAAGATCAGTAGAAATGCTCGTGCCCACCGGCTGGACTGCCAATCTCGGACTTCCATGCTCTTAGCTCCTTCGTAGCCTTACATCAGTAGAATGGCACCGTGTCGAGGTTGATATATGAGTAGGTGCGCAACAGTGTTTGCTATCAAAATCCTCATCTCCTCTCGATCCTCAATCATCTTATATCTTCGCTTTGTCTTCACCTTGCTTCAATCTTTGCCCTTCCACTCCTCAGACCAGCTTCTTGATATCTCCTGTTCTACCTCCTTCTTTATCTACGCTTGATCTGATCGAGACTGATATCTATTGGCATATCATCCCATTCATTGTTAGCATTAGAAGATGCGTCCCCTCTCGCTGACAAGTGGGCCCCGCGGCGATGAAGCCATACCTTCTGATGCTCTGGAACCCATTGCTATTGTTGGCCTGGCGACCCGTTTTCCGCAGCAAGCAACGACCACCGAGAGCCTGTGGGAGCTTCTCCTGCAGGCCCGTTCGACGTGGTCCTCGATACCCAAAGAACGTTTCAACTCGGATGCCTTCTATCATCCAGACCCCGAGCATGGTGGAACAGTAAGTCATATTCGAACCATGATAGACCGAAATCGCCACGAAAGATCATTTGGTTGACCCGTATCTATCTCTAGTTTCATGTCCAAGGAGGTCACTACCTCTCAGAAGACCCTGCCTACTTCGACGGCTCCTTCTTCAACATCACCAAGAATGAGCTCTTGACACTAGATCCACAGCAACGGCTGGTTTTGGAAAATGTATACCACGCCTTGGAAAATGCAGGCATTCCCTTGACCAGTGCTGTGGGCTCCAACACATCTGTTTTTGTCAGTGGGTTCAATCACGACTACCTGGGTATCCTCAATTCAGACCCAGAGACCACTTTGAAATACAAGCCAACAGGTGTTACCAATGCCATTCTGTCCAACCGTGTCAGCTGGTTCTTTGACTTCAAAGGACCTAGTATGACCATTGACACGGCTTGTTCCAGCAGCTTGGTGGCGCTGCACCTCGCTGTACAGAGCTTACGTGCCAGAGAGACGAGCATGGTACGTTATCTGTGTTGTTATTATTATTCTCACGCAAATATACTGATACTGGTCTAAGGCTGTCGTCAGTGGTGTGAGCATTCTTGAAAATCCGGTGGAAACAATCGGCATGAGCCACCATGGCTTGTTGGGACCCCAAGGGCGGTCTTTTAGCTTCGACTCCCGTGCTGAAGGCTATGCACGAGGAGAAGGTGTGGGGACACTTGTAGTGAAGCCTTTGAGTGCTGCCATCAGAGATGGAGATACTATTCGTGCGGTTATCCGGGAGACCGGAGTCAACCAGGATGGCCGCACGCCAGGAATCACAGTTCCCAGCGCAGATGCGCAAGAAAGATTAATTCGTGAAGTCTACTGGAGAGCCGGCCTGGACCTCGAACACACAAGATTTGTTGAAGCCCACGGCACGGGAACAAGTACCGGTGACCCAATCGAAGCGGGTGCTCTTGCGAGTGCGTTCAAATGTCGCCGAGCGACTCCGCTTTACGTCGGCGCGATCAAGTCTTCCATCGGACATCTGGAAGGTGGCTCAGGTGTGGCAAGCATTATAAAATCTATTCTGACCCTTGAGTCTGGGATCATACCTGCAAACTTCGATATGAAGCAGACAAACCCCTCCATTCCCGCAGCGGACCTGGGCATTGCGTTCCCTACCGAGGCTCTTCCATGGCCATCAGCAGGGCTGCGCAGAGTGTCAGTCAATTCATTTGGAATTGGTGGCACCAATGCTCACTGCATTCTTGATGATGCTTACCACTATCTCAATGACCGTCATCTTACAGGTGCCCATCGAACCACATGTACTGTTCCTACAACCCAGAAAATTAAGACCCGGCTTTTAGCACTGTCCAGATCAGGAACAGCATCAACTCATCTCGCGACGGACTCATTCGATGACAGCGATCAATCTGGGCATGGAAGTACCTTTGTGGACACGCCCACAAGCGATGGCTTTTGTACATCGCCCACATTCACATCCTCAATATACACCAGCTTGGTTGAGAAACCAAAGATGTTCTTGCTCTCGGCTTTCGACGAAGACGGCGTCAAGCGAAATGCAGCTGAATTTGCCAAGTACTTGAATCGGAGATTGAAGCAGTCAGTTCTCCATGATCATATACTTGATGATCTCTCTTTCACTTTATCGAAGAGACGGTCTCAGTTTCACTGGAGGAGCTTCGTTATGGCCTCATCGGCCAAAGAACTTGCGTGGAACCTGTCGGAATCAAATTTTGCCAAGCCAACTAGAACTGCCAGAGTGCCAGAGGTTGGATTTGTTTTCACGGGCCAGGGAGCTCAATACCAGGCCATGGGTCGAGAGCTCATGGTCTACCCCGTTTTTCAAGAGTCCGTGGAGGAAGCATCGGACTATATCCGCCGGCTTGGTAGTCCGTGGTCGCTACTTGGTATTAATCTGCCTGTTCCGTTTGAATGTGCCCGACTAACGTATTACAGACGAACTATTGACTGAAAGACAGTCACCCCGGGTCAACTTGCCAGAGATCGCTCATCCACTATGCACAGTCCTGCAAATTGCAGTCGTGGATCTCTTGGCCAGTTGGGAAATCTACCCAAAGCATGTAACGGGTCATTCATCCGGGGAGATAGCTGCCGCTTACTGTTCTGGCAAACTATCCCGTGAAGGTGCCTGGAAGGTCGCATACTACCGTGGATACGTATCATCCATGCAGCTTTCCGCAAATGGAGCGATGATGGCCGTGGGTCTCGGTGCATCTCAACTGCAGCCCTATCTAGACTCTGTCAGGAAGAACAACACCGGGGAGCTCATAATTGCCTGCCATAACAGTCCCAAGAATAACACTGTGTCTGGAGATGACGCCATGATTGACTGCCTCAAGAGCCTCCTCGATGCTGATGATATCTTTGCTCGAAAGTTGAACGTCAAAAATGCTTATCACTCGGCCCACATGCATGCAATTGCCCAAGATTATCTTCGTCTGATGGGAACGCTTCCTCACGGAAGGCGGCTGGCAGCTCCACATCAAATACATATGTTTTCCACCGTGACAGGACAACAAGTAAAGGAGGAACATCTGCCAGCTCAATACTGGGTAGATAATATGGTTTCTCCTGTTCTTTTTACAAGCGGATTGGTTGCGATGACATCGAATCGAATTTCCAGTGATTGCTCCGCCGACTCCACGGATTCTTTGCGCTTTCTTGTGGAGATAGGGCCTCACTCAACCCTGCAGAGTGCCATCAAAGAGACACTGGACTCAAAGAGCCCCCGGTTGGAATTCAAATACCTGGCAATTCTGAAACGGACAGATCACAGCCTGAACACTCTACTTACTACAGTCGGCTTCCTAGCATCAAGTGGATGTGAATTGGATTTCCATGCTGTGAATCAAGCTTCTCGCTCTAAGACAAGAAGGCAGCCCAGGTTGTTGGTGGACCTGCCACCATACAGCTTCAAGCATACTGAGAAGATCCTATTTGAGAGTCGACTGAGCAAGAATCTTCGAACTCGAAAGTTCCCTCGCCATGACCTTTTTGGTGCGCCAATCACGGATTGGAATCCTACTGCTCCTAGATGGAGACATTTTGTCCGATTAAACGAGAATCCCTGGCTAAGGGATCATATGGTAAGTTCGAAATCATCTACAAAATAGCTTCATTTATTGACGTGACTTAGGTCACTGGCAATTACGTTTATCCCGGCGTGGGTTATCTGGTTATGGCAATTGAAGCGTCAAGGCAGTTGGCCGGCGGAGCAAAGATCACTGGTTTCCAACTCCGAAACGTCAACATCAGAAGAGCTTTAATTGTACCCGATACCAAAGAAGGTATTGAAGTCTCCTTGGCGATGGCAACTGTCGATGACCCCTCGACGTCATCGCGAATGTGGCGGCGGTTCCAGATAACTTCTTACAATCCGTCGAGCGATGAGTGGACAGAGCACTGCAGTGGACACATCACCGTCGACCAAGAAACAGCTTTGAACCCAGTGGACAATGGCCGAGAAGCAGAAGAAGAAAGCCGAGCACGGGAATCAGAACTTTCCTGCGCAAATGAGATATGCACCAAATCTATGGCCTTCAAATCCACATACAACAACCTCCAGACATCCGGCCTCAATTTTGGTCCTTTGTTCCGAAACCTCAGCGATGTTCGTGCAAGTGGTCGTGGGCTTGGCAAGGTTGTTGGATCAGTGACGGTCCCAGAAATTGCACTGTCTATGCCAAAGCAGTATCTGCATTCTCATCTCATCCATCCTGCCACAATGGATAGCATGATCCATTTGATGATTGCGGCTGTTCTCGACTTTACTAGCAAGTCAACCCTAGATCAAATCAGATTACCAACTTTCATACGCGATGTCTGGGTTTCAGCGGATCTAAATTCAGCCCCAAGCCACAAGTTCACAGGACATGCAACCATTTCTACAGTGGGATCTGATAAATTCGAGGGCCAAATTCAAATGCTGGATGAGGGAACAAACACACATCGCATCCGCATGGATGGCATCGAACTCACTCCACTCGAGTCTGGCCTTGCTGAAATTAGTGAGCGAAAATTATGCAGCGCAATCGAATACAAGCCAGACGTTCATTTAATCGACTCAAAATCGGCTTGTGCACTGACTAATCTCGATGTTACCAATGAAAACGAGGCGCTGTACTGGGTCAAGCGTCTTCAACTTGCAACGATGCTCTACGTCATGGATGCACTGGACGAGCTCAAGGACATTGATGTTATGAAACTCGATTTGCACATGCGAAGATTCTTTGACTGGATGAACCACATGCAAGGCATGCTCAAGCGCAATGAGATAATACACCTGCCCTACAGCGAATTCCAGGATATTTTCAAAGACGAGGCTCTCAAGGAAGCCATTGGGAATGAGATAGAGGCCCACAGCGCCGAAGGTGCCATCACAGCCCGAATGGGCCGCAATATTGCTCAGGTTGTGCGCCAGGAGACTGATCCGCTGGATCTCATGTTCGGTCAGGACGCTGTGATGGAAAAGGTGTATAAGGAAGGCCTCCACTTGTATAACCTGCCGCAGCATCTACAGAACCACCTTTCTCTCCTCCGACACCAGCATTCTGGGCTGAACGTTCTCGAGATTGGCGGTGGTACTGGCAGCTTCACTGCTGAGGTCCTGGCCGTCCTTTCGCCAGACCTTGCGAAGAGCAAAGGAAACATTGCCAGCTATACATTCACGGATATCTCATCAGGCTTTTTCGAGAAAGCAAAACAACGTTTCCAATCATGGTCCGATATCATGAACTTCCAATCTCTCAACATAGAGCGAAGCCCTGTCGACCAAGGACTTCAGCTGGGGACATATGACTTGATATTCGCTGGCAATGTCATCCATGCCACTGCAAACCTACAAAATGCGTTGCAGAACCTGCGATCTCTATTGAAGCCGGGGGGTCAGCTCATCATGCAAGAAGGTATCCGACAAGATTTCCTTTGGTATCCACTCGTTTTTGGTCAGCTTCCCGGGTGGTGGCTTGGTGATGAGCCGTGTCGAAAATGGTGTCCCTATATCCCGGCCAAAGAATGGGATCCTCTGCTGCTACAATCGGGATTCTCGGGAATTGATATCGAGTATCCCAGTTCGAATGATCCAGATTTGACGTGGCAGAGTATCTTAGTTGCTTCTGCCATTGAAACACCCAAGGAGAAGTCACCGAACACTGCAGTTATCTTGACGCTCGGCACATTGAAAGCTATGCAGGTCGTTGAGAAGCTGAAAGGACTTCTGCCGAAACTGGGATACACTGATGTTCGTGTTAAGAAGCCTACAGAAGTGAAAAATTTCATCCTGCCGGATGCCCTTTGCATCTCATTGATTGACTTGGAGTCTACCTACCTGTTCAATATGAACGAAGAAGAGTACAACAGACTGAAGAAGATCCTCAGCGAGTGCCAGAACCTACTGTGGGTCACCTGCAATCCCCTTGAACAGCCACACGCAAGCATGAGCCTCGGCCTTCTCCGGACAGTGCGCTGGGAGCGGGATGCCGATGGCTCAAATATCGTCACCTTGACAGAGGCGGAGCCAGACACCGCTTCACCAGAAAATCTCGCTACAGCTGTTGACAAGATTATCAAACGGCAGTTTGTGGACAAGCCGGAGAATGATCGCCACGCCGAGTACATGCTGCAGAATGGTCTCATACACATTGGCCGTTTGAACGAGTGGGAGGCAGCAGATCAGTTCCTTACTGCAACATCCTCTCAGCAAGCTCCTCAGCTTCAACGTCTCGGTGATTATGGCACTCCCATTGTGTTACAAGAGGCTGCTGCTAGCACCGGGGAATATAATTGGGCCATAGAGCATGATGAAGCGCATCAAGCCACCGAAGTCGAGGTTGAGATCCGAGCAATTGGCCTCTCTTCAGATGCTTTGACTGGCCGTCTCGCGAATGAGATCGCTGGTGTTGTGAGAAAGGTTGAGTCCGATGTTGAGGGCCCGGCCCTGGGTGACAGAGTCATCTATATTTCAGGCGACAAAAAGGGTGGTTGCATTCGAACACATGGTCGAGCTGATCAACTGCAGCTTGTCAGAATTCCCGATGAGATCTCGTTCGAAGTCGCAGCCGGTTTGGCTTGGGCGTACGCAACAGCAATTCAAGGACTTGGAAAAATAGCTCATCTGGAACCCGAAAACACTGTCCTGATCCACACGAATGCAACGGATACAAGTCAAGCGGCTATTCACTATGCCCAGATGATCGGAGCTACAATCTATGCTACTGTGGCAACGGTCGAAGAACGTGATCTGCTTGTCTCCGAATATGGCATTCCTCAAGACCGCATCTTCTCTAGGAGAGAGCTGAGCTTCGTCAAGGGCATCATGCGGTGCACGAAGAATACTGGGGTTGACGTCGTCTTCAGCGCACTGCACGGCGAGGCACTCCGGGGGTCAATGGCATGCCTTGCTTCCTTTGGAACATTCGTTGATGTGGCAGATCTAGATCTGCGAGCTGATACTACAGTCGAGCTGGCCTGTGTACCTCGAAATGCGAGCGTCCATACCATTGACATTTCTTTACTGGCTCAACATCGACCGAAATTGGTTCGTCTTCTGATCACCGAGGCTCTGAAACTATACTCCGAAGGGAAGATCGGTCAACTCCGAACAACAACTATCATGGACTTTACCCAGATCAAAGAAGGTATTCGAGCCGCGCAGAGTGGAGAAGCAGCAAAGGTTGTGATTGCACCCAATCCGTCCAACATGGTTCCTGTGATCCCACGACCAATGAGGCCGTGTCACTTTGACCCAAGCGCCTCATACGTTCTTGCTGGTGGCTACGGCGGCTTGGGCCGCAGTCTAGCACGATGGATGGCATCTCGCGGTGCAACGAGCCTGATTATCCTATCTCGCTCACCAGCTTCAAGCCCAGAGAAGATGGAATTGATTGCTGATCTCGACAGAATGGGATGCAAGGTTCATTCGCTAGTCTGCGATGTCACCGATATCTCTAGTCTCCAGCAATTGTCCGGAGAAGCTTGCGCCAGTCTACCTGCTATCAAAGGATGCATCCAGGCATCAATGGTTCTACGAGTAAGTCCCCACTTGTGTCACTAGATAGACAATAACTGACATATTCTCAGGACGGTGCCTTTGCCGGATTGTCCTTCGAAGACTGGCAAGCAGCCGTCAGACCCAAAGTCCAAGGATCCTGGAACCTGCACACAATCCTCCCCGACAACATGGACTTCTTCATCATGCTCTCCTCGGTCGCAGGCATCTTTGGCAACCGCGGACAATCAAACTACGCCGCAGGCAATACCTTTCAAGATGCACTCGCCGCCTACCGCGTCTCGAAAGGAATGAAGGCGGCCAGCATCAATTTGGGCAGTGTATCTAACGTGGGCTGGGTTGCCGAGAACCGAAGCTCGATGCGCACACACACAGCGACGTTATTCGAGCTTCTCCGCGAAGAAGAAGTCCACGCAACAGTTGACTTCCTCGTCCGCGATCAGCAAGACGGTGGTAACGCGTCAGCGCGCTCACAGCTCGTCCTCGGTCTACCGACCGCGGAGATGTGTCGCCAGAACGGCGTGCCGCTGCCTACGTACTTGAACTACTCGATGTTCACGCAATTCCGGAATACAACAACTGCGAAGAGCAGCGAGGTCTCGCAGCAGAAGATTGTGAGCACCGCTGCGCTTTTGTCGGCGGCTTCGGGCTTTGAGGCTGCAGTGTCGATTGTGTCGGATGGGATTGTTGGGAGGCTTGCTTCTCTGCTTGCTATCCCCTGTTCTGAACTCGATGCTCAGCGCTTTGGATTTGGTGGTATTGACTCTCTTGTTGCTATGGAGTTCCGCGCTTGGATCGTTAAGGAGCTCAAGGCGGATGTTTCTTTGCTTGATATTATGGGAGCGGAGAATGTCAGGGCTTTGAGTGAGAAGATTGCTGGCAGGAGTCGGTTGATTGGAGGCCCTGGTTCTTGATCTTCCTGATCTCTGAGCTCTTTTCTTTGCGAATTTCTTGGATTCTTTTTTTGAAACTGGCTTGCATTGGGCTCTCATGATTTATTGGTCTCACGTCTAATGTCCTGTTACGAGCTATGATTATGCTGCGTCCTTTCTCATTTCGGAGGGCATTTTTCTTGGCTCTTTTGTATTGCACATGAGACTAGATTAGTGATTAACAGAATGCACATGGATCTGCTGCTTACTTCACATCCAAGAAGATTGAAAATGTAGAGAGATACTTCGAAATTGATTCACCTGAGTCATTCACTGAGAAGTGAAAAACATCCACTCCGACAAATTAAAAAGTAGCAAAGTGGTATACTTACATTAAAAGATAGCTCATCCAAACCCGTAACCCTGTGATCATTATTCATAAAATTTATCCATGTCTAGCGTGTAGATCCAGAGGGAAAATAGCCCCGTAAGCCCTGACTAGCAATTCCACAGACCGCCAACTTAGGTTCAGCCCCTGACCGCTCATGGTGCCACGCACGCTCGCGTAGGGCCATGTAAACAGAGCGGAACGGCTGGAGATCACCAGGCATGCGAGCAGGCGGTTTATGAGGATCGAAGCCCAGCTGCTGGAGTTGCCCCTCACACCAATGCAGGGTGTCCGGGGGTAGATATTGCTCTGTGTCGTAGCCAGCGTGATTTTGTTGCAAGAGCTGCAGCGTTGGGATGTCGGCTGCGAGGCCAAAGTTCTCTACGCCCTTGGGTGGGTGGTGGTAGTTCATATAGGGTTTTCCGGGTGTTCGCTCTGGGTGGTCTGTTTGTTTGCGGATATTGTGCATGTTCCAGGTTTGAACGTAGGATTTGATGTGGGAGCGGAGGGTGGGCATGTAAATTGCAAGTAGGGCGACCTGCTCGGGGATTACTGTTGATGAGAAGAGGCCCTCGTTGTGAAGTCCGCGGAAATAGTTCTAATTGTGGTTAGTATCCTGCGATTAAAATTGGGAGAAACCTTTAAAATTTGACTAACATGGTATAGAGTGACTACTGATTTCGCAAGCTGGGCCCACCAAGATTCAATCCGATGGGTGTCTGCAGCTCGTCCAGGTGCGCAGCACTGCTCACGCTGAATATCCGGCTCTGTGGCACGGCGGAGCGCAAAGTGAGCATCAGCTAGAAGAGGAACCTCAGACTCAAGGTCAGATCGAAGAGTCCGTGGTTGGCGGTTTTTAGAAGCAACGGTTTCAAGATGGTTTTTGAGAACGCCCACAGCCGTGTGCGCATCCACGCCAATGTGAATCCAGAGAACATATCGGGAATACGCATCGAGTTCGGCATGAATGCGGAACCCGAAATTGGCTAGCTTTGAGTACCCATTCACATGCCAAGTCAGATTGGGCCCGGCTAGAATCTTTGGCGGGGGAGGACGCCGGGGCACATCGTTCGTGCGGCGTTCCACTGTATCCGGGCGGAGCATGCGGTAGACACTGTAGAGACGATCTCGGGCAAATACGTGCCCCTTGCTTCGGAAGTGATTGTGCAGTAATTCCTTTCCATATCCTTCAATGGTCCCCTTGTCCATTTCCTCGGTCAGAGCGTCGAGGATCTCCTGGACCTGTGCTTGTTGTTGTGTGGGGGAGTCAAGGCGAAGGCGAATACCGAGACGGTGACGGAGTCTGCGAAGCGTACGGAGGGAGACATCGTAGCCCTCATCGTGTAGAACGGTAATGATCTCTTGGTCGGTCAGACCAACGTCGAAGAAAAGGTTTTTGATACGAGCGTGCAGCGCTTCATTAGAGGCATTGTTTGTCAACTTTTTCTTGACGCCCCATAGTTGTAGGCGTTTGGTCAGAGTACGCGGCGAGATCTGAATATCATGTTGTCGTTTCAGGTGCTTGCAAATGTCGTCATTCTTCGTTTTCTTGTCGAACAACCCGAGAATCTCGGTCTTGTACGGCTCGAGGTCTACGCGAGGACGGCCCGTCGTTTTACTTGGCGTGTTAGCTGTATCCTCCATGTTGTGAGTTCAAAGCGGCCAATGTTGATAAGAATCAGCTGTGGAGAGATGTTTGTGGCTGGGGAAAGGCGGGCGGTGTGTCATGACGGACCCGCAGAAATCGACCGCCTTGATTTTTTTTGTTATCGCAGCGACTCTTCTCAAGAGATGCCCTCGCTCTGACCAGTCACTCTCGACCTTTTTATCTCGGCTTAATTTCACCTAGCCTAAACAGCCGCCATCATGGTCCGTGAACTCAAGCACCACGAGAAGAAGTACGTCCGCCCATCATTCCGCCTGTAGAAATCTCAATGCGATCCCGCCCAATATCTTCAAAGCTTCACGATACCACAAAAGATCGATTACTAACAGTAAACCCCCTGCAGACTTCTCCGGAAGGTCGACTTTCACAACTACAAGTCGGACGGCAACCACCGCGAACATGAAATCCGCCAACGATACCTCCTCCAAGACCCAATGGATTACCGCAAATACAACGCGCTCTGCGGTTCTCTGCGCCAGCTCGCACACAAGCTCTCCCAACTGGACCCAGATGCGGACCCACTACGCAAGAAGCTCGAATCTGAGCTACTGGAGAAGCTGTGGCGCATGGGAATCCTGAAGCAGTCTCGCGAGCAGGGTGCCGGTCTGTCCAGGGTCGAGCGTGAGGTCACAGTTTCTGCGTTGTGCCGTCGTCGATTGGCTGTCTTCATGGTGCGCTCTGGTATGGTCGAGACTATTAAGGCTGTAAGTTGCGATTTGGTCGAGGGAGAGTGTATGCAATGGAATGCTGACTTTTTCCTTTGCTAGGCTACCACTTTCATTGAGCAGGGCCATGTCCGTGTTGGTACCGAGGTCGTCAATGACCCTGCTTTCTTGGTTACCCGCAACATGGAGGACTTCGTCACCTGGGTTGATTCCAGTAAGATCAAGCGCAACATCTTGCGTTACCGCGAGAAGTTGGATGACTTTGATCTTCTGTGATTGAGTCCGTTGAAAACAAAAAAAGCATTTTGGGTTTTTGTTCTGATATACCCGGCGCTTGTGCATTGTGGCCTGTTTTGGTTTGGCGTATTGATGTTTCGTGAAATGATATCTCATGTCCAAGATTCTCTGGATTACTCAATATGGATAAGAATACTACCTATATTATATTCTCTGGAAAGTCAAAGAGGAGAGTACCCGTTGTGCACATTCAAGCTTGCGACTTTGTCTACTGAAGCTCAACTTCTCGACTTCTCAAGGGCAGGATTGACTGCCTGGCATTGAGAGTTACGGCACACCGCTTTCGCAGGGTTGGGAGAATTTTACATGCAAAAGCTGCCCAGGTGCATTTTGCTCTCTTGCTATTTATCTTTACAAATAAGGTAATGATCCTATAAACTGACCGGCTTAGCAAATGACAGGAATACACTGTTGCTAAATAGCAACAAACATCCATTCATAGTATCGAGCGGAAACCGAGGCAGAAATACAAATCCACCAATGAGGTTATAGAAGATATCCCTTTGAAGCATCCAAATGACCTCCAAGAAGAGTAGTTTGAGCAGTGGCAACTCAACTGCTGATCGGTCATGTGTACTGACCAGCGAATAGCTGTAGGGCACCGAGGTGTACCAACCGGCATTGGGGGCAAATGACTGCCGGCATTCAATCAGAGCAGTTCCTGGTTGGTTTACCCCTCCGATCGTCGAATTGGAGGGGCTGATGATCTTCGCTGTATCAGGCGGTAACCTTCGAAAATTTTCTTCTGTCTACTCCAATACCTCCACTGGTAGCGGCGTAAAACTGTATGTGGTATTAAGACCAGTTGATTATGCCAGAATATAGCATCACTAGAGTTGGATATGTGTGGACCACATGAGGCTATGTACAATGTTCCAATAATAATAAGGGTATCTCAGTCAAAAAAAAAAAAAACGACAGCAATGCAACAAATGCAAAAGGGACTGGAGATAAGGATAGGCCAGAGGGTAATATTTCCGCCAAGAAGAGACATATGGAATGGGACCACTGGATGCAAATGCAGATCATCACTCGGGGATCATGGTATCATAGGGAAAGCAGGGAGGCAGTGTAGTTTTGTGAGCAGCACCTGTGCTAGGCTCTGTGGGTGAGGTGATATTGATAAATGTTGACTCAAGAATCGAAACCAAGAATTTAGGCATGAGGGAGAGAGGACTTCGAACGGAGACACGCCCAACGTTTTCGAGTGCCCTCAGGGGGATTCGAATTCGAGTTGGAAGTTGAGGTCTTGCCCAGGAGATCTAAAAGCTGGACCTGCTGCTTTCCTCGAGGAGAATCTGGCTCTTCATCTTCAGGGAGATCCATGCGGAACCGACGCACGCTGCCTTCACGCTCGGACTTGCCTTCTTCAAAGAACGGGGTGCGAGAGTCGCGAGTCTGGAAACAGCGCGGCGCAACGCGGCGCCAGAGTCCGCGGACACCGCTGCTTGCACGGTCGATCTTCTCGTACTCGCGCCGCCGGGTATCAGGTGAGGTCCATTCCATTACTGTCGCCGGGACGTGAATGGACGAAGAAGAGGGGCTGTGGTGGTGGTTGCTGCTGGGCAAGGTGTTTGATCGATCTCTTGCTGTGACAAAGGGTGGTGCACTCATTGAGGTGGGTGAAGTAGACTCGGACTCAAAGCGAAAGCTGGAATATGAAGGTGCGATAGGGGACGAGGGTGCCGAGCTGCCTTTCTCTGTTGATGTGCGACCCTCGCGCTGAGATCTATATGTAGTTGACGCTGTCCGGTGGAGCGAAGCTCTTATCTCGGTTGAAGATCTGTTCGACCCATCACCTTGAAACAGACGGCATGACTCCCGGTGTAGTGCGAGTAGTGACTCGCGCTTGTCCTGGGTAGAAGTGCGAGGTGATGTGACAGGCACAATGGCGGCGTTGGGCACAGCCCGGCGCGATGAGTGGAAGGAACTGCGACGGCTGTTGGGCCGCGATCGCACTGTACTGCGGGAAGCCGAGCGAGGGTGGCTTGAACTTATTGTAGATGTCGACGTTTGCGACTCTCGACGAGCGGAATTCTTGGGCACATCTCCCGGTGGATCGATCCTTTTCACCTTGGCCATCTCAAATGGGTATATAGGTGAGTCGCATCCCTTGAGCTCTGTAACAACAGGCTCGCACTTAGAAATAGCCAGAGATGGCTGAAGAGCCAGACATGTGACGGAAGCCATTTCCCGTCAGCAGGAAACTTCGATCATAGGCAAATATAGGCAGGTGCCCAGATCAGAAGGACTTTTGAACAGTATATAAGAATTAGGGCTGTGTATTCAAACGAGAGATCGACTCCATATTGAAAACAGATGAATAGAAAGAAAGAAAAAAATCGAACCCCGAACAGCAAATCTCTTATTTCAATACGATGCACACACCGCTCCTCATCTATTTTAGCGGAGTGGGGTGGGCGTCTAGAGTGTCTGGCCATGATCGTCCTATAAAGGCTGCAGTTATCGAATGCAGGGGTTTTATTGTAAAATATGGGGTAGCCCCGGGTGATACATATACTAGATGCTAATATTATGTTAATAATATGCCGATAATATAAAAATGTACGAAAAGAAACAGTTTGATATATAGATTATTGAAGTCTGATTGAAATGGTAAATAATAGACACTCCAGACGCTAACCTATGCTAGGCATTGCATCCTGCATCTTTAGCGTTGGGAACCCTAGTCTCAACGAGATCTACACAGAAATTGAGAACTTGAAATAATCTTCAACCTTCTTATTTAGAGAGCATAAATGAATTCGGGGTTCTCCCGATCTGTTAAATCAAGCCATCTGCAGGAGTTAGCAAAGGATCCCTAGTAAACCCCATGAATCACTTACTCTTGATTCTCTAGTCTCACATACTCCGGTCGAGCAGTGAAAAGAATCTTCTTCTGGTTCTCGCGGCGATACCACATCCACACTCCGACCAGCAGGAATAAACACACCCCCCAGCAGACAATAATCGTCACTTCAGCGGAGACATAGCGGGGAGCGTCCTCTGGACGGAAGGTTTGTGGGCCTGTCAGTTGTGTTAGCGCTCTATGTGTTTTGCCCCTGTCTCTCTTTCTTGTCTCACCAATAATATTTCCAACACAATATCCAATCAGATACAATGCCGCCACCGTAGTCTTTTTAGTATATCCCGCGACATTAGAAGAAATCAATGACAGCAATGCCACAAAGGGTGTCGGATTGGCTTGTGTAAGGTAGTAGCCAATCAAACGACCCACGTTGTTAGATAGGGGCAAGGCAACAATAAGCAACATTCCCACCATTGCAGCGACGAGTCCACCCAAACTAGCGAGGACGCGCTGCCCAGTGATCTGTCCCACATAGCCGTTGGCCAACAGTGCAACAATCTCCACTGCACCGCCGGGGACACCCAGAATGAGACTGTCTTTCTCGTTGTATCGGAAACTTGTAATCTGGACTGATCAGCTTGAGATTTATAGGATTCAAATGGACCACCACATACCAATTGGCTGAAGAAATTGCTAATACCGCCATTCGGAATATTAGCAATCAAAGCGTAGAAGAAGAAAGCCCATGTCATCGGATCCAACAGCGCCTCTTTGACCTGATACATCTTGAAGTTCTTATTTCCAATACCCTGCTGGTTGACCCGCACACGGGCAACAGCCAAGATGCGATCTTCTTCATTCAACCAGCGTGAATTAAGTTGGTTGTCTGGTACAATCCAGAGAAATACCAGTCCCAGGCAGATGGTGAGGAGGCCAGTGACGAGGAAAATAATCTTCCATGGCTCAATGGAGGAACCATGTCTCTCGGCACCGACGGCGATGCCGTAGGCGACTAGCCCGCCGAAGATCTGGCCTACACCGTTGAAGCTGAACCAAATGTTGACACGGCTGCCTTGTTCTTGTTTTGTGTACCACTGTTTGGGACTGTGTTAGCTCGGCTCAATGTATCTAGTTTACAGCTCATGATCATTGTCGGAGCAGGGAAATGGGTGCTTTTGTACCTGGGAGGTTAAAAGTGCAAAGCCTGGTGTCACAGCAGCTTCAAATACACCGAGCATGAAGCGGATAGCGATCGCACCAGGGTAGTTGTTCACAGCGGCGAAACAGCTAAGAATCAATCCCCAGATCAAGATGCAAGCTGCAGAGTACTTTCCTAGTGGAAGGCGCTGGAGGAGGCGATTGGTCGGGTATTCCCAGGCGAGATAACCTATGCAGAAGGACTATTAAGCTTAATGTCCCAGAGAAGAAATAATTCAGGGAAGAAGATGTGAAGCATACCAAAGTAGAACAAACTCCCGAGCCACTGATACTGGTCTCCTTCAAGATTCAAATCCTTCTTCAGGCCCATAACACTAGCATATGAGAGAGTGGTTTCTGTATATCAGGTCACAAATCAACACTTCTGCTTCGTGGATATATATCTGACAGAACAAGACGTAAAGTCAAGACCGCTCTTGCTCTGCTCCATCGAGAAACAAAATCGGGGAAAGGTGTACACATACTATCCAGATAATTCATGCCATAGACAAAGCACATGATAGGCATCATATGCCAATCAATAATCTTTAACAAGCGGCGATTTGTGGCCTCATCCAGCTCAATACTTTCACCATGAAGACCACCAAAGACCTTCATAGCCTCATCGGCGTCGTGTGCATGTTTCTCTAGGGTCGGATCGATATGTTTTCTCATGCTCACGTCAATGCCGGTGTCCACACCAGAGGAAATACCAATCTCCTTTTCATCTGAAGCCATGATGTCTGTATAAAGTACAGCGTAGACGGACGAGTAGGGTAACCAAGATCAAGTGTCACACAGGACACAATTGGGCTCGCGGGTTAGTGTAGGTGTAACTATAAGCAACTCGGAGGCAATTTATAAAGAGAAATCCAACGGGCGGGCACAGCTAAATAACGTAAAGCTGCATGGTAAGAACTCCGCACGTCCGATAGTTATGCGGGACGATCTCAGTACTTAGTACTAATGAGGTTATTATACCCTGTACCCTGTACCCTATACCTCTAAGCAAACCGGGTAACGCTATGCCGTTATCTAACTTACTCCTATCGAGTCCAATGCAACTCGGCAAGTATATTGTGGGTCTCTCCACGATAAGCCAAATTTGTCTGGGGTTGGCGGTTTTTGATTCGACTTGATTGGATGGCCAAGAGAGGGGGGAATGATCAGCATCCCTTGGACTTGTTGGCCGGGTTGTTCAATATGGCAATACCAGTATAACGTAGACAGGTGTGGGAATATAGATTGGACCGCGATATTAATCATGATACTATACATGCGCAATGTAAAATATTGCCGAGACACTTCAATAGCTTCATTGAAACAAAAGTACGCTGATACTCTTATCTATCGATCATATGTATCCGAATTTGGAGAAGGCCTAATCAAAGCTACCCCAAATATTCGGTGCAAAGATTCACTTTTGATCTCATAATACATGGACGGGATAAAAGACGCTTTTTGCATAGCACTTGCATGTATGCTTGGAATTTGACCTTGCCCTTACCTCTGTGCATGCAGGAAAACCCTCACGTAGCCCTTGATGGACTAGGGAACAACGGGATGTATGAAAGCAACAAGCTGCAGAACGGTGATATAGCAAGCCATCAAATCTAGAACTTTCATTATGCATCACCACGCATGTAACTATAATCGAACAGGGGCTGCACACTCTATTGTGCGCCCACGCGGGCCAGATACGCATCCCAGCCCTGCTGCTGGTACTGCTTAGCAGCCTCAACAGGGTCTGCAGCGGCATAGATACCACGGCCAGAGATGATGAAGTCCGCACCACGGCCAATAGCTGACTGGGGTGTCTGGTACTGCTGACCGAGCTTATCGCCCTTAGACGAGAGGTTGACACCAGTGGTGAAGACGACAAAGTCCTCGCCCTGTGCGGGGGCCTCGGTAGACTCGACTTCGCCCAGCGATCGGGTTGAGACAAAGCCCAGCACAAAGCTGGGGTACTTGCGCGCGATGTCGACGGAGGCGGAGGTGTAGGTGCCCGTTGCAAGGGATCCCTTTGAGGTCATCTCGGCGAGGATGAGGAGGCCGCGCTCGGAGCCGTAAGGGAAGTCAGTAGACTGGGCGGTTTGCGCGAGGGCCTCGACAATGCCCTCGCCCGGTAGGACGGAGCAGTTGATGATGTGGGCCCATTCGGAGATGCGGAGGGTGCCGTTGTGGTATTGTTTCTGGACTGTGTTGCCGATGTCGATGAATTTGCGGTCCTCGAAGATGAGGAAGTTGTGCTTCTGGGCCAAAGCGTTCAGGCCGTCGATTGTTTCCTGACTGAAATCGGAGAGGATGTCAATGTGTGTTTTGATCACGGCGATGTAGGGGCCAAGGCCTGTGGATGGGTTAGTGGGCTGTTTAGAGGGGTGGGGTAGGTTGCGTTCACTTACGGTCGGCGAGGTCCAGGAGTTCCTTTGTTGTGGTCACATCAGCGGAGACAGTGACATTGCTCTTCTTCTCTTCGGCAACCTGGAAAAGCTTGCGCGCGAGGGGGTTGGGGTGCGATTGAGCGCGGGCGCCGTAGGTCAATTGCGACTTGGACGACATGACGCGGTCGGGTGAAGAGACGGGTATGTATTTGGACGTACTTTTAGAGGGTTCAGGAGGAAAGTGAATGAATAAAATCAAACGAAGAGTGTCTTCAGAATACAATCTTTGTTCCAGAGCAGAATAACAGAGTTCGAGTTCGAACCATCAACTTTTTCTGCCACAGTGGACCCCCCACTGGAAAGGTTGCAACTGTGGCGCACCATACATTGCATTCGATATAGAAATACATATCTTTGTTCAATTTGATAATTCGGAGAATTTCAAGCTTCAAGCTCTTAATTTCAAAGCAGTGCCTTTCCAACACCGAAGACGCTCAATCCCCAAAGAGCGCCCTGCACAAGCCAGAAGAATCCGCCCATCAGACGGCCCTTACCCTGCGGCTTATTCGAGTACACATAGCCATAGAGGAACAGAACGCGGAAGAAAACCCACAGAGCGCCCAGACCAGCAGCCCACTCTGGGTACTTCAGACCAGCGACCAGGGTGAAGAGCATTGTCTGCGAAGCATTCTCGAGAAAGTTGGTGTGAGCGCGCTGGGCGCAGTTGAACTGCTCAGCTTTGGCCTATCACCAGGTTAGTAGATGCAGCTAGCTGATAGGAAGTATGTATCCATTATACAAGGGGCTTGGGAAGGTGAACTGATGGGAAGTTGGACGTACATTTTCCTTGCATAGTTCCATGGAGGCATAGCTGTGAGGGTCCGTAGTTGCTAGGAACAATGAATGCAACCATGATGAAAGAATCTGGGGAAATGATGTGAGAGCTCTGTGATGGCTGATCGTGGTCCTTTATACCTCAATGGAATTCGGGGATCATAGGCTCCGAGTTGCCGTCGGTGAAATCGATTTGGCCGTTCCGGGGCCTCGTTCCGGGGCCCCCAAGCTCTGTGCGGAGTGATATAGTTGGCCTTTCAGATCCCGAATATTCTAGATCGTAGTTACGCTCCTTTTATTTTTTTTAGTGGAATTGACAGTGAGGGAACCGACGTTATGCAAGGGATGGTTTTGAGCATTTCACGAATAAATGTTCAAGAGCTATGAGTCCTAACATATGTGAGAAATTCGATACACAATATGGGCTATAAATCTTGAAATGTTCATGCTGCCACGTTCGGCACCATCCTACTCACACTTCCGTACTTGGCCTGCCAAGCGAAGAAGTACAGAAGTGCTCCAAGCGGTTGTCCAACTAGACAAAAGCTGACCCAGAAGATGCAGTTTCCAATGACTCTGCCTTGAGGCCCGCGCATTTTCTCCAACGGTTCAGTGAGGCTAATTAAAGGCAGCTGGAACATCATTCCAAAGAACGCGACACCTGCATTTGATTAGCCTTTGAGCTGTGATCAGAGGGTGAAATACATACCAATGAAATTATGCGTGGGAATTCCAACGAGCATTTCGTGAAGAATCGCGGAGAGCGTGAAAACCATTCCACTGGCAGCCAGAGGACTCCATCCACGACCCACCAGCGGCGAATAGACATGTCTCTTCATGAAAAGGTAGACAGGCCGGTTCCAAGATCGCCAATAAGCACCCAGACTAGAGCTATTCCACCAGTCGGTGTAAAACTCGCGGTCTCCAAACTGCATGACTTCTGCCAGAGCGTTCAAAAGGGCTTGAAACAACGCAAAGAAGCCGGCAAGCCAAATGATCAACGAGATCGTAGACAGCTTCATGACCCGCTCTAAAATGGAGGCGATGTCCATTATTGCAATCTTATCAATTGAGTTCCGCAACACAGGTGCGGCATACTGCGCAGACAGAAGCCAGACGAACACTGCCAGGACCACGAACTCGGCAAGGCGCTTTGCAACAAATGACCACCGGATGGATGCCGTGCGCGGGTAAACAGGCTGATACACCAGTGTAGGTGCGAGCCAGAAGTATGCCAGGTTATCGATGGTAATATTCTTCGGGTACGGACACGAGGAGTAGATTTCAGGCAAGCCCGGGTCTGCGGAGGGATTGAGTAGAGCGAGACGTAGGTCTCGATTTGTGAAGGCATAAGAGCAGTTCTTCAACCACACAATGATCGCGTGCAATTCGCATATTGTGCCAATGCCTGGGTGGTGGATGTAGAAATACACCACGAAGCTGGTCACTGTGAGGCATAGCGTGGCATTAAGCGTGTGCAGGAAAGCAGTGAATGGCCATGTCGACTGGAAAACCTTCTGGTCGTGCTCTTTTTCTTTTTCGGTCTTCTTTTGACGACCCACTGCGTGCTTGGCTGCAGTAGCGGCTGAAAGCTCAATGATGTATGCCACGAGCAAATGACATGGAACCGAGGCAAACAATATGGACCCAAGAACAATGTCTTGCCTGCGGTAGTCATGGCATTTAATACAGATTAGCACGCCATACTATATAATTATTAGTTGACCATCTGAAACATCAATTGGATTGAATTACCCACTTTCATGAAGTTCTCAATAATCAAACGTAGGTTCATCGCCACTGTCGGAACGTTAGCCGTTTTCATATACAAAGGTACAATTCTCCAACAATCCCTACCAAGTACCAACACCATGAGATTTCGAAAGCCCAGGAAGTTTGGGAGCACATCAGACTCTCGACTGAGACTGGAATGGCGAGTCTCCGAGTGATATGCAGCTACATGGCGATATTTACTGCGTTTTTTTCTCGTTGAAGTTGATAGCGGAGAGACCTGAGTTTCATTCTTGATGGCGCCTTTTGCTGAATTAAATTCCTCTCGAGCACTCGTGATTGCTCCAGTACAAGCCATCTTGATAGCTCGACCTCAGCGTGAGGAATCGAAGGGTCTGGAAGTCGAGCTCCGATGAAATCGGGGCATCGACGAACAATGCGAAGATTAAAGTAACAAGCAGGGTGCACAATTAGGGTAGACAAGCAGAGAAGAAGAGAAAAAGACAGAAAAGACAAAAAGACCAGAAACAAGATTGACTTAATACTGAACATTGGCGGGGGAGACATAGCGCAAGCTTGCAGATAAAACCCGCAGGGCCAATCAGCGTCACAGGTGCTCAAGGGACGGATCCTGCGCTCCGAAGAGCTTCGACAACTCTCCGCAATCTTTGAATCTTTTTGAGCTTCTGATTCAGTATTCGATATTTGAATTAATTACCTTTGATCCTCATGTTGGCCAACCGATAGCCTTGATCCCATACATCCTTTCAACCGGTCGCGATGGCCTACTACGACGACAATGCAGGTGATGGCCCAGGGCGGTTTGGAAAGAATTTCGACGGTCCAGTCGGACCTCGCAGACCACGTATGTTTGCTCGTTTCGAAGTGACTCTGGGCTTTTGCTTGTCCATAGCCTGACTGATAACCGTTACTTCTAGGTCTCGTCACCGATTATGGCTCTTCAATGGTACAATGGATGCGAACACGACAACCAAGATACAAAGGAGGATATCGATTGGAGACGGAACGACCGAGCCCCAGTTTTGCGGTCGATGTATGTGATGCTTGAACGGTTCTGGTTTGGCAAAGAGACTAACTTGCGATAGGTCCTTCCCCCGATGGCGCGGCCCTATTCTGCTGTCGATACCATCCCCGTGCGACACCTTCACCAGTCAATCGGAAAGTCAAAGAAACCCATTGTCGTGGTGCGATGGACTCCCGAGGGAAGACGGCTGTTGACCGGCGGTCATACGGGAGAGTTTATGCTTTGGAATGGAACGGCATTCAATTTTGAGACGGTCATGGATGTGCGTTTTACTAGCTTCTGCGCATGGCCCTCTTGCTAATCTGAGATGTTCTCGCGGTGCAGGCACACTACGATCAAATACAGGCTGGTGTCACGTCCTTGGCATGGGCCCATAGCCAGGACTGGCTGGTCTCTGGTGGACAAAGAGGTGATATCAAATACTGGCGACCCAACTTCAACAACGTCGAGACGATCGATGACGCACATCACGACGCAGTCCGCGATTTGGCCTGGGCACCCAGTGATACCAAATTCCTTTCAGCATCCGATGACACGACCCTCAAAATCTTTGACTTTGCAACCCGAACGGCCGACGCGACGTTGACCGGACACAACTGGGATGTCAAGTCTTGCGACTGGCACCCGACCAAGGGCCTGATTGTTTCTGGATCGAAGGACCACCAGGTCAAGTTCTGGGATCCACGCACTGGTCGCTGCTTGACGACCCTCCATAGCCACAAGAACACCGTCACATCGACGCGGTTCTCCCGTGTGAACAGCAACCTTCTTGCTACTTCGTCACGCGACCAGACTGCGAGGGTATTTGATTTGCGGATGATGCGGGATATTTGCATTCTGCGAGGCCACGACAAGCCGGTCTCCTCATTGACATGGCATCCGATTCATAGTAACCTTATTTCGACGGGTGCCGAGGATGGTTCCCTATATCATTATCTACTTGATGAGCCCCATCTGCCGCCCGGCCAGATCCCTACAGTGGCTCCTTATGACAGCCCGGACCCGGCCAATACTCCACCGCAAGTGATCTATCCCGCACATCGGGTGCAATACGCGCATGGTGCTACAATTTGGTCACTAGACTGGCACCCACTGGGCCATATCCTGGCCTCTGGATCTAAGGATAACTTTACTCGATTCTGGTCACGAAGTCGGCCTGGCGAGACTAGCTATATGAAAGACCGATTCCACATCGGCGAAGAGGCCGCAGAAGCTCAGGGAACATGGAACCGTGGATTTGGCCGGAAGCAAATGCGGGAGGACGAGGAGCAAGAAATGCAGGACGAAGCCGACAGCCTGGTCGATCAACGACGACCAGGTGGCCCTACTCTGCCGGGTATTCAAAGTGCGCCGCCGGCCGGCCCTCAGCCCGATGCTCCAGGCTTGTTACCTGGCATTGGCAGTGCTCAACCTCGGCAAGCTGGAATGGATGGCGGCGCGATGGGTGGGATGAATCCAGACCGTTTAGCTGCACTCATGTCCACTCACCCTACATCGCAGTCGAGTACTTCCACACCTGGAATGCATGGGTTCCCTATGCCGCAGGGCATGGCTGGGCCACCGCCAATGAACATGGATCTAGCACAATTGCAGAAGCAACTCCAGGGATTCCCCATGCCACAGAACCTCAACCTCCAAGCTTTGGCGAACAATCCTGGCTTCCCTGGTGGATTTGGTGGTCTGCCTGGTTTGCAAGGCGGTGGTATGCCCGATGGCAATCGGAGACAGTGAGGAAGAATGGACATCTGATTTGAAAACCACGTTGAATTTGCTTGGCATTGGCGCAAAGGACATAGCATGACTACTTTGGTGCGGGGCGACGGCGTTATCCAAGATATCAAATCCCATTTGTATCATAAGGATTTTCCGGGCATTTCGAAGTCTCCTGAATAGGTGGTGTCGATGAGACTATTTGCGTAGGTTGGTTGAGCATGTTCCGAATCCATACTTGCCGTACACGTAGAATATTGTCGTACCATATACATAGTATGGTCGAAGGTGATAGCAGCCGTGACCATTCAAAGGCCACCTTGCATGGGGAAGCTGGTGACAATAAGAACCATAACATTGACACCACCCCATATCATCGGTAGCCATGTCGACATCCTGAAATTGCCTGCCTCATACACCGCGCCTAGGCTACCCACAAAAGCGTCAGCTACCTAATCATTCCGGGAAGTCCAAGTGTTATGCAGCCAACTTACACAACTCCAACTATACTCCCGGCTAAAAGCCCCTCCAGCCCTGCAATGACACCATACACCAACGGCACAATCCATATCACGTTCCAGTTCCGGAAATGAGTCAATACCGCGCACCCAGAAACAGTGAGATGAGTTGCAGCATAGAATAACAGCGTCCAGAAGAGTGTGAAGCGCCATATATCTTTCGTGTAGTATAGGTAGTATGCTTGATGATGATGCGCCGGCAGGGGATCGTACAATGACGGAAAGGAGGGTACTTCGTAGTTAATCGGGACGCGGTTGTTGGCCATGGAGAGATAGCTGCGCCGGTTCAGCTGCAGCGAGGATCAATCATTAAAGCATGACATGTGAATAAAGGATAGTCACTTTGACCATATATGCATTGCACGCGTATCAAAAAAGGCAAGTCTGGAGACTCTCGGTGATGACGATGCTTGTTTGGACTGTTTGCCTACCGTCTCATTGGCCAATTTTGGGGTCGCCCGTATTTAGCTCTGAGCCCCCGGACCTCGGCTTCTCCGCGGTTGACCATCTTACTCCCTGTGCGATGTAGAATCTCTTGTTTGGGAGCATCCCTATTACCTCCAGTCTTGAAATGGCCACGGAACGATCTCTAGCTACACTGCTGCGGTCTCTGCAGACGACTTCCAGCTTCCAAGATGCCGCTGCGTAAGTGCCACACTCCCAATCCGATTGCGGTGGTCAATGTAGACTAACAACACCCCAATTCAGTCTTCTTCCCACAGCTACTAGTTTCCTGTCAATGTTGGGGAATCCTCTAAATCTGACACTTCTTTCGTCACAACTCCTTACTGCGCCTTCACTTTGGAGCCACCCTGTCGACCTTCAATCATGTCGCAAGATCCTCAGCGTCTTCAACACTGCCGCCATTGCTGTTTTACAGAATGATACTACCGACGAACCCCGAATACCATATGGGCGGAATAGGAAGATAGAGTATGAGTCGTGGGTTAAAGCGGTCGCTGAGGGCGCCGATGATAAGTCCCCGCGGTGGAGGCATACGCTTCTGCTGGGTGGAATCTTAATGGGATTCGAAGGACAAAACCGACGAGGCTTACCGCGCCATATTCGAGTGAAACTTGAGTCAGCACTCACGAGAGCTACCCAATTAGCGCTTGAGGAGGTTAACACCGAAACTGGGATTGATGGGCAGTGTATTACCATGGTCTTGAACTACACTTTTGAGCTTCTGTCAGATCTCGAGCGGAGCAAGCTGAATTATGATCGATTACTCCCAGCAATGATTCAATCGGCCTACTTGTCTTCAGAGGGCCTCGAAGGCGGCTACTTTTTGGGAACTATTGATCAGGATATAGTTGAGGCTCCTGGGAAGCAATTTCGCTGGTCGGCCAACTCCCCCACATTTGGTATTGTCTCGGCGGTAGCTGCCCGTCCGCTTGTGTCCACTCTAGGGCCTTTGTCTCGTCTTATCGCGCATGCTGTTGATAATGTTCGAGATCCGAGAATTGTTGCACAGACTGTTGATTACCTGGCGGGCTTCGTTCGGACGCTCATGGTTCAATGGCGGCAGAACAAATTGTCTGAGATTGATGTTGCAGAAGAAGCAGAGTTCCTAGACGCCGAATCTCGGGAAATCACTCTTCCTACCCTTTGGAAGCTGTTGCGAAATTGCTTATATTCGGTGGTTATTACCCTTCGGGCTGTACTGGGGAGAACCATCAATGACCCAGCTCTTGCTGCCAATAGTAGTAAGTCGCAGACCGGTCGTAATATTTGCTTTCTACTAACTATGCTACTCCCAGGTGCCCCATACCTATCAATGCAATGCCTCCACATACTTCGCAACATGTATTTCATCTCCTCTCGGCTTGGCCAAAATGCATCATCGCAGCAGACCTTTGTGCTGTTGGCGGCCATAGACATCCTCTCACAATACCCCGTTCTTGCTGAGAACTTTCTGCGAAGCATCAAGCCAAGCGATATTGGTCAAATTCCGGCTCACCCAGTTGAACGATGTCTGGATCTTTTCTTTTTGAATGTGTCTGAGCATTTCCCTCTTGTTCTATCCTCAGAGACGAACGAGGAACTATTATTGTCCGCCGCTTTCCCATATCTCGCAGCCGGTGCTAATAGTCTTCTATTGGAGATCTTTGAAGCTGCCCACAGCCTGGTGCTTGTTGTCTTCGCTATCCCTCACAACTCTGAATTAGCTGCCAAACACCTGCCTTTCTATATCGAAAATCTTTTTGCTGTGAGTTAGATACCCGCTTATACGTGAGAGTAGATTCTAATTGTCTACAGGTTTTCCCTAATAACCTTTCCGCACGGCAATTCCGTCTCGCTTTCAAGACTGTCATCCAGATCACAGCACCTCCCTCTCCCTTGGCAAATACCCAACCCCTCCTCCCCTCCATATTGCTGGAAGTTGTTCATGACCGTGCTTTGAAAGCTTCCTCTACACCGCTTGCCCCCCAAGGTCCAAATCCAGACATGAGCCAGAGTCCACCTCTCTCCGAACAGGCTGTCTTGACCCTGGCCCTCATCGATTCCCTTTCATTTCTACTAGTCGATGATCTGAAAGAATGGCTTCCCTTAGCAGCACAATTGATCAACGCAATTCCCGACCGCAATATGCGACATGCGTGTATCGAGCGTTTCTGGGAAGCCCTAGCCGGCGGCGAGATGGATGTCGATCGATCCCACTGCTGTGTTACGTGGTGGAGCACGGAAGGTGGGCGTGAGCTTGTCCTTTTCGGCGCCGAGACCGCCCCGGGAGAGTCAGATGAGAGTGGACCTTATATGAGCGGCGCGGTCGGAGGAATTGCGCCAGAAAGTAAGCTATAATGATGTCAATGTAGATAGTCCACCAGATTGAAGCTACTACGCCCACGGGTGTGATCCCGCCTTTTGCCATATATACCAGACTTCTATTTGATCAAGTATTGCTCCATAAATCTTCACACAAAGTGATTTCCTTGTATTTACTCAATTCAATATTTTTTTTAGCTCCGTTTTTTTTTTTTTTTTCCTTTCTTTTTTGCAGCTAAATTCCCGGGATACCCACCGGGGTAGCCTTTCTGTACTGAACATACTCGTCCCCAAAGAAGGAGATCAGGTAGGCTTCTTCGCCTGCAGTCGCATAAACCAGTCAGTAAGATCCCAATATAAAAAGACCGACAAACAACTTACGCTTGATCCGGGTCGAGAAGAAACGCCACAAAACTAGGGCATACCCAACAAAGCAGACCGTATTGCCCAACACCAGCTGTGTTCCCAAACCCCACCAGAAGAATCCAAAGTAGCTCGGATGTCGCAGATACCGATAAAGACCAGTATTAACCAGAACATGACCCTCCTGGTGCCGACTCTGCACATGATGGTTGAAGTTACTAGCAGCCTGTGCCATAGCAATTGTCCGAATAGCCTGTCCAATCAACAGAAGCACAAAACCTACGATAACCAGTAGCGAGACCCGGTTCCCAAAAAACGGTTCCGTCACAGTGACCATCCGCCCAGCAGCACTCTGCCCGGGCCAGAAAATATTTGATACAAGACACTCCACGATGGCGGACCCGTGCGCAATATTGTATGCCCATCCATTGGATGACAGCAGGAAGGCGGACACAGTCGCATACCGTGTGTTGTACCGCGCCGTCACGTAAAACTCCAAAAAGTGGAACAGGCTCAATGAGGCGACGAAGAAGGGTACACGCCAGAGCGGATTCGGGTACACGGTACTTAGGAACAACGACATGCTTGCCGAGAGCCCGAGGCTGGTTCCGAGGAGCATTGCGCGCAGCGAGATCCCCGCCAGTGACATCTTGCCGTCCGGGTAGATCGAAGTATAGGGGTCTGGCGCGTCGGTGGAGGCAGAGGAAGAGGATGATACATTGCTGCTGGTCCGGTTGTGGATTGGGGTTCTGGAGGCATGTGTGAAGATCGGGGCTTTGTTGGGCTCTGCGCCGGAGGTTGTTGCGTTGGAGAGCATTGTCAAAGAAATGGGGGTAGTTTTTGGGCTAAAGTGACTTCTGGGCTGTTTATTTGGCTTGAAGTTCGAGCATTTCGAGGGAATTGGTGTGATTTAAATGGTGGGTGTTGGTGAGTGGGTGTCGGTTTTCATTGTCTGAGAACAATCTGAAAAGAGTTGTATTGTTTTGCATCGGTGGACCTTTTCCCCGATATGACACACCCCGGGGCCCACATGGCCTTGGAGGGCCCCCAGATCTCTATAGGTTCTGGTATACTAGTTTACACACTCAGTTATCTCTCCTCTTTTCGACTTTTGTATCCGATAGCTATGACCATCACTATGTCGCAGCCTACTGAGAAGGAGAAAATGCTTCGCGGGGAACTCTACCGAGCATTCACGCCAGACTTGATCGCTGCTCGTACACGCTGCAAGCAGGCTTGTAATCGATTCAATAAGTCGGACGAGGTATCTCGTCGCTATCTGGTTGAAATGTGGAGAGAGTGAGCAGCCATCCGAAAATATACTATCTATACTAAACCAGCATATAGTATCACCGAAGACAAGACCCCTCTACCACCAAAACTGGATGACCCCGCAGCTGACGATGCTCTCTTTGAGCAGGAGCCCTGGATCGAAGCTCCTGTCAAGATAGACTATGGGTTCAATGTCAAGCTTGGAGCAGGTGTCTTCGTTAACTTTAACTGTGTTTTCATCGACACGTGTCCTATCACGGTTGGGGCTCGCACTTTGTTCGGTCCCAATGTTAACCTGTTCTCTGGAACTCATCCACTTGATCCTGCCCTGCGAAATGGCACTGAAGGCCCTGAGACTGGTAAGCCGATTGTCATCGGGGAGGACTGCTGGCTCGGTGGGAATGTCATTATACTCCCTGGCGTCACTATTGGCAGAGGTGTGACTATTGGAGCTGGAAGTGTGGTTACCAAGGTATATTATCTTCAAGATCTGATTGTAGGACTTGCTGACTTTAGCTCCAGGACGTGCCTGCCTTTCATGTAGCTGCTGGGAATCCAGCCAAGATCATTCGTCGAATTGAAACGACAATGAAGGAGTGATTAGCTTGATTGACTCCATGCTATTCATTGAATGATAGATATTAGAGAGATATAGAGCTTTCTAGTGGATTGCAATGAGATATTGAAGTGATCAATGAAGCTGTGTCTATCTTACATGGATGTCATGCATGCCTGGTCCAAACAACGATCTAGACAATGATAGATATTCAAACGTTTGAACTTAACGAATTGGCAAATTGAACAGAATTAATTGAACAATAGACAACTGATTGCCAAGAGTCCAGGCTCGATGCATAAGACCGCATAAGGGGCTGTGCATTTTTGGCGCTTTATATATAGCTTTATATACGGCGTAGCTGGAGTTAATAGCGTAGATAGGCAGTCACATTTGCTACAAACTTCACAGTAATTATACTTCTTATTATAATTTTTTCTATCTTTCTTATGACTGCAATACGTAATGTGCATACGCGACGTTAAATGTATCTAAGCTTGGTTGTGCCTTTATTGAGGAATGTCATGATCTGCTCGTTCTCTCTCCACAGAACAACGTCACTGGTTCTCTGGCGCGTCCCCAAAAAAAGCTGTCGACCGCTTTATCTTTTCTGAAGACTTACCTTGATTTCTCTTCCACTCAATCCTTTTATTGAACCCACAACCCTCTCTTTCTTCAACCTTCTTGCCTCACATTCATTTCACGCGCCACTTCAACTTCCCTGGATAACCTACGCGCGGAAAATGACATGGCTGCACCCCCGCCAGATAGCTCTTACACCCCACCTCACACTCCCTTGATTGAAGAATCTCCATTCATCAGCTCCATGGATGATCTTGATCCTCAGGCGACCCGGAAACGTCCGCGTCTCGACAGTGGAAGTCGCGTAAGCCCGACCTTGTCGTTGGGTGGAACCTCGCGTACTGCCTCCATCGCACCTGCCTCAGACATGGATGAGGCCTCGGATTCTGGAAATCCAGCCAATAAAGTCACCATTAACACAAAATCTCCTCTATCTCCCATGGCTCCCAACATCCCACCCTCCGACCCTGAGCTCTCAGGTAGCGATCTGGAGCTCCTGCCGCATACCGATCCAACTCCCGTTCCTATTTCACTTTCCTCCTCACCCTCGTCACCCCGAAGTCCTGAAATCGAAGTTGCTGAACCCGAAGACATCAATCAAGACCCAAAGACCTCTAACTGGAAGCCACTGGGCCATGTGATGCGGGATCAAGATGAGCCCGAAGTGATAGAGATCCAAGACGTGGCTCCTCTGTCCGACTCATTCCCCAAAGTACACACGGAGATGACAGCTCGAGAGAACTTCAAGGCACTTGGTGATATGCTTGAACATGGTAAGAAGGGACTCTTACTCAGTGGCTAGCCTTGGCCAGATACTAATTCAGCGAACAGGACACCCACGGGAAGGCACGGCGCTTACTGCAATAAAACAATGGCTTCATACTTGTGCGTGCGATCTCGATCGACTCACAATCGAGGAATTTGCGTCCGATCTAGATTTCTGGGAATACCTCCCCATCGTCCTGGATCGTCTTTTGCGCAGACAACAAGACCTGCAGTTGGATGGTATTGAAGATCTCTCAAGTTTCTTCGAGCAGTATCTTCTCGATTATGCTCGCATTGTCCTTCACCTTATACGCTTGGACACTGCACTTCTCGGGAGCGTCGAAGACAATGGCAAAGACATCGAATTACCTCCCAGCACCTCTCGACGATACCTTCAGAGCTTCCCTTGGATGTTCCATGGTGGGCAAATTCCATTTTTCCGGGTTCTAGAAAACCACTCCCGCACCGGAGCTCTCAATCTTTCTGCTCGACTCAAAGTCCAGGTCTTAGCACCTCCGTTTGATGCGCCTGACGCACTCATTCAATACACTTCACACCTGCTTTCATTAATTCCAAAGTGTCCACAAATCGTCATGATGCTTCCATGCGCTTTGGTCAACATGCTCGCCTTTCTTGAATGCGACGCGGAGAGGAATCAAAATGATGATACTGATTCTCCCGTTGACCTCCCTATCGATTCGACCAGTCTTCAGCCCTTTTACGAAACGGTTCGAGAAATTGACAAAATGTACCAGTCGTTTGTTGCAAAGAAATCGCAACTAGCTACTAGTGAATCGAGCGACAACCTTCTGAACCCAATATTCCGCAGCTACCGTTTCCTTTGCCTCAATTACTCGGAATTTCTTCTCCAGCTTGCCCAGGAATTGTCGATTAAAGTACCCGAGGAGGCAGATGCAGAGCAAGCCGCTTTGTGTGTCATTTGGACATGGAAATTCGATTTCTTGAAAAAGCAAATCATGGATGGTCGAATGGAGCTTCGAGTCCATGGTGTGGAAATGATGCAATCGGATCTGGTCAGTATCTGGGGTCAAAATGTATCTCAGAACCGCGAAGGGATTGAGATGCCGTTCTTGAAATACCTGGTGGAATATCTTCGGGAAAACAAGATCCTCGAGTATCTTGTGGGCATTGACTCACACCCACAGTTGATCAGCCGCAGCAGTAACATCTTTGGATTTCTGATTGTGACGGGGAATTATACCGATCATGACACGGATGTTATCTGGAAAACCGTCACTGAGAGCCAAGATGATCGCACTGTTTGTGAGGTCATGTCCATGCTCGCACGAACCTTTGCTATGCATCCTTCCAGATCTAAGGCATTGCTCTATGTATGCTCAAAATTACTCGAGTTTCCCTTGAATCGGTTCGACAGTCGCATAATCGATTTCTGTGAGCAGTTGGTGCCTCGTATGCGCGATAGGGACCATCGCAGCATGTCCGATGAGGAGCATATTGATTCCATTCCACTGAAACTTTGCATCCGCCTAATCCGCGAGAGCTCAGGGGCGAAGGACCTGCCTCTGGAACAAAAGGAACTTATGCAGGGATTTGGAACCGAGCAGCTGGGACAGTTCATTAAGGCGGGACTCAACGAAACCGACATGGCAGAGACATATGAGCGGTGCATTCAAGACATTGGAGAGATGAACGAATGCACTGCGGGTAGCATTCAAGTGTTGAACGCACTAGTACCCCGTGATGACGCACGAGAGCTTTGGAAACTTGCGACTGACTTCGACTTGACGCGCTTGGTGATAATTGAACTTCACCATCTGGTTAGTCAAGAAAACGATAAGCTCAAGGACCCATCTTTCAAGCATGGCTTTTCGTCGCGGGTGGAAATCCTGCGGCGTCTTATTGATCTGGCACCAGAAACTATCACGCCTGATCTCGGGAACACACTCTGGAAAGATATTTTCATGTCCGAGAATCTGGCTGCCGAAGAGCGCCAAATGATTTGGAAAATGATGGTTGACCTTACCAACCGTACCACCAAAGAGAACCCTTTCCTTGAACTCTGTATTCATGAGTATCTACCAGGTGTGCTTCCGAAGGACTACTCGTGCGAAGTATTGTGGTTCGCTCAACAGTCCGTCCACTATGAGATTCGAATCAAATCACCTCCCATTGCCGGAGAAGATGAAGTCATAGCTATTCCTGGGATGGATAGAATCTGGAACTTCATATTGAGGGCACCTCCACAATCGATCGAAGCCGAAGCCATTAAGTTCGCCATCGATAGCTATTTGGACCACGGCATCATTCGCAGATCCCCCAGATCGGCCATTGACGCCACCCATATTGCTCTTGTCAATCGCTGCGTGGACCAACTGAAGTCTGCTGCTGTCGCGTTGAAACCGCCTTGCAATGGAACAACCAATAGTGATGTTTCTATGGACACAGACAATTCCAGTGGTGATATTGGAATCGATGAACTCATGTTCAGCCGGTCTCTGCATTTCCTTCGTCAATTGCTCCATGGATTGCGAACTCGGCCGCAGTACAGTTCCCCTCGTGGGTCTCCGCCTACCCTCCCGGAACGTCCCTTGAAAGGAGAGCCGATTGAATTTCGTTATCAATGTTTCAATGGTACTTCCACGTCCAAAATCTGCTCAAAGCGCATTGGTGGTCTCTCCACGGCTGCTGAGCTGGTGGAAATACTCGTGCAGCTGAGTCGATTCTCCAAGTTTACTGCTATCCTCGGTGGACAGAAGGTTGAGTTGCTCCAAGATCCGGAGGCACTTGTGAAAAACTTGAAGCTCTCTTCGGGTCTTCTCATTCTTCGAAAGGCACCTGACGCTCATGAAATTACGTGGGCCGGAAGACGACAGTCTCTAACAGCAGTGGACAATGAGGTGCTGAAGCACTTCGATGAGTTGTATGATCTACTTGACCTCAAGGATGACTTGGCTCGACAGGTAAGGTCCCATTGGCTCTTTTATTTTAACTGAATGCTGACACTGACATTTTGCAGATCATTGACTTCCTGGTTGTCTTCCCGCCTCAAGTGCGGGCTCTCGAACTTGTTCGATCCAACCGCAATACTGAGAAAGACATGTTCCCATTGCAAAGACCATTCAAAGCATTGTACTCCTTGAATACACTGTCAATGTGTCTCCACGAGGAGGCCGCAGAGGTGAGTTGCCCACTGTTGATTTGAATGATATTCGTGCTAAATATCGTTATAGATGTCTCCAGACCAAACTTTTGTGTCTCATAGCAACCGGGTTTTGATTGCTTTCCTGACGTCGGATGAACTGTTTAGCTCTCTCTCTGGTAACTCGATCAGTACTGTGCTCGCTACTAGAGCCATTGAATGTCTTCTGCAGGCTATATCTGGTATATCGAATCCTTATCATTGTTTAGTACATGAGCCCCAGCTAAATCTGACCTAGTGTACCGCCCGACTGACGACAAGTCCGCTCTTATTTCCGATCCAGTGTCTTTGGTCCGACGGGTTCTTGACCTGCTTGAAATTGGCCGTACCACTCCTGCAGATCCACCGGCTGGTACATGCGCCCAAAGTTTGACCTGCAATTCCTTTGCTGTCCTAGTTGAGGCCTCATTGCACGACATTAATGTCTGGAATGCCGTTAAACAGCTCGCGCAGTTCGATAGCCTGATCCAATCTCTACTCCTGGAAGAAAATCGGAAGCCCATCCGGACTGATATTTTGGAACGCTTGAAGATAATCTGCGGCCCACTGAAACCGTTCAAACTGTCAATAAAAAAGCCCGATACGGAATCTCCTACAGCGGAAAACCCCAACCGGATTGACATGCTTGCGACTCTTTGGTCTTCATTTTTACAAGTAATTCCTAGGACTGTTGACTACGTTCCTCAGTCGGAAGAGTTTTTCAACGCTGCTTTGTGGATGTTCCGCGCAGTTGCACAGAAATCACCTGGGGACTTGATCTTCAACGAGTATCTTCAACAATGGAGTGCAGTCATGCTGAGTCACCAAACAGAAGAGGTATATTCATCCCTAAAAGACCGTTAAGTACTGTTTACTAATGACTTATAGTTTGTTGGGCGTGAACCGGCGGATAATTTAATCATCGGGTTTTCTGCTTTGTTAGAATGGTGTCTGGAATTGGCCAACTCGGCAGGTGTCACTCTAGACAGTTTGTATGTCACATTTCTCCGTCCGATCAAGTTTTAAGCCATGTCTAACTGGGGTTTAGGAACATCGCCGAGCAAATATTCAACCAATACCTGTTCCCAGATTTCTCTCCGGACACGGTGGAGCATGCAGTCCCTCGGGTTCCAGTCATGCACAGCTACACTCGCTCAACCCTTTACAATGTCGTGAACTTGTTGTGCAAGCAGAGCGATGCGACCTATTGTGAAATTTTGGAGCTCCTAAACACAAATGTTCCACGAGGTTCGCATCACTGATTTTTGCCCACTGCATTTTGTTTTCATACCAAGCTAATCGCATTCCTAGACTCCCCTTATCTGGAATATGGCTATAATAGGCAGCTAATGCTCCGATCCCCGGAAGGCTATGCGGGCCTCAAGAATCTCTCAAACACATGTTATCTCAACTCCCTTATGACGCAACTCTTTATGAATATTGAGTTCCGAGACTTTATTCTAAATCTCCCCATCGCTGATCGTGTCTCCCAAAAGCTACTCTATGAAACCCAACGACTATTCACATGGATGCAAGAGACTTGGAGCAAGAGCATTGAACCCTCAGACTTTGTGAAAAGCATTCTCACATACGACAACGAGGAGATTGATGTAACCGTCCAGATGGATGTTGATGAGTTCTATAATCTTCTCTTTGATCGCTGGGAGGCTCAGGTTCTCGACGCCGAAAAGAAAAAGCAATTCAGGTCTTTCTATGGAGGGCAGCTTGTTCAGCAAATCAAGTCAATGGAGTGCGATCATATCTCGGAAAGACTTGAGCCATTCTCAGCAATCCAGTGCGAGATTAAGGGAAAGGCGACTCTTGAGGATAGCCTGCGAGCCTACGTTGCAGGCGAAGTGATGCAGGGAGGTGAGTAAAGACTGCGTTCCTAACGTTGCTCGAATTCTAACAAGCTTTCAGATAACAAATACTCTTGTACCTCGTGTGAACGGCATGTCGATGCTGTCAAGCGGTGAGTCACAATGACATAGTAACGCAGACAGATTTGTTGACTCCCATTTAGTGCCTGTCTGAAAGATGTTCCTGACAACTTGATCTTCCACCTGAAGCGTTTTGACTTCGACATGGTGCATATGTTGAGAAGCAAGATTAATGACGAGTTTCAATTCCCTCGGCACATTGACATGACTCCCTACACCGTCGAGCATCTCTCTCATCCAGAGCAAACCATTGCACCGGATATTTTTGAATTGGTTGGAGTTCTTGTGCACACGGGAACAGCCGAATCGGGTCATTACTACTCATATACCCTTGAGCGCCCATCGTCAGGCAGCGAGGCAAATTGGGTCGAGTTCAACGACTCTGATGTCGGTAAATTTGACCCAAGTACAATTGCAGCTCAATGTTTTGGTGGTCCGAGTGAGACTATGCAGTACATGAATGGAGCCCCCAAGAACAAAGTGTGGAATGCGTACATGCTGTTCTACCAACGCGTGTCCACGATCAAGAAGTGCAAAGAAGTCTTCAAACCAACGAAGCCTGACATCCCTGTACACCTTCCGGTGTCAATTTCGACCCAAAACTACATTGCCATGGACAACGAAATGCTAACTCGGATTTACTGTCTACTGGACCCACAATATGCATACTTCGTGGGCAGATTGCTTCAGCGGTGGCCCGACATGGCAACGGAAAACCCTAGCAAGACTATAGCGGAGTCATTGGCCATCAATGTTGGGATGGACACCATTGAGCAATTGGTTACGCGTACCAAGTATTTCCAAGGACACCAGGAGGTTTACAGTGAACTCGTTGATATGATCAACAAAAGCCCCAATGCGGCTCAATCGACGCTTGAGTGGGTTATTAACCGGCAAACCTCAATGTACAATCTTGTGATCAAGACGCAGAGCCCGGAGATCCGAAGTAAGGGCATTTTGCTGGTCAATAATGCCCTAAAACATCTCCACTCGATGTCGACAAGCGAAGACCTTATTGAAGAGGAACGGATCTCATGGCGCGACAGATTCGATGAAGCCATTCAGCAAATTGTGCCTATGTTGACAGGTCTCTGGACTGAAGTTCAATCCGCTTTCCGAGTCTGGGATGACTACTTCGGCTTCTTATTGAAGCTTTGCAACTATGGCCCGGAGATCATTCAGGTATTACTCGACCAAGGCCATTTTGCTGTCTGTATGGAAATTCTCTGGATCGACGAAGAAGATAGAAAGAAATTGCGGATACGGTATCCCAATTACGTGCGCCTCTTGAACAAAGGACGCCGGTTTAATCACCTGATTTTGCTCTCATTGTGCTTAGTCTTTTTTAGGCACATTGACCTTTCGCTCCGCCCAACCCCCATCGGCGTACAACGGCGGGTTTTGAATGGGAGGTTCTCAGCGAGCACCAAAGAAGTGGAACTCATCAAGCCCACCGAAACTGATGGATCCTTGTCGATCTTGCTCAAGCTTCTGAAGCATGAGACTCTCGCCAGGAGCCAAACTACCCGTGCAATCCTTGGAGTTCTGTTAGACGGAGAGCCTGATGCAGGTCTGCTGGAATCGATTCAACTGACACTGGAGAATGGCGTCAGACTCGAACCCGCCATCCAGTGTACACCATTCCTGGAGGCAGCCACAACGTTCTGCCAGCGTTGCCCGGACAAGGCGGGAGTCATTGAAATGATCGACTTCGTTGCCAAGGGTGTCGAAAGCATTGACAATAGCGGCGGCCAAGAGCATATTGACTTCTTCATGCGTCTTTGCCGCAGTACCAACCAGCGGCTGAATATAAACTCTGCCAAATTTACCGAGATTATGCTTGAGAGTATTTCGGTTTGGGCCCCGACCTTGCTCATTGACAAGGACGAGACTGTCCGTCGCAATATGCACAGTATCCTCAACGAGATGCTCTTCAACAATAATATTGTGGAGACCAACCGAGAGGACTCCGAACAGAATGGCGAATGGCAGACCACTATCACACCAGAGCGACGCCATAGCATTTGTCGTCAGCTGCCGAACGCCTGCATTGAGCGGCTCAAGTCGGCATTCCTAACCGATCAGATCAGTCATATCGACGCCAGGCTGCTTGACAATATTACTCCGGTAATCAACTATTGTTTGGCTACGGTTTATGACGACTCTGAGACGGACCAGCAAGAAGCTCAACAGATCACTGGTATGTCTGAGGCTACACTGTATTCTTGTAGCACCACTAACACAATCCTCCCAGAAATCCTCTCTCTCCTTAAATCGATGTCACTTGAAAAAGTCCCCGATGACCCGCCTTCCGGTATGCTACAATCTCTATCCCTCCTAAATGGCCCTGGAACATCCCCTAACTCGATCCCCCTAGAATCGGACGTGGCCTCAGTCGAGGAATGGGATGCAAACTCCGTTATCGCAAGCGATTCCGAAATGGGAGTCGCCGGGTCTCCTTAGACAATGATCTTTCATGCTGCCAATTTCTTTTTGTTGTTTTTCTTTTCCTTGCGTTTTTGCGATGTCGACGGATTCAGCGAGCACAATGCGTGCATGTGACTAAAGGCAAATTCTCATACCTCACGGATTTTACGAATTCTTGCCCAGTGTTTTTTTTTCTCTTTGACGATGATTGTGCTTATTGGCGTTTTCGTTTTCTCCCGATGGGCCGGAGTAGGATTTATCTCTATGAAGGGTGACTTTGGACGGAAAGGTCATCTGCATGCATTTCGCAAGCCTATTTCCAAGCATTGAAATGAAAGAGTTTCTGGTCTCAAGACCTCACTCTTTGGGTGGATTGAATTCAACAAAAGTTCGTAGAGCATTACTGTTCATTTCGTTCAATGATTACACTGATGTTTATCTTGTATGATCAACCCTCTTCCTCTCCGCCAGCCGGAGCATCGCCCTCATCTTCTGATTCAACCTCCACAGCAGCAAGTGCATCCTGCTGGGCTTGCGGAGCGGGAGCACCGCGTGTTTTTTGACCAGCCTTGGTATTGCCGGGCTCAGCAGCAGTGGGTGCAGTTGCCAGTTTCGCCGCTGGAATGCCACCAGAGGTGACATAGAGGAAGTAGCCCGCAGGGAAATGATCAATATGGTTGAAGAAAGAACCAAAGCTGCAATCAAAGTCAGTATTAATGTGAAATCAAACGAGGGGTTTGAATTAGAATCATACCCAGCACTCTCCTCCTCCTCCCGGAAAATGCGATCGTAGATCTCCCGCTGCTTGAATTCATTCATCTCCGCTTCAAATTTCTGGAAATTGATCGGTTGACGATCAAGACCTTGTGCCTTGCTATTGTAAGCATCGAAGATAGGCCGCTCGAGCAAGAGGCCCAAGCCAGGCGCTTTGGGAATAGCAATGCGCTCAGGACCATAGGTCTCGGTGATTCGATCTGGATGGCAGCCCGAGCGAACAACCATCGCAGCCATGGCAACCATCTTACGGATCTGATGCATCATGAAACTCTGTCCGTGGACCTTCAGACTGAGCCATTCCGTGCCGTCGATGATGATCGGCGTGGTATTCACCTTGAATGACTTGATGTGTCGTTTCGCCGACGGATCCTTGTGTGTCTTCTGAATGGTGTAGTTGTGGAAGTTCTTTGTGCCTTCGTAGCGATTGAGACATTCTTGTAGGCGTGCTATGCGTGAAGCGGGTGCGCGGTAGGCGCGTTTCGCGGTCAGGTATGCTGCTTTAATGGCCTTGATGGCGTCGTTGACGGCCTTTTGGCGGGGGTCCATGACGAAGGGCCTGGCCTCTGCATCGGTTGATTGTTCAGTCGCGGGTTGTTCGCTGGTCTCCTGCTGAGTGGGTTCATTGGCTGGCGCCGAGGTCTCCTTCTGTTCCGAGGGTTGCAGTGCATCGCGGGACTCGTCCTGGTAGAGAGACTTTTCGACGATGCTACGGATATCTTCCGGTAGGTTTTCTAAGATAGGCTTGATGTATTTCACATCAACATCTTCCCAATAGCTTGCGACCTCTTCCTGTCGAGCTTTGACGGCGTCCAAGTCGCCTGCCTTGTTCGCAAGCTCGACGATTTTCTTTCCAAGATAGGTGCTTGGATGAGGTGGCAGGAGACAATGACTTGGCATCAAGTATTCGTAAACTCTGGAATCGCACATTTGATAGCAGCTGAAGCTTTTGCTGGTAATTTCGTAGCCCCAGACGCGAATTTGGGGGCTGAGCTGGGCGTTGATTCTTTGAATGATATCCTCATCTTCGACAATCATCTTCAACGAAACAACGTTTCCAGCTGCGTGGACACCCTTATCGGTGCGGGCACAACGAACAAAAGAAGATTTCTTGGGATCCGCGGCGTTCGCTTTGGAGACCGCGCCGACACTGACGAGGGCCGAGAATAGATCACCTTCAATGGTGCGTTGCTGCTCGTTCCTATAGGATATCTTGTCAGCACAATGAATGACCATATACAAACCAAAAAAAAAAAACCTACAATTGCATTCCAGAGTACCCAGTCCCCGAGTACCCCATTAGAAGCGCAACCTTCTTTTTGGGGCGGCGCTCTTCGCTGTCGATCTCCTCCTTGGAGAATTGGGTCGCGTAGATCGGCAAGTTGACCTCTTCGCCATTCTCAATCTTACGACGTTTTGCTTCAGCCTTGTCTTCATGACGCTGACGCTTGTCTATCGCTTGACGACTTAATTAGTTAGCTGACAATGCGAAGAATGAGGTTACAATCGATGCGACAAACCTCCATTCCGCTCGCCCCATATCGCGGTTCTTACGCCTTCCACCACCTGCGCCTCCTGCTCCTTTGTTGTCGGCCATTGTATCCGCTGGAAGATTTCTGAAAGCTCCGCACGGGGTGCAGACGGGTCGCGCCAAAAAGACCGGTAAAATTGACGACTAATGGTGTTTTTCTGGGTATGTTTGGGGAATATGCGAATTATAATCGAGTTTTTGGGTGCCGTTACGATCCCAAAAAGGTTCCGCTGGTGAATGATCGAGGCACGCATGAAATCAATGTTTCGCGGGAATTTGCCCTCGACTCCGCGCGGTTCATCTTTTCGATTATCGCGGGGCTAGTCCTGGAATGGCCTAGTGTGCTGATATACCAGACTAGCCGTATTTGGTTGTGTTTCAGCCTGAGGAATCAACTTTCCATGTGACATGCAGCTCCAGGCTTTGAACGGGAATTGCAACGCTCATTGTTCAATCAACAAGCTCGGCGCTGCCTGTCGCTCAAGCTGAATCTCACTTCTGTCGAGGACCCATTCACTCCTTTCGCTGTCTTCGATCCAAATTATGCTTATCCTGTCCGATATCTGAACACTGCGACTCATCGCCTTGCGCTCCCGTTGAATTCTCTCCCGGCCTTCATTTCTTCCCGACTACCATCTTTGCTCCGGAGCTTCTGCAACTATGGATCTTTCAAAGACGCTTATCCGAACAGTGGCGCGTGCCTTTTACGAGACCCGTCACATATTGGTTGTCGATGCGCTCTTCTTACATTCAGTGTACGATGAGAGTTGATCTCTGTTGAATGGTCTCATTGCTAACCAGCTATAGCCTTCATGCCGAGGATCTCGCATTCTTAATGGGCATGCAACAAAAGGACCTCCGCAAGCTTTGCGCCAGACTTCGAGAGGACCGCTTGATCGGGGTGTAGGTTACTTTCCCCTGACACGTACTACGACACAGGGTTGAAAAAGAAAAGCTGACACAGGTCTATGTTGACTGTAGGAGCACGCGCGCCGAGATACGTGATGGGTCTACCCGCCCAGTCAACCGCGAATACTATTACATCCCCCTCCACCCAGTCGTCGATGCAATCAAATACAAAGTCTCGAAGTTGACAGCCACCATCAAAGCGCAGTACACGCCGAGTGAGGAGCGCAAGGAATACATTTGCGTACGATGCAAATCCGAGTGGACCGAACTGGACGTACTGAGTCTAGTCGGAGAGGAAGGGTTTGAATGTCAAAATTGCGGCGCCATCCTGGAACGGACAGAGGATGTCAAGGGCGTGGAAGGAATTGAGCGTACGGGTCACGAGAAAAACAGCAAGCTTATGGCACAGCTTGACAACATGCTCAAACTACTCAAGCAGATTGATTCGGTCGAAATTCCACCGAATGACTTTGAAACAGCGTGGGATCACAAAGTGGAGGTCATCCGAAACCAAAACACACACCCAGTCCGTGCCGCGATTGCTGTTCCACCCAAGGCTCAGGATATCACACGTCCAAATGCCAAGACGGATGCCGCTGCACTGGAGATCTCTCTTACCTCAAGTGAAGAGAAGAGCGCCGCCGAGCAGGCCGATGAGGCCGCCCGTAAGGCAGCACTCGAAAAGCAAAATGCGCTTCCAGTTTGGCACACACATTCCACGGTCAATGCAGCACAGCCTGGCACTGCTCAGATCAAGACCGAGATGGGCACCGTGGTGAAGCCTGAGCTTGCGGACGAGGATCAGAAACCCAGTGTGGATGCCTTGGACGACAAAGTCGCCGCTTACTACGCTGAAATGGAGCGGGAAAAGGCACTACAGGCTCAAGCAGATGCTAGCAGTGCAGATGATGACTCAGACGAAGAAGACTTTGAGGACGTTGAGGGATTATCTGGTCCAAGCGGACCAGGTACGCCCGCCATGGCTGGTGGCATTACAAGTGTCCCTGCCACATCTTCTGGGGTCGCTGGTATCAAACGTGAACTCGAACCGACCTCCAGTGCTCCTCAATCATCAGTTGGGACTCCGTCTACCCCTGCTGATGAAGGACCTGCGGCAAAGAAAATCAAGGCCGATCCTGATATCAAGCCTGACCCTGATGCAAAAATTGAACCTGAGGTCAAGAAGGAGGCCGAGGAATCTGATGAGGACGACGAGGAATTTGAAGATGTCTAACGAAACTATTAAGAAAAGCCAAGATTGGCGCTGGCGCCGAATAATTACGGCAGACTGGAGAATCAGCCCTGGAGGCTTTGCAAAACCACTGAAATCGTGCATAGCTATAGAATTGCATTTTGTCCAACTTTCAAGACTCCATGAGAATCAAATTGCAATAACAGAATTGATTGCAACGAGCAAAAAAAAAAAAGAAGAAGAAGGCACTAGAGCTTAGCCATGATAGAATCCTGATAGTAGAGTTGGATGAGTCGTCGTGCCCTGGCATCTTTCTTTGCAATTTGATTCATCGCGGAATAGACATCCTCCGTTCGCAATAGCGTCTGTCCTCTAATATTGATGTTTGTGAACAATTGCAACTCTTTACAGCTTTCCACCAAGGGATGCCGGCTAAGAGCGACAGTCTTATCCTCACGAAATTTGAACGAAGTGCCAAAGATTACATAGAACCGAGGCAGGGGATGTTGCTCATAGGATTTCCAATCCAGCTCTTTCCAAAGCAGATCAAATCTCCCTGGCAAACGACGGAGCGAAATTGCGGACTCCCACCACTTGACGAATTGATGCTGTTCTCTCTGCCCACTGGCTGCATGGACACAGCCGTTGGTTCCCGCCGCCAAATGGGCGAGCAAACGATCAACAACCACGTCAACAGGAACCTCGTCAATAAATATTTGGGACGTCTTCTCTATTACTCTGGTTGCAGTAGTGACTATATCAGCAGGGCTCAGTGCAATGAGAGCAGCAATTTTTGTCAATGGGCTTGATAGCGATATGTTCCAGTGCGGACTTGGAAAGCTTTGGGCCGGTCCGATGACAGAAGGGCGCACAATCAACAGCTGTTCCTTGACACCGCTCAGGGTAAACCGATGGAGAAGAAGTCGTTCTGTCAAGTTTTTTGCATATCCGTAGGACCATGGGAAATCGTAGGCTTCATACGCATCGCTAGAGCCGGTCTCTTGAACCTGCGCCCACTCCTTCATGACGTTTGGACGGTAGTTGGGATCGTAGATGTCTTCTTTGGTCTCGATTTGAATCTCTTTGTCCTCGGGAGATAGATGGGAATTGCAGTACGCCGTTGAGACGTAAACAAAGCGATCTAAATTTGGGCAACTCAGGGCAATGTCTCCCATCCTTTCACTGGCTCTGATAATCACATCTGACAGTGCACTGAGGGGCTTTGCGAGATTGATAGAGGATGCTGAGTGAATAAAGATATTGACCTCTTGTCGAAGTGTGCTTAGTTGATGCTGGGAAAGCCCGAGGTCAGGTGAGAGGATGTCACCATTCATCGCTATGATGCGATTAGTGCTCAGAAGGCTTTCGACGGTTGCCGATGATAGCGACTCTGTCCATTTCGATCGAAGTTTCCTGTAGGGATCAAGTGGTCAATTTTCTTTCCGCCAAGGGTTGCGCCTTTCAACTAACCCTATACCTCCCCTGCATAGCATGTATATGCGACACACGGATGTTTGTGTGAGCAAGCGGTATACAATCGCAGTACCCAGAAAGCCAGTCCCCCCGGTAATGAAGATGGTCTTGTCATTGTAGTAGTCCCACATCTTGGTTCCGACAGATATCGCACAGAAGCTTGTAGAATGTAGCCTGTATCTATTCCACTTGCGAGATACCACAGGCCATCTTATACTTTCTACCAAGGGAGTAATATGTATTATCTGCAAGCCGTTGTCTTTGGAAAGCCCCCAACCACTATGTATCTAGTTCATATAGGTTGTACAACACAACATCACCAAGCAGGCTGATCATATTCCGGTCGTGATATCATCATCCGATTGCTGAATCTAGCCATCCCGCGTCATCCTAAGCCTCTAGTTCTCCAATCGAGATAACTACAACTCATGAGTTCATGAATGTTCTCAAACATATCACTGGATACTCCTATTGTGTAACCTCGCTGGAATAGTTAACAGACAGTGTAGTGCAAACGTCGATCAGATCTTCACCCTTGCATATCCAACTGAATTGGAAATCGTATACTCCTATAATGAGCCGTGCTGGAAAATTGACCTGGGAACATGATTAACGCGGGAGACTGAATCCGTGAATGCCTTCGGATTTGTCTTCCAACACTGTTCCAGGCTATGTCTTTCCCCCAGGAGACATTAGTAGCCAAGGTATCTTCCTGTCATTTATATCTATTAGATGAACCTCACCAATGCATTCATTGTAGTCAATCGCATCGGCACACATCACTTTATATACCATCCGTGACCAATGCCATCTTGGGAATATAAACATGAATCACCTTCTCCAGCCCCCGTACGACATCCTCCTGCTATTCTTTACCGAACAAGACGATGTTTATACGAAAATGTTCTTGCAGCTTAAGTATAACCGCCACAAATTCAACCTACGCTCTTCGGCCCCGAAAAGACACGCGGGTCATGACTCTATACAAGGAAGTGACCTCTAAGCGGTCGGTGTAATCGTATTGGGGCCGTGTTAGAATGATCCAGCGAGAAGGCCAAAAAGTGGCTTCGTCCGGGAGTAATTGGTTCTCCGCTGCGACTCACGATGAATAAAACAACCGGTTGATATCTAGCCACACTTCTGGATCAAGATGCAGTGAAGTGATTTTGATGGTCACAGTAGAGCTAGCTGGAATGATTGCTCTGAGGACGGCAAGCCGGTCTTTCTTGCAGCCAGCGTTGATATTTCGTAGCAGCCTGTACGCGACGATCGAGAAGTATACTAACACTAGTGCATCGATTATACCGGCGAGGACGGGCATCGTCGGAGCTTAGGAAAATAGACTCAAACCCAGCTTAGCAGAGCTGTCATAAGAAACAGAGGGGGCTCAGTAGTAAATATGTATCTGGGGCAAAAGATACGAGCGCCGAGGCGTGACAACACGTGCTGCATAGACGGCACTCCCTATAGAGCTCTACTTCATGCAAACGGGCACAGCGTGATATTAGAAGAGACTATATGAGTGATGTGAATTACTAGGCAAAACCTTTTCAAAAAACATCTGGAAAGTGACAAAGGGTGATGGGGGCATATGGTTACGTACTTCAGTGGAGGTGTAGTTAAGATATATTCGCGGAAAACGTCTAACCAATGCAGGAGATTCCTTGTCCGAATCGAGCCTGTGATACGATTTAAGTGATTACTCAAATACTCACCTATTTTCTTTTTCTACTATTGACCCGGAAAACATCAAAATGAGACAAGCATTTGTTCTTAGGCTCCGTTCTAGGGCCTCTCTACTATCCAAGGCTTCCAATGGATGCTTTCTACCAGGCTTCACACTGTCAAGAGTGAGAGTCAAGAGTGAGACGAAGCGATTAAAACTCAATGCCCACATATTCCAATTATATCAGGGTCATTTTAAGCGTCAAGATTCTTAACCACAGCCGCAAGAGTCATATAGTTACCGCAAGTCAAATGGGATACGACAGTCTATTACCGCCAGTGCGCCAACTCAGATTCTGGCTGTGGTATACTTAATAGTGAATCATATTGATTCTTTGTACTAACAATCCTTCACTTTAGAACATCACATCTAGATCGAAAAGTTGGTTCACAAATCTAGGTCATTTTCAATATTCCATACTTCACGGCTAATTCTTTTCCTCTCCTAGCTATAAGACCAATGGGGGAATAACTAGAAAATAATATCAGACTGCCAAAAATGGGTCGAATTACTTGGGAAATTAGCAGTAATGGACTGTCGTAGCCCATAGTACCCCACAGCGCCCAGGTTGTGAGAAATCAGATTAAACACTTCAAGATCTATGTCCTGTTTCGATCGATGAAGCACCTCTGTCAAAAAGTTGCAGTATTCATCAAGTGCTTTTATCAACTGGAAAGCTTACCTGTCAATGATTAGATGCTACTGAGTCGAGCGGATGAATCAAAGACATTGATACTCCAGTAATCTTCACGGTTTGTATCGCCGAGCGTTGGGTTGCACTAAGGTACTTTTGTACAAGTCAATGGACACGACTGCTTTAGTGGTTTTGCGATAGTAAGAAAGACATTGATTCCAATCCAGTGAATATACCCAATGGAGAAGATCCGAGATGAACAAACAGTGAACGGAGAGGAAAAGAGTAGACTAACTGGGACTGGAAGCCATATAGCTCCCCCAACTTTGAGAGATGAGATCACACTGTAAATATTGCCCTGGATGGAAATTCCTATCTCTACTGAAGGCATGCTCATGGCTCATGAGATCCTTACCTCTAAAATTAGACACCCCTGGAGTCATGGCGATGCTTTTGGCAAAATGGTCAGCCGGGTACATTTATATCGAGTTCGGAGTTTCTTATATTTTTGTTCGAACTATATATTCCAAGTCCGGCCTTTTCGTAGCTTTGCTTTTGTTGGGATAAAAAAACATCTCAGTAAGACATGGCGACTGCACTATTCTGCCTACTTTTACTGGTAGCTGCTGGTATTTATGGCTTGGGCCGAGTTATATACAATGTCTTCTTCCACCCACTGCGAAATTTCCCTGGGCCATGGATGGCCGGGGCTACGTCGAGTTGGAAAGCATATAACGAAGTTATAAAACAGCAATCGGCGGTTCATCAGCTCTTTGGTCTCCATGAAAAATATGGTACGAATAAGTTGGGACGATAAGACATTTTCTTGTAACATTTCTAATAGGTAATATTGTCCGTGTTGCTCCGAACGAGGTGAGTTGTGAATGATTCAGTCTACACTGCCCTATCTGGGCTGTAGGACTCACATAGATCTATCACTCACATGTCACAGCTCCATTTCGGAAGCCCCGGTGCGTTCCACGATATCTACCATAGCAGCAGAAGGTGGGACAAAGATACGGGACTTTACCGAACCCCCGGGGTTTCATCCGGATCCTTCACCTTCTTGAAGTATGCCCAAGCAAAGGAACGACGGGAGGTGATTCTTCCCATTTTCTCCAAGAAAGCCATCAATAGTCTTGAGCATCTCGTCTGGCGAAATGTGGGTAGTGTATTACTTTACTTCTATATCTTAACGATCACTGAATCAACAGCTCCCAGGCAAATCGTCTCGCATCCTCCATTGCCAAGGTCAATGCATCCAAAAGGTCTGTTGATCTGCTCTATGCCTTCAGATCCTACACCCTCGACACTATAATGTGCTTCACATTCGGCAGTTGCATAAACGCCCTCGACGCGCCGGCGTTCAGCGATCCTCTTATCTTAGCCATGGATGCCAGCCTTCGTATGCTACCCTTAATGAAGAATTTTCCCATGATCCGAGATCTTATCTTTGCCCTACCACCGGCCTTGGTCATGCGCCTCATTCCAAACGCTCAGAAACTAGCCCCACGCCTGTATCAGGTTCGGGATCTCGTCCAGCAACAGCTTCAAGTCGTACTAAGCTGCCCTTCAAAGCTCGATAGTGTGCCCCATGAGACCCTCTTCCACCGTATGCTTGACCCAGAGTCATACCGGAGCAAGGAAGTCCTCAATATGACAGAGCTACACGATGAAGGCTTCACACTCATCTTCGCAGGTTCCAACACAGTAGCTGATACGCTGCTCATGGGCCACTGGCACACAATGCAGAATCAGACCTTGCTAGCCCAACTACGAAGCGAGATCTGGACTGTCTGGCCCGATGTTGAAAAAAGGCCATCACTGACAGATCTCGAGACCCTACCACTACTCACAGCAACAATCAAAGAGTCTCTCCGCTTTATTCCGTCCGGGGTATCGCTAACGCGCGTCGTACCCACAGGAGGCGCCGTGATAGCCGGACAGCAGATCCCGGGTGGGACGGTGGTCGGGATGGCTATCTTACATGTACATCAGAGTGTGGAAGTTTGGGGCAATGACGCGCTTGTTTTCCGACCGGAACGGTGGCTAGAGAGCACGGGGCAAGCAAGTGCCCCCAATGGGAAGAATGAATTGGATCACTGGCTCGTTCCGTTTAGTCGTGGGCCGCGTATGTGCTTCGGTATGAACTTGGCCTGGGCGGAGATGTATATTGCTTTTGCGACTATGATCAGGGGCTTTGATTTGACTATTGATGGTACTACGGAGGAAGATATGGAATGGCGGGAGTGCATTGCGGCTTACTACCCTAAAAGACACTTGCATGCGTGGTGTCGCCCGGTTGGGTCTGGGAATACGAAGTGAAGAGGCATTATTTATATAACTTTGCGACTTGAGGCCCAGGAAATTGCAGACCGTATCAGATATTGTGGATTGTTGACAATATGTACTACCCTACGTACACGAAGACAACATCTGTATCGAGGCACGGTCTCGTTTTCAAGGCGTGAAGCACCCGTCTCTTTTTAATAATCAGCCTTGTAGGTACCATCCCATAAAAACACATATGGGCACCATTGAGGACATATATGTACTCATTGCATTATCAATCTATGGTGTGTAGTGATTAAAAGCCTGCACATGCACCCAGGAAGGTCATGCATGGCTGACTATCTCAGGATTACCTAGACAGATCCATACTTTTCAAACATGAGGAACTTCTCGTGCTCTCAAATCTAGCCTGAATGTATTTCAGAAATCAAAATAATGAAGAAGCGCCTGTCGATAAAATAATCGGCCGCTCGTGCTTGAATAGCATGTCAATTAAACCACATACTTTAAATATGTCAGCGAGTTCTCACTACCACGAGTCGTTTACATGAACTTACTGGAATGAACAGGTAGGGGACCTCTTTTTCATAGCGCTTCCAGGCCTCACCGTACTTTCTACGGCATCTGTTGATATCTCTGTTGGTGCGATGGATGATCATGATCATGAAGAAAACAAAGTAGAACCACGGGAATGGGCTCCTATCAGGTAGTTAGTCACCACAAATTCTTCCACGCGTTTGTATATATGAGGTCTTACTTGAAACCAGTAATCAGTCCCCAGGACATAGAGAAGAACATGTCAGGGACATAATTTGGCTTTCGGATGATTGCAAACCAGCCATCGACCATGATGTGATCGCCCGTGTCTGTTTGAATTGTCTTGGGGTTTTCGATAGCCTGCCACGGAACTTGAGGAAAGGTGTTGCGTTTGACAAGCTGGCCTTTTTCCTTGTGGCGAAATGCGTTCTTCTGGCCGTTGGCGCTATCCCACATCCAGTAGAAGAAGATGTACAATGCGGCAAACACCCCGAGCGCGTACGAGTTCCAATGATACTCGGCTGGGTCGTGGTTGGCTAAGTAGAGCGCACAGTGGCAGTAGGTAAATGGCACACCGGCCATGTTCCAGAAGGTGAGCAGGAATCCCAGCTTCTCAAAGTACATGTCCCTAGCTTAGCGTTAGCAAGATAGGAACTCGAACTCTTTCACTAGCACATCTCTAGACTGACCAGCTTGTAATAATCATTTGCTCAGCCTTAGCACAAGCATTGGTGTACAAGTAATGGGCTCCAGCCAAGAAGACTACCTCGGCTGAGACGTAGCCATATGTTTCGTATTGACGAGCAGCCACGGAGCAGGTGATGAGGAACAGGATAAACCAGGGAATTCGGACCTCGTAGAACATTTTAAAGTCCAGAATACCAATGCGTGGATTCAGCTCAGCGCCCATGAAGAAATCATAGATGGGAGAGCCGGACAATCTGTGGGTTCGTCCGCGCACGATAGCTTGGAAGTACACGATGAAGCTGTTCAGGAATCCGGACAGAATAGCGACAGTCATGATGGATCCAAACTCGTCGATTAGTGTGTACAGAGGGAACACGCCAGTGGCATGCAGGACGCCCGCAATGGCAAGTGTCGCATAGAAGCTGGAATAGGCAGAGCAGTAGTAGGGAAGCCTCTTCCCACCTTCATGTCTCAATGGTCGACCGAAGTTCGAAACGCCGGGCATGTAGCAGTACATGACAGCTTCGAGGATGAAGAATATCCAATAGATCGCCCATGCTTTTCCGGTTGGATAGGCTCCGTCATAGACCAGTTGACACAAGTGACGACCAAAACCAGCCCATGTTTGGCCGGGCTCGGGCAGAGGAAGCTGGCCCCCATAGTATGTTGCACCAACCCACATGTACCACATCACTAGAGGAAACCCCGTCATCAACAGTGCAGCACCAATTGAACCACCGAATTCGAATTCGTCCGACGCGCCATCAAGGAACTTGGGGGTGGTTTTTGTTCCATTCTCCTTGCCACTAGCTGGCCCAGTAGCAGGAGGGCTTCTCCGTCTTACCGTCATTGCTAGAAATTGAGAGGGAGTTCCCGAACAGAGTTGGAAGAAAGAAAGATTGTTGGCCCCTGGTTTTGCTGTGGTATCAGGTGACCGTACGGAGTACTCCGTACACTTCGTTTGAATAGCTTCCAAAGTAATAGAAAGAATGACGCTAAAGCAATCTGTAAGATTAGTGGGTTTTTCTTTATCTTGGCATGCAGTTTCTGTTGGTTGTAAATGTGGCCAGACTACGGAGTACGGAGTATAGGGGGCTGATTTGTTAGTTTTGTATTTTGGCCCCCGAATCTACTAGGTAACTACATAATTACATGGTAATTTCTTCTAGTTGTCGCCCTAGAAAAGCCATAGAATCAAGTCAGGGGCAATCGGCCTCGGAGAAAAAGCAGACGAAATCCTTGAGGAATATCATAAAGTCCGATATCATACACTCTCACTGTCACGGAGTATTTGCAGAGTATTTGCAGAGTCAGAAACTAATAGGAACCTGCTTCGCTGAAAACTCACAGATAATTGCTAATCTTGCCTTTATTTCAGGCTACTCTTTGCTTTCCACACTAATTTGGCTGAGGCCTTGTTTGCGCTTTATTTTCGTAGCTGATAAACCCGATACCACACTCTCCCATTAGAGTTTCAAATATTTTGTAGTAAGGTCCGATGTAGTGTGGAATTTGAGAAGCGAGATGAGGAATTTATTAGGATGATTGAACTACTCTGTGTCTTCACAAGCTTTGGCAACAATCTGATCAAGTTGTGTTATTGCAGGTGAAGAGGTATGTCTATACATATATATCTCCACTAGCCTCGAAGATATTCTCATCTCTCTTCCTCTGAGTTGATGAGACTTTTCATAACTCAAATCATTGTCTAAGTAGGCTAGATCCTGCGAATGAATTCTTCGGGTGTACAGGCTAGTGGATGAGATCATGGAAACTATCCACAACATTGAGCTAGACTGTATTGTGAACAGTGTGGAACGGTGTAGGACTGTGAGTAGTGTGAAAAACCATGAACCACGTATAATCCCAAATTGTAAATACTCCTATAGTATAAATAATACTCCATACATACTAGCGGTATATGAGGTTGTAGGATTGGGTATTGAGAAATATAGTGATAGACATTTCACAGGAGTTCATCTTAAAATAAATTCTACAAAGCGTATCTTTGAAAGAAAAATTCCGCATTTAACGAAGTAGATTAGTAGTACAGCAAAACCATAAACTCTTACAAGGAATCATAGCAAAAATGGTAGTTAGAAAGCATACAGTATAGCTGCTGTGAGGCTATCGTACCCGCTTCTCCTAGATGGTATGACTGAATGTCCATGCACTATTCCACGCTGTGGTTCCATTGCATGAGACCGATCCAGGCATCGTGCCCCAAGACGATAGCATACTTCGCAAATGTTGAAGCTCCCTTCATTACAAGCAGCACAGTGGTAGAAGTATTGATCCTTCAGCATGAAAGCCATGCAAATATCACAATGATATGCATGCTCGTGGTCTTGATAGGGGCCGTCATCGATCATGTCAACTTGTACTCCAAAGTTTGTCTCAGAAAGTGTGCTCAGGAATTTCACAACATCAGTTCTATTGTGCAGTATAGCATCGGACAGTGCTGTGCGGCCGAACTTGTCTTGAGCCTCACAGTCAACACCGGTGTTTTTCAACAGTGCAAGAATTGATTGTAGATAGCCGCGAGTTGCAGCAATATGTAGAGGTGTTCGGCCATATCGATCGGCTTGATTGATGATTCTGATCTTGGTCGAAGTACAAAGAGCTGTCAAATTAGAGTAGATGTTTTCCAAGACGGCATGGAACAACACGCCACGACCGTCATTGTCTTCGGTGTTGATATCAGCACCATTCTCGAGGAGAAGGTCAATTACTTCTGTACTTCGATTCCGAGAGGTCGCCGCCAAACTCAGCGCAGTTCGACCCGCATGGTTTTTGATTTCCAGTTCAGCACCCCAGTTCAGCAAGACTTGTATCACGGACGTTTGACCTAAGATTGATGCGCGCATGAGTGGTGTCGTGTTGAAAAGGTTGTCGATAACGATAACATTGGGGTCAGCGCCCCTGTCCAGGAGAAACTGAACAATTTTCTCATGTCCATTCAGCACTGCTGCTGAAAGCAAACCATTTAATTCCATATCGCGGGAATTAACATCTATATTCAAGTCAAGAAAAAGCTTCACCAAATTTAAATGGCCATATTGAGTGGCATAAAATAAGGGAGTATGGCCTTTGTTATCTTTTGGGCGCGGGCTCCCTTGCTTCAAAAGAAGATGGGTAACGATATCTGATCCTTGCTTGGCCGCAGCATGAAGTGGTAACCTCCCTCTGTCGTCGGGAGAGAGTGAATCACTATTTCCTTCGAGTAGTAGCTGGACTACTCGTTCATGGCCACTCATAGCTGCTAAAAATAGAGGTGTCTTGCCATCGCTGTCTTTGATAGTGGGATCTGCGCCATTCTTTAGAAGCAATGTTATCATATCTGGACAGTTCTGTTGTGCTGCCCATGATAAAGGGGTTTTTCCAACAGCATCCACACAGTCCACTAAGCCACCAAGCGAAATCAATTTTTGAGTCACATCAAGCAAATTAAAGTAAGCCGTAAGATGTAGACCTGTAGCAATCTGCGAGGCTTTTAGTGGATAGGAACGTCCTCCAAATCTATCATTGAATAAGCTGGAATAGGAATTGTCGCTACTAGACCAAGCCATGAACTGCAAACAGGAGTCCACTTTGGGTCTGTCTAGCAGTAGTGCAAGAATTGCTTCCTCGATTAGAGGTTGCTCCCCAGCTATTTCAAGCTCTCGGATATGACTGCCCCAGAAAGCAGCTGCGTAGGGTCCAAAAGGATAGCGATCCTGGCGCAATTTGAAATCTTCCACTGTTTGGCAATGCCCTGTTTTGAAAGTATCACAAGACAAATATGCCACGCAGATGCTGCTAATGTCATAGTTTGCTTTTGGGAACCAACTTGATTGATTACGCTGGAAGAATTCTTGGGTTGTATAATGCACCAGTCGAACGACATCGCTTTGTTCATCGATGGTCACTAGGCCGGCGCAAACCGAAACCATGTCAATGAGATCGGGAAGATTATCCTCATCAAAATCTGGCTCGTTTATCTCGACCGCTAGTGCAGTCTGGAGCTCCACTGTAGTGAGCGGTCTCTTAGCACAAGTAATCCATGCAAGCACTTGCATGGCCATCTCTGTTTGATCGGCGATTTGTCCTTGGATTCGTTTCATTGCATCGTGATATGCAGAGTCGTATTGGTTTGTACTTGATGAAATGTCTTTTAAGGCGGATCTGATTGCTTTAGGTGATCTTTTCCCAACCAAGGAGTTGAGGTAAAGCTGGGCGAGTAGGAACCTAAATTCTTATGTTAGAGAACTGCTCCTCGATATCTTTTGCTGAGCGATAAGTATCTACTCACATCCCATCAACAGCAGTGGTAATCCCCATCGAAATATCTGTTTGCAACTCTGAATTTCGTGAAACAAATGCTGGAAGCATTTCTAAATTTCCTTGTAGATATCGCATGACATCTGGCGTGCTGGCACGAATCTCAAGTGCTGGCTTCCCTCTGAAAGTCTCAGTTATTTCAGGAATAAACCGGGAAGTTGCGAGAAGGTTTATGTTGCAAGTATCCTGAAGTTCGAACATCGCATCCAAGAGCCTTGTTCGTGATCCATCACTCATCCGACATTCATCCAAGGCATCGATTACAATATAGACCTTCGCCAAATCACTCGGCTTTGATAGCAATTGGATAACAGTTTTGGATATATCCCCAATTGAAGGTCTTGTTCCTCTGGCCATATGTTCAGTATACATCTCTCGGATGCTACTAGGCAGCGGTGACTGTGACTGAGCCAATTGTTTCAAAATGCTCGATATCAGGGCAATAGCGCTTTTCTCATCTTGCCGCTTGAAATTGCAGTATATATACGCAATAGCAACCTCGGCTTGATTTCCAAATCGATCGTAGAGGTCATCGATCACAATAGACGCCAGAATTGTTTTCCCAGCACCTGGTATCCCAGGACAAAAGAGCGTTTGCTTTGAGCCTAAGATCCAATTTTTAAACTCGGCTGAGTCTATGAACCACTGTCCAGTACCTTCCTCATGTCGACCAATGTTGTCGCTTTGCTGGGAGGTATAGTTTGACGGCGAGAGCCAATCAAGGATTTTCCGACACTCTTCCTCGTCTTGATGCTGTACCAGTTTTGCCACACTGCGTTTCATTGTTTGTCCATTGAATGCAGTCAGGAGTGCGATATTGGTGCCGACTCGAAGGCGGAGTTCTTGGATGTCGCTTGGTTCCCACTTCAGGCGTTTCCACGCCCGCTTCGCGATATTTCGTTTTCCGTCAATCGGAGTCGACAGCTCCGTATAGTCTTCAATCTTCTTTAAAATATCGGTAAGGACCTCGTGGCAACCTTCCGATATTTTGTGTAGTTCAGCCTGTTGCTGGTTGCTAAGCTCCTTTGCGGATATGTCGATCTCCACATCTTGCAATACTAGTGAGAGGCTTCTAACTCTATCAACCCTCTTTTTAGTACAACCGGTACAACGGACAAAGCAGGATCGAATTGAGGATTGACCTACTCATCAGAAAGGCTCTTGAATTGAACAGGTGCTTCCACAAAATCTTTTCGAATCTTGGTGGCGAGTTTGATAACTGCAAGAAAATCCCCGATACCAAACCCAAAGCTCATTGTAGCAATATGGAGCAGAGTGAGATGGGTGGGGAGTTGACAGATGAGAGACAAGTTGAGAAGTCTCAGCCTCAAACGCGGGGTCGACCCGCGCGTAATCCGCCTGCTGTCCACTTCGACCGTCTTTTGAATAGCGTGGTGATCTCAAGAAATCACAGTGGCAGTTGACAATACATTATGCATCCAATGTACAAGCTGGCCAAGCCGAGGGCTGGCAAATTTGTCGCCTGATCGCTCCTCGTCATTACCCACTGTTCGACTGTTTGACGGTGGTCCTGCGGAGATCCGATGCCATACCTGACTGTGTCATGTTGAGTAGCCTTGGGGATAAATACAGACTTGATGGACAGCCCCCTTGAGAATGAGTGAACCAATATCGATAACTCTAGACCAGGAGTCAGCAATGAGAGTAGATAGGTGATGGCCTTCATGAGCTGATGGACGGGGCGATTTTCCGTGCAACACGGTAGAGGCAGTGAGATAGTAACGGTGAAGCTCAAAGGATAAAAGGTCGCTGACGGATCACTGTTTATGAGAAGAGCGAGAGAGAAAAGGTCTACTTGGTAGGGAAGCAGTTCCTAATTGAGATATGAACAGCCACGCTCCCTTACAGAGAGAGACAATATTCTAACAGCGTACGACCACGATCTTAAATGGCCCATGGGGGTAGAGAGAGCACTAAAAATATATTTTTTTCAGTGTAACTATACATTCATTAATTGGACGTTGACACAAAGCAAATATGTATCAAACTTCGAAGTCACTAAGCCAGACATATGTAAATCACATATCAATTTAGACAGTCACCCGGTTGGCCTTCAAATACTCATAATCCGGCATGGAATCCCGGGTAGCCTTCTCGAGCATCTCTGCGACCTCATTCCCAAACTCAACGCGCCACTTAGCAACCTCCACATCAATATCAACTGACACGGGCGCCTTATCCTTCACAACACCAGTGGACTGCTCCAAAGTCGACAACATGATGGAAGCAGCAACCTTATGCATCTGCACCTCCTCGGAATTACCCGTCCTTCCATTCTCGGACACCCAGTTCTCAGACTTTTTCGTATCGCCATTCCACTCAAACTGCAAGGACGCGGTGTCCAGACCAGCCTTCTCACAAAATCTAACCACAGCACCTTGGTTATGGATGACATCATTTGCATCGATGACCAAAGGCGCGATAGGTTCATCGGGCTGCTCAAGACACCAGTCGAACAATTTCCGTGTCCACTTCATGGTCATATTCGTGATCGTCGCACCTCTCATTCCATCATCGTCAATAAATCCAGCTTTGGACAGCTTGATCATGGCCCGATACATCGATGCCCAAGCTAGTGCCGGGTGACGGATGATGAAGACTATCTGCCAGGTGCGCAGGTACTCGTCCGGCATGACGGTTTTGTTATTGGCCGAGAAAGTTTGCGAGGGCCCGTAGCGTTCTGGCATGGATACGTTGAACTCTTTCATGTATTCAGAGCTTTCGGCGCCGTTGATAGTGCTCGTGAAGAAGCCCGGGTTGAGGAACCAGAAGGCATGCTCTTTAGCAAACATTATCTTATTCTCGGTGCGTGCTCGGGTGGAATAAGCTTCTAGTTCATCGAAGCCTTGTTGGATGGCGGCTTTGGTCTCGTCCTTCGCCTCTGTTGTCCATTCCTCTAGAGGTCTATCCAAACGACCGTCCCGGCCAGCTATCATGAAGGCATCATAGAAGAAGTAGCCGGCATTTGGGCTAGTGAGGACATTGGGTTGGTTGTGGATGTTGAGGATTTTGACGAGTAAATTCGAGGCGGTGCGGGGTACACTGACGAGAAGTACTCGGTGTGGTTGGTCCTTTTCCGTGATGGACATGGCGTTTTGTCAGGATTTGGGGGCTGAATGATAATTAAGCTTAACCTATTGTGAGGCAATGAGCGTGAAGAGAGATGGCTACATTCTGGAGTCAGATGGCGTGATCTCACTTAAATAGATTCAACTTCTGTCCAAGCCCAGGATCACCCGTCTTTTGTCAAGTTTTTTTCACCCCTCTCTTTCCTGCATACAAGTGGATCAATTTCTAATATCTAGGAGTTAGCATCGATGGGAATTCGGAGAGTTTCCCAATGGGGTCGGACTCCGTATAAACCGCTCCGATCGGTCTTTGTCGCTGTTTGTTAAGACCGAGGAAGGGTCAATGAAATTCTTTATTGGACTGCAGTGGTGATCGGCAGCAAAGATACCATGTATGTCTCAGCCCGTCGGCCTTCGGACCAGACCCCCCGAGGCAAGGAGTCGGAATCCATACGGTGATTTGTGATAAATCATCGACAAGCGTGACTCAATGATCTCTTTCCTTGATTATATGTGCATGCGTTATGCTCAATTGGCATACGGAGTACAGAGTACGTAGATCTAAAATGAAGGCGGGGTATAAGTAAGAGAGCTAGATTCGACTGGAGATATATATGGCACTCCCTAGTCTTCACAGTACCAAGTTCATGTTTCATGTATCCCATTCGAGGACAGCACAGAAATCTTGAGACAGAATCACAATACATGAATTGCTCAACACTCGATATCTCTTGACTTTCAAGAGCTTTCGCAAAGACTAAGCTAACACAGTAAAACACACACTTCTGCAAGATATATTAAGCAAAAATAAATCGTAAAACGCACTTTTCAACGAGGGGAAGAATCAGAATCACTGCTCTCTGCCTCTGCCTTGGCAAGACTTTGCTCCCTGGTGAGTGTCGGGTTGCGAATGACCAGGGCAAAGGCAATCAGGGGAACTGTCAAGCAGATACCCGTGATGCAGAGCAGACGCTGCGTCTTCTGATAGGCCAGAATGACATTATCTCGGTCGGACGTACCCACAGGGTTGGCGGCAGCGAATGCAAGAGGCTGGGCGTAGACATATGCAGCGAGAGTTTCGTTGCCGAGTCTATAGTTTAGTTCAGAAGGCAAGACCTGGTTCCAAATCGCGCCGGAGATTGTGTTTCCTAGTGCACTACCGACATTGTACGCGGCGAGGTAAAGACCAGTTATGACCGCGAGATCTATGGGATTGTTAGTCTGTGAGTTATACGTTTGTTTGGACAAATTATGTTGAGGGGTACTGACGTTCATGCTTGGAGGCAACCTGAATGCTGGCTTGAGCTGGGTAGGGGAACATTCCACCAGCTGGGAAATTTGTTAAATATGTTCAACCATGGATGGAGTGCAGTCAATTACTTACCAATGCCTAGCAGAACTTGCGCACCAATAACACCGGAATGACTGGAGTTCGCAACGCCACCTCGGAAATAAATGAGGATTCCAAACGCAACCATGAAGAGGAGAGTTCCCGCCACGATGAAGGGCTTCAATTGGCGGATCTTCATGACAATAAGTCCGAGAATCACACCTGTGATGACGGAAACAAAACTGTAAAGAGATGTGATCCGAGTTGCACTGAGAATTGATTCGTCGAAGCTGACGCATAGCACGGTGTATAAGAAATCACCTTGCAAATACCACGCTAAAGAAATGTTAGATTTCGAGCATAGAGAGTATCCTGAAAGACGTACCAGTGTTAAGCATGATAGGGATTCCGAGAGCGCCCCAGACAGCACGGTCCTTGAGAAGCTAGACCCGAAGTGAGTCAGTAAAAATCATGAATTTTGCTTGAATGATTCAACTTACGTTGAATGGCAGCATCGGGTGCTTGCAGGTTCTCTCCCAGAAAATCCAAACCGGGATGAGCAAAACGCCTATGACAAGCGGCGCGATCACCTTTGCTGTCTTCCATTGTGCAGTTACACCTCCAGCAAGAGTGAATGGAACAAGAATACACGCCAACATGGCAATCAGCAGAATGTTGCCGACAATATCCAGATGCCAGAACAGTTCGACAGCCAGCTGTTTTTTCCCCAGGATCTCGAGAGAGCTCTTGTACGATTCAAGGGCCCCAGACTTCTTCGCACGTCGCTGGACGAAAAAAAGGACCCCAATAAGAGGGAGTGCACACACGGGATAAATAATAGCAAACATGCCAATGCCCCATTGCCATGTAGTGACTTTAAGAACGGCTGCAGTCAGGTTGCCGCTAATCCAGGTATTTATCTAGAGGCAATCCGCTGCATTAGTAGGCTGCGACTGGTAGATGAGAGCACATGTGGCACTCACAATAAATGGCAAGGCCGGAACATAAGAGAAAAGGAGACGAGATCGGCTGGAAGTGACATCGGCGACGAGGACTTCAACCAGAAGCATCATACAGGTGTATCCAATCTAGCCAGTATTAGACGTAGACCAATACGATAGTTTTTGGGTGCATATCTTACCTGGTAGATAACAGCGCCCGCCGCGAAACCTTCCACACTCGTTGCACATGCTTCCACAATAGTACCCACGGTATAGAAGAGGATTGAGACGAGGATAAGTTCCACTCTGCCGAACACGTCTGCAATTTTTGCCGAAGTAGGCTGTTAATATAAGGTCAGCTGCTGTAATAAACTGTTGGTCTCTGAATCTCCGTACCTGTGCAGCAGCAGCAATGACGGCTCGGAGAACATTGATAGTCGCAAGCAAACTGTGCTCACCATAACTTTGAGTGGCATAAGGCTGTCAAATTATGAGATATTAGTATGATTTTCTCTGATCGACGTGTCTTGACGTCAGAACTGCGAGATAAATACCTGATATGTATAGCGAACAGTTCCATCCAGACCATACACATAGGCGACCAGGAAAATTGCGAAAAACAGACAGACCCGATCAGGCAATCGAAAGTACGATGTAATAATTTCGATGCGACGAACACCTGGACTGCCTTGACCCATCAAATTCACAGGCTCCTGCAGCGAGACAGCTTCATCGCGGGGGTTCTTCGAGTCTCCACTGACGTGGGGACCAACGTTGATCTCACGAACGAACGACATGATTATCGTACAGAATGAGATCTCATTCAGATCACCTATGTAGAGAAGAAGAAGAAGAAGAAGAACACAGTCGAAAAAAAAAAAAACAGGGAAAAGATGATTGCCAAGAGATAAAAAGTCTAAGATAAAACCGCTCAATCAATCTTATCAGATGGGCGAGTGACCCAACCTTCCAACCTTGTACCGAGGCGCGCTAGAGGCGTTTGTCTAAGAAATCAACCATTCGCGAAGCTTGACTGAGTCCCCACCCAAATCTAGCCATGGCTCGAAGTTATTTTTTGACTTAGATCTCGCTCTAGACTTACCCGGTGTCAATTATAGCTCTTCATGGGTAGTTTTTACATGGAGACCGGCATTATCGGATGGCTTCCTGTTCCGGCATAATCTCGGCGTTGCATTTATGAATGATCAGTCATAGTCCAAAAAGAGGTGCCGACTGAGTATATAACATTATAAAATATAACATACTATCATAAAAACAGGACTGTTCTAGTATCATTTAGGAAATGAATGTTTTCCGAAATGTACGGAGTACGAAAAAAAACTACCCTGGAGATCCCTGGAGGAACCCGACCAATAGAAGTCGATTATGTAATGATACTCGGCCGGGGCCGCCGGGAACGTGGAAAACCTGCCCGCATGGCCCCCACGCGGCTATGGCCAGGTTCATCTCGTTGCTTATCAAACCTTCAGATTTTACCAATGAGGCTGCATTGACCCAATCATGGCTGGGTCTATATTCCCACCAGAGCTTTGGTTGATGATTATCCAGTATCTTCGTGATGAAGAAAGTCCACAGCATATCAGCAGACTGGCACAGACATGCAAGTTTTTCCATCAAGAAATCAACCATGTTATATATCAGTCTGTCCGACTGAGGCGGGTAGAAAATGCTCGCCGTTTTGCAAAAACTGTGTCTAGTCGCCCAGACTTGGCGGCACTTGTCAAGGAAGTGCGGCATGCCGATGATCTGGGCTTTTCCGACTTTGCTGGCCACTCCGAGCCATTTTATCAAGCACTCACCAAGTTGCAAAATCTGCAAACACTGGTCATGAGAAAGGAATACTGTTTAAGCCATGAATACACACCAGAAGCGGCACTCCAGGAAGTGCTTACCGATATTTGCCATGATGCCCAAGACTCATATGTGCGAGAATCGTGTTTGGAAGATCTGATGATGGACATGGAAGCCCAAGGGTACCCTCTTGGCTCTGCGTCAGATCCGTTCGGTCTTGGATTTCATCCTTGGGGAGAAGATTTCTCGCTTCACTGTTGGGCAGAAGATTTGATAGAGGGCACATATTTTAGCAGAGACAATCTCAAAGACTTGATTTCAGCACTGCGGACATGTAAGTCTCCTAATCCAAGCTTTGCATCATGTATTGGAAGTATCTATTCTTACAAAAAAAAACAGGTCACATTGGAACCGACTCAGACCTCGACCCTAATCCGAAGAAGAACAGGTATCAGCCTTCTGTCGAATTTAATGAAACGATTTTTACACTGCCCCGGTTGCAAAAGCTTTGCATCACTGGTGCTAGGTTTCGGAAGTTTGGATTGCGAGAAGCATCAATTGAAAATTGTGCCACGGACCTAAGAGAGTTGCTGCTCCTAAACTGTCATGTCTCCACTGAAGATCTTGAGCTAATCATTCGATTTCCCTGCGCCTTGCAACGAATAACCATCAGGGTCCCTCTTTCGCTCAAATCTACCTACGAGGAAGACTATTATGTGTTCTTCATCGAGGAATTGAGCGCCCGGCATTTTGAATCCTTGGAGTACTTGGATTTGGATATTTACGGGGGCACAGACCACGGATTCGGTCTCGATCCCTTTGATGTCCTCAAGGAAATCATAGTCACACCCCGTTCCATAACAGGGAGTGCCGGCGAGGAGATGATCCTGCCACATAGTCTCCAGAGACTTACGATCCGATACGAGGAAGGCACTTGTCTACCACTAGCATCTATCCTCGAAGACCTCGAGAATAAATACCTTCCCAACCTGCGCACTGTGATATGCCAGATACCTGACAAAACCTGCGAAGGTACAACCAGCTCGGAGGTACTCGTCGAAGCTGAAGCTTTCAAATCTAGATTCAAAGATTTGGGGGTAGACTTGTCAACAGAGCTCGTTCCATATCCTCTGACCATGCCAAAATATGACGTCTGTCCTTGTGAAAACTTAGCATTCTTTCATAAATTTCCCTTCCACCCCCGTGTCGAGCCTCGCCCACAAATCGTGCAGGCTTCCAATGCAACCGCTGCAGGTCAAAATACGGCACCCACTCAGAGCAACCCTACGACTGGTGGCGTGCCCTCTTCAGATAATGATGATGATCCATATGATGGTGACCCTCCTTACTTGTACGACATCAGTCTGAGCCCACTTTCTCCTCCCCGAATGCCTGCATTCACGGATTACGACGACTATTGTGATTGGGCGTATGGTCGTTGACTGGGAGGAATCTGTGTCTTCTCTTGCCGTATGTTATATATGTCTCTCCCACAGTGCCTGTTCGTTTCATTATCTTGTATTTCAACCTGGGAATTTTTACTTTAATAGCCGGCGACGTAAGCGCGTCTATGCGCTGCCGTCTGAATCAATGCTGACGGCCTGACGATTCGAATCTTGCCTACCTCTAATATCCAGGACCTGCTGGTATAATCTTTACTCTTGTAAGCTAGTCGGCACTTTTGAGTTTTTCTCCAGAAGCCATTTCGATAAATCAGAAACTACGGTTCTACAAGGAGCACAAACCACAGGTAGTATTGTAGCGCCCTTGGGCCTATACACGTTAAGACGAAGATGAAGCGAAGTTGGATCAATGCAACAGGATTTGCTGATAAGTATTGCCTGTAGATTGAACCTATGTTTGAGGACATAAATCACCATCAAAGTCGTGACTTGGTGGAAGCTCGTGGTCCAACTACCGGAAGCAAGCTATCCTGACTGAGACGGTTCATCTCGGGATCATAAAGCGATTCTGTCTCGACAGTCGCCCTGATGCGCTTTCCAAAATACTCGATTTCCACTTTGGTGCCTTCATCTACGCCCCCAGGAAGCCATGCATAGGCAATTGGTTTTCCAATAGTGTACCCAAAGGCAGCGGTGGTTACATATCCAGCTGCTTTGCCATTGTAGAACACAGGCTCCTTACCAAGAATCATCGAGCGACCATCATCAACTGTCAAAGCCCGCAGCCGCCGCGAGGGTACTTGGTTAGAAAGGCGTTGGATGGCGGCTTTTCCAACGAAATCATCTTCCTTATTTGCGTCCACGGCATAGGCAAGACCAGCTTCGAACGGATTGTGCTCTGTCGTCATATCTGCGCCGTAAGTGCGGTATCCCTTTTCGAGGCGCAATGAGTTGAACGCACTGCGGCCTCCAGCAATGAGTCCGTGCAGCTTGCCAGCTTGCCAGATTGTGTCCCATAGGCGTTGGCCGTACTCGGCGCTGGTTTGGATTTCCCAGCCTAGTTCGCCAACATAGGACTTGCGGATCATTGTGACTGGGATACCCGCAAGAACTGCCTCTTTCAGGGCAAGGTAGGGAAGGCCCTTGTTGGAAAGGTCAACCGTGCTGATTCCAGCAATGACGTCCCGTGCTCGAGGGCCCCATAGCCCGATGCAGCATGTGCTACCTGTGATATCGCGAACTTGGATCCATTGCCCTGGGTTGTTTTGCTGTTGGACTCGAGCTTCTCTTGTAAGATACGCTAAATCTGTTGTAGTGTTCGCTCCGATCTGGAACACATCGTCGTCAAGTCGTAGTACAAAGATGTCACCCCGAATGCCACCTTCATCATTCAGGAGAAGAGTATAAGTAACAGTACCTGGCTTGGTGCCGATATTACTGGTGGTTAGCCGCTGAAGCAGACTGACTGCCCCAGGCCCGCACATTTCGAACCGATGGAAAGCAGTCATATCAAACATAGCTACAGCATTCCGTGTCTTCCACGCCTCGGCAGCAGAGATAGGTGAATGCACTTGTGCTGACCAGGGATCTCGATCGACAGGCTGCCATGATGGCGGGAGAGACTTCACGAGATCTTCGTTTGCTTCATACCACCACGGTCGTTCCCAGCCTCCAGTCTCAAGGAAGAAAGCCCCCAGCTCCCGCTGGCGTGAGTGGAATGGACTAACACGCAAATTGCGGGGCGACAACCGTTGTTGAAGCGGGTGAATAATGTCATATATTTCGGTAAAATTTTGCTGCCCGGTCTGGTTCACGTAGTCCTGAGTGAGTTGGATCTCTTCGAAGCGGGATAGCTCACATTCAGATACGTCGATCTCTGATCTACCGGTTGTGAGTATTTGTGCGAGAGCTCGGGCGACTCCTGCTGAGTGTGTAACCCACACGGCCTCAGCTACGTAGAATCCGTCGATATGGGATGGTTGGCCAAGAATTGGACCGCCGTCGGGTGTGAAGGAGAAGATGCCATTGAACCCATCCGCGATCTCTGTGTCCTGAAGAGTAGGGAGTAGCTTTTGAGACTCTTTCCAAGCTGGTTCAAAGTCTCCGGTGGTGAAAAGGAGGCGGGAAGGCATGTTTTGTTCATCGACATCTCTGGGTGTGAGTCCTAGTGATGACGCGACAACGGGCATTGGACGGTGCCCGTAGTATCCAATCCCGTACTGCCCGCCATGTTCACGGTAGTAAAGACCCTTATCTTGGTGCCGGAGGATTGGAAGTGTGGCATTCATTCCATTGAGCAAGCTATTGATATCTCGCCCAGCGAGAGCGGGTACTGCCGTAGTCTTTGCGTACTGGTGCGCCAGCGGGAGCAAAGGAATTTTCACACCGACCATAGCTCCTAAGTCAACCCCCCAAAACCCCGCACAAGAGACAACGATGTCTGCTGGGATAATACCACCGGGAGTACTGACTCCAGTAACACGACGGCCGTCCCGCTCAATTCCTATTACGGGAGTATGGCCGAGATAACGAACACCGGCCTTGCTTGTCCGTTCAATGAGCAGCTGTGTTGCTCGGGCTGCCAGTGCGAGACCATCAGTGGGGATATGGAGACCGCCCAGCACCATATCGTTATTCAAATGAGGATACATCTTGAAGCACTCCTCGGCGCTCACTAAATGGGCCTCGATCCCCCATGATGAGGCGTATCCATGTTTCCGCTTCAGATCCTCCAGCCGTGCGGGTGTAGTTGCTACTTCGAGACCGCCCACTTGATTGAAGCATCTGTGTCCATCCTTCTCTATCGATAGAAGCTTCTCGACTGTGTACCGTGCGAAATGTGTCATGGTCTTGGAGGGGCTTGTCTGAAATACGAGACCGGGGGCGTGTGACGTCGATCCGCCCGGCATGTGCAACGGGCCCTGCTCAACGACAGTGATATCCGTCCATCCTCGAGAGACCAGCTCATCGGCGAGGTTGGTACCCACGATACCGGCTCCAATGATGACTACGCGTTGTGTAAGGGACATTATTGTATGACAGTTGAAATAATACACTCATTAGAAAGAGGCATTCGGGCTATTTGTATTTTCCCATAATTGGTGACTCGTACAGAGTGTGACCTTCTCGTACACATCTCCCCGCACCCCGCAGAGACATGGGATAATTATATAGTGTGTCGTGAAGCTGAAGATAAAGATATTACGCCCCGCACGGGTTCCGGCGATGTAAAGCCGAAAATTCCAGTGATTAGCACGGCTGCCATTTCGGAGGAATCGGAGTATATTCTTGGCCCACGTTAGTAGAGATAATGAAGGTCGTCAATCATAATCAGCCAACCAGCTTGATGTGGCGCTTTAGCGTTGACAATGGATAACATTTCCTATTTGGGTCACAGGTCCTAATTTTAGTATGAGGGGGAGCGCTATCTTTTTTTTCTCAGTGAGTTTGGCGTTGTGCTTATAGGACGATCCAGAGGTTGAGTGTGTATCTACCTACTTAGTCGACAAATCTATATAGCCCAGGCGGGTGAGTCGCGAACTGATACGTGCATTTCAGAGTGACATCGGATCGGAAAATCGAATCATCCGCGTTATCCCCAGATTGGTACTCCGTACAGAGTACATTCCACCAGTCGATTGAATCCTATATCTACACAAGCATTTATCTTCAGGCTCTATAGTGGTAAATTTGGCTTGAAAAATGACGTCTCTAGGGCCAGGAAGAAAGCATCCGTCATAAGAACTGGCTTGAATAAGATTTAAGTGTATCTGAGCTTTGGACCAGGATCTAACAGATCTGTGTGTTTAAAACTGAGCTAGCTACTTGTAGTAAGGAAGGTAGATGATCGTGCAATGAATCGTTGATAGTCAATAATTGTCATTGGCAGCACATTTCAACATCATAGACAAAAATGGTGCAATCGCCATTCTACGGCCTCTGATTGGCCAACTTGATAGCGGATGCAGGGGTATGTTCAATGGAGGCGTTGAGTTAACAAATAAGGTGTATATCGTTTCAGATCTAAGAGAGATCAATTACTCTATCTATATTCTATAGATCTTCATAGTAACAACTTTCACAGAACAAGTCAACCCCAGACTTGTGCGGGGCAAACGTTTTCATGTTCGGCTAGAGCCGATCCGTGGGGAACAAGGAACAATCCCTGTCTTTGGGACCTTCACTCTTTCTCGGAAACCTCACCTTCAGAACAGCCATGCTATCTGCATTTTTCTATCCCTCATCATGACCAAGCCTGGTACACCTCCTGTCCCCGAGGAGCCTCCCAATGCAAACTTGGGCGACTCCGGCCCGACTCCCGCTCGCGACACCCGAAATGACGACCGAGAAGCATTAGAGCTCCATTCGATCCAAACCCAAGAAGACAATGAGCTGGACTACTCGACTCCATCGGCTTCATCTGGCGACGAGCATCACATGCCCACACGTCGAACCCCGTCTCGGGCTGATTCCCGGCACTCGCGCAAAGTCCGCAAGGGCGTTTGGGGTTGGATTTGTCGCTTCTGGGGTCGAAACGTTATTCTGACCGTACCGCAGAAAAGCAATCGGGATTACTTTGGTACGTTATTTTGTGGACACGTTGTTAGCAATCTAATTAACGCCATGAAAGCCCTAGAAAGAACGTTCCTTGCGTATATCCGCACGTCGACGGTTATCGCTATGCAAGGGGTGCTCGTTGCACAACTTTTCCGTCTACAACGCCCGTTGACAGAAGTCGATCGTCTGTCATTTCACGAAGTCGGTATCCCACTTTCGGTCGCCTGCCACGGTGTAGCTGTTATCGTCGCCTTGGTAGGTGCGATCCGATTCTGGAGACAACAAAGTGCTATTGCTCGTGGGAAAGTGTATGCTGGAGGGTGGGAGTTGAACTCGGTGGGCGTCTTGATATTTGCTGTAAGTTCTCCCTCGGGTGATGGTCGAACTCTGAATTCTAATCAACTCTCTGTTCTCAGGTTATTGTGGCAACCTTGGTTCTTACTGTTATAATCCTGATCCAAATTGATTTGAGCTCCAGTGCGCTTCCTAATCGAATATTATGGTCATGAAATTGTGTTCAGGACTTTGTCACACTCGCCATATATGCATCTGCGCGGCGAGGAAAAAGCTCATCCGAAATGGGTATCTTATTAACTATATATAATAATGATTTAATCCTATCTTCCATCTATCTTGAACCTTTGTTGCCAAACAAAACTGCCTTTACTGCCTTTCTTCGGGGTATATCACACTCTGGTCCACCTCGAAGCATATCTCTCGATGAACACCCCGTCAACGTCGCATGTTGAGCCAGTGAGTCGTCAGTGCTTCACTCTACTTCCGAAGTGGCTACATGTCTCGCAGATGCGTGGGGTCAAATCCCCTGATAGGCACCAGACTGCATTCGCGCAACAGTGGCCCTGGTATATTAATAATACCTCACGCCGCCGCTCGTTCCTATGGCATTCCATTCTCTCTAGCCCAGATGGTGGAGACGGACAACGAGGTTACTATTTGCTAGTCGAAGGAATCGAATAATACGATTGAAGTTGAGAATCAGATTGATCAATGCGACACTTGAAGCTTGTTGACTTGGTTGCTTACAGTTTTTCTCAAGTCTGGCTGGCCTTTTTTGTCTAGATGGTTGTGACTCGATGGATCACGGCCTCCGGATGGAAAATAAGTTCGGCTGGAAGTCTGCCCATGTTAGACATCCCGAGCTATATACCCGGTGTAGCAACCCAAGTAAATGACCAAAGCACCTGGTTAAGAGCAATCCAAAGTACAAGGTATATATTTCGTCATTTCTTCCAAGGTAAAAGTGAGTCTTGAGGTGAGGTGTGAGGTGAGAGAGTGATCAATGAAATGATCATAGATATGGGAGAGGGAAAAAGCTCAGGGTCAGCACGATGAGAGGGCAGTTGTATCAAGTGACGTTTGATCAATTGTCCCAGTCTTGTATTCTTCCAATCCTTCGTGCTCTTTATCATTTCATTCATTTCCTTTTCCTCTTCTTCTCCCATCCACGTCCTTTAGGCCAAGTCGAATTTCAAGGACTTCCAATCACTACTATCCACGCCTATCAACGTTTCACGTTTCACGTTTCACGTTCCATTGCCACCTTTTGCCATGGCCAATCCTATCCCAGTTTATGTAAGTGAATATGACGTCCGGTTTTTTCGGCTGCATCAACTTCACAAATCTCCCCCTCACATAACCAGCCGGTATGAGCCATCTGATCCCGTCCCTCCGAGGCACGAGTATTTGCGTCACACGGGCATAGCCTGAGATTGCTTTTTGTGCATCTAACATACGACCAGCTTCATTCATTTGGAGATGCCACTTTCCAATGTCTCAAGCCATCCCTCTATCATTATACTATCATTATACCTACCCAAGCAACCACAACATCAGAACATAAACACATGTATATGAACTAACTTTCTCTAGGTTGAGGTGTTCTGCACATACTGCCAGATCGATGGACATGAGGTCGTGAATTGCCACGCAATGTATCATTACCTCAGCAACATCCTAATTGCCACAGAAATGGACACCAGAAAGGCCGACCAAGGCACAGTAAGGACTGCCCGGTGAACAATGGGCCTTATCTAATATGCTAATTTGTGGTCTTTGATATAGCAGCCTGAGGTTATCAAGAAGACCCTTTGCGTGGCCCACTGGGGTCAGAGCAAGAAGGGTGAGGTCTAAAAGAGCACCATGATTAGAAGTCAGGGATAACCCACAAAAGACTAACACATATGACAGCAGCCACTAATGCACGCTCTCTCGCGGCCGCGAATGCTCACGGAGCTTTTCACGTTTAACGTACTCCCACCATATTCACATCTTTGACCTCTTCATACCCGATGTGCTGCGTTTAATAAGCGATTACAAGAAATTGCTATGATGCCATGTGAGAGGGAATAAATTTGATCTAGCGAGAGGAATTTCCAGGCCCTTTTATGCTCCGGTGCCATGATTGTAGACGTTCTACATTGGGAATTATCCTTTGGATCATTCAGCTAAACACGGGATACTAGAATGGTCTTGTAGCCCGTAGATTTCCTACTTATGATTGATAACATGACAGGGCACAATATGATACGAACTGGCGTAAATAGAGAATATATCATCATGATCTGGCTTATACATAGTCCAGGTATATCAATATGGAGTGAGAGAGCAGTAATGGGAAGAGAGAAAGAATATTATGGACTCTCAGATCTCCTTTTACTTTCGCCTCACCTCTCTCCATTCTTTCGTATCTTCACGTATCCTCCATCCTTCCTCCCTTCTTTTGTCTTTCAATATTTTCATCCATTCAACTTTCTTGTCTCCATTTCATCACCATCTACCCAGGAATATCAACACCTCTTTTAGGAACAGATGAATATGAACTAACTTATCATAGGTCTGGTGTAAGCATTGTGAAATGGAAGAACAATTGTTTGAAAATAACTTGACTAGTCTCGCCGTATCTGTCCAAATAGTCCAAGGCCAGATGTATGCCCGCTCTACCAACTATGGGTTTTCATGACACAACAAAGTATTGATATTGAACGTGCGATATGACGGGCCTCTAGTCCCAAGAGAGCCTGTCCTGTTGCTCACCCTGACCCAGAAAACGACGAAGAACTTTATGTTCTATACAACTATCAGACCCAGCGTTTCACATTCCCCATCGGCATTCTTCAAATAGTGAAGCAGTTGAACTGACGTTCTAGTAATGTCCAGCTCTGGTACGCGTGAGACATGGCCGCAAAATGACAGGTAAATTGAATACTGTGAAGGGGATTCCTGTCAGTAATCGCCTGGGCCCATGGCACTCGATGGGTTACCGCATTCTGCTCCGAACACATGCTGCCCGGCCAGGCTCAGTAATCACGTAGGGTTCGTTTGAAGACGAATTACAGAAGAGTGGTGTTTCAGCTCATTGATCGCCTCTCACTTCATGCTGGTAGACTGCTTTGAGAACGAATTTTGGAGGTCTGTACAGAGCCATGATGCTGCCCAGTGTCGAAGCCCTCAGGGAATGGACCATGCCAAGAGGCAATTGGATCGAGGTTATAGGCGTTCGAGAGGAAGTATCTACCTATGGCTAGCGTATGAGTAATCCACTATAGACTGATCACCCCAGCATGACACCTCCCAGCATGAAACCCTCAGTGTCAGTTTGAACGGGATATCCCAGGTCCTCCGCAGATGAAACGTGAAATGTGAAGCTTGGCGCTGTCATACCCATGGGTCCTAAGATTCTGACACCATACTCCACTTAGGTGACATGCTGGTCGGACCTTTTTATCTGAAACGGCTTGAGACACTATACGGAACCGAGCGCTAGCAAGTTTTATCCGGCGGATTAATATTGGTTTGGTACTCCGTAGAGCTTCAGGGGGTTTGATTCTATTCCGATGGGTCTTTGTGTCTTTGGGTGTTCGGTCAAATAATCCACCTCCATTTGATACAAAATACCCCATACACGTATCTTTGAAACCCCATAAGACGAAATGATCATCCACCAAAACCCTATTCTCAATCCCGACCATTCCGCCGGACAGTGGACATCGACGAACCTTCCCCTTTAGGCAATCCAGGACCAGGGCGCGCATCTTTGCCGCAGGAGACACGGTGCGAAATCGGCAGGCTAGGCACTCACAGGTCGTTCTGAGCACACGTTGCCTATCTTTCATTGTTCACCTATCCACCGGACGTCCACGGCCCGTGAGCGGAGTTAACTAAGTATATGTAGAAGTCGAAGCGGAGATCATGGCGGATGTTGTCTCATCCCCAACCTTTCCGGGTGGGATGGTTTTCCGTCACAGTATATCGCGATAACCGGCATATGACATCGTATACGGAGAACGGAGTACGGTGAAAAGAAACAACAGCCACAGCAGACTGCACGGGGGTGTGGCTTCCACTCGGATTGGCAGGATAGGGGAAGATGTGGGGACTATTACCGCCAAGCCGGCCTGACAAGCCTAAGAAGGACTGTCAATCGTCGCAACTACGTTTGCTTGGATTCTTGGCGCGAAATTTACTCGGTAGATCTCTTGGCAAGTGACCAGCCTTATTTCTACAGGTCTTGGCCTCAGGGATATTACGGAAATAATACCGCGTTTTGATACCGGTTTTTTTCGGATTTAAGCCTTTTGTGCCTTTGCATTACGGGGTGAATGTGCAATACGAGTAAAACTTGGTTGTATTTTACTTCTGTACGGAATCTTTGGCATGGATTTTTGTTGCCTCGGTCTGGTTCAATAGAAGTCTCGGGTATTGATTGTATGTTCATATGTACATCTGAAATTATCCCTCAATTGTCTCCATATCCTGGATAACAAATGCCGGACCAAGAGAATAAGAAGAAACACCAATCATGATCAACAGATATGATAGAGAAAGGCCGAAAGAAACAAAATGTGAATCATAGAAAGGCAGAAAATGCAAGATATGAGAAATAAAAGAGTGATATGTCGACACTTGGCAGAAAGCAAACACCGCCAGGGCGTTGCTTTTAGATAACTCATTCCAAAGTCTTTTTCAAAATGCTCAAAAAATTAAACAGTCGCCATAGGAATGCTAGTCGTAGGCAGCTGGGCTGGACCTTTCTCATTCTCGTCGAACATCCACTTCTCCAATTTCTGAGCCATGCGTGCACAGAAGGGGTCAACATACCCAGTCCACAACGTGGCGCAGAAGTATACCAACACGATCCAAGCCGGGATACTGATAGCCACAACCCATGGGGCGCGAATAGGGATCCAGTGTGGGTGTAGTGGCTCGCCATCCTCACCATAGATCGGGTTACCCTTGTCATCAACAATGTCACCGTCCCAGGGCTGGCCAGTAATTCCGTAAAGCATCCAGCACAGAACGGTGCGGAGGAGAGTGCCATGCACGAGGTAAACAGCGAAGCTCTGCTTGCCGAGCCAGAGGAGGAGGCGACTGGAGAGGAACTCCTTTGTAGATGGTGAGATGTAGATGGCAAAAATAATGAGGTCGACACCCAAAGCAGAGTAGCGCTTGCCGACGTTGACTTTTGGCGGGAAGATGTAGTGTGAGGCCTGTTCCATGTAGGCCGACCATGTGGCCCATTCTGGGTGTTCTCCGGGGTAGGAGCAGATGAAGAGACCCAAGCAAAGAAGTAGACCTGCTACGATCTTGCGGCCCCAGCTGTGGCGTTCAACGAATTGTTTGAACCCGTTCTCATATGAGAGATCGCTAAGGAACATGCCGAAAATTGCCTGCATTTGGAAAGTTTCTGTTTCTTGATTAGTATGAGTATGGATCTGAGGTTCGATGGAACGTACCGGTGTTCTTCGCTGCGTCTTGGTGGAAGTAGAGATACATGCCCAGGTAGATGGCCAGGCGGAATCGGAATTTGACAAACATTGTGGCGCAGATAAGGACGTATATCAACATGGATGTCTGGAGCAATGGAAGCAAAGCCCACTGATGATCATCGTATGCCATATAACCTGTGGTCCAAACCTCAAGAAAGGTGCTGAACAACCGGACAACCTCATCCCAGAAAGTCGGCGCCAGATCGACGGCCGCATAACGGCACCACCAACAGTCGGAGCGGTTAGCAGCGATGAAGGCACCACACTGTGCCATCACCCACGAGATGATCAAGGCGATAGTGGCAGGGAAGATGAGGCGAGGTGGACGACGGAAGGCACTCTTGGCCACCGATGTGAAGGCCCCGAGGGTGTCGCCATTGCGAGATTGTTTGAGCGGCTTGAGAGCGCAAACGTAGCCAGTCAGGAAGGCGAATATCGTGACACCCAAACGGCCCTGCCAAGGGATACGGAAGACGGGCCACTGCAGAATTCGGGGAGGAGTGTCGACATCGTCGCGAGGGGCGAAAAGATCATAATCCCATGCTCGAGCAAGATGAGTTAGGATGACTAGGAAGGAGGCAATTCCTCGCAGGCCCTATTCATGGTGTGAGTAAAAAGTTCATCCCTGTAAGGCTGAGATGCGAACTCACATCAATCCACTTCACGCTTTTCCGCGGATCACCTTTCACCGATGGATCTGCAGACTTCCAGGGAATGTTGTCCAATATGCGTGTATAGATATGGGTTGGTTGTATATACTCCATGATGGGTGTAAAGAGTGAATAAGAAACCGGGGTCCGATCAGAGACTCGGGTTGTCTAGTGAGTTGGTTGAAATGCCAAGGCCAAGACCATAAACATTGAACGTTGAAATGCTCGCAAAATGCTAAAGTGGAAAAAAATAACAAAAAGGCTGAGGCTGAAGAAAGCGAGAGGTAGGGACAGATAAGGTGGAATCTAGAAACGGGATACCACCTCCATAGATCAACGAGCGTAGAGGGAGAAGTTCGGAAGGAAGGCCACAGCAGAATGGGATATTAAGAGAAATCCGAAATCCATTCTCGCCATTCCCTGAAGATTGGCCAAGCGGAAATGGCTAAGGCGAACATGAACATGGGGATGTATCGCGTGGAGTCTTGTGGGACCTTTGAAAATAACATACCAATTCAAAACCCTTGTAATATATGACGCCATGTAAGTTATTCGTATTTCCGCGATGCATAATGATTTAGACACTCCATCTCCAGTTAGATAGACGCGTACAACATATAAGTAGAGACAGTATCGACAACCTATGGGAACATTGTGCATACATTCTTTATACCAGGAAGGAAATACGAAGTACGGAGTATGGAGTACAATCGAAGTACTCCCGACAAAGTGAAAGGTCCAATATGTACAATATAGATTGAAGCTCCACGAATTAAGCTATCAGATTCATATGTAGAAGCTGACGACGCCTGTGTTCCCTGACTGAACTAGTATCTTCCGCAAACCAATAAACGGCCTGCCTATCCCCCATGTGAACCATGGGCTAAGATCCGCCTCAATTACGCCGGATCTTGGCATGCACGGAGTCTGGATCTCGTTTCTAATTGGTTTCATCATACCGGCAAGAAATCGGAAAAGATGTTTTGAATTGAATCGCGTTGTTTTGTTTTTTGTAAAACTCGACTTGGACGTTATGAAAGGGATGGAATTTCATAACTTACCCCTATTTCCGCTAGATACGAATCCGAGAGTGTTGATCTATGCGAGTACGGACCATACGGACCATGTTGGATGAAGTACAGCGGGAGTATATTGTATGGAATAGATTGTACGCGCTCTCTGAAACTCGGAGTCCGTGACGATCTTGAAGATCGTCTGTCCCGAACTTCCCGAATACCACGTCCGACACCGTCTCAAGGAATGGTGACCAGGAGCAATAATTTCACTCAAGATACGAAGAGATAACATTCCGTCCCTTTTTGGAATGTCACACTTTCAGTGAAGGGATTTTAAATCATTCAAGAGCATATTCAACCAATAACGCAAAGGAGACTCTTGGCTCCCAGTTCCAAGTCGTGGGGTGAATCATTCAGGTCCCATCCCCTAGACTAGTGAAAGAATGGGTCCTTCTAGAATTTGAAATTGATGATAACTAGACTCGACGTTGTACCGCAGTTTTTGACCACATGACCCTCTAACGAGCAACGGGAATGAAGACTGGTTATTTGAGAGCCATTTTATCTTTGGTGGCCCTTGATTATTTATTGTCTCAGCTAAAAGCAAAGAAAATCACACACCAGGTTAGGGGGAATCATGACGAACGTGATACCGAAAGTGAAATCCAAGCCCTATGGGGATCTTCTTCCCGCAACTGTCAATTGTCTGATCGAATGGGAATAATTCGGTGCTTGGCGACCCATTTGTTTGACACAAAATCAAAAGTCCGAGTTTTCAGCCCTGAAGGGCTTCGAGAAGATCGTCCGATCAGAAGTTAATAAGAGGTTCCCCTGCGTGATGGCGTATCGTAATATCAATTATGTGCAGGGGGCGTTTACAATGGTGTATGTACTCGGAGATAGGTATTTACGTTTGACATATTATATACGTATTCGGGGTTTACTGGGCCAGGGAGTTCTAGAACAGGAAATAAACGCCTCTGTGGACCTCATACCCACCTTCTAATTCGAAAGGATTTACTAGGGGAAATTGGATCAGATATAGGGCTGTGGTAATGTGAGTTACACATTCAATACCTTGGCATTCGGGTGGTGGCGGCCCAGGTTACGCAATTGTGGTTTCTCAACGCAAGACCCGTCCAAAACTACCCCTTAGTCAGGGGAACTTGATGCAGGTAACTGGATCAGAGAGAGGCATCCAGGAACACACTTCCAAAATGCGGCTTGGAATAATCACTCTGCTTTCATGGGCCTTGGTCGCCTCGGCCACCATTCTCGAGAACGGTCAAGTAAGAGAGAATGCGTATCCTGGCCAGTTACAACCGGTGACTTTGGACAATTCTTGGAGGAACTATCCAGCGGATGCCCCGGAGATCTCTTACAAAGGTCGATGGGATAGCCAGCACATTTCTTGTATGTTCCCCATGGCGCCTCTTCCCCGGATTTCCGTCCTAACTTGAATACTAACCTTGGAAAGGGTGGTCGTACGTATGACATGGTAGTATTTTCTCGGCTTTACTAATTAATTCAGTGCACCGGGAATCAAAGTTGAGTTCTCTGGGGAAAAGGTATGTGAATCTTCTCCATTCCGATCTCAAGGGTCCACATGTTGATATCATTCTAGCTTGCTGTCCATTTCGGCCCAAACACCAATACAGGTGTTCTAGTGGCTTACCGGTATGTATAATCCTTCCTCTCGATGTATTCATTCTCAACTTGAACAGGATCGGCTCGCTCGACTGGCAATTCTCTAATATCACCGCTGACTCAACATATCAATTTGTTGGACCATGGTCAGAGCTTAAAGATGGCGATGAACCCGTCGACAAAAATGTGTTTGAAATGAGAGGTATGCGTCGCATCAAACCCCAGTGGCAATGTATATACTAACTACACTGTAGTGACAAATTGGGGCATTGGATAAGTCTCTCCCTAGCTTTCGCTCTGTTCATTACTTACCCTCCACACAGTTCAAATCGCTGGTGTAGCTGTTGCCCATGACGCCGTCATCACCAAGGCTCCGACCTTCAAAAAGAGAGTTGAGATCATTGGCGGCTCGTGAGTTTTGACACCTGCCGGCTAGTCTTTTATGCAACTAATCATTCCCAAGTCTTGCATCTGGCCAATTCGCCACCTATGAGACAGTCTCCTCGTGGTCCTTCCTCTTCGCTAATGGCTTGGGCAATGTGGAATATGGGATCACAGTCAGTCCGCTCCTTGAATATCAAAACTCCATATATACTAACCCAGTCTCACAGGCCTATCCCGGCGTGTGTCTCGCAGATGAACAATGTTACAACGGCGGTTCTCGTGGTGTAGTATGTCACTCCCCATCTCTACTGGCAACTTGACCACCAACTAACAACACTAATAGGGCTGGTACTGGCACCGCGCCTCAGACCCCGGCTCTCGCGCACGTGCAATCTACGACCGCAACCCCGAGAAGTGGGACGTGAAAGCAGAGCAACCGGCCGATCTTGTGATTATTCAGATGGGCGGTAACGATCACCGTCACCCCAATGAAATTCCCGGCCGGGATTACTATCATGCCTACGTCGAGTTGGTAGAGGATATCCACTCTAACTGGCCTCATGCAATCATCCTCCTCATGGTATGTGTCTATTCCATTCATAACCTTGGCTGCGTTACACTTAGACCTAACTTTCAACAGTCGCAATGGGGTACTTTCACTAAGGAGGGCAAGAAGTGGGTGGGTAGCACTTACTACCAGGAAGAGACTAAGGAGGTCAATGAGCACTTCAAGGACCGTGGATTCGTTTACTATTTCCCCACCGAGGGTCTTCTGCAACATAACGATATCAATCCCAAGAACCATCTTACGGATGTGGGACATGTTAAGGTCGCGAGTCACTTGTTGCAGTGGGTCAAGTTGATACTTAGGTGGAACCTTGAGCCCACCGGTGAAGTCCAGTCTGGAACGACTTACTGGAACGATCAGCAGGAATACTGATCGCCCTTTCTGAAGGCTGGATAATTACCTGGCCTTTGCATGTTTGTTGTCAAATACTTAGCACAGTGTGGATAAATTAGAACATATATACTGCCATTTGCGACCTTAAACATCTCAGCATATTCTCAAGTTTGTTCTCCCAGAAGCCAAATTTGCATCTATGGAATTAGGTAGAACATATTCGTAACCCAAAAAAGAAGCCTTGAAACTGTCTGAGACCATGCCGGGCCTTGCCTCGAGTATTTTTCCCACCTTCACTTATCCTTTCTTTGATGACATATTCAATCGGTCAGGAAAGCTTTCATCCCGTAACACGCGTGTATAAATTGCTCTTTCCCAAGTATATACCAAAATATGACTCCATGAACGGTCAGAGGTTTGACCAAATATCTGAAGCTTACCAGGGATTGGAACTAGGGCCCGGATACCGACCTGCCTACAATTCTTCTGGCTGACAACTTGGATATATCAACATCACTCCAACTTTGATTTTGAGTCGGTTATAATGCGTGGATATTATCACCGAGTTTGTGAGACCACAGGAGCAAACATTAGAGAAAACGTGCCGGGAGAAAAGATACGCAGCAAAAAGGTGTATTCGTGGGGGCAGCTTTTTTTTAACCAGAATGTTAATGAGATTTTCTTCACTTTACAATCCCATACCTCTCGACAACGATTTTGAACCGCACTTTTTGATGCTTATTCAGAGCCTCTCGTTTCAAGCTCGGTCTAGGTCACTCCTTGGCGAGTTCTGTATTCATGAGATTTGTGAGAGTGCCTCCTTAGAGCTCAGTCACTCTATTAGGTACACCACAGAGTACTTATTCAGCATCTATCTGCCATCAGAGTCACCATTTATTTTCATCTCCAGACCTCTAACAGCACATATTTACTCATGACACGAGATGTTTTGGTCGGCCATCATATCAATTTTGATACTTCTCGTCGGGCCTCTCACTGCTCAAGCCTCTCCCAACAAATACAAACCTGTATCAGGATTGATGCAATCCACCGTCTGGGTTGCCCGCTCCGTCCAGCGAAGGGAAGAAGTAACGAATAAATTCTTCACTAATTGGGTCCAGAGGGAAATGTACATCGCCTCCAGTATAGTCTTGGGTATTCGACGTGGATAAAACACCAGTGTCCAAATAATTCGCGAAGTCCGAATCGTGATTGAAGTTGTCCACGGCATGACTTCTAAGGGGAAGAGTTGACGGTTGACTTTGATCGTTGTAAGGTAAGACATGCGCATTGTCAATTGTTAGATCATGCTTTGCAAGTGCTTCAAGGCCAGAGGAGTCAACAATTGAATCGTCACGCTGCGGATGTGCTGGTATATCACTGGCATCATACCCCATACTGGATACTAGCCGGCGAACCGCACTTTCACAAAGTTGCCATGCACGGTATGACGCTGTACAATGCATTGACATCATGTAAAGCCACCGGACTGACTTTTTCGCCGACTGAACCAAATTACTTTCTCGATCTTTCATATGCACGCAGCCAAACGACAGCTCCAGGATAATCACTGTTGATGTCTGCATGATATAGTGGAGAAAGCACCACCATGGGCAAACCTGATATAGATGCGCAGAACTAGGCTCATCGGGCAACAGATCGAGCATGTGCATGGCCGATTCCAAGGTCATCACAGCCATGTTGTGGCTGAATCCTCGCTGGTCGAGACGTTTCCTTTGTTCTTCGCTCCGATTTGGGTTGTGTCGGCAGAGACATGGTCGACCTAGCATGATCCGAGTGCTATGATAGTGAAATGCCAGGTTTGTTTTTGCCCAGTAGGTGTGCAGATTTTCGTCGTTCATACAGGTGAAGTCCAGCCCTGGTGGAAGAGTTGATAACCACGCATCAACTGTTCCCTTCAGACGTCTAATAGTGCTCTTAATATCTTCCCACGATATCGTCGCACACTCTGCTGAATAGACGCGGTCTAGGATTTCTTGGTTCAGAACTGTAAGATCGCAGCAGTACAGGAAGTAAAGACTGGCATCAACCGGCAGGCTTTGAAGCCATGAGCGCCCAGATTTTGCCTCTTCGGTCTGCAGACGGTCGGGATGCCGGAGGTGCGGGCTAGTCATGGCCATGTTCACGCGTTTTTCTCTCATATCAAGGTCATCAAGAAGTTCTGAAGCTGGTGGCTCAGACAGATGGTCTTCGTCAAAGGGAAGTGGGAGTTGGGCGGTATACATATTGATCGAGATAGAGGTTGCTCGGCCAGTCATCGAGCCTAGCTTTTGTTCGACTGTGTAAAGACACCACCAAACTCGGCAGGGTATCTCCTTCGCTATACCTGACATTTTCAAGGAACTGCTTTTCAGGTTTATGCCAAGGGAGATGGCGGACCGAATTGCTAAAGCAGAGATCCTCCATGCCCTGCATTGGTTAGTTTCATCCGGTAAGGGAAATGGCTCAATGGACTCACCGATTGATCTGGCTCGTAGATAACATGTGAAATGCAACCAATCCCTCTACTTGCACTTGCTCAAGGTCTGGATGCTGAAATAAACTATCACCACCCATACTTAGCATTCTAGCCCGTGTCAAGTAGAACAGATGGTCTTTGATATCTCCCCGCCGTGCGTCATCGCTATTATACAAGTATTCCGTTGCAATGGCGAATATCATGTTCAATATTGCCATCCACCTATCACCCGCATAAGATAGATCATTGAAGAAATCCCTGTATTGTCTTGAAAACAGGGTCTTGTTGATGATGGGGAAATGAGGGTGAACTGCGTGCATATATGTTCCAAACAGATGATCCGCCACTGATTGTGGAGGCACCCAATACATTTGTACCGGCCCGGGTGCATCGATCCCCAGGTCATCAATATGATAATTGACCGTGGATGGAGCCACTTTGTCCGTGGTGTAATCCTCGGGTTTGGCTTTTGGTGACTGATCGCGACTGCGCAGTTCAGTTTCTTCCTCGACGCGACCCATCCACGTAACATCCGAGCTCTTTCCCATATATCCAGTGGCACGGGAACTTTCTGTTAAATTGAGGTCTTCCTCGACTCGATCTACCGCGTCCAGTGACCCAATGGAAGAAGGTGAGCTGGATCGCTTAGACCCCCCAGTTTGGTGCTGATTTGCATCTGGCGTTCCATTCGACGCAGTGTTTGAATTGGAATCGTACTAGTCAGTGTGTCAGTCAAATGAAAAGGCTCCTGGTATGTGATATGACGGGCTCCTCACCTTCTGAAGTAAATCTTTAATGCGTTCGGCATGTTCACCGTTAACCTGGTCTGCTAATTCTTTCAACGTAGTCTCGTAATCTTGCACCTTTTCCTGGAGACTTCGGATTTGGCTAGCAGTCGGTTCAGCCAATGCCCCAATCAATTACGTGTAGAATGGGTAAAGAAATATCGGCTGATGTTGGACAAGACTATCCCGCAATGCAAACTGATAATTTGTGGCTGTTCTTACTTTGTCGTCTTCTCGCGTGACTTGAGTGGATAGATGCATGGAGTCTTTGCTTCTTCACATTGCCTACAGCTTGGAGTTTTGCCGTTACATTTTTGTTTTCGCTGGCGACATGATTCGCATGCCCGTGAGACTCGCTTGTTGGATGGCGGTGTGACAGTGGACACATGTCGGGGTATTGCGACTTTCATAGCAAAGTTTGCCCCGGCCATATGTACTTCAAGTTTCCAAACCTGAAGGTATCAGGTATTCCGACCGATTTCTCCGTCGATTCCTGGCAAGTCACGAAAAGATGACATCATATTGGATCGGCACAGCTTTCTACCATGACATCATGTAAGGGAAACTCATCATTTTCAACCATAACCGCTGTACGGAGTACATTGAAAATAGACAGCAATCAAAAGAATATAGCATTGAGCGAAGAGATAATGAGCAATTCTAGGACCCATACCAAGCCCAACACCGCGACTCAGGATAGTGCGCCCCAAATACTATATATATTATGCCCATAGTGTGCCCAAGTATCTTTTGTATGGCAAAGCCATATAAAAGATACATCATTTCTAGATATTATATTTGCTGCAAAGTCCATCCCAACCAATGACAGCATTGCCAAGGAAGATCAAACCATCGCTACACAGCAATTCACTCTTGCGGAATTCATCGCAAGATGCAACAAATCACCCGGTGGTCCGCCGAAGGTTTCTCGTGGTTTCGGCCTTGCACTCGACCGTGCTATTTCTGCATGCCACGAATTTGGGAAATATGTAATTGAAAATGTGAGCGAGGCTGCCCAAGAGAGCCACGGATTCTTTGTGGAAGTCCTTGAACGAGTCCGTGAGACACTGCGCCCACTAATTCTATGTTGGCCTCTGGCATAGGTGCTCTCACAGCTAAGATTTTGAGTGAGGTCCATGATATTCACATTGCAGAGATCTTTGATTTTGAATGAAGACCAGAAATTGAGCTTGTGAGAGGGAATGGCGTCAAACATATCACGATGATGATGATTGAGCCATCTCCGCATCATTTATTTGTGCAAAATAGCTTGCTGTGTTGATCCGGTTAGATGACTCTTATCATTTAAGGACCATGTACCATCCCTAGATGTATGGATGGATGTTTGAAGGGGAGAAATGTCAGGTGTGTCTAGTTTGGAATCACTTGAGTAGTCTTCATGAGAGGACAAAGTTGACTTCTGATTCTACCCGCGGACCAACAACCCCCGTCAACGCGGATCATCAACCCCCGTGGTCCCCGCAAACGCGGCTTGTGCGGAGAATCCCACGCTAGATATCAATATACTCTCGCTAAGCCTACGGTAAACCAACGACCATGAGCGGTATACGCCATGATTCCTTGTGGGTTGTGAGCTTGGCAGATCCTTCGGACATAGACCGAAGGCACATAGCAATGCAGGCTTGTATGTTATCCCTTTCCCTTTCAAGACAGGCTATAGAGCCTGAGCGGTCGATTGATGACCCCTCTCAATCCCCGCATAGGATATCTAGTTACTAGAAGAGGTTGTCCCACGTCGGGGGGTATAAAAATGCAAAGGTGCTGTTTCAATTGTGCTGGTATTCCTCAAGTCCGTCTACAATCAAGACGGCCTCCACATTTGCTGATCATTCCCATAGCGTCCATATATAGATTGCTACGGTCAACATGGGGATTTTCAATCGACTGCGAATGACAGAAACTCCTCAAGAGGTCTTCAACCGCCGTCTCTTTTGGTCTGTGGGAATTTTCGGTACGCATAAACCCAACCTTCCACAATCAACGCTAAAGAAGAGTAAAAGGTGTCCTAGGAGCAGGCAGAGGAATAGACGAGGGCCTCGTCGGCGGCATGATCTCACTCAAAAGCTTCAAACGCGAATTCCCATTAGATGTGGGCTCTGCGTCTGAGATCGCCAACCGCGAATCAAATATCACAAGTATGGTGCAGCTTGGATCAATTGGCGGTGCATTACTAGCATTTCTTTTGTGCGATCGAATTGGTCGTGTGAGAACACTCCAGGCTCTCACCATTATATGGGCCCTTGGCTTTGTGATCGTCATTACCAGCTTTGGCAGCATCGGACAAATTCTCGCTGGCCGCTTGATTGCCGGAATTGGGGTTGGTATGACCACAGTGGTTGGCCCAACATATTTAGCAGAAGTTGCTCCGAAGGAAATTCGGGGTATGTTGACCAATATCTTTGCCGGCGCTGTGTACTTTGGTGTCATGATTGCCTATTTTGCGAATTGGGGCTGCTCTGTGAATATCTCCGATTCTTCTCGGTCCCAATGGGTGATTCCGCAATCTGTTCATATCATGTTTGCAGGGTAAGTCTATTCCACAAGTTTTACCTAATTCTTTATAGACTGACAACATCTGGCATCAGGATCATCTTCCTTGCATCTTGGTCCGTTCCGGAGACTCCTCGCTTCCTTTCTATGAGAGGCAAGCATGAGCAAGCTCTGAAAAATCTTTGCATACTGCGTCAACTTCCCGCCGAACATCCAAGCATCGTGTCTGAGATACTTGAAGTTCGCGATCAACTTGAGAGTGAACAAGAAAGCACACGTGGATCCTCATTTTGGGGGAAACTGAAGGAACTGGTCACGATCCCAGCGAATCGCTACCGCTTGATGCTGGGCGTGATGTCACAACTTCTCGGGCAATGGTCCGGCGCATCAGCGATCACCATCTATGCAACGAGCTTTTTTGCAGCGCTTGGAAAGACCGGCCAAAGTGAAAAGCTGTTTGCCACGTGCATCTTGGGCATTGTAAAATTTGTCTCCGCCTACATTTCTGCATTCTTCCTTATTGACTTCCTCGGCCGTCGTCGCTCCCTTTACACGGGAATCATGTTGCAGGCCCTTACCATCTGCTACATCGCCATTTATCTGGCAAAGGTTCCTGCCTCAGCCCATGTCAGCGAGGATGGTGCGAGTGCGATAACGGGCTCAGCTAAACGTGCAGGCATCGGCGCAGTCGCGGCAATCTATCTCTCTGGCTTTGGATGGGCAATCGGCTGGAACTCGTTCCAATATCTGGTCAACGCCGAAATTTATCCTAGTCGGCTGCGCGCCCTTGGATCTTCGATTGTGATGTGTACGCATTTTGCAAATCAATTTGGTAACACCAAGGCTGTTCCAAGTATGATCATCGCGATGACCAATTATGGATTTTTTGTTTTTTGCACCGCGGTCTGCGTTTTGGGCCTTCTCTGGGTTTGGTTCTTTGTTCCTGAGACGGCAGGAAGAAGTCTTGAGTCAATGGAGACATTGTTTGATCTGCCTTGGCACCAGATTGGTCGTCATGGAAAACACCTTGCTCCCGATGCAATTGATTGTTTTGATGAGGATGATAAAGAGAAAGCTACTGTAGTTCATCAGGAGTAGCCATAGCGTGGAGCAATCTCAGGCTTTCTATCGTGGGATTTACCTAGACATTCTGTGTCATATCCTGCTTGGCTTCGAAAAGAAAAAAAAAAAATCAAAGCTTACGTGCAGCAAAAGATGAAGAAGTTCAGATAAAGAGAAAGACAAGTGAACCGTGTATTCTGGAAAAGATAATTGAAGCATTATCATGTGATTTCTATCGAAGTGACTTATCCAACTATTGATTCTTTCCAGAATTCGAAACAGCCGAGACGTAAGTCCGGCCCAAGCGGGCTTAAAGATGTCTTCTCGGGGTCAGCGCTTCTTCATGCGCGAGTCGCGACTCTCCTACCTTGGTCTGCACAGCAGTTTGGCCATAGGAATTACGCTCTTTGGCATAGACTTGATCTATGCCCTCGTTCCGAAGCAAGTGGCAAATTCCCGTGGTCGGAGGGCCAGGGTTTATTCAAGCTCTCGTCAATGAAACGATAACCTTGGAAGAGTCAAGGTACTCCGTACATTAAATAACTTTTGCTCCAAGGTTACAAGAAGGCTTCTAGATCAATGAAACAGGGTCTCCGGGGCTTCGGGTTTGGTTCGGCGATAAGGTTTTCGACTTTTCCCACCTGGGAAAGGTGGAGACCAGATTTATGCATAGATCATTTATGTACATATATGTACGGCATATGTATATGCTGTACTCCATGTACCCTGTAAAAGGAAATAGACATGAATGATGGAGCCTTCAATCATTCTCAGTTTGATGCTAGTCTCTCTCATCTAAGTATTCAAGACCTCATTTTATGTCAGATGAATAATCCCAATAAGGCAGTTGCCGAGGTATCCAACCATTCGAGTTGCCAAGTCCTTTCTATTCCCAACAACCCCACATGTCATGAATAGATTGGCTCAACCGTTGTTTTCGACCAATGTTATATCGCCTGCACCGGAATAACTTCCATATCTGGTAATCACCGAAGGGGATTCTATTTTTTTCTGTAGTTTTATCTTATAAAGCTAACATATAACAAGACAAGACAGAGCCGACAAAAGACTTTGAATCCGCTTTTTGAATTAAGACTAGATCAAGGCGTATCCCCTTGCGCAGGCTTAACTCCACAGCCCACACTTTCAAAATGGCCCCAAAACCGCTTCCATTCCCGGGCTTCACCCCGATATCTGATCGTGTATACATTCGCAATGGCCAGGAAAAGGCCAAACCAGCCCCAGCCGACGAGCCAACAACAATTCTCATCTCTGGCTGGGGCGACGGCATGCCAAAACATGTTACCAAATATTCCGACGGCTATCATGAGCTATACCCATCCGCACGAATCATCGTCGTCCTATCGCGTACCTTGGAAGCCAGCAACCAGCCCGAGGAAGCCAGAATCCAAGCCATGATGCCGGTCGTCGACACCATCTTCCCAACGCCAACCGGTAGCGGAAATGAGAAGGAACGTCTGCTCGTCCACGCCATGTCAAATACAGGGGCCATCTTCGCTGCCGCTACCGTAATGGCATATCAGCGCCGCCACGGCTCAGACAAGCCATTCCCCCACCCGCTCATGGTGTTGGATTCCACTCCCGGAAGTCTCGACTTCGCGTCTCAGGTTACCAGGTGGTCGCGTGCTATGGCGGTCGGCACGGCCAAATTCTTCCCTTGGCCATTCATTGTCACCCATGGTATGTGGTATGTTTTCCTTTGGGCGAACTACCTGCTGGGCCTCGTGCGCGGCGCAGTACCGTCGGGTGTGTGGGCGGACCGTATCATAAATGATCAGGCCTATGTCACCACCGATTCTAGCAGAGTTTACCTTTACTCCAAGGAAGATGATATCATTGGTTACAAAGATCTGGAGGAGAATGTTGCTCATGCCAAGACATTGGGATACTCAGTTGATCTTGAGATGTTTGAGGGATCCCCACATGTCGGCCATATGAGACTTCATCCTGAACAATATTGGAATAAGATTTCCAGTTCTTGGAAGCAAGCTATTGAGAAATAAGGTGCTGGGATTCGATCTATGTATATATTGTGTTTGTATTCAGAACTTAGACTATGTTTAATAATTATATAGGAGCCATTTTATTGACAATCTCATTGATACTCGCCAGTCTAAACTGGCCAAGCCTCTAGTGTTTTGTGGGGTGCCGATCAACCCCGGCGGGCGTGGAGATAGACGTACGATCTAGATCGGCACAGAAGTTCGTCTTAGGTTATGCGGATTCATTAGCTCTCGAAGATTTGCAAAAGGGACTAGCAAAATATTCATAGGTAGCAATTTGTCAAATTAATTCAGCAGCACCATATCAATCTGGTTCTTCCAACGCAATGCGAAACCGAATGTACAAAGACAGATAACCCAATTCCACTCTGGAGACAAAATCTAATCACGGTCATCAGGATGGAAAACCAATGCTCGCACTTCGATACTATGTCTTCCGGCTTCATTCTCTGTTTCCGGGTTGACGAAAGCAGTATGGGGCGAACGACGAGCTCTTCCATCCAACTTGGAATCAAAACACTTAATAAGGGTCACCAAGTCCGGAGTCTGACCATAGCGGTAATACCACTTGATATTAGAATTCGGCTTGATGGAGTACGTCTCGCCCTCGCGGTCTGGGTATATGAGCCCAACAGGCACCAGGTCACTTTCTAGGACCGAGTGCGCATCCGCCACAGCCAGTGGATCCTTCAGGATAGTATTGATCGGACGCCAGACATTGATGATTTGATATCGGCCCTTGAGAAGCTCGGGTGCCTCATCTGGGAGATGAAAGGAGACTCTGTTCTTGGATGCGCTGTATGATTGATCGATGTGCACGCGTTGTACAGGCCCGCGGAACTGGGAACTGGTGGATTTGTCGGTTTGGGGCCGGCGAATGGTGTGGTCAAAGATGAAGATGCGGGAGGCACCCGTGCTGTGCGGGTTACTGTTAGCTTTATCTGAAGAGATTATGGGGTTTGGGGACTACATACGCGTCTTTAAGTAGCTGCTCTGTTTCCGCGTAGTATGCCGTCTTGATCTTCTCATCATCTAGGAAGTCTTTTTCTTGGCTTTCGTGATAGTAAAGCTGGAATCCATGGCTGTCTAGTTTGTAGTCAAGTTCGTGGCCGCTGATGTCATGGATGGTGGCAGGTAGAGGATACAAAGGTTGCTCGTAAGTTTCTGGCCTGCCAATATACGCTGGTGCCGGGGGAGAACCATCCTCGTTCTCTTTGAAGAAGTTGAGTGTAGTCTGAACATGGTGAGGCTTTTCCGAAACGGAGACTCCGGGTTTTTCTGAGAGCAAAGGGCCTTGGGAATTTGGAAGTTGAACCGCTGCAGAAGCCATACTGGGTTATTTAATAGAGGTTAGAACAGATGATTCCCTGAGAGTCAGAATTAGTGAAGACGATGGAGTCTTTTTATATACAGCCTATGTTGCGGGGTGAGCTATATTTGTCAGAACGCACGCAATCTTCGTATGACGTGGGAAATGCTGATAAATGCACGTTGGTAAACTGGTAAGCAGGAGTCACAACAGGTAGAACCACATAGTTCACGTCAAACATACACCATTTATTGTCTCGTATTCGCCATGCTATATACAACGGTTAAGGCGTGGCGGTGGGGAATAGTAGGTATCTGTGTTCTTGACTATGTCCTTTTTGGTCGACTAGCCTTGAAACTATATATTTTGCGAACTTCATATGATGTTATTTCTCTACGGACCCGAAAGGGACGGACGAAAGAGACGGACGAAGGATATAATGACATTTCACGTGGATTCACATGGTAGTAAGCACCTCCAGTGTCTGTTCTGCCAAACATTCCGGCCTCTCCCTTTTTTTGTGCTCGGTGATTCCCTGGCATCTGCCACACCACCTCTGATGGAATCTCATGACTTCCCAATCTCGAGCCTTGTCCCCAGTCTGGCCACTGAAACGCCGCCCTTGGCCACTGTCAACGGGGGTGGCTCCCAAGCTTCCGCTAAATGAGGCCATCGAAGAAGAACTTACGCCGTACTATGATTCTGCGTGATTTTATCCCGCACGTCTAGGAGACGTTCTGAATGACCGGTATCAACTCGCAACAAAGCTCGGTTATGGTAATCACTCAACTATCTGGCTCGCTCAAGATCTAGACCAGTTTTTTCTCCGCATTGTCCCCACGTATCTCGGGTACCATTTCCTAATCGTTGGTCCAGATGGCGCTGTTTAAGAGAAAGATACGTTGCTCTTAAAATTCACTCCAGTACTCATCATCCTTGAAAGAACGCTGTCCAAGCTGAACTAGCCATCCTTAGACATACCTCTAAAGCAAACCCCCTTCACAAGGGCTGGGGATTTATCAGGCGTCCGCTCAATTCATTCACTATGGAGCATGGTTCAGCGAGACATCTCACGCTTGTCTTTGAACTTTTGCGAGAACCTTTCTGGATATACCGCAAAAGTTTTATGGATGATGTGATACCTTCAGGCGTGCTAAAGATCTTCAAATGATGCTTCGTCGACTTGACTGCCTCCACTCTGAGTGATCTTATCCATACCGGTTCGTCTCTTCGGATCACACAAGAAATTGTCAACTAATTGATTTCAGATCTGAAAACAGACAATATCATGATCAAAGTTGAGAATCCATATATTTCAGAGGGATCTCGAGAGACGAGCACGGACATCCTCTGCCGCAGAAGGCTTACCCAGATGATCGCACAATATATCTCTCTCGTAATGACTTCGGCATCTTCAAGAAGACCACAGGCATAATCCAAATCACCAACTTCGATTCATCTGTACGCGAGGATGAGTGAAACAAAGGTTATGTCCAGGCGCAAGTATATCGAGCCCCAGGGGTTATTTTAGATGCAGGCTAGTCGTACAGTAATGTTGGCAATCATATATCACCATTTAAAAGCTAACGTCACTTTTTAATTATAGGATGTTCTTGAAGGCAAAAGGCTATTCAAGGGGATTGGTCCTCTCGGGGTCCAGGAATATGACGAGCTTAGAAATCTTGGCCATATTGCTGCACTGTTGGGTCCTCCTCCAAAGGCTCTCCTAGAAAAAGGAGCAAGAGCTGTAATTGATTGCGAAACTAATGGTGAGTATACTGTTGTCTTGTATATTTAGCAAGTCCTAGCTCGATTCAATAGGACAATTTGAAGGCACGAATGTTCCATCATTGAAGTTCAACTCTGCAGATTCAATATGCTACATCCGCAATGATGATAAGAGGATGTTCGTCGATTTCGTACAAAGAATGATAAAATGGAACCCAGGCGAGCGAAGCACTGCAATGGAATGACTCCAAGATCCGTGGCTTTATGCGGATTTTGATCAAGATTGAAATGGCTGCACTATGAAATTGTTAGCAGCTGGTCTCAATCCTATGGGAACATTTTCTCGACAAATATGAGATACAGGGTGCAGCACAAAATATCTGGAGTTTAGATAGATCTTTAGGCTCCGGCTCTTAGGGGCACCCCCGGGGCGTGGGGGTCCCGGTTGTGCCTGGTTAGCCACGTTCTACTAGTCAAAATTGGGGGCTTGGATGACTTCTGAAACCGGCTGTCAGGGTCATTGCATCGTCCTAATGCTGAGATCTGGAATTGAGATTTTCTTTGGAACTTTGCCTTGATTTCGTATCACCTCATTAGAGACAAGTCATGACACAAAACAATGTGCTTTCGCTCAGTTCAAGGAGACCCAACGTGTCAACAAAAACCTCGCATGGTTTTGTATGGCCACCAAGGTCCTCCTCAACAGAGTCAATCAGAGCATAGCCACGATCAGCATTCAGCGAATGTAAGCGGGAACCAATAAGACCAAGACCGCCTTAGGTTGAAAGCAACATCCTCTGAGTCTTCGTATAAACACTTGTAAGATCCCCGTGAACACTGTATATCAAATATTTCAGAGCTCAGAGCCCAATTCCCTCACCATGGCAGTCGTACAAGCAAGATGGACCAAGATCGTCTCGGCGGAAATCCTACAGCGATCATCCCAATCAGTCTCCGTCATTGACAGACAGGTCTACATCTTTGGCGGGGAGCTGCGGCCGCGAGAACCCAGGGACAATAACATTCACACTATTTCACTTGGGACTCGTAAGTTACTCAGTGTCTACAAGCAATACAAAACCTGAATAGGGAATAGGGGACGAAAAGTCTCAAACTGATACCAGCACACATAACTAACCTCCCCCATAGCCGCAACGCTATCCACCAAGGCATCCACCGAGAAATCCCCCTCACCACGAGTAGGAACCCCATCGACAACCCTCAATGGCAATATCTACCTATTTTCTGGCCGAGAAGGTATAGCAATGACACCAGTAGAGGAACACGGCGGAATGTGGGAATTCGACCCCGGCACAGAGAAATGGTCACTTCTAGCACCGTCCTCGCCAAATTCAACACCAATTCCAACAGGCCGCACTTACCACTGCACAGCTAACGACGGCAAAGACACCGTATTTATCCACGCAGGCTGTCCAGAGAAGGGTCGTCTATCCGATGTGTGGGCATTCAGTGTCTCCCAGAAGGAATGGACAGAGCTTGCTCCGGCGCCGGATCCCCCGCGCGGTGGGACATCCATTGCATTTGCTCGGGGCAGACTGTATCGCATGAATGGGTTTGATGGGAAGCGGGAGCAGGGTGGCAGTATCGATGTTTATGATGCTGGAGCCAATCTGTGGAGCTCGCACTCGTTTGTTTCGGATGGCGTGACTGGGCCATCGCCGCGGAGTGTCGCGATCTTACTCCCTATTGTTGTATCTGGTCGTGTATACTTGGCAACCTTGTTTGGTGAGCGGGATCCGAGTTCCTTGGGACATGAGGGCGCGGGGAAGATGTTGAATGATGTGTGGGTGTTTGATATTGAGACCAAGCTATGGACCAAGGTTGAAGCTCAGGGTGATGAGCATCCTGATCCACGAGGTTGGCTTGACGGGGATATCCTCGATGCTGGTACTATCGTGGTTCATGGGGGATTGGGAGAATCAAATGATCGGCTGGATGATGTTTGGACTCTCGAGTTTTTCTAAACTTTTGAAGGCTTTGGATTCAATCCGAGATCCTTTTAACATGAACAAAACTAAAATTTTATCGGAATTATGACTGAGAGGAAGAGAAATAAGGAAGATGAGAAAAAAATCAAAAGGAAATCGTTTGTGCTATGAGGTCTTGAATCGTACAGTTGCCATATTTGCCTTCGCCGCTCGCAAGAAAAAGGAATAATTTGACAGAGAAAAGAAAAGTCGGTAGGACGAGTTGCACCACACACCAACACCATAAAGTCCTGCAAAAGGAAATGAGCAAAAAGAGAGTCAAGTGACTGGCATCGCAAAACGAAAACAAGAAAAAAGTCAAAATAGAAATTCAGTGGGAGACCTCCAAGAACAAAAAAAAAAGGCAGTTGTTGTGACAACTTCATGAACAGAAGAATTGAAGGATGATCTGTGCTTTGGAACTCAACTCATGTTGATAGTATTGCCTAAAACATGAGAGAGCGGGTTTTCTGTCGACGCGCCTCGACACTACCCATCTCGGGCTGTGAGTAGGTGTGCTTGTGTCGAGGTCGTGGGGAGTGAGGCGCCGGCGCCCCAGATCCCGCAGAGGATGGAGGTGGTCCCACCATTGCACTATTTCGGCTCCGAACAGGGGATGGGACCCTGGCAGGTGCTGTGGGGATTCCACTCGGTGGACGGCGAGGAGCAGTCTCATTGCTGATTTTCATGCTCCGCTCGCGCTTAAGCACAAGGTCAGCCCAAGGCTTCAGTGCACCATTGCCGGAGGTAGAGCCCTTTCCAACTGCCTCAGACATCACTCGAAGCCAGCCCTCCTTATCAGCGGGGCTATCCGCGTAGAAGTCAATCACTTCACCATTACCAAAGCGGATACGGAATCCCTCTTCAACAAACATATAGCCTTCTTCTTCTTCGGCGAAGGCAGACTTGCGGCGAGAGCCACTCTTCGTGCTAGTCTCCTTCTGGAGCAGAGAAGATCGGTCGTCAATAAGCTTGGAAGCCTTGGCTAGGTTGATCGTGGCACGAGGTTGGCGCGTTGTTTCGTGGAAGGCCGTTAACTTGGATCCCTGAAGCTTAAAGAAGCGACGGCGCCAAAACTATTGCCATTGATTAGTACTGGATCGGCGATAAAGTGTAAAAGTACTTACTGGACAATCTCCACCCTGTTGAGAAAGGAATCCTTCCCAGGAGCGAGCTGTAACACTCTCGGCATCACGCATTTCACGAATGCAGGCATTCATGCTCTTCGGCATGTCCTCATCCTTGCTACCCTTAGGCTTAGGCACGAAGAGAAGCTGCACTTCCAATTTTCCAATCTTGTATGGTGGTCGGCGCTGTGTAGTGATGCTAGTTGCACTCTTCTTGCTTTTGACGCTGCTCATTTGTTCCTCGACTGCCCACTCATTGAAGCAGGCAACATCAACAATGTGGGGACGGCCGAAGGCCTGTTCCTCGTGGTCGCTCAAAGCCACATATGCGCGGCCGAAGCTACCATCACGCGCAACTAAGTTCCGAAGCCGTTCATATACAGGGGCATTGACGTCCTTGGCCTTCTGTTCCTGGGACTGCATTTGTTGCTTTATATCAAGCTCCTTGCGCCGGCGTGGGGATGCAAACACACGACTGAGGGCCGACGCCTTTTGACGTGATGGGGAGGATGCGGGTTCTTGGGTTTGGAACTTGCTCTCGTCAATCTTCATTTGCAGGGTCAACTGGAACTCGAGGTCATTCTGGACAATGAGTTCGAACTCCTGTCCAATGGGAGCCGACTTGCCCATTTCCAGCCAGGAGGTGGTAACACAGTGTAGCCCGTTATCCAAGGTCAGTGCAAAGTATGACCGTTCACCTAGAAGTGGATCAGTGGAAGTGCATTACATTTGGTCGTTGGAAAGGATCTTACCACGTGGAAGGGGAAGGTCACAATATTTGAGGCCTACAACCTTTACAAACAAACGCCCGCGCTCTTCGCCATCTTCGAACGATTCAGAGATAGTTGGCTCGTTTTCTTCAATGGTCGGAGGGGCCTCCTGAACATTGCTGGGCTGTCCAGGGAGAGGGGGACTCCACCTGCACCAGGGACGGGCTTTTTCTTCGGGATACCGGTGGCAGCCTTGATACTGGAGCGGCGCGCTGAACTATTCCAAGGGACTGTGGTCCAGGTCTGCTGGCTAGCTTTGCGCGGAGAAGACCCAGCAGAACGTGTACCGCGGGGGTCTGGGGCAGTCTGGTCGGAAGAAGGCACGGCTTCTTCTTCGTTGCGACTGCTGGCAATGATAACTTTGGTGTTCTGTCTCATGAGGTATCCTCTCTGTTTGGGGGTAAAAGAGTCAGCGGGATGCGCATTATTTCTTAGGGTTCCAGTATAACTTGGTGCTATTGCCTGGGCAGGCGGCACAGAACCGGGGGCTTGGGAAAGGGCTTGGTGAAACGCAACCTTTTGGGATTCAATAACACGATCAAACTCCTTGTCCAGTCCAAAGCCAAGGCTCTCTTCCTGAATGCTGAAGGGAATGTCAAGCTTCAAACAACTGCTCTGTCGCTGGGAAACATCCGTAGGCAATGCCAACTTCGGTGGCAGCCCGGTCTGATTATTTTCACCATCCGACGGATTCGAGTCATTGGAGATCTGCTTGGTCAATGAGGGAACGGGTGGAGCGTGTTGGCCACTGATCTGACGACGGGTAGCAGCCATGGACTGCAAATCCGCAGGTGTTAGGGAAGGTCGGGTCTTAAGTCCAGCACCAGGAGCTCGAATTGTGGCAATAGGTTCGGGAACAGACTCGTCGGATGAGCTCTCATCATGCTCCGGCTCCAGCTCCTGGTCCTTCTCTCTTTCTTCTTCTTCTTCTTCTTCTTCTTCTTCTTCTTCTTCTTCTTCTTCCTCCTCTCCTCCTTCTTCTTCGCCATCGTCGTCCTCGATCGGATGACGAATGACGGAGTCTGGAGTGGAGGGCTCAGAGTCTTGGTCTTGCTGCGTTTCGGGGGTCAGAGGGCGTGCAAGAGACTGACGGATAGACGCCATATCGAAGGATTGATCTTGGGGGGCATCCTCTTTTGTCTGTGCGGTCTTTTCGGCGTCGGCCGGGGTTTCAGCATGAGGGGTAGTTTGTTGAGACTCCTGTTTGTGATTTCCATGTCCGGCGTGTTCACGCTCGGCGGCTTCGGCAGCAGAGCGTAGCGAGTAATTGCTGTCCTCGTCGTACTTAGCACGTTGGTCATGGGACGACAAACTATTGTCTGACTTGTTCTGGTAATAATCCGTGATAGAGTAGAGGTCTTCATCGTGCTCTTCCTGTTTAATTATTACACTGGAGGAGTCATCGTCGTCTGTTTCCATGGATGGAATGGGGACATCGGGATCATAATGGTCATAATGTTGGGGGCTGGAAGCAACTTGGGAAGAGTCATCAAAGCTGTCATCCTCATAATTGTCACCCTGGCGAATTCCTCGCAAGATTGAGTCGCGAGAAATTCGAGGCGGAGAAAAGAAGTTTTCTTTGGCCTCGTCGTCGGTAAGTGTATCATCCTTTGAGGCAATGCTTTCGTCTACTCTAGGAAGCTCCAATGGTTCCTCAATGTTGTCTATGTGGTCATCATGTGTCTCATCGTCATCTCCCCCCTGCAGCCTCATGAGACGGAGTCTCTCTTCTAGGGACACAGCGCCGGGAATATCAGACTTCGAAAACAGTGCAGGACCAGGGGGGGCAGGGAGCACACGCTGTCCTGCGCTACCAAGCTCAAAGGCAGCAGCGAGCTTACCGGCCGAGGACGGACGCGCACCTGAAATGCGATTCACCGATGGCAAAGGTGGGAGAGGACGTCTCTCACCATTCGAGTCCAGCGATTCGACGCGCGTGTGCTGAGAAGATCCACCTTCACGTGAGATAGGTCGGTCCTCGATACTCTCTTCTTCAACGTCTTCGATGAAGGGATCGCCATCACTGTTTGTGCTGGGGCTCATAAAACGCCAGTCTTCAGGCAACACAACAGGGGTCTTCTCGATATCTTCCAGTGAGGCGTCAAAGCTATCATCACGCTCAATGGATGACTCAGCCTCGAAACTAAGATCCTCCTCTTCCTCGGATTCGTAGCTGTTTTCTCGTGACTCAGAGGCAACTGAGGAAAGATCCGGGGTCGTCATTTCATATTCATTGATTTGAGGAGGAGCATGGTCAAATGTGACACTCTTTGCATGCCGATGCCCAGCGCTGCCATACTCAGACCAGATATCATTCTGAGGATCAAATCCCTTGCCGTACCGGCTGCCTTTAGACAACGAAGACTTGCTTGGAGATGCTTGATCTTTGCTCGGGGATGACGGCCGAGAAGTCGGGGTGGTATCTTCATCGAATTGGGACTTGGCAACATTCATTTGGCTCTCTCGTTGCGGAGTCCTCTCCGACGCCAAAGGTCTCTGGGGGAAGACCACTGAGGCCGGGTCATATTCTTGGCTACCTTCGAGGAACATGCTGTGATTTTTGACCTTAGACACGCGTTTCAAATTTTCGAGCGACGGGCGTTTGGAGGGGAAATAACACCCCTCTGGATCATATGGCGCTTTATTCTCGGATCCCTTGGGAAACGGCGATGGAGAGTCACGGCCTTTCCAAAACAGGCGTGGGGAGGCATTGTTATTCAGAGACGAGACATCGTATGCAGGCGATTCGCCATGCGGCACCTGCTACTCTTGTTAGCATATATTATCGGATGCCAAATTTCATGGTGACAGTACCTTAGTAACTTGGTTCCAGCTAGGCGAATTGCGCCTCTGGGCCATGGGGCTCACTTCAGATAGTGGCCACTGGCCAGACCCGTTACCCATACTGACGTTGGCTTTGCTGGTGATTCAGGTTACAAAATATGCAACTGTAATAAAAGACCAAGACAGGATCTCTATAATGTGTCAGTGCTTGTTCATCCAGTCCTGATCGGCGCGTGGGCTCACGACTGATGACCAAGGACACAAGGCGACACCGAGATCAGGTACCATACCTTTCTTAATAAATGGCAGTCTCGTGCAAGATGTTTGCCAGCGAGTCCTCATGCATTCGCTACAAAGGCGTAAAATTCGTGTCGATCGTGGCAGGAATCTTTCGTCAAAGGGCGAAGAAACCAAAACAAACCCAAGTTAGGTGTGTGGGTATTAAACCAACGTAAAACAAAAAGGGAGAGATAACGAAGGGATGCGAATGCCAACTCTCAAGAAAGGCTAGGGAAGAGCAACAGAAACAAAGAAAGAGGTTATGAAGAACGGAAACAACGAAACTTGATATGTCTCTCCCATGGATTCAAGTGGATTGTTACCCCGAGCAAGAAACTGTTGTTACGGGAGTCGTCATGGCAACGGGGGACTGCGACTGTTTCAGCCCGTGACACTGCGTCAGCTGCCTAGGATCGGCGCTAGCCTACAAGTGGGATAGCTTCGTGGATCTTTGATATCAAACATGCACCTACCACTATCTCAACTATTATCAACCCTTACAGTACCTGAATATAGCACACAAGAAGGTTCGAATATTGATGTCGAAGTGGTTTATTGACTCCAATTATCGTTTCAAGTCGAACAAACGCCGAACAAAGCTAGGGGCTCCGCCTACATTGTATGAATTTACCAAAACCAAACAAAACCTTTCAGTTTTTTAGCCCAATATCAAAAGGTCATCTCTGGAAATATGATAAAATCTCACAAAAAAGGACTAACAAAAACTTGACAGGTCACCTTATTATTGACTCCTTTCGTGTGAACTAGACCATACTGCTTTCCAAGTTTGTAACCGCCTTCTGAGGTCGAAGAAGTTGAACATGAGTCACCCCAAAAAATATATTTTGCTACTCTTCTATTCGTTTCCCTATCCATCCAATGAGGAATCTGGATGGATCCCGGACACATGCGTACACATGAGTAGGTAGCTCGAAGCTAGCCTATGAGTTAGTTGCAAAAGAATGTCCAAAGAATGCACAAGGACATCATGATGATTATTCCCTTGGAATATATAGTTCCCGTTCTTGAAACAAGTCTGCATGCTAATTAAAGAAGAGACGATATGATCATCGATTGTGGAATTTCCGCCTCAGGCATTAGATCTCACGACCACACTGAGTCAGCATCTTAGTCACCTGATAGTGTATCAAAAGTTTATGATCTGCGCTAGTCCGAGATAGGATTAGCGTATATCGCGAAAAACCCATCTGAACCTGTTCTGGCCTCTCCTCTCCGACCATTCTGTGTTTCCAACTTTCGGCATTTTATCGCGTTTAATCAGGTAGAAGAATGCCTCTGCCAATTCGCTCTTCGATATGTCTTCTATGTCAAACTAAGGCGACCCTGATTGCCCCGTCGATTCTTTCGACTTCATGGCAGACCACGCGTGGCATGGCCACCGTTCGATTGCGCCGCAAGGCTGCTCGGATGGCCCTATCGCCTAATGTTGACAGGCAGTCGCTGCCATCTCCTAGCAAGCCACGACGCGAACGGGCTGGCCCTTTTGCCTCGATGAATCAGACTCAGGCACGCATTCGAGACACACCACGCACACGATCACAGGCGGCCCTCAAGCGCTCAGGGGAGGAAGGCAAGACGGAAAAGAAGGAAAGCCCATTGTACAGAGCATTGAAGATGCAGACGACGTTGACACCTGTGCCTTATGGTCGACGTTCTGCTATCAAAGCTCGACTTGCCGACATCACCAGCTTCGATCATTTCCCTCTCCTTCCCGCAGTCCGACAGTCGATCTTTGCTCAGGCTCTGGCTGGACTCAGTGATGTTACTCCCACGCCCATTCAAAGACTCGCAATCCCCGAGCTGTTGCTGGACGGATCCAAGAAGAAGAAGAAAGTGAAGCAGGCAAATGAGGATGATGTGGAATACAATTTTGACCAGTACCTCCTAGCAGCAGAGACTGGCTCGGGCAAGACCCTCGCATACTTACTCCCAGTTGTCGATGCTATCAAGCGTGCTGAAGCCCTTGATATCGAGGAGCAAAAAGCCATTGAGGAACGAAAAGCACTAGAGCGGGAGGAGAGAATGAAGAACAAGGCGTTCGATTTGGAGCCTGAAGAGCCCCCAATGACAAACGCAGCTCGTCCTCGGGCCATCATTCTCGTTCCCACTTCTGAACTGGTATCTCAGGTTGGATCCAAGCTCAAGGAGTTGGCCCATACCGTTAAGTACCGCTCAGGCGAAATCTCATCAACTTTCACTCCCCGCCGAATCAAGAACACCCTCTTCCACCCTGCCGGCATCGATATTCTAGTTTCAACGCCTCACCTTTTGGGGTCTGTTGCGAGGACGAACCCCAATATCCTCAGCCGAGTCACCCACCTTGTACTCGACGAGGCCGATTCCCTAATGGATCGATCGTTCATTCCAACAACGTCCGAAATAATTGCTAAGGTTGCTCCGTCACTCAAAAAATTGATTCTCTGCTCAGCCACCATTCCCCGCAGTCTTGACAATCAGCTGCGCAAGCGCTTCCCTGATCTCCAGCGCCTGGCGACCCCCAACCTGCACGCCATTCCCCGTCGCGTGCAGCTAGGTGTCGTGGACATTGAGAAAGAGCCATACCGCGGAAACCGTAATCTCGCCTGTGCCGATACCATCTGGTCGATCGGCAAGGCAGGAGAGAGGCACGAGCACACCGAGACATGGGGGCCCCTCAATGCTTACATGGAACCCAAGGTTAAAAAGATCATCGTGTTTGTTAACGAACGCGAGGAAGCCAACGAGGTTGCTAGTTTCCTGCAATCCAAGGGCATCGATGCCACCTCGCTCAGTCGTGACACCGATTCCCGGAAGCTACAGGAGACTCTCTCGCAGTTCACGGAGGTTAAGCTCCCACCGACTGCGGAGGAGATCATGATTAATAAAAAGAAGAATCGCGCCGCCGGCAGTATTCCCTTCGAGCTCCCTGAGCGTCAAGACCCCATCCGCCGCCTTCCCGACACCAAGGTCCTTGTCACTACTGATATTGCCTCCCGTGGTATCGATACACTGGCAGTGAAGACAGTAGTTCTCTACCACGTGCCGCATACGACCATCGACTTCATTCACCGACTGGGCCGTCTCGGTCGTATGGGCAAGCGTGGTCGTGCTGTTGTCCTGGTTGGCAAGAAGGACCGCAAGGATGTCGTCCGTGAGGTTCGCGAGGGCATGTTCCGTGGTCAGGCTTTGATTTAGATTCAGATCTAGATTCGCGCGTGTGTGCATTTATTACATTGTAAAAATTTTGTAACATATCTGGCGTTGGTTTGAGGCTTTGATTTTTTTGGGAACTGGAAGACGACTATACCCATTGTCGCAGCAATAGCCATTAGATCTTTGGAAGTATGTACGATATGCATTCATATATCATGAACCTACCTCCGCTCTTGTATAATGATGTCTTAGTCCAACTACATCGAAACAATTGAACGCACATTTTCCTTCCAACTTCTCAAACGGGTATCTCCCTCGCCAGCTTCCTCCAGAAGTCGCACCGCTTCTTCAACTCGACCAGTTTCACATTCGTCAGTCCATCATCCACAACAACGAGTTCCTCGCCCGTGTGTAGCTCTGGCACACCTGGCTGCAAAGTATTCGTCACCTTGTGTGCATTTGGGTCTCCCGTCTGGAAGAAACTTGCAAAAGCTCCCGCGTAGCCTTCATAAACAACTGGATTGGTCTTTTGGACAGCATTTATTCTGTTCCACTATAATCAGTCAAGTCAGCATATGCCACCGGAATCAGGAAATAACAACAAAACAGAGAGCAGCAATGGAAAGGGAAGAACAAACATAAATAGTATCACTCCCATGCGTCGCTGGGGAAATCGTATACTCCCCGATATACCCTTTCTTCGTCGCAGCCGACGCAATCCAATAAGCTGGACAAGCAAGCACAACATCCCGATAAACCAACCCAGCTCTGACATAAGAGGTATTATAACTGTCGATTGTCTCTGTACTCCCCTCGGCGGGATAATAAAGAGATTCGACCTCGCCAATCTTCTTGGCCGACAACCCAGGTACGAAACCGGAAAGCCAGTGATGGAAACTTGCAACAGAGGAGTTAAATCCATTTACCGAAACGGCGCTGTCAAGGCCCGACGGAACGAAGCCCTGGCCCTCGTGACTGTTGTACATCCCCCAGACAAATTCTGTGTTCAGGGAGCCCCTATTCACAGTGTCTGTGAGTGTCTCGACGAGGAAGCTTCTGTCTATCACAGGCGCCCAGGTATAGGAGGTTGTTGTCCAACTGTGGCTCGCCCCGATGATCAAGCTTGCATCACGGATCTTCTGGACATCCACGGATTTGAGACAGGCAAGTGTGTTACCAGCATGCTTGGAGCTGGCACAACCTGTTAAGTTCACCATTTGGGTGTAGATTTCTTCTGCTTGGGGTGAGTTGTATTTATATGTCTTGGGCCAGAACGGCGAGCTTGCAAGAACTTTGGAGAATAGTTTCGGTTGGCCATGGCGGCCATTTGCGAGAACTTGCGCGACTACTGAGCCAGCACCGGCCGACTGGCCCCAAATTGTTACGTTGTGAGGGTTGCCCCCGAAATGGTGGATATGCCTCTGGACCCATTTCAAGACATATTGCTGGTCTAACAGCCCTGGGTTTAGATCTGAGGTCGATGAGTCTTTGATTGCCGTGCCGGGTAGGAAACCGAAGGCATTGACGCGGTAGTTGGAATAGATAACGATGTAGTCGTTGATGTTACTGACATTGAGGACCGGGAATGAGGACGGTGGCATGGTGAATGCAGCACTTCCTTGGATGAAAGCTCCGCCGTAGAATACGACCAGCACTGGTCTGCTAGTATGCTTGGTCAAATTCCATGGCCGTGAGAATAGACCCAGATAGAGACAGTCTTCAGTGCCGTTTACTGTGCGCTGGGGGCACATGTCGAAGTCCTGGTTCGTGTCATAGAGGTCTCCGGTGATCTTTAATGGAGGCTGAGGCGCGCGGAAACGGTTCTCCCGTATCGGAGGTGCTGCAAATGGGATCTTGCGAAAATATGAGAGGTTGTAGGTGCTGTCATATTGACCCTTGAAGGATCCATAATCGAGGGAAACTTGAGGGTTGTCCCAAGTAGTGCTGGCTGTGACCCGAAGGCCAAGAAGGGTCACAATCAGATTTGAGAACCTCATCGCCGGGTTTCAGCGGTTTTCGTTTTGAAGTTATTGTTCCATTCGTCTGCTGTGTTCAGCCTAGCGGGCCCCAGGCCATATATAGCCTTTGTGTACGCAATGAGGAACCATCAACCCCAATTTGACGAGAGAGTTCGCATTCGGTACAGGAAACCCCGAGCTTCTCTATATGGCTCTCATGCATTTTGGTCGTTGTCAAGCAGATACTCTCAGGCTTGGCTACAAGAGCAGCTCATTGGTGCAGTTATTGTTGATGTCCGGAACAAAATGCGGGGGATTTCTGCAGTGGTTATCAATTCGGATTCGATCACCCCGATAGATCGTTGGTCATATAGTAAAAACAACACATAGTTAGCTGGTAGATTCCCAGAACACCTAGTTAGATTTAGATTCAACATGTCCACATTTAATGGGTCAAAAGTAGCTGTCAAGGGAGTCTCCGTGCGAACAAAGCCAAAGTAAACACTATGCCCTCCGGATTCCAGCCCTAAAATTGCATCCTCGGTAGAAATCCAAACTCCTCCAGATCCAATTCCCATGCAGTACGATGCCAGTTAAAACAAGTATTATCACAAATGCCAATTCTGCTAAACCAAAACTCCGTCCTTGTCGTCTTGTCTCGTAGATGAAACAGGACTCCTGGGCTGTACTGTTTACATAGTCATACGAAGTTCTCTAGTGCGACGCCGGCTTGCCCTGGCATCACGGCGAGACTCAGTTGCATCACTTTCTGGGGTGTTTGTGTCGGACAGCTCGGGGGTTGGGGTGATTCCAAAACTCACGCCGCGATCTCGGCGACAGATACGTGATTGTGCATCGGGGGACAAGAACCGGTGGATGGTGCGGTGATCCATTACTCGGTCTTCACCATCTGGGCCTTTGTCCGTTGATGGCCACTGGTATCCATACAGCTTGGAATGACGTTCACAGCGCGGGCATTCACGTCGCGTGAGGTATGAGTTTGACTGGAGGAACCATGTATCACAGGTCTGACACTCCACCCATCGGTCATACTTCTGGGCAAGCAATCGGGATGTCTTGGTATAATCTCCAGGGACTCGGGCAACTTGCGACTCTGTCTCGACGGAGTCTACGATGAATCGCCGCTTGGTACGAGGCTTTCGCTTCTTGGGCTTATCCACAACGGCGAGGGTGTCGTCTAGTTTAGTGGAATTTGATAAGCCTGACAATCCATCTTCGGGGTTAATGTCCATGGAGTGGGTGGTGACGAGCTGACCTTCAGCAAGCAGATCAGGGTGATCCTCGCAGTTGAGTGGTTTCGACTCAGACGACTCCAGTGTGTTATCTTCTGTCTTGATCTTGATTCCCATTTCGTCCTCAGTTGTGGGGGTAGTTGAGGTCGACGACCGGTGAGATCCATCAGCAGTGGAGTTTGGAGATTCGCAGTCCGTGGGGATAGTAGAATTAGTGCCATTTGTCCCATTTGAATCGCCTTGGGTAATCACGCCTAGTTGACCCGCCCCTGTGGCAGTTGGAAGGGAGGCTGGAGAATCGGTTGGCGATGCCACTGCGGTTAGCTCTGTGATATCTCTCTTCAACTCAGATACCTGGGGTACAGTCTTCGTCAGAAGAGCAGTTGGTATCAGTAAAGTATCCTGAATAGGGGTATTGTCTGAGCCGCGCGTTGGAGCTGATTCCCCGGCAAGTTCAGAAACCGAGATCTCCTCTCGTAACTTCGAAACTTGTCGTTGGAACTTTGCACGTTTGCGCGGAGTGGAGCAAGTTGTAGTAGAGGGGCTTTCGGATTCATCCACGTCTGGGCTGTGTCTACGCTTCCTGCTCACGCTACCATCTTCAATCGGTGTAGCTTCAGAAGCGGGGCTGGACTCTTTGCTATTCGGCTCCGTGTCAACATGCGGAGACCAACCATTCCGTACAGCACCCTCGCAGGTATGACACAGACACTCGCAGTTGTCAACGCCAAAGTAATCCTCGCCGTAAGAAACAGTAATCTCTTCTCCCTCGTGGATGTCACGCATTGCGAGGACAGACATGCCCTCGTTACCCCTGGTTGTCAAGCTGCCGTTGGCATCACAGTCATGATTGGCAAAACGAGCAGGGCCCAAAAAAAATGACGGGGTTTTGCGGCGACTTGACATCACGATACTGAAGTCTTTGCGGGTCAAGCCGAGATCCAACTCTTCTTCATGGGTCATAGACACGAGCGTTCCACTCAGGTGTTTGATCTCCTCGCCCTTTTTAATAAATCTGCGGGCGCATATTGCAGCCTCATGTTGCGTTATGATGTATCGATTGGTCGTGATGACCTCAAACGGACAGTCTGGGAGATACATTTGAATGTACTTGCGGAGATGTCGGCGGAACCACTCCTTCTCTCGAGGGCTACGGAGGTTTGCCATGTATTTCTTTAAACCTGGTATTTCCAGCAGCTTGCGTTCAGCTGTTGGGATATCCTTATCGACAATCACGTCGTGGAGAAGAATGCGCCCAATGTCATCATCGTGGATTCCGCGGGCAGGGCTGTACTTGGTGCGGTTCTTGCGGGTGGTGGTCCAAAAATAAGCCTATCAACAGCAAGTGTCAGTGGATATATGTATGTGTTGAAACGTAGAAAAAGAACATACGTGATCCACCAGCGCATCGGTTGCGACATCGTCATAGCTGGCCAATTTAGCCAATGTCAGGCGCTCGCGTCGTTCGGCGGCGGGTGAGCTCTTTCGCGCTCTCTTTGGGGGCATGATGAACGTAACAGCAAGCTGAATACCGCTGGATATCGAAGTGGGAGAGAGGAGGTGGTCTCATAGAATGCAGAGTGGGTGCAAAGGTAGTTGGGGAATAAGTGGAGTGGAAGGCGGAGGTCCGAGGGATGGGTGTCGAAAAATGACTCGAGACGCAAGAGAAGAATCAGAATGAGTGACTGTCAATCAACACAAGTAACATTATTATGTGATTGTCACCATTGAGGCTGTTCCAAGGGGAAAGGCCTCCTTCGCAGATGTTTTTAGGGGCGGAACGGAGGCTCGGGAGTGCGCCAGTGAGACCCGTCTCTACTTTTACAATTCCTTTCCCCTTGACCTGTTATTTTTGCCCGGGTTGTAATTTCCGCAAATGAGGTTGATTATTGTTATGATTTCATTTTTCTACGCCGTACAGGGTTTGTTGTGACTTGATTTTACGCGCCCAGCTCGCATACAATATACACCGTGCGTCAAGCCTCCAATCCTTCCCATGCCGTATCAGCGCGAACCTGTTGAAGTGGAAATACTGCAATTGTATCCAATAAGTATCATTCTTGAGATGAACGGATCGTTCTTTTCTCTGGTTTCCACGTAAGATATCTTGATATTATCTCTCAATGGGTCTTTGCTGGAGAGCATTCGCGGCCAATGAACTGCTGCAGAATCTGATGGATCCAAGTATGAAAATGGGACGCTCTCTTTCGTAGGCTTCTTTGCGGATAATCCCGTGGCTTTTCAAGACCTAGTCTGGCTCTTGTCTACCTTGCGCTTTAGAAAGTCGGTCTATTTGGCTAAATGGGAAAATAAGAAACAATGAATAAGGAATGTATGATTTGGAATCCGTGATGTGATGTTCTTGAACTATATATTTGGTTGACATCGGGATTCTGCAGCGATTAAGTCAACAGATTCCCACATGAGATGTTACTCAAATACTCAAGAATAGACACCCATTGCGATCACGAGTCTGACACAACTAATAGTAATGGACATACAAAATAGATTTGGATCTCTTCTGAACAAGTCGCGTTTCTTGTGCTTTTCAAGGTACCGTGGATGATATGGTCAATTAAAACCCAAAAGACGGTCCTCAGAAGTAAAATATTAGATAAAAATAGTGTCTGTCCCATTTGAACAACTGTACACAGACTATTTTCCAAGCAATCCAAACGGAAGTCCCATTAGGTATTGTCTACAAGGGCGTAACTATATAGATACTCGGGTAAACACATTATCCGGGAGACCTCCCTCCGGGCCGCGAGAACAAATTGCGGACAGGAACTATCTCCAGATCAAGCACCAGAACACAATGATTCAATTAAAGGTGCGCGCGCGGTGGCTTCCGTTGACTCAGAAAATACTGACTTTCACTCTGCAAGACACTATTAAGTTGCATTGACAACTCCGGCGCCTCGATCGTCGAGTGCGTGAACGTCCTGAAGAAGAAGCGGCCCGCGACAATCGGTCAGTCTCCACGGCCCTCGAACCCAGCATATAGCACAGAAGCACAGGATTTGGGAACCCGAGCTGACTTCTGATTGTTTATCTAGGTGATCGGATAGTCGTTGTCGTCCAGAAGCAGCGATCTGCAGGCTCCGAAGCCACCACCGCCGCTGCGCTCGCTAGCAAGGTCCGCCGTGGTGACATTCGTCATGCCGTTGTTGTTCGCGTGAAGAAGGAGTTACAGCGCCCTGATGGGTCCATTGTCCGCTTCGGTGATAATGCTTGTGTATTGGTCAACAAATCTGGGGATCCCATTGGGACAAGAATGAACGGTAAGTGCTCTTCGTGGAGTTCACTATGATGGCTGCTTCTAGGTTTTAGATACTGACATATCTTTAGGTGTGGTGGGACAAGAGCTACGGAACAAGAAGTGGTCGAAGATCTTGTCACTGGCGCCGATCCATGTTTAATATTTTACGTTTCTACATTCGTTGGAAAGCGCTCGTTTTTGATTTGATTGGGTTTCAATCCATATGTATTCTTAGTATGTAGCATCATATTCACCCCCGTTCCGAAATCTCCACGCTTTTTCCTCTGTTCGTGCTCCGAAATAGTTCGCCAAACTCCGATGATATCGCAAAAAACCACAAAAACAAAAAATTCAAGGGTATCGGAAATTTGAGACCGCATTGCACGAACAAAGAAATATCACGTGTAGACTTGGCCGCACGCACAACAGACGTAGTAGAGTTTCTGAGTAAGTGAAAGTATGAGTTAGCGCCTTATTTTTATGAGTAGGGGACAGGGATCCATCGAAGGATGAGTTCTCACCATGCCGGTTTCGGCGGATCGTTGTTGTGATTGGAAGAAGACGGCTTCGGTTTCGCCGCAGCTTGGACAGAGCTTGTTGGCCCGTGGGAGCTGCAAATCATGGGGGTTAGCCTATGGGTGCTCAGGAAGTTACAGAGCGGGGGCGTCTCCCCGGGGCTCGACTTCAGAGGACTCCAGGCTGTCACCCGCAGGTGCCGCATCCTCGGGGATATCCTCATCGGTGGTGAAGTCGCAAGTAAAGCAAGTAATGATATCGCCGCAAAGAGTACAAAAAGCAGGAGCACAAACCGTTGGGTCAGAGGTCACGTCCTGAGTAACACCAGCAGTATCACCGACTTGGCTATGAAGGTGGTTTTGATAAACACAATGAGAGGAAGCAGGCTCGCCAACATGGCAGGTACGGCACGTGAACATCAACTGATTGTTGACTCGATCCTCCTTGGGATACAGCAGGTTGGAGCTAAGGAAAAGTTAGCAAGAGGTTCTCGAGCCATGAATGTGCCCATCGACAAAATTTAAGTCGAGCGTCTTGTGATCAACATACCATTCACGGCAAAACTTGAAGTGAATCTGATCCGATGGCTTGGTGTCGCCACCAGTCGTGGACGAAGGGCTGGCAGACATGTTGGAAAGATGGCTCGAGCTATTTCAGATGAACGTATTGTAGCAAGCCGAGTAAACCTTTGATAATATCGTCGCAACGGAGACGATGGATTGGAGAAAGCGTAATTCCCTACATACCTGCATCGCGGTTCGGAGGGCGAAGAACGAAATCACGTGCAAATCACGTGCGAGTATCGGAACTCGTTGAGTGGGGGATAACCTCGCTTTCAAAGGTGACAGACGGGGAAGCCTTGAAATTTGGTATGCCTGGCTTCGACTTCTATGCAATGTCAACAAGAGAAGACTTCCTAATAATAGGAGGTATTCTTTTTTGAAAGATGTTGACTTAATATGAATTTATCAATTAGATCTCTATGGGTCTATTGAAAGCCCTGGGGAATCCTGGTTGATATACTCCCAACGCATTAGGTTATTCCAACTTTCCAAATAAATCATGCAGGTACATAGGTCTGCATGAGGACCTGCATTCTAGCTCGCCTTCACTGTTTCTAGTAGATTTGTATTTGTACAATGCAAGTACAGAGTAAGAAGATGATATTAAATACTCTGCCCCGGGGTAATCGCTCAAACTGGAAGCGGAGAGCTAAAGCTGTAATGTTTGTGTAGTTTGCAACTGTTCACCTTCCCCCGCAGTTTCCGTTCACATACAACGATCAGACTGAATCATTTTTGATTTTGAGTCAGTTGGAAGTGATATTGATCTGTACATTATTATTTACTCAAAAATTCTCATCTTTTAGATTCAATCTTTGAAAAATGGTGGGATCAAATCATCCTCAAAGTTTGCATAGCTGACTCTTGGACCTAGGCCGACACAGGTCTTCCCACCGGTTGGGAAGTTCGTCATTCCAACTCTAAGAATCTCCCATACTATTTCAACCCTTCCACAAAAGAGTCTCGCTGGGAGCCACCTGCTGAAACCGATACGGAGAAACTCAAAGTCTACATGGCGCAAAACCACACCCCGGCGTCAGCTCGTCCTGATGCCTCTGGCGAAGGCGAGGGCAAGATCCGCTGCAGCCACTTGCTCGTCAAGCATCGCGATAGCCGTCGTCCCAGCAGCTGGAAGGAAGCTGACATCACTCGCACAAAGGAGGAGGCCATCGAGATTCTCAAGGGCCATGAACAGCGCATTCAATCTGGAGAGATCACTCTTGGCGACTTAGCAGTCGCTGAGTCCGACTGTAGCAGTGCTCGCAAGAAGGGCGATTTGTGAGTTTCTCACAATCACAGTCATCATACACGGCTTGCTAACTCTTGGAAGGGGCTTCTTTGGTCGCGGTGAGATGCAGAAGGAGTTTGAAGATGCCGCTTTTGGCCTACAGCCTGGTCAAGTCAGCGGCATCATTGAGACAGCATCTGGAGTCCACCTCATTGAACGGTAGGCTCATTTCCCGAAGTGGGGTTTTCTTTGGCCAATTTCTGACCTCTGTCTTCAGTGTCCAATGATCGCATGCTTCCACCCATGCTTTGGTCAATCTTGCTGCGAAAGATTATGATCGTATCAATGCTTTGCAGACCCTGGTCTCACGTCTTCGAATAATCTTCAAAAGAAATAAACTACAATGAATCAAATACTATCTTTGTTCTCATCTGACTTAGAATATCTTGCCTCGGGCGGTTACAATTGATAGCGAAAACTGCGACAGCCTTTCCCCAGAAAGGTGCCAATATATCATGTTAAGGTGAAGTCTCAAAATGCTCGAATTTTCCGAAAGAAGATTCGGGGGTCTTACTAGACTTGAAGTTTGCTTGGATTCCAGAAATAAAACTTGAGAATGTGCCTGATATCAAACCTATGTAACCAACTCGAAATATACTCGGCTCTAGACTCATCATTTAGGCTTAGTAGCTGAATCAACCAAAGGGTCATTATCGGAAAGGTAAATCGAGAACCAAAATAAGCCGCGGAATTACATATCGAGGCCAAAATAAGGATGTCAAAGGGCATTGAGCGCATACAAGCGACTGCTCCTTCAGACGAGACATCTTTCAGATCCTCTACTTTTATTCTCCCATCTTTCCTCTCTTTTGTTCCCACCCACGACTTCCCTTTACCACTTCTTTCCTCCACATTCTCTCCCAACATTCACCAAAAATGAGCAGCGTCACACATAAACTCCGCCAGCGGCGGTCCATGATGCGATTTCTTAATCAAGGCCGCTCCATTCTCGAGTACAACTTCGAACCAAACGCCTTTGTCATCCCCCCATGGATCTTAGTGCCCCCCCGAGGTCCGCAATGCCATGAAAACCCTTCAGTACAAAGCTATGGTAGCCATCTATGACATGAAGACCCTCATGATAACCCACGACAACCGATACTTCCAGTTATGCCCGCAAAACACGGCATCTATGGCCTACCAGCTCCATAAGTCCTCCATGAATCGTCTCCTCGAATGGAAAGAGGATTGGAACTTCGCCGACCCGACCCTTGCGGCCGCCGCAAAAATCCCCGGGACTCTCTCCAATTCTGCGTCGACTCAATCGCCTACGGAAAATTTACCTGTGAATACACGCACCAGATCGACGAGTTTATGTCCAGTTCCTTCCAGAGCTGGCGCCAGCTCCGCGCTGAGATCGGACACCTTGCTTATCGTCTCATGAGCGACAAGCCACATGACTATGAGGAATGGCGTGCCTGGTGGGAAGGAAAATTTGCTGATGATATGTGGAAGTGGGAGGTTTGCCTTGAGGGCCTGATCCTACCTACCTGGGAGGAGATCATCGACGATGTTTACCTGATGATCCACGATCGAGTCGAGGATGCCCAAGATCTGGCCAACTCCTTCTACATCAGCAGCCCGGTCTTGGCTTCGACGACTTGACTTGGCTTGAGCCACCTGGTATTTAATTGCCAGCAAGTATGATTCAATGGATATGACAACAATGTGACTTGGGATTTGGGTCTGGTTTTCGGCGCTGGTACATTGGAGCCTGATGGGAATGGAGGCACATGGAAAAACTGGAGTTTTGATTTTGATTTTGATATTTGTGAATCAAGCGTATTACAAACTATGGACTCTATTACAGATTGTGATAGTTGAGGACGAATGCAATTTGTTCCAAATGGATGACTATAGTGAGCTTGGTTCCACAACACACTTGTTTCCTAGCCTTCTATTACTGACGATAATTGTGAGAACCCACACAGACCATAAGACCCAATTAGATATCATCTAATTGCCCAATGAAAGAAAAGTAAAACATATATTCACCTCACTGATCACGTGTGTGTTCAAACCCTATATATCAACAGAGGGCGCCTTGAAGGAGGAGAACAAAGAGACCTTGAGGTACCTTGTCATTGTTTATCTTCTGTAAAAGGTATAAGAGAAAGAATACAAAGCCAATAAAGCAGATAAATAAAGGATGCCAAGCAAAGAAGCCCCAAGAATGGAAATGAAAAGAGATCAACCAAGCCTGAAAGAACACATGGTCTTTGTCTAACATGCTACTTTCTTTGGGACAAACTTGTCAACCAAAGCACTATCATTCGACTACGTCTTCAATGAGCCTTGCAAGCGAAACCATAAGATAGAGGATAGGGCCACTCGTTCATACTCTCCACTAAGCCCTGCGATCTGCCAAGGTACCAACCCAACGGAATCTGCGATTTCTCATCCTCCAAGATGTGCATCTACTGGACCTGCAAATACACAATGTGTGGCTGTATATGGGACAGGAATCCATCGAAATGCCGGGATAAACAGCTCTGCTGGGGCCCAAGAATGGTAGCGCTCGAATCCCACACAGCGACATGCGGAGACTGTTGGACAAGAGGGGATAAGCGGGTCTACGAACGACAAGAGTATCACGAATCTGACAAAGACAGAGAAGACTCCAAAAAGGCGATATCGGATTGCGAAAGCCAGTCAAATGGGAGTGACAATATTTCTGACGATGAAGACTATTTTTCAGCTGATGAGTTCCTGTCGTTATCTCCATACTCGCGACCTGCGACCCCACAACTTTACTATGAGCAAAATTCGACGATATGCCCTGTATCTGAGGATAACGATTTCGATTTGACCAGGACCTGTGACCCCGTGGATCTTGCGTCGATGGGGAGGGACTATCGAGCAAGGCGCCACAAGACGACATCATCCGAGTGCCCATTGGATGGTACATATTCTTTTGTTTCTTGTGAAGAGTACGGCGACGAAGAACCTCCAGATGAGGAAAATACCGGTGCTGAAGACAAAGAAGACGATCTTTACTATAGCATTGTAGGTCTGCCTAGTAGGCCTAAAGGCCCGATCAAAAGCTTGGAGGATCGATCATTGCGGTTATATGGCTCTGTGCAGGAGACCAAATAGCAGGGTAGGTGAGATATGAAGGCTGGAATAGAAGATGTTGTCAATGTATTAGTTGTTGTAGACTGCACCATTTCCCTTCAAGTCGGTTTGTTTTGGTGCATTTTATTCATTATCCAGGTCATTTCAGGACCAGCATCAGACCATTGCGTAGATATAAACAGCATGAAGAGGCGTGGCAGAACGGCCATTTGAGGCTATATGAATCGACTAGGAGAAGGAATAGAGATACGAATCTTAATGATATATTTTCATAATTAATAGCTTGATAACTTTTGCTTAGATCTAGCTGAGGACAGGACGTCGTAAGGCTAAAGGTTCAAAATTGAGGCAGTGGTTAGTCCCACGAGCCTCATGAATTGATGCATAATAACATACATGTGGGAAACTGGATCCTCTAACAATATGCAGAGCTAGATAGTTCACAGACTCGTGTTAAGTCGTTCCAAACGCGAGGTAATCGCGTCAATAACAGCGGACCTGGAAGAAGATTAGTCAATGATCTATTGGTAGGTAAAGAATAATCAACTCACTCTCGTTCGACCATCCTCATCGCATCTGCAATCTTGGCCCGTTGCAGTCGTTGGGGCACCTTAGGCTGGCCCCCAGGAGAGGATGAAGCTCCAAGTTCTGGAGAAGGCATTTTGCCGGCGACAGACTTGGTTTGGGCCATAAGGTCCTGCGCAAGGCGTTTGACCTAAATGACATGTGAGTAATTCTAGCGGGCCGAACGCGAGAAAGACAAAACTTACAGTCTCCAAACGTGAGATCAAGGGTTGATCCTCCTCTTGTTCTTCACCCTGCTGTAAGGATGCAGACAATGCCTTCACCTCGGTTATCCAAGCCCTCTCCCTCTCACTCAGAGGGCGACCTCCGGAATTCAGGACCTTTGTGCGTAGTGCCTCATATCGTCGGTTCAATTCACTTTGCCTATCCTGGGCAGCTTGCAATCTCTTATCCAGCGCTTCGCCATTTCGAACTCCCTCCTTGCGATGCCCATCTTCACCAATCTCACTTGTAACACCCTTGACACGTTCTGCAACATCCGCAAGCTGCTTCAATTGGTCCTGCATCTCGCCTTGCAGTCGTTCACAGCGGCGGAATAAATCCGAAGCGGCTCGCTCAAGAGCATTTGTATGTGCCGATAGCACGCGATGCGCATTGGCCACAAGGTCCAATGTCGCAGGAGATAGGCGCACTTGCTCTTTGAGTGTATGGCGTTGCCGATGCGGGACGTGCTTCTCGACAAAAGACTCCAGCGGAGAGTTGGCGTAGAAGATGGCGGGAACTTGATATGGGGCCCGGCTCGGGGGCAAAATAGGCAAGCCTGATGCTGGTGCCCTGGAATCATACAGCGATTTGTCCAGTGCCACGGACAGAGAATCTTCTGGAGTATCCATCACAGCTGCATAAGGGTTAGATGGATGGTAGGTGAGAAGCAAGTAGCCAAGGTCGAAGTCATAGAAAACAAGAGACGAGGCCAGATGTTCATTTTGCGCGGTAATATCGGCATCCGAAACCTGTAAAATTTTCTGTCGAGTGGTCACATTCCCGTCACAGAGAACCTGGAGACGGAAAGCGGAACCTGCAGTGTCTTCGGCTTGCAATTCGGCTTCCAGTCTCTGTACCCAGTCGGATAGAGAGATAGACACCACGTTCGTGGCAGTTGTCACAAAGAAGGAGTATCGAGAATGAACATCTTTGGTGAAAGTAGGCCATGTAATTGTTTCCTTTCCAGCCTTGATAGTATCCAGTGATTCGACCAAGACCAATTCAGTCGGCTCTGAAAGAGGAGTTCGGAAAGCGTTCTTCCTAGCTTTGGGTAGCCATTGTCCTTCAACGCCATTGAGCTCTAGGCAGATGTGGACTCGGCCATTCCCACTAGTAAGAGAGAGAACCGTTGCCGAAAGCTTCTCTTGGTCCGCAGCTTCCACGGCTAGCTCTTCTTCCTCGCCCATCATGAGATCCTCGACGTTTAGACTGGCAGCAACCACAAGAAGATCGCACAGATCCAAATCATCGAGCTCATCGCCATTGTCGAATCGGAAAGGCCCTTGTAATCTTGGGATGGCGCTGGGATTAGCCGGGCGAGTGAACACATCTGCCCCTTGAATTGTTTCTGAGGGCCCAGAAGGCACATCCAGAGGCTCTTGCTCATCAAGCTCGGAAAGCCAGTCGTACTGTTGCCGGCAAGCAATCAGTTCCTCCTCTGATTCCTCGGGTTCCTGCTCCAGCGCACCAAGTTTGGGAATAATCGCCGCAGACAGAGAAGGGATACTTGTAGAAGGGGCTTGCCACTTAGAGGGTAAAAGGGGGCAGAGCGCATAGAGATCGCCGGGTCTCATCGCCACCCACAGAGTCATGGGCGCCCATGCATCTTCTTTCTCGCTTCCATTGCCAGCGAAACAGGCCGATGCAACCTCCATGTCAATGACATCAGCAGAGAATCCCTTGTTTTTGCCAAATCCAGAAGGCGCAAAGTCCTGGTCGGATGAGGTTCCATCGACGAGCTTCTTCAGATCAATTGCTAGGGTCGGCTGGTCGAAGGACCAGTGGTTATTCCGGTCCAACTCCCAAACACGCACCGCAGCATCAGCTGTGATCGTAACGATACAGCCCCCTAGATTGGTGTGCAATCCCAGTGGATGCCACAGCGCGGAGACAACTGGGGCCTCAGGAATGACATGGGTCGTCGGTCCTAACTGATATGTCTTCAGGCGGATAGAGTCGCAGTCGGAGGACGAAAGGTGTGAAGAATCGGGGAGAACGGCGATATGAACAGTGTGTTCAGTGATGATGGCAAGGAAGGCGCCATTCGGGGAGGGGATGATCTGTTTGATCAGTCCGTACACAGGTACTGCTAGAACCTGCCGAAACATTAGTCGCAATTCAATTCAACCAACGTTTGGATCCCTTGGGTACACTAGGTTTTCGTACCCGGTAGGGAGGAGTCTGAGTGTGGTCAGTTTGTTCTCCAGCTTGACCAGCAGGTGCCCTTTTCTGTTTAATCTCTTGCTGCCATTGGTCTTTCAGCCGGGCAAGGTTTGACCACCGTATCTCATTGTCCACAACGGCGAACACCTCGTTTCCCCTCTTGGCGATCGTTCGCGTAGCTCCATTTTTCGCAGGCTTGGATCCAATTTTCAGGTCCTCCCCTGGAATTTGGGCTGAACTGCTGGACAGGAACTTTGCGCCAGGCGAGGGCCGGCACAGCCAGGCAGGCGCGTAACTGGTGACCTTCGGCATTAAAGATGATTCGTAAGTTGTTTTGTATAATCGAGGCCTTAAAGAGTTTCAGACCATCCTAGAGCGGTCGGTAATAGCAGACGAGTTGCGCGTGTAAAAAAAGTAAAAAGTAGACGGAAGCAAAGTTGTTGATGCGGAGTGGAATTCTTGGGTGCCAAGATCTTTCGAAGAGCTCCGAGCTGCTTTGCTTCCCCAACTACGTTCTGTCAACCACACACTCCAAGTTCAACATCCCTCTCAATTCACCATGAGCTTACTGGCTGTAAATACAGTCGATCGACTGGATCGACCTAGCGCATACTATGTCAGCAAGGTGAGTACTCGCCGTGGACTGCCCTTCACCAAGCCTTAAAACCAGTTCGGATGGGCTCTAAAGGCTGAACAACTGTATGCAGAACAAGCGACGCAGATTCAACGACCGGGAGGAAGAGGAACAGCAGCAGGAGAAACCCGATGACAAACTGAAAAACGCGACAACCCTCTACGTGGGAAATCTGTATGCAAGGATGTAATAATCTACAATTTCCATCACTGACCACTTCAAGCTCCTTTTATACCACCGAAGAACAAATCCACGAACTATTTGCCAAGTGAGAATGTGCCTTCGGTTTCCTCTGATTTATGATTAACGTCGAATTTCAGGTGCGGTGAGATCAAGCGACTTGTAATGGGTCTCGACCGATTCAACAAAACTCCCTGCGGCTTCTGCTTTGTCGAGTATTATACCCACCAGGATGCGCTGGATTGCTTGAAGTATATTGGAGGAACCAAGCTGGATGAGCGGATCATTCGGACAGATCTTGACCCTGGATTTGAGGAAGGACGACAGTTCGGGTATGTGGTCTTTGCCGACAATTGCTACGGGCCAGTAATGACTGACTTTCTTTACAGACGAGGCAAATCGGGTGGTCAAGTGCGTGATGAATACCGCGAAGAATACGATCCGGGCCGTGGTGGATATGGCCGCGCCTATGATGAACAGCGCCAGCGTGAGGAAGATGAATACGGCGCCGGAAGGTAGGTCAGGGCATAATGAAAAAGTACTGGCTTGGCAAAGCAATGGCGTTACTTAATGAGAGGGTGAATCCAATTAGCAGAAACAGGAAATGTCTATTCACCGAATACTCTATTTACAATTTTCTTTTTCCCCAGTCGCCTTCTAATGCTGATGACCTATTGCTTTAACTTGTCTCGTTTCGACACTGCTGATTGAACTTCACGCAACCACCAAGTGTGGATTCTTGCGTCGCCTGTCAGCTCCGGGTGGAAGCTAGTGCCGAATACATTGCCCTGTCGCACTGCAACAATGTCGCCAACTTCCTGGTCAGGATTGATGTCTCGACCCTCCGTGGCGTGCTGGGCTGCCGGTCCCACTAAGGTCGCTAGTACCTCGACGTGTTCTGCTGTTGCTGCTTGCGCCACCGAGTCCCGTGCTTGTCTAGATGGTGCCACTACAACATCGTCCTGTTGGACTTCTTCTGTTTGAATGCCCTCATGGTGGGGAAGAATTTTCTCCACGATAGGGGCTCGAATAAATACTGCTGGGAAGGGAGGCGCGTCCCGACCCAAGAATGGCAGATCCAATGGGCCTTGGAAGCTTTCCGTCTGTCGACCGAAGTGGTTTCGGTTCACTCGCACATCAAGACCACCAATTAGCTCTTGTCCGCCTTTCTTGGTCTTGTTGGCAGACTCGGCAAGCAAAATGAGGCCGGCGCATGTACCCCACGTTGGTTTGCGATCCACTCTGCATATACCCAATGTATTAGATCGGATTAATATGCACTGAGCGGAGTCACTTACTTTACAAATTCCCGCAGTGGCTCGAGAAGATTTGACCTTGCTGCGACCAAAGACATAGTGGTACTCTCGCCTCCAGGCAAAACCAAAGCATCACATGTTGCTAATTCTTGTGGCGTTCGTACTTCAATGAAGTGCCATTCCGATGATGGTGCTTGCTCGGCGGCTTTCTTCAACAGCTGTATATGCTCAAAGAATGCGCCCTGTAGGGCCAGAACTCCGACAGTGATTGGCATTTCTCTAAAGATAAGAATTGCGGAATGTCCGACTTCGGATTCTTCTTGATATTGATGACTCGTTTGGGAGCACGTGATTTTGACTTTCCGGCGGGGAACTTCGCAGGCCATGATCACGTGATACCTCTTATCTCCGTCTGTATTACCACGCGACTTCCATGAGAGAATGGTGGAAGAAGAGAGAAAAGTAACATCAATTTAGAGTGCCCAGTGTCTCTACCCACCGCTAGGCATGACAGAAGAGTGTTCCTATGCACCATCAAACGGGGATTGTCTTATCGACACGTGTTGATAGATAAGAGCCCCGATAGGCGGGGCAACATGGCCTCGATCTGTAGATGCGGAGCATCTAACCTTGGAAGGTTGGTGTATATATGCAATGGTAGACCTCGGAGTGTCTGGACTTGTGAGTAACTAACCACAAAACCTCCTGTAATGCATCCACTAAGCGGTTCCAGATCACAATGAATCTCAATGACATCAAACAGAACATCTCCAAGGACCAGCCCACATTGGTCCGATGGTATATCGATGTTAGACGCTGGGATGAAAAATCCTCTGATCTGCCTCTTCTCAATACATTAACTCAGTCTGATCAAGCAGCCGTCAAGAAGTACTATCAAACATCGGACAAGCGCCTGTCCTTGGCGTCCCAGCTCCTGAAATATTACTACGTTCATCAAGCCACTGGCACTCCCTGGAATAAGATTGAGATCCAGCGTACTCCCATTCCAGAAAATCGTCCATTCTACGACTCGAGCCTTGATTTTAATGTAAGCCACCAGGCTGGCCTCACTTTGTTCGCAGGCACGCGTGCCGCAACAGCCCATTCCGGTGAACCTCAAGGTCTGCCTCGCGTGGGTATTGACATTGCCTGTGTCGATGAGCCATCTCGTCGTCGCTCCAATCGTCCCCCAAAGACACTTGCTGACCTGGCAAATTTTGTGGATGTTTTCACTGATGTTCTCTCCCCCCGTGAGCTTGCGACCATCAAAAGCCCCTACGCGACTCTCCAATTGGCTCGTACGCTTGGTCTCAATAAAAGTGACCCCAGCAATGACAACGAGGAAGTTCTTGCTGCCTACGGCGTTCGGCTGTTCTACTCAATTTGGGCTCTCAAGGAGGCTTACTTGAAAATGACCGGAGACGGCCTTCTGGCCACCTGGATAAAGGATCTGGAATTCACAAACGTCGTTCCTCCCGAACCCGTCCAGAAGCTCGAATTCCCTAGTCGACCTCTCACTCCTGACACTCTCATCGTGCCCTCCGTCCAGAATTGGGGCCGACCTTACTCCGATATTAAAATATCCATAGGTGGCATTCCCAACCATTCTGTGCGCGTTCAGCTCGTCAGCTTCGAGTCCGACTACATTGTCGCCACAGCTGCCTCGGGCCCCAATATTGGAACTGTCACGCGGCAGGTAGTCGTAATTGACAGCGGTCACGACCTGCCCGGGTGCGTCGCAGTCCCGGACCCCGAGAATGGATATCAGGATGTCCGTATTGCTCCTCTTGCGCTTCGCATAGTCGGCGACCCGGACCCCTGGCGGATGCAATCAAAAATCAGCGACCCCTGGTTACCCATGCAGGAGGTTGATCTTGACATCGATATCCGGCCATGTGCCGAGGGACGCTGCGAGCACATCTGGAATCCACCTTGTTCCTAAGTCCCGTCTTTTTGGGGGGGGGATTTGACCAGTGTGCATCCCCCGAGTTATCTGCATGTTGCATCGCCTCATCCCATATTTCTTTTTGAGCGAGCCTTTTGGCGCGATTATTCCCCTTAAGCAGATTTTTGTGCATTGTTATGATTAGCGAAAATAAACTCTCTTCTTCGCTCCATCTCTGTGCTTTTGATTCCAAGCAAAAGCCATTTTGAGGTAGCTGGAAATCCTTTTGCGGAACGCTAAGTGAGTGCTGATCAGACGCTCATCTCTAGTAACCCCTTAAGTGATCATCAGGTCATTTTTGGTGCCGATTTTCGATTATTGAGACATCAGATCCAAGGCCCTTCCTCGAAGATAAAGTACAAGTTGCGCGAGAAAGGATGGTTAAAGAATCCAATCCTATTTCTATTATGTGGACCAGTGTAGATCAAGTATATGAAAGTGAAAAAAAGCAAGTATCCAACAGTAGCCGGGTCATGTCATGCGTTTGCGCTAATAATATATACATTTTGAATTGCAAAGGGGGAAGAGGCGGTTCAAAAGTGAAAAGTCTAGAGGCAATGCCAACGATCAGACTTTTGTTGATCTCCTGAGGAGTGAAGGATAGCGCCGGATATATTCGACGGATATATTCGACGTCTAAGGCCCGGGAATTATATTTCTTGGGTATCGGAGAAATGGGCAGGAATATACTGCAGCGAGTTTCAAGCGCACATTGCTTCTTGGTTAATTGTGGTGTTCGGGTTTGCTTTTCGCTGTCATGCAGATCAGTTTGAATGCCTGGCATTGCACTCGAATCAAAAGAGCAGCATGGGAAGTGCCGAGCGCGGAGCTTTGTGACGAATCACAGTTTTGTTTTGACACTTAGATTTCGACAGCGCTGGAGACGCCGTTGGTGCGAGCAACATCGACCTTCTCCTTTTGTGCATGGGACATTGCTGCAAGAGTTTTCAGCATCGAATCCCGCGTCGACTGGGTCAAGCTATCCACATCGTCCGATGTCAAATCCTGAGTCAGGATGGGAGGCAAGACTGTTTCATAATTGTTAGCCATACTCGACTGTCTTGACATCCTCTACTATGACCTACCTTTGATTTTGATCGTTCCAGCGTTGAATCGCCAGGCACGAGGCGACATAACGTGTGAATAGTTCTCCGTCACGATCGGCACGATCGGCACACCGGCCTTGACAGCGAGGTGGAAAGCACCCTTCTTGAAGGGTAGTAGGGTAGGCTCGTCAGAGTAACTCCGGGTTCCCTCAGCGAAAATAAACACGCTCTGACGGTGATCACGCATCTCGGCGGCGGCACCATCAAAGGCCTTGAGGGCTGTCTCCCGGTTGGCGCGGTCAATGAATACAGTCCGGGACAAAGACATGAACCAGCCCAGGAAAGGAACATTCCGCAGTGACTTCTTGGCAGTCACACTACAGTATGGCGGGAAGATGCAGCCAAGCATCAAGACGTCGAGCTCAGTCTGGTGGTTACCAATGAAGACGGCCGGACGGGTGGAGAGGTATTCTTCGCCTTCGACAACCTCGAACGTGACGCCGGTTGTAAGCCACATCACCCACTTGAAGCTGCGACCTGTTGCCCACTGTGAAACACGGCCGTATCCAACTAGCCGCAGACAGATCGAGACAACCACACCATACGCGGCAGAAACGAGGAGACAGCCATAGGAGGCGAGGCACCGGGCGAAAAATGCGGCGCGAGGCACTTTTTGACCGAGCGCAAAGAGGGAGGCTGTTAACACAACGAAAGCGCTAACACCCGAAGTAATATAAGAGCCGAAGGACATGGTGACGTTTGTTGGGCGAGTTAAGAAGAGCTGGGTAAATGCGGTCAGAGGACAGAAATTATACTCCCCGAGAGAAAACGTACTTGTTTCTTTGTTATGAGGGAAACACCCAGCCCACGACTTTAACACGACGGAGGAATCAAAGAAAAGAGGAATATCTGATCAAATCCAAGACTGAGCCATTCATGGCTTGTGGGGAAGGGCAAATCGGAGTAGAAACGTTGAATCGTTTTTCTGCCCTTGTGCCGACTTACCGCCTGGCAAGTGCATATGACGATGTCACCCGGGCACTTGCGAGGCCATGTGTATTGTAGAATCAAGTCTATTTATTCTAAGGATTCAGCCAATAATGAAAATCAGTTTCCTTGAAAAATGATAGAATTATGCATGCACCACCCTCATGATGCATGCCCAGGGGAAAAATCGTTCAACTAATGTACAGAACACCATCATATGCCAGATGTCTAAACCTGGAAAAGAAAACTCCACAGTGATGCTGTGCAAAGAGGCCCTCAAGCGCCGAGTTCATAAGAGAGGGCCCCGTGGGAACCCAACAAAAAGACCTGGGACATCACAGGCCTACGCTATGTCCTCATCCTCCATATCGTCGTCGTCCAACGACTCCATTGCATCCTTGATGTATTGTGCAGCCTGTGCGAGACCATAGTCAGAAAGAACTTAGAAAGGGAAGAACAATTACGAAAAAAAAAAAAAAAACAAGACGTACCTTTGGGTCCAAGTTCAAGGCCGCCGTGAAATGCTTGATAGCATTGGCCTTGTCGTGGAGCATTTTGTACAGCTTTCCAAGAAGGTAGTGCACGTTTGCTTCATCCGGCGCCATGTCCTTCAATACCTTCAATTCTCCCAATGCAAACTTGTATTCGCGCAGCTTCATCAGTACGCGCGCTTTGCGGAACTTAGCCAATACCGAGTTGGGGGCCAGCAAGGAAGCTCGGCCGTAGTGAACCAAGGCATCTTGAGGATTGTTCATTTTCTCTAATACCAGGCCAATGCAGCAAATGAGCACCGCATTCGTCGGGTTGATGCTGGCCGCATTGCGGAAATGCTGCTCAGCGAAGTCAAGCTTGCCCATTTTGTCATACACCGTCCCAAGTCCGTACCAAGCATTGTAATGTCGATTGTCTGCATTGATGCCGTGGCGATAGGCCTCCAACGCCTTGTCATATTCTTCGTTGGCGACATATTCATGTCCTTGTAGCGTGAAAGCATAGGCAAATTCAGGATCAATCATGGTCGCACGCTTGAAGCACTTGAGCGCTTGATCGTGATCCCGTTGATGAGAAAAAGAGTTGCCAATAGCACACCACGCCTGAGGGGACAGGCGATCGGCTTCAAGTAGTTGATGTGCCAAGTAAGCCAGTTCTACATCGCTTTTCAGGTGCCATAAGACAGTCGAGTAGATCTCCATATCCTCGGTGCGAGAGGGCGCTAATTTCTGAACCCTGGAGAAATACTTGGCAGCTTCTGTGTAGCTCGCTTGCTCGAAATAGGTCCGTCCAAGTTGAGACAAAACCCAAGGGGTTTCACGCTGCCCTTGGGAGAGAGAATTGAAAGAGCTAATGGCGTCCGCACACCTGTAGCGGCTCAATGCGAAATATCCAGATGCAAGTTTATTGAAAAGTCCCAAAAGCCAATCCAAGGCTTCGAGCTCTTTAGTTTTTTCGCCATTTTTGGGTAATGGAGGGACGGCAGGTTGAGATTGCGACAAGCCAGGCCGATTATCTTTACCATCGTTGTCGGGTGTCTCCATGGGTTTTCGATTGCCACTCACGACACGACCGACAGTAGGTACACCTACCCGTCCTTTCGGGGGCCCTCCTCTCAACTTCTTCATTTCGCGGCCATCTCTGCCAGTAAGCGTGCTGTTTGAAAGTTTGCTAGTTGTGGGTTTGATCTGGTTGAAAAGGCGGACGCTTCGGCGCTGGGGAGCGCCTGGTTCAGTCGGTTGCGATGACGGAAGGGGATGGGCGACTTGCCCAGAGACTGTGCGCTTGCGATCGCCGAATCTCGATACAAGAGAGGGGTCTCTTTCTACCGGAGCAGTCGGCTGAGTCTCTGATTCGGTTCTTGTTTTGTTTCGAGGTCTAATGCCCGTTGGACGCATTCGCGGTGGAGGTTGCCCGGTATGGTCAAGGCTCATAGTTTGGATTGTTCGTGTCTTTCGAGCAGGTGCCAGGGGTGCTTCCCATCCAGCTTCTGGGTCAGTGACGCCATTCGCAATACGGAAATCGTCAGAGCCACTGCTCTGTGCACCTGGGGTCTCCATTCCGTCGTGAAAGGTCGGCTGTGCCACAGCAGCAAAATTGACAGAGCTCCCGTTCAACTTTTCCCAAAGAGCGGAGCTCCCAAATGTGGCATCGGTCTCGCCACGGGAGGCAGAGACCATAAAAGGGTCGGATTCAGGGTTAGCAGGAGGTTGCATGGGGAAATTCCCTTCTTCGCAAGTCACGTTGTCTGGCGCTGTGGATATTTCCTCCGGCGATGAAGATATTATTGCAAGAAGTTCTGGACTGAGCTGAAAGATATTCGGAACTCGAATATTGACACCTGACATTGTGTTAGAAAAGTCCACCCTAAGAGTAAAAAACAGAGCATACCTGTTTCGCAAAGCCCCATGAAGGCATCCCACATGAAAGGGTTCAATTTTAGTGCTTCCACGTAGCAGTCAACTGCTTTAGTCAAATCTTTATGTGCGTGCCAAAGTTTCCCCTGCAGAGAATAAACAGCCGCAGCATCAGGCAGGTGCTGTCGCTTATTTTCACTATGCTTGTCTGTAATATTGTTAGCACTGGAGCTTGAAGTTGGAAATGTTTCCCGGCGCTTACTCCAATGGTTCTTGGAGACCCAGAGGGGTTTACTGCGCTCCAGAGCGGTAACACCATCCAAGTATTTCCCCAAGTCCAAGCAAGCCTGAGCAAAGACATAGGCACAACCGGCATGTAGACCACGCGAGCCCGAAGCCTGGCTGCATTCGAACGCAGCCTTCACTTCTCCGTTATGTAGATGGCAAAGGGCGAGCAAATATTGGGCTTCAAAGGATCTTGGTTCATAAGCGAGGAGGCGCGCAGCGAGAAAGAGCGCATTGCGGATTAGGTTATTGTCGAGTTGGTAATAGATGAGGTGCCTTAGCTGGCTGGCAACATGCCCGGTGGACAAGGCCATGGTGAGGGGTCTGCAGCACGTTATGCGACAGCTCAAGGTGAGGTGGGGATTGTATAGTGATTATTGAAAGTCGTGATAATAATGCGATTGGGAGTGTCGCTTCGGCGTTACTGTAACATCAATGTCTGGCGCCTTTGGGATATCCTCCAAGACGCGGGGAGGAAACAACGACGCGATCGAGTAGGTTGTTGCAGCGCGATCGAATGGTCCATCAACAGCCGCAAGACATGGACAGCAGCAAGTCCGATGTCTTTGTCAAATTTGCTTGAATGCAGGAGCTATCGACTGCTCTCGGTACGCAGGTGTGGAACAATGAGGAATGTAAACCCAAGCCGGAAATCATAAGCGGACGAAGGATAGAAAGAAGCGAATATGGATTCTTCTGGTTACGTCATTTGCAGACGTAGCATCAATATCTCAGAGTACCAGGGACATTTCCGAAGAAGCGGAGAACTGCAAGATGTGCTCAAGATGAGATGAACTTTTGGTCGTTCTTTCTGTTATTTTGGTCTGAAGCGGCCTTTGTCATTTCTGCCGTTTTTGTCAGGCGGTGAGTGTAGTGGAGGGCAACAATCACCCGGATGTGCTATAGCTGTCATATGCATGCCCCCCCTCTCCCTCTTCTGCCTCCGTTCAGCTTCGAAGTCCGATCACTTGCTTGTCATTTGTAAGGGCAAAGGTGTGGCCAATTTGTCTAGGGTGTTTTGAATTCGCAAAGTTTCATCGTTGGCATAAGATTGCAGATCACTTGGTGATCGCATTCAAATCATGGCTCAGGTATGTACTAAGGACACTTTGATGCGGATACTGAACTTGGCCCGAGATTCAATCATTGTATGAAAAGTTCTCTGACTGTATCACAGAAAGCTGCCAAATCCCTGGCGACCCGCAATGGTGCCGTGCTCAGCCGTACTCACCTCGTCTCTGCCGCATTGCACCTGCTCTTCCTCCTACTGCACTTTGTCTTTCAGCGGCCGCGCTCACTAAAGCCATACTTTTTCCTGGCTTTCCCAACCCTTGCCATTGAATACTACTTGGACCGGATGGGCCGGCCCCGCTATAATGAGGATGGTTCTTTGCGCTCCGCCGGTGAGGACCTCAATGCAACCGGCCTAACGGAGTATATGTGGGATGTTCTTTACTGGACCCAGGGATGCATTGTTGCTGCTTGCCTCTTCAACGACCGGGCTTGGTGGTTGTGGGCTGTGATCCCATTGTACTCTGTGTATGCTGCCTACACCACGATAATGGGTGTGAAGAAGGGATTTGCTGGGATGGGTGGTGGCGGCGCTGGTCAAGAAGGCGATGCCCCAAAGAGCAAGACGCAGTTGAAGAAAGAAAAGAGAGGCTCCACTATGAAGTATAGGTGATCTTGTTGGAGTGTGGAGGATATGTACAAGCTCAGCTGGTATAAAATGGGAGGTCCAAAGTCATTTCCATTTCTATTAGTTGCCATCTAAAGGACCCTTTTGTTCTATATCTCGATATATTTATCAACTGGAGCAGGTAGTTCTACCACCTTTGAGGCGAGTTTTGGTGCGATGCACACCGCGGGTGATAGCTACAAATATCATATCCAGCAGCGCAACTCACAAGATACATACAATACTCGAAAAATCCATTCATTATGTACCAAGCATATATATATCACTTCAAACAAGCCTCGTATTTCAACCAGGAAGTGACTAGGGTGGAACGCAAAATGAGAAGATAGAAGCCGAAAAAGGAAAGCAAAATAGTGGATGTTGCAGATCATGAGCATATGGCCGTCGTGGTAAACTATGTGGGGAGGATTGCGTCGTGTACCGCGCATGATGTTCCCAAGGCATGGTTTTCGCTTAGAACAAAATGATTGAGTCCGAGTCAAGAGGAAAAGGGAAGAAAAGATCATATACGCTAGATTAAAATTGATCAGAGTTCATCTTTGGCTGAAGCTGCAGCATTCTTAATGCTGCTTGTTGTATCTTCAACGTAGGATGCGGCAGTCTCGACTGCTTCGGACGCAACGCTGCCATATTTGGCGGCTAGACCAGCAAGCTGAGAATTGGCGCTTTCAAGGGCGCCAATAAGACGGGTACCTGCACTCTCCATTGCGTTGGGTTCCTCGCCGTAGACAGCTGTGCTGGCTTTGGATTGGATATTTTCAATGGCATCTTTGGCGCCATCGATGTAACCAGATTCCTTGCCGTGAACAGCGCTACTGATTTGAGCGGAAGCCGTCGAATAGACATCGGCTGCAGCTTCGGTGGCCTTTTCGTAGAAACCCTTGGGACTTTCGTAGATACCAGCGCTAGCGGCTTCGACAGCAGCATGGAGTTGGTCTTCCGCGCGTTGAATGATGTCCTCTACGCTGGGGGCTTCAGAAACGATAGAAGCAGCAGCGGAGGACGCAGATCCGTAAGCTTGGTTAATGTAGCTAGAGGCAGAGGAGACAGCTGCAGTTGGGTATGGCGTCTCATATGCGGCGTTGAGCTTGCTCAGCACACTCTCGGTAAATGAAGGCTCCTTACCCACAATTAGTTCAGCGACGAGCTGCTGGACTGCTTCAAATTGCGGACGTCCGTTGTTCACCACTTGTTGCAAATATGGCGTTGGTGCACCGTATATCTGCTCGCTGGCGTAAGAGATGATATTTTCCCAATTTTCAGAGACTTGACTCGAAAAGGACGCCACAGGGCCGGCGGAAGTTCCATAGATGGCCGAGCTGGCCGAAATGGAAGCCATCGAGAGAGAGGAAGAAGCCGCAGAGAGGGCAGCATTGTATCTGGACGAAGCATCATCAATAATGCTTTGTGCTTTGCCACCATCCGCAGGAGAGATGACTGAGCTTGCCGATGCGACGACAGCGGCAAGGCTGGCAGAAGCCAACGACGAAGCGTGCTCATATTGAGACCCGGCTTCCTCAACAATTCCCTTGAAAGGTCCGACTGGCGTGGGAGTTGGAGAACTATAGATCGCTCTAGATGCCGTAGAGACAAAAGCAGAGTAATGGTCATGGGCCAACCCAACTGCCTCGTAGTAGCGACGCTGCGCATCAAGGACGAATGGGTGGAGGCCTCCCTCAGGAGGAGTAGCTGTTGGCGCTGGTGACTGCACCTGGGCTAGTTGTTCGGACGCTAAGCTCAGTCCCTGGCTTAGCCGGGAAGAAGCGATGGATGAGATTTGGGCCAGAGGTCCATCGTTGGATGGCGTCGGAGTAGGACGAATCGCGCGGAGCTTCGACTCCAGCTCATCTGTGGCATACTTTAAAGACCCAGAATAGGCTGACTCTATGGAGGCTAGGAGCTGAGCATGTGCAGGAGCGCTAGATTCAGCCATTTGGCCGATAACTTGAGACTTCGCAATCTCATAGAGCACTTTAGCCTGGTCTGTTGAATCAGCAAATGCCGAGCTGACTCCGCCCATCAAAGATTGGACTATCGGTGTTGGGGTGCCGTAGATGACCGACGACGCACTAAGGCAGAAATTCGCATTAGCGAGAGTTCGACTTTGTATCCAATTTAAACATGTGGGATATGATATACAACTTACGCGGCTACAGCTTCGCTATATTTTTCAGAGGCAGCACTGGAAACCTGCTCTCCGGGACTCAGAGGAGTGCCATGGATAACGGTTGAGGCGGCTGACCAGGCAAGAGAATATTGTTCACTGGCCAATGATGCTGCCTTCTCGCCGATCCCGGGGGTCGTCGATGCACCGTAGATAGCTTCACTGACAGCATTGCTCACATCGCTATAAGTATCGCTGGCCTTGCTCGCCAAACTGTCCAGGACATCGTGGCTCTCGTCATCTAGGATAGGTGCTTGATGCAAATTTGCATCGGCAGCCGCAACACCAAAGGCGGATCTTGCAGGAAGTTCCTCTTCCACCACAATATCATCATTCATCACAGACTCGTCAGCGCTATCAAAATCTGCCTCAGAATCGACAGCTGGTGAAGGCACATCGGCGGAGTGTGTTTCCTCGTAAACGTCGTCCGAGGTTGGTGCTGTCACCTTTTCGGAAGACTCATGGTGGTTAGAATCCATTTTGGCGGCCTCTTCGTCAGACACCTTAGTCTCTTGGGGCTTGGGTCTCGCCGGCGGGGCTTCCTTGCGAGTTTCGAAATCATCGCTTACTTCACGAGCAGCGATCTTCCAGATCCCAACATCCTTCAACCGGACAAGTTCTCTGGCAGCTTCTTCGGCTTCATGCATGCCCTGGTCCATGATGTCACTTGCCACGGCTCTAGCGTCGGATACGGATTTGTGGTTCATGCCGACATTTCGGATGTCGTTGCGCCATTCTTCGAGTTGGGCTTTGAGGGCATGGTACTTTGCCCAATCCTTGTATGTGACACCGTCCATCCACGCCCAGCGCATGCCAATCTCTTGTAGGCCTAGATCGCGAATGCTGTCGAGAACATCCAGTGTCGAATTGACAGCAGCAGTCACTCGGCGAACAAGCTCGTCTTCGAACGAGATAGACCACTCACGGAGTGCATGGGCGCGATCTCTCACTAAGATAGCGGAAGTTCGAATATCCCTGACCAGCAAGTCGCTTGTAGACTTCTCGACCTCCGGGAAATCCTCCTCTGGCATTGAATCCGCAAGCTCATTTATACGTTGCTTGATTGAAGAAATCTGCTCAGCGGAAACCGACTGAAGCGCAGTAGCAAGGCTCTGACCGTGGCTGTTTGCGCTGCTTGCAACTAGGGCGGACACTATCTCCCCAATACGTTCCTCGAGATCTTCAATACCTTTATCGGCTGCGAGAGCAAACTTTCCTTGCCACCGCCCAAGGTCCGAATCTATCTTTTCACGAGCTTGCTGTGCTTGCTCGGTAGGAGTCAGTGTGGGTTGGGCAGGAGGCTGGGGCGTGGAAGAAGTCACGGTGGTCGTGGTGTGAATCTGTTCCTGCAACTTAGAGGTCGAGGAGGTGGCGGGCTGCACAATTGAGCTGCTAATGTCTGATTAGCAAGCCGTGGACTGGAGAAACCAAGGGACTATAAATACCTATCCACATCCTCTATGACAGCGCGAAGTCGCTTTCCCTCCCTGTAGCTTGCCAACCGCTGGCCGATCTTGACCAGTTGGGGCTCCACTTGCTCAGAGTAAAGACCGGTAACGTGAGGCCATAGTGAGCTGTTAGCATAGTAGACCGCGGATGACCAGGCATACTGTGCTCGGGGCACGACATGGGCTGTCAAGAAACCCCTGCCTGCGGAGTAGGCCTTCTCAATGAAAGGCCTCGAATGGGCGTAGAAAGGTACCAGATGGCCTTGATAGACAGTGAGCACAAAATTGTTGACCCTCTGATAGAATGGTGAGACCACAGCAATGTTTTGCTGGACGTAGGGATCGATCTCGGCCAGGTAAAGCTGGCGCACCTTGCTTTGGGCAGTCTGTAGTCTTGGTGTGACTTGATGCTGCCATTGCTCAACCCCATAGTCCTGGGCTTGTTTCAATGCTGGCGCTCCATATCTTTCATATCCTGATTTGGCAACTTTCGATGCCGGGGTATAAACTCGCTGATTAAACACTTCCACGTACGGCTGGGCTTGATGAACGTAAGGCGCTGCATATATATCATAATATGGCGTCACATAAGGTTCCAAATGCGAACGGGCAATCAGGTAAGGCTTGCAGACTCGAGGCGATGTCTCCGTGAGGTCCTCGAGGTTTGATGGGCATCGAAGTAATGGCGAAACGAGTGCGTACCAGATGCATAGTCTAAGAGGTGAAAATGTTAGAAGGGGGTTCTAACTATAACTAACCATGGCGACACCATCACTCACCTCACCACAAGTCCGACTGTCCATCGCACGACACCCTTCTTCCGTGGCTTTTCTAGATTTGTTTGGCTCTTTGTGTTGGCCATGACATCTGGCACTTGGCCATTCTCTTCCACCACCATAGCAACTGAAGTTGACCGGGTCGAGGTCACGCAATTCTCTCGTAAAATTGAATGTCGCCGTAATCTGCGGAGGGCTTCACTACCACGCACTTAGATCGAGTCGGCTCAGCACAATATTATGGCTGCATCGGAAAGAAGCTCAAAGCCTGGTGGAATATGTGACTTTTCGAGATTGGAGCTCGAGACTGAATAAATTCCAAGCAAATTGGATGCTGTAGGCGAAATGCTCGCGTTGGTCTTGGCGTTAGCAACTTTCACGGGCCGCGGTCAGATACTTTAAGTAGGCTGGGTCAATTTCAAAAGATTGCTGTTCCTAAGGAAGAAAGGGAATCAAACGCATCGGCTTTAGGTCTGATGAAAAAGAGGTCAACCTTATTACATTAAGGAGACAAGGAGATTCGATCGCAAATGACACAATAATCAAGGATTTGTTTTTAGAACTCAGTGAGGTCATCGGTGGCTACTCGTCATGCAGATACAACAATACCCCACTACCACTACTTTAACAAGTCGGTAATGTTGTATTTAATGTACTGCCAACACACACCGCTGAGTCAGCGAGTTGGATGGCCGGGGGCCGGACATCTTGGCTGAATTGCTTTGTTACAAGCACCAATGATCTACAGGTTACGCTTGTGAGGTATGCTACTCCTATCTTGAAGGAATGTAGATTTTCTCACTAAATCTTTCTATTCAGCTCACCTCGGATCGTCCAGCAACACGAGCTTTACCGCATGTTTACATCTTTTACCATTCCCGCTCGACTAGGAACATGGTGAACATCTGATCAACCACCGTCAACTCGGCGAAATTCACGAAATTATGGAGCTTCCAGACTACCGATCTCGCAGCAATGCGGAGAACACTGTGTTCCCGGATCTAATGAACGACCCGGCTTATGACGAAAGGGAAAAGGGATTTGATGACTTGGATACCTGTCGGATATGTCATGGCGAAGCAACGGAAGAGGAACCGCTGTTTTACCCGTGCAAGTGCAGCGGCAGTATTAAATTCGTTCACCAAGTATGTTTGGTTGAATGGTTGTCACACTCGCAGAAGAAACACTGCGAGCTCTGCAAAACGCCATTCCGGTTTACCAAACTATATGACCCAAATATGCCCCAAAGCCTTCCCGTACCTTTGTTTGCGAAGCAAGCCTTGATACAGTGCTTCCGAACTCTGGTGACATGGCTGAGGTTTGTTCTCGTTGCATTTGTCTGGTTGGGATGGCTACCGTGGTCGATGCGGGCAATCTGGAGGGCACTTTTTTGGCTTGCTGATGGCCGGTGGTCTGCCAATGAAAACATTCGAAACCAGGCCGCACAAACCGCCCAAGATGGTCTAGGGCAACTATTTTCAAATGGAAGCGCTGCTGCGGTAGCTCACTCGATTACTTCGACCATTTCTAATCCCGCTATCTCATCTGCTACTGCTGTACCATCTGTTCGGTCGCCCGTTCTCAATTTCACAGCTGGCGAGCCACTGATGTTCACCCTCATCAAGAAAATGATCCCTACTCTCTTCATATCCGCATTTACCTCAACTGTTGGACAAGAAAACGCGCATAACAATGTCACGGCCAGCTCGACCAAACCTCGGTATCCGTCGTGGCTTTCGGATGTGAAGTTCCTGAACTCGTTGACACCGTATCCAACAATCAATAACATGATCATGGACACATTGGAGGGACAACTCATCACCCTTCTTGTAGTCGTTGCATTTATTCTACTCTTTCTGATTCGAGAATGGGTTGTTCAACAGCAACCCATGGTAAACATCGCAGAAGGAGAGCGCGAGGCTGCTCTTCAATTGATTGCAAATGCCAACAATCGGGTGAATGATCGAATCAACGAAGATGGTCTTGCACAACCAGAAGCCATTCCGGCTCAACCAGAAAATGATCTCAACGCTGAACGGGCTGAAGCCCTTGAGTTGGACAATGACACCCTTCCTCATTTTGTCCCTCACTCTCCAGCTCCATCTTCGAATGATTCGGAATACGATCTTCCTGGGTTTCAAGCGGAGCTACGACACTACAATGGGAATGATCCGGAGTACGAAACAGGAGGCCATCCTCCTACGGCTCGCGCTCTGGCTTTCCGAGACCTAGTGGCCCGAACCCATGGTGACCATGAAGAAATGCTGCGAATCCTCCGTGAAGAGGCTCATGGTGACGATCTGGACTGGATTGTGAATGCAATCACCGGAAGCGCCATGAACCGAGACCCAGCAGCAGCAGGGCCTTCTACTCGTCCACACAACCCCGAAGATCCAGGATTTGCACACAATGTCGATGTTAATTTTGAACATGGAAATGTTGATGATCACATACCTGATACAGATGCCGGACCTTCTACGCAGAACGTGGATCATAGTCCATCGACTAGGGACGATGACATGCCTGTCCGCAATGTACAAGTGGATGATCGCCCTCCACGGAGCCTCACTGAAAGGGTGTTTGAATGGTTTTGGGGAGATATCACACCAGTAGAGCGCAATAGAGACGAACCAGTTCACCAAGATGAGGAACGCATTGTTCAGGATCCAGCCTTGGAAGAACCATTCGTGCCTTTGCCAAATCGGATGGAACAAGTTCAACCAAATGCTGCCGCTGATGCTGCTGCTGCTGCTGCCGCCGCCGCAAATGCCGGGCTGGACCCTAACGACATCGATGCAATCGAAGGAGATGATTTCGAAGGGATCATGGACCTCATTGGCATGCATGGTCCCATTTTCGGGCTTTTCCAGAACGGCGTCTTCTGTGCCCTTTTAATTGCGTTCACAGTAGCCATCGGTATCTGGCTCCCGTACCTATGGGGTAAAATTGCTCTTGTATTGTTGGCCAACCCTCTCGAACTCGTCATTGGTGTCCCTATTACTGCAGTTGAGGTCGTCGCAGATATTGCTCTTGATACTCTCATTGGTGTCGTGGGATATCTCATGTACTGGTTTAGCTTTGTCTTCAAGATTGTGCTGAGCCCATTCAGTGCTCTTTTACCGATTGGTGAATGGATTCCCCGGGACAACTCGGTCACCAGTGCATCGCTTTCCCTCATCGATGCAAGCAGTCACCGCTTGAACAAAGTGATCAAAGCATTTCTGGTCTTTCATGAGTCTGATATCCCCATGTTCTCAGTGCTCTCGCACCAGGCGCTCAAATTACACCAGGCCCGCCTCGGTGCTGTGTTTCACTCGGTCTTTACCACTTTGAAGTTCATCCTGCATGACTTCCCACTTCGTCTTGTTACTCTCGGTGTCCCCGGTGCCCTGTCTTTGGACCTTGATCTCTCCCATGTCAAGAATTTCATTGGTCTAGCACAACAACAACTCGCCGCATTCGCCAAATCATCACTTTTCTCAATGCCTGGGACACGGTTAATGAACGCAAGTGCAGCAAAAGCAGCCTCGGCCACAGTGCCTGTCGATTATGACCTGGCGGTCTGGGATTCCAAGGATCGTGTCATCGCTATTTTCATGGGCTATTTGCTGGCGTTCATGACGGGGCTTCTCTATCTACGGATCACAGGGCTGCTTTCTGGTGCCAATCGGGGACAAAGAATCGAGGGTCTGCTTGCTGAGGTGCTGATACAAGCTGGAGGAGTCATGAAGGTCATCCTCATAATCGGGATTGAGATGATTGTCTTTCCATTGTATTGTGGCAGTCTTCTTGATCTTGCTCTACTTCCTCTCTTCTCCGACGCTACTGTGGCCTCTCGTATCGCCTTTACTGCTGCATCCCCGCTCACTTCGCTTTTCGTGCATTGGTTTGTTGGCACTTGTTACATGTTCCACTTTGCCTTGTTTGTTTCAATGTGCAGAAAGATTCTGAGAAGTGGCGTGCTTTGTAAGTGCTCTTGTTCATTTGCCGGACTTTGATTGTTTTACTAATTATCTGACTCTTCAGACTTTATTCGTGACCCCGATGATCCAACCTTCCATCCAATACGTGATGTTCTCGAACGCAGCATCACTACCCAGCTCCGTAAGATCGGGTTTAGTGCCCTTGTCTACGGTGCGCTAGTAATCGTTTGTCTGGGCGGTGTCGTCTGGGGTTTGCACTTTGCCTTCGATGGTGTTCTCCCAATTCACTGGTCTGCCAGTGCCCCGATGCTTGAGTTCCCGGTTGATCTCCTATTCTACAACTTCGTGTTGCCTGTAGTCCTTCAATCATTCAAACCTTCAGAAGGACTGCACGATTTGTATGACTGGTGGTTCCACAAGTGTGCGCACTTCCTGCGTCTCAGCAACTTTTTCTTCCCTGAGAGACACCTTGAAGAGGAAGGTTACCACGTCCGGAAGACCTGGTGGGGTATTCTATCTAGAACTGAGGGGGATTGGGAACATCCAATAGTGGGAATCGATCAGCAGGCTGCAGCTGAACGGGAAAATCGTGACGTCTACTTCTTGCGCGACGGTCGATACGTGCGCGCCCCTGCCTCTGATCAAGTACGCATTCCCAAAGGCAACCACGTTTTCCTCGAAGTCACCGAGGACAATGAACGCGTTGATGGGAAGCCTGATCCTGCAGATGGGCTACATGGCCGATCCAGCAACATGTTCACCAAAGTCTACATCCCTCCCTCCTTCCGGACTCGGATCGCCGCCTTTATTCTTCTAATCTGGCTGTTTGCCGCCACCACCGGGGTAGGCATCACCATTATTCCCTTAGTCATTGGTCGGAAGATCATCGGCTCCTACTCCTCTACTTCTGCTCCGGTGAACGACGTCTACGCCTTTTCAAGTGGTCTCTGTGTGGTCGGTGCGCTGGCCTACCTGGCGTACTACTCCAGCACCGCACTTGAATTCGTGCGAGAGCATTCAGGCACATACCTTCGCTCTCCTCGCCAAGCAGCGCAAACTAGTCTAGGGCTCGCACTGGATGCTGTTCGGCTTCTCTACGTTGTTCAAGTTGCTATTATCATTCTACCGTCACTCTTCGCACTACTCACTGAACTATACATTCTAATTCCAGCGCACACCCTCTTCGGCGATGGAGAGTCGCATGTTCTTCATGTCGTTCAGGACTGGGCGCTCGGGGTGTTGTATGTCCAATTGGCCATCAAGTTGACTTCTTGGCATCCCCATTCCTGGGTGGCCGCTGTGGTCAAGAGTGTCTTCCAAGATGGTTGGCTGAAACCAAATGCGGGCCTTGCCACTCGTGCCCTCGTTATTCCAATTATTCTCTTCACTGCAGCTGCAGTGACCTTGCCCCTGTCGTTTGGGTTCGCTGTGCGCTGGACAATTTTCTACTCCCACGTAGGAGTGTACCCTAATGTTTACCGTTATGCTTATCCCATCACACTGTTAGCCTTACTGGCTGTATGGATAGCGCATCTACTGCTGAGACGAGTGGCGGTCTGGCGCACCAACATCCGCGACGAAGTCTATCTCATTGGAGAGAGACTGCATAATTTCAGTGAGAAACGAGCACGGGATGTCGGTGTGTCGCGTGTGATGACGGGGTGACGAATCGGATGATAGCTTTGGCCTGGTTGGCATGAAATCTCCGATGGCTCTCTTACCTTTTAACTCTGTTGTATGTACAAATTAAATCGAATGAATAGAATTGAAGTACTACCTTCCTGTCGTCGAATGCCTAAGGCAATAAATTTATATCTGTAATTGGTATTGGTAATACCGTAATCTAAACATTCATTACCTGCTGCCTGCCCCGTCACCCCACTATTGGTGTCTCTTGTCATCGTTCATTGGTTAGGCAACAGGATTCCCTCAATGCGCCGTTCTGTGGTTATCGGCCTTCATCGCCTCAAGGCACCCATTGAAACTGCTCTGCTCTCTATCGATTCCTTCTCTCCTGTCCCTGATGGATTCTTTCCATTGCAGCGACTCTCACTATGTGCTCTTGAACCTCCCCACTGCAGTGCCTTGTCTCTAATGCTCGATACTATATCTGTTCTTATCGATCCCCTCCACAATCGCCAAGATGTCAGTCCTCCGGCATGGAGGAGGAGGCGGCTTCCTCCAGCGACGCCTCACGAAATTATATACCGATACGAAAACCTCTTGCGAGAGTGTCACGACAGCCTCCAAGGCCCTCGACGACCCTGAGCTCGTCGCTCTCCACGGGAGTTTCCAAAAACAGAGGGATCGGTTGCTGGCATGGGGTCTAGATTGGAGCGACGCAAGCGCTGCGCAGCCCAACGACATCGATGAATCGTTGACTGCTGCAGGCTTTAGCGACGTCGTGGAGAGTGTCATGTCGTCGATCCAAGAACTACTCAACGATGCCGAGCAAGTTCAGCATTTGGATGCGCCCATGCTTCCTTCCAAGGAACGGAAAGTCGATATACCATCGAAGGACACACTTGCTAGCAGACCTATTAAGACGCAATGGACAGAGGAAGATATAGCTCGCTCGAACACAATTTTGAATGAACTCACCGGCTGTATTGATACCCTTTATGATCTCTCGCGCTCCCGCCGGACAATGGCTTCCAGCATGTCATCTAGCAGGAACAGCGCGCGCCGCCCACGACCTAACCCCACCTCGCCTTACGATTCATCCCACGGCTCATTCTCCGAATCCAAGGAGAAAGTCCAAAGCCCGAAGCAAATGTTTGATCCATTCACTTACTCGCCCACGACCGCGCACCGTGACTCCCTTAATCCTTTCCTGTCGTTGAACCATCTCCTCATTGATCGCTCAGCTCTACAACTATATGGAGCTGCCCACGACAATAGCCCTCCCCCATATGAACCTGTTGCGGCATCTTCCAACTCGCGTGCAATTGGACGCCTGAAGTCATCAGCATCGCATCTTCTTGCTTCTACAAAGGAGTCCCATGTCTCCGTGCTTGTCGAGTTCATGCCCATATTAGCGGAGTCAAAGATGGACAATAAGAGTGCTCGACTGGAAAAGCTCCAGCAGTCTCTTGATCAGCTGCTACAGAACGCCAGAATCTCGCACTTAGGATTGATGCGATTTTTGGGCTATTGCATTGATAACTCGAATTCTCGCTATGCATTCCTTTATCAGATGCCGGTCGACTACTTCCCATTCCTACAAAATCCAAGTGATTTGTTAAAGGAATTGAAGCCTAAGCCATTGGTTGCTCTTCTTCCCTCGGCAGAGGAGTACCGGGAGAATCGAGTTCCCAACCTTGACACTCGCTTTCGATTGGCTTACGATCTCTTAATGTCCGCCCTCCACTTAAGAAGTCAAAATGCTGTTCATGGAAACATCAATAGCAGCAACGTTATCTTCTTCCCTGGTCGAAGTGATGCAAATGATGATGAAAGTGGTCTTGGACCTGATCTTCGCCGTCCTTATCTCACTTCCCCAGCACGGTTCTCTGAGGATGGACCAACCCCTGAACCGTTGTCTTCGGCAATGTATCGCCACCCAGATGACAAAAGATGTGTTGACGATGATGGCGCATGGGCCTATGACCTTTACTCACTGGGCCTGATTCTATTAGAGATAGGCCTGTGGGCACCAGTCGGACGGCTTTGGAAGATGAAGTATGACCGCTCATGGTTCAAGCATCGAGTGGAAGATCTCTATGTCAAGAAACTTGGCCCGAAATGTGGTGGTGCTTATCTTCAAGCCGTTCAGTTGTGCCTTGATGCCCCCAACTTCCATTTATCAACACAACCGATGACTGACCTTGGTCTTCGTGTTCCACAAATTTACCACTACCCAGTGCTTGACTTGTCAGACCCTGATGGCACTTTTTCTTTTTCAATGAACTTCATGTACACAATCTGCAAGATTCTGTGGTCATGTTGCCGCATTGATATTTTCTCGGCACCCTCAGCAGAAGAATTGGATGACTGCCTTCCACTTGCTCTTGTTCCCACCCCGGAGCCAGTTACCATCCAGGAAAAGGTCAAGGCATACAAATCATCGAAGCTCGAGAAGTCTAATTATGACAAGAAACTTCCCACCATCCCTGTTGATCCATGGGGTGTTGTGAATGAAGACAGGCACTTTGAAAAGCCACAGAAGAAACGTACTGTCAAGAGACTTCCGAACTTGGAAATACCGGACGAGCACCTGCAGGAGTGGAATTTTCAAATAATGCCTCGAGTGAGTCGTCTTCTTCAGAAGATCTTGAAGGAGTCTTCTGAGTCGTGTGGAGTAAACCTCATCATGACTGGTGAATCGTCTGAGAGTGCCAAGACTACGATCTGTGTTACTTGCGCCAGTGTAAAGAAAGTTCGAATGGCTCTCAAGAAGCATTTTGCTCTTGGTCGGGATGACTGGGATCTAATTGTCCTCCGTGGCGATATCGAACGGTCCAAGGTTCCTCGGAACAGGCGCCGGAGGCCGGCTAAGGCTCGGCCCAATGTCTCCAATGATACACCCTTTCGCCAGCGAGAGCTCAATCCATGTCACCAACAGCGACCTCTGTGCGGAGCATCTATCGGTGCCTTTCAGAATGAAGAGCACCTACCGCCCGTCTCATATGGCGGTGCCGTCTTTGTCGATGGCTTGCCGTATGGTCTGACTGTCCATCATATGTTGGAAGCTCCAAGCGAAGATGAAGGCCAAGGCAGTAGTCCCGGAGACTCCAATCAAGATGACCCTTCTAGGTCGTCTGCGGGGAACTGGGCCCGCGATACATCAAATATACCACATCCTGGATTTATGTACGACTATCAAACAGATGACTCGCCTGACATTAACTTTGATTTCGAAATTTCCGACCTGGAGGATGGAGACGATCCATCACAAGGCCTTGAGTCTGGATATGATGAATTCTGGCTTTCGGACGATGAATCATCAGATGATGATTCCGTCGGCCCAGACGACGATGATGGCGATACCGCGTCCATCGGCGATACTGCCGGTATCGAACCAGGTGAAGAGCCTCGGTTGCTTGTCACCCAACCAGCCATTGACGACGTACACGAAGACTTTTTTCCATCTCCAGAAGATCGCGATGACGAGCACCTAGCCTCACACTCACTCGGTTACGTCCACGCATCATCTGGAGTACGACGCTGGACTCGAAAGGGTCTGAAACATGAGATTGACTGGGCACTCATCAAAGTCGATGAAGCTCGCATGGACCCTCGGAATATCATTCTCGACACCACCAGATCCAGTATCGCTCGTCCAGGGCGCCCTATCCCGCCACAGCCCATATTTTTGAACCAGGTAGCCCGGATGGAGGAGCTAGGTGGCTTGCAAGTTCATTGCTGCGGTCGCACAAGTGGACTGCAAACAGGACAAATATCCAAGGCTATGACATTGGTCAAACTTCATGGACGTCATTCATTCTCAACCAGCTTTTGCGTCAATGGGAACTTTGGAGGTAAGAGGTGCACTTCAGCGAACCCATGTTTATGTCTATACGATCCTTAATTAGATACCCTTTTTTGTCTTTTTTCCTCATGTACGCCCGTCATTTGTTGTCCTTCTTAGCTGGTAAACATACAGCACCATTGGATCTTAAGACATCAGCTCGTATCGAGTAAACATTTCATGAAGCTAATCTCTCCTTATCCGACAGCCCCTGGTGACTCTGGCGCATGGGTCTTCGACCGTCCCACGGGCCGTGTGTGCGGCCATGTCCTGGCCTGGTCCGCAAAAAGCAACACCACCTACATTTCCCCTATGGAAGTTACCTTCGATGACATCGCACGCACCCTCGGCGCCTCCATCGTCTCCCTTCCCGGCGATCCGAACCGAACTATGGGTTACGTCGACCCTACATCCCCACAGGCTGTTCAATACCGCTATCAGGCACAGCGACTTCCAGAGGACTTCGGCCGTTTGGCTTTTGGTGCTGGAGGTTCCCCCGGGCCGCCTGTACCACCTCATCCCCATCATTATCCTCACCCTCAAGCCCACCATCCACGTTACGGACGTCCTCTACCTCCGCCTCCAGCCCCTACTGGTTCCCGAGAAGCCCATGGGCCTGTGTATACCGGCCCCGTCCCTCCGATCCCGCCTTCGCTTCTGGCTGGGCCCCGTAACATCGAACGACAACTTGCTTGATTTGTGATTTGTGGAAGATTTAGGATATAGGCATAATATTTTGAGATTCACGTTACATTGTTCTGGGTGTATTGGTTTTGTTTTATGATGTTTATGGACGTTGAGGATACCCATGATGGAACGATTTTTTGATTCTCTTTTCGTTGAGATGCTATAAAAATATAAAAATATATCTTGTTGCTCATTCAAAAAGGAGTAAGGAGGCTCTCCACAATTCGAGGTAGGAAGTAGAACTAGACTCATGTTGAGACTGGCATTAATCCGGTCCATCAGCATCGATGTAATAACCCTGTCTTAGTGGTTTGGGTTACCTTATCACCAACCATTACCATCTGCAATCGCAATGTCTGATGTCTATGTAGCAAACTGGTGAGCACGTGAGCTTTCGAAACCTAATTATACATGCGTGCCCCAGAGGACCTTGGAAGGTGTGCCCAGTACTTCTAATATTCTGGTCATACTTAAAAACCGCCGCAATTAGTATCAAAAGTGTCTCTACAAATGATTAGAATCAATAAGACAGACAGAAGTTGATTCTTGAAATTAACTTCCTACGCTCCATCAGCTGACGAGAATCCACTGACAGGTTGGTGTTGAGGAAAAATCCAGTCACCAGCAAAGACATTTGTCACTCCTTCAATGTTCCCCAGAGAATTGCCCTTTGCTCAAACAAAAAATTGGTTGGACAAAAGTTGGTTGGACAAAAGCCGATGTGCGTCGTGGTTTGTAGGCTGTCTGATCTGGGACACTTGTGGACAATCACAGTCTGTCGACAAGGACAGGCCGAATCTCAAAGTTGGCGATGCAATTTTCGTGGGGGAACTGATGTATTCAGTTATTATCATACTGGTCGCCATGATCTGGAGGTAGTAGAACGGGTGGAGAATCGGGCAGCCATCCTGCTCAAGAAAAGACCCGTCGTATCCCAAACGAGTGCTTTTGCCTGTCGGTTATCATTTATTTCACACCGTAGCTGTCCTTTTGTGGTGCCTCCATGGATGACATTGAAGTCTTGCTGCTTATCGGCGATAATGCACATGACTATATCGCCGGGAAAACAGTGGAATGCGTCGAGAAAGAGAGAGATAGACGGTTCATCAACAAACATGTTCAGACACAGCGAACCGATCCATTTTAATGGGAACAAAAAGCTTTTGTCGAAGATCGGCTAGCGGATGCATACCCGAGCACTCTTCAGCAAAGTCTTCGAGCACGTCCCGATTAAACCACATCACGTCGCGCACTGGGTCAAAAGGGCGCAAAAAGATAGAGCACTGTCTGCCCTCGTGGAAACGGACCTCAATGCCCTGCTCTAGAGCCCATTTGATGGCAACGCTGCGAGCTTCATGATTCACGGTGGTGAGAGGCACCTTGACACAGATATGATCAAGCAGCTCGGGATGATACTCGAACTCCATACAGAGTTGATGAAAAGGGCTTGTGTGATCTTCTTCTGGCACATGAACAGGCCGCCAACAACCAGCTCGGTAGGGTGTCACGCCATATCTGGAGGCGTATCTCGGGAGGAAGGCGGGAAAATGGATGGAAAATCGAGTAGCCGGCCGTCGACGCGAACAAATCCGAGGTGCCCATGACTCGAAGATGTCAGAGTTGAAGCATAACTGGCAATCTAGAGCTTCCTGGGGAGGAATTGAGTAGCGAAATAGACAGGTATCTTGGTTACACCTGATTTTGACGCTGGCGCCTGAGGTAAATTTCGTTCAATACCTCTTTGGATAATGACTCGACACTCGCCTTTATTTTCGATGAGATGGCACGTTTCCTATCTGATGAAGACTTGAGACTAAGGACATAGAAAGAGAAAAGTAAGAGACATGATCAAATAGAGGCGATGGATGTAAAAAGGGTAGTTGAAGGCGGTAAATGTAGCATAGCAATATTGACCATCAGCGTCAAACTAGATTCGTCTGGATTCGTGCCCTTGTAGGAGGCCGTGGTATATTAAATCCACCATTATATTGATCTCGAGACTTCTAGTTTGACAAATGTCATTACAAATGCGGAGCATGGAGTCAATCACCTGCAGAGAGGTAGATCATTCAATTTTACGCAGCCTTTTCAACATTCGGGGTAAATAAAAGTGGTGAACAAAGCATATAGAGACAAGACCGCAGGAAGGGAATGCGATACAATATATGTACCTACTTCTATGATATATGAAGAACAAAGAGAAGGAGCAATGGAATATTTGCAGAGTGCCATGAGATGAAAGGTAACCTACAATATGCATCACGCCCGTGAGCCAACTGACTAACATTGCTATCCAATTTCTACGGACTATGTAATTTGCTGCTCATCTATTGATAATTTTAATTGACTTACTCGGATCCGTGTTACTCATCTATATTGGTGCATTGGCCGTTCATACCCGCTCCAGCCTAAATAGGAAATGCCCATGAACTGGGAGGCTCATGACTTGAATTACTGCCGCCATCATCCTCGACTTGCCTTGTAGGCAAACAACCAGTAGACTAGCCTCTATCCACCCAAACGCGTCTTCGTCTACAGCGCGTCTTTCCCATAACCTCTCTTTTCTTTCTTTCTCTTCATTCATATCGACGGATCTTGTATCTCAAAACTCACCTTTCAATCACATATCTCTTACCTGGTGAGTATTCTCCTGGCTATATTCTCATGGAGATTGCAAGGGCATATCTTTAATTCTTCTCCCGGAAGTTTTCACTCCTCTGACTTCATACTTCGCTCGTAGATTGACAGTTTCTGCGTCCCTCTCAATGCATCATTTACACAGTTTCCACGGAGAGCCTGAGCCGGGCGCTCGGCTCTCCAAAGATTGGCCATGCACTGTCAATGAAGCCGCAGATCTTCTCAAAATGTGGTATGACAGCGATGAGCCTTTCTTCACAAAGAAGAATCTGGAAACCGTCTCGAACCAGCTCAATCGCCGGTACAACACTCGCAGTCGGAACGACTCTCAGAAGCAATTGATCTCTGTCAGAGGTCTCGGTGGATCAAAGATCTACTACAAAGTCCTGACCGGTCAGGTCCTCACCGGCGAGGCAGATAACCAGGATTGGGAGATGTGAGTAGCTAATGTCTCTTCTCAGGGCTTGTCTGGCACGTGACCCATGGCTAACAAATATTAAAACAGCCAACAACCGAAAATCCGTTACCTCTGCTATAAACAACTCGCATCTTCGGTTGAGGCAGGACGTATTGGGCTGGTGGAGGCCTTTTTCCCCTTGCAGATTGAACATTTTATGCTCAAACGCGCGAGCGACACCAAGCTTCCGGTTCTCGATGATTATATTGAGAACCCTGTGGCTGTAGATGAGTTTCTGCAAGACACTCTGAAGTCCTGGAAGCAGTCCTCCGAATGGGAAAATCTAGAAGCTCTTCTGAAACTGGTCATCACCCACAAAATTAGCAAGGTTGTTGGAATCGCATCTGGGTCGATGGAGTATGGGCCCGACACCGAAGATTGCACTATGCGCAGCGCCATGCAGCACTCACTCATGATTTCAATTAAACAGTCAATTGAGGAGAGTATTGACCAGCAGATCCAATGCTATGCCCAAGATCCCCGCTACACCGCTGTCGATAACTGGACCCTTGCTCAACATGGCTGCGAGGTTCTGGAAGACCCACAGGCTTTGCTTGAAATTGATGACGACTGTGTTCTCTTTTCCTGCTGTCCAGATATCCCGTTGAAGGAAATTACCGTTGATTTTGCTCGTCCTGCTATGCTTATTTGGGATGTAGTTGATACTGACGGGAGGCGCGGGTGGTTAGTCTACTCCCGAATCTAATGCTGCTGTCAATTCATCTTGCTAACTGATCAGGTCTCCTAGTCATAACCCGGACTCCTCCCGCGTACTAAAAATGATCACGGACGAGTACGACTGCCATGAGTTTTGGGACACAAATGAGTTTGAGGAAGCTCCCTTCATGTCCGAGCTTGTTGTTTACATCCGCCGCAAGGTGGAGTAAAATCATTGCGAGCAAGATGATATGTGAGGTTAGGATGTATCAAGGGCGATGTGCCAAAATAGTCTCTCTGAACCTGAGGCTGGTGGCTGGGCAGGGAATGATTTGGTTTCTATGAATTGCCAAGAGCATTTGAGAGGCCCAGATGAGTTTTTTTGTTTGAGTAGAAACCCAGTTATTTTTGAAGAAGCGTCCATGATTCCTGCGTCTGCACAAGACTGGGGTCATGCAACTGCCCTTCATCGTGTAGCCATGTTTGTGTCGCTGTAGTTATACCAATCAATCTTCTTCCAATGTCGTGATATCATTGAATGGTCCCTTTTGAGCCATCTGTCTTCTTTGTATAAAGGAAGAGAGACATATAGCCGCTTAAGTTACCGCGGTCACAAACTATGAGAGCGGAGCCTGTGCATAGTATGCACCTTCTGGTTCCTATAATGCCAGATATAATCTAACTTCTGACTTCCAATGAGTTCTATCATTCATAATTTCCATACTCCCTACTGAAAAGTGAATTAGAACAGGTGTGGTCCCAACGACAACCCTGGAGTATATGATTCCTAGTGGGTTTAAATCCTCGAAGAATCGACTAACCTGTAACCATGATTTGAGCCTCTTTGTCCTGCAGTAATGAAAGTAGTATCTACTATTTTGATACTGATATGCACCTTTACATTCGTAGCATTGACGTTGGAATACACAAGAGCCTTCCAAGGTTGTTAATGGACCCCCTTGGCATGGGCCCAACCTGAAAAGGACCCAGGATATTCCGAGGATCATACATAATACATAAAAGTCTTGAATCTGTTCACCATACTAGCAATGAACAAGAATTGTTTAGATGAAAACAGGCCATTGGTTCTACATTGTGTTCATAGCACCCGTATTTGGCGACCATCACTAAGAATTTTAAATATGGTCGACTATGCTGTACCATTTGTTTCCCTATGTTTTGCACTGCCCATTGACCCCTAATCAAGATAGCCAAAATAGTACATATTTCCCAAGAGGATTGGTTTCGTTTGCTGTGTTCAATCTGAATCGAAGTGTTGGTTTGTCTATCGCCTGTGTCCTGGGATCACATTGTAGCAAGTTTTCGATCAATTCTATAGTCCCAGGTCTGAAGACGCTACAATCAATGCTCCCTGATAGGACCAGCCGTCAGTGATATGATGGACTGTGGCAAATTAGATGTGTGATCGAGGTGAAAATGCACTTCTGAGACACAAAACCTCCACCCCAGTGGGGCCTCTTAGGTCAGGGCAAGCCAGCGGCAAATCGAGGGCCCGGCCCGTGGGCGTGGGCGTATTTGGCTGCTCGTATTTTTTTTTTCTATTCCTCCTCATTCTCATCTTCGTCGATACTCTCCCATTCATCTTCACCATCGCTCTGCTCAAAATCCGCCTCGTCGCCAAGCATGCTAAGCAGCTGCAGCAATCCAGCCTGTGTGCGCCAGGCGTCTTCGGATGGCAGATTTGGGTGGGAGCCACCAAGACCACCGCTATCCGCAGTTAATGGCTCATCCGTATCACCGGAGGCAGAGGAAGATTTGTTAGAGAGGTTAGGGGCCAGGCTGAGTATGCGGATGACTTTTGTAGGGAAAACGCGAGGAAGATCTCTGCCTTGCGGTGGAGGTACGCCACCTGGGATGTTGGAATCACGCCAGCCGAGGGTCTGCCAAATTTGTTGTTAGTTATTCTCCGTTTATGTTTTTTTTATCTGTGATAGGTCAAATCAAGAGCTCACAGTGTAAGTAGTCATAATAGCATCATCAGCCAACGCCATGTAACTGATCGGCACAGCGAGCTGTGGGGCGGAGCTGGTGAGCAACGAGTACGAAGCACGAGCAGGGTTTTTCACGTCTTGAACCCTGTTGTTGTCATCAAGAGCAACAACATAGATCCGGTCTTGAATTTCGAACATTACACGGTGGTTGCGGATTGATAGCCAACCACCAAGGTCGAAGCTTGATCCGTCTGATTCGCATTCCAAGATGGAGCTGTTCGCCACAAGACTAGCTTCGTCGCGGAGAGCCTTACGGAAGTCCGGGCATATAAAGACACGCCCAGCGCGAGAGAAGCCCACAAAGAGATCGCCGTGCAACATCCCCGCTCCCCATTCGTCCTCCCCATGCCAGACGTGATTTGGATCATCTGGCGGTGATAGTGGACCTTTGGCAATCTCAATTGGTACCAAACAATCTTTTCGGAAAGCCCCGGGCGGGAGTGGTTGAGATGTTGGGCCAAGTCGTGCAGCGCCTGCTAGTACTGAAGCAGAAGCGGCTTGCGGAGGAAGAATATGATACCTTTCCGTGGACTTTGGTGGCTTCAGCGTTCCTAGGAATTCACCCGACGCCTTGTTGTAGGCAAAGTAGCCTTTTGCTCCCATAGAATATATCACAATATCTTCGCTTTGGTCCAGATGGCCAATCCCACCTCCCTCGATCTTCAAGTGTGTGGTCAATGTTGGGGGTCGCTGTGTCATGTCGTATACAAAACCCTGACCCTCATTGGAAACAACACAGAGGGTCCAGTAGGACAATTGGAACCCTCTTGTCTGGCAATTGTGTGCCAAGGTAGCAATGCGCCGGAACTCTCCACGCTTTGCACCTTCATGGTCCGCCTGCCAAACCTCAAGGGAATCTCCTTCGCTATCGAACACTGCCATTCCATCCTGATATTCCAAGTGTGCATGTGGGCGAACTCCATCTCCGTCGGTGTCCAGCACCGAAGGGAGTTGCCAGAGGATACGGCCCGTGTCCATATCAGTGACGTTCAACCCGCCAGCATGAGAAGTCGAGACAAAAAAGCGGCGTTTGAAGTCGGCGCGGAATCGCCAAACAGGATCATTGCCGATTTGTAGCACTGATTCTTGGCTCACTGGATGTGGTTCGGCCCAATTTCGGGCTAACAGTGTCTGGCGCTTGCACAGGTCTTTCCATGATTCCGTACCCTCAAATACTTTTGCAAAGCTGTCTGTATTTGAAAGGAAGGAAAGATCGCGGCATCCTCCAGCTGGCTGGGCAGTTTTGGCTTCGGATGTGTAAATGGCATCTTGGTGAGTGACGTCGATAAATTGGTGCCAAGCCTTGGAGGCCGCTGTCAGGGACGCAAGGGCGGATACGGGGGTAAAATGCAAGATTTGCAGGACAATCTCTGGGGGCAAGACAGTGAGAGGATCCGCCATGGGCGACATGATCATATTTGTAAAAGATGAAGGATTGTAGAAAGCAAATTAAAGACAGTGGGGGATGTTGTATTTTTGTTCTCCACTGTATATGCGATGACGTAGGGTTTCTGTTTTCGTCAAGGCACAACAAATATAGCCCGGGCAGGTAGACCGCCCTAAATTTAAGCTTAAGTCATGGCCTAGTCCGATCGCCAATTCCTCCAAGTACTAGATTCCCAACCGAACCTCCGTAATGCCCGCCTCATTTCAAGATCCCTCATTCGCACTTCCATATCCCGCACAAACTCTTGCCGGTCTCTATAGCGTTTTCTGAATCTCTTCGCAAGGATCGGCATAACCTCCCATCCAACAAAAAGCAAAAGACTAGCAAATAAAGCAAATAGCTGATCCTCCTCGTTTATTGACTGGGGGCACATGGCATGAAGAAACACGATTGTGATGCTTTGGCACTGCGGATCACATAACCCATGAATGCGTACCGCCCACTTGCATATCCAACCAAACAAATCCAAAAATACGGGCTTAAAAGCAAGAGAAAACAGAGCAGAAGAGGGGCGAGTGGTAATAGACCAATCAACCATCTTGAATCTCCTGTAACATTGATCATGATGACCGAGGTTTGCACCACAAAGAATGACCCGATGGTGAAATAATTCAGCACTTTGTGCGCCATTCTCGATGCTATCACTATCCTGAAAATTTCTTTTGGCAGTTCCAGGAGTCCAGGGAAAATGTTTGGTATCAATGAAATATCCATATATCCGAGCAGCCATACAGAGAATGGCATGATATAAAATGGAGTGCCAGCAGCAACAGCCAAATTCAATTCATAAGCTCCGCTGTGCATCGCTTGCCAATACAGCGCAGGCACTTCCATTGTTCTGATAGGAGCAGAGTGCATGAGCGCGAGAGAGGGCAGGATCATCCCGAGCAATAGTGTCCACAGCCGATATCGTTGGGTCTTTGGGGTGTCGAATAATATCATCGTAAGAAGATACTGCATCAAGCAGTGAAAGGTTCCCCAGAATGTGACATTGAATGCTGCCCCAATGGAGCCTTTCAGGCTCCCCAACTCTGCATCATATGTCAAGGAGTCGAGCGGGATGCTTTGAGCCATGCGGATTCCACGAAAAAGACCAACCGCGGCCCAGTTCGTGCCGAGCAAGAAGACCCACGTATTTGGATCAAACCTCTCTTCTGAAACTCGAAGGAGCCGCCACCACGATGCCACGATTGAAATGAACCATGCTGCCCAACTGCCTGGTCCGTAAAACCCGCTCACATTCCCGATACCCAAGACATCAGGTGGTTCGGAGGTGACGGGTAGATAGATCGGAGGCCCGCTGTCATAATATTCTCTAGTAGGTGAAGGAGTCGCATTGGATGAGGCAGTTGTCTTGTCAGTCGATGTTGTAGATATTGTGATATCGGAAGATGGGGGGATGGCGGTGTAGCCGCGTTCGACTTGAATGACTGCTGTTGGGTTTGTTCCCGGTACCTCTCTTTGTAGTACAAGTGCGCAGGTTGTACATATGAAGAGGAAAGGCAACAGTGCAGTCCTCCAAATCATCGGGTGTATAGCAAAAGGCTAAAGAGTCGGAGCCTTGAAAACCTCGACCTTTTGTCTTTTCAAACTGACTCCAAAGTCCGGTCGGGGTAATGACATATATAGATGTCCCGCCTCAGCCAAGAGGTCTCGTATAATCGGGCTGTGTGATGGCCATGTCAGCCTTCAGCCACGCTGTGGCGTCGACATAACAGAAGTAACATGACCAAAAGTCTTGTCCATCGTACGATGAGCAAGACGAATGTTCAGACTGTACCCCGCAAGTGCACAGGCGACAACCCTGCATAGATTTTGATGTCCCGTTGCTTGGCACAGCGCAGACTCCGAGAATTATTTTGATTTTCTCTCTATAACTCCCCCTTTCATCATGGGTAACGAGACCCTTCAACAGTTTGCCGCCCTCGATCTCGACTACTTAATTATAGGTGGTGGTACTGCAGGCCTAGCTGTTGCTGCACGTCTCACCGAGGACCCTGAATTTCGCGTAGGGGTCATCGAAGCAGGCCCCTCTGTCTTGAACATAGATGACAATGGCGCGATCAATGTTCCTGGTCGGTATGGTGAAACTATCGGATCGAAATACGACTGGAAATTCAAAACTACCCCACAGCCGGGCCTAGGAGGAAGATCACTACCATGGCCACGAGGTCGTATATTAGGCGGCACAAGTGCGCTCAATCTCATGGCCTGGAATCGGGGACATCGCAAAGACTACGATGCCTGGGCGGAGCTTGGGAATGAGAGATGGGGGTGGGAAGATCTACTGTATGAGGGGCCAGCGTGCTAAGATTCGGGCTCTATCTTGAATTTCACCCGCTGACCTGTGTGATACTGAATTTTCTGCAGGCCTTTTTTTCGTCGTAGCGAGAACTTTCACCCACCGAGTGCTGCCCATCAGAAACATTATCAGTCTTCCTACGACCCCGGGGCTAATGGAACGAAGGGCCCTCTACATACAACCCATGCCAAGCAGTATGGCCCCACACACCAATATTGGCACAAGACACTCAATAGTCTGGGGGTTCCATCTACGCGTGATAGTCTGACTGGCGACAATACAGGCGTTTGGAACATGCTCTGCACAATTGATCCAGATAGTCAGGAGCGCAGTTACTCTGCCTCTGCATATTATCAGCCCATAGCCAAACGCCCAAACTTGCATATACTGACCGAAGCAACTGCCATGGAGATCTTATTTGAATCCGAAGATGATGATTGGTACGCAGTAGGGGCTCGGGTCCGCTGGAACGGGCTGGAAGCAAATATCAAAGCATACGAAGAGACAATCATCTGTGCCGGTAGCGTGCAATCGCCACAACTTCTGGAGCTATCGGGTATTGGCGATCAGGACGTGTTGGAAGCTGCTGGAATTGAGACAAAAGTCCACAGTCCCAACGTAGGAGAAAACCTACAGGAGCATATGAGTATGAAATACAAGCAGCGCTTCTTATGATCTTGACTGATGTTTACAAGTGACTGCCACTATTTTCGAAATACCTTCCACGATTCCAACCCGTGATGACATTCTCCAAGACCCAATCCAACGCGAAGCTGCGGATCGCGCCTATTATGCTTCCCAAACCGGGCCGTGGACTGTGATGCCCTGTTCAGTGGCGTATTGTCCACTTTCGAAGATCCTATCGCCCGAAGAATGCGATGAATTACACACCCAGGCTAAGGAAGTCGCGCGCAACACAGGACGTACACATGACGCTCTTCTAGCCAGTCAGTTTGAGTCCGGTCAAGCGCGCGGCCAAATTGAGTATCTCTTCGATCTGGGTAACTGGAGCCCCTATTTTGCCTCTGAGCCAGGGAAGAAATATGCCACAATGCTACAAATGCTGCAGTATCCTTTCTCGCGCGGGTCTATCCATATACCCCCTATGAGCGAAAACAATTATGAGAGGACCACCATTGATGATAAGCCTGTGATTGACCCACGGTATTTTCTAGGACCTGGCGAGATTGATAAGAAGGTCATGGCCAAAGCGCTCAGATGGGGAGATCGAATCTGTCAAACAGAGCCTCTAGCCAAAATTATTCGCGGTCGAGTTTTTCCTCCTCCTGCTAAGGGAGCAGAGTCCGAGGAGAAAGTATATGAAGAATTTGTGTCGAATTATACTGTCACGGACTGGCATCGTATGTCCTCGCTCTCTAAGAATGATGCAGCAAATTACTAATATACATATAGCAGTTGGAACTTGTGCCATGGGTGAGGCAGACGGAATCAATGGTGGAGTTGTGAATGATATGCTACAGGTCCATGGTGTCCATGCCCTGCGAGTTGTGGATGCTAGCATCATGCCGTTACAGGTTGGGGCACATATCCAAGCTACTGTATATGCGATTGCCGAAAAGGCGGCGGAGATGATCATAGAGGACTATTTTGCTCGGAATGGTCCTTTTTAGATCTTTCCGAGCCGGTATTCAATGAAGATATTCCATCAGAATGGTTTTTTTATTATCTTGCCTAGTAGTCACACGCGCTAAAAGCGACCGACTGCCACAACAGCATGTCCATTCATATCACTACATATCTTCGAAGTTGTCATTGTTACACATATATCCAGCTCCAATTCTACAAATCGATACTTATTCTTCTGATACCCTTGCATTTCATCTTTGCCTGGCTTTGCATCATGATTCTTTTATGTCCCACACGAGGATTTTAAGCAACTGCCCTACCCCTAGCGCTGAGATACCAGCATGGCAGTATCTCTCTATCACCCAGTTCGTGAATAGCAACAAAATCTAGGAGTTTCGAAAATATCGTCTCGGCCAAGTGAAGCATCTTTTTATCGGACTACTCCACAAACACACTGTCTCTGTCTCTCTCCAAGGTCACCCAAGTCTGTGAAACACAGCCTACGTACACAAGCAAACGCGGCGATGTCTCATAAACGAGAATAGTCTAGATACTTCATGTTTTTAATAACACAGACAGGAATAGACGGATATCAAATAAAAAGGCCGGGAACTGAAAGCATAACTCCCCGACATCGGCTCAAGCCGAGCTTAGTCTCCCCAAGAGGGGCAATCTTCATATCTATGCCGGAACATCCAGGATATTCATCGGGATATATTTCCAGTAACTTACTACATATCTTCCATCGCGTGATCGAACAAATCCACGTGTAATCGCCGTCAGACTACTTGTTGTTTCACGCATCTCTCATCCGACACGGAAACTGATTCCCGCTTTGAACCATATATACCCACTCATCTTGCTCAATACAATCACTCATCTCCTCTAACCTATATCATGATTTCCGGAATCGCCCATATCAATCTCACAATCCCTCGGGATACATTAGAACAAGCCGAAGAGTTCTACGGAACCACCCTCGGACTCACCTCGGTACCGGTACCGGAGCTCCAGAAGGGGACAATCTTATGGTATTGAAGGGCGCTATCCTTCCAAAAGACACTTTCTCATGTTATCACTAGGTTCGACATTGGCTCTAGTGGACAGCAGGTGCATATTAGCTTCGGCGCGACTGATCCCCAGGCTACCCGGCACCCATGCTTCAAGCTATCTTCCCGGGAGGAACTCGAGGAAATTAAAGCAAACATCTATAACCATCATGTGCGTGGTGGCTCTGCTGCCCCAATGGCGGCCGATAAGCCTGGCGAGGTAAACTCTGGTGAGATATCTTTCATACATTCTGCGCAGGATCATTTGCTGATTACCTCTGCAGGAACTCAAGGGAAGGAGTATCCCACGCGGTTCTTCGCTCGGGATTTCGGTGGGAACTTGCTCGAGTTTACTATGTAAATAATTACGTTCATTTGAATCAAGTTTGCATCCACGAAAGCACGGTTGTGACATTTCCAACCAGGTCACTGTTTGATGGTGACTAGAATATCAATGAGAGACGGTGCAATGATCTTTTCGAGCCAACTGGAGATTCAGAAAATGGGGTTCATCATTGCTTTATATCAGTCTATAAGTCGTCACAAGCCCTCTGTATCCCTAATTGTCTCTCTAAACAGTTATCTCAGCACTCCTGGTCTCAGCACCCTCCAGCTCTTCCCCACGATCCCTCCTCTCCCTCACAATCTCCCTTCTAAATATCAACCCCCAAAAATAAGACTTATTAATAACTTCGTGGCCACCCTTCTTCAAAATCCACACATTCCCAAGGAAAGTAGTAAACAAAACAGACAGCCACATAAACGGTAACATGGCAATGAAAGCCCACATAATACCACCCTTGGCATCTTTCTCTCCAGCTCCGCTCTTATTCGTAAACACCGTCGACATGATAGTCAACCCAAGCAACCCCCCAAACGGAACGGCAAACGAAGCAAGACACAAGATCTGCGCCGTCATGGCAGGGAAATACGCTAACCCGTGCATAGATGCCGGGTTCATTCGCATCCCGACGCCGTGTCCAACAAGCGCCATCATGCCGTAGATAACGCTTGTTTTACCTGCATTCACACCCCAAGCTAGCACGGTCATCCCCACTGCCGACGTTATGCTACCCATGAAAAGAGCTGGGAAGGTTTGGCGGGGCCAGACGTTCGAGGAGAACATTGCCATGTAAAGCCCAGCTGCTTGGGTTAGTGATGGTTGTCTAATATCGTAAATAGGTAGGTACACATACCAGCTAAGCCAGGAAGGAAATATAATAGTGCGACACCAGCATCGCTCGAGCTCCTCCCTTCCACCAGTGTAAAGTATATGTCCATGAAGTACATAACAGCAAACATGGCTATCCCAATCGAGACATTGATTAAGAACAGTAAGCCAATATCGCGCTGTCTCAGTAACTCCCACGGCATCATTGCCTTTTGACGCGGTAATATCCGCGCCATCAAGGAGCCGGGCAACATACAACGCTCATAAATCACCCAAGCAATAACCAGGATCCCGCCAATGACCATCGGCGCTAGAACAGCAGCGGATTTCCAGGAGTATGTTCCACCTGCCCAAGTCAAAGCAAGGATGAGCAGACCAAATCCCCATAGGAAGAGCATCTGGCCGCCATAGTCGATAGTTGAGATTCTCGTGAAGAAACGTCCGGACGGAGTCAATCCAATTCTTTCTTCGAGTTCGGGAATAGGCTGCGGGCCCTGTAACTCAGTTCTTAGGACAAGAACCACGATAATCATAGCTACAACCGCGATGGGCAGATTGATTGCGAAACACCAGCGCCACGATGCCTGCGTCAGATACCCACCGATCACGGGGCCGATGCTGAATCCAATGCCAGAGACGAGGGCGAATATCGTCCAGTTGACTGCGTACTCGGTGAGAGAGACGCGGTCGGCGAGGATAGTGCGGATAGAGATGTTCACACCCGCTGCACCGACGCCTTGGAGTGCACGGCCGACGAGGAGGACGCTGAATGCTGACGTCGGGGCTCCTGTGCAGATTGCAGAGCCGATCAACATTACGAAGATTGCGGATTGGAGGACGATGTGTCGGCCGAAGAGGTCGGTTAGTTGGGCCCAGAAGAAGAGAAAGGCAGCGGATGTGAGGTTGAAGACGGAGATGATCCAATTTAGTTGTTTGATTTGATCTGGAAGGTTAGCTGAGGGGTCTTGTTGGAAGATGTGTGCGATACGTACTGAAATCCTCTGCGATGAATGGTAGAGCTGAGGCTATGATTGTTGTATCCAGGGCTTGTAGACAGTATGGACTGAATAGTCCCAGGATGATCTTCCATCGGTAGACATTCCGTCGCTTCTCGGCAACTTCTTCGGGGGAACGGGTCTTTTGTTTCCTATCGGGCTGGGGAATATCGACTGTGTCTAGTTCAATTGCATTATCTGGTGTATTTGAGACTGCAGAGTCTAGGCGTTTCCGCTCATTGCGTTTCTTGATTTTCTTATAGATCAGAATCATGAGTTCGAGATATGCAGATTGATGAGAGTGGTCAAAACCAAAAGCAGGGGGATTTCAATCATCTTTATACATTCTGCTGCGTACTCCATACCTCGAAGTAACAGAGAAAGTTGGCCAAGTATTAAGTGGATCTGATACCCACTTCTGGCTTAGCGTATAGTCTAAGCCTCTGCCCTGGAGTCCGTATCGAGAAACCCGTGCGAAGTCTTCAGAATTTCCTCTATAGGTGATGACTGCGAACAGCAGTCGTGAGAAGTTTGTATGCTTTCAAATTTTTAGTATATCAAAAGTCCCAGCACTTGCAATGCTACCCGGGTTTAGACACCATGCAATATCAACTTTTTTCGTTGCACATTACTTCCCACATTAAAGAACTGGCTTACTCAGAACAAAACAACGTAGATTGTTTTTCGGACAGACTTCGGGGATTTTTTGGCTGGAAAGTGCAGCCAGGTTCAATATCCATACAGCTCTCAACCTCAGAGAGATGGATCAATCATTCCTACTTTCTTTCAACCAGTCAAGTGTACGGCTGATATGGTTCCAATCTTCTCCAACAAGCACTCAGTAGCCATTCACCGAGATTCTCATCGATTCGACAAAATACCAAGAGACGTGGACAAGCCACAGTCGACACAGCCATGTCAGCCAACTGACGAATTGGAGTGGATGTCCTAGCCCTGTTGCCTAGCCCCACCTGATACTTCGATATGTCATATGTACAAAGTACAAAAACTTCACAAACCTGCTTTCTATCTCACCACATATCAACTATGGGCAACTCAACACCTACAGAGCCAGCCCCGGCCTATGAGGACCTATTCCACGAGCGTGGTTCCAGCTCACGAAATGGCGTAAGCAACCCAATCCACAAGGGATGGATCAACAAAGATCATCCCGCTGGTCTCATCAGCATACTGATCAACTCAAATGAACAGTACGCCATGGTCGATCAAACAGACATCGATGTACCCCGAGACGTGGAACAGGGTCACCACCTTCACGAGCTCCCCCGAGTGACGGCCGATACATCAGAGCCAGATCAACACACTCACTGTGCCGAATGTGATCGACAGCGGGAGCGTAGAGAAAATCGGGAGAATGGACAGAAAGCATGTGCAATGGTTGCGAAGACGTTTATTCTGATTTCGCTGTTCATGATGATATTGGGCATTGTTGGGGTTCAGGCTTGGAAGGAGGTTCGTATGAAGAAGTTACATGGTTAGATGATTATATGCGTGTATGATGCGGATGACACGTTATACAAGTGCATCCGATATACTAGTGTATTCCAGTATGGGTGGATTCTAGTAAAGCATATGAATCCCTATGAAAACCAAGTATATCCTGCTTGATATAATAGCGACCCGTTTATAAGCCCATAGATGTATACATTCCATGCCAAGAGCTTTCTTGCCAGTATATAATCCACTGATACTGGAGGCGTTCATCTCCACCTTATAGCCCCCTAAGAAGCCCCTCAAACAGATCACCAATTCTTCACTACTCTCTGTATGCGCTTCGAGTCATTCCCAGGTAAAGCTGCCTGAATCCCCTTGAACCCATACTCTACCATACCTGTTTGTCCCACATAAATAGCTCCCGGCTTTTCTCTAAGCTATAAACCAAATACTGATATCCCCGCAGGTAACAGAACAGGTTCAAGGCCTTAGAATGTTTGTCTGGCTCAAAGGTCTTTTCTCCAAATCAGAGCCTTTGGAACCCGCTGAACCTTCGGTACCAGCTGAAGAGCCCAAACATAAAAGCAAGTCGCACAGTCGATCACATAGCAAAAGAGTTCGAGAACGTGAGCGCAATTTGCGACGGGAATGGACGGGCCAAAAGGGGGAATGGAAGAAATTTTATAGTAAGGGGGGTTATGCGGGCGTTTGTTGAAAGTTGCTTTCTCGAGTGTACATGAAGCTCCCATGGCTGGAATCAATAACGCCATTGTTTTACCGAGTACTATATACTTCATTGCTTTCTATGATTCGTGGAGAGAGGTCAATCTTAATAAATCTTGTATTGAATATTGAAACTAATCATCAACACCGTAGTCCTCTATAGGATCCAAAACAAAAAAAAACCATGCGATCTGTAACAAAGTATAAAATCAAACAAAAAAAAAACATCAAGTCATAATATATGCTTCTGTGCAATCAGATCTAAGCAGAGCCAAGGTACTTAAGCACATTCTCACGTTCCTCAACAGGCAACATGGACAGCACCTGCTGGACACCACGCAGACCACCCTCCTTATTGCCAATAAGCAGCTGAGCAACCTCAGTCGCAACGCCATCAGTGCGCAACGATTCAATCTTGCTCTGAACAACCTTCTTGTTCTCCTCGTACCAAAGAGCAACCTTGTGGTCATTGTGCTCGAGCTCCTCATCCAAAAGACCAGTCCAGGCGTGCAGGGTGCGCAGGTGCGCAGCGCGAGGGGACTCGCTGACAGTGTTGGCACCGGGGGCTGGGGATGCCGAGGCGGCAACCATGCGCTTGATGATGGTCTCTTCGCTGAGACGGCGGCGGAGACGCCAATAGAAGAAGCGACGGGAGTTAACCCACTGCAGAGGCTGGCGGATAGTGTTCTTGGCTTGCATGCGGCCGGCGCGGTCGTGCAGGTCAGCGAATTGAAGCGCAATCTGCATGTACACGGGCAGGAGCTGCTCCTCACGAGTGGCCATCTTCGCCTTGACTTCGCTGAGCTGGTCATGACTCAGGGAGGTGTCGGCCAGGGAACGGCGGAGCTCGCCATAGGTTGCGTCCAGACGGGCCATGGTATCCAGCTGCTTGTCGCGGCGGTACTTGATGTTCACCATACCCTCGGGCTCGAGGACACCACCGCGGGACTCTTCGTCGGCGTACATCTCCATCTGGTCGGGGTTGATGGTGGGGTCAACGACGACCCAAGATCCACCGCGGAGCTCGCCGTGGGGAGGAATGTACACGAAGATGGGCTGCTCGTACTTGACGAGAGCGTCAACGATGTACGATCCGTACTTGAGGACTTCGTTGTACATGTCACGCTGGCCACCGGAGAATCCTCTCCAGTTGGCCAGAATCATGACGGGCAGCTGCTCACCATTGTTGAAGTCACGCAGAGCCTGGGCGGTCTTGTAGGCTGAGTTGGGGTACCAGACACCACCAGCCTCAGTAGAGATCATCTCCATGGATTCAGGGTTGGCGGGATCAGCAGGGGTGACATTCTCCACCGAGCGAGTCTCGACGGCAATCACACCCATGGGAATGCCACCAAGGCGGGCACGACCGACAACAACGGTACGAGCCCAGCCACCGAGGGCCTCCTCGAATGAGTCCTTGTCGAACAGACCAGGAAGGAAGCCGTCGACATCCGACTTGCCGCTGATGAGCCATCTAACATCATAGGTCTGCTTGGGAGGAGGGAAGTAGGCAACGTCACGGTCCCAGGTATCCGACCAGGTGCGAATAGGGATAGGAGCATTCTTCTTGTCGGGGACGAAGGACATCCATTCGACAATCTTCTGGACACCTTCGAAGTCATCGTTGGCAGTCATGTGAGAAACACCATTCTTGTACATGATCTGGGTGCCACCAAGCTGAAGGTTGGAGGTGTAAACCTCGCGACCGAGCAACTTGTTGATGGCAGGGGCACCGGTGAGGATGATGGGCTGGCCCTCAACCTGGATGGCACGCTGACCGAGACGCACAAGGTACGCACCAATACCGACAGAGCGGCAGGTAACAAGAGTGATGGTGAAGATGTCCTCGTAAGCCTTGGAGGTGGCACCGGCAATGAGACCGGAACCCTTCAGGCATTCGACACCAAGACCGTCCTTGGCACCAATAACAGTGGTGATCTTGTGGCGCTCCTCGCCCTCATCATTGATGAGCTCGGTGATGACCTCCTTCTTCTTGCTGGCATCAAAGCGCTTCTTAACCTCGGGGGTGAGGTAAAGGTACTTGAAGCCGGCCTCGGGCTTCTCTGGGTTGTTCCAGGCAACCGAGAAGTGGGGAATGATCTCGTCGGCGACACCGATGCGGGCACCGGAGTTCGCAGACAAGTAGATACGGGGAATACCCAATTTGCGGGCAAGCTCAGTGCACTTGTGGAAGAACTTGTCTTCCTGGGGACCGAAGGAACCAATCTGGAAGGTAATGTCGTTGGCGACAATGATGAAACGTCTGCCGCGAGGGTACTCGGGAGTACGGGCAGTGATGATCCACCCAACCATACCGTGAGTGTTGGTACCAGGCTCGCGAGACACCTCAACAAGGTTGTCGGTGTCATCCAAGACCAGCTCGCTGTAGTCAATGCACTCTCCAACAGGAGGGCGCTTCTCGTACAAAGAAGGAATCTTCTCGGCAATCTTGGTCCAGCTGTTCTGGAAGGCCTGGCGGAAGAGCTCGGGGAAATCGTACACGTACTGAGTTCCCATCAGGTGAGCCTTGTAACGCTTGGGCTGCAGCCACTCCTTGGTAGGGTAGGGGGTGGCGACAGGGCGCAGATGCATAGAGCCCAGCTTGGCGGTACCACCAATGCTCTGGAAGATCCACTCGCCCTTCTCGGACTTGCGCTCGATGTACAGCTCAACGTTGATGATGAAACCGTAGGTGTTGCTGATAATCACACGAAGGGGGTAAGGCATACCGGTAGCAGGGTCGGTGCAGAGGATGCGAATCTCTGCGCCAGTGACACGGAGACGCCACAGACGGCGGCCAAAGCGATCGAGGAAACCAGCCAGGGCTTGCTCAACATCAACGGGCTGGAGGTTGAAAACGGGAGAGAAGTTGATGAAGATGTGGTTCAGATCGGAGTTGTTGTTTCCGATAATCTCCAGGGCGTCCAAGATGTCGTTCATGAGGCGATCGGCCTCCGAGATCAGGTACTCAGCGGTGGGGATATCGTCGCGCAAACGGCCGGGACGAACCACGGCACGAACGAAATAGCGCTTGTCGATAGCCTTGTCGTTCTCAGGACCCTTGCCAATAGCCTCATAAACGTGAATATTGCGGTTCTCGGTGAAGACGGGCTTGATGTTGAACTTGGATAGACGGCCAAGCTCCAGCTGGAACGCAAGGGCGGGCTCACTGTGACGGATACTCAGATCCTCCTCGTAGTGGGGACCACGGAAGGTGAAGTAACCGGGATAGACACCTTGCTTGCCACAGATGAAGGTGACACGACGAATACGGCGGGCGAGAAGTTCATCCTTGTTGTCAGCAAGCAGCTGCTTCATCTGCTCAACAAGCTCGGAGTCCTCCATATCCTCAATATCGCGAATGGCAATGTTGCAGACTCCAGTGAGCTCGCTGTCGCTGACCGGCTTAGGGGTAGGACGACGCTTGCCTTCAAGATTGGCAATAAGACCCTGCTCACTGGGGCGCTTCGCGTTGATGCCGCCGAGAGGGAAGACCTCAAGAGCCTTGGAGAGGATCTCCTCAGCATCCTCCAAGTACTGCACGGGGATGATAACACCCTTGCGGACGGGGTCACTGGCAGCGTCGCTCACAAAGAGAGACATATCGCCGATGGAGTTGATCCGCTTGAAGGGATTGATCTCCGCAACCGGAGTGCCCGGGGCGGAGGGCTGGACGTTAAGAACACCGAATTCACGCTGGCCGAGCTTTCCGAGGGTGAAGTCCCAGGACAGGAAGGGCTGTTCATTGGAGGCGTTGTATTCGATGCCCTTGAGAGTGTACGCACGGTAGGCACGACGGACGTAAACTTCCAGGGAGGCGAGAGTAACCCAGGGGTCAGCGTGGACAAAGAAGCGAGGGAGGACATCGAAGACAGTGTACTTCGAGTCGACGACCTCTTTCAGGACCGCCAAGGAAGGCTCGCGGTGGTCCCATCCAGTCTCACCGTAGCGAGACTCGACAACAGAAGACCGCAGAATGTGCTCCATCTGCGACAGGCGCTCATCCAGAGATGGCATAGCGCACTGGATAAGAACCTCACGGGCCTTGAGAGTAACCTTGGCGGAGGAGCGAGACTCGAGCTCAGTCAACAGCTTGAGAATGGGCTTGAAGTGCTTGCCAACATTCTCAACTAGGGGCTGGTTGGGACGGTACATGTCCAAAATTGCCAAGACCAGGTTGTTCTTGGAACCGATGCGGCTGTGCGAGAGGACAGTGTGGACAATGCTAGTGATGTCGTCCTTGTTCTCTTCACGGAGCTTAAGAATGACATCCTCGTCGCGGAAGTTGTGGGTAGAGAACAGCTTCTCAACGTCGTAGTACTGCTGGAGCAAGCCAATGAAGACATTGTACTCGTTGGACTTCAAGCCATCGACGTACTTGTTGATGACTTCAACCAGGGGCAAAAGGGTGGCTCTGAGGATATCGGCATCGGCAGGGCCGATATTTTCCTCGATGAAGCGGAGGATGGCCTTCTGGAGCTGTTTGGCAGGGAACTCGGCCTTGCGGGCCTTGGCGCGGTCGACCACGTTCTGCAACTGAGCATCCAGTTTCTGGGGAATACGAGAGTGCAGCGCCGATGACTGCGCATTCCACTCTCCGTAAGGAAGGTCAGGGTTGCGCAACACCTCAACCAGATCCTTCAGGGTGGTACCCATAATGACCTGGTTGTCGAAACCGCGAAGAATGTTCTCCAGAATGCTGTGAAGCAAGAAGAAGCGCTGGGAGGGCTTGTTACCGAGAATGGTAGGCGAGCCAAGCTCGGGCAGTTGACCAGTGAAGGGCTGAGCATGCTTGACGCGGGAAGGGTCATCCAGGGCTAGGATACCGAGGATATCGCCGGCCTCCAGAGTGGCGCCAGGCTGCTTGATGAGCTGCACAATACCATCCTCCTTTGCGATGAGGGGCATGTACATCTTCATGACCTCAACTTCAGCGTAAGACTGACCAGCGCGGATGTGCTCGCCATTCTCAACGGTGAACTTGACAAGCTTACCGGGAGAGGGAGAACGGAGCTGAGTAGGATCATTCTCTTGCTCCAAGAGGCAGGTCTTCCCGTCAACACTGAGGCGGGTGGCAGCGGCCTCCTCCTTCCAGTAAACGTTGTGACTGCGGCCGCTAAGGAGAACCAGCAAGCCACCATCAGCCAGGGCGCGAACACCGACTGAGCACTTAGAGCCGTTGATGAAGAGGTGGTAACTGTCCAAGCTGGCACGAGTGGCAGTGAACTTGTAACGTTCGCCTTCGTAGATGAAATCGACAGGGAAAACAGTCTTCAGGATCTCCTTGGACGGAACCTGACCCTTTCCTAGACCGACGCGGTACTCCTCAATACCAGCCTCGCTGGCGAGGTGGGCCTTGGTGACGGCACCACAAATGATGGCGACGCTCTGATCGGGACGCTCAGCAGTCAGCTTGTTAGAAATAAGCTGGTCGAGCCATCCAGTGGTGATGGTGTTTTCCTCGAAAGCGGGGGTTTCGAGAAGCTTGATCAGGTACTCAACAGTGGTTCGGAAATCACCACGAATGCTCAATTCTTTCAACGCAACGACCATGTGCTTGCGCGAAGCAGATCGGTTCTCGCCGTAGGCGAAAATGTGACCGAACTGACTGTCGGAGAAACTGTGGATACCACCAGCAGTACCGACAGAGAAGTAACCCCAGACGTTTGACGAACTACGGAAGTTCAGCTCGTGCATGGTACCACTGGAAGGCTTGAAGCCCTCGCCAGGATCTTCGGAGGTGATACGGCAAGCAGTGGTGTGGCCCTTGGGCTGAGGCCGGCGCTGGGTCTGGAAACTCTCTTCCTTGGAGAAATCGAAGTCAATTTCGGCCGAGGCGTTGGGGTCGACACCGTAAAGAAGGCGGATGTCACGAATGCGGTGCAGGGGAATACCCATGGCAATCTGGAGCTGAGCAGCAGGCAAGTTGACTCCCGAGACCATCTCAGTGGTGGGATGCTCGACCTGCAGACGAGGGTTCAGCTCAAGGAAGTAGAACTTATCGTCAGAGTGCGAGTAAAGGTACTCAACGGTACCGGCAGAGACGTATCCGACCAACCGACCGAGGCTCACGGCAGCGCGCTCCATGGCCTGGAAGGTGGGCTGTTTCGCAATAGTCACAGGAGCCTCCTCGATAATCTTCTGGTGACGACGCTGGACGGAGCAATCACGACCGAAGAGGGAAATGTTGTTGCCGTACTGATCAGCCAGCAACTGCACCTCCAGATGGCGAGCATTGCCAGCCAGCTTCATAATGAAGATAGGCGATCCCGGAATCTCGTTGGCGGCGGCATTGTACAAAGCGGGGAACTCTTTCTCGTTCTCGACCTTTCGAATACCCTTGCCACCACCACCTTCGGAGGCTTTGACCATGACAGGGAAACCGATTTCCTTAGCCTTAGCCAATCCCTCTTCCGGGGAAAAGGTACAGCCCTTCTTATAGACCTCGTCCTCGACTGTCACGATACCGTGTTCATCAAGCTTCACGGCGTCAACGCCGGTTCCAGACCAGGGAATGCAAGGCACACCGGCATGCTGTGCAACAATGGTGGAGGAGATCTTGTCACCAAGCGAGCGCATGGCCGAAGCTGGGGGTCCAATGAAGATGATCTTCTTAGGCGATGCAGCAAGAGATTCGGGTAACCGAGGGTTCTCAGAGGCGTGACCCCATCCAGCCCACACGGCGTGGACATCCATCCGCTCCGCAATATCAACAATCAACTCGACGTTGGCATAATTATTATTATTGGTTCCACCAGGAACCTCGACGTATTGATCGGCCATGCGAATATAGTCCGCGTTGGCAGTAAGATCTTCGGGTGTGGCCATCACGGTGAATTGGATCGCCCGCTCGTTGCCGAACGTCTCGTATGCCCATTTTCGCACTGAGCGAATCTCTTTGACGGCAGCAATACCGTTATTGGCAATAAGCACCTAGGAACAAGTCAGTACCACGCTCAATTTCAAGTCTTTTGTCTCAGATTCGCGGCGTTTGGATTTCCCACTTACCGATGTGATGACCGAGTGACCCTCGTGGGCGGCCACGAAATCCTTGACAGCGCTCGGGGGTGCTGATTCGAGGGCGTTGCCACCGATGAAATGTGAGGGGAGGTCGTGTTTGGTGACAGTCGAGCCGTTGGCCGACGGATTCCCGTTCGTGATGGCCATGATGTCGATAATCACAGGACAGACTTGGAGGGAGTGAGGGTTATTTCGCGCGGTATGCGGCGCTGATTAAAAATTCGGGTAATGTACAATGGAAGTGGCGGAAAGAGCCCGAGTGGTGGCTATGGGCAGAAAAAAGTGAGGGAGAGAGGGAGAAAGAGGGAGATAGAAGGAGATAGAAGGATAAGCGTGAGAAATGAGCTCTATAGGGAAGTAAGGCCAAGTCAGCATGCGTAATTGGAGACTTGAAGAACGATAGCGTCCAATGCGGAATCGGTCTGGAGGATTCGCACACGGCAGATAGTACAAAGTACAAGATGAGCAGACTTCAAACTTACCGACCACGCGAGAATTCCAAGTGAGAAATTGAATATGGAAAAGAGATTCGGAATCAACTAAGTCCAGGGGAAAAACTGCTGAGAAGATGATTTTCTGGAGTCCCACCGAAGTGGAGATCATCCCAACTGGCTGTGATTGATCCTAAGTGGCCGAAGTTCCATGTACCTTCCCATATTGAATAGTATGTACAGGTACTTTCCCAGGAACGAAGCTCCCCCAACTCCCTGGCTTTGTTGGGCCGGGTTCCACTACAATTCTGTTGGCTCTGATTTTTGGTTTTTTTTTTTTTTTTTGCTTTTTATTTGCTTCTATAAATCATTAAAGGTTGAGCCCAATGCCAGATTCACTATCAAGGGATATTTCTTCTACTCCGTATCTCCGTATATTGGATATTGAGACAGTACTTCCCCATGGGTATCGGGGCCATTCGGTACCCGATTCGGATCTCGGGGTGTTTTTTTTCGGCGATTTTCATTTTCGTCATCAACTTTTTTGGGACTCGGGTTTGACTCCTTCTGGTATGTCAGATTCAAGATCGATGTTACATTGAAAACTTTCCAGGTTGATGTAATAAGTCCGTACTCCTACTTATCTTCAGTCTTGGGCACATGGTAATCTACGGAGTATGTTGTATACGGTGTATAGATACTCCGTACGGAGTACATATAGCCTATACTATTAACCTACAATATAAAAAATATGCTCCACGCCACTGCCAATCCCGGGAATGGCACGCTATCCTAATTCGGTCAACCTGCATGATTCAACACGATCTGCCTTACCCCAAGGTGGGAAGAATACCGACCAATCATATGCAGGGGCATATCTCAACTCCCGAGATTACTCCCATGGGTTTACGCCACTCTACGCCAAAATGGACCAAAATCTACATTATACAATGCTATTTAATTTGGATATGTAACATCTTGGGTATTATTGGATGAATGAAAACAATCGCTGAGACACAGCTTAGAACGTCCCCAGAATCCACCGGGGGCCACATAGCACACAAACCAGGCCTGGCTGGTCAAAAAAAAAAAAAAAAACTACAGGCAAGTGATCAGGGCGGCCTGCCAGGAAACACCCCCTTGTTGAATGCAGTCAAAGTGAACCTTGAAAGTATGTAAAACAAACGTCGAAAAATAACCTGAACACACAAACCACGTCACTGAACTCCCATGGAAATTCCAGAAATAAAGGCGGAAAAAAACCCCCCAATCAAAAGGTTTCTCCCAGGTCACCGACTTGGGTCTTCCGGTTTGGCGGCGGCATCGTGCCAGGTCCGATGCTAGTCTTGAAGCTTCGGGGGGCCGGGATACCGCTGATCGTTCGTTTCTTTACTACGGGGGTTGGGGTGGTAGTCACGGATGGGCGTGGAATCTCTTGGGAGATACGAGAGGTGGTCGGTGTAGCAATATCTTGGTCCTCATCGATGAGTGACATACCAGCGATGTTAGGGAGTTGGCCGGCATGATTGCTGAGAGATGACCGAGGCCGCCGGCCCTCGATCAGAGGGTTTGTCGAGTAGTGACCCAATGGCGTTTTGGCCCCGGGACGACTCGAACGACTCTCGGGCCGCGCATTTACTGGAACGCCCGAGTGCACACTTTGGCTGAAAGAGCTGAGGCTAGAGTAACTAGTTCGGCTGCTCGGGCGACTCTCGCCTGTCCGCCCAAATGACTGACGACCCTGCGGGGGGTAAGATGGAGTGCTTTCACTATCTCGCGCTGATGAACCAAGGCTACTGTTACTCAGCCGCTTGCGAGAATTTCGACGAACAGTGATTGACGAGGGGACAATCGGGCTTTCGCTGACTACGGACCCAGAACGAGGGGATCCGCGAGAGGAGGTGTCGGACGGGGCGGGAAGTCGCGACTTTGCGGATTGGACGCGCTCTTCGAGCTTCTGCATCTTGCCAATCAGGCCACGGATCTGAAACAGTGATCCGGACTTGGGGAGACCCGGTGCCCGCGAGGAGTTCATTCTCGTCAAACTGTTGCGAGACGAGATCGACATGGAGGGAGTGGACCGACCATTGCCATTGCCATTGTTGGTGCCTGTGCCGGCGCTGTATGCACCATTGCTGTAAGCAAAAGATGGGGTTCGTGAATGAGCGGTGCGCGGTTGCGCGGTGCGCGATTGGGTCCGAGCGTGAAGAGTTCTAGAGTTCACTGGCTCTGTGCCAGCGGCTCTCTGTCGAGGGAATGTGGGTGTGCCGTTGCCGTTGGGGTTGATCGACTTGCGCAAGTTCACGGACGACTCGGATATAGGGGGCGAGGGTGGGGTAGCGGTCGACGATGCAAGGGATGATTTAGCGGGGGGTGTAGCAAATACGGGAGAAGAGGTAGCGGTAGGCGAACGATCAAAGATCTCCAAACTCTGCGGAGTCGCTGGGCTGCGATGGTACAAAGGAGTGGGCTTGCGGCGGCGGAATCCATGTCCTTCGGTATTCCGAAGCTTCTCTTGGATGATCTCGGCCTCAATCTTCAGATCCGACAGCTCATCCCGGAGGCGTTGGTTATCAATGCGCAGCTGCTCTCGCTCCTGCTCCCCATTCCTGATTTCCTCCTCTAGCAAGACCCCACGCTCAATGCCGATGTTGTATTTGGACTCCATGTCCTCCAGGGACGAAGTCGTATTCCGGGCTTGACGCTCGTAGTCATCATTGGCAACTTCAATATCTCGAAGCTTGAGCTGCAAAGTGCGGTTCGCGTCTCGTAGTGTGGTGATTTCTTTCTGCAGGTTGTTCTGCACAGCATTGCCTTCGGATTTTGACTGCTTGTATTTGGTCTGCCAGGGCAAAATTAGTGCCCGCACAATTGTGAGCAATGAGCATGATTCCTTACCTTCCACTCGTCGACTTCATATCGCATCGTGTCAAGCTTTTCCTTCAGTTGCCGTTCCCGCTTTTCCGAAGCTTCAATGTCCTTCTCCAGCTCAGTCTCCAGCTCCCGGCTGGAGGACTGAAAGTCCGCAAGCTCCGCCTCAAGTTGCTCATACTGGGCCTTGTAATGAGCCAATTCATCTCTGTAAGAGCTGCTCGTATGCTTCCGTTCGGAAGGTGACTCATCGACGGCCGGCATCTTCTCGCGTTGGGCACCTAGAGGACCGGTCGCAAAGAAGATGTCTGGACGACGGGTGTCGTCCAAAATTGGCGAGAGTCAGTAGAGACTGTGCACCAAGCTATCTTGCCCTGCAGATCGCACCAGCCCCTCTCAAAGACTCATATGTTGTGTGGTGGCCCGATGTCAACAACCGTGCGTTTTGATAAGAGCCCCTCCCCGAGGCGGTGACGCAAGGGATTGACTGGGTGCCTGGTAGTATATCCCTCCACAGGGTGAGGAGAAGATCGAGGGATCCGGCGAGTTAAGAAGTCCAAAGCTGGGTTACTTTCGACCCGCCTCGCGTCGAAAAGCGGGTTAGATTAGATCGGGCTGGGAGAAACCGATGTTGTTGTTTCGGTCGTCAGGGGGGGCCGGGAGATGCGCTAGTCCTTATTTGGCAGATCTGGGCTCAGCCACCCACCGCTCTTTTAACGTGTTAAGGCAGAAACTTTCTGCCCCAGGCGTCTTCAGGCACCAATCTGGAGCTAAGCCTCATTGGAGCTGAAAGTGATCCTGATCGACCTCAGCCCGTGATCTGGACTCAGCAGTCCCCAGTCTCCAATCTTTAGGTCTCTAGGGCAATCAAGTCGGAGAGGTAAGTGGCTTTGTTCATCTTTTAGTCTTTGTTCTAGAACCCTTTATGAGCTTTTAAGCTCCAAGAATATGTGTTTGTTGCCTCCAAACACTACCCTGGATGTTATGCCCACGCACGCTGTTCTTAAAATTGCTGATCATCTTGTTTGCTTCCACGCACTTGTTTACCCCCGATTGTTCGCAAGCTCCATCTGTCTACCCCAGTCTTGAGGTGCATCGGCTAGACATGGGATGATGATATGACATCTAAACTTACATTTTCCCTCTGATAGGTCTCCTCCAGTGAGGCCAAGGCCCAACCCGATCTATCAACATGGCAGACTCAGCCGATCTCAACCTTGACGATGCGCCCAGCGACCTTCAAGACATTCCAGAACTGGCAATGCAATTGGTGCCCCCTCCAGAGGGTACATACCCTGACAAGTAAGTTCTCATCCCACTACCCCTTGCTTATTAGGACCAATATCAACAACTCATTTCTATAGAGCGACTCTTCTCGCCGCAGTCCAGGACCATGGCAAGGAACATGGCTACAATGTGGTTGTCAAGTCGTCAAGCACGCCCACAGAGAAGAAGCCTGGCCGTACCGCCAAGGTGTGGCTGCGTTGTGATCGTGGCGGCCATTATCGGCCACGGAACGGTCTGACTGAAGAAACGCGCAAGCGTCGTAGAACCTCGCGGCTGATGGATTGTCCCTTCATGCTTGTCGCAGCCGGCTCTCCGGGTATCTGGACCCTGACCGTGCTCAATGCGACACACAACCACGGTCCCATTATCGAGAAGCCGCGACAGGTGCCTCACCACAAGGTCCGCAAGGGCCAGCTGCCAGCCATCCCATATGATTGGCCCCACGATGCCTCATTCACCCCATACACCACTGCGCTTGTTATCATTGACATGCAAAAGGACTGTAAGTATCTCGAACTATCATCGCTATCAAATGAGCATCTGGCTGATTTATCCCTAGTCTGTTCGCCCGAAGGATACATGGGATATCAAGGCTATGATATTTCTGCCACACAGGCTTTGATTCCTCGCCTGCAACGATTGCTTCATGCTTTCCGCTCTGGGGGCTTCCCGGTCTACCATACTCGCGAGGGTATTTAGTGTCTCGTTCTGACTTCCAATATATTTTTACTAACTCAAATCAGGTCACCGACCCGATCTTTCTACTCTGTCAAGTCGTGAGGCATACCGGTCCCGTAACAACGCATCTGGCTTGGGCATTGGTTCTCCTGGTCCTATAGGCCGCCTTCTTATCCGTGGCGAAATGGGCCACGACACTATTGACGAATTGTACCCTCTCCCCGGTGAGCCAGTCATCGACAAGCCCGGCCGAGGTGCCTTTGCACACACCGATTTTGAGCTTCTCCTCCGCAACAAAGGAGTGAAGAACCTCGTCATTGCGGGTGTGACCACCGATGTCTGTGTCTCGACGACTATGCGCGAAGCTAACGACCGTGGCTTCGACTGTGTCGTCTTGGATGATGGAACTGCAGCTGCCGAGCCATCGCTACATGTAGGTACCATGCAGTCGATCAAAATGGAAGGCGGAATCTTCGGCACTGTCGCCAAGTTGGACGACGTCATTCACGCTGTTGATAATTTCAAAACCGTCACCATGAAGAAGCTGGCTCCTCAGATGGCTGTCTAAGTCTGTACTATTTGTTTTAGCGGTTTGGCTTTTGACGCTGGGATTGGAAGGAAATTCCCCGGCGTTTGGGACTGGAGTTATCTCTTTTCTGTTGAGATACTGCAGTGCGCATACTCGTTGCTTTTCTTTTCGAGCCTCTTCTTTTGTCATGTTTTAGCGGGCCGGGACTTCGTTGATTCCAGATAGTGCCATTTTCTGTTAGCCATTTTAGGTGCAGAACAATAGTCATTTTCACTTCTAGTTCACTTTTTTTATTTTGAATCAGAAATAACAATGAGACATTTGTCTGTATTACACTAGATAGGACTAGTAGATTACCAACTCCATAGTTGACATGTAAAGATGTTTGATCATTATGCAGAGCAGGTCAAAACAATGCAATAGATATAGAGAATGAATCGACCCCCAAGAGAATACATGCCCTCAAAACGCCACGCTCATGAATTCAAACTTCCAAGTGACTGGTTACAGCCATTTTTTCCCTGCAGCAGTTACCCGCGTTCTGAAAACAGGACTCTTGATCTCCATCCCCTGCTTATAGAACGGACTCATTGCCGTCTTGACATAGCTCTCGTAGACCTCATTCATGAACTGGCGCACAGCCTCTTCGGTCTGCGGGGAGGTCGGGTTTGCGGCGATTGAGCTAGATGAGGCACGTGTGGTTGATCCTGCTGTGCCTAGTAGTGAGGAGGAACCAAGGCCGCTGCCCGTGCTGTTTGAAGAGGGGAGATTCGGGGGTTGGTGGAGGAGAAGGAAGCGCGCGCCACTTGGGGTGAGGAAGGCCGTGATATAAGCCGCTGCTGGCGGGTAGGTGTCGATGTGCTTCAGGTACCTTTTGCGACAATGTTAGCGCTGAAATTGGAGGTTTGATGTGGGGTACAAAGCGCGGGCTTGGGGGGTGTTCTTCTGTGTATATATGGCTCTCAGGGATTCGAGCCAGTTTGCAGGAGAATTTGAGATATTGAATCTCTTTTAAAAAAAAAAAAAACTCACATTCCGCTATTCGTCCATTGCGCCTCTTCCAATATGTCCAGGCTTGAGTGGATGATGAACTGGTTCATGTACTGCGCTGTCTCCGGGAAACGGAAGCGGGCAATGCCATCACCACCCCCTTCGACGTGCCAAAGGCGATGTTGAATAAAGGCGTGTCGGTGGGCGATAGAATTGTGAAGTAGTAGGACATTTTGAGCAGTTTTGGATTATTAAGAGTTGAAATGGACCCGTTGACGGTCGAGGAGCTGGAGGGTGTGGCTTTACTAGCGGCCGCCATCACGTGGCTGATAAGCAATGAGCTTGCCCAGGTGAAGATGCATGCACTTTTGATATAATCAACTTGAAGAATGAAAAATCTTGTGTAGGAACCTAGGCCTGGGGGCTTTTGACTTCTTCAATGAGATCAGGTTGGCCTTCACGCTGTCTTCAGAATGTTTTTAGGTGTGATATTTTGTCAAAGCCTGATCCACAGCCATTATATATCTTTGCATCTTAAATACAGAATTAAAATTGCTAATAGTATTGATGATACCCCCAATTTTGGAAATACAACCAGATTGAGATATATGTACACTATTAACAAGTAATTAATAGCCTCTAATGACCAAGCCAACATTGCCTTATATTTGGTATGGATACTTCCAATGAATGCTCCAATCTCCCCGCAAAGTTACCAACACGTGATGGACTGATAACCAGCCAAGGCTTATCGCGGTCGATCGCTGTAGCAACTTTTGACCTCAACAAGCACCTCTTACCGAACACAGTTGCTATTCATCCGCCTACGTAAATCCTCGGGGCTGCGTGGAAAAATTCAAACTTCAATATGCCGGCAAATCTCCCCTACGGATTGAACCTTCCGAATAAGAGTACAGCGAAACCGGGGAATGCTCTTGGGCAGAAAAGAAAGAATATTTTCGACGACAATTCTGAAGATGAAGACCAGCAACCAGGCGACGGCGCAATTGAAGTCTCAATAATTGGAGGGCTAGAGGAGCCAGTTACGAAGAAATCCCCACCAAGCGCAGTGCCACCGCCGAAACGCAAAATTCAATTTGGGAGTGGTCCCAAACCGACAGCCAAACCGCTCAGCAAGAACTCGCTATTTGCAGATGATGAGGACGAAGACGAAGAAAGAGAAAAAGAGCAACAAGGCGCAATGAATCTTGGGTTGAACCAGGCGAAGCCAAAGAAGCCAACCGCTCCTGCCCAGAAATACACCAATCTCGCGTCAATGCACAGCAGCAACATGCATGCAAAGGCAGCAGAAGAGCTTGACCCACTAATCTACTCATATGACGAAGTTTACGACAGTTTGCACGCCAAACCCGCCAAGTCTTCAGTGGAAACCAAGAGTGATACACCCAAGTACATGCAGAACTTGCTCCAGACTGCAGAGATCCGAAAACGGGATCAACTGCGGGCCAAGGATCGCCAGTTAGCCAGGGAGCGTGAAGCTGAAGGTGAAGAGTTTGCCGACAAAGAGAAATTTGTCACCTCTGCCTACAAGGCACAGCAGGTGGAACTGCGGAAGGCAGAGGAAGAGGAAGCGCGCCGTGAAAAGGAAGAAGAAGAACGGCGCAAGAAGAGTGGTGGTGCTGGCATGATTGGATTTTACCGAGACGTTCTGTCGCGAGGAGAAGCACGGCACGAGGAGGTCATCAAGGCTGCAGAGGAAACTGCCCGCCGTCTTAAGGCAGGTGAGATTTTCGAGGACACAGAGGATAAAGAGGATCAGACGGATGCCCAGAAGGCGCAAGACCTCAATTCTCATGGAGCTCGGGTTGTTGTGAATGATGAAGGCCAAGTTGTCGACAAACGCCAGCTGTTGTCTGCAGGACTGAACGTGGCACCGAAACCGAAATCTCAACCACCTGTTCCTAAATCAGGAGCTTCAAGACCTACTGCTGGACGACCAGGTGCTGGGTACCACGGCGCCCGTGGTGCCCAGCGGGCTCGACAGACCGACATGGTCGCAAGCCAATACGAGGAGCGTGCGCGACAAGAAGAGGAGGCTGAGGCTGCAAAGCAAAAAGAGATTGCCGAAAAAAGTCGCAGTCGCAAGACCGAGGCCGATGTGTCCAGCGCCAAAGAGCGGTATCTGGCAAGAAAGAGGGAACGAGAAGAGGCTGCTGCCAGGGAGAAAGCGCAGGGGGCCTAGGTGTATGCCAAAGGTGGGCTGGATGTGCTACATCCATGGATTTTCGGGATACCTAATATCGCATAGCGCCGGAGAGAACCTTGTACATTACTCGTGATACCAAAAAGAGACCCCGACTTTGAGTCATAAGGCTATTTACCACCTATATATGGACAGAGGTTTCAGGGTAAAAGGTGTTACAAACTCTAGTTGAGAGTATAATATGTAACAATCGCTTTCCCCCTTTCTGTTAAATCTTTTTTCTCTCTTTCATTCGCCCATCAGTTCGTAACACTCGGTAAGTTTCATCGCTATACAATATGCACTTCGGAGAAATCATTGCCAAGACGCCCTTAACCCCGGCTTACCTCACCGACCTACCACACATCACATGACCCCACACGGGCAGAGTTAATCCGGACCGAAAGCACTCGCTAAGCCGCCCCACACAGGTCGCACTCCCAATTTTGCACTCCCAATCGAGATTCAAGAATCGCTTCATCACCAAACCACTTCAGTCACCCGTTCATCAACGTCAATCATCCAACATGGGTAAGGTTCACGGCTCTCTCGCCCGTGCCGGTAAGGTCAAGGCTGCCACTCCTAAGGTAAGTTCTCTTCGATTTCCAGCCAACGCCACTCGATACACGGTCGCAGTGGCCATCCATACGACCAGTCTTTTTAACGACAATTTTGCATTCAGGTCGAGCCTCAGGAGAAGAAGAAGAACCCTAAGGGTCGCGCCTACAAGCGTGTCCTTTACACTCGCCGTTTCGTCAACGTTACCATGACCGGTGGCAAGCGCAAGGTACATATCGAATGACTCACCCACCCACAACGCACAATCACACATCACGCAAATCTCGCAAAATATCTACGACAAAACCACGAATATCGAAGAAGAAGGACAGAAAGGCTGACAAGTCGCGAAATATAGATGAACCCCAACCCCGGCCAATAGATTATTCAAGTCGTTAAAAACACCACCTGAGCCGCGATCGGCTAGTCGAGTTCTGCGATGAAAATCTTTGCATAACCACGGCACGACCACGGCCCAAACGAACGAAAGCACACCAGATACGGCTGGTACTTGTACGGATGATATCACGCTTCTTCGTCTTTACTTGAATTTTTTTTTTGCTGGCAACGGATGGGTATTTTTTTGGAGGTCGATTCGCGGAAATGGATGAATACCCATGGCGGTCTGAGGATGGAAAGCTGTGGCTGGATGTGGGCTGTCTACGGGCAGTTCGCAGGCTAGACTTCAGAGTCCCTTTTCGACTCATTTCATAGGCTGTTACATGAATTGCATTTCCGATCCAGAAATGGACTCTACCTCTTTTTCCATGCTTTTCGGGTCTCTACTTGAGAAAGTGCCCAGGAACATATAGCTCGCTCTCAATTAGTCTGCCTCCCTAGGTCTGATATTGGAGTTGTAGAATGGATCAGGCGGGCCCTTCCACAGTGGGACACCCCCTATGTGTTTTTCTCTAGCCTCCCAATGACAATAGTGTAATACATATCCCCGCGACCGCTGTACATCAGAATGTACTCCACACCTGAGTGATGCTTGCTCCACATGTGCCCGACCTCACCAGGACATAGTCCAGGTCCTCGTCTTGTACTTCTAACTTATGTATAACACTATGGGCCCCCACGCCATGAAAGCGAGGGGGATAATAGAAATTGATAAGCCTCTGCGCTTGAGCTTGATTCAAAAGAACGTTGAAAGACCGAACACAAGCATGTTGAACGCTGTCGTATTGCCTACAAAGATAGTGAACCTCTCATCTTTTAATGACGTTGTTTTCAATAATTTGATCGATCTAGCTCAATATGATATGGGGACGTTATGTCAATTGTAATACTACTATGTATACTGTTTTTTTTTTGGATGCCATGTTCTATGCTTAGGTGAGCTCAAGCCTCAGACACCAGTTGTGACCTTCGATTGAATATTGGTCATTGTATCACTTCCTTTGGTCTCACGCGTTCTAAACTTGATCGTTAGATGAGTGAGCGTCGCTTTGGTGTGCTATATATGGGCGATTGAACATAATACACCGAACGGAGAGTTTCTTTGGATGTTATTCATATTTCTTCGAAGGTATCGGAGAGAAAAGCACAAGGGGAGACAGAGTCTTTTTCTGAGTCAATATTGCTTCTATACAAGCAGGAAAATTGTCACGAGGATTCTTACAGACAACGGGAGTATGGGTGCTCTCTTCCAGACTGATCGTCTTATAGCTGCCGATAATCAACATGCTGCATTGCATTACTGACATAGATATCAGCTTGTCTCTGGCAAGACCGGCCTCCGTGGGAGACCGCAGAACCCAATAGGAGTTATATAGATCTCATGTAACGCAAGAAAGATTTATTCAATACATTCTCATATACTGTAAGAGTAGTGTGCAGTCTAGATGGTGTTTATATTTTGACAAACACCCATGAACATAGGTAACTTTTCATAACCTCGAGTTTGTATGTGACTTTCGGTAGGCAGATGGCAGCACACCTAATGAGAGAGATGATCAGCTTAAAGCGAGAAGCTAGATGCCTCCTGAGAACGCTAGTTTCGCGTGACTCGGAGCATATATAGTCTTATAGATAACAAGATGTTTTCCAGAAATTGTGACTTTTGGCAAACTAAGCAATTGATACCGACCCTAAGGCGATCATTACTGAGAAACTTGCCTCAATCTCAAGGACGCATTGGACTTGAGCTTTACCAAGCCGATGTAATGACATAGATAGCGGATGTTCCCGCGGTCATTTGGCATACCGATCACCGAAACAAACAGACATGACCTCACCAACAAGGTTAATCCCGGGGCATCCGGAAATGATGCCCCCGAGCAGGTTTGGGAAAATTATTGAACGTTTAAAGCCGAGACGCCCACGGATCGAGTTAATTTAAGGTTATCGAGATCGATAGCTTGAGATGACTAATAGTATATTGACCAGTCGCTGACTTCAATCCTGACTTTCACATCCACTTGAGATAATTACGGAACACAACAAGCAGATCTTTCGATGTGTCTAATCGTCAGACAGTGGGGAACTGCATTTCTTCCAAACCACAGAGTTCAATTGGAGCTAATTGTTCCAAACTCCAGCTCTGTACCCCACACATTGCAATGACATCGATGAGAACCCAATTTTGAGTCCCAGACTGGCTGGAGCTGATTTTGCTTGTGATACTGCAAGGCACAATGAGAATCAGTATCTCAGTTTTGGTATCTACATGCTCATTGGATCAGAAATGGCAAGCTATTGTACTAATCTAGCATCTTGACTAAAGAATGAAAAGTATCAGATCTACGTGTGATGAAGTTTCCAAAATTGGAGCGGACACCATCTGCTGGAAGATCCACCTATCCCGCTCCCTCTATCTGGTTGAGCATCATCGACTTCTGATATTATACTGTGCCATGACATCGAGCTTTCAATTGCTTTCTTGGGTCGGGCTGCGGGCCTTGCAATCCAGGCAAAGCCGTGAGATGACCCAGCTGAACACCGAGCAAGCTGGTCCCTCATACGCTCATTTGTGCTAGCAACCCACTGTTAATTTGAACGTCGCTCGGGCTGACTGAGATAATTCTATGATGCAATGAGGAGAATGATGGTTGCTAATATTATTTAGGTGCCCCCGGGGCCCCAATCCTGGTTCAATTCCCAATTTATTTTTGAGCCATCTGATATTTTTCAACTTCTATTATTTTTTGAAAGCTGAACAAACACGACTGAATGACATTATCTGATTAATTTTTATCCTTACGATCAATCAATTGTTAATATACTCACGCATCGATTTACTACCCACCACTATGTTCGCCAAGGCCAAGGAGATCCTTGAGAAAGGCTCATCCATCCGTGAGGAAGTCCACAAAGGGGACTTCAATGGCGCAAAAGATGCCGTTCCCGAGGGCCAAAAAGAAGCGACCAACCAAGGAGGCCAGGCCAATGAGGTACTCGACAAGGGCTCATCCGCCCGCGATGAATTCGAGCAAGGCAATTTCAACAGCGCCAAGGAAGATATAACCCAAGGGCAATCCACTAAAGAAGCGACCAGCCAAGGAAACACAGGCGGAGCATCGAATAGCGCTACTGGAATGAACAAAGAAGACCTCAACAGGGAGAATGTTCAGGAGTCCGGGAACAGAATCAGCAAAGGAGGGATTGGCCAAGACAACGCGGGCACCTCCTCTACTGGCAAAACAAACGTGGAGCAACGAAACACTGGCAACGAGATGCGAGAAGCTGTTCGAGATCAGCAAGACAGTATCGATGAAACGAACGATACAGGGTCTACACAATATGACCGCAGAAGCAGTGTGGCGGCCGGAGTGCTTGAACCCAATTACGATATCCGCAAGGGCCCTATCACCACGCCGGGCACTTTCCAGGAAAAGAACTACCACAATGCGAGTGGCAGAGAGACTATCGTTCAGAGAGGTACTAGCAGCAAAGGGCTATTTAGCCATGAAATTGACAAAAAAGACACACCTCAAATTGTGTTCGCGGGAGCAGGAAGCGGAAATAAGGCTAGCTCAAGCAAAGTGAAGACCGGAAAAACCGTCGGTGGAGGTGGATGGAGTGACGAATACATTCAAAAGGAGCTCCACGACTTTGAAAACATTAGCCCCGATGTCTTCAGTTATGAAATTACAGGCAGAAACTTCCCCAAGAACGCTACCGGCCAAGAAGCTGTTGGAAAGTACCACATCGACAAAAAGCAACTTGAGAAGCAGGGCTCTCAGCCTTCCCAGAAAGAGGGAGCAAGCGAAGCTGCGGCTGCCGCCGCCGCAGCTACAGCTGCTGGCGGCTATGGCATGAAGAAGGGAGCCACCAAACACACCTCTGCCACCAAAAAAAGTACAAGCAAGAGACATTCCGTTTCTGAGACCAACCCAGCCAAAACCCAATATGCGAAGAGCCATGTTGCTTCTACTCTGGGAGAACATGATCGTGTAAGTGGACAAGGAAAGGCCGCCTCAAATCAGACGAACAGGCCGGGCTATACCTATGCCCGTGCGGTGTCAGATCAAAGCCACACTCCCAAGGTCCCGGCAAGCACAGGGCAGTCTACTACCAGTGGATTCAACCAAACAAGTGGTCTACGCTCTACCACCACGGGCCAGACAAACAGCGCCTTGTTCAATACCAACACCACTGGATTAGACCAAACAGGTGTCGCCGGCGGTGGAGTTCTGGGACTTCATGAAGACGATGGCTATGGCCTGTCTAGCAACGACAACAGCGGGGTCAATCAAGGGGGCATTGTTGGCGGAGGAGTTCGACAGAGCGGTGCCTATGGTCCCTCGGTCTATGACGGCATCAACGATGAAGCCGCTCACGCTAGCTCCGGTACGAAGAACAGCGCTTCGAATGCTGTGACCTCGAAGCGCATTGTCAGACAACTCAGTGGAAGCGGCTACAAGGTCACTGTCCTCCAGGAGAAGGTCCAGGCTGTGTCCCAGAAGTGCAAGACTCAATTAGGCCTGTCTTCTGGTGCGATCAGCAAGCGTAGCCCTAACGTGGATGCTTTCTTTGATGCCGTTGCGTCTGAGCGACTCCGATGGATGCCTCATGATGGTAGCAGACTCGACTGCAGCCTCAGATGGGCGTCTAGACTGGCGTACGCAGTCGACGCTCTTCGGCAATCCGTCGGAGCCTTCGCACCTGCTGCCAATGATGCTGCCACGCTCATCTGGGGATTCACTATCCTTCTCTTGGAGGTGAGTTAAGACGACTGATTCAAACCTTTTGGACAACAATACTAACCTGCTGTATAGTCTGATATGGACAACACTGATGTTTTCGAGAGCGTCTTTGGCCGATATGGCCGGGTCGCCGTCGGCATCTACTTGCTGCTGCAGTATGAGGTCGCGTACAAATCGTCTCCCGAACTTCAGCCAGATGTTGCCGCAGTCTTCGCAGATTTGCTCGAGATGGTGTGTAGCACGACCATGAGCTGTCTTGAGGGATTCAAGAGCAAGGAGTCCGATCAGATCATCGGACGTAACGTCGATGCTGCTTTTGTGACCTACGCCAAGCGATTTTCCACCCACTGGAATTGTGTTGTCGATTCTCACACTGCTAAGCTCGTGGAAGAAAGCCCTCTAATTTACTCGTCACCTGAGCTAGGTGGTTTGCGTCAGTTCCTGGGAGTGCAGGATCGCCCTCTCCAGTTTATCCTCGACTCGCGCGCTCATTCGCTTGCCGAGGGATCGTTTGAGTGGTTCAACAACACGCTTTACGATTTCACTGTCTCGAGCTCCCCAGTGATGCTAATCTCTGGTGGGCCCGGCTCAGGAAAGAGTGCGCTAGCACAGTGGGCAGTCGAAAGACTGCAGGAGTCGGCTGAACATGATAGCTGGAATGTTATTCCATACAGCATTCGTGAGTTTTTCTACTATTACACTGTTGAATTTGCGAGCTAATCCAATATAGGTGATGATATTCCTGTCGCCACCTTGCCTCTGCGCATCCTGAAGGGTATTCTTCACCAGATGTTGGATCATTCCGTCAGTGACAAGCACACCCAGGAGGCTATCCTGGTTGAAGTCGCCAGGGCAGCCCAAGGAGCGATCGATGGTGCTGGAGATGACGCAGTTGAAACAAGCCTTTGGAGGGGTATCCGTGCTGGTCTTGCTGCAAATATTCAGTATATGTTTGTGATCGACGGCATCGACCAGATCAAAGGCGGTCATACCCATGCTGTCGCCTGCTTTGATCGCATCTGTGAGGTTCTTTCCGAACAGAATGCTGGATCTAAGATGATCGCTTTCACCCGGCCGCTGAATGTGAAGTCGAGCTCCAAGGGTGTTAAGCAGTATACCATGCATACTTCCCAGACCAAGTCAGATATCACAGCATATGTCCACAAGATGCTTAAATCTGGCGCCAACTTTGACACCCACAAGAGCAACCAGCTTCAATCTGCTGTGTCTGCCATTGTAGCCCGCTCACAGGGCTCTTTCAGCTGGGCTGAAATGGCAGTTGCATACGCTAAACAGCAAAAGACTTTGAGCCAGGCTGTTTCCTGCGTTCAGGGTCTGCCGCAGTTGATGCCTGACCTTATTGACTTCCACTCCAAGAGCTTGGACTTCAGCCAGCAGGGCACTTTCAATGTTGTTTCCTGGCTCGCAGCTGCCGAAAGACCCCTGCTGGTCGAGGAGATCGAGAATTTGCTTAATGTGGACCCGAAGGGCCCCAGCTACTACTCCGACCAACCCGCTAATAGCTACGACATCTTGAATGCTCTAAGTCCGCTGGTCATGGCTCGTGAGGGTGTGGTCTCCTTCGCTCATACCTGCATTCGTGACCACGTCATCAAACAGGCCAAATCATCTAGCGGACAGTCCCAGCTCAACATCAAGGATGCACATTATGACTTGCTCACCAGGTGTCTTTCCTGCGTGCAGTTGAGCGTTCGCGAGGAGGTTGACGTTTCCATGAACAAGCTGAGCATTGAGGAGCGTAACTATCTCTTTGATAAATACGCTGTCTTGGAATACACAGCGCGCTACTGGCTGTCGCATCTTCTCTCTTCGCCCTTGCTTACCCATGAGGGAGAGTTCCAATTCAACTCTAGTTTCAAGAAGCTTATGCCTGCTACTGTTCTTTTCGCTCGACTCGAGTTGACTTGTCGCGAGTCCCAGTTCACTCGGTCTAGTGTTGTGGAGCTTTACAGACTTGCTAGTGACATCCGACGATTGGTACTTGGCGATAAATCTCTAGCCTTGTTGGAAAGCTTGGTCCTCAGTGCACGCGTGTCCAAGTTGGCATCTGCCAGTCACGCCGACGAGACCAGCTACGAAGCATGGAAGCTAAGCCAGGAGCTTCTAGGCCAATCACACTCGATCACCCTGGCATGCTCCGAGTTGATGATTCAGTCATTCTCCGAACGAGGCACAATGAACTCTCAACAGGAGGACATTGTGAAGTACTTGATCTTGACCGATTCCGAGATAACTGGCGTGGAGTTCAACCAACGCCTGAAATATCTTGGAATGCTCGTCAACATGTACAAGTCTCGCAATGAAAACCAATCGGCGTTGGTAATTTCGAAGCACTTCTACCAGCAAATCCTTCAGAAATACGGTACCAATTCGCGTCAGTCATCCGAAACTGCTGACTTTTTGACCGATCACTTCTCGACAACTGGAAGCGACGAGATGAGTCGCGATATTGCCAGAACCAAGTACGACAATGTCGTGCGCACCATGGAGGTCACCGACGAGCGCCGAATCTCCTACACTCTGTATATGGCTAAGATGTACGAGGAACAGGGCGATGCATCTCATGCCCAGGCAGTTCTCTCCAGCCTATGGGCTGGTCTCAACTCGCGCGATATTGACTCCGTAGATATGATGGACAAGAAAGCCAACGTTGCCCTTGTGTATCACGAGTTCCTTCGCCGTCAGGGTCGCACTGATGAATCTGAGGTCATCATCCGTGAACTGGTTGCAGATCTCGAGGTTACTGGTATTCACTCCGAGGAGATGTTGCAGCGCGTGCACCTTCTCCGCGCTGAGACTCGGGAGATGCTTATGTACAATCTCGATCGCTCCTTGTCCATTCTCATGTGGCACTATTTCAAGGAAACTCACCAAGAGTATTCGGAGGACTCAACCGCTCTGGCGCTCTCGATTGCCCAAAGCATGGCAAATTCAGTCTCTATCGAGAATGCATCCTCTCTAACTTCTCGGGACCGCAAGTTGCTGGTTGAGTTGTTGGATGTCATCTCGGCCAGTTCCGAAAATATGACTGTCACCACCCTAATCATGTGCCACAACCTTGCCAGTATCTATGTCCGCGAGGAAGACTGGATCCATGGCAGTGAATGTGTGATGGCGGTTCTGCAGCATATTTGGCCTAACATCGAAAAGTCCAAATCTCACCACAAGTTCTCGCCCGAGCTGGCACCTCCCATTGCAGACCTGGCCTTGGTGTTGGCTTACTGCCACTTCCGCAGGCTGCATTTAGAACAGGCTACAACTGTGTATGAGAACGCCTTCGGCTCTATGATATCCTCTGACAAGGTTCCTGTGCCGTCCGTTTTGGCAGTTGCCAAGGCCGTCGTCGAGTTCCACGAGACTTCCTATCAGTTTACTAGGGCGCTGACTTTGCTCCATACCATGAGCAACTTCTTGGCTGCTCGTCTCGGAGAGACCCACGAACACACCATCGATAACTTGTATCTCGAAGCTGCTTTGGCAACTCGCCTGGAGATGAACAGCGAGGCTAAGAGCATTTACCAGCGCATCTACAAGGCTACGTCCGAGAAGAACAAGATTGACCCTGTGGGCATTGACGCTGCAGTTGCCCTCATCAATCTCTATGAGGCAGAGATGAAGTGGGATTCTGCTTTACAGGTTTACCGATCTCTATGGCCAACCCTGGTTGTTGAAGACAACAAGGAGAACACCTTTGATCATAAGCTGGTGGATCGGATGCTGGAGAAGGCTTATCTGGGTTACATGTCTATTCTGACTACCCACAAGCGCTCCGAATTCTCTGAGAGGTATCAGCTTGCCTCTGAATATGTCATGACATGTCGCCACGTGCACGGCACAGCAAGTCCGAAGACACTCAATGCTACCTTGCTCTTTGGCGAGCTGTGTGAGTCTAGCGATTCGCACATTGATCAAGCCATCTCGCTGTACAAGTCTTCGCTGGAGAACAGCGAATGGGTGGATGCTTCTCAGTCGTCGAAGGGTCTCGACCAGATGACTACACCGTTGCCTATCACACTCAAGCACAAGTTGGCACAGTTGTATGTGCGCAAGCATGATTCGAGCGTAGAAGCCCGCTCGCTCTACACCGAGGAGTTCCAGCTGGCCAAGAAGAACCAGGGCTACTTCTCTACCACGACTCTCTCATGGCTCCGTGAACTTGCTCTTGCCCATTCGCGACAGGGAACTAATTCCTCTGTTCAGCAAGGCAACGCCATTCTTCACGCCTACTCTACCGATGTGCTGCATGCTGACAGTGCCCCTGCCACAATGGGCGACTGGGCTCGCCGGATCGCAAGCATCTACCTTGAGTGCGGCTTCATCGAGGGTGGCAGCAATCTCCTTGATGAACTTCGCCACCGCGTGGTGTACAGCTCCGGAGCTTCCGTCACGGAACTGAGCGTTCGTCGTGACGCTATCTTTGTCGCTGCCTTCGAGGAAGTCTTCAGCAGACGTGCTAGCTACGACCAGATTATGAACGAGATGGCTCGTGAGATGGAGACTTCTCAAGCCTTCGCCAAGAGCCTCTCTAGCCACAACTTCATTCCTACTCTGGTCAATGGTCACCAGCTCTACAATCTTCAGATTGGTCAGAAGAGAGTTCGCGCTGCCAACGACACCAAGGACAAGCTTTACGAGTACTTCTGCTCTAACTTGTCCGCCACCAAGGTCGCTGACAAGGGGGTCGTGCAGCGGTTCTACCAGATCTGCTTGCGTGAGGTTCACAAGGATAACTACAACATCAACATCCTGACAACGACCACTGAGCTTGTTCAAGACTTGTGCAACTCCTCCCGCTTCCAGGAAGCCACCATCTTGACTGGCGTTTTGCACTCCTTCCTGCATCTCACCGACAGCCTCAACGACCAGGAGAGCATCAACACTGCCACCCAGCTCTGCCTGTACCTGAGCGGCCACAAGGCAGCCAAGTGCACCAACGAAAAGACCTACCACGCTATGTCTGTCAAGTCCAAACTGCTTCTCCAAGAAGTCATGGCAGCGTCGAAATCTATGGGTATTGAAATGGTCGACCTACCATTCGGCCACCTTAACGACATCATCACACTCCTTGGCCAGTACGAGATGTTCGACGAGCTCGAAACCATCCTCAACCAGCTCTGGACCTCCCGTATCGTCCAGCGCACCTGGACACCAGACGTGGTCGTTTGGATCGGGCGCCGGTTGGTCGAGACCCGCTTCTGCAGCGGCAAAGTCGATTCCGCCATCCAGCTATGCCACGACATCTGCTACAATCTACGCCAGGTGTGGGGCAGCTGCGACCCAGTCACACTGGACATGACTAAGCTTCTCTCCGCGATGTACACAGCATCGGAGAACCACAAGTCCGCTGCGGCGCTGCACGAAGGAATTCTGTACGACCTGCTCGGCGACTCTGAGGCCGAGGGTCATTCCCGTGCTGCTGATACCGCATCGCAGCATATGGAGCTGATGCGCCGTGCCCAGGAGCGTATTGGAACGGGCCAGAGCGCGAGACGGGCTTCGGCGCATGCGGAGCTGTACCAGTCGTTGGTGGACCGCTTCGGTGTGCACGCCGAGCAGATGAAGACTGCTGGTGAGGCTAATGGTGGTGCGGATTTCGGTGTTTGGTCCAAGCCTAGACGGTTCAGCATTGATGTTGAGGATATGGAGGATGATGCCCAGATGCACCACAATCATCTACGTGAGTCTAGTGGTGCCCCGAGACGTATCTCGGTGCAGGCTCTATAAGTATCTATACACTAGGGCATGTGAAAGGTATATGATGTTTCGGTCTGACTTTATGTTGGAGTTTGGGATGTTTCAAAAATGTTTACAGGACCAAATTGTATACTATGTCCATAGCGCATTTTATTGTCTTGACTTTGAAGTTACTTACGGATAGTCAGTAGCTTGCACAGTCTCTGTCCTCGACGTAGAACTTCATGCAAATATTCAGTACACATGTGCAATACAATTGGTTAGATTGTACGCTATGGAGTAGGGGAGATTCCGAAATCTGATGCATTATCTGCGCGAGAGATGTACATAAAGTACCCAATAGCCTTCGGTATCGTGCTTTTACCACGGTGATTCGACACCACAGCAGTTTTGATAAGAGATACTATCCAAATATGCGCCTACGCTTGCTGATTTGTGCCTAATTTGTGCGAGACCACACTGGCCATGGTGAATGAATGTAGTTAAAATCACAATAAGTGCATTGATGCACTGGCGCGCATAGATCGCAAAGGACCAAATGCCAGGCCTTGGAGGGAAATGATAACCAGAGCCGGGTTCTGGTCAAGCAGTTAATGCAAAGCTGACACCCATCAGCCCCATGCCTGCAATGGCAAACCCAATCCCGATTCCGCGGTGATGGGTGAGATTAAGGCCCTCGCTGAAGAGTTGCAATGCAACCGAAGTCATGACTCCAGCGGTGGCAGCGAACATACCTCCATATATACCCCACGAGGGGCCTGTGGCATCGTCGCTACCGTGTTGCCCAGTGCTCCAGATCCAAAGCGCAGCCAGGCCGGCACCGGCTGGTTGGCTGATACCTCCCAGGAGACTGGACCAGAACATTGCCTTCCAGCGAGAACCGAGGGCTAGGTACAGCGGGAGTGCCATGGCAAAGCCTTCCACGATGTTGTGAATGAATAGGGCTAGAAATACCGTCATACCGAGGGTTGGGCTGGCGTGGTTTGTCGCGTAGGTGATGAAGCCCTCGGGGAGCTTATGCAGGGCAATGGCGAGTGAGGTCTGGAGTCCAATGGACATGAATGCATTTTTAGGGACATGATGATGGTGTGGGTTTCCAGCCGCAGATTTGGGACGCTCAGATTCAACATCTACGAGATGGTCGTGGGATTCGTGGTGATGATGCTCCGAATGGGAGTGATGCTCGGAATGCGAATGAGATAAATGACTTGAATGTGGGTCTAAGACCTGAGACGAAGCGGACGAAGCACATGGGTGCATGTGGTGCTGTGCGGATATGGTGTCAAAATATCCCCCTTCTGGTGCATTATGAGTATGTTCATTGCCAACATCACGTTCCGCGCGGGAAATCTCCGGTTCTAGCGGCACGGATATACTTGCACGATGCGGCAGGCTTGGTCGCGTAGTTTCATTGCCGTTGGATGGCGGAAGCACTTTGGTGCATTCGCTGCCGCAGGTTTGCGAAATTCCAAAGCAAGGCCCATTCTCGTCACAGGTGGGTTTTACACCACCCATAAGCGACGTAATGCTACGCGTTAGGATTGCCCGCATTGTCTCGCGGCGTCTGGGGGTCGGTTCGGCATGTTGGCTCCGTTGCACCACCGCTGGCGTCGACTTGAATGAAGATGTTTTATTAGGCCGTAGCAGCGGTGTTTGTTCGGTATGTCCATTTGTATGGTTGTGAATATGATCCTCGTGTGCGGGCTCGCCACGCTCGGGATCACTTTCCGACTCGCCGTGGGTATGGGCACAGTCAACAACATGAGATGGGATATATCGATGTGCAAATCCAGATACTAATTGAAGGGCTGCCACTCCGGCAATGAAAAGACCGATCAAGATATATGCAGATACAGAGGGGGAGAAGCCGGCGCGCGTGAGGTATTGCTTCGAAGTGGGGAGCATGCTATAGAGGGAGGTAAAGAGCTGCTTATGTTAGTATAATCTATACATTCATCCAGGATGGAAGCTCACCATAACTCCGGCACTGAGACATAATGATGATGACAGGAAATTACTGCTGTTGGCGATCTGGAAGCTCTTGCGGCGGGAAAGCACTTGCACCAACACATCGACGCAGATAATAGAGGAACCAAGGATACAGGCTGAATCTAATTAGCGATTGATCCCAAAGATTCCAGGCGACACTTACCGACGCCTGAGACGGCGCTCATCACCCACCCCCCGGAGGTCGTTAGCAGACATGGCGTGGGGAGTTGAAGAAAACGGGAAACGGTGATGTAATTAGCAATCGGATTGGCGGTCAACACTTCGCCTCTCTCTCGCTTTCTCTCGATGAGAAACAAAAAGACGTCCATTGATAGGGATTTATATGGTAATCTGCGTTGTCTAAGGACAGTGCATTAACCCCCAAGGTTCTCACTGCAGTTCTGCAAGCTGCCCCCCCTTATGGCTAGGGTCTGCTGGAATAGACGGTCTGTCATCGTGAATACTCTGTATATCCTTAAGACTATGGTGTATGGAGAAAAGGCTTCAATCTTTGGAGGATCATAAATACTGTCTCATTGGGATCTATCGGGTGTGACTTGATGGCTCATATGAAGGGTGCACACATGCAAGGGGGTGCAACTGACAGTATCTTGTGATTTGAATAATTTTAGACTCACCGGACTCGAAAAGAATCACGAGAATCCTGAAGATCAAGGGAATCAAGGGAATCAAGGGAATATATATACATCACCTCCCACATAGTAGAATGCCGAACAATAGTTCGGGGTTTCCCATGTGATGTGATTGGCCCGTGACTCTCCAACTTTTTATTGTCTTTTGGTTCCTGGCACTCTCGACTGAACCAGCCCTATATATCAGGACACTTAGCCATGTCCAAAGCAACTTTGGCCGTCATTGCTGCTGCTAGCGCAGCCACCGGTGCTGGTGTCACTGCACTGCTCTTCTCCGGCAAATCCTCAAAGCCGCAACAACAAGAGACCTTGCCCCCGACACCGACACTCCCAGGTCCCAAGGTGCCCTCAACCATCCCAGTCCCAGCCCTAGCAGCCAAGCTAGCCACCAATCCGGTCGACGCAGCAGGAATCCTCCAATATGGTTTCCCAGGCCCAATCGCCGATGAGCTCTCCTCCCTCCCACTGCACGGTGCCTACGACCGACGCACACGCAACCCATCCTGGGTCGCAGAACACATAACCCCACAATCCCTAGCGATTAACAACGCCGACCGAAAGAAGAGCACCTTCTTTGAAGACACGACCATCCCGTCTATGTTCCGCGCCAAACTGTCCGATTATTTCCGCTCAGGGTATGACCGCGGACACCAGGTGCCTGCGGCCGACGCGAAGTGGTCGCAGGACGCGATGGACGGTACATTCGCGCTGAGCAATATGTGCCCCCAGGTTGGCGAGGGTTTCAACCGCGACTACTGGGCGCACTTTGAGACTTTCTGTCGGGATCTCACCAAGCGTTATCCCTCTGTTCGTGTGGTTACTGGCCCGTTGTACCTGCCTCACCGTGACCCGGATGGAAAGTGGCGTGTGAACTACGAAGTTATTGGTAACCCGCCTAACGTCGCTGTACCCACACACTTCTATAAGGTTATCTATGCTGAGGATGGGACTAATTCGCCCACGAGCAAGGTTGCGCTCGGTGCTTTTGTTCTGCCCAATGCTCGCATTGCGAATGATAAGGCCCTGACCGACTTTGAGGTTCCTCTTGAGGCTGTTGAGCGTGCTTCCGGGTTGGAGTTCGGCTCTAAGCTGGACCTCAGTCGCCGTCGTCGTTTGTGTCAGGAGGTGGCTTGCAAGGTCACCGTGCGCGAGTTCAATAATGCCCAGAAGCGTTCTTGAGCTTGTGGCAGATAGGATGAGGAGAGAGGCTAGGTTCACCTAGTGACTTCTCGCATGGCTTCACTGTATATCTAGAACATTGTATTTGCATGGTTCGGGCGTTAATAACCGCTCCGGGCGGCAATATCAGGATATTTTTATCGCACAAATAATCCAAACCTGTGGTGTTTCATGTTTCTTTTTCGTTTTGTTATCGGACTTGCTCAGCACTGGAAGGCAACTCCGTTCTTCTTCCCCATATTTCCACCTTTGCTAGCAAACCCAGTTCCTTCGGAGGAGATCTCCACGAGACCAGGCTGAATAGCATCCTTATCCTTCTTCTTAGACTTCTTGCTATTCCCATTTCCATTTCCATTTTCGTCTGGTTTTGACTTTGCCGTAAGATCTGTCTCACACACAAAACATAGAACCTGGCCATGGAGAGCAGCAGTCTTCTCTTGCTCTTCCTTCGAAGCATGTGGATCGGGGACGTGGTGTTCGTGGGGAGTCATGAATTTCGTTACACAGGGAGAGCAAATAACATGCCCGCAGGGTTTTGTAACTGTCATGGGAGATAATTAGCAAGATTTCGCTGTACCAACTTCCATTTCACATACGCATCGCCTTGAGCCCATTGCTCAAATTCTTCTTGCAACTCGGACACACCCTAGACACAGTTCCGTCGGCAGCCTTCTCCTCTGTGAAATGAACATCAACAAGCGACTTGAGCGAGTAGCTATGTCGGCTCTCATCCGTCGAGCCAGGACAGATAGGCGTTAATTTGACGGTCTTGTTGGCGGTGATTTCATTCGCGTCCGTATTGGGCGTTAAAGACGGAACCCAGAAGGACGGGAGAGCAGATTTGCTAGACGACTAAAGCAGAGTTGTTAGTCAAACCGAACCCCCAATTGAAGACGAAAGCTTCAAGCTCCACCTCCACCTCAAAGAACAACGACAAACCTTCTCCATCTTCAACTCCCTGCTCAACCTTTCCCTCTCATCCTTAGCAACACGAGCCATCTCCTCCTCTCCAAGCTCAAATACCCTCTTCCTCTTCCCATCAACCTCAACTTCCCTAGCCTTAAACTTCTCCAAAGCCTCAGACTCCTCCGCCTTCCGCTTCCTCCCACCCTTATTCTCCAATCCCATCGAAACAAGCTCGAAATCCTTAAGATCCCTCTCCTTCATCTCCGCCAGTGAACGCTCCTCGTCCTCCGCAATGCGTTTCCGCGCCTCGTCGCGCTCTTTTTCAAGTCGTTTGATCTCCTGTCGCTGAGCAAGGAGGTCGCTAATCGCGCACTCGCGGCAGAAAAGGTCGCCATTGCTGGCGCATGCGACTACAGGCGCTCGTGCAGGTTGCAGACATAGACGGCAGGAGCCGAAGGCTAGGAAGCTGTCGCGACCGATTGCGCTGCGTTTTGTGCCCCATGTTGAGCGTAAGAGACCCCGTTCGTAGGAGGTAAAGTGTGGAAGGGAAGTGTTTCGCTTTGAGTGCGCCATTTTGGGTGTGATTGGCGTCGGAGTTGATTGGAGGTGAGGGTGGCTTTTTGTAGCTTTTTGGATGTCGTAATGGGTTTTTGGTCGGGGTTTGACAGCGGTGGAAGGTTGGCGTTTGGGATTGGTGGATTGGTCCACCGCTTAGTTTACCGCTTTTCTCAGCCCTATGCATCATCGTCGGGTCCGTGGAGAGATTGTAATTGCATGCTCAAGTTTCTATTGAGAACAAGCCTTGACTCTAATACGTAGTTCTTGGATGCAGCTTCTTACATCTAAGCTTAAATAGGTATCCCAGGAAGCAAAAAGAGTAGAAAATCATATCATTCTCAATCATAATTCGCTTTTGTCTATCAGTGACTCCACAGCCTCACTCGCACTCAAGCATAATCGAAATGAAACAAGCCATGAGATATCAAAGCACGCCCATGAATGTAGCCTGACAGACAGATCTGATTCAACGATCTGGCAGTAAAGGAATAGAGTTCCCAGAAGCTCAAACGCAGACGCGGATGCAGACAGATGCTCAAAAATCCACACCGAACCGAAAACCTGTCACGAAACCAAAATTCGCCAGATGTTGATGCAAAGACAGTAAGAAAAGAGAAACAGAAAAAGACAAAATGAGCCGCAAGAGTTTGGGAAAGGGGTATAATAATCGTCAAGCAGAAGATCAAAATGAGAAGGTTTAGGATGTACAGAACAAGCAGGGGAAGAGAGGGTGGAGAGCTAAAGAAGGCGGTGAAGACTCAGGCGCCCACGGCCTGCTCGCGTAGGTTCTCGCTGGACGGCGTATCAAGGATTCGCTCAGTGACGGAGGTAGAGGAGTGGGAGGGGGAGGGGGAGCCGTCATGTCGTGGTGCTGAAAGGTGGTTGTTGGATATTGTGCATGAGGGGGGTAGGGAGTGTTTTTGGTGTATAGGGGATCCGCATCTGAAGGAAGAGTGGTGATCACTGGGGAGGCTGGGGCCCCGATGTCCTCTTCCGGTTGCTCTTCCTGTGCATCCTTGAACTCCGCCAGATCTTCGGTGCGCACACTTATACCAGTGGCAGTGCTCGTTCTCCGTAGCGACTGACGTTCCGGGCTGCGGTCCATCAGAATTGACTCGCCACTGCCCACTATAGCGGGATCCGATGCCCGTGGCTCTTCATGAGGGGTGGGCTTGCGGAGCTTGAGGCGCTCTTCCGGGGGCATATTCTGCCATTCAGATCCGAATGTGACGATGGATGCTTTCTTGCCATGCACGGTGAAACTGGGGGCTTTGCGAGGGAGGATTTCTCCATCGCCGGAGACTTGATCGCCATCCTCCTGCCCGATGCTAGACACAGAAGTCCGTTTCTTCTTCGAATGAGAACGGTTTCTATGAGTATGCGAGTCACGGAGGGTGCGATGAAGGCTGCGGCGGACACGACTCGGTTTGTCGTTCTTGTCGTTTGGAATTGACTCGCCCTCGGGGAGTACATGTGGGGCAATATCTTCATCATTGTGCGGCGAGGGGGACTCCGGCAGCTCCAGCAGACCGGCTTCCCTAAGAAGGCGCTCCTCGCCGTCGTCGAAGCTCGCAGGCGATGTCAGTTTCGATGTACGAGATGCCATACTAGCTCCATCCCACCGGCTGGCACGGCTGGCACGGCTAGCGTCACGCTCGAGTTTAATGGTCGTTGGGTCAGGCGAGTATGACTTAGCACGTTCGGGGACGGCCACAGCAGAGCGCCGACGGCCGACACGAGCAATGTCGGATGAAGTAACAGATGCCGGGATACTGGGACGACGCAGTTCATCATTCGAAGGTTTAGCCAGCAGCCCAGCCTCTAAGGGCTGTTCGGTCTGGGCCACATTAGGCTCAGGGGTATCAGCGCTAGAGACGGTATGCACAATACTACTGGCCTTTCCCACGCTAGGCTCCGATGTCACAGACGGTCCGGAAAGGGAGGCTAGGCGTGCTTCGTCCGACTGGGATGGCGTCGGTTCAGCGACTGACCCAACCCTGCTTTCCACTGTCTCATCATCCTCTCCTAGGTCTCGCAGAAGAATTTGGCGGTAACATTTGCTGCGCCATATGTCCTGCCTCACCCATTTAATCTTGGCGGACAGGCGGCCTGCAGCCATAATGACGCTCTCGCGGGCCCGGGCGTGGAGTGGAGTGAGCACTTGCAAGTGTCGAGCATTTTGTAAAAGACCATCCAGTTCCTTTTGTAATATGGAAATCTTTTCATTTCTTTCCCGAATTTTTTGGCTCATCAATTCTCGTCGTGCAGCGACAAATTCGGCAACAATGTCGTTATCAATACTGGGAGAAGGGGGCTCGATTTCCGTCGACTTGCGAGACCTTTGCGAAGATATCGAGCTCAATCGCTGACTCTTGCGGTATCGCTGTCCCTCATAATTCGTGGCAATCATGCCCTTGGTACGCACACCAGTGGTCCTAAAGGCTGCAGCATAGTTAAGGTGTGCAAGCCAATCATTCATTTCAGGCTCAGAGCCAGCGAGGAATGTCTCCTCCAACGCGTGGTGTCGAACAAATATGAAGGCGTGTTTATGCTTTTTGTAACTTGAGTCTAAGAGCGCAACTGTATCACCGGTAGACACAATGTTGTCCGGCTTAAATTCAGCAAGGGGTGGCTTGAAAACAAGAGTTCCCCGACGGCCATTCTTGATGTATGTCTCCTGCTGTGCCATGAGTGAGCGTACCCAGTTCACATTGCGGAAGAAGTATAGCTGAGAGAATGTGAGGATAGCACCCCATTCTTGCCAGGGCGATCTGGCTTTCTTCTTCTTCGGGTCTTTTCGCCAAAGCAAACCGACCTTGGCAACTTTGATATCTACCAGACCGGGATTCGAGTCAAGGGGGCTATCCAAGCTAGCCGGCATGAAGGCGTCAGGGCGAGAGCGCAGGGAGATGATCTGCAATATTCCGGACTTAGTAAAGGCCAGGTGAAGGGCATCCATATCCGGTGGCCCAGCAGTTCCATAATGACTGTATGTATCATCCAGATCCATGACGTCCTTCAAGCTGGGGCGCAGCGATCCCAATTTGCCTTCCAGGATAAGCGAATAGGGATCGACAGGCTCCCGTGAAATCCGGCCCAAATTCTCGGAGCTAGTGGTTTTGAATAGAGTGCGACGCGGTTTCGCCAAATGACGGTCAGGTAGATTGGCGTCCTCGACACGAATGAACGGAGTGTATGAAATGTTCTCATAGAAACATTCAAGAATGTCTTCTGAGATTCCCTCACTGCGACTTATCTTGACGTAGTCCGCCTTCTGCATCTTCCGCTTGTTGTTCTTATTGAAGACGTCGGTGTGAAGAATCAAGAGGGAGAATGCAATAAAGTATGCGTTATCTGGTGCTGTGAAGATGCCTGGGTTGCATTCGTGATAGCGGTCAGCGAATGCTTGCACGAAACGATCAATCTGCTGTGTTTCTTTCGGAAGCTCGACTTCCATCAAAAGCTTGCGGATTGCCATATCGAGCGGGTCACCAAAGTATGAGAAGGTTCGCATGTATTTTCGTAGACAAATTTTGTAGAATTCCTCTTCTGATTGAGCGAGGACGCCCGCAATCATGCCGCGAGGCAGAGTTTCCTCCAAACGGCTCAGATATGAAGCGGGTGTATCGCTTTCTTCCCGTTTCGGGACTGCTGGTAGCTCTTGCTTGATTGGGGTGGAGGTGCCACCTATCGCGGGCGAACCCTGACGAGGGGCGGGTGGGGACGAGTTTTGCCTCAATCGTTGCGTGATATTAAACATATCACTGAAGCTCTTGCGGCCACTAGTCGAAGTGGAGGTGCGCGCCGAAGATGCCAAATATGGGGGTATGGACAGGTCGTCCTGGTTCTCCGCCAGGGATCCCATGGTAGACGAACGTCCCCGGTTCTTAATAGAGGGATTGGATCGAACTGAGCGGGCGGAATTCGTCGAATCATTTCGGAATAGCGGCGGTACGTTCGAGGCAGCGAGTCCTATGGTGGAACGAGATGGCGACGGCAGTGGTGAGATCTGGTCCTGGACATCCGAAGCCTCGGATTTCGGTGTATCCACTGGGGGGAACTTTGGTTGATTATCCATACCGCCAGCCGGCTGCGAGACTTTGGGGGGTAAAGGAAATAGAGGGGTCCGATTTCGTTTCAAGCGTGGCATACGGAATCGCTTCGCTATATTTCCACCGTTACCGTCACGAGGGGAAACACTTCGGGTGACGGTGTGATCGTAGCTCTGGTCTGATCGAGACGATTCGGAAAACCGAGGATCAACCACCGACGAGCGCTGAGAGTCGTTGGTCTGTAAGTTTCCGCGAAGTGAGTTGGTGGACAAGCGTCCAGGCTCTTCGGTGATACTATGGGACATGGCAAGCGTCGAGTCGGTAACCTGAGAGTCGGTTGATCCCTGGCCTCTTCTACGAGGCTTCGCAGGTTGTTCCATTGATTTCCGAGACATTTCCTCCATGGACTGTTTTCGTGACGACGGTCGAAAGCTGAGCTTGGGTCTCTGTTTCACGGGTTGATCAAGCTCATGGCTAGTCGGGGCGGTAGTAATAATCTTGGGAGCTTTATCCGGTAGACTTAGTTAATCAAACGATCCTGAATGAGCATTGCGGTTATAAATGTTTCACTTACGAGGTAAGGAAGGAACTGGGGGAGTATCCTGGCCCGCCTTGGCATAAGACTTGGATAGTTGGGGGTCGGACGCATGTCGTAGTCTCATGAAGCTGAATCGCTTGTGGCGTAAGTTGGGACGGTCCCCCTCAGGTGATCCTGCAAAGTCCGGTTGGACCACCCCATTTGACCCGTTGTCGTCAGGTACCTGAAGTCCTGGGTTTACTGGGCTGCCTGATAACTCGGAGCGAGGAATTGACTCGGACAGTCTAGGTTCGGCGGGGGGTAGGGACGAGGAAGGTGTTCACTGCGACGGGATTGGCCTGGCTCGATGGTGCTCTGCCTCTTGTCGGCCACAAGACGCAGTCCTTTCCAATGCATGGTGAAGGACAGAGCAAACCCAAGTTAGTAATCCATGAAAACTTAACTTGTTAGATGAGCAATGGGGATAGAGGACATTCCAGAGTGGGATCTGGAGTGTCAGCCCTGGCAAAAAGGGGAACGCCGGAAAGGGAAACGTTCTAGATTTCTTGTTTCTGCCGCCACACGTATTTTTCTTATTTTAGTTTTATCTCACACAAAAATATAAGCAATTAAAGGATAGAAGAAGAGAAGAAGAATTAAAAAAAAAAAGCCAGAGGGGCAAGGCAGACGAGTTAGAATCTTGGTCTGAGCGTCGGGTAATTGACCGGGTATAAGTATAGAGAGCATTGGTATGTATATTAAAGGTGCGCACGGAGTAGTTAGCTTCTATTTAAATTAAAAAGGATCAGATAGACGAACAGGCCAATAGGCTAGTAGACCAACAAATAGTGGAATAGCAAGATTTTTAGATATATATTGATGCTGTATGTATATATATATTTGCATGATGTTCAAGTATACCGACTATACCGAAGTATTAGCCACTGACGTAGAACTCAAATCCTCGAGGACTGTCATCTTTCCGGATATCAATGGAAAGGAGAATTCTACAATTGACTCCAACTTGTCAGAATAGATTTGATATCCTCGTGGACCATATTTGCCTTATCTTGACGCTTTGTCCCCCTCCCGAGGTCTTCTCTCCGCATCCGAGGACTCAAATTCCTGGGAGCCTGTGAACCTAACCTCTTTAAACACTCCAACACTCGTTATTGTGACTCGGCATGCGTCTTTTGCCTCCGATATTGGTCGCGTCGACCCTGCTCTCTCCTATCTCCGCTGTCCCCGCTGGTTCAAGCATCACCCCACCGCCACCCTTGCTACCTGTCCGTCAGACTCATTCCAGCCCACGCCCATGGGCTCGACTCCGTGACTGGGTAATTGGCTCCATATGGGATATTGATCAAGAACGCCGCTCAAAAAATTCCTCACCGCCATCCAATATTCATGATCGGTATGGCAGTGATGTCGTCCTCCGCTTCCATTTGCGCGAGCCGGACGAGGCAGAAGCATTAGCTTCTGCCTCACATGTGCTGTTTTTGGACATTTGGGCCATAACCTCGAAGTTCGTAGATATTAGACTTGCAGATGATATGGTGAGTTTTCTTCTAAATACATTATGATCGTATCACTAATTACCTTAGATTCCTTCCTTGTTGGACCTACTACCTTCCACACTCCGCACCTCCTACACTCCCCTCATGGACAATCTCGCCGACAATATATACGCCTCTTACCCCTCCCGCCACCGTACCGATTCAGACTTCGGATTTGGAACTGCACCGGGTGTACTGAAGACGATCTCGAACGGCGACCTATTTTTCCAGGAATACCAGCCGCTTAACGTCATCACACAATGGATGCGCTTGATGGCGTCAATGTTCTCGTCGCACGTACGAAAGATCAGCGTAGGAGTCACGTACGAAGGTCGCGAGATCCCAGCATTGCGGGTTGGCACCTCTCCCGACCCAGAAGGCACATCGGGCCCTCGCAAGACAATCGTCATTGTCGGCGGTACTCACGCCAGGGAATGGATCAGTACCTCCACGGTAACATATGTCGCATACAGCCTCATCACCCATTACGGGTATTCCCCCGCAGTAACACGGTTGCTACACGAGTACGACTGGATTCTAATCCCAACCCTCAACCCTGATGGATACGTCTACTCATGGGAATCAGACCGTCTGTGGCGCAAGAACCGCCAGCCAACGGGCCTTCCACTGTGCCCGGGTGTTGATCTAGATCGTGCCTGGGATTACGAGTGGGATGGTGAGTCGACTCGCTCGAATCCGTGCTCAGAGAACTACGCCGGTGCAGAGCCTTTCGAAGCACTTGAATCCCAGCGTCTGGCGCAGTGGGCTCAGAATGAGACGGCGCATGGCCGCGCTGAGATCGTAGGCTTCGTTGACTTACACTCCTACTCACAGCAGATTCTATACCCTTACTCATATAGCTGTTCCTCCGTGCCCCCCACCCTCGAGAGTCTCGAGGAGCTAGCGTTGGGTCTAGCCAAGGCAATCCGCCAAACATCCCATGAATCATATGACGTTACATCGGCATGCGAGGGGATTCTGTCTCAAGGTTCGGCTGCTGGAATTACGTCGGGTGGCAGCGCATTGGATTGGTTCTACCACAAACTGCACACCAGGTTCTCGTATCAGATCAAACTGCGCGACCGCGGTAGTTACGGATTCCTTTTACCTTCGGAACACATTGTTCCAACGGGCAAGGAGATTTTCCATGCCCTGTTGACATTCGGCAAGTTTGTCTGGGGCGAGGAGGCGTCGGATGTCAGCTTTGAGGACCTGCTGGGCGATCAGATACCTCTATCCGATAACCTGTAAGCCTTTTCCTTTTTGATGATTGCATGTTGACTTTACGAGCGAACTTTCCTTTTTAATTATGGTACTCCTGATGTTGAAGAGGCCCTACACAGTATGTTGGCTACTTGAGCCTAAGAATGTAAAGAATGTATTGCAGATCTTCCAATGTGCCCATATACATAGATGTGACATGACTTCGAGAAAACCACTTTATTTATAGATCAGATCTACGAGCCTTTCGGAAAAGGCGCCGAACCGTCTTCATGGATTTTGACTTCAAGTCTGTGTCCTCCAACGTCTGCTGTGCCAAACGTCTGCCAGTCCAAAATATCAAGACCCACATAAACACCGGTATCAAGGGCAATCCTAGCCCCATACCTAAGCTCACCTCGATATGATTATCTGATTTAATAACATTTGCTGATAGACAGCCAAATCAACGATAGATATGCTTCTAGGGAATGTTATACCTCGCACTATAGCGTAGTAACTAGCTGAGACACGTGTTTTCTGTTTCCCAACAGGCTCTTATCCTGGGTTGTGCTCATGATAGTAGGGGTTCGGAGTGAACTCAGTCAGGGAACCTCTACGATTTGCTCCTAGTACCATTATCACCGAAAGCTACATCCGTTGGATTCCTTTTACATATCCAATAATATAATAATGATGGACCGAAAATCATTTCTCATAATTGAAACATCTAACGGTAAAATTCAAGACATTAACGGCCTGTCAATGAGACAACAACCCAAATAATGCTCATTTCCCACAACATATAGACATAGATCACGCATCAGAAAAGCCAGGAGACAAATTTGCGGTAGAACCAGCTTGCGTCGTTGTTCTTCTCTGCCTGAGCCTCCTTAGCGGCGAGATACCGCGCCTCCTCACGATCAATCTCGTCCTTACCGGTGAAGAGATCGGCTGTCATAGGGTCAACACCCTTGGAGCCGGTAGCGAACTTATATCCAAAGATCATAATGAGATACAGTGGAATACCGAGATAAGCTGTAATAAAGTTCTTGTAGTCGAAGTCTCCGTATGTTTTGGGGTTGTGGATGAAGACGTCGAAGTTCTTTGTGAAAGCGATAAGGATGCAGAATCCCAGAGCGAAATATGAACCTGCAATGCCCAAGGGCGCCTTGTAGGCCAAGCTTGAGTCAGGGATACCCTGGGCTTTGCGCGCGCGCACAAAGTAGATGTGGGTAACCAGGATAGAGATCCAGGTGAGGAGGCCGAAAATAGTGACCAGGTTCACGAAGTACTTGAATACAACCTTGGAGTCATTGCTCACGTTCATGTAGCCTAGCAAGGCAATAATGGATGAAATAGCCAGTGCAGGGACGGGAACGCCGCGACGGTCGGTGCGGGCGAAGATCTTAGGGGCTTTGCCTTCACGGGCCAGGCCGTAGATTGTACGGGTGGCGATGTACAGATCGGAGTTTGCTGCGGAGAAGACGAAGAGTAGAATACAGGCGTTCAGGATGTGGGGCAGGACGGGGATAGCGGCCAGCTCGATGGCGACGACGAAAGGCGAAGCGGCGGCCGAGCCCTTCTTCTTGTTATCATCTGAAAGGGCGAAGAGGAGCTTCTTGGAGTTATATGGGACCAGTGTGCCGACCAGTAGAACGCTGGTCACGTAGAACACCAGGATTCGGTAGAAGGTCAATTTGATGGCGCGAGGGATTGTCTTGCGGGGGTTCTGCGCCTCGCCGACCGTCACTCCGACCAGCTCGGTGCCCAGGTAGGCAAATGTGGCGGACACCATCGTGGCCCAGAAAGCCAAGAAACGACCAGCTGAGCCTTCCATCTTATAAGTATTGAAAGCCCCAGGGCTCTTCCAGAAGCGGAAACCCTTGCGGTCATGGTCCGGTCCACCACCAAGCATGAGAATGAAGGATAGAAGGATGATGCCGAGGATAATAATGACTTTGAAGGATGACAGCCAGAATTCGAATTCACCAAAGAACTTCACACCGAAGTAATTGATGGCGACGACGAGTATCAGGAAGATGGTAATCCATACTCCCGCGTTCACTTTTTCTGTCGGTATCCAATACGATATGACCAATGCACCGGCAGTCATTTGATTCGGGGATAGAATGATATATTTGAACCAATATCTGGATTCGTGTTAGCGCGATCATCTTGAAGGGGATTCGTGGTACATACGTCCAACCGAGGGTGAATCCAAGCGCAGGGTCAACAAATCGAACGGCATAACCAGTGAAACCCGAAGGCAACGGCAGCCAAGCGGCCATCTCTCCAAGAGCGCACATGACCAGGAAAACGATGAAACCAACCCAAGAATAAGAAATCAGAATTGCACCGGGCTATAATAAATCAGTAAGCAGCTTCAAGTCAATTCCTGTGTAAACACTCACGCCAGCCCTGCACGAAACCTTGTCAGCCTTGGATCTCCGAGTAAAATATCTGGGGGAAAGCTATCACTTACTTTGCAAGAGCTTCTCCCGTTCCAATGATCAAACCAGTACCAATAGCACCACCGATGGCTGTTGACTGTTAGCGCATACGAGTATGCGATTCGGAGCTGGTACCTACCAATCATAGTAATATGTCTCGCCTTGAGCGCACGCTGCAACTCGACATGATTGGGGTCATGGAGACCACTCTGACCGTGCTCAATCTTGCCATCATCACTGATCTCCCTTGTGACAGTGTGGTCCGGATATTCGTCGGCCTTGATAGACTTCTCCATCGTGTGTCGCGCAGGGAGGGTTTGCGCTGAGAAGGAACAGCCGTGAGAGATAAAGAGGAATTCCCAGATGTAAGATTGGGACGGGGGAAAAGGGATTAAAAAGCCAAGAGAAGTACACAGCCCTGAGGAAGATAAGCAAACAAGAGGGAAAACACAATTAAATAAGATACGACAAACCTTGGAAAGACCTCGGGACTTGCCTAGCCAAGGCTTTTCATTTTACGGGGTAGTATCATATCATAATAGTTACCTATCATAATGCCTCAGACCACACCTGCACAGTCCACTTGGCTTAAAATCCTTCCGGAAGAGGGCGTAATTCGCGACGGGCTCTTATTTTCACATATAAGATAACCATACTTTCTGAGGCTCTAAACCTTGAAATTGGCAGGGATATATCATGCAGATACTTACTGTATACAGATACAGATATATGTATCTATCCATAAGGTATGGACGTACATCTCTCGAAAGCTTGATATAGGAACGGAAGCGGAAGCGGAGACATTGCCAAGCTCACCTTCTGCGGGGAGCGCTTTGCAACGGCATTCGCCGAACTTTTTTAAGTTGCCCCATTTGCCCCGGATTTCGATCTTGATTCTCTACATTCTCTACATTTACTGAAGGAACAGAAACACAATGAGGTGGTTTGATACAACGATCCAAAATATAAAAAACAATCGAAAGTGCCACTCACACATATACTTGACTCAGCCACCTGGCTGATAAGCCCCGGGGCCATTTGCCCCCAAGACCCCTTATCAAGGCCTACCCCCAAACATGTATGGGCATCCTACCATTGCCAAGGCCAAATTTCTCCTTGGCACATGAAACGCTAACCTAAACTCGGGTGGGATGCACCTTTTTGAGGCTGGGCATCTGCGCCAAGACTGTTTCCGGTTGCTTCAACCAATCAAGGAGAACGAAGGGGGAGTCTGTTGAATCCATAGCTTATCTCTCTTGGTCGGCATAGCCGGTGCTCGCGTGGTTACTCTATCAGCTGCTAATCTTTGCCCAGGTGGTACTTTTGGTTAGCTTATGGGGACTTGGTTTTTCCAGAAGGGTTTGAAGGGGACCTGGTGGGATCGGCTATGGCGTCAAGCACGACACATGAATGCGAGGCGTCAAAGGCACTTTCCTCGATCCTTACTCGTATATTCCACACATACTCCAGATGGTTCTGCGGGAGATGTCGATCTCGGTTCCGTTCTGTGTGCGTCAACAAATTGTCAAAGTGCTAGTCTCGCGCTTGTTCTGGGGACCCAGCTGTGGGAATGCCCAGCCTAGCTAAATAACAGTCCTTTCAATCTGTTGCGCCTCTTTTTTTGTACTTCCCCATACGGAGTGCGCCGGTGGATATTGAAGGTGCATCACTCTGAGCCAAGGTCCAATAGGGGAAAACACCAAGGCTGGTACCGAGGCTGGAGCAGTGTCAAGAGGAAAGTGCGGGATGGCTGCCCTTGGTTTTCTGGCACCGGTAACTTGAACAGTTTGGACAATATGTGAAGGTGCCAAATCATCGGTATGAAGTGCCTCAGGTCCACATGCGATCCTGTTGTTTTCCGGTGCAGACTCGGCCATCACAAATAAACGTTCCCTCAAGCGATCGTATCGGGGCTTTCGGTTCTGGCTCCACGATCAGCCGAATGGATCATGGTTTCCGGCTGAATGGGGTAAATGGTCACAGAGATGTCTCCATTTTGTAGTGTGGGGTCTCAGAGACTAATCTGAAGTGGAACACCGTCCGGAGTACGGAGTACTCCGTATGAACATCTTCGTGCTTCTGAAGATATAGTTGAGATTCCAAGTAAAGACAGACTTGAAAAGAATCCAGAATTCAAGCATGCGGAAAAGAATAAATCAGTAAAGAGAAGTTCAGTAATGGAATGTCTGAGCTAGTCATATCAAGTTGGAAAATATATGATCAAGTCGGGGGCCTGCCTAGGTATTCAGACAATGCCAAGGATCTCGATAATCAGAAAATCGCGCTTGCTGAGCACTCATCCGGGATAATCGAGCAAATTAAACTCAATTTAGGTGATGGCATTATGACCGAGAACATGCATAGCTGACGTGGAAGACGATGGCCCCCAACCAGAATATCCACCAGCCAATCAGACCCAAAGTCAAGGGACACACCGACACGGACAAGGCGTTCCTCATGGGAATCGGGCAAGATTCAGCCTCATAAAAATGCCCGAAGAAACGAAGCCACCCGTTTGACTGGTTATTCATTCGTTCAAAATCAAGATTCACAGATGCAGATGGGGACCCACCGCGCTTTGATGCACCAGCAACGTGGCCTTGGAAAGGCAGAATCATGTTAGCTCATAGAGAAAGACATCGGAGAGGGTGTGTAGCCACTATACAGCATGTGCAGGTCTAGCGCAGTTGGCTCGAGGGGAACAAAGGGTTGGCTGAGTGTTGCCTCTCACATGTGGGAGTCAGCCGCTACATTCAGCCTCGTGGGAGCGATGCATATTCTGGCTTGGGCTTAGGGGTGAAATGATGGTGGGGGGTCTATGTTGGTGCAGTTGGGGAGACCGAACGAGGAGACGGCTCGTATTTACTCTTAACTAGGTGGCACCAGCGAGAAGACATGCACAATGACGACCCCTGTCGTTCGACAGAGTAGAGTTCAGGGTATACAATAACGTGTATGCAGTGATTCAGGAATATGAACCAGTCAAATGCTCATATTATCCGCTGCTACTTCGAAGCTAGTGCAAGCTGCCGTTATCAAGGCAAGTTCCTGTAAACATGTCCGAAGCTAGCAGCTAGGAGACATTCTCAGCCTGTCGATGAAATCCAACGTTACCAACACCCTGGATGGTGGGAAATGTGATCAATTCTGTTCAGGTGGGGGCTATTGTGTCCGCGAATCCAATGTCTTGAAAATGTGCTGTGGCATGCATAAGTGCATTAGGGCAGCGATCAATGGCGGTCGTCGATTGGGTGGGTGAACGCCGCAGCGGTTAGAACCCTTGGGGGTATTTTTATCGCGCTGATCGGGGGATTGTGATTCGTGCATTCAAGGTCAAATTTACTATCATTAGAATCATTGAAAGGTAGTTAATTTGATAGTCTTCCATGTTAAGACTGAAGAGATGCGGGGGGAAATTGACCGTTGTCCTCCTGCGCAGGTCCCTATATCAGAGTCTGGCGGCAGTCGAGCATTTGGAATTCTACAACTTCCAGACTCTTCAACGAAAAGGGGTCTCCCCTATATCGAATCCTGAATTCCCAGTCAATCACATCATGGGTGTTATGCGTCTCCCACGCCCAACGGGCATCTATGTCCCCAATTCACCAAGAACCCTCACCAACGATATGATCTCTCCACCACTCTCTCCCGAATTCAGTTTCGATTCCGAGACAGTCACACCATCTCTACTCCCAGCTCTAGAATACATCTCTACCAAACTCCAACAAAGAATGATGCATGTCACCCTCCTCATCGGCCGCGGAAAGCCCTACCCGACCGGTCAACCCTCCGACTTAATGATCATTCCCATCCACCCAATCGAGCCACAAGCATGGCGAGTACTCGAGCGCGCCATTGCCAAAGGCTCAAGAAAGTTCTCACTCGGCCCTAGCTGGACCGACGCCATCAGCCGCAGCCAGTATGAGCGCCAGGCAAACGACCACCTCGTCAAGCAATCCATTCTTCAAAACGAAGTCATCTTCAGCCAGGAGGGTCTAACACTCCTGAACATGGACCGCATTTATACCTTCAAGCGTCGCATGTGTATTCTCTCTACCCGTCCCTTTTCCTGTGATGACGAACAATCAATGTCATCCTGCGTCCGACTCCTCCACCGTATCGTCGATGATTTCTCCGGTCGCGCCTTCACCAAAGCTTTCTTCCATCGCGTCTATGAACAACTCAATGTCCCAGACGAGCAGCTCACTGCCGTCGCACTTGCGTACAAGGATGTCCATAATCAGGATGCTATAATTCTTCCCGTTTTAGCCAAAGCCCCAGCTCCAGCTCCAGCGCCAGTTCCGACCAAAGCCGAGGCCGTTGTTCCAGCAAAAGCAACTGTTCCAGTGAAAGCAATTGTTCCAGCAAAAGCAATTGTTCCAGCAAAAGCAATTGTTCCAGCAAAAGCAATTGTTCCAGCAAAAGCAATTGTTCCAGCAAAAGCAATTGTTCCAGCAAAAGCAACTGTTCCAGCGAAAGCTGTTGTTCCAGCGAAACCTATTGCTCCAGTGAAAGCAATTGTTACAGCGAAAGCTACTGTACCAGCAAAAGTTCCAGCACAGATTCAAGCCACTGTTCCAGCAAAGGTCACACCCATAGTTCAGAACAAAGCCCAGGCAGTTCAAATCAAGCCCCAGGTCAAAGCTGAGCAAATCATTTTGAAACCCAAGGCTGATCCCATTCCTATCCGGGTGAAGGCCGAACGTCCTCGGGAAGTGAAGAGATCGCCCATCCAGACTGTGCGCGGTCGGAGACAGCCTCCACCATCAAAGATGCGAGGACAGAATAAGCGTGGGCCCAAGACACCTCTTTCTGCGTCGGATGTCACCCCCATCACGCGGAACGAGTGGAATATCCTTGTCAGCCAGGATATTCGTGTGCAGCCTAGAGTTACCAAGTGGACCCCGTCGCCGACTGTTCTAGCGTTGGCCGCTGCTTGAGCTTATTTTCTTCCATTGGTGCACAAAACAATTCGCTGTTATATCCATAACAAACCCCCAGACCTTGTCTCGAGACCCAGCCCTCGAGACGAGGTATGGGTCTCGGTCACAGCTCACATGCCATCTCCACGAATTTGGTTTGTGGTTGAGCTGGACATGAAAGCACAGAGAGAACTATATCTATCCCATGTTATTAGATGACATCTGTGTCTTCGTTGTATCTGATTCACCAATTCTGGACCTTTGTAGGCCATTTGGTGAAGGAGAGATTGGCCAGCCTTGACGTACCGGGCGTGGGAAGACCCCAGTATCTGGACTGGCTCCAAAGTCTCCTCTTGGCACTCTAATGATGATATGATAATGACTTCAAAAGCTTCAGGAAGTTTTTAATGTTGTGAAATTCCGTTCACGGTGTATATAGTTCTCTTCTCGGAAGATGTCAATACAAAATTTTAATTACCAATCCAAAGAAGTCCCAATATCGAAGTAGAATTATAACCAACAAGAGAATAACAGTCAAATACTTCTCTACGGCCCTACCATCATGTTGACATGAGTTTAGTTTGCCGAACTCGGGAACAGCCATAGTGTGGCCCCGCTTAAATTCGGCGACCGGCGAACTGAGACAGCCACCTACTCACTGTTCATCCAATCACAGACACGGGAAAATATTTATAGTGGGTGTCGAAGATCAAAATTGAAGCATTGACCTTATTAGCACATGGGAATGCAAGCTGTGAATAATGAAGAACGTTTCCTATCAGCGTCGGAATTCGCCGCTACTCTGCTAGTTATGTAGATCTACTGTTCATAACACGCAGTACTCGGGCTTTCTAGATCATATTGCGGAGCATGCATCTCGAGCACCCCAAGACTCGGGCAACTCTGCGAAATCGTCCATAGAATCATGTATACACATAGGACGTTGGATACAACTGCCTACTATGTAGGCTTGGCAGAGGTAGGCTTGGCGCGGTTATCTAAAAAGTTTAAGCTGCAAGCGTATAGGAACCCCTCCTCGATGTTTTATAAAGGTGTTATAGGGGTCTTGAAAATCTCAAATCCATCTCTCTACACCTAGATAATTTTATGAAAACTATCATGTCGGCATTCAATGAGCCTACCGATACTGATCTAGACTCACGCAGTCTAGACAGCGATCGCAAATGGAGTCTGCAACCTCTGCTTCGCAGTGCTGAGCGCTCACATAGCAAGATGCCCGGCATCAGGAAAATTCCTCTTCGGGCGATTGGAATTATTGCGCTTATTGCCTTTTTGAATATTCTAGTTTGGGTTGCCGCGGCTATTGTGCTGGTATGTTTCCACCGCTTGTGTGACATGGGAATGATTCGCTAATGCTTCTATAGAGTTACCATCCGTGAGTCGTCATTTGAGATTTTATAGACTCAAGCTCATTTGATATACTAATTATGCGAAATACAGTTCGCTGGTTTCTACAGCTGCCCTTGCATATTCTCTTGGATTGAGACATGCATTTGATGCAGATCACATTTCTGTATGTCAAAGTCGGTCTGGAAATAGACCATATAACTAATAATGATGTCTATAGGCTATCGATCTAATGACCAGAAGACTTCTAGCGACGGGACAACAGCCCGTTACTGTAGGCACGTTCTTCTCGCTTGGTCATTCAACGTGAGCACAGTCGTCTCATTCTATATCAAATCATATCTGACCCAGTCTAGTATCGTGATAATCACATCTATTGTCGTCGCAGCTACAGCAGCAGCAGTCTCTGAACGCTTCGACAGCTTCAGCACAGTCGGTGGAATCATTGGTACCTCCGTCAGCGCTGCCTTCTTGATCCTGCTCGGTCTTATGAATGCGTATATCCTGTATAAACTCGTGAAACAGATGCAAAAGGTCTTCAGTCTCCCCGAGGGCCACGAGGATGAAGCGTGGAAGATCGAGGGCGGAGGAATCCTTTTCAAGATCTTGAAGAAAATGTTCAAATTGATTGACCGGTATGTTCCTTGGCCAACCTATTGATGTTTCAAGTGTCTGACCAACGTGTCTGTTCTTGTCTAGTCCATGGAAGATGTATCCCCTTGGAATTCTGTTCGGTCTTGGCTTCGACACCTCGTCCGAGATCGCCCTACTGGGAATCTCATCCATTGAAGCAGCGAAGGGAACATCATTCTGGGTAATTCTCATTCTCCCAGCTCTATTCACAGGTCAGTACCCTGGCTTCTTGGCCCATCACTTCTCCTGGGGCTTTCGACTAACACCTCCTAGCTGGCATGTGTCTCCTCGACACAATCGACGGAGCTCTGATGTTCTCCCTCTACATCCAGCCAGCAGCCAACTTCCTCCCGAAAAAGCCAACAAGCATCTCAGACACCTCATCGACAGCCAGCGATCCAAATGAGCTTCCACAGTCGCGAAACAACCACCGCGACCCTGTCGCATTTCTATACTACTCAATCGTGCTGACTACGCTAACCGTCATCGTGGCGATTGTGATTGGCGTGATCCAACTGCTCAGTCTCATCCTGAACGTCACGGATGCTAAAGGAAAGTTCTGGGACGGTGTCCAGGTTGCTGGTGACTACTATGATGCTATCGGTGGGGGTATCTGTGGTTGCTTTATCGTATTTGGTGGGCTGAGCGTTCTAGTCTACAAGCCATGGCGCAGATGGATGGATCAGCGACATGGGAAGAATCCAATCAACGATGTGGAAAGGTATAGAGATGATGACGTCTCTCCCAATGATGATGTTATTGTGACTGAGACAGCCAGTGCTCAGCACAAGGGTACGGCTACTGAGGTTGGTGGGAAGGGCGCTTCGTCTCACGTTGTTGTCAGGGAGACTGATGAACCGAGACTTGAAGACCACATCGTGTGATTCAAATCCTAGCTCGTGGTTTATATAAACTGATTAAGGTTCTTGAAATGCAAGTCCTGAATACTATCTACCTCTATCTATCGTGCCTCGAGTAGATACCAAAGGTGCATGTACCCAAGTGAGCGTTTTCCAGGATATGAAACTACTGCCTGAAGATCAAGGCTCAGAAGGTTCTGTGGGTTTACCATGGTCCCTTCCCAATTAGGAAAGGGCCACCAACACCAGTATCCTAGGGACATTCCCAATTAGGAAGGGACCATAAGAATCGTCACCTACCCCGATTTCCTCAGATCCTTAAGCCACTGCCAGGGTATAAATACCCCCCCTCTCCCCATTTCTCTTCCTCTTTTCTTTTTTCCTCCTCCACATCTCTTCTTCTTCTGAGTCTTCACTCCCATCTAAGGTTTTAGCCTCCACCATGGACCTCAAATTTTGCCTTTAATCAGGACCTTCCATCATGGTTCCATCATGGTCACCTTCCATTATGACCTTTTATTCTTTCTACTTCTATCATGGACATCCCACCTTGGTCACCTTCCATTATGACCTTTGTCCACCATGACCACATCAACCTTGGTCACCTTCCATCATGGTCACCTTCCACCATGGACCTTCCACCATGAGCTTTGTCTTCCCTGACCACATCAACCTTGGTCACCTTCCATCATGGACCTTCCACCATGACCTTTGTCTTCCCTGACCACACCAGCCTTGGTCACCTTCCATCATGGTCACCTTCCATCATAGACCTTCCACTATGACCTTTGTCTTCCATGACCACACTAGCCTTGGTCACCCTCCACCATGGTCACCTTACAACATCATGATCATCATCAAATTCCTACTTCCAACTTCTAACCATCAAATCAACATCCAATCATCATTGTCAACTTCCAATCATCAAACCAACCTCCAATCATCAAACCAACTTCCAACCATCAAATCAACTTCCAATCATCAAACCAACTTCCAATCATCATTTGTCAACTTCCAATCATCAAACCAACCTCCAATCATCATTTGTCAACTTCCAACCATCATCTGTCAACTTCCAACCGTCCATCACGATCACCTTCCAGTATAACCACTGTTCACTATGACCATATGCACCTCAGTTGTCTGGTACTATAAGAACTTGTTATGGTATCAATCGATTCATTCCAAACGATGAGCTATGTTAACCTGTTTCTAGGAACATTCATGCTATCTGTCTCATCTGATCATGACCACCCAGCAGCCTGAACCGTCTAGTCAACAGTCTTGCAGTGGAAATACCCCGACCCATGGTATGCTTTGACCTTTAAGAGGAGGAAAGAAGAGAGACAGTCTTCGGTCGACAAGAGTCTCCACATAAGTGAGTGTCTCTGAAGGAGATTTCTCGTCTGAAAGAGGTGCAGTGTACCCAATGGAGGAGGAGACTCTGAAGACTGTCTGCTGCGGTGGTAACACGGAGTCAAGCACCCAAGTTCGACAATCCCATTCGACAACCCACATTCGACAATCCTTTTTTGGAACCGCCAGCTGGACACGACAGTGCTTCGATCCTCAGAGGAGAGAAGGAAGGAGCCAACTTCGTCGACAAGAGTCTCCGCACTCTACAAGAGTGTCCTGTAGTGGAGACTCTATTTTATAAGATTGGCTTCTCCTTTTCGCAAATCTGAGGCAAGCATGGACACAATATAGGTCCACCAGCTTTTGAAAAAACTTTGGAAATCCACGACAGTGCTTCGATCCTCAGAGGAGAGAAGGAAGGGGCCAACTTCGTCGACAAGAGTCTCCGCACTCCACAGGAGTGTCCTATAGTGGAGACTCTATTTTATAAGATTGGCTTCTCCTTTTCGCAAATCTGAGGCAAGCATGGACACAATATAGGTCCACCAAATTTTGGAAACACTTTCGGAAATACACCACATTCGGCAACCCGATTCGATCATTCCAAATTCAACGATTCCCATTCGATCAATCACCTTTGACGACTTTCATTCGATTTTCCACTGCAATGACTACAATGACTTCGACGGAATTGGCTAGCTGTCACAAACACGAATCCATTATGGTCCTCTGATCCCTCTTCTTTCACTCAACATGCTCTCTATCCGCTCTCACATCAACCCTGCTCAAGCCTGCAACTAAACAGGCTTATCATCTCAGCCATCGCAGGATGAATTCGCCCACACATCCACTACAGGATCAGCCAGGCCTTTCAGAACTGGGCTTTTTGAACGTGGGGGCTGCTTCCTTTCCTAAGTTTGAGCATTTGTTATCGTTATTGTTCCACGCTTGTGAAGGGTGTGCAAAAAAAAAAAAAAAAAAGATTTAATGCATGTCAAATACCTTCATTGCATTCTTCAATGTTGTTCTCACAGACACTTCATGTAAACCAAACTGAGGAAAATATATGGTCATTTCACAATTTCGTCTTGAAAACTTAATCTTCTAAGTAATTGATCAGCGCTGGAATTTTCAGACCAACTCCTTTAGTCTCCAATTGTTGTAGCCTATTATTTTATTATGGTACTATGTACTGTATACCACATTGTATGGATGACTTTGCGACCTTTTGATAGTGTCAGACTTAAACTTTTATATCTTGAGTTGATGCCTGAGGCGTTTGTGACGTCAATATCTTGAGATCCAACTTCAGATTCATCATGAGAATGTGCCTTTGGAAGATACCATGTTAGGTCTCCATTTACCCATGAAAATGTTTGTCTTTACTATAGAAGAATGATGCTCCTTAAATACTATTTTTCACATATATTATCAAATATACATCTATCCAGAACTAATCTAATTTGAATGACTATGACCGCGACTCCACGCTCCGTGGAAGACAAGACAGAGCATGTTTCCATATTCTCGTCCCAGCCACCCATCTTCATTCTGCCAACACACCTCTCCCTGGAGGATCTGGACGAGGTTGAAGGCCGATTGACAGATTGCGGTGGGAGATTGACCTACGATATCGCCGAAGCTGGCCTGGTTCTGGGAAAAGTCGGGCGCGCGAAGCGTGCCGCACTGGAACTGCGGACGCGTGGTACCTGGACAGAGGAGCTCATACCCACCTCAGCTTCGAAACCAATTGGCACGAAGCCACCTTCCAAGCGCAGGCGCACAAATCACTACGATGGGACCAAAGATGTCCCGGTCGAGATTATCGACCTTAGTACTGAGTCTGAGGGAGAGGGGAGAGCTGCGAATCATAAACTTTCAGAAAAGGTGATTCCAGAGCGAAAGGCAGAGGAAATCCAAAATACAGTCATAGTCTTGAAGCTCGAGTGGATGGACGCCTCTATCAAAGCCGGTCAATGTGTGTCCCAAGACCCATTCGTTGTCTACCGTGGGCGAAAAATCACTCCTCCCCCTCCAGCAAAAGGAGTAGAAAATAAACAAAACCTACTTGCACAAAAATTAAGTCAAATCATCGAGCGTGCGAAACAAGATGCTGGTTTACCAACACCACGAACTCCTCCACCAGACCACATCCACGCACGACGCTCAAAAGAACCCCCGGACGGGTCATCACCGCGCGCCCGGCCAACGCTATATCGACAGACGACTTCCGAACACGAAAAAGAAGAAAACAACGTACCTCCACAACCCGACTGGGTCCGAGACCAGGTCGTTTTCGCATGCCTACGCTCAGCACCCTTACACCCTCCAAACGAAGAGTTCATCTCGCAACTCGTGAAAATCAGACGGATTCGCGAACTCACCCTTGACGAGATTGGGGTGCGTGCATACAGCACCTCCATCGCATCCTTGGCAGCATACCCACATCCCATCCAGCGACCGAGCGAGATCCTCGCTTTACCAGGATGCAACGCCAAGATCGCAGATCTGTTCGCCGAATTCCAGCAGCACGGTGGCTGTAGTCATACCGATGAAGACGGGAAAGTTGCTGCTGCCGACGCGCTGGAGACGGATCCCATGCTCCGGGTCCTGAACTTATTCTACGGGATCTGGGGCGTCGGAGCGAAAACAGCGCGCGAGTTCTACCAGCGTGGCTGGCGAGACCTCGATGATATCGTTGAGCATGGGTGGGCTAAGCTTTCACGCGTTCAACAGATTGGAGTGAAATTTTACGAGGAGTTCCAGAAGGGTGTTCCTCGCGATGAAAGCGAGAGTATTGCGAATACTATTCGTGACCATGCTGGTCGAGTCCGGCCGGAAGATAAGGATGGAATTGAGTGTGTGATTGTTGGCGGGTACAGGCGTGGGAAGGAACTCAGTGGAGATGTTGATATTATATTGACTCATCGTAATGACGCGGTAACTCGGAATCTGATTGTCGATGTTGTCGCGAGTCTTGAGACTGAACGTTATATCACCCACACGCTGTCGTTGCATTTGACTTCTTCGCTGCGCGAGCAGCAGACGTTGCCTTTTCACGGGGATGATACGAGGAAATTCGATACTTTGGATAAGGCACTGGTTGTCTGGCAAGACCCACACTGTGATGCTCAAGCTGTTGGAGGGAATGAGCGGCCAGGGAAAAATCCAAATATCCATCGTCGTGTTGATATCATCATATCGCCCTGGCGTACTGTCGGCTGTGCGATTCTTGGCTGGTCTGGTGATACGACTTTTCAGCGAGATCTACGGCGTCATGCGAAGAAAGCTCGCTCGTTGAAGTTTGATTCGAGTGGTGTTCGAGACCGAGGTACTGGCCGTCAGGTTGATTTGGAACATGGCGGAGAGACCTGGCAGGAGAGGGAGAAACTTGTGATGGAGGGACTAGGAATAGGCTGGAGGCCACCGGAAGAAAGGTGCTCGAGATAGAGCTGGATATATCAAAGCTGGTTGAGGTCTCGGGAGAAAGACACGATGCACTCTGGATGTATATATGGTCTGTCTAAAAGATGACGGATGATGGAGCATATGTACATATATTAGGGATGTGTAGTGTTACACTTATATTAAACACCATCTTAAATATTGTCCGCAAGGGCTTCGTCAAAGATATACACAAGTGCTACCAGACCAGTTACCACTTCAAAATATATTTCATTTATGAATATGGAATAAATTGGAGACAGAAGGTTACTGAATCATGTCATAGTTAAGTTCCGCAAGACAGCTAAGGGGACATCAAGGAAACAAGAGAAAAAGTAATATGTCACAGCCTCCACACCAATCGCATGGCTATGAGGACGACCCAAAGAAAAGAAAAAGAGCATAAGGTACACAAAGATACAAATCTACCAACCTTTGGCATTGATGCATAAGAGTGAAGAAAAACAGCACAACAAACCGCCACTGCAAATGCACAATGCATAACCAACCTACAGCGAATCAATCATCACACCATAGGCCTAGAGCTAGCCATCTCACCATACCGTCCACGACTCTGGGTAGTATCGTAAGCATTGAGAACACGCATCTGGCCGCCATCGTCGGCCTGGGAGAAGGCGTAACCGCGCTGCTTGCGCATGCGCTGGACCTGGCGGACCTTCCGAATGGCTTTTTGGAACTGCTCCATGCGTGGACGGTAGTCCTGGACGTTGTATTTCTGGATTTCCTGGACGTGGTGGTACTGTTGTGGGTAGTACATGCGCTTGGCGTACTTCCAGGCATAATCACGGAGGAGGCATATACACGGTAGAACGATGGCCATCAGGTAGAAGATAAGGGACTTGAAGAGTAAGGGGATGGTGCCGTAATATTCATTCGAGAAGCCCAAAGCCGGTGCGGCGTAGCCATAAGCCGGGAGGAAGATGAGCCACAGGGCCATTGATCCCGGGATGGCAATAAAGGTGTACTTGGTCCAGACATTGGTGATCAGAGCGGCTTTGCCAAGGACAGTGGCCAACACGGCGGTGTAGAGAGCTTCACCCCAAACCCAATGGCCGGCGACTTTGCCGTCTGCCATGGGAAGATCCCAGTAGTAGAGCAACTCAGACACAATGTAGAGGATAAGAGAGTGGAAGAATCCGTTCAGGATCCAGGCCCAAAAGCTGTGCCTCTGGAAGAAGACACCTTTCTGGCCCAGCTGGTACAATTGCGGGTAGCGGTCCAGCAATCGGGCAGAGATGAACTGGTCAAAGATTCCCATTGCGAATGGAGGTAGGACAGTGAAGAGCACGTTGTAAAAGGAGAGCGTCCAAGATTCGTAGATGACCTGTCCAGAGAATGCGTTTTGGAAAGAATACTATGACATGTCAGATACCACTCCAAATAATCCATCAAGATCAAACTTACCCAGAATTGAGTCATGTACAGGGTAATATTCTTATAGTACGAGTATAGAATGACCCGACTGATGCGAGAATAACTCCAGGCTCCATGAACCAAAAGCAACTTTCGAAGGAACCTGAACTGACCGATTGCCACATCAGCAGATCGCGCAGCTTGGAGACCTTCGACACCGCTGATGCCAACTCCGACATGAGCGGCTTGAATCATGGACACATCATTGGCACCGTCGCCGATGGCCAAGAGGAGGGCCTTCTTGTGACGCTTGACAAGCTTGACGACCAAGGCCTTTTGAAGGGGAGAGACGCGACTAACGAACATATTAGAACAAAGATAAAATCTCCCGGAATTTAATGCTACTTACCAGCAAACAACGGCTTTGCAAATGACAGCCAGATCCAAGAACAGCTTCTCCATATCTTTCTCCAGAGCAAAAGTCAACGACCGCCCGTCGATGATTAAAGCCAAGGGCTCGGTGTCCCCAGAGGCAAGTTGGCTCTGAACGGCGTCCATTTTCTTTTGCAGGCTGTCACGGGTGGCGTCTGCCGACTCCTCGTTGATGATGAGAAGCGTCATGTCTTCCGAGATGAGTTTGCAAGACATGCCGATGTTGATTGCAGTCTCCTGTCGGTCACCAGTCAGGACCCAAATCTTGATGCCTGCAGTTTGGAGGGTGTGGATAGTATCCGGAACACCATCCTGCAAACGATCCTCAATAGCCGTGGCGCCCAGAAGATAGAAATCCCTTTCAATCAGCTCGGCCGCTTTGTCCAGTTCATCCGCACGGCTGCCGTCAACGGTAGTAGAAGCCTTGTCATAGACCTGGTACCATTGCTGGAACTCGTTTTCTGGGACTTCCCGCATAGCCAGACACAACGTCCGCAGACCATCCGAGGCATACTCCTCCAGGTGCTGGAGAGTTGCTTCCACGGTAGGGTTATCTGGGTGCAACCGCTCAAGGATGACTGTGTCAGCACCCTTACAGTAGACGCGGACCTTTCCATCAGGACACCGGAAGATAGTGGACATCCTTTTTCTAGTAGAGTTGAACTCGCACACTGCTAGCAATTCATATTCAAGCTCCTGCCCTCCAGCCTCAAAAAGCACCGATCTAGGTCTTCGGTTGGTGAATCGGAAACCCAACGAAGCGGCTCCTTCTACCAAGGCTCCCTCATCCGGCGATGCTGCTTGGTACTTGATCGCATTTGGACCATCGCTATTTCGCTCGGGGATAACAGTATGACAGGTGGCAAGGAGAGTGAGAAATTCGCGAATAGCGTTCTGGCTTGGGTGCGATTGAAGATTCGCTTTGAGTGTTTTGAAGTCGTGAATACCATATCCAGCCCCATCCTCCACGGTTGCACGTCGATCTTCAGGAACGTCATCACCATATTGGATCCCGGCAATGCTAACCTGCTTGAATTCCATCATGTTACAGGTAAGAGTACCTGTTTTATCCGAGAATATGTACTCAATTTGACCAAGCTCCTCGACAAGGGAGGATGTGCGGCAGGTGGCCGGGGTATCGGTTTTATCGTAGTAAATGTCGAGGTCGGAGTTGATGAGAAAAGCCTGGAAGTATTTGACAATTTCAATGGTGACGAAGAGGGAGATCGGAACTAAATTCGAATAGAGCACCCAGTACGTGAAGATATCGTAGAAGAACTGCTTTACCATTTTGACGGACCCATAGTCGAGGTATGCAAGCTGTGAAGCTTTGGTTTTTCGAATAGCAAGATCGCCAACAGAACTAATAACACTCAGAACGACAAGAATGCTGACAAGCATCAAAATCTGCATGTTGACGGTGCGCTCCACAGCTGTTCGCTTGATCGGGGTTGCTGTCGCATTTCGCATCAGTTTTGTCTCGTGGCCACTGAAAACCACAATGCCATGAATCCAGGGAGTGTTGCGCAACGTTGCACCACGAAGTAGAAGCTGATCTGGAGCCAAGGGCAGCTCTTTCTCGCCACCTCCTGCATTCATAGTCAAGGTGGCTTCGTAGGTATACAGACTGCTATTTGGCTGTTCTGAACGAACGCGTCCACTAAGACGGCTCAGATCACTGGGGCTAACCAAATGCGCAGTCTCAGGAATGGCTTGCTTGATTTTGAGATTGGTCTCGCCGTCCAAGTTTGCTGTCTCGATGTAGCATAGACCCTCAGGCTCTGATGACGCTAGCAATACCAAGTCGGCTGGAAAAGGCTGCTCGGACTCAACCCGAACAATATCCCCGACCACAACATCCACCCATTTTGTTTCGTGGAACGAAGATCCCTTAAGAACTTGGGTTTTTGAGTAATTCAGTCCTCTGTCCGACATTCTCCGTTTGTAGTCCTCTACCAATTCCTTGATCGCCGACACAGCCAAGACAATAGCTAACGGAACGATGGTTGTGAATTTATTCGTCGGTGACACATTTGGAATTTGTTGTAGGACCGCGGTAAACAAGAAGAACAGGTTGGCGTATTTCGAGAATTGTTCGAAGAGGAATTTGGGCACGAATGTAAAGACATTGTACTTCGCTGTCGATACATAGTTGCTGACGAACTTGTGAGTGGAATTGGCGGGCGGGTTGTTGAGTTGAATCAGGCGCGGGCCCAGTGTCGAGGGGTCAACCTTGCGTCCAAAGGGATTCAAGTCAGACATACGAAGCTTCTTGCGTTCCTTCGGGCGCGGCGCCGGAGAAGCACTGCTATCGACTGTTGCCCTTCTTGCGCCTGACTCCGTTAATGGAAGATCCATTTCCGAGTACTGCGACGACCCCATGCCAAACATGTATTTCGCTTTTCCCATAAATCCACCCCCGAGTCCGAGGACGCTATTGCGCTCATTTGCCTTGCGGGCGTGATGTGAACTGGCAATTCGGTCTTCGTCCGCATCGAGATCATAGTAACCGGAATGCCCGTCATCAAAGTCGTCTAGCGAATACCGCCGGTAATTGTCTAGTCCAGAGGACTGAGAGTAGGTTCGATCTCGCGTGGCGCTGGAGTAAGGGTCATTTGGTTGGAGACCGGGGTTGACAGGCGGATGCGCCGGTCCAGAAGCAGCATTGTGCTGCGTTGCGCCATGGGGCGCGCGAGATCCGACAAAGTTATCGTAGGAGACGGAAGGGCGCGGTTGTGTTTGGGTGTACGGTTGGTCGGAGTCGTCAATGTCGTAGCGTTCTAATAGGTGTTCATCATTCACGGGAGGGCGTTGACCACTGTTATAGATAGGTTCGGAATCCAGCAGCAGGTCGTCATCGCGGCCAGCGGCTGGATGCGACCCAGGAGGCCTACCGCTGGCCATGATGCCGCGGGGAAGCTGACAGCCTCACTGTTGTAGCGCAGTAGCAATGCCCCTGAGGCATTGATCGCAAGGCCAGGTCGACAGAAAGCGCTCTGCTATATCTGTCGGGAGCAGGGGTAATCGGATAAGAGGTATGTCGAGCAAGTGACAGATTTGACCGGGCCTGTACTGAAAAAATGGGGGAGTCGAGTAAGAATGAGGTCCAAGGGTGGCTTAGCGGGCGAAGGCAGCAATTAAGCTATGTTGATTTGATGCACGGGTAGGCGGTAAAGCACCGCAACAACAATCAAACAGCTCGAATATTCGGAAAAATATTTAATAATTAGTAGCACGGTGATTGTAAAGTTTTACAAGCTTTTTTATTCTTGTACTTTTTCTTTTTTTTTTTGTATACTATCGTCAAAATACGCTTCGATTTATTGACCGCCCCGGGTCTACGATGAATTGAGCTAAGAATAGGGGCTCTTGGCAGCCGGAAATATACTAACCGCTTTGTTTGTATGGAGTACACGTACGTACTCTAGTCCCACTTCAGAGATACAATATACACATGTTCGAGGGAAAAAAAGGCAGTAAGCAATATTTGAACGAGTTCCATCAAGTTTTAGGTACATTATTTACATGTAAAACATAGGAAAAATGGTTAAGTTCATTCATCTACTAGCGCCCATATGTGGCTGCCAAGTATCATTGATGTAAACGCCATGCGAAACTCCAGTCCCCCGATCGTCAAAGTAATGGTAGTACATGCTGTTCATTCGATTTGAACCAACCGGTCATTTTCTGCCCGAGACTCATCGGCCATGCCAATCTTCGCCCGCTTGGCCAGGTCAGCCTGGAGGACCTTGTCAACAGCAGCATTGATCTCTTTGACCTTGTCCCATGCCACATTTGTCTTGTTCACAATTGCCATGGCGTCTGCTGGTGCACCTGCGTACTTTGAGAGGTAACAGACATCGCCTGCACTGTTAATGCCAATGACAAGATCTCCCTCGGCAGCCTGCTCCTCCTTGAGGGTGGCGTCGACAATGACATGCTTGCTGTCATTGAAAGTGTGGAATGTGACTGAGAGAGGCTTGTGTGTGATATTAAGTGGGACAGGCACACGCTGTTCCACGCCGTAGACTATGACACGCCCGTCTCTCACCACAGCATCCGGCCGGCGGAAGTGTTGCAGTCCAGCCATGATAGCAATGCATGCTGCGTCAGTGATATTTCCGTCGTAGTCGATAATGTGGACATCTGCCCGAATGGACCAGCAGCTCACACCCTTAAGAATACACAGAGATTCGGTATCGAGGGCATTGGAATGGCGGATAATACGGTCAAGGGTGTTGGTGGCATATGCCTCGATGTCATTAGTTCTGCGAGAGGTAATTGTGAGCATGAATCAATGGATAACAGAAGTCGTGGGTAGTACATACCGTCCATTTTCCCAAGCTGGTGAACCCATTGCACTCAGCTCCAGGTTGATGTTGAAGAGTCCATCGAAGGGTCGGTCTTCACGCGGTTTAGTAACCTCAGCGGAGATGCGAACAATAATGCTAGCAAATCAGTTAGTGATTGTTGATTGTGGTAGACAAAAAAATATGTAGAACTCACTTTGTCTTCCCAAGCTGCAGCTTCACATGTCCATATTCTTCACCAAAGGAGATATTGAGAGGACGATAGTCGTCAGGTTGACGACCATCAAGACGCACATTTTCACGGAGCGCCTCGAGAATAAAGTCGCGCTCTGCGATTGAGAGTTGCGCTTCTTTCGACATCGTTGAGGGAGGTATAGCAGCCCCGGCGCGGGGATCAGAGATGCTTTCTTTTTTGGGCCATTTTGCCCGCGCAGGCCGCATTGTAGCGGCTCGGATGAATGTTGTTCCTTGGATTGCGCCAATGATAGCGGGGAGCGAAAAGGGCGGTGAGGATAAATGTGAGGAGAAGATTGTTGCCTGAGGCGACTACGTAATCGAAAGCTGGACGCCGCAACGTCCTAGGACAACCAACTTCCACTCAGCAGCCACACAACAAAATGACGACAGGTACGCCATTAGATACAAAAATTGTGAACTTCAATAGTTATAGCTAACTTTACTTCAGCCCACAGACCTACCTTTGACCCGGTTCGGCAACCTTTTTCAACACGACTCTTCATGGACACTAACTAATTCCAACAGGCGCAAGGCAAAGAAGCCCTCCGAGGCCCGGCCTACCACCAGAGACTTCTCCCTGCGCATAAACACCTGAAAGTTCGGTGTGTAGAACCCTCCTCGGCTAGACCGCACCGATCACTGACATTATCATAGCCAACCTGGACAAGGCGGTGCCGCCGACGCCGATCCATCGCCCCGTGACCTTCGCGCAGAGCTTCTCAAGGCAGAGGCAGCACACTTTGCCAAGAAAAATGGCGTGCCCGCCGAACAGCCAGCTATTGCTGAATCCTCAGCCCCCAAGCGACAAATTGAAGCGGCGCCCCAAGATGGAAGCGAAGGTGATAATCAGGAAGAGGACCCAGAGGCCAAACGACGACGCATATTGGAGGAGACGCGCGACATAGATGCCGATTCAGATGAGTCAGAAGAAGACAGCAGTGACGAGGATAGGTGAGTTTGAATCCGCCATCTTTTGCTCGGGACGAATAAATTGACAAACCGCAGCGACGAGGAAGATGAAGCAGCCGAATTGATGCGGGAACTTGAAAAGATCAAAAAAGAGCGATTGGCACAAAAGGAGAAAGAGGTATGTTGCTTTCTGATGCCCTGAATTCGATGCTGGTGGCTAATCCATTACAGGAGCGTGAACGAGCAGCCGAAGAAGAAGAGAAGCGAGAGGTTGACATTGCGCGCGGAAATCCTCTACTCAACTCCCAGGATTTCAGCATGAAACGGCGCTGGGATGACGATGTTGTTTTCAAGAACCAGGCTCGGGGAACAGAGAACCGAGACGGCAAGGAATTTGTCAACGTATGCTTATCTTTCTTTTGGCTTGTCTTTATGACGTTAACTAATTTGTCTTCAGGACCTTCTTCGTTCTGATTTCCACAAGCGTTTCATGGTATGTACTTGCATTCGCTATCATACGCCTACATTCACTAACCAAACTTACAGGGAAAATACGTGCGATAGAGTCTCCCGTGATAGTTGGGTATCCAAAGACCAGTTCAAGAGATATCTCAGCTCAGCGAATGGATATGTATTATTCTATGTTTTTAATGGCGTTCTTGAGAAACATCATACCTGTCAAAGTGATTTTACCCTAAAGCAATCCCCTAGCAAATCTCCACATAAGTCATATAGGAAGAATTCGATTTGCATATTTAGCCTAGATCCACTAGAATCCTATTCTTTGAGCTATAGCACTAACAAGGGGAAAATACAAAAAGAAAAAAGACTCGGAACAAGACATCTGCATAGACTTCGATAGTCACGACAAGCGTGCATAAAAGTCCAACGATTGTTGTTGCTCTCGGTGTCTACTGCCTAGTGAAGAGTATTCCGAGGGAACTTGATTCAAAGTTCCTTTCATGATTCCTCTTGCGTTTTTATATCGTTGGAAGAGACTGCAACAACCTTTGACATCCTTATTGCTACAACAATTATTTGTCTGTACTTATTTTTAGTGATGAACCTTTTAACGAGTTAGCAATAGGTATCGCAACGTCCTTGAATCAAAGCAACATCCCTTTTTGACCACAAAAAGGATTTGAAGCTTATACAGACATATACAACCGTAAATACGGCCCAGTGACGAAACCCTAGAACCTTTAGAATTGGCAGGCCTACAAAAATGCAATCTCTCTTTTACATACCCGAACTAGTCGATTTTGCACATGATCCTAGAGATAAAGGCATAACCTGGGTAACTTTGGAAATACCGTTGACCATGCATTTTACCACTACTGATCAAATACTGTTTGGAGTTGGCAATTCGCGAGATCCAGAACTACCGTGCTATGGTTCATCGAGAGCCACAGCATTACTCAAGAAAAGACTGTACTTCGTTTGGAGTTAGCTAAAGATTCAAAGGAGGAGGATAACCAAAAAGACGCGGCTCATATACTTATGGCTGATGCTGTGTTGACCGCGAGACACTGGCTGGAGAAAGGTTGTGCTGGTAGGGCTGTTCTTGACCGAGCAGATCTTTCATGACCGAACTTTTGAGCAGCGTTTTCGGAGGAGTGCTGAGGACTAATTGAATCGTTGGCTGTACATACAAAGCTCGGTTCTTCATTGTTAGCAAGTCTACTCCGTATAATCTACTCCGTATAATATTATTCCTATCACTGTAGCTATCACAAGAAATAAGATGAAAAAAGAAAGATATCGGAGTATTATTTGACGTACAATATCCTATATGTCATACTTGAGCTCGATCGATCGGCTTATTCCATGTCCATTCGGTAAGAAAAGTAACTACATAGGCGGCCGACCACTGTCGTAGACCAAAGTACCCGGCCCAAAACCACGTCGTATTGCCTTTTCAAAATATACATAGCCTGATGCATATATTTGAGCTAGATGCAGATTTGTAACTAGATTGGTCTGATCAATCATACTGAGTGAAACAGACGTGAGAAAAAAATGGATGGTGCATAGTGAGGTTGATGGTAGTTCAAGGGGCCTCGGTGCTTGATAGGCGCAGGTTCTTATCGTTATCGTTAATCAACATGCGGTGGATTCCCCTTCGGATTATCCCACTTCGGATTTATCCTCACCTTCATTCGAAGAGAATAACAACATTTCAACCATGGATTCGCGTCCAACTGCCAAGGAGCTGTTTGGTACGTACTAAATCGAAGCTGCCGCAGCTACATCCTGAGTCTCCCATGCTTTTCCGCTAACTGTGTCTCGTGATAGACCGCCTCGAGTATGATGTCTCGCAGCTGCTGCAGCGGTTTGAGAATATCGTCGCTATTGCCGCCAAAAAGTTCGATGGAAGCAGTTACGTTGATGCCGCTACGGAGGCCTTCCAAATCGATGTCGAATCTACTGCCCTGGTATGTTGATATGCGTGTCCCACTCAAGTGTTACCCAGCTAGCTGTCCCATTCCTCAGATCAATGCAATTGAGCTTCCAACTTCACATCAAAGACCTAAACTAAAATTTCGCTATCTTAGATCCGTGCCGCAGAGGACCTGCTCGCCTTGTCCCGTCTCATGAAGGAGCTTTGGCTCTTCGGCCCGCTCGATACCCTCGGCGAAGACGAACGCGATGTCCAGCGTCGTGAGAAGCTTGAGGAGGATGTCAAGGCCATACAGGAGGCTCTTGAAGGAGGACTGTTGATGCCATCTTTTTTGGATCTGCCAGGGAAGTCTGAGAAGCCCAATGCCCAGGACTCTGAACAGGCCGAGAAGCTTGAGAAGACCGAGAAGTAATGGTGATTTACCAAGACTCTGCTTTGAAGTATTTCTTGTTGGCCATTGAAGCTGTTTCGCATGTGATACCCACTTGTCTCTTTACGTCTGGCGTTCGACCGGTGTTACGGCGCATTCAGTTTGTTGTCGATATTTAATTAAGAACTCAATTCTTTGCCACTACTTTGCGGTGCGCTCACTAAGTTAGACTAGAGCAATAACTTGTATCCTTGTTATCAACGTTCATCGACTGGAAAAGTGCAACCAAAAAGGGAACGACGGCTGCATGATTCGCCTCCGAAGAGAATTGATTTCTGGTCAACTCGCCTTAAACGTTTCAGCCAAACCACCTTTGTTGAAGAACTGGCTACGAAAGGACTATATGAGCGAGTTCCAAATGAATGCTGCGTTCACAGTAAATGCCAAGGGCAACGAGAGGTAGTGGGACTAGGTAGAATTGCGGTTTAGAGTCTGAAACATATTGGGAGGTAAAGACGATGTGTGAACTGAAAGGCCAGGCTCCGAAATCCAGACAAGGAGCTCTGCAATGGCAAACGATGTCGTAACCTTGACAATCCGCAAAGAATATGACCATGTCAAGTTCACCTACAGCTCCTTATAGAAACGGAGACGGATAGCGGGGAGTAACGATAAGCAGCCCAATTCCGATAACGATTTCTCCCCTCGCGACGCGATCCTCTCCACTATTGACCATTCTCCAACCCAAACCTCATTGTCTCCGAATACAAGATTTTGACCTCGAATCGCAAACCGCAATCACCTTGTATCAAAATGCCACGTCACAACCCACACCCTCTTCCCTCACTCACCCTAATCGTGGCAACAACCCCAATCCGCACCGCGTCCTCAACCACAAAAGACGAAATCACGCGTCTAGGCATCGGCCTAAACGGCACACTCCCATGGCCACGCATAAAGACAGACATGTCATTCTTCGCTCGCGTGACATCTCGTCCACCAAGCCCCGGCACAACAAACGCGATAATAATGGGCCGCAAGACATATGACTCAGTGCCCGCCTCGCTGCGCCCTCTCGCAAAGCGAATTAACGTCGTGATCACGCGCGACACGTCCGGCTCTGTTCGTGAAAGTGTAAATGCGGAGCTGGGGAAGATGAAGGGAAAGATTGCTGCCAAGGCTGCTGAAGCGCAGGCTCAGACACAGGCACAGACAACGAGTGCGGAAAAGGAGGCGTTTAACCCGCCCACGGAAGCTGTTCCGGCTCCACCAGCGGTGCCGATGACTGATGCGATCGTTACGCCGAGTCTGGGCGCGGCGTTGGAGCAGTTGGACTCTGTGTATGGGACGCAGGGGACGCTTGGGAAGATTTTTGTTATTGGTGGAGCGGAAATCTATAATGCTACGTTGAAGATGAATGGTGAAGAGCTGCGGGGTCGGCCTGTTAGGGTTGTCATGACGAATGTTGTTCGGAAGGGGGCTGCTGATGCGCCTGCTTCGTTTGAGTGTGATACGTTTTTCCCATTGGATGGGCTTCATGAGGGGAATGGGTGGCGGGCTGCTAGCTCCGAGGAGGTATCTGAGTGGGTTGGAGAGGAGGTTGATGGGGAGTGGAAGGGGGATGGGGATGTTGAGGTTCAGATGGTTGGATTTGAAAAATTGACTTGAACATGCGTAGAATTATGGTCCTCTCTGTGGATGATTGACTGGTCAAATATGTTCACCGATTCGTACTTGGTATGTCTGTCCAAACAAAAGATGTACAACAAGATTATGCATAATGCCAATGTTGGCTGAGCGAGCCCACGGAATAGATAGACAAAAAATGAGAGTATATGCAAGGATATGCGAACAATCGAATGAGAATGCCTTAATAACGCCGGAAAATGCAAATGGAAAATACTGCAATGGTCGATCAATATGCATGGCCTATTCGCTGTTGTCCTTCATGAATTTCACGAATGCTTTCTTGTGGACCAGGCCGGAATACTTCCCGTCTTGAGTAACACAGAGGTAACGAAGACCCAACTTGGCGAAACATTGATAGACCAAATCTATAGGGGAATGGACATCAAGAGCGATGGGAGCCTGTCGAACACATTAGTATGGGCCAGATGGACAGGTTGACGAGACTTACAGGGTCAATATATTGACTGAAATTTACCTGGTAGGCATCCTCGTTTTCGCTGTCATAGACGGCGATGGAAGAATCCATAGTCATCAGGCATATCGTATTCTCTTCATCATCGCCCAGCGTATCCAGGGCGTACTCGAGATCCGGTGCTGGGATCAGACCCGCTAGGACACCCTCACGTAGAATGGGAAGTCCGCTGTCCAATTCGCCTGCCATGAGCAGGTGTTCGAGTTTCAAGCGAAGGTCCGTGGCTGCGACGAATGGCGATCCAGAGATGTCGATGATGCGATTCTTTCGCACTGGTCGGACTATATCCCCCAGCTCGGCGTCGGTGGTCGGTTGGAGTTTGCTATCAAGGAAGGGATAGGAGTTCATATCGGTCAAGAGGTCCTGGTATCGATTAGTATAACGTCAGGGTGGCATTACTAGGCGGGGCAAGACTCACATAAATGCTGCGAGGTTCGATGGCATCCGCAGTCCACTTGGCGCAGAGCACAGACAGGGAAAATGGAAGCACATGGTTGAGACTTCCTGTCAATTCGAACAGAATCACAGCTAAAGTGACCGACAGTCGTGTCACGCCGCACATGGTCGCTCCAGCGGCAATCAGAGCGTAGACCCCTGGAGTTACGCACGACTCAATCCCAGCAACGGCAGGGCAAGAGTCGAACAAGAAAAAGGTGGGATGTCTAAGAGCCCAGTACTGGATCAGATGTCCAACAATCCGCCCCATCAAGCCTCCAACAACCATGGATGGCACATAGATGCCCGCAGGCACTTTGATACCAAACGTAATTATGGTCAAGAAACTCTTGATAACAAAAGCCACCATAAGGTACTGAACGACTTCAAGAATACCATCTGTGCGGGGACATAGCCCCGTACTCTCCACATCTGATTCACAAGGAGAAGCTAATTCGAACAGAAGTTCAGTGACAGGAAGTTTGGTGTATCGATTCCAGAAGCTAACAATGCCTGTGAGTAGCGCAACGAGGAAGACTTCAAGCATTGGCCAACGCTTAATAGCCGGAATGCGACGGAATGATCGTGCCCACAAGCTCGAGGCTTTGATGAAGAGCGCACCAGCGGCGCCACCCATAACACCGAGCAGGATGAAAATGAAAATCTCGAAGATCTGCCAGTCTGAAAGATACCTGACCTCGAACAGGACGATCTTACCTGTCCCATAGGGATTTAGGAACTTGAGAGACAGCGTAGCTGCAATGCAACAAAAGAATGTCCGGAAAAGGGTCTTGGGTGGGAAATAATAGCTGACTTCTTCCAAGCTGAAGAGAACACCGCCAATAGGAGCACCAAAGGCAACAGCAACACCACTGGCGGCACTGGCGCTCAAAACCTCTCGTCGCTTTCCATCGTTTTCGTTATACTTGGCAAACAGACGACAGCAGATATTGCCCACGCAGGTGGCAATATGAACGTATGGGCCTTCTTTGCCCAGGCTCAGACCAGACGAAACACTGAAGATCAAGCCAATGGTTTTGATGATCAGCGTTTTCAGTCCCATATACCCGTGAAGGACAAAGCCGCTATTAATAACCTTAACTTCTGCCACTCCACTGCCAGCAGCAGAGTAGTAGATCATAGCTGGACGGGATGGAAGATTAGGCAGAGTTCCATGCGGTGGACTCATTCCTGACTCCGAAAGAGGAGAATCCGAGATACCGGGTCCATTTCCAGATCTTGTCCCACGGGAGTCGGCGCCCAAGTTTTCATCAAGCGTGGAAAGAGAAATGGACGAAGGAACGACAGTTTTTGTGAGCATTGTCAAAGCGCACGATATGAGAGCCAACGTCACAACCCAAAAGACAAACATGACGAAGTCAACCCACTGGCGTTGTGTACCTGAGGGCGAGAAAATCTCAGACCACGGCTGCCATGCATCACAAATACCCAGCCCTTTACAGCAGGTCCGCCGATTACGAAAAACCTGGGTCGTGCAGAAGCCTTCCTTCAGATCGAAAACCGACCCTTCGGTGACATCAACGAAGTAAGCAATGGCGGCGGTGATGCACCCAATGAGCGCAACTAATATCCATCCTTGTGCACCGTCGAAGGCCGCCAACAACCGGCCTCGCACATCTTTCCGCTGGCGGAGTAAGCGAAGTCGTGCGCCGTCGGCGATACTATCATGCACCCAATCTGTGGAAGTAAATTGATCGTACCAAGTCCGCTCATCCAAAAATGAGGAGGCAGTAAGATTGTCCTTTGTGGACGGAGGAAGGCTAGCGGGTCTGCTATCACCATCTATACTCCCTCGTCGACTGAGTCGTCTGCCCATGGAATTGGTACGACTATGATTTCGGGTTCGCCGTAGACTGCCGGCCGCCAGAAGGTGTCGAAACGAGTCCGCCCCGTTACCCGACACCCCGGAAGTGCTGGTGTATGACCGCCGAGGAGCTCGTCGTCGAAATTCTTGAGCGGGACCGAGGAGGCTCGTTGTTTCTGTAATCTCCAAGGGCGCATCGAGGGACTGGTATTCGGTGTGTGTTTCGGAGAGGTAGCTTTGAGATCGTCGGTATGTAGTCGGTGAGGGGGGAGCTGTATGGGCAGTGCGTGTGTGCTCGGTGTCCTCCTGCTCGCGCAAGGGAGCAGTTGACTTTGGAAGAGACCGAGGCATGTCGCCTGGAACAACTTTTGCTTCAATTATATGTAGTGGAGCTGGCAGGGGTCAGTTTTGGCAGCACTTGGAGATATGCCGAAGCTGATCCACATTGTAAACACGGGGTGAAACAGAACTCACACGACCAAAGAGACCAAGGAATTTGACTGAGGTAGCATATCGCTTCCCAAGCTCAGTTCTCAAGATATCAACAAAAGCTGCACGAAGAATACAGAAAGATAACGGTGTGAACAGAGGGTCCGAGTTCTAAGATGAGGTGACCCCATCGATGATCGACTTCAACGGCGGGGACGCGTCAGGCGGAAGTCCAATGCTGAGCTGACCCACCAGCCACTAGAGTCATTTTGTCTATCTTTTTAATCTATTTTGAATGCTCAATGCTCAGGGTGACTCGATGGTTGTTTACAGTGCTACATTCCTATGATCATCTCCACGTTTTCCGATCAACCTGATTTACTGCACAATCTCTTTATCATGGAGGCATAAGTAAACCTGTATACCCCGTGTTCGTGACTCCCATCTGGACTTGACGAAAAGCGTGAGCACTGAAGAATGTGTTACTCTGGAAGTATCTCCTGGGGTTACTTGGGTTAACAAGTGGAAACATTCTCGATATCTCCACATTGGGAGGGTGCATCCCGGCTGAAGGGATCCCTGTGACAGATGCCCAATCCAATCATCATCTGACGCTGATCTCTTGGCATGCTTTCTGAACTATACGCCACCGTGTGAGGGTCCGGGTGTGTGACTCGAGTAATTTGTCATGTCCGAGCAAGCAGTGTTGGCCTCTTTCGGATGTCTGACATCACTGAGATATAAATATCAGCTCTAGCACGCGGGTGATTTGGGGCTCTTTCTGTTAGACTCCGTATGTCCATCCTTTACGGCTAGAGATCACCGGTACGTTCCGAGTTCACGACTAGTTCCAGCTTCACGTGTATCAAGTTGACGGGGAACCAGATATCGCTACTCTATCCTTGGGGAAGAATACTCGAGGTCCACATCTACATCTGTTGCTAACCAAAAACATCTTTTAGAGCATCTTTCAATCCAGTCTCCTTTACCGCTCTTTCGGATATGTGGGTTTCCAACGCCCTCAAAGAGTATGGTGGAATTCATAGATATGGAGTGGGTCTTTATCAGGCCACCGGAGTGATCTTTTTCGGCTTTCTGGTTCCTTTTGGACCGGCTTTTCCTCGGTCACACGGGGTGACTGGCCGTTGAAGTATTTCAAGATGTTCCCATATCCTTTCGGGCACATTACCAGAATATTGGTTGTGTTCATTAATGTCTTATGATTTGGAGACTCACATGACTATATACGTCTAATATATCTAGGTACGGCACATGAGAACGAGCGCTTCGTGACCTCAAAATTGACCGGCCTTACGAATGAAGTTCCGAAAATCCCATTCTATCGTATAGAATTTTCGTTCTACTACTTCATAAGGGTCTAAACTCTTTCTTAGTAGTCCAAATAATAGAAAAGAGAATATATTTACTAGCATTTCAGTAGATTTAGTAGATAAACTAGGCTTTAAATGAAACACTCTGTTTAGGTTGTTTTGATGGTGCCATTCGTAAGGTGCAGGTCTAAAACCGTGATATCGATTATTCCCTTTGACCTTAGCAAGCTCCCGTTTTACCACAGATAATTTTGAGACAAGTACGTGGTAAGCTAATGAGAAATGTCTTGATATTGTCTTTAGATGTATAACATTTTGGCGGTAAAGATTGGATTTCAAAGTGGCCAAATGTGGTCATTTTTATTTTGGACATTAGTATATATACACTCTTGCTGTCCTCTATATTTATAACATTTCCCGAGAAGCACGCATATCAATAGGATAATCCAACAACTTCAATATCCTATCCTACGTTCTCTTCGGCTTTAATATATACTAGCCACTTCCGCTAGACACACGCATATTTATACCCCGTGTAATTTCTCCGTACCAATTAAAATTGTCTGAGACAGCTGCAGATCATGCATGAACCATTGACAGAAGTAAACTTGATTTTCTCGCTCAAGACCAGCCAAAGACGTGATTATTCTGCTATTGGCTGTCCGATTTGTCTTGGCTTTGGGACTCCATTGTCTTTAGGGTGAAGATTCCAATACATAAATAGGGTATCTCCAAGTCATACAAGGCAAGTTGCAATCAAGGCAAAGCCAAGGACTCAATTACTTCTAGCTAACCATTCGAATTTGATTACTGAGCAATCCTCGAGACCACGTTCCTCACAGTGGAATTAATTTCAATGGCGATTCGGACACAGAAAGCCTCAGACAAAGCTCGTTCCAATAATTGAATCAGCAAGAGTAGCATAGCCCAGCATGGCTGGCGCCTCTGGTCTTCCATGCCTGGTTTAGGAGACAAAAAGCAAAAAACAAAAAGCAATAGAACAAAGGACAGCGGGCCAATCAATTAATGATAAACATCATTAATCAGAAGCGGCAGCTAAGTAACTATTGGCTCGACAAAAGTGTAGTACAGGAGCTGAGATGCAAGTAAGGGGGGTTCATGCGAGGTTTTATGAAGCCATCTCCGACCCCTAGAGAAATGCTGTTGATTTAACTTCAGTCTCTTGTCAATTTTCTTTAGTTTAGGAGTGCGAGAACTCCCTACGGTCGACCTGCAATATGGTATGGCTTCAAGAATTCCGGTCTTCGGAGTCATTCGTCGTGGCGACCGTGTCAACTGCCATTTTCACTGTGAGTGATCGGAGACCCTAGGCAGTTTATATCATCCATTAACAACGAATTTAGGATTTATTTATTTATGTCATGGTGAGATGCTCCATTGCATAGATACACGATGCAGGTGTATACTTACCTTGTCCTTAGATTGTTCCGATCATGCCCACGGCCTTAGTTGATCGCATTGGCGCCAGCGAGAAGGATGGTAGGCAATGTCCTACGTTATCTCGTGATTCACCTGCTAAGTACTTCTTCAGTTCAACTATGGGTTTCAATCCTTCTTGCCGTATACGGCGGCTCGATTCTTCTTGGATCTCGTAGGTCTTGCGCATCATATGAATCTATAAATGACATGGGACAGAGCTAAAAATAAACTTGCACACAATAGCATTCTTCGGATACTTTGCAGACCACTGCAAGCAACGGCAATTGCCTTTTGTGGTCGGGCTAGTTGCCCTTACTGCCTCGACTGGTCTATTTGCACTTGCTCGATCCTTCCCTGTTCTAATTGTTGCGCGGGCGCTACAGGGGCTATCTGCCGCGGCGGTTTGGATCGTCGGTCTTTCTATCATTGCGGATAATGTGCCCAGTGAGCGCGTGGGTGAAGCTATGGGTTATACTACCGTTGCGCTCTCATGGGGATCATTGCTGGGACCCGCTCTTGGGGGAATCATGTATGACAAGGTAGGCTTTCACGGGGCCTTCATAGTACCTGTATGTCTGCTTGTCGCGGATGTAATCATGCGGTTTGCAATGATTGAGACAAAGAGTGAGTCCACGCACTGTCGAGCCACTCCCGAAGTATCCTTTCGTTTGGCCGTACCTTGACTTACCGTCGACAGAATCCACACAAGTCGATGATTCTTCTTGCAACGAGACGCATAGCAGTTCTGCAAGTGAACCAGAAAGCGCCACTAAGATCTTTCCATATTTGAGCCCCGATGAGCAAACTCCTTTGTTGGGACCTTCAAAGTCAGAAGTCAACATTGGGCAAATTGAAAGAAAGGCCTCTGTCACTGTTTTCAGGCTACTCCGCTCCCCACGCTTGCCACTCGCATTGGCAACAATTGTAATGATTTCGATCGTCATTTCATCTTTGGATGCAGTAAGCAAACCATGACGTACTATGAATATCACAGGAGTCAGATGCTTACTTTTTGCTTCCCCCAGACACTTCCATTATTCGTTATTGAAAAGTTTAACTGGTCACCGAGCGGTGCTGGCTTGATATTCACTGTACCTGCCGTTGCTAGCTTCTCCACAATATATATTGCAGAGTACGCTAGCAAAATAGGGCCACGGATCCTCGGAGCGGCTGGATTCATACTCGTCGCCATCTCGTGGTTTTTGATGCAGCTTGTCCAACATAACACCACGAATGATATAGTTCTCTTGGCTGTAATTCTGGCGGTGCTTGGTGCCTCCATCTCTACAGTCCAGATGATTGCAATGACAGAAGTATCATATGCGGTCGAAGAACACGAGGCAGAATTTCCTGGGGCTTTTGGTGATAAGCCCCCTATAGCACAGGCGTATGCGCTCTTCAACATGGGGCTTGCGGGAGGCCAGTTGCTAGGCCCTGTTATCGCAGGAGCTATTCGGGTTCACGCTGGATGGAGCGGGCTAATGATCACTCTTGGGGCTTGTTGTGGGTTGATGTCGCTACCTCTCTTGCTGTTCCGACAGAGGACAATAGAGTCCACGGAAAACCAGACGGAAGAAAGCGCCTAGAAAGAGATTGGGTATATGGACTCTGTGGGATGTTTTTCGTGTCAGTGTGACCAAGAACGATGTTTTGATATTTTGTACCTATAGATTGTTTGGAAAAGCCAAGTTGATTGAGCAAGTTGTATATTTAAAATCATTTCGTTTCTTTTTGTTTCATTTTCCACGACACAATCACTGAAATTCCGGGTAGCCTTTGATCTCCTTTGGCTTGTGCTTTGGATAGCTTTCTCGGCTCTGCTTCAAGCCCATCTGCAGAAGAGGAATTGCAGAAAAGACAGTCACAGGGAGAGGATCAACAACAGGAACATCGAAGCCCGAAAGCTCAAGCCGCTTTCTAATTTCTTCAGCGCAACCTATAAACCCAGTACAACCCAGAATAACAGAATGGGCGTTCTGATCACGCACCAGACTCAGTGCTTGCTCAGCCAATCTATTGGTCATCTCACTGACTTGACCCTTAATTTCAAGCGATCGCATGTCAATGGCACGACACCCGACAAATCTGCCTTTGTGACCATAGGCATTGACAGCGTCTGTGATGATGGGAATAGACTCCTTCAAGATTGTTACCACACCGAATGTATCCGCTAGGCTGGCACATATGTTCATGGAAGTCTGTGCCACACCCAGAACCGGGATATCGACGACTTCCCGTAAGACGTCCAAACCAGGGTCACCGAAGCAATCAATGACTATGGCATCGGCTCCTTGTTGTATTTCTCGTTGAGCTGCGGCAATCATGCCGAAAATTGCAAATGCTTTGTCGGTTCGAGACTCAACGGAACATGGTCCAGTGTGCAGATTGACGACCGAGCAGGTGATTCCATTTTTGCAGAGTCCTTCTAATTCCTGGATGTCGAGGTCGATCGGAGTGGTTATTGGCTGGATGATTGAGATTTGCATCATGAAGACACAGATTGGAACTTTTGCGTTCCACTTAGAGAAGGGTATCGCAGATGAAATGCGGTACTTGGGAAAGCTGACTTCAAAACTCGATATCACCTAGAGTCCTGAACTACCTGTATTTCCAAGAAGAGGGATATACCCGGCAATCATGGCAGACAAGTCTCAGATATCACAGCATGCACAGCGGACAAATTTTAATCGCATACAGTAACAGTCGCACGTGAATTACCGTCATACAACAAAAACATACAAAATATGGCTCAGTTGCATACTACGAATCAATCCAGACTTTGCAAGGACCTGCATCTGCGCATGCTGTGGTGTAACGCAGTGAGATGCAGTTGATTTCTCAATTCAGCCTTCGGACACGTCAATTCCTGGAGATCTCGATGCCAAGTCGGTGGGATATTTCCCCATTTTATGGCTTAGTTCTGCAGATGTAAGTCTTCAATGCATTATATGTATGAAACCTGTCATTTGTATTGATCAGAATTTATGCATCTATGAAAATAAGTCACATAGCATGTTGACCAAAAACAGATTGTCGGTGTTTCCGTTTCTGGCTTTCTCGCGCTTTCATGACGTGGCATGGTCAAGTATGCCAGAGAGCTATCGTGGATCAAAAATTAGATGGACCACGTGTAGTTCGAGCCAGCGTCTCATGTATATAAGGAAGAATTGGTCAAAGTCAAGTTTAGACTATCATTTACTCCCACATTGATTCACTTTGCTCTCAAAGACGCTACTTCAACATGACCCGGACATACGTCGAGCCTGCCAATATCCCTGTTATTGACTTCAGGGCTCTTTCTTCTGAAAATGCTGAAGAGCGCAAAGAGGCCTTGAAACAGCTTGATGAAGCCTTCCAAACATACGGGTTTATCTATCTGTCCAACCATATCATTGGACAAAAAATGGTCGATGAGGCCTTGTCTTGGGTAGGTTGAATACCTCACCAATTGAATGATAACCGCTCACAGTCGGCAGTCCAAGCGTTTCTTCCACTTACCGACCGAGGTCAAGGAGCTTTGCAAGCACAACACAGTTGCAGCTGATCACCGCGGCTGGGCAGCTGTTGGAACTGGAATTGTCAGCCAGGATGTCTGGGACAAGTCTGAGATTGAGGAGATGCGCAAGACTGCACCGGTCGAGCAGAAGGAGATCCTCGAAATGGGTAATCCCCACTCAAAGGGTGGCCCAGGCGAGTCAATTGCCAACCGTCTTCTTCCGGAGGACAAGTTCCCTGGATTCCGGGCTTTCCTTGAGAAGTGGTGGGATATTTGTTTCGAACAGCAGCTCCTAGTTCTACGAGCACTTTGCGAAATTCTAGGATACTCAGACCTTGACTATCTCGGAAAGCAGCAGGATCCTAGCCGCAGCCGAAACCATATGAGCTGGCTGTATTATCTCTCTCAGCCTGTTTCCCCATTGAAGTCGGGCAAGAGCAACAGGTTGAACACACACACCGACTTTACACAGTTGACCCTACTGTTCCAAGATATGGTGGGAGGCCTTGAGATTCACGATGACCAGGCGGGGATTTTCAGACCCGTGCTTCCTAAGCCTGGTACTATGATCGTTCATGTCGGAGATATGCTGGAGAAGCAATCCAATGGCAAGTGGAAGAGTGCATTGCACCATGTCTCAGCTCCTATCCATCTTAAGTATGGGGATGAGACAACCGACGAAGACACTGTTGTTGAGCGTTTCTCTATGTCATTTTATGGAACTCCTCAGCACGAGGTGATGATTGAGCCGATTCCAGGATGTGAGACGAAAGGAAAGTGGCGAACTTTGGAGTGGGAGCCCAACATGACTGCCGGTGCTTGGATTGAAAAGAGAGTTGCACTTGAATACGGAGACGGACAACAAGCGCCTCCAGTTGTTGCTGCTGCATAGATGCAAATTGTAGCAGCCCTCTTTCGGGTTTATTGCAATCTTTCACTTGATCTCTTTATGATATTATCCTACAACTGAACATGAATGAGTACACGATTAGAGATCTTTAAATCTACCTAGCCTACCATCAAGTACATTGAATGTGACATGTTTCTATTAAGTAGTCTTACGCTCAACGTCAGTCGAATATCAAAAACTTCCATAGTCTTACTGTCAATGCTCTTCTAATACTTACCATGTTTTGCAACTCCGAAAACGTACACAAATGTCCAATGAAATGTATATTATTGACCTACCATGCCTGAGTGCGTAAGTGTTGACAGATCATATCATCTGCTCTCTTTTCTCTGCTTTCTCCTGCTTTCCCCAGTTTCTAACCTAGCAATTTAATATTGTATTGCATGCCATCCTTCTGTTTTGCCATAACAAGGCGCCGGTAGACTGCTACCCCAGACGGCGTGATTATTATGTGTGGGGTATCCATCCCCCCTTGCCTGGCCCTGAACGCGCAGGTCCGGCTTGCCGCGATCGGCATTCAATGCACACTGGGATGTGCTCGCTGTTTTACAAAATGGTGTCTTGCTTGATCTTCCTCGGAGGCGGTAAAAGCATTTTTGTGGCTAGCTGGACCTGAAACACCTCTCTGTGCATGGTGCATCTCGTCTTCCTGGTATTGTGCTACATCTAGATTGATCTAACGGTAAGCCATTCATAGCTATCACGTAAAATAATGTGCAAAGGGGAAAGTTTTATTGGGTGCGAGACTGTGCTTTTCTCGCGCAGCCGTGCAGGTAGTCAACTCAAATAATGGCGCCCTCTCAGCTAGCCTCGTCCGTTATGCACCCCACTGTGCCCAGTTAGTCTCCTTGAGCTTGACGCAGGTGAACTCGAGAGAAACAGCCCGATAGATCTATGTGATTATCCAGGCGCTTTCTATTTCGCATTCATGCAACGCTCCCTATTTTACAACTCAATTATAACCATTCTCAGATGTACATGTAGCTGACACGGGATCTTGGGATCGATTGATCTGATTCCGGCTTCAATTGGGAGCGAAGAGCTTACGAATACATGCCAAATGTCTCAGGCCCATTTGCGTACACGCACCTATGGATATGGAGTTGCGTAGCAAAGCTCGATCTTGTGTAATTTGCCTCCCGGTAATGCATGTATCCAGCTACGTAGAGCTCAGTGACTACACTGCAGACAATAGTTTCTCCAAGATGTCCCCTGCAAAAGCTGTTTCCGGAAATGTTCCTGAATTACGGTGTGGATGGGAAGAATTGTAACTTCGTAACGATCTTCTGGAAAGCCATTGGCTACATTCAATGACCAAACATGAAATGCTTGCAACACAGCACGTAATTTGCAAGTTCTAGTACGCATTTTGAGCTTGGTAATATGTATCAATTGAGCAACATAGTCTGACAGTATTTCACATTCGGGGTTGTGTCGTAGCAGCAGACCTTTCTGCGGTTTCATGAAGTCCATAGTCTTATGCATATGAAGCCTGGATGTATGCTAGCTAATAAATGTAATAAGACCTCCTGAGAAAATAGCTAGAAGCTTTGTCATTCCAATCTCAGGTACTCTATGCTCTAGTTTACATTCATTTCTCTGAATCATGCCTATGCCAACGAATGTCGCCAATCTTCTGATCGGAGAGCACTCTAAGCTTTCAATTCATTTCGAAAAAATTCCTTTCCACAATGATGGAACTCACAGTGGCTCCAGATTCTACATGATTTCTACGGATCATGCGCTGAAAGACCACGAAGAAAGAGAAGACGACGCCATATACCTGTCCAAAGCCAAACAGGGTGCCACCAAGCTGGCCCAGATGCTAAATGCCCCTCGAATCGCAAATGGAAAAGGGGATCCAGCCCAAGAGATCGAGAAATCTGTTGTGCGTCTTGGAAAAACCGCCATGGTTGTCGATGAGACATTCGATGCGCAACCTATCCACAGCCACATTTGGAATTCATTCATGTCCCTTGAATTTCGCTTCCCCAAAGCAAATTTTACCTCTCTGCAATATCTACAAACTTCTTGGAAGGGACTCGAGTCTGGCGATACTCTCTTCACCAATGAGGGAACACCAACCTTTGAGGAAGTATCCATTGTTTCGGGCGTTTGTCTATTCAATGCAAGGCTGTTAGCAATGAGTGCAACCAGCCCCAAAACTGGCGGCGTTGACATTGCTCTACTCAGGGACTCGATCCCTACATACAATGAATTGGATTATATTGCGCGCTCCTCAAGCGCCATCGCCGATGTCGCTGCTATGAACATCTCACGAGCTCGCGAGCAGGGGTCTGAGCGGCGAATTAATATAAAGCTTGACATTCCTAGCTGGCACTATTTCCATTCGGTCGCCACAAAGTTTGCGTTGAAGCAATGCTCGAACATCCAAGCCTTGGACTGGATGGACGCGGTTGACCAACGACACGATCAGATGGGGCAAGTCTTTGTGGAGAGCATCAAATATGAACTTGAGCAGCGGGGAATTGACAGCACCGGCTATGTCATTGATATCACATCAAGGACTAACCCAGCTGCTCTCTTGATTCGAACGGCACTTGAGCACGGAGAAAACCCTTCATTGGACGCTATTCTCGCCGCCTTGGACTCGGAAAGAGACGGGTGCTGGAAGCAATTCTACGAGATGATCCCCATCAAAGAACGTCCCACAAACCTTGACCAGCTGGGCTATCTCTACTACGTATATGAAGCAACCAAGCCGTCTCTCGTGGAACGCCAAGCTGAACCGACACGCCCGGTATCCAACCAAACCAAGAAAGTCAACTTGTCAAAAAAGGCATTGAAGAAGCGAAAACCTCGCCGCTTGATCATCAGCATTGATGACTCTGCGGAACGTCGTATTTACTCCCGAGCTCAAAGGATACTCAGCAAGATCCGACAGTGTAGCGACAAGCCGGAGACTTTCTTGGTAGAGTCATATGTTTGTAGGAGGTTTCTGATCAATGGAAATCAGGATAGAGCGCGACTAGGTCGGTTAGATCCTGTTCCTGACATTCCAGCTCACACTGATTCTCAGCATGAGACTGTTCTACCTCATAACGTTGTACGGGAGCTGTATGGCGATGATTGTGCTCTCAATCTCCAAAAGTGGCTTCGGGAAGTGGGCCTTTGAAAGGAATCAATCAACATATTTCGGGCTCAAAAACCCAATGCGATACCGTTAGTTTACAATGTGTAGCCTTAGGTGGAGGTGGATGGTATCCCTACTAATTATGTAGCACCTCGTCCGTCGACATACTCACGCTATATTCAAAACACGAGTATACCGCAAAAATGGGACGGGGAGAACCCCACTATCAAAATCAAATCATCTTCGGGCTGTGCACTGTGAGCTCACCCTAGAAGAGGATATGAACAATTCTTTCCCTTTTACTGATGTTTCTTGCAAACTTCTTCGAAGTGACATGAATGTCGTGATTTCGGGGACTATACGGAGTGAAAGTCTTGAGACGAGTCAAAATCTGAATTAATGACAATACTGAGGTCAAATTGTGATGTGATATTATGCGCGGCTGGGTAGCGGAAAAATCAACAATTGCTGTTAGGGCTAGCATTACGCACTGATGCATGTAGGCCATTTCGATTTCTAATCCAAGCGTAATGTTTCAAAGCAGAATCAACTTGTTTTGACTTGAAACCCCACCAATATTGAAACCGGATCACACGGACGCGACTCGATATCAAGTTGGGTGCATCTGCTTGGTGGACTGTGTGGCTTTGACCTGAATGTCCTGACAGCCCACGGTCTCCTAACGCATATGCACCAATTCTTCAAATGCATACAGTCAATTTGCGGCGGAACATTATAAGAATTACGTACTACTTATAAATCGATCATAATTACTCCATGTTCTTAGCGTTACTCTCTAGAGAAGGTTTGTGGTGTGCATTAGGGAGCCTTGTCTAGGCTGTGGCAGCGCACGGAGTACCTGAGGTGCAACATTCGAACCTGCATGAAATGTACAATATCTATCATCTGCATTCCATCACATATGCAGACATGTCCACGATGTATCAACCCAAGAACCCCGCAATAATTGATGCTACTCGGTCCACCGATCTCCTTCCCGTTGCGATACTTGCACTACACCGTCTTTCGACGTGTCCTCTGATTATGCACATTTTCAGCTCGGGGAGAATGGAAACGTCAGGCATGTGGAGTGACATAGCTTGATTCTGTTGGATATTGTTTTTCTCCTTATTTAACACCGTCATACTCGAAAATCGCTCATGCTTCATTCCAAAGCTATCTGAGACCATTTTCAACTTCACTATCATCCGCCACGATAAACCATCGAAATGGTCGGAATCAAAGTTGTGGAACCCGCACAAGTCCCTGTGATTGACTTCCAAACCCTTTCGGCTGGCACTCCACAGGAGCGCAAGGATGCTCTTCAGCAACTAGACGATGCATTCCAGTCGGTGGGACTCATATATCTTTCAAACCATAGCATTGGCCAGGACCTCGTGGAAGAGGCATTCTCATGGGTATTCTGCTCTCTCTTCTACCTTTCTACCCTTCCTTTTGCTGACCCATTGTAGTCCAAACGCTTCTTTGATCTACCGGATGATGTGAAAGCACTAGTTCAACATCCTCACGATATATCAAACCATCGTGGCTGGGCGGCTGCTGGTACGACCGTCTCAAGCCAAGGTGTTTGGGACCAAGATGAGATCGAGCGCATACGTGAAACCGGTCCAGCAGAGAAGAGAGAGGTTTTGGAAACGGGTGATCCATACCCAAGCAAGATACCAAATCCTCACTTCATACCGAATCGAGTGCTACCGGAAGAAATCTTACCCGGATTTGAAGCCTTCACCAAGAAGTGGTGGGATGCGTGTATAGAGCAAGAGCTTCAACTTCTCCAGTTCCTTTGTGAAATCCTTGGTATTCCGGACAAAGATTTCCTTGGGAAGCAGCAAAATCCGAACTTCAACCGCAGCGCGTTCGGCTGGAACCATTATCTATCTACACCGGCTCGAGCCCTAGCAGCTGGAGAGGCGACTCGCTTGAATGCCCATACAGACTATGGGCAATTTACTTTGTTGTTTCAAGATATGTCTGGTGGACTTGAGCTTGAGGATGAGGAGGCCGGAATCTTTAGGCCGGTGCTACCCAAGCCGGGCACAGTTATCGTTCAAGTCGCCGATATGCTGGAAAGACAGTCCAACGGGAGGTGGAAAAGTTCCTTGCATCAGGTCTCAACTCCTCACCACTTGAAGTATGGCAATGTGGGCGATGCTACGTTGATCGAGCGGTATTCAATTGGCTTCTTTATTCAACCCGACTTTGATCTTGTTATCAAGCCTCTTCCGGGTTGTGAGGCTAAAGGGAGATGGTCGTCATTGGAGTGGGAGGATGAGATTACGGCTGGAGACTGGCTGAACAGGAGAGTTGCTCTCGAATACCAACGCAAGGACTCATCTAAGTCTGCTGCGTAGTTGGGGAACGCCCTTCTGACTCACGGCTTTATTTGGAACACACTTTGTGAATGAACATGAAATTTATTTCGGTTTTCATCAAAGCTGGCTTGCGTTATCATACCTGATTGGACATTCTCTCCACGATCGGGTTTGTAAGACTGCCAGGCTATCTCCGATGTCCTGCAAAGGCTTCACACGTAGGAAATTTCAACCGTGGTATGAAGCCGGGTGGTTATCAAAGTAGAACCGTTAGAAGCAGGTGCATAATAGTTTTTGATGTCAAAATCGCTCGGGTCTAATCATCCAGGTTGAATCTCAGCATTTTGCTGTTTGATCTCAGGCCACCTGGCTTCCTAAGCAAAGCATGCGACCTTGAGCGACTCCGCGATCAAATATTGCACTTGAGTCCTTGAAGTTGATTCTCACCGGTCAGCGTCAAAGTGTCCATTGCAACGCCAAGCCAAGCCAATCAACCCAAAGGGTAAAGTAGATCGGCAAAAATTACCGCTTGCTGATAGCATAGCGCTAGCAGGCTACTAGATAGTGATCCGATCACGAAAGAATGTGCTTTAAGGGACCAAATTCCTTTCACCCGAGACCCCAGCTTATGTTCCCTGTGACATATCCCCCACCACCTATTCATCGAGTGTGCTTTGCTGGTGAACCTGCCCGAAATGATGACCGAAGTGAAAGTGATGGTTTTCGGAGGTGCTGGCGTCGGGAAAAGAGCGCTAACTGAGCGAGTTTGTCATCCCCCTATCCTAACGCACTCCGGCTCGTTTTGACTGGAACCGTTTCTAGTTTTGTCCAGATAATGAATATGACCCAACACTTGAAGACTCCCATAGGAAAGAAATAGATGTCGATGGCTGGCAATGTATCGTCGACATTCAAGGCATTATGGGAGAAGGTGAATACACCGCGCTTCGTGACCAGTATATCCGTGTCGGACAGGTCTTCATTCTTGCGTACAGCATTACTTCACGAACGTCGTTCTCTCGTATACGGGAGTTCCACAACAATATTCAAGAGGTCAAAGAATATACGAGAGTCAATGCGACTTCAGACCAGTCTCGCTCGGAGCGTCCATACAATGTGTCCATCATTTTGGCCGGTACCAAGAATGACCTGGAAGCCCAGCGCGAAGTCTCAGTCGAGGAAGGTCAAATGCTTGCGAAGTCACTTGGCTGCTGGTTTATCGAGACATCTGCAAAGAACAACACAAATGTAGATAAGCTCTTCTATGATTCTGTGAGATGGTTTCGACAGAAAAACCCTCCTATTGTTCCCCAAACACCAGCCCCTCCGCAATCAAAGAAAGGCCTGGGGAGATTGTTAGGATCAAGGCAGAGAAAAAAAGATGATGGGTCACGATGCGTGGTTATTTAACTGATTCGATTGCGCCTGCCTTTGACATGTCAAGTATCGTTACAAAGTCCAAGCATAAATTCTCTGATGTTGAGTCGCATAAACACAAAGTGTCATTACTCTATCATGCGGTAAGGGAAGCAACGCATATTAGGATAGAGGTGGGAGTGATTCCTGAGGACAGGGGTGATCATCTAGATAAGGACCACTAGGTTAGGATGGAGCTCTCTCTAGAGAAGACCTATCCTAGATATATGAGGTTACTCCTAGATAATAGATATGATGGAACCAGAGGATAGAAGGATGGAACAGAAGTGTAAAGGGTGCGCAGAGAGAGAGACTTATTAAAGGTGCAAGCTCCAGGGCTCTTTGAGCGAAATACTAAGCAAGCAAACATCGTACCCGGGCCCAATTTTTGTTTTAATCCCAAGCAGTAAGACGGCCTAGCATAAATCTTCGTAGAGAGAGAGAACTACCTGTCACCCAAGCAATGAAGTTACTCGTACTTCCTGAATAGGAAATTTCCGGGACTATCAGTGGATTCGATTTTATGGGTTGGTCGTGTTAGGCTTGGCTTGACCTCTACGATATCTGACTAGCAAGTTCCATGGCTCATTACCAGTTAATCTACGGACTAGCAGGTGAGATCATGATAGCATTGTGTATTGGAAACTGTTGGAACTATGAGGAAGACGAGTCATTACTAGCCTAGTTATATGGCCACGGGCGATATCAACAGTTGCCGCACGTATATACATTCACTATGTAAAAGTATACAGCAAGTAACCACACAGGTTTTCTACTCCTCTGGGGCCTCTGCCTCCATCTTCTTAGCAGCTCTTCGCTTCCCGCCCTCTGTCACCCTAGGATTATGCTGCGCGCTATATCGGCTAATTAGTAAACACTGTAAAGGATCTCAAGATCATACTTACGCTTTAAGGCCAGCTGAGACTCTTGTTGGGTCTTTGCCTTCACCTCCTGCCTGATAACTTTCCTCGTGAGGTTGACCACCGCCGAGCTCATTGAGCCTGGCGTGTGCATGCTGCTTTGCCTCTGGCGAGACGTTCCGGTTGCTCAGCGCGCTGTAAAATACATTATTAGCTTTTAAATGCGCCTGTGATGTTTCATGGTCTATATTGTAGTACTTACGCCTTGTAACCACGCATCTCGTTGGCTTCTCTCGGCATATTGATCAAGATGAGTGATCGTTTTATGTAAATGATTGTTCGACAAAATCTGTCTGCTTTTGACGGACAGCCTTTCTACTTAAATATCTTGAAATCATCAGCGAATTGTCATATATCATTTTCCCGTCACTACATCCTGCGGCAAGTTCGCTGTTATGATATAATTATGATGTCCCGTGATCGCAGCTCATGTAGAGAGGATGGACCTCCATCCTATTATATAGCCGTGGCGCTAAGGTGAAACCATGTTTGCACTTTCAAGTTGCCATCAATCCTTTGCTAAGAATAAATGTTGAATCAAGTGGCTATAACCAGACTAGGCCTTCACTTACAGCCCCGCCACGGGAAGGCGTTCTGTATATGATTTTCTGGGTATGCAAACTGGGGCGACGCAAAGCCAGTGAGCAAAAAATGATCACCGAACAGGAACTTATCGTCTTCATAAAGTGGCGGTACCCCGATCGGGGCGTTCACATCCATGGCCTAGTCTGGCATACTGATATATACCCATCAAGCTAGATCTGCGGGAAATTCCACAACAGGCCTTCCTATGGTCATATATGTAAAGGGAAAATTGCTGTTGGATTCAAATCTAAATATAACAAGATAGCTACACGCGTTTGACTGGAGGTGTGAGAGACCCCTGTCACTTTTACGCGCGGGGGAGAAAACTCGATCAGTCTCCGTCTCCCTAGTTGCTTCTATCTCTCTCATCCTTTGGTTGAAGCGAGAAGAGCTTCGATTTCTATACTCAACAGTGAAATTTTGAGTGAAAAAATTCCCCATCAAGGTCATTTCGAGCCGTGGCCCCGCTCTACCTCAAGAATACTAGGCGACTTGATTTTCATCTGGTACCCTCGACCACTCATGGCTCTCGATAACCTCTCAGTGGTTATACCAGAAAGATTGAAAGTCGGCATCTCAAAAGTTTGGGAAAGCGAAGTGTGTAAAATCGCCGAGCCTTTGTTTAAGCCCAAAAACTCGAGTTTTGCGAAGTTCTTCCCAACAGATAACTGTGATGTGATTACAAGAGCGAGTTTCTCGGAATTTTTCAAAGTGAGAAGCCTGTCATTCATATACGATAACTAGTTTAACACAAGGTGAATTTAGGCGAAATCTATGCTAGATGCCAAGCTGATAAAGAGCACCTCGTTTGGATATGTTATGTTTCCAGGTGTTTTGCAGTTCCAGTCAACCTTTACTTTCATAATTCCTTTGAGCCTGACTGGCAAAGTTGAACTCGACGGGGTGGTGATGGACACCGATCACCATTACTACTTCCAGAAACGTTCGGATGACCAGAAGAGCACACTTAAAGTGCATGAGGGATCTAAGATAGTGATGTTGCTCGTAACGAATTTGGTTATACTCATGTAGCCACGGAAATCTCTTTCACTTCTATATATTGTGGGGCTAAAATGCAGTCTTGAATGATTAGTGGATAAATTACTTGGAGATTAGGCAGATATGGATAAGCATTACAATTTGATATATGTTGTATACTCCGTCTCAATCTGTTCATTTTCACAGCTCCACCAATTTCCCTTTTGTCCGCGCACTTCCCCCACTTCCTTTTCTGTCGCTTATAAGCCCCCAATCCCCCATAACTTCAATTTTCGAACAATAATTTGATCCTGCTTCACCATGGCTGCCACGGAGACCCACGATGCATTCAAGCCGTATGATCAGTTGCTTCTCTTCGGAGACTCCATCACACAGATGGCCTGCAACCAAGAGCTAGGTTTCGCATTTCATGCCGCACTTCAAGAATGTGAGTCATTCTTGCGATATCTCTACAGATTTGCACGATAAATTAATTTTCAATAAAATAATCAGCCTACAGTCGCAGATTGGACGTTGTCAACCGCGGTCTCGCGTAAGATCTTTCAAGGCTATACTGGAATGGGCGATGCTAACCAGCAACAGTGGATATACAACTGCCCATGCTGTCAAGGTCTTTGATAAGTTCTTCCCTTCACCGCAGACCGCCAATGTGCGGTTCATGGTAAGCCATCCGAATTGGCAGGCCCATTTGAAATTTCAGGATTCCAAAAGACCAATTACCTAATGTCAGATAGACTATCTTCTTTGGTGCCAATGATGCATGCGTTCCCGCCCACGACCAGCATGTGCCCCTGGATCAATACAAAGAGAACCTGAAGACGATTATTCAGCACCCAGCGACACGCGCCCAAAACCCGCGACTGATTTTGATTAGTCCACCTCCCGTGAATGAATATCAAATGGAGAAATTTGACGCTGAAAAGGGATGTCCGTTCCCAAGCAGAACCGCCAGTAACACGAAGTCCTATGCAGCGGCTGCGTGCGAAGTTGGCACTGCGCTCAATATCCCGGTGGTAGATTTATGGTCTGCCTTCATGAAGACCACTGGCTGGAAGGAGGGAGAACCTCTGATTGGGAGTCGTGATGCGCCGGACAATGAGAAATTGTCGAGTCTTCTTACTGATGGTTAGTGAAATTGTGCCATATTTCCTCGCATTTTTTCCCTTGTACTTACTCGTCACACAGGTCTGCATCTCACTCCCTCTGGTAACCGCATTGTCTACGATGAACTTATGAAGGTGATTGAGGCCAACTGGCCCGATCAGACTCCCGAGGCTCTTCCAATGGTGTTCCCCTCTTGGGTCGAGGCACCGAAATGAGCTATCTAGATCATATATCGCTTCCTCAGGCCCCACATAAGAGAAATTGGGATTGAAATTGCTATTTATTTAGAACATATGAGCAATGATAATTTCTCAAACTTAAATGTGCAACTACAAGTACATCGCTTAGAAGGATCTATTCGAAGACAAAGCTCGTCAAGGTGACGAGCCTCTGTAGGCGCATAATGACTAGAGCGGGTTTCCCGACTGTCCTAACAGATGAGTGGGGATTTGATAGTATAGGCCATATGAGCATTTATATCGCAAACTTTTATGCCATGGCTCTTGGCGGTGCGTGTGACAGAAGTGTCTATGCACAGCAATCTCCTACCCTCTGCGCGGCTGATTCCCCACAAAAATTCCAATCGCATGACCAGTGAGGCATTTGGAGAGTTCAAGATCGTCAGATGATTTACCGGCGGTGTAACATCTGGACAGGGTTAGGGATAAATTGAATGAAGCACAAAGACAGGCCGTCAAGTTGTCCGACAGTATAGAATATTAGCAAAGGTCAAAAGTCTGCCATACATGGTAGTTGATCTACTGAATTGTTTGCATGGCCAATATTGGAATACCGCAAGATACTCAAACCCTAGGATACTGTAACCAGTGAACAAGAAACACACATAGGGTGGAGCACACAACCCCAGAATGACAGGCAGTCTAGGCCTCCAAAAAGATACGATCATCCATTCTCTCTCCGCCTTCTCTCTCCGCCTTCTGTCTCCGCGCTTTTCTCTCCGCCTTTTGATTCGTCACCGCCTACTGGATAGAGAGATATCGTCTGGTTACAATGCTTCGTTCAACTACGTTCATTCAGTTTCATTTGGTCCCATTACTAGGTACATTACCTAGACCATTTTCCGTTGAATTTCCCATCCTCACCAAGCCCCCATAACTGCAAACCTTCGTCTTGGGGTACTCTGCTCTCAATTTCGCGTCGGCCCGCTCGCACTTCGACAGCCAAATAAGCCGTAGTCCAACTTGTGTCTGGCGCACCACATATTTCGCGCTGTGAACTACTCCATCGCGTCTTTCTGTGAAGTTGAAATTCCTAGGAATCATTTCCAATCGAACAAGAATTCCTCCTTACGATACCAACCATTTTGCAACGCGTCTCCGTCACCTGTGCCAATACTATCGTCCATTGCCTCTACACTGCTGGATGTTCTGATCAGGCCCTCGATATTTGTCCCTCGAAGACAGGGCGGACGGCCGGTGGGCCGTCTCACAGATCGAAGGCGGCAGGAGATATTGGAGAAAAGTGCGTCGAATTTAAGTGACGCTTTTCGCGCCCCTGCTCTTAGGGCAGACTATTTCAACTACCCCGCGTCAAATCCTTTGCTTTCTTTTTTTTTCTTTACCTTTAATTTTGAATACTAGACTGGCTATGGATGCACAGTATCCCTTTGCCTCTCGTGACGACATTTGGCGCGTCTTTGACGAGTTGAAGGAGCTCCACATTGCGCAGTACGAGCAAGGCGAACGGCTCGCGCAACTGGAGCGTCGTCGGGACGACGATGCCAGACTAAGGAGTCCTTGGTGTTCTGCCTCGCCGTTTCCACATTCAGTTGGAGCAATCGCTCCAGGTAGTCCACTGCCCTCAGGGATAAGCTCGCCACTTACCAAGACCTCCCTCCCAGACCCCGCTTACCACTCGCCCCCGGATGCTTTCAAAGGATTTGATCAGGGTCATCATTCTGCAATGGTTACTTCTGCTGTTGGGTTTGATGGTGAGGACGAGCCCAGACGAGGCGCATCGCGAGCCAACAGTGTCCGATTTGACGAAAGTGCCATCCACGGGAACGCCCAGGCTAGCCGCCCCAGCAATGACCTTCCTCTGCGGACCGGCAGCAGCTTGAGTACGCACCCGCTTCTTGAGCGAACGTTTTCCCACCAATCTGATGGACGATTGAGCTCATCTGGTCACTCGCATCATTCCGCTCGGACCAATAGCCTGCGCCTGAACACCACCCGGCTGCTTGGTGCTACGCCTATCGACTCCCCTTTGATTCCCCCGCCTGGACTTTTCTTGCTGGGACCAGTCCCATCCATCATTCGGTGCTGGTTGTCTGATACTTTCACTAACGATTCTCTCCTGTACGCAGCCGTTTGCTCGGGCTCTTACGTCTCAACTCTGGGATTCTCCATGGTCCGCGATTTTGGCATGGAGAGCATGATCGTCCGCGAAGGCGAGGTGCCGTACATCAAGCTTCCGCTCTATCTTCCCGAAGCACTTATTCACCCATCCTCGTCCCGCCCCGGAACCCCCACTCACCAAGTTCCTACCGTGACCATCCGCTTCCTGATTCGGGAGACAGAAGTTGACAATAATTCCATTCAGATCATCATTGGAAGCGATGTGATGCGCGCCCACAACGCTGATATTTTGTTCTCACAAGATAAACTGATCATGGTGGACGATGACCACAACCGGGTATCTGTCCCCCTCGTGCGTCCTGAGAAGGACTCCGTGTTTAAATCTCTTTGCACCTCCCCTGGTACCGCCCATTATGGAGACTTATTGGGACCTCCTGCTAATGGACCTTCGTCCGTCGGTATCATTGGCCGGCCTGTTAATGTTCCACAAAAGCCGGCCTGTGCGCCTCCATCAGCTCGTCTGCCTGGTAACGAGAATAACGATCCTCACAAGTCCCATACACAGAACCAGCAAGCTCATACTCTCGTCTCGGCTGGAAATCGCGCAATTGCTGCCAATCCGCAGACCTCCGAGCCTACTAAAACCGAAGACACGCCTTGGGGCGGCCCATGGCGTCGCGATGCCAAGAAATCAACCAGCACAACCAAAAAGGCTGCTGATAAACGTGAGATGAAAGTCTTCCGAAAGTCTAGCAGCTATGCGAACTCCTCGACTTCGGCCTCGGCTCCTGGCAGTGTTACCAATGAGCAGGCCGACAAGTCGTCTCTGTCGACTACTTCTGCCCACCATCCAAGTACTCCTTCGGACAAGCATGGTACGCTGAATCCCGTGGGCAGTGCATCGGCATTTGGATGGCTCAACCCGGCCCCCCACAACGCCTCGTCCTAGATGAAACATACTAGGCTTGGCTTTTATGTTTGATTACACCCGAATCTGAAATGATCTCGGCTTTACGACATGATCTGGAAGGGTTGCAATCCTCTTGAAATCAGAGAAAAGTGAAAATGAGAGTAGGCGCTGGTTTCCAAAGCTGCCAACAGGGAAGGAAGACCACTTTTTTTCTTTTTAGCTTGTAGCATTGCCGGAATTGATAGCAAGGAAAATGACCTACCTAACAAAAAAATGAAAAAAACATGTTATGATTATCACAAAATTCTCATGAATGCCAAGATTAATTAGACATCCCAATTAGTCTATAAACGACCTCATGGTCCGTGGCCCGGTGCCTGGCAGTGGAGGGCCACTAGTAAATCTCAGTAATCAATTCATTAATGGAGTCCTGATTGTCGCTCTTTCTGAAGCTCTGCGGCGCTGAAGCCTGGCAAAATGAAAATTTCATGAAAACCGGTGACTTCCTAGCAAGATTGCTGTCTTTCAACCTCCTAACACTATCTTCTTCTTTAACCTTCATTTTAACCTCATATATTTATCCAGAACCAGAGCCATTACTCCTCGAGAGTAACATTGAAGAATAATGGCAACTCTGTTGGACCTTCCACCAGAAATAATTCTCATGATAGCCGAATACCTACAAATAGACTCGAAGCAGACACCATTGCTCTTCTATGAACATGGAGAGGCCTATGAGAGTTTGATGGCGCGCAATCCTCCATCGAGCATCAGAAACCTCCATTCTTTCCTCCTCGCCACCAAGAGTCTGAATAGTCCATTATTGCTGGAAATTTTCTATCGCGATATATTCGTCCCTGGCAGCAAAGGCCATGGCGCAAATTCTTCACTGCGAAGTCTAAACCGGAGTCTTGAGGAAAAGCCGAGTCTCCAGGAACACATCATTTCAGCAATCATTCCTTTTGAAGATGATACTGATATCCGTCATTTCTTTTCATTCACCAACATCCGAGAAATTACAATCAGAGAGATGTATAACTGCGATTGGAGTCTTTTCAAGTCCGCAGACGATTCCCATATTGGCACTTCACCCGTCGAATGTCTGAGGTTGATCAATTGCGAGGCGACCGAGGAGACTCTAACCGACATATTCAGTCGACCGGCAGCATTGAAAAAGCTACACTACGACGTTGAACAAGCCGGATGGGAGTGCGGGTGTGGAGAGTGTGGAATCCAACCCTGGTCATGTGCTGCTTTTGTGCGCGCACTGATATCGCAAAAAGCTTCGTTGGAAGAATTGACGATGACGCGAGGCCCGCTTGTGCATGGAGGATTGGGGAATGGTCCTCGCATCAATCTGAGTGAATTTCCGAATCTTCGGACGCTACGCATCTACCATGTCTTTCTCTGCGGGTGGGATGATCGGTGTGTCTGGGAAACATTACCTCCCAATCTGGAGGTTCTGGAGGTTTATTACGACGATTTAAAACTCCCTCATTACTTATTCTGGGCCCAGGAGCTACCAGACGACTCATATATCCTTGATGTGATCCGTCATAAAAAGTCGCATTTTCCAAATTTGAACACTATGAACCTTCACTCGTCTGAAGGAGTCCCTGAGCCGGAGGATGATCGGGAGTGGTCCGATGGGTGGTTGAGGGTGCCACCTTTGCTTGCGCACGAAGCGGACTCCGCTGGCGTGAAGCTGAATGTATGGCTGGGTAGTCGCGAGCGTCTGGTCTTTGATGAGGAAGTTAACCTCTATCAATCACTGAAATCCAGTCAGAGCAAATGTCCTATGCAACCAAGCAACAAAGTTGCAGCTCAACGTACCTATATATCAGATTGGATTCTTTCCTAGGATCTCTAGTGTAGATATTCAAGTACTACATGCTCTCCCTGATCAAATTCCACTGAATCAAATCTTTGAAAAAACCCCCAAAGCCCCCTTCGTACTCTCCTTGGTCTCCTTAATAAGCCCACTAACAGCCCGGAATGCTTCATGGGAAGCATCGCCAAGAATTTCAAAAAGCACACTCTCGCTACTCGTAATGACAGCTCCAGCATCCCTCAATCTAGCAAGCGCGATTCCCCTCTCCTCGGGGTTAATACTGCTGACAGCATCGACGGGGATGTAAACACGGTGACCACGCTCGAGGAGATCCAGCGTCGTCTGCATCACGCAGATGTGCGTTTCGATCCCGGCAATGATCACGTCTAGAGGCGCTGAACCTGGGGCTGGAAGCAACTTCTCGATCTCCGGGGTTATCATTGAGAAGAGGGTCTTGTCTACGTCAGCTCGGATGTGTGTGCCGTTGAGGTGTTGTTGGAGTTCTGGCACGGTGTTGCCGAGTTTGGCGCGGCTTTGGGTTGTTATGAACACGGGAGTTTGAAGGGTTGAGGCAGCGCGAAGTAACTTTTCTGTTGTTGAGACGCTGTTTTGGTTGGTCAGCCTTTTGGATGTGGTTGGGGTTGAGATGTGGGGGATACGTACAGCTTGGGGAACTCGTAGATTCCATCGCGGAATTTGTCTTGGATGTCGCAGATGCTGTGGTTAGGATGGATGTTAGTCTTGGTAGTAGGGCTATATTTGCCTTTTGGGGACTGAGTGTGCTGCGTACAAGAGTGCGGGATTGCCTTGTTTATTGTTAGTGCCCATGCATTGAGTTGAGAGTCGGGGGTTTCTTACGGATTCGAGAGACACGCGCGGGGGTAGCCATGATTTGAACAGTTCTAAAATGTTCAAATTACTATATCAGGATTGAGAGATTCGGATAGGATATAGTCGATGTGGAAGAAGATGAGAAGCAATCCCGGAGGAAAGTCGGAGAAGTCGGAGATGCGGGGAAGCCGAGGGACGATTATACATCGGGACTTTTGATGTTGATCTTTGTGTTGTATTCAATTATGGTCCAACTTTTGCTTTGATATATACACATCACTCATATAGATATCTATAGCTTTACCTCGTGCACCTTGGCCCGGCCAGCAAACCAGCTGTCATCACCATTTGCCGCTGCTGTGCGGATGACGTAAAGCTCGTCCACAAATGCCGGCACAAAGCTTCCTGGGCCGCGAACATGCTCTTTGGCCGCTGCGTTCTCCGCTGCGATCTCGTACATGAGAATTCCAGACAGCACTGCGAGGAGTCGGTCGGAGCGGTGGGCAGCCAAAAAGCAGCCGGAGATGGTGCCGATGGCACATCCAGTCTGGAAATCTAGGTTAGCTGTGTTCTAGAAAGAGATGTCTGAAGAAGCTGCCTACTCCGGTCACTTGGCCCAGATATGGGTGGCCGTTCTCGACGGCGATGACCCGCTCGCCATCGCTGAGGTAGTCTGTGGCTCCGGTTAAGAGCACAATGTTTCCTATATGAGATTAGAAAAATAAGTACAGCTAGAGACTGCCGGGTACTTACGCTCCCTGCGAGCCAGGTCCCGAGCCAAGGCGGCTTTTTGGTTGCCGTCAAGAGTACTCGGTCCACTGTCGACACCGCGCTGCTGAACAGCATTGCTACCCCAAACTTGGCGAATCTCACCTTCATTGCCCTTGATGAGATCAAAGTAACCACCAGCCATGAGTTGAGTTACTGCATTGCGGCGAATGTGTGTCGCAGCTGCACCGACTGGGTCGTAGATCACTGGGTTGCCCCGCTCATTGTATGCCTTGATAGCCTTCAGGTAGTTGGAAACACTGTCGCTAGTCAAAGTCCCCATGTTAATCAGAAGGGCACCATCAAACTTGCACAAGTCCGTGGCTTCATCGCCGTACGGAGACATGATGGGAGATGCGCCACTGTCGAAAAGTTAGCATGGAAAATGGCTGGGCTAGGTGCAATATACTGACATGGAAAGGGCAACGTTGGCCACGAAGTTCGACACAACGAAGTTGATCATGTTGTGTACGAGAGGATGCACTTCTACCATCTTACGGATGATCTGGGGCACCTCATTCACTAAGGCCTCGGCCTCGTTGGCACGAGGCGGGTTGGAAGCCAGCGCAAACCGAGAAGGATTCTTGATGAGCGCGGCGAATTGCTCGGCAGATGCTTTGGGGTCATCAGCTGCAACGATAGCACTGACAATGGCGACTCCATCCAGTGCTTTATGTGGTGACTGAGATTGATAGAGCACTCGCTGTACGTTAGAGTGGTTGATGCCGCCGATGGAAACAGTGCCAATGGCGGAATCTTTAATGGCATCTAGGATGACTTGAGTACCTGCTGTCCCGATGACTGACTTTGTGTTGGTTTTGCTATGAATAATTAGCGGCTACTGCTTGATAGCGGGATACTGGGGTATCCCTGGATGCGAACATACGTAGGCGTGGCAAACATGGTACCAATTCCGATATAGTCGGCGCCATCAGCGGTAGCCTTCTTTGCCTCCTCAACCGAGGATGTACTGATACCAATAATGGCATCCTTAGGAAGGAGCTTCTTTGCCTCCTCGAAGTCTACATTGGACGTTAGTATATGTATGTTTGTGAAATCGTAGCAACGAACTCATATCATCTTGACCAAGATGCACGCCCTCAGCACCAATGGCAAGAGCCACATCAACTCGGTCATTGATCAGAAGAGGTACATTATATTTCTTTGTTACCTGGTGTAGTTTCCGGGCAGTCTCCACCAGGACACCGGTGTCATTGGTTTTATCCCGGTATTGCACCACCGTCACGCCTGTAGCGGGGGTTAGTGGGATAATTGGGAAAATTGGGGTACCACGCACCTCCTTGCAGGGCGCTTTCTACCACTGTACACAGGTCTCGTCCCTTGAGAATAGCCGGGGTTGAATCCGTGACCAGATAGAGCGATAGATCTACGGGCATGATGTCTTGGCTCCGGACAAAGGCAGAGCAGGGAATTTCGGAGTAATAGATCCGAGGTCTTCGTGACAGAAGCGACTGAACCCGAAGTGAATAGTAAATTGATATGGTTAGCAGGCTATACTTGTACAACCCAAAACACAGTACTCAAGTTGACTGAAGGAGATTGCCGATTATCGCTGTGTGGCCGTGGTGGGGTCTTGGAAGGTTCGGCTTGTACTCGTCCGGATGTATACAACATTGTGCAATTCACTAGTAAATGTTTCGATATTGATTGAAGGCTTATTTTAAAACACAAATGATCATAAGCTTAAACACCAATCATCAACATCCCCCTTTTGAGACATCTAGGATCCCTTGTGCTATATTCAACGGTCAATGCTCCTTTATACTCCGAGTTATTGCCGGCACGTGCTCGCTGACATAACCATGATTTGTCAAATTCTGCTTTTTCCTCTTCATTTTCTTCCTTTTCCCCAATAACACACAAACACTAGGCATCGAGTTATTTTCGAAGCCTTTATCGATCTATCGCGTGGACTTTTAGTTCTACGCTCTTCATTTTTTATCACCGGTTAGTTCGGCTTCGCCACCATCACTTTTCACCGTCCACCAGGCCTCCGACCTCTGACTCGGATTCCCCAAAGAACTTGGATCGCTCCCAGAAAGCAACACGTTGAGAAGTTTCCTGCGAACTTGTCTATGTATTCGTCCTCCGTCCAAAATTTCGAACATCACCTGCCGCTCAAGCTGCAAACGTTTCGCGCGCCGAAACCTTGCAGCATACACCTTCGATCCTGTGGCTGAATAACCCGGGTCTTTCCTTGATTTGTTGTGACTTTTCCCCCAAGAAATCACACCCTATACCGAAAAAATAAACTTGACACGCATGTCTTGTCTCGTCACCGACACCATCATCCATAATCCTCCCAGCTTTTCCTTAGGCAAGCAAACCGTTCCCTTTTAGTGAACAATCACTCAATCAAACCGTCATCATGGCTACCGTCAACATTCGCCGGGATGTCACCGATCCCTTCTATCGCTACAAGATGGAAAAGCTCCAGGCTAAGGTCGAGGGCAAGGGTAACGGTATTAAGACCGTCGTCGTCAACCTGAACTCGGTTGCCCAGTCCCTCAGCCGTCCCCCCTGCCTACCTCATCAAGTACTTCGGCTTTGAACTTGGTGCCCAGGCCAACGCTAAGCCCTCTGACGATCGTTGGATCATCAACGGTTCCCACGATGCCCCTAAGCTTCAGGACTACCTTGACGGTTTCATTTCCAAGTTTGTGCTTTGCAAGAAGTGCAAGAACCCTGAGACCGACGTCTTCATCAAGGATGACAAGATCACCCTGGACTGCAAGGCCTGTGGTCAGCGCTCTGATGTCGACCCTCGCCTCAAGCTGAGCACCTTCATCGTTCGCAACAACCCGAAGGGTGGCAAGAAGGAGAAGAAGAAGTCTCGCCGCGAGCGAGAGAAGGAAAAGGCTGCCAATGGCGAGGATGCTAGCCCCGGCGACAGCAACAACTCTGAGAATGATGACGGAGACTTTGCCCTCGAGGCTAACAGCGATGATGAAGTGACCCGTCAGGCCCAGGCCATCGAGGCTGAGGTTGAGATCAAGGATGATGAGTGGGCCGTTGATGTCTCTGAGGAAGCCGTGAAGGCTCGTGCTAAGGATCTCCCCTCGGACCTCAAGCGTGCCCTTGTCATTGAGGATGGTGACGATGAGGGAGCTGATGGCCCCTCATCCTACGAACAGCTGGGTAGCTGGATCGTTGAGACCGCCGCTGAGAAGGGTGATGTCACCCAGGTCACTGATGTTGAGATCTACATGAAGGCCAAGGAATTCGGTATTGAGACCAAGCACAAGACTTGCGCTGTGCTGGCACAGAGCATCTTCGATGAGAAGATCGTCAAGCAGATCGAAGCTCGCGCTGGTTTGCTTAAGAAGCTGATCACCTCCGATCGTCACGAGAAGGCTTTCCTCGGCGGTACCGAGCGCTTCGTTGGCCAGGATCACCCTGAACTTGTCGCCCAAATCCCTGCCATTCTGCTGGGATACTATCAGAATGACCTTGTGTCTGAGGAAACCCTCAAGGCGTGGGGTGCCAAGACCAGCAAGAAGTACGTCGACATCTCGACTAGCAAGAAGATCCACAAGGCTGCTAAGCCCTTCATCGAGTGGCTCGAGAATGCCGAGAGCGACGAGGAGAGTGAGGAAGACAGCGAGTAGACGATACACGTTGTTTGCGCTCTTGTGTATTCTTGCCAACCTGTTATCTGCGTCCATTCTTAGATTTAACCACAGGGATTTTTGGACCTCTGCCGGATCTACCCATCTTGCATGGGCTGATCACTTTCGGCCGTCATTCTAGTTTAGCTTACCATTCGCCACTCCTTTGCAATAAATATCAATTTGGTATCAATATAGCAACTCAAGCGTCATCCACATCAGTAACTACTCAAGTATATCTACAAGTGAAGTAAAACAAAACAAAATAACTCATATCTCATGCGATGCAATGTCATCAACAACGAAAAGGGACAACTAGAACACAACCTCAGCAAGCCTGACCTGCTGCCCCCCGCCATTGAAAGGGAGATCAGTACCCTCAGAGTTCCCAACATTGCCTGTAGTAGCTGCATCCGCTCTCAGGCGATGCTGCATGAAAACAAACCACGTCAAATCCACATTCCAAGCCTCCATCGCCCGAATCGCATCCTCAACAGAATCCATTGCTTCAACCGACGCAGAACTTCTAGAGACAAAGTAATACTTAGGCCCGACAAACAGCGCAATCCACCCACCAAGCATCTCGCAAATACGATCACCCACTTCCAACGGTAACCGCACATGCGAAAGAACCGTGATAAAGAGGGAGATCAACGCACGCCACAGACGGTGGTGCGGTGTGAAGAATCTCGACCCCGGTGTTGATGGCGAGAGCGAAAGAGAAGAAGAGAGCGCTAAGTGTAGAGCAGATGCTGGATCTCCCGACGCAGCGACGGTCGTAGCCTGAGACCTGACACGGCGCTCATTCGCAGCCTCGGCGTCAGCGCGCACTTTCTCCCACACGCGGCGGTACAGCCGATCCCATCGGGAAAATTCGGTTTCGACACGTGTGGACATGAAATCCCCTGCGCCTTTGCACATTGCTTCGATGGCTTCGCAGGCTGCGACTGTGACGAAGGTTTCTTCTTGGTGGTCTGGGGTTTCCGGGTGGCGAGGTGATTCTGTGGATGGGGTGGCGATGAGGGATTTGGATGTTTCGTTTGCTTTTGATTGTGATGAGGGGAAGATTATTCGGCTTGCTACTGTAGGCCAGAGTTCGTTGATTAGAGGGAGGAAGCTGGTTTCGTTTTGGGATAGGGCAGGTAGGACATCGATGAGGATTGAGAGGAGGGAACGTCGCAGGTAGGGAGATGGTGAGGTTAGGTGGGATGGAATGGATTTGACGATGTGGAGGAGGAGGGCATGGGTTTTGCTGAGTGGCTTCTCGGCGTCTTCTGGTTCTTTGGGTGGTGGAAGTGGTGGCTCGTCCGATTCGGCTTGATTTAGAAGCTCTTCGATGGACGGCTCTGGGGGAGGTTTGTCGTATGTTTCTGACCATGGCTTTTTGGGGTGGGGGATTTTGCCATCAGCATCTGTTAATTCATCCTCGGCATGTCGTTTGGCTTTGCGGTTGGCAATGTTTGCGGCGATGCTTGAAATTGAGATATGCTGGCATTGAGACTTGCGGGTGTCGCGGGAGTCATTCTCTCTGCCCTCGTCAATTGTGAGCAAAGATGGTTTCTTCGCCCCTTCCTCAACGACTGCAGCTAGAGTTTTGAACATCATCTCAACGAGTTTTGGATAGCCGTGGTAAAGATCCAGAATACCAAATATAGAATCAACCAGATCATCCAGGTAAGGTATCAACCGGGCACCACAGAGCTTGACCATCATAAACAGGACCTGTGGCGGATATGGTGACACGTCGAAAGTGTTAAGCTTCAAGGCCACCGAGTTTACCAGATAGTCCACGTTTTCTATAATCATACCACTCGTGTCTGGGTAGTTGCAAGCATTGGTTAATATATTGAGGCATGTCATGGCGTGGCGCTGAAGGTTGGGGTTCTGTGATGCCAACAGCTGCAAAGTTGGGTAAAGTGCGTCCATGAGTTCAGGTCGGAAAGCCTCGCCGAGTTGCTGAGCCTGGAGAGCCACAGATTCGAGAGCAAGTGCAGTTGTACGCCAGTCACCCGTTCCATCAACTGACAGTTCGTTCAGTATATTCAATGAGATATAATATAACTCTTCAATCATTTCATGACGGCCGGTTGATGAGATGGACACTTCAACATGATCAAGAGAGATGAAATCATCAAAGTCGGCTGTTGCTGTAGTGCTGTCCCGTAAGAAAGTCATCGCCAACCAGAAAGGCGCAATGGCGGAATCACTCGATGCCGTGTGCATGCGGTTGACAATCAATCGAGTAATCTCATTCCCAGACTCAGACAAATTTAATCTAGTAATCATTGACCGTAGATCTTTTAGAGTTTCTTGCTGGCTTTGATGTTCTAAAATGATGGGGGAAACACCTTAGATCTGGCATCAGTGCTGAGTATCTCCCAGTTGAATTCAGTATCCATTGAGGTCAAAGGCTGGAGGGCATTGGTGTTTTGTATGACAACAGCACCGACGCTGTCACATAGACCGGATGCCAAACCACTGGTAAGCAACTCTGACCCAGATTGAACTTGGGATAAGACTTGAAAGACGGTGGAGATCTGACGAAGCCCCCATTGTTTAGCAGTCTCATCGTTGCCTTGCATAATTCGAGGGAAAGAAGTGAGCCAGGTATGTAGCGATTCTTTCAAAGAATCTAATACCGTAGGGTATGTTGTGGCAAGATGAGTAACATTCTTGTAGGCTTCATTTGCGCCATTGTCCTCTTTGTCCGCTAGAACAACAACTGTTTCAACCATCATAGGGATAGACTCTGACAGTGTGGTCTGACACTCTTCAATTACCATCAGCGAGAGGTTTAGCACTGCAGACTGAACCTCTGATCGCTGGTGACGGCGGACCTGGATGACATTGGCCAGCGCAAGTTTGATCTGTGTTGTGGTGGCCTTCAACCAGGACTCATCTAGAGCTATCTTGTCGCTTCCAAGTTCGGGTGGGGAGACCTCCGAGGCGACATGGTCATTAAGAACAGCTCTTAGAAGCTCCGTAAGAATCTGCAAAGAAATCTGGAGGAGTTTGTACGACCTGCGAGTCTGCGTTGATGGCTTTAGAACCTTAGCCAGTGCCGACACAGTTCGCGGCATGATGCTGGCAAGCACCACGCGGTCCGTGACTCGAGCATAAAGCGCTTCCAAAGCCCTGGCGGCTGCCAGACAGAGCTCATCTGATCTATCGTCGACAATTCCCTCAAGCAGAATATATACTGTTTGATCCACAACCGTCGCCGTGCCGATCTCGTGATAGATTGTCTGCTCTGGGACAGCTCCTTCCAAGACCGTGAATATAGCAGTGAGGCAGTCAAACCCAGCAATACAAAGTTCCTCTGAAACCTGAGGCTTCGGTAGCTTCTTCTCTTCTGCCTTGTTTGGAGATCCCCCCACGATCAACGTCAATAGGATTATGAGTTGCTTGCCCATTGCAGGAGACAGTCGTTGCCGCCATCCATCGGCGACCAGAATTCGCAAGCATTGGACGGCAGATTCCATGCATTGTGCAGGCAGTCTTTGCGTCTCGTTGAAGATATGCGACAACGGAAAGAATGCATATTCAGCTAGCTTCTCGTCGAGAGCATTCTTCGCAGCAAGTTCCTTTAAACAATTGTGCACCGGCTCAAGAACTCGGGTTACGTCGGCGGCGGAAGCTTGATTTCCTCGAAAACGAAGTCCTACAGCGCTGAGTTCCACGCATGGTGCTCGGAGCTATTCAGAGATTAGCATTGTGCCTCCTAAGAGCTGAATGTATCATGTCATACCTGCTTGAAAGATTCCTGCCGGAGGTTGTCCATTGCAGCCGAACAACGCCGGGCAGAGTCAGACTTGCAAGGTAATAGACTGAGTATTGAGTGGGTAGCAGTACTAGATCAATGAAATGTCAAGAGCCCCATTGTAAACATCATCCAGCGGACCCATCGCAATCGAATACAGCGGGACTGTATCCCAAAACTGTACCGCTCTGTCATCATCTGCCGGCATAATCAAGCGGTGAACATAATATATCCCAAACAGGCAAGATAACAATGCACGTGATACGTTAGCGCGTCTCAACGCGTGGGAATCCCGACAGCTGCCTGCGGCACAGAGGAGTAACGAGTGTTGCCTTGGCTATTTCAATTGCGGCTTTGGTCTGCTTAGGCTATATATTGGAGCATATTCTGCGCTCAGCTTTCCCCGAAGGAACTGCCTATGCGGGTTTTGCGGATTCTAGAGCTTGCGCTTTCATCGCTCTCGCGCTCGAGACCTAGCTTCTGCATACGATCTGCAAGACAACACAATTTCTTGACCACATCGATCTCGAAATTTTCTACGGGCTTGATATCTGCCAGTCGCACAGTACACCAAGATTTTCACCCGAACAAAAGAACACTCTCACCATCGCAAATCATGGCCGATGATAAGAGCAGGAAACAAGCTACCCTGGGGTATGTACGGGATGGACAGCAGACGATTGGGTGCGTCGACAATACTCGATGGCGCATGCGCCCTTTCACTCTGGCCTTCCTTGGCCCTTGTTTTGGTTCACCCTGCTGATTCGTTTTATTCGTTGTAGGAGATTTTTCGGCTCGGGCGCGAACCAACCGCCGAAGAAGCAAACCACATTAGCTTTCGGTGGAAGAAGACAAGCAGCAAACAGTGACCCCGCTGATGCGGAGGCTAAGGATGCCACGGATGGAGTTAAGGTGGAAGACGCTACTGACTCAGCACCAACTTCTGCCAGCAATGGAGCAGAGCCAACGAAGGGTGTGAAGCGAGAAAAGAGCGCCGAGGCGGAAGAAAGTGATAATTCCGATATCCAGCCTGTCTCCAAGAGGCGACGAAAGGCTTCGACAAAGACCCCTCCTACTGCTAAGAAGCAATCAGTATCCCCAAAGAAACCAGAGTCTCCAAAGCCAAAGGTTGAATCGCCGTCACCGAAACCAGTCACGAAGAAGCCCTCCAATGTCACTCCTGAAGAGAAGTCGCCTTCAGTAGAAAAAGAGGAGGACCCGTTGGAAAGCGAAGACGAAGATGACCTCAAGCCGGAACTCGCCAAGAAATCAATCGAAAAATTCCAAGCCAAACTAAAAGGCAGTGGTAAAGATCCATACCCAGACTGGAAGGCAGGTGATCCTGTTCCTTATGCTGCGTTGTGTACCACATTCTCTCTGATAGAGATGACCAGAAAGCGCTTGGAAATTACAGATCACTGTTCTCTTTTCCTTCGCCAGGTCCTTCGCCTGACTCCTACCGATTTCCTACCCACTGTCCAGCTCATGATCAACAAATTGGCTGCCGATTATGCCGGAATCGAATTGGGCATCGGAGAGTCATTAATCATGAAAGCCATCGGTGAATGTACGGGCCGCAGCCTTGCCGTCATTAAAGCCGATCAACGGGAAATCGGTGACCTGGGACTGGTCGCTGCCAAAAGTCGGTCAAACCAGCCTACCATGTTCAAGCCGAAACCTTTGACTGTTCGAGGTGTACATGAAGGCCTCCTTGGAATCGCTAAGGTTCAGGGTCACGGATCTCAGGACAAAAAGATTTCAGGCATCAAAAAGCTCCTGGCTGCAGCCGATGCCGACATTGCTGGCAAAGGGGTGGATATCACCGAGAACAAGGGCGGCCCCAGTGAAGCAAAGTTCATCGTTCGCTTTTTGGAGGGTAAGCTGAGACTGGGACTTGCAGAGAAGACAGTTCTTGTTGCTGTTTCTCGGGCAGTCCAGACTCATGAGGCTGAGTCAACTGGCAATAAGATCCCGTCTGCAGAGCAAATGGTGGAAGGTGAAAATATCTTCAAGACTGTCTACAGCGAGCTTCCTGCCTATGAAGTAATCATTCCTGCCGTTCTAGAGCATGGGCTCTTCAAGCTGCCTGAAGTGTGCAAGCTTTCTCCCGGAATTCCTATCAAGCCTATGCTTGCCAAACCTACCAAGTCTATAACGGAGGTTCTTGACCGGTTCGAGGGGAGAGAATTTACTTGCGAATATAAATACGACGGAGAAAGAGCCCAAATCCATTTTGTGTCTCCGGATTCTATTCACCAGTATCCTGGAGCCTTGGACACATTACAGAAGGACAGCAAGGGACTGTCCTCAATCTTCTCCCGCAACTCGGAAGATCTTTCGAAGAAGTATCCCGATGTTCTAGGGAAGCTCGACACGTGGGTCAAATCTGATGTTAAGAGTTTTGTGCTTGATTGCGAGACTGTTGCATGGGATACGGAGGCCAAAAAGGTTCTTCCATTCCAACAACTGATGACTCGCAAGCGCAAGGACGTCAAAGCGGAAGATGTCAAAGTGAAGGTCTGCGTGTACGCCTTTGATCTGCTTTTCTTCAATGGAGAGGTAAGACCATTTCTTTCTTTCATGTCTAAATAAGAGCGACTCGCGGGGCTCCTCTTCTTCCTCCCAATGCCGTGTTCTTTCCCACTTATAGCAAGGACGGATCAGAAGAAAGGACGCACAGCGAGTTGCTTTGAGCCATATCTAGTCCTTCTCGCTAACCTTTCAACAGCCCTGCGTGAAGAAGTCTCTACGGGAACGGCGAGAGCTTATGCATCAATGCTTCCAACCGGTTGAGGGGGAGTTCCAGTTCGCCCAATATGGCAACTCCAATGTCCTCGATGAGATCCAAGAATTACTTGAGGCTAGTGTCAAGGCTTCTTGTGAGGGTCTTATGGTGAAGATGCTCGACACAGCGGAGAGTGGCTACGAGCCAAGTAAGCGGAGTCGCAACTGGCTGAAGGTATGCTGCTTCTGTTTCTTGATTACTGCAACTTTTGCTAACTGCTGCGCAGGTCAAAAAAGATTACCTCGCCGGTGTTGGTGACTCTCTTGATCTTGTCGTACTCGGGGCCTACTACGGTCGTGGAAAACGAACTTCTGTCTACGGTGCCTTCCTCCTCGCTGCCTACAACCCCGGTAGCGACACATATGAGACCATATGCAACATCGGCACTGGCTTTTCCGAGGTCGTACTTGAAGAGCTACACCAGACACTAGTTCCTCTAGTGATTGACCGCCCAAAGCCATTTTACACTCACTCGGCCGTCCCCAAGGACCAACCGGATGTTTGGTTTGAGCCAAGACTTGTGTGGGAAGTAAAAACGGCTGACCTGACCCTCAGCCCACGCTACCAAGCCGCTGCGGATGAGTTCCAAGGAAAGGGTGTCTCTCTACGTTTCCCGCGGTATATCAAATCTCGCGACGATAAGAAACCAGACGAGGCTACTACCACCCGCGCAGTGGCAGAGATGTACCGGAAACAAGAGGCAGTCACGAGGGATACCAAGGGAGGTGTGGATGATGACTTTGAGTATTAAAGCGATTTTCTGAACCGAAATATAGCAAGTTAATTGGATTTTATTGGATGTCAATATTCCCGCGTCTACTACTCCTATGTATTTTCCAAATTGCATCACTACTAATATGGGGTGCATCATTAGGGCTTACCATGGTGCCACTTGCAGCCTCACTATGCCTCCATATGATACCAGGGATTCTCACCCGTAGGCACTGGATTCGCTTACTTTTAATCATATCATTGCTTTCAGTACAGTTCCCCTGCCGATCATCATATAATATCATGACTTTATTCCATAATCCCGGTTATCAACGGATTATCCAGCGGACTCCGGGACCTCGGGATGCTTGGCGCTGCAACCAAGCAGCCGGACCCTGCTTGGCCCTACGTCGGCCCCGCGTTCCACCTTTCTTTGTTGGCATCACGTCTTGTCAATGTCTTGCCAATGTCTTGGAAATGCCTAACAGTAGGGAAGTAACATCATGCGTATCTTTTCTTGGCACCACGGAATGTAACATGCCCCCCTTCGACGGCAAATTGCGCTCTCGGCCATGGCTACTAGCTTACTGGGCGTGCGGAGTCACAACACTTATATTTCAGTGTCGGCTCGGCATGTAGCCGGTCTGGTACTCTGCACGTTTCTCTTGGGCTGTGCGGGTACATACGTGATTCTCGATATGCGTGTGTTTCAATTGACGACGGCCCTCGGGTCGATCGTTGTTTCTGCGTTAGCTCTTACTCCCGAGTGAGTGCCGATCTTCCAAACCGATTGCTGCATTGATTTTCTTGGCTGTTTTCTGATCTTCTTTGTAGACAACTGATCGCAGCTCCGAGACGAAGTGATGCTGTTCCTAATCCATCTGGGGTGAGTTGCGCAATTGCATGGAGATATTGATCAATGTCGTTAACCTGACATAGGAAGTCGCGTTCTTTTCCACCTCTGAATACTCCTTTGAAACCCATGTCACATCATCATGGTGGAGCCTGTTGGATCTGGAGACTGGAAAAGTGACTCAACTTACCAACGACAGCAATGTCTCTGAATTGGCTTGGCTAGGGTCTACTGACTCGGGTTTGTTGTATATCAACGGCACTAATGCCGAAATTCCTGGAGGTACCGAGATCTGGGTATCCGATACCTCTGACTTTGCCAAATCGTGAGTTTGCATGCATATTTTGATGGAACGGTCCTAACTTCTGTGCAGTGCCTACAAGGCAGCTTCACTGCCGGCGCCACTGTCTGGCCTCAAGACGGCAATCACCAAGTCTGGGGACATCAACTTCTTGGTTTATGGAGAGTCATACCCCAATGGAACGGCGTACAATGCAGAGCTCGCCGCCACTCCCTTAAGCTCTGCACGTATCTACGATAGCATTTACGTCCGCCACTGGGATACCTGGCTCACGACGCGATTCAATGCTATCTTCTCGGGAACTCTGAAGAAGAAGAGGGCCGGACATGGAGCCACATCCCGCTATGCTTCCAGTGGAAAGCTCAAGAACCTCGTCGCAGGAGTCAAAAACCTCGAGTCACCCTACCCACCCTTCGGTGATTCGTCTGACTACGACCTCTCCGCCAACGGAAAGCTAGTTGCATTCAAGAGCAAGGCACCTGAACTGCCTCGTGCAAACAACACTGCCTCGTATATTTATCTTGTTCCCCATGATGGATCCAAGAAGGCCGTTGCTATCAATGGCCCCGACAGTCCTGGCACACCAAAAGACATCAAGGGTGATTCAAGCAGTCCCGTTTTTTCTCCAGATGGCCGTCGCCTTGCATACCTCCAAATGGAAGATATCTCTTACGAATCTGACCGTCGTATTGTCTATGTTTACACCATTGACTCCAAGGATACTATTCGTACTTTGGCCAAGAACTGGGACCGGTCACCTAGCGGTATCAAGTGGACTGCTGACGGAAAGAATCTTGTTCTAAACACCGAGGATTCTGCACGTTCTCGACTTTTCTTACTCCCTGCCAATGCTGGTAACGACTTCAAGCCCAAGAACTTCACCGACAGCGGCTCGGTGGCTGCGTACTACGGCCTGCCTGGCGGGGATTACTTGGTTTCTAGTTCTGCTATCCACACTAGTCGCACGGTTTACACAGCAAAGCCTGGCAAGGGTGTCACAGGCGTTATCTTCTCTGCCAATGAGGTTGACTCCGCCCTGAAGAGCCTCGGTCCATCGGACGTTGATGAATTCTACTACAAGGGCAACTGGACAGATGTAAGTTTCCCCTTTTCTCGTGGAAGTGAAAAGATACTGACGTTTTAGATTCATGCCTGGATTGTGAAACCCTCGAACTTTGACAAGTCGAAGTCTTACCCACTCATGTTCTTGATTCACGGTGGTCCTCAAGGTTCCTGGGCCGACTCCTGGAGCAGTCGTTGGAACCCGAAGGTCTTTGCCGATCAAGGATATGTGGTTGTCGCACCGAATCCGACTGGCAGCACTGGATTTGGTGATAAACTCACGGACGAGATCGCGAACAACTGGGGTATGTCATTCCCATCACTCGTTCCCATTTACCCTTTCTAACGATCAGTAGGAAGCTATCCTTATGATGACTTGGTCAAATGCTGGGAGTATGTCCGGGACAACGTCGACTATATTGATACCGACCGCAGTGTGGCAGCCGGCGCCAGCTATGGCGGCTTCATGATCAACTGGATCCAGGGTAATCCTCTAGGCCGCAAGTTTAAGGCGCTGGCCAGCCACGATGGCACATTTGTGGCCGACGCAAAGGTCTCGACCGAGGAACTGTGGTTTATGGAGCATGAGGTATGTGTCTTCTTCATTCTCTTTGCTCGATTCGTAGATTAACTCTTCCAAAGTTCAACGGCACGTTCTGGGACAACCGAGACAACTACCGTCGGTGGGATCCATCAGCTCCAGAGCACATCAAACAATTTACTACCCCACAACTCCTCATCCACAGTGACTTGGATCATCGACTTCCTATCTCTGAGGGTCTGGCGATGTTCAATGTCTTGCAAGAACGAGGTGTTCCAAGTCGGCTACTCAATTTCCCTGATGAAAACCATTGGTAAGCACACCCACTGCTTGTTCGTGAGAGTGCATCAATTTAACTCGATACCATTGAAATAGGGTCCTCAACAAGGAAAACAGTCTCGTCTGGCACCAACAGGTCTTAGGCTGGCTCAATAAGTACGCTGGCATTGACACCCCTGGCTCTGTCAGTCTGGATGACACTACAGTCCCTGTTGTGGATTACAATCCTTAATTTCAGGGCTATACTGTTGCACATAGGGGGTCTCCATATGGTGAGTCGGGCATGTTGTTTCAAGAAGTGTCTTTCATGGTAAATAATTCTTTCTTCGCGGTTCCTACGCCGTGTCACACTTCTATACGTGAACAAGAGAATCATCACGATGTAAAGACCTTTTTCTTTTGTGCTTGTAAGATGTTTGTGCTGTCTACCAGCCCATAGAATGAGTTTGCAGTTGCCAAAGGATTTCCAGCAAACGCACTTTCGCATCAACATCCTTCCCACAGCCTCTTTCTTCTCCCCTTGAATTTTGTTTCCTCTGCCATCTCTCAGTTTCATCAACTCTCTAGTCTACATCCATCATGCCTACCAAATCCTCCTCTAGTAAGGGTGTCAAGAAAGGTATGCCCCATACTTTCTCCCCTCATTCATCATCCTCGCCCATCAGAAAAAATCCAAAACGTATACAATCAGCTATCCGTAAGCAAATTAACAACAGCTCTCCAGGAACCCCCAAGATGGATTCATCTACCCCAAGTGAGTACTGCGATCAACTAACAGAGCTTCAACGGGCTTTTCTTCATGGCGCTACGAAGTATACTGGTTCTAATCACTATGCCTCTGGCGCAGAGATCAAATCTGAGATATCTTCCCCCACTCCCGCTTCTGTCGCCAATGATGAGAACGAGAGTGAGTACATTTTTGACTTGACTCCTATCTCAGACCCAATCTCGGCCCCATTTCCATCTACTGAGGATGACCTTACCTTGCGTCTCGCTACCACTGCTGACCCCACTGGCTACCCTATCTTTGTTTCTCGAAATGGACTCTGGGACTGGTATTATCTTGACTCTAACAACAAAACCATAGAGTCTTCCGTTACCCCTGCCAACGATACGGTCAACGAAAATGCCAAGAGCACAAAGAGTGAGTTTGCCGATAATCTCAGTCATTCCCTGAACCAATTTCCCTGCACCGAGGACGACATGACCTTGTCTCTCTATCCCAATCCAGGTTCCAATTCGACTGAAAATCCCACCTTTTCTTCTCAAAACGGACGTTGGGAATGGATGTTTCTCCCCTCTAACACGGATATAGCGTCTCCCGTCAAGGTCAAGATGGAGGACATTCCCGAGGGCAATCCAAGGATGCATCGACCAAGCAACCCCATCTCCGCCTCATTCTCCACCGCCAACATGGACCGTTTTCCCTTTCCAAACAGCATCCCCGACAGCGACGGTGAAATCTCCACCGTGCCATCGCTGGTTGAAAACATAGCCGAGCAAGCCAGAACCGCGAAGCATGTCAGATTCTTCATGAACACTTCCCATGACAAGCACTTCATCCCAATCGAAGTCACCCCTCTCACTGGCAACGAAAATTGGGATTCGTGGTTGGCCGCCATGCGCCTACTCTTCCGCCAGCACTCGGTGTGGCCTATTATCACTGCGGAGCTTCAGCCACTGACCCCTGACCATAACCTGTACCTGTGGTACCAGCGTATGTGCGACTGTGCAATCGGCCTCATCTATGCCAATGTCTCTGAGGCGGTCCGCAAGTCCCCTTGTTTTGTGAGCACCGTGCGCGAAGATGATCCTGATGCTTTGATGTCCCATCTGTACGCTCACTATTCCTCGCCTGATTCCGATCACGTTCATGAGGATGAGTTTGACTAGATGCATTTTGCTTTTGGTTTGACCAGGGTTTGCGTATTATGGGGAGTTCATATTTCAATATGTACATTGTCTCAGGTTTCCTTGATCCCTGTGGGAAGATCCCTCCCGTTTCACCCGGAGTCCGGAGTCCGGACCTTTTGATATCTGATCTTTGATGCTCTTTTATTTCCATGTAGTATCCAGTTGCTAGCCTTTTCCCAGAATCTCAACAAATCGTTAATTCTTATTCAATCGTTGCCTTCGTATGTCGACGTTCTTCTACTGCGCCCATAATCGGTGAATTGGCCGAAATCTGTACAAGCCCAGACGGTCTCTTGGTAAGGACAACGATAGATTCTTTTGTTAGGCACTCTCTTCTAGGATTCAGGTGGTAAATATACAAGCAAGCGTACCTGGTTTCACGGCGCTTCATTCTGCTCCATATTTCCTCAAAGTCTTTCCGAGGTCTTGGTGTTTCATTATATCTACATAGGTATCTTCTTTCCACAAGACAGATAACTTCAAGTACAAAGCATATTCAAGCACCATACAAAGTATGTACCGATATATACGGATATTTATAGGCACCGTATCACAGAAGGTTCCCAAACCCTGATCTACAACCCATTTAGATTCTTCTGCGCCGTGATAACATCCCCCTTATCCACAAAGTCCGCCAGTATCACATTTGGCGCACGCCCATACAACCCAGTACATAACGTCGCCTGCTCTCCAATACTACCTGGCCCAGTCGCAGCATTAGTAGTGTCTGCCAAGTGTCGAGCTGGAATCTTTATGCCAAGAATATCGACATCAAGGAAGTGGTTGATAATGCCCATTCGACCTGTAGCGGCAGCACCAGAGGGCCGGTCAATACTGCAATTCGAGAAAGCGGGGTCTGTCACATCGTAGGCTGTCTCGAAGTAGTAGGCAAACTCGTCTTGGATGTAGTTCACTTTTTTGGTGTCCGCGCCATAGTCTGGAAATTGTGAGTCTTAGGCTTATGTCATATTCTCTGTGATTGCTGTGTTTTTACCTAGGAATACAACCAATCTCTTTCCGCTAGATATCATATCACCCAGTGTGGGCCAGTCTGTAATTGGTAGTGGATTTGCGGGGGGGGACGTAGGCATATTCAGCGATCCCGCTGCTGGAGAAAGTGTCTCCAAACTCGTTGGCCGACAACGAATCTCCGTTTGTCAATAGGAGAGTGACGACTTCGTTCGGATTCGCATCCAGCCAGTCTTTAATAGTTGTCAAGAATGATTTGAGAGGTCCTCCATCCTCGAGCAGGCATGATGTATGGCACAGCTCTATAACGTTTTCATCAATGATGGAACGGTGTGATTGTGCTTGCAGGTACCGAATTCCCATGTCGAGTTGGGCTTTTATATCGATGTTTTGATTCTGCTGGGGTAATGGTCCGACAAAGGGGGAATCATGGGCACCTATGAATGTGAGATTTGAATAGGCTCGGGTGCAGTATTCTGAGTGGCCATTGCAGGTTGCAGCTAGAGATGAAATCGACGGCGTGGTTGAGGATGTAGATACTGAAGACTGAGATGCCCGTGGTACTAGTGTTCCTTGTCCTGGCACTGCGAGAACAGGCTGCAGTAGTAGGAGAGTACTCAGCAATGTACGTGTCAGCCCGTGGTGGATTTGAGCCATCTTGTTCTGATTTGCTTTAGGCTATACTTGGCTGTGAGCAAAAAGGTGCAAGTAGGCGCTGTAACCCCTTTTATGCTCCAATACTTCGATTTTGTGCTTTCAGCTATCGTGATATATATCTGCTGTTCACAGTCATGCGGGTGCAACAGCTGGCCTCCGCAACAGTAATATCATTTGCCCCCGCGCGGGGTGATATGCTCATGCCGATTCCCACATTCCCGAGATGCATATGTGACCAGATTAAAACCCCCAAAGCAAATGAGATCGGAGCTGACGATAATCATTTTGGTAGTGAGGTATAGTGCCAGTGAATTATACCCAAGGTGATGGAATATCATGATGATTGAAATATTCCAGTCACCTCGTGACCGCGGCCATGCGCCAACAGCAGGCCTTGTGAATGGTCATCTCCGTTTTTCACAGGGTCTACCTCATTTATTGATTGATTCGAGAGACGTCTCCGTGTATTTAAGTGATTTGAGATAGAAGAGCTTCGGGGTTGTATCAGATTTCGCTGATAATGACCCCTTGTGAGGGCAAGGGTCGACTTCAAACGATTTGGTGGGGCCGAGAAAGGGTTAGAACTTAGGATGAATGCTCTGTTATTTAATGGTGCGACGGACTTTTATAATGCTGCCATGGGATCTCACACAATGAGTTCTTCTTGTTCGATTCCTAACATGCACGTTTCGATGTACTGCTCAGAGTCAGTTACAACGCACATGGATGATCGCTACTTGAATGAGACTAGGCTCTTTGCATGGTTGATCCGACCTAGAACTTTGGAGATGATGTTGAAGGTGATGGCCATCAACATAGTCATTTGTGATTTACATTGTGATATGTATATCACTGCCTTGTCCCGTGCAATATTATTTACTCGATTCACCTTCAGGATACCTTCCAATCATAAGATTGTGTCTCCTTGTATTATCGCTGCTCTTACTGGCCTCCTACATGTGCAAGATTTCTGCAAAGCTCCCACCGAGATCGGATTCGAGGTTATTGGGCTAGGACAACTGCTAAATGTGCAGCCACTCGGAATCTTCCTTGAACCCTCAGATCTTCATTGGTAAGCCAAATCAAGCTCAGTGCCTTTCAACCTTATGTAGTAACCACGTCCTTCCTTCATATTGTATGACTGCGTTGACACCGCATATTGAGAATTGAGGCCACTCGAATTGAGGTTACAGAAGGTAACATCTTTATGCAGTACTCCATATGGAGCACCGATTCAACTGAATTGCAAGATAAGTGATCTCATCATACGGAGTGGTCGGTGAGAATGCTATAAGATCAAGGGCTGTGATCCAGCGCCCCAATGAACAGCGTTCTGTTCATTGATCTCGGGGTGACACGAAAAGGGAACTGTCATTCACTAGTAGAGATACTTGCATAGGAAGTGCGGCAGATGCTTGCACAAGAAGTGTAGTACGGAGAGTACAGAGCATACCTCCAGTGTGCTGCGAGTTCGAGTTACTAGTCCGAATTCGAGTCTTGACAAGATATTTAAGTATTAGATCTAGGCCTCTCATTCTTTCTAACATTGTGCTTTATCATTACAATCTAGCATAGTCTCGACCTCCGTGGATTCAAATTTCGCAAATATGTTCCAACCCTACAACCTTACTCCATTAGACCATTTTTCGCCTCCGGGGCACCTCAACGCTTCTTTAATATTCAGTTTGGCCGACAAGGATCATGCTCAGGTTCTTCGGAGAATGGAGGGTGCAATAGCTCGCGTGGTCTCCGAATTCCCATTCCTGACTGGGATGGTGGTACCATCTACACAGCCAGAGGGTAGAAGTAACGTACTTCAGGTGCGGCCTGCCACTGCCGCCGAGCTTAAAGAATGCCCTATTCTGGTAACTCAACATCACACAGAGCCGACTCCTCTCACCGTAGAGGGGAAATATAACACTGTCTTGATGCCGTTCCCAGTCGTCTACCCGCCACCTAACCCTTCTCATGTGTTACGGTTTAAGGCCAATGTGATAGGAGATGAGCTGCACATCGTCTGGTGCTTTGATCACCGAGTCATAGACGGATCAGGCTTTGCTGTTTTGATCTTTGCTTTCGCCTCGTTCTGTCATGATCCAAATGCCCCAGGACCATCCGCAGGTGCATATGCACAAGAAAAAATAAGGCACCATATCGAAGAAATTGCACATACAGCCACACCGCAGGACCTTCAATGGCAGACTGCCCCCCTTCAACAGGCGAGGACAAAGTATCTACCGATTCTAGCCGAGTGCCCATAAGCGTGCTTCGTGTACTCGATGGCCGAAAGATAGAAAAGTTGTGGCAGGCCTGCAATTCGGCTTTACAGTCTCTTCCTGAGATATACACGAAGGGTCTTTCCGAGATGACCCTTTCACCGAATCTGATCGTTAGCGCGCTAGCAAACATATGTAGTAATCGCGCCCGCTCGAGAGCTTTCCCCAATGAGCAGGAATCCTCATCCGAGATGTTCCTCGTGGCAAATATTCGAAAGGCACTGAATTTACCCCGAGGATATATCGGTAATACTATCTTGGGTCTGACAAGCAAGTTTGATGTCTCTGCGCATCCACCTCTCGAAGTTTTACAGAACATCCACGTTCCATTGCCTCTCAATCCAGTAGGGCCGGAAGACATCTGGCGGATCTGCAATATTGCCCAGACTCTCCAGGAAGAATCAATACATATGGATAAGCGGCATGCACAGGGCATGATCGCAACAATGTCTCGCAAGCATGATTGGAGTTCATTCCAACCCAGGTGGGGGATGCAATCATTTGTATGTGTATCTGATCTCAAAAGAGGGTGGCTTTGGAGGGACTGTGGACCACTTGGAGACCTTCAACTTTTCGACTTGCCGTTCGATGCAATTCCAGGCTTTTGCTGGATAATGCCGGACTCGCCATCTGATTCTTTATTACCCTATCCATCCTGGAGATTGCGGTGGAATTTGGAACGGGCGGCGATCGAGCATCTATCAAGCGATCCCCTTTTCCAGTGGGCTTCAACTCCTAGTGAAGACCGCGAGCATGCCAAAATCTAAGCCAAAGAGCTTGCTACAGAACTCGGTGCATTTCGATATATGTATTAGTTAAGTTTTTCGAACCACTATCCTACGATATAGGCCCACTTTGCGGTTCTTGGTGAATATATCTCGAGATTTTTCTATTCATCTAGAAATTATGTCTGCTCTTCATTGGCGTGGGATTAGTACATATATCTTTCTGTCATACGAAAAACAGATACCTGGTACATCTGAGTTTGATGGGTTCTTATGGATATATATTGCAGAGTAGGCACAAGAAGAGACTGGGGATGAAGAGTAGATAAATACGGTAAGGTATTCTGTATATATTGATATAAGCAAGCTGGAAATGCATAATCCTTATTAAAAGACCCAGTAGCCAAATATGACAACGCTCATTTGTATATTTCTACAGAAATTCTCGGTATTTAGTTTCGTACAGAGCTTACGCAAATAGTGTGGCCCCTTCACTCAATTCCTTCAATAGGTCAAACGTAGAAATATGAGAAAGTATTGTATACAATTAGGAAATTTTTTGATCTAAATAATGTATTCGGAGTAGTTGTGAAATGAAAATATACCTGGCAGCCACTGTGGCTGGTGTTCGGCCCCTAAGACGGCCCCGACCCAAGCAACGGAGCTCTGCACTCTCATTCTCCACTGTGTTCATACTCGAGCTCGACACTCCACGCATTCGCTTCAAATTGTACTATCCTCTAACTCCCTCTTTCTCCGAAGAAATCCCCCCATCAATCCCACAATCGCCCTCCCTAATCAAGACATCGCTGATTCGGTTTCGTCTCCACCCAAGCTACATAACGGGGAGCAATGGTCATTCGGAGATCTCGCTCATGAGCTCGATGGCTGAGGGCAGTGAGGATTGGTCGCGCGAGGACGAGCTTGACCTAGGCCAGGAAGATGATCCCCGACAACCCGACCATGGCGCTCTCGACCAAACATTACCTTCCCCGCAGGCACCAGCGGAAGAGGGATTGGACACAATAGACGATGCGGAGGACCACGATTCCGAGAAGACAGCGGGACAGAATGATTCTCAACTCCCAGAAACCCCTCCGCCGCGACATGCGGACTGGACCGCGACAGGGAGCGTGGATGAAACAGGGTCAAACCCCGACGATTCCCCATCGCTACATGTTAGTGGTACCATTGGCGCATAAACTGAATAGCTAGCTGATTGATCGCAGGGATCTATTCCGTCATCCTTGAGTAGCAGTGCGCTCGCACTCCGCGGATCTCCGCGAGCCAGTCCGAGCCCGGCCCGTCGCCCCTTTGACCTTCGCTTCCAGTCCCGATTATCTTCGTCGCCGCAAAGTGTGTCTCGAGCCAGCTCGCCGTTCCTAGCGCATCTCCACTCGCGACAATCTTCAATAACTAGCCAAATCTCCCAGAATCCAGAGACAGAAGTGGAACCGGCCCAAGGACCTTGGGATGTGGTGCGATGGACAAAGCTGCGAAGAATCACGGGGCAGGCGTTTTCGGAAATCGGGAAGCGCAGTTTCGGACGGCCAACTTGCCTTGCAGTATCAACGTCTATTGTAATAGGTACATCCAAGGGTATCATCCTTGTGTTCGATTATCAGCAAAGCCTGAAGACTATTATTGGAACGGGCACGCCAGGTTTGTCAAAAGAAGTCTACACCATCTGGCTCATTGTACTGATAATTATCTAGCTGTTGAATGCGGTGCTGTTACATCTTTAGCACTTTCTGCAGACCACACTACCGTTGCAGGAGGGCATGACTCGGGAGATATCTTTACCTGGGAGATTTCGCGCTCAGCGAAACCTTTCCTTCACATCCCACCAATTCCGGCCAATCAAGTCGAGACTCGAATATCTGATGGCCATCTTTCAGGATCCGCAGTCATTCATATTGGGTTCCTTGGCACTAGACGCACCGCGCTCGTCTCGGCTGACACTCAGGGCATGTCGTTCTCACACCTAGCAACAAGGGGAATGGGTGCAGTGGGGCGAACAGTCAAGACGACTCGAATCCTGGGTCGATATCCCCAGGCAGCGGTAGAGACCAAGCGGCGGAAGCCCAGCTCTGTCCTTGCTTTCTCCCCTTTGCCACTCGGCAACGTAGAGCAATCCACTGATTCTTTGGGCCTCGTTGCTATGCTGACACCCTATCTTCTTGTCATTGTGTCCACAACACCAGTGGCACAAACCCAACACAAAGCACCGAGGCCCAAAGAAGTTCCCGCCCACAGTGCCATGACTGGTGCCCTGGCATGGTTTCCAGCCATTCGACTGAAGGGCAAAGACACCCAGACTTCAAACACAAAGCTTGTCTACTGCTGGTCAAATGTGTTGACTGTGCTCGAAGTCTCGGAAGCCGAGTCAGACGAACCTGCCGACAAAGATAAACCCCCCAGCCTTGTGTTCAGAGCCCGTAGCAGATGGAGAGCAGATGAAGCCATTGTGGCTGTTCAGTGGCTCAGTCGCTCGGTGCTCGCAGTTTTCACGATCACACAGCGGCTGTTAATCATCGAGGATTATTCCATGCATGTGACCGATTCGGTCGATCTCGCCTACAGACACATATATCACACCGATCTCTTTTCTTCACAGCTTCATTCACTGGTTGAGCAGCTTGACGAGGAGGACGAGTCTATGCACGGGGTAGTAGCAGATGCATTCCATATGAGTTTTCGTTCTTATAAAGGGCGCTTGTTCTTGCTTGGTTATAACGAAGCCTTGGTGGGCAATCTATCGAATTGGGCTGATCGCTTGCTGGCGCTTATGGAGGCCGGTGACTTCATTGGGGCCATTCGACTTGCCACTTCTTACTATACGGGGGAGTCGGAAAAGTTGACAGTCGGACTTCCGGAAGAGGATGATTTGAGACAGCCCATTGTGCAAGAAAGGCTTTTGGAAATGATCTCCGCGTCCCTCAAATATGCTTTTGGCCGAAACTCCGAAGCAAGCACCGGCCGACTTGAGAACCAGCAGCTAGAGGAACTTGCAGAAGTTTCTATTGCAGCTTGTATCTACATGGCCGACGAAGAATTCCTCTGGGAGGAAGTCTTCAACTGGTACGAGGAGCAAGATTCGGCGGGCATTTTCCTGGATGCCCTCGAACCACGCATCGTTGATGGAACTCTGCGATCACTACCTCCAACCGCGGTAAAGGCCTTGATCAACCATTTCATTGGAACTCACTCGGCCGGTCACTTAGAGGAGATTATATGTCTACTGGATACTACCACAATGGACATCGATCAAGTCACAACGCTATGTAAGCAGCACAATCTTTACGACGCCTTCATATATGTATGGAACCGCTGTTTGATGGATTATGTTGGACCACTGGAAGAGCTACTACAGCTAATCCCCTCACAATCCGAGTCTTTGGTCAACGGTGACTATGTGGTCGAGATGAGACGACAGAACAATGCGATGAAAATGTTCCCCTATCTTTCATTCATTTTGACGGGTCGCGTCTATCCCACTGGAGACGACATGAACGAGGCTGAAGCCACGCGAGCTAAAACTGACTTGTATCATTTCCTCTTCTCGGGCCGTGGGACCGTTTCAGTACCTGGAAATACCAACGGGGCCGACCACTTCTCTCAACTTCGAGCCATGCTCAAGTTCGACGCTTCCAGCTTCATGAGCATGCTCAACGAGGCATTTGAGGACAGCTTCCTAAATGAACCTGAGAGCGGGGATGCTTCTGCGTCGGGCATTTCGATCAATCGACAGTACCTTATCAGCATTTTGCTGCAAGTCATGAGCGACGACCTTTTCACGCCTTTTGATACCATCTACCTTGATATGTTTGTTGCGCGCAATCTTCCCAAGTATCCCCAGTATATTCTCCTGTCTGGCACAATCCTCCATCAGGTTTTGGTCCGTATATGCCAATATCCCGAGCCGGAAATGGCAGACGACTGTGAGTTGAGTGCGGAGTATCTGCTGTCTTTTTACCACCCACCGGACATCCAGGCCATGATTCCTCTATTTAAAGAGGCGCGCTTCTTCCGGATTCTCAAGTCGACTTACCGTTCAGAGAAACAATACCCCCTGCTGGTGATGACTTACCTGGAGGATCCGAATGATCGCAATGCCATCTTCACCTGCCTCCATGACTGCCTCCGTCCAGGCTCTGGGCTTGGAAAGAAACAGAGAGGTGATACAGTGGATGTAGTGAAAGAGCATGCCAGGGAGATCGCCGAAATTGACGTCACGCACGCTGCACAGACGATGCAGGGCCTGGCCCCCGAAACACACGCTACGTTTTTGCGGGTCCTAGAAGATGATCCCCACAAACAGTATCAGTACTTGTCAGTCCTGGTAGAGCCGCAGGCCCAAACCGCGGACACGCAACCTTCGCCCAGTATTGAGAACTGGATGATCGAGCGCTACGTGCAGCTCTTGTGCAAATACAACCCCTCTCATGTCGCAGACTTTGTCGACGGATTGCGAGTCGGTGACATCCACCTGGATGAACTGCTCCCGTACATCGAGGAAAGTGGGGCTATCGATGCTGCCGTCATCCTCCTTGCCCGACAGGGCGAAGTCCGTAAGGCCCTTGACCGTCTTGTTGCACACCTGGGCACTCTCGAATCCGGTCTGGTAGGTATCCTACAGAGTGTACGCGATAGCCCCGACTCAGCGACTACCGCCGAAGCAATCGACGACCTGATCGAATCCCTGAACAAGTATGCCGGTGTCGGAACATGGCTCTGTCAGGGCCAAAGCAAGATAGCCAAGCAGTCGCCCACAAGCAACGCCAACGGCAAACGCAACGCGCCAAGTCTCGACCAGCCTCTAGCCTTCGACGAACTCCTCTGGCTTGACCACATCGAAGCCGTGGTCCGCATCGCAAGCAATGTGTTCGCCTTCATACAAGAAAACAATGCCCATACAACTCTCCCCGCCCAACCAGCAACATCCCTCGCCGGCGAAAGCGGCCGCCTCACAAGTTCCTTCCGCACCCTCGTTCAGCAAGTCTTCACAGCCCTCCTCGCCAGCACAGTCAAAAGCAGCCCAGCCGCAACTGAAAGAACAGACATGTCCTTCTTACGCATCCTACGCGCATTCCTCACTCGCGCCGCAAGCTGGTCCCCCTCCCTCCTTGAGCTGCGCGCCGTGCTAGCCTCCATTTTCTCCGCCTACTCCTATGAGAAATCCCTCTTAACCCTCGCAAACGGCATGCTAGACCGCGACCTCTTCGTCCACGTCGAGGAAGTCTCCCGTTTACGCCAACAAGGTTGGCGACCCCGTGGCCACGTCTGCGAGATCTGCCGCAGCCGCATCTGGGGACCTAGCGTTGGCGACGCGCATTGGTCTGCATGGGAAGCGCGACGCGCTGAAACCCATTCCCGCCGCATCGCGAGACGTCATGAGGAAAGCTACAACCCGTCTGAGCGCGGGAAAGGAAAGGCTGCTGATGTCGGAGCGGGTCATTGGTCCCGCCTAGATGCGAGTGCACATGCACATGTCCACGCTCATCGCGATGACGCTCGTGGTATGTCCGATGCAAACGCTGACCACGATCGCAATCATGACCACGACCACGACGGGGCTGGAGCTAGCTCTAGCACTGTTCAAGTCGCAGAAAGTTCACCAGAACCCGTTGTGGTTTTCGCCTGCCGACACCTCTACCACCGACGTTGCGTGATGAAGGCTATCAGCACGGGGGCCCAACCTGCTGAAACCGCGTTTCGGCGCGACCATTTACCCGAGCTGTTCTGTCCGGCTTGTATATAGATTTCTAGCGGAGTGATTATTTCCTTTGTGTCTAGGGATTTTCCTTTGTCACTTTTCTCCCTATCTCGTTGCTTTTTCTCTTTACTTAGCTGTTCGGGGGATCCCTAGATGAGATATGATCGTCTTGCATATAGCCATTCTCGTTGTTCCTTTCAACTTTTTTTTTACCTCTGAACTACTGTAATGTAATGTGATATTCAAACCAGGTCTATCCATGCCATATCACATCTTCATTAATCCTGTACATCTTCGGTGGAGAACAGGTGATATGGAGTTCTCTTCAGCCGTTCAGTTCATTCTCCAAGACAAGACGCTTGGCATTTGTACACCCAAGAGGGATGCCTCTGGATTCTCATTCGGTCCCGCAGGGGTTCGCGGAGGTAATATTCTGGACTGTGTGATCACGATGGTCTGGTGTTCTTTAGTTTGGGATCTACAGTAGACGTAATAGTTATTTGGAGCGTGATAGATATTGATGTAACTCTCGAGATGACACTGTCATTTCACCTTCGATATCAGTTTTGGGTAGGATCTCCATGAGAACTGGTTTCACGGCCACCATGCATGGAGGTACATGGGCTTATGTATCACTACGGGTAAATATATATGTGTGGGTACTTGTGTCCAAGTACCGTAAAAGGGTGGAGAGATCTGGTGATCAGAAACGGATGCCACGAGAGATCACCGCTCTATATTTCTCCTTACATTCTTTGTCTAGGCTCTTTTGAAGTCGAATTATCGCCTGATGATTCTTTCTGGGGAACTAACAAAGTACGGGAAAAAAAGAAAAGAAAACGCTTAAACAAGCCGGGAGTCCTTAAACAGCCGTGGCCTATCAGCTTCCTATTCTCCCTTTTCTTGAATACGAACTTTCGACGTTGGCGATAATCACTCTGGTTGGTCTTGTATCGTGATCTGATTTGATCCTTTTTTTGTATGAAACATTGAAGTTTGTTAGCGCTGGGGATATATCCGTTTCATACATACGGAGTAGGGGAATGGTGATTAGACTACATCCTATATTACTGTACATCCCTAGATGCTACGATGGTCTCTACTCTAAATGCCATACTCGTTTTAGATCAGACCAGACCAATCGGCAACTAAATGACCCTGAAGGCTCGGAGATGTCAGACTCTGACATTCCGCATGTTTCAACATTTCCCCTTTTGCCTGTCAGAAGTGTCTGGTGGATGTATCACGTCGTTCCATTCCCTTTTTCTTTTTGATATTTCTTTTTTCCTTTTGGTCTTCCTAAGATACCTCTCAAGTATAAAATTGATCCCGTCTCCCCCTTCCTGAGGCAATATATCTACCTCTATTGGTCCCTCCTTTGTTGCATATATACCTATTGTCCCTATTGATGTGTATTCATACCATTCTTATTGTCATTTACCATTTTGGTCACTATCTGTGATACTAGATCTTCCCCAGTCTTTAACAGACTCCATCTCTCTAATCCTTCTTCTTTCTTGCAAATATTCTGCAAAGATCCCAGCATTTAGCGCAATGCATGTGCTCTCAACCCTCCTGCCCACCCTGGGCGTGCTAGCCCACGTATCTTCCGCAGCATACACCCTACGCGATGACTATGGTACCTCGGACGCGTTTTTCGACAAGTTCAAATTCTACACTGTATGTCCATGGACCTCAGCTTCTCGTTTCATCCGTAATTCCCATACTAATCCAATACATAGGACACCGATCCTACCAATGGCTTCGTGACCTACGTCGACCGTAACACCGCCTCAGCCAGCGGTCTCATCAACACAGGAAACGGTGTCTACATCGGCGTCGACCACACTAACACGGCCGAGAACCCTGGCCGTAAGAGCGTCCGTCTGGAGGGCACCACCACTTATAAACATGGTCTTGTCATCCTCGATTTGGCGCATATGCCCGGCAGTGTATGTGGCAGCTGGCCCGCCTTGTAAGAACCCCAATCAATTATAACTCTCTTATCCCTTCCTCCCTTTTTAAAGAAAAACAAATTAACACCTACAGCTGGATGCTCGGCACCAACTGGCCCAACAACGGCGAAATCGACATAATCGAAGGTGTAAACGAACAAACCCAAAACCAAATGGCTCTCCACACCAGCAACGGCTGCACAATCACCAACAGCGGCTTCACAGGAACCCTCGATACACCAAACTGTTTCGTCAACGCCCCCAACCAATCCCCGAACAGCGGCTGCACAATCCGAAGCGAAAACACCCAGTCCTACGGCACTGGCTTCAACAACGCCGGCGGCGGGATCTACGCAACTGAATGGACTGGTTCCGCGATCTCGATCTGGTTCTTCCCTTCTTACGCGGTGCCGGGAGATATCACAGCGGGAAACCCTAACCCGGCGTCTTGGGGAGCCCCCACGGCTCGCTTTGCTGGTGGCTGTGATATCGATTCACATTTCAATGATCTGCAGATCGTTTTTGATGTTACTTTCTGTGGGGACTGGGCGGGCTCGGTTTGGGGTTCGTCGAGTTGTGCCGGTCGGGCTGGATCGTGTGTGGATTTCGTGAAGAATAATCCTGCGGCGTTCCAGGAGAGTTATTGGCGGGTGCGGTCGCTGAAGGTTTATCAGGATTGGAGTAGTAGGGGTACTGAGGGTGGTGTTGGTGGAGAGGTTGGGGCTGATGGTGAGGGTGAGGCTGCTGGCGAGGATGTGGGTGCTGGAGTGGGTGCTGGAGTGGGTGCTGGAGAGGGTGCTGGAGAGGGTGCTGGTGCTGGTGCCGGTGCTGGTGTTGGCGCTGGTGTTGGCGCTGGTGTTGGTTGGGATCCCACGGCGTGGTTTGAGCCCCCTGCACCTAGGACTTCTTCTAAGCATCGTCGCGGACATTATCATGCTGGGCATGATCATGCCTAGATGGTGATTGGGATGTGGATTGACAGCACTATTTTCACTGAGAGTGATATGGATTCGATCCTTTTTGCATTTCGATTGTATTTACTTTTTTTTCGGCCTTGATTTCCGTCTACTTTTGCGGTCTTTTTACTCGGGGTTTCCTGGCCCGTGCTAGTCGATGGGTTATGGAGAAGCGAGGGCGTTTGATACGCTTTATGCTTTATGCTTTATGATGACTTTGTGGATACCCTTTCCATTTTGATGGGATGAATATGAAATGAAAATAAACTATATTAGCATCGTAATTGTGTAGATATCTTGTCTGGTTCGTAAGTAAACTGAGTGGATCGTCCATGTCAGGTACTAGGTAAAGATTATACGATCTTCAGCATCTATAGATTTGACAAGAATAATACTTGGATTGAAGAAGACAAGAAAAGAATATATACTTGAATCTATCTATCAATTGACTATCATATTAACATTAACATTAACATTAACTCAACGCCCAAATCCAAGAACATCACGCTGATCATCCGTAAGTCGACCCCATTCTAAAAGCAGCCGGAAGAAATAAATCTCCATATCCTCCTTCCTCAACGCTGTACCAGCCCACTTCCGCCCTTCCTCTGCAATCCAATTTCCCTCCTGATCATGCGCCTTCATACGCATCGGCGGGGGATCAGAACTACTCCCCTCAGGCCCGGGAGCAGACACACCCGCAAAGTAAGCAAGGGTACTCCACAGGCCATGGAGGCGGATATCGACAGGGACAAAGTGCAGCCAGGAAGTAACACGAGAGTCGAACCATTGACGGAAGAGACCTGTTTTGAGGGGCAGGCTGCGGCTGTGTAGGAAAGGGAGGAAGCGGCCGCTGAACCCAGCGCCGTCAAGGTCAAAGAGGAAACGGTGGGACCAGTGTGCTTGGAAGTCTGCCCAGCCCGCGGTTCCCATTTCTGCGGCTTGTTCGGCGCAGTCTTCGCAACGGACGATAGGGTCGGCGAGGTGGACGGCGGTTTGGAGATGGAGGTCTGAGGTGGGGGCGTTGCCGTCCATTATTTCGTAGCGGAAGGAGTTTTCGTTTGAGTCGGTTGGGAGGAGAACGGAAACTTGATTATTGGTGTTGTTGTTTATTAGGTGAGCGAAGCGCTGGCGTGGCATGCCTTTCCACTCGCCGAAGCGGCTGACGCCTTCTGATGTGCTGCCGAGCCAGTAGAGGGAGTTCTCTTTTTGGCTGTATTCTGGATCTGGGTGTTCGTGCGTGGGTTCATATTTTGCTTTGTCGATGTAGTTCCATGGGCTTGGGAAGAGGATATCGTTGAAGCCTGTGAGAGCGCTTTGGCTGAACACTGGGATGAGTTCTTGCGACACCTTAAACGAGGCTGGTGAGATTAGTAGACCGTGAAGGAAGGCAAGATCTGGCTGATGACAGATTTCAGAGGCGATGTTAAAATTCAGAGGAAATTGGCCCATGGAATGCGGAGACACGCATGACAGACAGATTTCACGACGATTCCAGACTCGCTGAGAGCGCGCCTTCGATGAAGGCGGACAGACGGCGCTCACATAAGGATCGAAGACACCCCTCCATGCTCCGTCAGTGAACACGGTGATGTTGGTTTGATCGGCCGGTTCAATCGGGGCCCAGCCTTCCTCTCGGTTGGTCGACCAAGTCTGCACCATGCGTTCTGCGGGGATCATTGCTTGCATCTCAGTCTGTCGATTCAGCATTGAGATTTTCTCCCAGGGAACTGCAACTCGTGGTTCATCGTTCAGATTAAATACCAAGTCCATATCCGGGAGGTATTTGACGAAATTATCCATCATGTCCGCGGCACCCTTCACCATCCATGCATGGGTGGGTTTGATGCCTTCTTGCACCATGGCTGTGCCGTTGCGGATCTTAATTCCACCGAGATCATTGAAAGGGTTCGTGGCCAGTTCATGCGTCATTGCACGTATGTGCTCCGGAGCCAGGGCTCGGAATGGAAGTAGATTATTGTGTATCTGATCGAATTCATCGATAATAGCTGACGATCGGTTTGTGGCATATCGATACCATTCGTCAAAGCCCCTAGACAAATGTTAGTTAAGTAATGCGGCAGGTGTGGGTATGCACACGTACGGTGGTGGATGCTGATTATATCGCCTCCGGTATTCATTAACAGCATCTCCGAGAGTCCTGCTCCTAGACGCCTGAGCGAGATAGTTTTCATGTTGAAGTTTGCCGTCATTGATGAGGAATTCGATCGGGTGTATCTCATCTAGACGATGCTTGCTCACTACGAAAACGAGACTGATCCCACACAGCACGGCGAAAAGAATTTGTATGGCAATGTTGGTGCGGTATAATTTCGGCTCTTCGTTATGAGCCACTCGTGCAAGAAGAAACAGGAGGGCACCCGTCAACGATGCCGCCAGCGGGAGAACAGCATGGGTTAGGGAGACAAATGGGAATGGTGACTGTGCTCCTGTGAGATCCGAAAGATAGGAGAAGTACATGATCATGAAACCACCTATAATCGATACTCCAAGGATGTCGAAATGCGGCAACTAAGAAAATCAGTACTGAGAGAAGTGAGTATGGAGAGGTTGCTAGGCTAACCATATGCCAGGCCGATAAGACCATTAGTACAACCAACACAGACTGGGAGAAAGCCCCACGCGAATACTCTAGATCCAACATGGGTTGACCGGCAAGTTCGGGAGAGCTATCTGGTAATGGTACAAAGACTTGCACAACGCTCCAGAGCAAAGAAAGACCCTGGAAAGACCGTCAGAACAATGATTCGCTTCATGATTGTTATTGCCCACTTACCAAGAGACCAGCCCCAAGAGATGTCAAAGCTTGTTTTCTACGCGCATCGTCGAATTGAGCGCCAATCCGACATAGCTCGGTGACACTGATAAGTATAACAGAGTCAGCAAACAGGTTGAACAGCCTGTATGATTGTAGGCGCGATGCGCCATGTAACACAATCGGACAGATATAGGTTGAGCGGGTTCCGGCTGAGAGCGATGAAGCCAAGAGGCCACCAGTAGACAAAAACGCTGCTGCAATGAGACCTCTGGAGCGACTTTGCGTGAGATAGTAGAAGCTCCGGCGGGAAACAGAGTAGACCACCTGCAACGGCAGCTCTTCGAATCGTTGGGCAGGGACATATCGGTCCACTTGTCGTGATCGCTGGTTGCGCCAGTAGTCATAAAGCGAAATAACGAAAGGAATAGCGTACTTTCCGGGATATCGTGTTAGTCGCATGAGTCGCATGAAGAATTGAACGACAGATAGGGTGCTCGGTCACTTACAGCGTATCCAGCGGGCGCGCATTCAGTGTTCCGAGTTACTTGACGGAACGACTCGATGCGCAAGCCACACAACCCCAATAAGAGACCGATCTTCATCCACCACGACTGAAATCGCAGCCGAGGTCGAGTCTCAACATCGCCCGGTGCGACAGATGAGGTTGATGCGCGGGAAGGTAACTCGAATTGCTCTGCAAGAGGGATTATTGGCCTTTTACTTGTTGGCGACAATGGCGACGATCCCAAGGTGACAAATCGACTCCATACCAAGAGAGTGATCCCTGTAAGGAAGCAGACCAGGACGGATGTACTAACGGGGCGATCTGGATCGGCGCAATAGTCAGAACCCGTTATAGAACGACATTGATATCCACGGGCACGACTCACCAAAAGCGAATGTGGTATTGTAGGATGTCGTGAGGAATAGCGAGCTCAGAAAGAATACCCTGCTCATAGAAAGCGACCATGAGCTTCAGTTTTCAATGTGAGATAACTTGTTAGGTACTCACCCCACAGATAGCTTCAGGCCGAAGTCGGAAGATAACTGGATCATATTGCGCCCAATCTATTGATGATCACTCAAGAGCCATTGTTGTGATCTCAAGGATCGATCGAAATGTTGAAAGACAGCAAGACCAAATGACAGAAGATTAAGCGGATCTTCAGGAGATTGGCAGTTTTCGAAACATGGAAAAAAAGCAGGGCAGAGAGGGCCAAGAGGGCCCTTTGATAGATTGGCAGCTAATCAGAGGCATCCGGAGTGCTGATCCATTGGATCCATTAGGGTTGCGTCAACGGGCGGGTTGCGATGGATTTCATGGGCATTTTGCTGTGCACGTAACCACGACCCACGGGCATGACCTTTCGAGTATCTTGCCAATGAGAATGGTGGGATATCATCAGCCACCGTGGCCAAATGTGTTAGCTCCGGGTAGTTAGCTGGGTTTATCCTGGAGACGTTATCTTGTAAAAACCTCAGCAAGAGAAGCCGAGCCGATCAGCGGCCAGAATCGCGCCTTGATAATTTCACGACCCACTTGAAATTTAGGCATGATGTCCTCTAGTGGGACCTGGACCTTTGACTGCATGTGTACTCTGTTAATTACTCCGTACATAGCTGTACACAGCTGTACGGAGTACACAGATTTGAAGGCCACGCTTGCGATTTTTCGGATTTTTCCCGGTGTCCCGCCTGATGAGTCCCGCCTGATGAGTGCCGCCTGATGAGTACCTCCCACCTGGGCAGTACAGGGTGATTATTCATTTGACTGGTCTAGGTACCTAAGTAGGTACCGTAGGTAACATCCCTTGGACATGACGCCATGGGAGGAAAAGTATGACCTAACCTGTCCCTGGCTTTGCAAACCCTGCAAACTCGGTACATCCAAGGGGGCTCCACTTCCAAAGTATACGAATCATCGAACACATTGCCAAAATGATACAGAATAATGCCACTAGCACAAAGAATATCAAACACGCTTCCTGAATATGCTCGGATACCCATGGGGTTGACAATTTACAGGGCTTCACTCCGTCCGCGAAGTAACCTGCAGATGTTGCTATTCACTGCGGGGACCCAATCCCAGCTGCATGAAATGTAAAGCGTCAATCCGTTTGCTTCAGGCCATCAGAGCACCTCACAAGCTTATCAGAGACGGACACCACGAGTTCACAACAGACATACCAATTTCCCATAAAAAAGTCGCAGAGGCCCCATCGTTAGAGCATGAGCTTCTTGAGCAAAACGTATGGATATGATGGGAAGGCAAGGAGAATATTTGAAGGCACAGGGATTATTTTTCTCCACGAAGGCGCACACTCTTTTTGTTTACAGAATGGCGCTTTGCTGACTGTTTATGCCAGTTCATACGCGCCTTCACTCAAAATCAAGTTGCGAACTTTGTCAAAAGACATACTCTCCTCTCCTCCCGATCCTCGAAACGGTATAACTACGAGCTTGTAAAATGTGAAGACCCTAAATTTATTAGGAAGTGGTTTGATTTAGTGTGAAAGATAATTGTTTAATTAAGAATCGATCCCAATGATATCTGTTACTTCAAGAAAACTAGTTTTGTGACAGGATTAACTATAACCAAAAAGGTTATTACGAGGAGTAAATACTATACTTAGCGTTCACTCTTATGACCTAAAAATCGAGAGTGGTTGACTACTATTAACTACACGAATACTTTAGGTGAGGCCCTTCTCTGTGTACAACTTTGAAAGGTAAAGTATTGATTAAATTGTAGTTCAATGGCCTCCTAGACCAGATTCTAGCGTCTTATGCTCTGAATACATGGTTTGATTGCCTATGGATATTGCAGGACCAGCTCGAAGACTTCAGTCTTTAAAGTCTATCTCATCAAAGTACGCAGCACAATGACGATCCACAGGAATTCAACGAGGAAAGTCACATAGTCGATACACCCCTCGGAAGAAAGAATAAAAACTGCCATTCTTCGCTACATGTCGTCCCTAGAAGAAGAAGAGTAGCGGCTGAAAGCTGATTTGGATGCGGCAAGAATAGAATCAACCATCGAGGGCTTCGACTGTGTTTGACTATATCAGACTAGGCAGAAATATACTAGGATACGATTGCAGATGAGGGGCCTTCTGCCGGAGACCTAGAATTTACTCGATATGAAGAACAGCAGGATACAACAAGCCTCAACAGCTCCCCAGACCAAACAAAAGCAGAGAACTGATCAAGCAGGCAAAAACAGCCAAGAGGCGCTATATCAAGCCACTTTGAGGAACCTTGGACTGACATATTCTAAGATTCTTATAGTAGCTTTCTTTATATTACCGTTTTCCTATGTGTGCTTTTCTTTTGGTATGAATGTTTGGTTAATCGATCTTCGACCTGTAAGATGAATTAGCATAATTGTGGAGGTTGATGAAGACAGCTCCTCAATACATCGTGATGACTTCCACTCTCTCTCAACGCCGATTTATCACTGCACATAGGCTTTCCAAGCTTCATTGACTTGAAAGTCCCATGGTTGAGAAGTGCATCTTATTTTGACTCATTTTTATTCGGCGTCAATCTCAGCTAGAAGTCAAATACGACCATCAAAATCTTGAATCAAAAGCGAAAGGTTTATGTGACACTGGCGCTCCCACAATTGATTTGCATTCTAGTATGATCCTCTTTCGCATAAAGAGTGCTACATACAATCTTAAGGTATGAGAAAAGCGATCCCTGTCCGCTCAGTCGTACAAGGGTACCATTCGTGATGGAGAATTATAAAATTCTAATAGACTTATAAGGGTTTAGGAAAGCAGAGAGGGTTTTCAACCCCTTAAAGCTACACTACGAAGGAAGAAAAGAAAGGGAAGAATCATCCATCCGATACATCACTAGTAGGGTAAAGAAATCCTGGCTAGTAAGCCAAATGCTCGGTCTGCTATCAAATCAGCATCTATAGTATGATCCAGCATCTCTCAAGAGAATGTGCGAAGATATTCTACACAGATGTCCCAAAGCTTCCCCACGAACTTCAGGCAAGTAATTGCCGCTTCCCATCCCGAGTTCAGAAGGCTGATCAAAAGGCCAAAGCTGAAAAAGCTTTCGGAAGAAGGTGATGCTGCCACAGAGGGAACACCAGCTCTTTGCCGTGCCAATCTCAATTGGTATTTTATATTACCTTCATTACACAGCGCTAGCTTTTCGTGGCCATTGGCTGTCTCAAGATATGAATGGCCAGAGTCAATGTACCATGCTAGCTGTTCCCTGAAGCCGCGCACCAACAGAGGGATTAAAAGTGGTTGCCAAGGACCACGCAGGAGGAAATCTGAATGAAACTCTTTCCGTTCCACGAGGTTTCCAATGAACCAGTTAGAAGACGCGGGTACGATGCTCTTTGAATCATCGAGTTGCAACGCTAAATCGTGGCAAATGTCCTCAGACCAAGCTGACAGTTCATGAAGAAGTTGAACGGTAGCCCATCTGACTCTCTTATTCGGATTGTTGATTTGTTCCACCACCTTACTGAGGAAATCATTGGATAGAATCCGCGGATGACTAGCTCTGACCGCCTGCAAGGTGGCTTCTACAACACTCGCATCTGTATGCTTAATGCAGGCAATGACTTTGTCCCAGATGTGTGGCGAATCTGATAAGTATGACTGACCGGCCAGGGCGTTGAGAGCGGCTGTTGTAATAGAAGGATCTCGATCCTCGATATGATGCGATATTTCGTCAAGAATTCGCTTCGATGAATTGGACTGATCTTTGAACGCTTGCAGGGCGGCTTTTCTCGAGGGTTTCCCTTTCTTGAGTATGGCCACTATCTCTAGAGTGGTACCCTCCGGTAAGCACAGCTGGTGACTTAGGGCATTCGCAGCTTCGGTCCTAACGGAGATAATATTATCCTCAAGTAATCCCACTATTGCGCTCAAAATCGGAACCGACAGGTTGGATTGTCCAGCTAACAGCGAAGCAGCTGCGCGTCTTTGAAACTTCTCCTGAGACCCTAAAAATACCCTCAAAGTGTCCAATATTTCTGCAGATAGCCTTGACTTGTTGCACCAAGCTTTGACTTGATCAATGGTGGCCGGCTGGCGACCATTTATACTCTCCGCAATTTTCGTACCAAGTAGATGATCTGGACGATTTGAAAGCTTAGAGAACAGTCGAATGGTCAAAAGAGATGTCATGTCACTTTTGTCGGTTATAGTCGCTAACAATCGAGTAAGATTGTCCGGCAAGGTTGATTGTCCGTGTAGAGCGAATACAGAAACTCTTTGAATCTGCCTGTCTGAATTCTCGATGTTTGCCGCTATTGAGCTTATCACCTCTGTAGGAAAATCAGATTGACGGCTTAAAGCCTCGCTGGCAACCTCTCTAATATGCCTGTTGTCACTTTTAAGCATCGCGACAGTCTCAATCAACGTTTCTCTCGGCATTGACTGGCCGCTGAGGGCGAGTCCAATTTTGCTAGGAAGCTTTGTATCCAGATGACCCGCCCACGTTGCAATTGTGCAGTAAACGTTCCCTGGTAACCTCTGGCTGTTTAGAGCGTGAGCGGCAGAGACTCTCAAATTCGCATCTTGATTCTTCAGGTATGAAGCTATGGAGTACAAGGCCTTTTCCGGTAACTTGTCCCTCGAGCGTGCAAGTAACGCAAATAAAGAGTGTAGTAGCTGCGCGGTTTCTGCGGTTTCTAGAAGAGAAAGCACTCTCTCTATAATCTGAGATGGTATTTGGCGAAGTTGTTTCATTGAATTGAAAGCAACCGCTTGAACCCGTTCATCCTCTTCCAGAATGCCAGCCAAGGATCTCTCGGGAAATTCAAACTCACTCGCCAAGGTCAGTGCCATTTGCGAGAAATTTAGACCTATGTCCAAAATCGACTTGCATTGAAATACCAGCCACTGTGATAGATGATCTTCAAGCTTGCCTCGAAGTGAGAAGGATTCCGATCGAGCCTCACTTAAGCAATGCATCACAAGCCGCTGGTGTGCAATACCTAGGAGATCCAGTGGTTCCTGATCTAGGGCCCTAAAGAACCTCTCCGTCTCCTCTGGCTCTCCATCTAAGTCAAGGAGTCCGGCGACAAATCGCCACACTATATCATAGCGAGAGCTGTATTTGGTTCTTCTCAGAAATTCGACTGGTGAAATGAAGTTGCCCTTACTCGCGAGTTTCCTCTTGCTAGCAACCAGACTCACACATTCCAAGTTTTTGCTGGCTTTCCATTTGCGCACAAAATATCGCGCGGCAAAGTACTCTTGAAACGTTAAGTGAAGGAAGTGGTAAGTCCTTTTTTCTTCGCTCGGATTGGTCTTCGAGGAGCCGGAACTTCTCAGAAAAGAAAGTCGGCTGAGCCTTTCATCAAATCCGTCAGAAGTGGACCCGGACAGTTTCAATATCGTGTCACGATCTTCCTGCCCAAAATCGATCACATTGCTATACATTCCCACAAAAGCAAGAAGCTCTAGGATCTCAATGTCCGGTCTAACAGTTCTGTAGACTTCAGCTGGGAGAAATCTTCGCACTTGATAGTTCTCTTTCGTCCCAAGGCTGACGATATCCTTCTTCCAGAGCCGGTATTCAATGGCCTGGTAGATAGCAGTCATTGTTTGGGGCTGAGCTTCCTGGTAATTCCAGTCACCCCAGCTCCAACAGAGGGCGTCTAGTTGGACTGGGATCCGCATAAGACTTTGGATCAGGCGGTGTTTTTCGAGATATAACAGGATCTGCGTGCACTTATTATGATCGGCGGGCTGTGGGCCGGGAAAATATCGTGTGACATATTCTTCTACCTGATGAGGATAGAATCCAATGGTTTCCAACTCAAGGTGAAATTCCCCATCGAGATGGGTCGGAAGTGATGTATGTGGGCGAGAGGTCACGATAATGTTAGGCAAGTCCATGAGGTATTTGAGTAACTTGTGGTCTTTGTTTAATTCATCTGAGACCTCATCCAAACCATCCAGAAGAAAGAGCGATCTGTGGTACTGTGATGTTTGCAACGCAGTCCATACATCATTAGCGAGGTCCTTCTTTCCTGGGTTCTGGGAGAGATATTCCTCGCGAAAAAGGTCTTCGATGTCCTTGAACATATCGTTAGCTTTGAGCTTCCGTAGAGGTAACCAGAATATACGGTCAAAAAGATCCTTCCATAGGCGACCCTGGAGAAAGTCGTAAACGATCTTCTTGCACAGTGTTGTCTTTCCAATACCCGCACGGCCGCGGATCAAGACTCTGCTTGGTACTTGTCGTCCCGAGCGTTTTTCAAAGATATCTGGTAGGCTAAATTGAATATTTTGGTGGGGAGTTTCTACTCTGAGTCGAGTGGTGAGTGAGAATGGAGAAGCTGTTTTTCCACCTTCCACCTTCTTGGATAATCTGTTCTCTTTGATTTCCTCCACAATAGCAAGATTGATGTAGCATGTATCCATTGCTAATACATCGCCAGACAGACGTTCAATGTGGAGTCTTTTCCGGGTGTTGTAATACCTTTCTAACTCTCTGTCCATTCTTTGGAGTGGGCTCGGGTCGGCATTTTCTCTAAGATGTCCATCTAATTTGATGTATTAGCACACTCTGTGTAAAATTATCGTAAGGATATAGATGAAAAAAGTATCCGTGGAATTCATGCTTAGCTAAATCAAGTCTTACTTGTCCATTAAGTTGGCAAATCGAGACTCCAGCTTATCATCGCCCACGGACACTTTTCCCTCTGGGCCTTGAACAAAAAGCGCAGGATCCAACTCACACTTCTTGAGCGCAGCTTCATAGACATCCTCGATGTTGCTCTTTACTAGCTCAAGGTTGTCCTGGTCTGTCTGGCTTAGGCCAAACTTACACACCTGACTGTGGTCTGCATCTAGCGGCACAACATTCTCGCAATCCCCTGGTAGGCCGAGGCGTGAGCTTTTTGGTGGGACAACCTGAATCTACATTAGCACAACGGCAAACCTAATACACTAAATATACTAGCTAGTTTTACTTACGTTGTCTCGGGTTCCCCAAAAGGAGATAATACTGTAATGCAGGAGTTGGTGCCTCCAATGCTCATCCATAATATCCGAGAATGTGCTCCCCTCCTCTAATGTCTTCAGCACGTCATCGCCTTTTTGAAATCCGGATTTACGGGCAATATTAGCTAGCACCCGGCCAAGGCTAACCAACATGGTATCGCCGCCGTGGTGCGGTGTGGCGAAAAATACCAGCCCTGAGGTTGCGTCTTTGATCGATGTGTATTTTCGATTATTGTGCGCATTGACCAAGGCCTGTTTGATGAGAAGACCACCCATGCTATGGCCGAGGAATATAATAGGCCGGGAATCAGCGCCCTTTCGCTTCGCTCGGATTGCCTCAAGCAGACTATTTGCCTTGTCGATAAAAGTACCCCGGTCCTTCCCGTAGACCGCTGTTGCGTTGAATTCGTAGAGAAATATGCGCGCCTTGGGCGCTGATGAGGGGAGGTCATCGCGGAGCCAGAGACGGCCCTGATCCCCGGAAGGCGAGCGCCATGTATCCCACGCGTGGTCGGCGTCGTTTCTGCTTCGAGGGTTGAGGCCGTGAATTGCGATGATACTGTATAGTATAAGAGATGGTATTTTTGGAAGCGTGTAACACCTACTCAACCCTGCTGACATCAACTCTTGAATCCGCTGCTGCGGGGTCGGGGTACAGTTGCCGTAGAGGCTATATGTGACGTGAGTAGGAGCCATACAATTACTAGGCTGCACTGACCATCGTGAAAACTTGAACACTTAGCTTGTCTGACTTGGTAAATGCTAAATAGTGCTCTGTGTTGTAAATATTTGAGAGAACTTGCGGCTGAACTCACGATTACAGCCCCGTTTGTCCATGTTGGCCCCCAGATGAGTTATGATCGCTCCGGACTTGATTGGGCTGGCGCCATGTGACTAGTTCATCCCCCAGACCACATCCATTATCAGTCAGAAAGTGTCCTTCAGCGCCAAACAAGAAGGTAAGATTCATGGATCAAACGATGTAGGCCATGGAGGAATAAAGTACCCATCTTATTTGTCGAAAGTTGAAGAGAGGATGAATGCCTAGACGGTAGAATATATCTGAGAAGATCCGGAATGTTCGCCCGCCAAGGGAGCCGAGTCCAACGTTCGAAGTCCGTTGAAAGGGTGTTGCGACTGACGAGCGACTATCGACATGTTCCCGAGGCGAGAACCAGATCACTGATCGCTAGTAGTCTCTGTGTTGGTAGGGGGTGGTTCAAGAAATATTGTCGATTTGTTCTTCGTCGAAACAATATTCAGTGATGGAACAACGTTCGTGGCCCACGGGATATGAAGGTAGCAATTCTCGCGGTTTGTCCGGACCTCGGCAAGAATCGCGACTCCCTCTACCTCTCTGAATACTTCCTAGAGGCCGATGTTGACGTAGGAAGACACCGCTGGGTCATGAATCTAGGTGGCTAGAAGTCACTGGGGGATTCCAATCGCGAGGAGGGGTATATTGTTTGATTAGAGCTCTTCGCTGCTTTTCACTTTGGTTTCCAATTCCAAGAGGCATATTTTATGTAATCCTATTCTTTGCATAACTAACTCTCCTTTCTCTTCAACGCGGAAGAAATGATCCAGGTCGTTACATAAATGGCCAGTCTCCATTTATTGAATTTTCGCCCTGTCGTATCATCCTTATCAACACAGAATTGACACACAACGTAGGGAAGGCCTAGCAGGTCAATTTGTGTTAGAATGGCAAGAATGGCCTTTGAAGGGGCAGGCAAGGTAAGTACCCTGCTGAAAGCACCCTGAGCCTCCGCTAATCTAGAGAAGGTATAGGTAATCTGTTGCTCGTTTGGAATTGGGTAATATTGGCAAAATGTCTTTGGCTGAAGGACGGTTGCATGAATCATTACATGATGGGCTGGGTTTTGGGCCCGGTTCTGAGGCCCGGGGGTAAAGCCCACTAGGCCTTGATAGGGCAAATTCTAGCGCAATCCAATCACTATGGCTAGCAGGATTATGTACTTCTTTTGCTCTTTCGTTGTCGATGTGTTCTTACGGACAAACGCTGTGTCCATGACATATTACCCAGTACCGCAGGACTATATAATAGCACCAAAATTAGCTTAATCATGTCGCACCTCGCAGCATTAGATCGCAGCTCCAACATTGGCCAGGTGCCGTGGGACGTATCAAAGTCTGTAGAGACTTCTGCGGAGTGACTATAAACTGTAGATGTTGAATCTAGCCCCCAAATGTATGATTTCCGCTAGTCCGTTTCGAGATTTCACAGTTAAATAAAGTGTCCCACGTGATTCGATTTTCAAACAGGGGTAAGGGTATACCGCCTACCCTTTTAGAATGACACTGGCAGATCTCGGTCATGTGAAGTGCACTTACATAATTTGGATAAAAGTCCCTCGGCGGTGTATGATTGCCTCGGGCGGTGTCAGACAGCAGTATCATTTTTTTCTAACCGCTGGGAAGTTTTTTGGTCGCAAGACGAAGCTGAGTGTTTCTTTTCCAAACAACACTAATCCGGAATCGTCATGCCACGCAAGGCGATTGACTCGCGGATTCCCGCTCTTATTCGAAATGGCGTGCAGGAGAAGAAGCGCAGCTTCTTCGTGGTTGTTGGCGACCATGCCAAGGACGTGATCGTGCATCTTCACTATATTATGTCCAGCGTGGACGTGAAGCAAAACAAGTCGGTACTATGGGCTTACAAGAAAGATCTGCTCGGATTCACGAGTCACCGCAAGAAGCGCGAAATGAAGATCAAGAAGGAGGTCAAGCGTGGCATTCGCGAACCGAACCAGGAAGACCCGTTCGAACTTTTCATCACCCTCAACCAGATTCGCTATGTTTACTATAAGGAAACCGAGAAGATTCTGGGTAACACCTACGGCATGTGTGTGTTGCAGGATTTCGAGGCCATGACTCCCAATTTGCTTGCACGAACCGTCGAGACCGTCGAGGGTGGAGGTCTGGTGATCCTGCTTTTGAAGAGCATGACTAGTTTGAAACAGCTTTACACCATGTCCATGGATATTCACTCGCGATACAGAACAGAGGCACATGATGATGTTGTTGCTCGTTTCAACGAGCGGTTCATCCTGTCCCTTGGAAGTTGCGATTCATGTCTGGTGGTCGACGACGAGTTGAACGTATTGCCCATCTCCGGCGGCAAGAATGTCAAGCCGCTCCCTGCCCCCGAAACGACCGACGAGTCAGCTATCGGTACAAAGAAGGAATTGAAGGAAATCAAGGAGAGTTTGGCGGACTCAAAGCCCGTGGGCCCCCTGCTCAGCTTGGCTCGCACCGTGGATCAAGCGAAGGCGCTCCTGACCTTTGTTGATGCCATCGCTGAAAAGACTTTGAAGAGCACTGTTACACTGACTGCTGGTCGTGGACGAGGAAAGTCTGCCGCTCTCGGTGTCGCCATTGCCGCCGCTGTTGCTCACGGCTACAGCAACATCTTCATCACTTCTCCCAGCCCGGAGAATTTGAAGACACTCTTCGAATTTATTTTCAAGGGCTTCGATGCTCTTGGATATCTCGACCATGTTGACTACACGATCCTGCAGTCGACCAACCCTGACTTTAACAAGGCCGTTGTGCGTGTCAACATTCACCGCAACCACCGTCAAACTATTCAGTACATTCAGCCCCAGGATGCGCAAGTGCTGGGACAGGCAGAGCTCCTCGTTATCGATGAGGCTGCGGCTATCCCTCTACCATTGGTCCGCAAGTTGATGGGACCTTACCTGGTATTCATGTCCTCAACTATCAATGGATACGAAGGCACGGGCCGGTCCCTGTCTCTGAAGTTGATTCAGCAATTGCGGGAACAGTCCCGAGCTGGAGTCAAGACTGACGATACCGATGTTGCCGACCGCAGCACAGGAAAGTCAACCAAGGGTGCTGACAAGAACCTCAGCGGCCGCACACTGAGAGAGATCACTCTCGCAGAGCCCATTCGATATGCCCCCGGTGATTCTGTTGAGAAATGGCTGAACAAGGTCCTCTGCCTTGACGCAACTCTTCCCAAGTCGCATATGAACACACAAGGATGCCCTCATCCTTCGCAGTGCCAGCTGCTTCAGGTTAACCGTGATACCCTGTTCTCTTTCCATCCTGTTTCCGAGAAGTTCTTGCAGCAGATGATGGCGCTCTATGTTGCTAGTCATTACAAGAACACACCTAACGACCTTCAGCTTATGAGTGACGCTCCTGCTCATCAACTGTATGTGCTCGTTCCCCCTATTGATGAGGAGGCCACCAAGTTGCCCGAACCTCTTTGCGTCATTCAGGTCGCTCTTGAAGGTCGCATCAGTCGCCAGAGTGTGCTCAACAGCCTGAGCCGTGGTCAGCGCGCAGGTGGTGATCTTATCCCATGGTTGGTCAGCCAGCAGTTCCAAGATGAAAACTTCGCCAGTCTCTCAGGTGCTCGTGTTGTCCGTATCGCAACCAACCCAGAATATGTGGGTATGGGATACGGTTCCCGGGCTATGGAGCTTCTGGTCGACTTCTTCGAGGGCAAGTTCACCAACTTGGAGGAAGAGACCATTTCCACCGAAGAGCAAATGGTCCGTGTCACTGACGAAGAGCTGGCCAGCTCTAGCCTTTTGGATGACAACGTCCACGTCCGAGACATTCGTTCTATGCCTCCGCTGTTCGGCAAGCTAACTGAGCGTCGCCCTGATGTCCTCGACTACGTCGGTGTCAGCTACGGTCTCACCCCCTCCCTTCACAAGTTCTGGAAGCGCGGTTCTTTTGTCCCTGTATACCTGCGTCAGACCCCTAACGAACTCACGGGAGAGCATTCTTGCGTGATGGTCCGCACTCTTTCCACTGGCGAGACTGACGACGCCTGGCTGAGCGCCTACGCGCGCGACTTCCACAAGCGTTTCCTATCACTGATGTCCTACCAATTCGGACAGTTCCCGTCCGTCCTCTCCCTCAGCATCTGCGAGTCTGCCAACTCCGGTGCCAAGAAGGACCCTCAGTTCAAGCCGCGCCTGCTGCAGAAATCCGATCTCGATGTTGCCTTCTCGCCCTTCGATCTCAAGCGTCTGGACAGCTACGCCAACAACCTCTTGGACTACCACGTCATCCTGGATCTAGTCCCCGCTCTCTCCGACTACTACTTTAGCAACCGTCTCGATGGCAAGGTCAGCCTCTCTGGCGTGCAGCAATCCATCCTCCTCGCCATCGGCCTGCAGCACAAGAACCTCGAGGACATTGAAAAGGAGCTAAACCTCCCCTCCTCCCAGCTCCTCGCCATGTTCCTCAAGATTGTCCGCAAGATCTCTACTCACTTCCGCAATCTTATCGAGAACGATATCGAGCAGACTCTGCCCGCGCAGAAGGTCCGTATCGAGACCTCTGCTGCTCACGATGACGAGCCCGAAGTCAGCCTTCAGCCTCTGCCCGTCTCTCTTGAGGATGAGCTCCGCGAAGGAGGCAAGAAGATCGAAGAGGAGATGCGCGCCAAGCAGCGTGCTCTAGGCGCATCTAACCCGTAAGTTTCAGTCACATTACCTATCTATCGAAACAACAATAACTGATTTCCAGCCAGTGATGGACTTGACAGCTCCAAGCCTTCTAAGCGCAAGAAGATTGAGACTGCGCGCGACATCTACGACAAAGAGATTGATTCGAAGAGACAAAAGATGATCAAGAAGGGCACCGAGGGCCGCAAAAAGCGCTGAATGATTTAGGTTCTGGACAGTTTTCTTTTTGCATTAATGTATGGTGTTCGGTTTCTTGGGTCTAAAAAGACTTGCCTGTTTCTAGTATTTGTCTGTATTCTTCAAGGTTCATCTTTTCACAGGATATTCGTCTCTTGTACATACATATGAATCATGTGTTTATTACGTCTACAACGTCTGAGTGTTCCCTCGTAAATAAATGAGATATCCCCTACAACATAGTGGATTGATGCATTGGGTAGGTACAGACATAGGCTTATGCGCTTCGCTCTCGAAAAAAATCAAAATGAATGCTAGATAGAGGCCAATAAACTAGCATCAACCTCTTCCAGGGACCATGAATTGATCACAACTCATCATGCTCCACGGCCTGCTCCTCAGCCTCAGCCTTAATCTCAGCCTCTGCCTCGACTGCCTCAGCTTCAGGTTCAACCTCAGCTTCCACCTCAGGCTTGATTTCAGCTTCAGCCTCGCCACCGAGAACAATACCCTCGGGCAACTTCTCCTTAGCACCCTCACCCAAGCGAATACCATCAACCCAAGACTCAACCGCAACAGCCCCAAAGTCCGCATCGGCGCCGCTGAACCGACGCCACCAGCCGCGACGCGCATTCAACGCGATAATCTCGACCGTCTGGCCATCCGCCAACGCCAACGCCTCACGAAGAGTCTTAGACCCAGCGTTGATAGCAGGGACAGCATACAGCGGGAAGAGATGCGTTCCGCGCTGGGCGTGCTTGTGGCCGATCTCAGCGAGGCTTGCGAGCGCCTCGGTAGCAGACGCTGGGAGTGCGGCATCGGGCTCGCTCGCCTCGGGGAGGATGGCTAGCACACAAGTGCCGGACTTTGGTGCCAGACAGGCTGCCTCGAGGGACTCCGGAGTGGAGAGTGTTGGGATTTGGGGTACTAGGATAGGGACCTGAACAGGCTTGGCGGAGGGATCTGTTGTGTCTTGGTCCTCCTGGGCGGTAGGTTTGAGGTCTTCTGCGTCGTCGTCGACAGAGGTAGGCTTGGAAGCGGGCTTGGACTTTGACTTTGATTTCGGCTTGGGCTTGTCTGAGACGGAACGGGGCGACGCGTCGGGGTTGGGTGTTGCCGCTTGGCTCAGGAACTCGGTGATGGGCTTCTTCTTCAGCTCGCCGGTGTAGAGTTTGTGCTCGGCGTCCGCGCTGGGGATAAGGACGAGTGACGGGAGCTCAGTGATGCCAAATTTGCTCACAGCGGCGGATTCCTTGTTCCGGACTTGGGCGATATCAATGGCGCCGAGGAAGTCGATTGCCAGGGCACGGATCAGCGCGCCAGTTGTGCCCTTCTCTGTGAAGAGGATGGCCTTGGGCCGGTCCTCGTTTTGTCCAAGCCATTTGTCCAGGTCCTTATCGGTTGCGCGCTTCACGTGGTTGGGGATGTGATCGACGACTGCGTCGACGATACCTTTGGCGGTGCGCGCGCCTTGGTAGTCCTCGACACGGGGCTTTCCGGGCTTTTTGGAAGGGGTCACGATTTTCAAGGTCGGGAAGCCCTGGACACCCATCTGTCCGCAGAAGGGTTTGTTTTCGTCATCGTCGCAGTTGATCGCGGCGACTTTTGCGAGTCCGTCGAGGTTCTTTGCGGCTTTTTCGTAGGCGGGCTTGAGGTTTTTGCAGTGACCGCACCAGGGCGCGTAGAATCTGAGTGAAAATGTGAGTGAAGGTCGGAGGGGAGAGGCAGAGAGCTAGATAGCTCTAGTGCGGGACAGCTTACTCGACGATCTACGGGGTAGCCAACCATTAGTTGATTGTGCGCGTTTAAGAAGACAAGGGACACTCACTGAGGTATGATTCGAATTCGCAATCAGCGATTTGTAGGTTTTGGGATTCAACTGGATCACCGGGGAATTCTTGGTGTATAGTCCATCGGCATTGACAGGCAGTGCCGCAAGGAGCGCGACAAGCAAAAGACTGGCGCTTTGCAGCATGGCGAATTATCTACGGGCAGTTTTCAAAACAGAGGTGAGATTCAGCAAAGCCAAAAAGGAAGAGACAAAAAAGACAGATTGTCCGATGCTTTACGCAAGGTGTCCTGAAGCTCTTGGCATTGTGGTCTTACTACTCCGTATACTGTCTAGGTACTAGTGAATATCCAGTTATCAAAATATCTCAATATGTATATTATACGTCATGGATAAGTATAAATGGCTTCAATATATCTGACCTCAAACTGTCATTACTTAAACATCTTGTGGACTCCAGAGCTTGTACGGAGTACATCTCGAAAGCTTTCCTTTTATCTTTGATCAACACAAACACAACCTAGCAATGACCAGAACAGAACAACGCCATGATGTGGTTTTTCTACCTCGTGAACTCCTCTGGATGATCATGGGCTATCTACAACCAAATGAACTGGTCCGCTGTCGCCGTGTCTCACGTGCTTGGAGCGAAGCGTTTAGCAACCCGGCCATCCTACTCCCACTCCTAAAGAAACATTACCCGTGGACTCAAGAAGTCAAAAACCTCTGCAAGAATAGATCCCCTGAAAAACTACCCCAGGGTCGTCGTCTATTCGACCAGGTTGCTTCACGGTATCATCACCTAGAACAAGGCAAGCCCCGCTCTATCCGAAAGTACCGTCTCTGCGATGACTTTGGCAGCGCTGGAGACCGAGAATGGTATCAGGTCCAGCCATGGGATTCACACGCCAGTCATATGAGGCGTTTCATCGACCGCCAATTCGCTGAGGCTTTATGGACATTTGAAGACGGCCTACTGGTCTACCCCAGCGCCGATCATCAGTTTCTCGTTCTCATGGATTTGGAAACGGACCGGCAGTTCATGGTACCATTTATTATCCGTGGCAAGGTCATTCGTCGAGTACGCCTGCAGAAACGCTTACTCGTTGTTGAGTGGGCTGAACCCAAAGCTTTTCACTGGCTGAATGATAGCGATGGTGTGCATCGTCACTTTGCGTCATCCTTTGATGTGACAAGAAGCGAGAAGCAGGGCTGGAATATTGTCCCACGCAATGAATGGAAGATTATGTTTTTGGGACATCCGCTAAGCGAACGAGATCGTTTCTTCTCCTCACATAGCAACACCCACTACGTGATCTATATATGGCAGCCAAATCGCAGCTTGTATACTGCCGACGAGGATGCGCCCATTGAGTCTTTGTCTATCTGGGACATATCCAAGACATCATCATACAGACCTTCGTTGGATCCCACGGGACGTCTGAGAGACGAGTCACCTGATGACTCTCCATCGATCGTGGCGCGTTTCGGATTCCGAGACCTGGAGTTTTTCGACATCCGACAACGAGGATGTCCAAGCATTCAACGATTAAATATAACCGATGATGCCCAGGCAGTCGAAATTACAGAAAACGTTTGCATCCGGCCGGAAGACCAACCACCCGAGCCATTCGGGATTCCTCAACCTATCACGACAAGCATTCCTATTTTAGGAAATGGACCTCATTGGCGCCGGGAGTTTGAGGGGGTTCTGCCTCCTTACCGTGGGAACTGCAGCATGCAGGCAGAAACTATGAGATTCGATGGCTTCATCATGATGGAGCCTTGGTATGGTGTTATTGCTCAAGTCACTGTACTCGAGCCTGATCTTGGCTTTTGTCTTCATTTTGATCCTTGGACGTGGGTGCAAAATCAGATTGTTCATTTGACTATTCAGACACCTCGCTCGAGCGTCACTTGTGTTAATTGGGATTTTGTTGGCAGGGGGAGACTTGCTGGCTGTGAGAAATATTTGGTGGGTGAGAATTGCAACCGAGAGCTGGTGATTTACCGGTTTGATAGATGAATTGAAGAGTCTTGTGGAGAGAAAGGTCAAAAGACACCTCAGATTGAGATGATTGATCTCTTAGCTATGGATGGACCATGAGATAAATGAGGATTACTATATAGATTAGTCAAGTAGTATAGAATTGAGGGCTACGTGCTCAAAGGAAATCGTGGCATCCTGTTTGGGAGCCCAGGTGATCAGTTGCCCATCGAGGATAATGTCAAGTACTCTATACACGGAAGCATTTTTGGTATGCATTTCTCAGGGCACCATTCTCATCATATCTGGGGTCGTACGGCGACTCTAAAAGGCAATATGTTAGAAAGCCCAGTGTTTGCATCGGTCCCCTTTGTATGATCTGTTAAGTTCAGCCTACATTTTCATGCCTTGTGTACGGAAAGAGTGTAACAGTAGAATTCATCTGAAATATCGGAATACCGAGATATATCCCTCAAGAGTTGGAATTATCCGCACAAGTCCATGGCTTCGAGCCACCAGCTTTAAGTGAGTCAATGATACTAACAACCGAGCCATAAGTGCCAGCCACGGTCATGAATGTTCCGATCAAAATAACAAAGACACTCCAGCAAGCCATGCACTTCCATCTCCAAGTTCGGTCAGTGCTTTTCCAATTATCGTAAAACCACATACAGCCGGTGGGCTGGTAAGCCAACGAAGCACCTAGACACGCGCCAATGAGGGAGACAAGACTGTTGAAAAACGGAATACCACTGGCAATGAGGTAGGCTACGACTGTCGAAGTCAATGTGCAGCTGAGCCAGGTCCCCCAATGGATCAAACTGTTCGAGGTCAGATGGTCTGAGTTTCGTAAAATGCGAACGAAGGCGTATTTGCTTGGAAGCTTGGAAGTGTTAGTTTGAAAGACAGTATGTGAGAGACCTTGTGGTCACTTACATGTAGAACAATAGTGGTGGATGCAATAAGACCGGGTAAAGCGATTCCATAAGAGATCCTCTTGATAAGTGGACCGGCAGAGCCCAGGGCAGGAGAAGCCACATCAGACCCGCAGTAATAGTATACCACGACGCCGATAACGAGATATATCAGAGTTGACCCAACCTGGCTAACTACGAGCGATCGGGTAAAAAGACGCGGGTCACGCATTTCGGCGGCGATAGCAAAGTAGGCGGGTGTAGCGGAGCATGCGAAGATTAGTGATGAGATGGCAGCAACTCCTTGTGCGAATGTTGGTGAGTTGGTTATCTTGAAATCTGAAGACCAAGGGCCCTCCTGGGGCGCAGAGGATGGTCGATCCTGAATGCCAACGCTGACAGTGACAATCAGAACTACAAGACGTCACCCATTAGTTAGTCATGAAACCGGGATAAGGAGTCCAGAGCGACCAACCGGCAGCAAGGATGCAAATCAAACCAACCCACGCGATCCAAGTGATTTTGCCAAGGGTTCGAATGCTGGCGAGTGAGAATCCAATGACGGCGGCAACACCAACAAAAGCAGCAGTACATGTTCCATGGTTCGAGATGGCATTTAAACTGATAGAAATGCCAAGTATGCCCGATCCTGCAACAAAAATCCAGTCTTTGGAACAGGGTCAGCTTCAAAAAGACATACACAGACAAGGGGATCACTCACAAAGACAAAATCCAAGACCAAAGATTTCTCGGCCAATTCGACCGAACATTAAGCCACCAGCATCATCAATGCCATAAACTTCAGGATGCCGGATCTTGAAGACACCGACTATATAGCTTGTCCATGTGGCAATTGCTGCAACAATGCAAAGCAGAATGACACCTGGAATCATCCCCAGTGTGTCAAAGATAGAAGGAATAGAAAGAACGCCTAAGCCGATCTGGGTCTTCATCATCAAAGCGACAGTTCCCAACCAACTGACCTATTCTTGTTAGTGTAACGCTTAAGATGGGACCGGAGATAAACTCACATCGCGATAATTAGGTCCATCTTCGGTGACCAGGCCAAAGACTGCATCATGAGTGACATTGTCTCCCTTGAGGATCTCGCCCGGCTGTGAAGGCACATGAGTCATTGGCACTGATGCCTCAATGTCATGGATCTTATCCTGCTTTTCCGCCATGATAAATATAAAATGATATCCCGAGTTCAAAGGGCTCAACGGGCAATGATGGGGGCCTTCTATACGAGTGGATTCAGTCCTTTATATCAATAATAAACCGGGGCACATGGTAACCACCCCCGGGGCTACTATTGACCAATAAGATGCGTACAAAGATTGGAATTCGGGAGGAAAGTATAGGCGAGATAAGAGTCCTGGCCTGAAACCCTACTCAGCGGCCCCACTACCCCAGATATGCCTGGAGACATGAACAGTAGAGATAGGCAGTTGTGGAGGTCTGGATAGGGTAAAGGATTGGTCAATGATCTGATTGTATTTCGCTATGGACTGCCTTATACCGTCATCCAGGAGAAACTTCTCGATCTATGTGTTATCATTATGTTCCTAAATCTACCCTTTGTCTGAGAGAATGCCTATATGTCGGATAGGCAATGTATGGCTTTTAACTGGCTGGGGGATAACATGAATCCGGGCTACAGCGGTGAAGAGAGACAAAGTAATCTTGGAGTACAAACAGCTCAGATACACAGCGATGCTCAGCAAGCCCGCTTGTACAGCTATAGCTATCACCTTGTTGCACTACGCAGAACAAGGTGCTTAGTTCATATATCTCGCTAGGTTTGCTCAATTAGAACTACTCAATTGAAGGACATATCTCATGATATACATAAACATCTCTCAAGCTTCCAGCAAACATGTTCAACAACCCTTTCGGGTTGCTCTATGGGTGCGGACTATCCAACTAGACTGATGCAATGACCTCAATCTCGACCTCAGCATCTAAAGGAAGGCTAGCAACCCCAACACATGTGCGACACTTTAGAAATAGCGGTCAATGACTTTATACTCCCGCCTTATCTAGGAAGAAACTTACCGGCTTCACGTCGTGAGTGAACACCTTTGCATATCCCTCATTGACCTTGGGATAGTGATCCATGCTGGAAATGAAGATTGTGACTTTGACAACCTTGCTCAGGTCACTGCCACCACTAATGAGAACTTGCTCGAGATTTCGAAGAGCTTGAACCTATTTTCGAAAGCTTAGATAACCGATCCATGACATCCTCGTCACTTAACGCACTGTTCGATCTGCGGCATCGCCACTGATAAACTTCCCTGTCTTCGGGTCAAGGCCGAGACTCCCAGAACAATAAATCATCCCATTGCAGATAATACCTTGGGACATCAGAGGACTAGGAGCTGGAGCGTTTTGGCTTAACACAGCAATTTTTGTTGAAGACATGATGAAATTTTTGCTTTGATCAAGTATACAGAAAGTGTCAATTTATATCCCATCCGGAGTCACAGTTTGTAGATATTAAAACACCAACTTTCTCCATACCGAATTCAACGATTGCATCATAAATTCAATGTCGAAGTGGAAGGGCACGCCGAAGGAACATTGACTGCCACCTGGCCCCTAAACGTTGGGAAGTCATGGAGGAGCCTTCGTATCTCCAAATATTTCTATTTCCACACCCCCATGTCTCGCATAGTGGACCCTTCCTCAGCCAGAGACGCCATGATAGTGACATATTAATGTTCCTATTTCTGTTAGAAACCCCAGACGTCAGGCTTATCGGGGATTCTCAATTGGGAATCTTACAGCGTGACCAATCGGCAAACACTGTTGAATCACAACTTGAGATAGACTCTTGTCTCGTTCCCTAAACGCATATGGTAAACTAAATCGAAATTGTGTTTAGAAGATTCGCGTGTTTAGACTGGGCAGATAACAATTGACGCTTTCTACCAATTGAGAAATTGATATTTGTCAGAGCTCAGCTTCGAAGATTCCAAATTTGGTCGTCTCACTTTTTAAAAAGGCTGGAGCCTGTGTATGGCATACGATTAGAGTCTACAAGTTTGAATGTTACTCAGACATGAACGGCATATTTGTCCAATAGTTCTATCCCTATATCTTGTGAAAGTCCTGAACCTCTTTCATCTTAGGATTTGCTGTGAATAATTCTACCGAAAGCAATAGCTGCCTTGATTATTTCAGAGATGTTGCCCAGCAATTATTGAGGTTTAGTCAGACCAAAAACATTTCTCTGCCAAGACCGGTAGATAGTCTACAGAAGAGATTTATGCACTACGTTGACGTTTCCGGTGACAACAGTTTTAGTCTGGAGATAATCATCAATGCCGTATTTGCTTCCTTCACGGCCCATTCCAGATTGTTTGATTCCACCAAACCTATACATTGTTAAAAGAGAATTCAAAGCAAGAGAATCGAAGGGGATTAGGCAACGGGGCACTCACGGACTGGAGGCATCAGAAACCGCCCCTGTGTTGATGGCCACCATGCCAAATTGCAAGAGTTCCGAAACTCGATTAGCACGTGTAATATCTTGCGTAAAGATATATGATGCTAAGCCCACGTCACATGCGTTGGACGCAGCAACAACCTCATCTTCCGTCTTGAAGGAGAAAATGGGAGCGACGGGACCGAAGATTTCTTCGTTGGCCACAGACATATCGGGGCTCATGTTGGTGAGGATAGTAGGCTCGAAAAAGTTTGGACCTAAGAAGAAATCATCCGGTCAGTGGGCATGGATATACAAAGCATGTAATATATGACATACCCAGATCAGGCCTCCTCTTTCCACCAAGCTCCACCTTTGCACCGCGCTTCACGGCATCATCCACAAGGCCGGCAACTCTTTCCGCTGCCGCGGGAGTGACTAGAGGGCCATGAGTGGTCTTCGCATCAAAGCCATTACCGACTTGGAACTGGCTCACTGCGCTCTTGAACATTTTGATAAAATCATCGTAAATGCTCTCCTGGACAAATATCCGGTTGGAGCACACGCATGTCTGCCCAGAGGACTTGAACTTGCTACCAATTGCTGCAGCTACAGCCAGCGAGAGGTCGGCATCCTCAAAGACAATGAAAGGAGCATTACCACCAAGCTCAAGGCCAAGCTTCTTCAAAGAGTTGCTCGATTGTTGCATGAGCAGCCTTCCGACCCGAGTGGATCCGGTGAAGGAGATTTTGCGTACAGTGTTCGAGGAGCACAGAGCCTGGCCAATTTCCGGCGTGTTCTCCAATGCAGTCACGCTGTTGATCACACCTGGAGGGATTCCTGCCCGCTCGCCTAGCTTGAGCAAGGCATTGGCTGTGAACGGGGTTTCGCCTGCGGTCTTGACGACAACTGTACAGCCAGCCGCCAATGCAGGGCCCAATTTTCTAGTTATCATAGCAGCAGGGAAGTTCCAGCTTCGAAGGGTCAGCCGTCCACTAATAGAATCATTGCAAGGGAGGTCCAAGATGTAAGGTGGACTCACGGCGTGATAAGACCGCAGACACCAATGGGTTCCTTCAGAACAGAAACTCGGAAACTTGGCTGACTGTGTGGAATCACATCGCCATAGATCCGCGCCGCCTCTTCTGCGAACCACTCTAGGAAGCTGGATGCAAAGAGAACCTCACCAGCAGCATCTGGTTTAGCCTTGCCATTTTCCCAGGTGATCAATGTAGCCAAATCCTCCTGGTTCTCCATTACCAACTCATACCACCGACGTAAAAGTCGACTGCGGTTTCGGCCGGTTCGAGAGCGCCAGGCTGGAAGTGCCGCTGCCGCTGATTCAATTGCCCTTTGTGCATCGCTGGTGTCCGATTCTGGACAAGATCCGATGAGTTTGCCGCTGGCAGGGTCTATGCTCGCGACACATTGGTAAGTGATGAGCTGTAACCAAAGTCATTGCTATCCATCTCACCTGTCACATTGAATCGCTTTCCAGACGCTGCGTCGACCCATTTCCCGTCAATGTAGTTTTGACCAATCAGCAGGGACGGATCCTTCAGTACGATGTTTGTAGCCATTATGAAGTCACGCAATACTATAGTTGTAAAGTAGAATATCACAAATAACTAAAAGCTTCGAATAATTCTCTCTTCAATTATATCCCTTATGAAGCCGTCAAATTATAGGGATTCTGGAGGTTCGGTGATCATTCCGAAGTCAAAAGATTTCCTTGGTAGGTGACAGCGCACGACTCCGAAGGCCACAGAGAAGATCCCCCAGCATCTTCCCTCCTTGGCGAGTAAAATGTGATATGGCTAATTGACCCCTCCTCTCTGGAATCTCCTTCCTTTTAGGGCCTCATGAGGACATGTTGGGATCGACAACATTGGTGAAGCTGAGCGGTGATAGCTGACCTGGGTCTGTCACCTTATCTCTGCAGTATATATCCCAACAATTTTCACCTGTCACTTTCTTTCATCAAGCCCAATAGTTACATCTCCTGAGATGCCGAAGCTTGTAGAGACCGTCGATCTGTCCAACACTGCCACTGCATATTATGCACCAGCAACAGTTGCACCCATTGGCAAACTCATACATGTCTCTGGACAGCCCGGAAACACAAAGGATGGCCTTGTGCCAGCTGACTATGAGTCGCAAATTCATCTAGCCCTGCTCAACCTGCGCAAGATTATCATCGCTGCTGGGTCTTCAATTGAGAACATTGTGAAGCTGCAACTCTTCATTGTCGATTATGATGCAGCCAATCGCAAGCACACCCGGCACATCCAACGATTTCTTAATGGCCACCGACCGGCCATCACTCTGATCCCCGTTCCCAAACTTGCGGTTTCGTCATGGCTCTTCGAGATCGACGCTACAATCGCCCTCCCAGAGCCTTCTATTCCTCCTGTCATCCCTGCCGCCAATGAGAATACCGATGTTATAATCATTGGCGCTGGTCTTGCCGGTCTCTCCGCTGCACATGATATCTTGCGCGCGGGCTTGTCTTGCGTCATTCTTGAAGCGCGCGATCGTGTCGGCGGCAAGACTTGGAGCTCACCCCTTAATGGTGGCGGTGTCATTGACTTGGGTGCTGGCTGGATCAATGACACTAACCAGAGCAAGGTCTATGCTCTGGCGAAGCGTTACGGCGCGGAGGTCATTGTGCAGAACACCCAGGGCAATGTAGCTCTGCAGGACTTTGATGGCAACTGCACTCCATTCGTCTACGGAGATATGCCTAACGTAAGGTTCCTATTATCAATATTTAATAGATGGATCAAGCTGACATTGTTTCTCTAGTTTGATAAAGCTACCCAGGCCCACCTGACGGAGATCCGTGATCTGTGCGAGGCTGATTGTCAAGCTCTCGACACTTGGAGGCCTCAAGACACTAGCTTGGATTCTATCACATTTGAGACCTACCTGCGGTCCCGTGGGGCGAGCGAGGTAGCTATTGCCACTGGAATGGTCTGGACTCGAGCAATGCTTGGCCAGGATCCGCGAGATGTTTCAGCACTTTATTTCCTCAACTATTGCAAGTCTGGAGGTGGTTTATTACAGATGCGGTCCGATCGTAAAGACGGCGGGCAATACCTCCGCATTCGACAGGGTACTCAGGTCTTCTCTTTGGGATTGGCATCATCCCTTCCGGAGGGAACTATTCGACTCTCCAGTCCTGTGCACTCGGTTATCCAGAACGCCGACAAGTCAGTGAAGGTTCAAGCGGGGGGTCTAGTTTACGGCGCCCGCAAAGTCATCATCACTACACCTAGTCCTGCTATGAAAACCATCTCATTCCACCCCAAGCTCCCTCCGGCGAAGCAAGCATGGATTGAGTCCACTACCTATGGGTACTACACCAAGGCCATGATGGAGTTCCGCTCTCCCTTCTGGATCAAGGCTGGCTTCTGTGGCTTAGCTCAGTCGTTTGTTGGACCTGCTAGCGTTGTACGAGACAGCTGTAGCCCTGAAGATAAGAAGTATGTCCTCACTTGCTTCATGGCCAGTGATCCTGGCCGAGCTTGGTCTGCGCTGCCCCAAAAGGAACGGGAACAGAGCTTGCTGCAACAACTTGGAAAGCTTTTTGGAGTTGGGAACCTCGATAAAGAATTCATCCAGTTGACTGCATACGAGTGGGTGAACGATGAGTGGGCCGGCTGGGGCTGTCCGTGCACAGCTCTGACTCCCGGTGTCCTCGATACTCTGGGCCCGGATGCGTTGCGTGAAAGCTCTGGTAACTTGCACTTCGCGGGCACCGAGACTGCTGGTGAGTGGAAGGGCTATATGGAAGGGGCTATTCGTAGCGGAGAGCGGGCCGCCGCTGAGGTTGTGAAGACACTCAACGCTGGTATTGTTTCACGTCTATAGAGGCCACTGTTCGCCATACTTTATGCTACGCTTACGCTGTACATACGGTCTTTTTTTAGTATCACAAAATTACTAGAATCATGTATGCCATTACTCTCCTCTCAATTCTATGTTGTAGATATCTCAGCTAAGATCAACAATTGAGCTCACGAGGCGTGCCGACTATAAAACATTCATATTCTTCCTTACGAACTGAGATAGTCTTTCCTGCATTCTTCGGAGATAACTCCAACCTTTACTCAAGTCCTACAGATCGACGTCACAGACTTCCGCTGTGAGATGCCTATTTTGAAGAAAGTGGATCTCCATCTTAGTGGGGTGGCTCTATCTTTTTCCCATTCGCGATGATCTTCCTATCGTATAATAAGCCCGCGTTGACTTGGAAATCTAGAGCTCTTATATTCGTAGGCTCTCATATTAAATGTCTCAATGAGCTTTGTTCGTTGTTTTAAAGCCTCCAAAAGACCTACCCACTTGCCTTTAACCCTCTTCTTTATCGCTCCTCCCCACCGTCCTATCACTATCACAGAAATGTCCGAGCAAAAGGCAAGAGTCCTCATCGTCGGCACCGGTGGTGTCGGTACTATGTCAGCCTATGCGCTCGAGCAGGGTGGCAAAGCCGAGGTCACAGCCGTTATGAGATCCAACTACGAAGCTGTGAAGGCGAACGGCGTGAACATCGATTCCGTGCAATATGGCAATGGTATTAAATTCCGACCTACCAACAGTAAGTTCTCGCGCATATCCCAAATACAAAAATTCAGGATTCTAACCTATCACCAAAAGTCTGCAAAACCATCCCCGATGTCGTCAAGGAGAATCTCCCACCATTCGATTTCATCCTTGTAACAACCAAGAATATCCCCGACGTCTCGCCAACCGTCGCCGACATCATCGCACCCGCAGTGACCCCAGGTAAAACCGCCATTGTTCTCTCCCAGAACGGCATCAACATCGAGAAGCCCATCATCCCCCGCTTCCCCACCAACCCAATCATCAGCAGCGTCTCCTTCATCGGCGCAACCACACGCTCACACTGCGATATCCTACACGACGACCCAGACGACCAGAAGATCGGCCCCTTTTCTAGCCCGGAAGTCCCAGCCCAGGTCGCCGAGGACGCGGCCAAGCGCTACATTAATATATACAATCCGCACGGCAAGCTCGATCTGATCTACGATGCGGACGTCCGTCGCTGCCGCTGGCGCAAGCTACTTTACAACGCCTCCTACAACCCCGTGTCTACGATATTGCGCATGGATACACCACGCATGCGAATGAGCGCACATGTCATTGACGACCTTATCCGCCCTATCATGAAGGAGATTCTGGCTGTTGCTCGTGCTGACGGGGTCTCCGACTTCCCTGATGAGTTGGTTGAGAATGTTATTCGTGGCGATCCTCTGGACACGGCATTCAAGCCATCCATGTGTCAGGATATTGAGAAAGGGAATCTGTTTGAGGTTGAGAATATTGTTGGTGAGCCGTTGCGGGAGGGTGAGGCTAAGGGTGTTCCTATGCCTACTCTTCGTACGGTCTATGGTATACTCAAGGGTTTGCAACTTCAGGTTAAGGAGAGTAAGGGCTTGTGGGAGCCTAAGTTCACTGCCGATAACCCATACCAATAAATAATTGTTTCATTAGTTTGATTTAATGTGATGAAGTTGGTCATGATATTTTCTTGAATATCGTTTGTCTTTTTTCTAAGTAGATATATCCTATTGATGTAATGCTTTCACCTTTTGGATTTATGTACTTCTCACTCCACGCAGTATGAGGAAATCGGATCATGATCCTATTCGGCTTTCCGTATTTATCAACTCAGACTGCCTTGCATAGCAAAGGTACGGTTTTGTTGTGCAAAACGTAGCATCATTGAACTTCTTTATGTTTTGGCTTGAGCAGATACAGAGTTTAATAAAAGGTGCATGTCTCTGATGAAATTGTCTGCTAGAGATATGTTCATTCTCGCCATGATGTTACATCCTATAGTTCCCGACCCTTCATAATTTCAACAAACGACCATCCGGCTGGAGTAGCGAGACCATCTCCTTGCGAATTTCAGACACGTTCTTGCAACTAGAAAGATTGTTAGCAATCTGATGATACCCGCAATTGATGCGTCAGTTTCAGTTAGATATCATACCCTGCTAACGCCATGCACGTCCTGAACTCATCGTAAAGCAATTTGATAGCAAGGTCTACACCTTCTTCGCCATTGTACTATGATAGGAGTTAATCAACTTGTTCGAAAATTCAATCTTCCCTAAAGCACTTACGGCTAAACCCCAAATAGCCGGTCGACCTGCAAGGCAGAAATCGGCACCAAGAGCTAGGGCCTTGAAGATATCGGTGCCTCGTCGGATACCACCGTCGACAGCAATGGGAATCTTGCCCTTTGCCACAGGGACAATCTCGCGGAGAACGTCGAGGGTGGAGGGGACACTATCAAGCTGGCGACCGCCGTGATTTGAGATTACAATTCCGTCGAAGCCATACTTTATGGCGAGTTCGGCGTCTTCTGCAGTATAGACTGGTAACAAGCCAATGTCAGTAAATCAATGTCTTCGACGAAGAATCTGGAGGTTTTATGTAGTACACACTTCCTTTGCCCCAGATTTCCATTTTTGTATGTTGACGGAAGAAGGGCATAATCTGTGGCCATTCAATAGAGGAATCGTAGGCCATTGACTCATCGCCATCCTCGAGATTGGTCACATCAACGCCCGGGAAAAGATTTGGGTATTCCATACCCTCGGGCACGGCGAACTTGTTGCGATACTCATTGAGTCGTCGGCCCAAGTAAGGTACATCAAGGGTGAGAAATAGTGCCTTGAAGCCAGCGGCTGGGATTTTGAGTTAGTAGTTGGACAACACATTCTGCTTGATCTCGAATCACAGTCTCACCCTCGGCCCGCTTGATCATTTGGATCATAGCCTTCTTGTTCTTGAGAAGACTCATCTGCATCACGTAAGGGTTGCCCTTGCTGTGTGATATGACATTTTCCAGCTCCTTGGTAGAGTAGTTTGATAGGCCCATGAGAGTATTGTTTTTGGCGCAGGCCTTGGATGTACCCTCCTCTCCGTCGGGGTGTGCCAGTGTTTGCATGGCAGTTGGAGAGAATCCGAAGGGAAACTTTACCTTGCACCCGACGATGGAAGTGCTGGTGTCCAGGTGTGAAAGATCGCGTAGTACGCGAGGACGGATCATGTATCGATCATAGGCTGATTCGTTCTCTCGGAGTCTGACATCGATCAGCCGTCTGACAGGAAACGCATGTGTGGATACATAGAATATAAACATACGTAATGAGGTCCATAGCTCCCTCGTTGTAGTATTCTAATTGTTTCCTTTAGTTCTGCCATTGACCGTTTCAATTGTTCAACTCAATCGAATAATTGCCGGCATTGAATCGCAAACATACCACGATAAGCCTTTTGCATCTTGCCTGAGCCCAATCGCTCGAGGTCTTTGATGCAGTAGACCTCCTCATTGTGAGTCTTTCCCCGGTTCGCCATTGTAGCTCAGAATAAGTGGTGTGGAAAGGGATATAAGAGGGTTATTAGAGACCTTGAAGGGACTGAAGAATCCTACAAATATTTGAAGCCAAGGAGGGATAGTCTTTAAAGGAGATATATGTCTGACAACTAAGAAGCCAATTGAAACCCACATTTCTCTATCTCAATGGCGATTTCGGCGATGTCGGCGACACACCGATAGTGGGCCTTTTCGCTATGGCCTACCCAGTCTGTACCCAAATCAATCCTTGGCCAAGGTAAATCAAAGCAATATGATTGGCAGATCCTCTAAATGAAAACTCTCTAGTTTGCGACGTTGGAAAGTGTAGTGTCGAAATAAATCCGCTGTTAGATATAGGTGTTACGCGGTAGAATGCTTTTCGCAGTAAGGAATATAGAACAATTACATATCTGAGAAACCCATGTCAGATTCAAAGATCATTCCCACAACATTTACGATAATATCCCAATTTCACGCATGAACGTAGCCTAGTAGACTGAATGGCTTTTTCTCCTGGTCAAAAGGCGAATGACAAAATTGATTACTTCATTTGTTTTCGATCATCATATCTAAATAATCTCCGAGCTAGAAAATCGTCAAACCTATTCCCCCTTGCATAATTCGCCCTTGGACTTCCAGATCTCGTATTCAAAGTCTGGTTGGAATTCGGTATAGAGAGTCTCCTACACTGGGTGTTAGAGCGCCATTCATCTCAAATCATGCCAGAATTGGAAAGCAAACTTACTGGATCAGCATTCACCTTGGCGGTAAATTCAGCTTCTCTATCTCCAATAATGTTCTGAGCGATACCGGTGCTCTCAACCATGATCTGAACCTCGCAGGATCGCTCCATTAATGTGAACAGGTAAGCAGCCTCATCAACAGTACCGCCAGTAGTCAAGAGACCGTGGTTCTGAAGCACCATAACCCGGCCTGTATCTCCCAGGGCCTCAGCAATGCGCTCGCTCTCATCTGCACCCAAAACAACGCCGCCAAATGATTTGTAGACGGCCTGTGTGCCCCAAAAATTACAGGTATCCTGGTTGATAATATTGAGCGGCCGTCCAAACGTGGCCCAGGCTTTTCCAGCCGGAGAGTGCGTATGGCAGGCGGCATGGATATCAGGTCGTGCCTTGTGGATGGCGCTGTGGATCATGAAGCCAGCCGCATTGATGGCTGTTTTGTTGCCACCGATAACCTGGCCCTCTTCGTCAATATGCACCATGTCACTGGCCTTGAGCATGCCGAAGTGCTTTCCCATGCTGAAGAATGTCAGCTGTGTTAATTCCTCTCACACGTATGATCGAATAACTTCAAATCTTACGGGTTAATCCAGAATGTCGAGGGATCAATCGGATCGCGCACACTGATGTGGCCACTGGTTCCCTCTGTATATCCCTTTCGTGCAAAGACACGGAAAGCACCGGCCATGTGCTCTAGCTGCCATTGTCGCTTCTTGTAGAGATCGTTGATCTTAGGAATGCCAGGGAACTCGTATCCACCGGTTGCAAGCGATGCGTGCGCGCCAGCGGCTTGGTCTGTAACCTCTGTAGTAACATGAATAGGGGAACCCTGCTCTTCGAGCGAGTGGGTAGTGGTAATTGTGGTCATATTGAATTATGGAAGTGCGTTGTCTTTGTTCTCGAAACGTTCGGGAGACAGAGGTTGATTTGATTTACCGTATGTCTTGAATTTAGGGAGGCTAGCATAAGGCAAAATTTATCAACTCTTGTATTCGGAATGGCTTGCATGTCATCAGCATGTCTCACGATGGAAATCCAAGTAGACATACCTGCATGGCTGTGATTGGTCTCGAGTGGGTCCCACCTTGAGGAAAGTCACGCCGACGCGGTGACCTTCTCTCACTTGAGCGCCAACTTCCCCGGTGTCGCCAGGCGATCTTACAGATACTCATAGCTAATCCATTCGATAACGGTGGGGTATACGTAGTTGCTGTCATCGTGGATTCGTCTCCCACGGTGTCAACTTCCTCTCACCTCATCTCGATTGGACTTGTCTTGCCCTAGGACCGACGATCCAGATTCAGTGTCTTTATTCCCGACCTGGTCTCATCTGTCTATTCAACTTGCAGCGAATTATCGCATGCGCGGGTGGGTGGAGGCGTCGACCCCATGTCCGCCCCAATTCGATCTAGGAAGCGCACGAAAACGTTTACCGGGTGTTGGACTTGCCGGACCCGCAAGATCAAATGCGATGAGCTCAAGCCATGCTGTGGTCAATGCTATGAAAAAGGACTTAGCTGTGAGGGATACTCTGCCCGCTTGCAGTGGCTCACACCAGCCACAGGCAAGCGAGGCCTTCGCTCGGTGGACCCACCGGGGGGTTCCATAAGCCAATCTCTCAGGCGTCTCATGCCTCCAGGTGAGTTGCATGTGAATCGAAGCGTGCCTTTTCTGGGATATATTGTATTAACGTATATTTTAGAGCCTCTGGAATATGCCCTAGACTGGGACCAAGTGGATGGCATTCTCCATTATCTTGATTCTCTCGAATCTGTTCTCAATCCTCGCAGTGAGGATGTGAGTGCCAACATCCAGAATTTCGGCGTTTTCCGGGTTCAACCAAATACCTCGTCTGGTGTTGATCAACTTAATACTACAACTCCTTGTGCAACTGAAGTTTGCCAGCCCGGGAATGGGTACGATCTAATCTTTGAGCCGGAGTCAGTGTCTATACAGTCAGAGTCATGGAGTGATAATTCTGAAGCAGGGGCAGCATGGAGTCTTTGTACTCTTCATGGGCAACCGTTGAATTTGGATTTCACTCAACAAGATTTGGCCCCGGCTGTTGTCCAAAGGCCGCCAGGCGATGTTTCAAACTCTCCAGCTCGTACATACCATATTGCGCAAGCACAACCCCTCGAGTCAGACGGGTTGATCCTCTCTCAGGGGGTCCAGAGCAATCGCTCGAACGAGACGCAGAGTGTCTCTCCCCGTCTGACAAACACACTCGAGAGCCTGGTCGTTCCATCCCAGGAGCGACTCCTCATGAGACACTACAGCCACCGAGTAGTCAATCTATTCTGTGTAATTGACAATTCTAAAAGTCCCTGGAAAACAATCCACTTACCCCGTGTCCTACAATCTGCCGGTGAACTGAGCTTTGGTTGTACCACCACGCGAATCCGTGACGCATTAAAATATTCATTGCTTTCTATAAGCGCATTTTGTTTATCAAACGATCATAAATCTCATCGCCGAGAAGAAGAAGCTAAGAATTGGTGCACGATCGCTTCGCGGTATCGTTGTGATGCTATTGGACTTCTCAAATATGCGGTTGAAACCGATCTTTATGCCGACAAGAGACCAAAGTACAAGGAGTTTCTTGCCACTATGCTCTCTATGATCACAATTAATGTACTTCAAATAGTTCTCCATGGTTGCATCCTAACACAGTTATGCTAATGTCTGACTATTCAGGTCATGTCTGGAGATACAAGTACTTGCAGTGTTCATTTGGATGGGGCCGAGAAGCTTATAAGTCATATGAATACTCGGAAGGCCACTTTCTCTCGCAAGGCTCAATCGCTCCATCGGATCTATCTTTACCTACGCGTGATTTATGAAAGTACCGCCGCGAGAAGGTCAAAAGGCGGAATTTCCAGATTTTCGCCATCACTGGGTTCACAAAGAACGTTCGGTCCGCAGCCCGTATTTCCTACGCAACACCTCTTTATTGAGGACGATGAAACACCTTCGTCTATGCTTCCCATGGGAGCAGATACGATGATAGGTGAGAGTACCTTGCCAGAGATGTCGGCATATGAATGCATATACGGTATACCGCAGAGCCTTCTGATTCTCTTGAAGGAATCGATCGAGGTCATCGACGAGGTGAACCACCATCGCATGAGTACGGAAGAGGCATCCATTCCGGAATGTTTGAACCAGATCTGTGATGATCTTGAACAGAAGATCATGGATTGGCCACTCGATGAGCGTCTTCATCGTTATGAAGAGTCCACCAATGGCATCAGTGCTACCATCATCTACCATCAGACTCGGGCATTTCTCAATGCCCTCATCATCTATTTCTCGCAGAGTGTGAGACTGATGAGTCACCGGTATCTCCGCCAATATGTCCAGGCGATTCTGGATAGCATTGAAGCCATTGAACAGCTCAAAGAGGAGACTAAAATACTTGCTGCTCCGCTTTTTTGGCCAGCGTTCATGGGTGCCACTGAGGCCTTTGAGCCTAAGCACCAAGAACGCTTTCGATTGTGGTACGAGCGAGTAGAAGTATATGGAATTGAAGCTGTGAGGACAGGTATACAAGTTGTGCACGAAGTTTGGAGGCGGGGGCCAACAACAAACCGGCATATGCGTTCTGGCTGGCGCAGCGTTGTGGAACAGACGGGGGATCATCTCATGTTAACTTAGAATATCCGATATTTGGCCTATTAAATGAATCTAGCTTGTAGCTGAGAAAGTCTGCTTCCGGTAATACTGTCTCATATGAGATACCCATCCAGTCCATCTAGCTCCACGTACAATGTCACACTGTTACATCTATCGTCTTGTAGATCTCCTCTTTGTAGAAGGGATGCCTGAGACTTTTGTCTGAGGACGAGTCACCACAGCCTGGCAGGACTCAAGCAGTTTTTGTGGAGACTGAGCTCGACTACGTCGCGATCATAGGCCATAATCTGCATTTTGGCTCTGAATGTGTGAGCGAGGATAATGTCAATACCAGCAGGACAGAAAGGATTTATATTGCAAGAGGTATTTCAAGCAAGGTAACAGGTGAATCGAGTGATAGGGAAAAAATATTTCTTGGGTGTTCATCGGAATGCGTCCCTTTGGCCGTACGGCCTTGTCTGATCCGCCGTGTCTTCGCTTTCTTTTGTCCCTCAACTATTTATTTGGACTTCTGGTCTCTCATTTCTTAACTCAGAATTTCCTCATATTACTGTACACCATCATGGCTTCTAATCCCACTACTTGTGGGCCTGGTGGCAGTGGTTCAACTACAGAAAAGGAAATTGGACATGAGCGCCCTCGCTTGACTGTCCTTCAAACGAAAGCAAAACTGGAATATTCCGCTCGCAAGAGGCGCAAGAGTACAATAAGCAGTCAGATTGACTTTGAAGTGGCTTCAAAGTGAATCAGAAGTAAACATACAGGCACATCAGATATTTATCGTGTAGTGTCTGTTGGACAAGTGGGAAAGATATGTCAACCAGGATTCGATAAATTCAATGGAATTGGGTGAAAATTCCACTATGATATCAGCAATTCTTTTTTTTTTCTTTTTCGAATTTCAACAAAACAATAAGACCGAAAAGGGTATTCCTCCTACAACCCGCGAGATATCCATCCTTCCGAAACCACAAGGAAGAATCCAGACCGAAGAGAAATCCAGACCAAACAAAGATAAAAGAAAAAGATAAACGGAGAACAGAAAACACATATGATCCAACATGGGATCGATCACTGCTCCTGCAAACCAGATCCCAGGAGAGGGGCATGACCGGAGAATTTACATCGGACACAGGCCTTCATACCGCAGCCAGGGCAAGTGAGGGTGTATGTAGGCATCCACATGTTGCAAATATTGCACATGGGACGGCAAAACTCTTTGTACCAGTATCCCAGATGGGAGCAAACCTTGGGGTCATTTCGGACTTTCATAGGCGATGCAGTAGGGACTGAAAGACGAACATCTTCCAACCAGCCACAATAGGTCTCCAGCATAAGGCCGTTCAGCTCGCCACCGAGGTCATCAATGGTGTAACGTCCATTGGGGTCGGCAAGCTTCTGCTTGAGAAATGAGACCAGAGGGCGCAGCGAATCATGGCCCACCATGTAAGATTTGAGCAGTCTGTCGGCATCAGACTTGGAACTGTTGGTGCTAGACTTGGAATCCTCGGCGGTGGCCTTGAAAGTTGAATTCTCGTTGGCTGAATGAGTGTAGTTGGGAGAGTTTCCATTTAAATCATGAGAATCATGAGGGGTGGAGTTGAAAGTTGAGTGCTCATTGGCTGACTTGGTATATCTGGGAAATTTATCACCTGGATAATCAGCGGTGGGCTTGAGAGTCGAGTGCCCGTTGGGTGAATGGGTGTGGTTGGTAGAGGAGCAACTTGTTGAGAAGTCAACGGACGAATCATTGCTAGCAGCAGACCGAGGACTTGAAGTGCATTCAGAGTACGTCGGAGAGGAACCGAACTCCTTGGTATATTCATAGGCAAAAGAATCGAATGTGTCTGCAGGGTTGCAGGTCTTGACATCCTCTTCGGGCAGGACATCTGCGAAATGATTGAACTGATGGTTATTGCCAAAGTTGAGGTCATCCAGAACTTCTTCCACAATATGATCCTGCTCTTCCACGATATCTGCTAGATCATGTTTCATTCGAGCCCGCATGTTTGCTTTGCGACGCTGTGCCCGTGCCTTCTGTACTTCTGGATCAATGCCAGCCCATTCATTTTCCCACTGGGTATTTTCTGCCTGAAATTGCGCGCGTTTTGCCTTTGATTCGGCCGAGTTTGGGTCCATGTGTACACTTGTTCCATAACTGTAGTAGTAGCTGGGGCTGTACTGGCGTTGATACGCTGACTTGTATTCATAAGTTGACTCGGTAAATTGACCCGGCCAGTAATTGAAGTCATATCCGTGGCGTTCTCGCTTTGACGAGCGATGGCGATTACCCCTGTAGGACCAAGGTGGTGTTTCATCCTCGGGATCTAGATGTCTCTTGGTCTTCCTTTCGAGGACCTCGTCAAGCAAGTACCGACGGTCTTTGTCTCGGAGAAGCTCAACAGCATCTTGAATCTGTTTTCCATGTCCTGTCAGCAATTTTCAGCAAATTGACGTTGAAGACATACTTTTCTGAATCGTTCAACGGTCGCAGCAGTATTTCCAGCCTTGTCTGGGTGGAGCTTCAACGCGAGCCGCTTGTAGGCAAGGTTGATGTCCTGGATTCGGGCGTTTCGTTCAACTCCCAGGATGGCGTAGGCATCAATGGTCACACCGATGGTCGACATGTTTGCCGTCATACAAGTCTTGGGAGTGGATGTCAGTATTCTGGTATACGTGTGTCTGTGTAGGCTTGATGATGAATATTCGTTGTTGGTATTTAAACAGCCTGATAGAACGAGAGAGATAGAAAGAGAGTAATGTGAGATCAATATGAAGGAATGCGGGCAATCAGAACCTATCCGATGAGGAAGGTGTGGGAAGTATCCTCAAAAGGACTGTTGGAATGGAGATGACTGGATCAAAACTCACTGCACAAACCTAGGAAATCAAATCAGAAAGAATGGCCAATATAGAGCCAGAGATAAGAGGGAAACAACTGAGGTAACAGAGAAGAGTATGATAAACAAGAGTATAGGCCCTGGAGGTGAAGGGTGGAATAAAGAATAAAAGCCACGCCGAGAGAATCTTCAGCATGAATTTGAAGAATAACAGGAGTAGAAAAAAAGAGAAGGGAAGGAAGGGAGAGAGGAAGAAGAGCTAGAAGAGAAGGGTAGAAGTAGAGCGAGGACGAGAGAGGCCTTGAGTAGACAATGCTATTGTAAATCGAATCCTATTGATCAAATAATCAGATCCCATTGTTGTGAATCTATAAACCGCTTTAGTATGAGAATCTATAAATGGCATAGTATTGTCACATTTTATATCAAAGAACATCAAAGAAGTTCATTATTACCCAAATAGGGCAATCTCCAGGGTTAGGGCTATACGCAAGGACAATGTGATATCCTCATTGGCTAAAGGCTATAAATGATCAGAGCCCTAACAGCATACCGTTTGATTGATTCAAGGTAGGGCTATACACCAGGACAAAGACTATACATAAGGAATTGAAATGGATTCACTCTGGTTTTACACAAGCTTAAGTTGGATCTAAATATGAACAAGTCTACACTAAAGTGACTTCGTCCTGTAGAATCAAATTAAGACATATCAGCACTGGCAGTGGCACCGGTGATAATCTCAACCAGCTCGCTGGTAATGGTGGCCTGGCGCTGACGGTTGTACAAGATCTGGAACCTGGGGGGGTTGTTAGAATCGAATTTTAAAAACAATACAGGTATAACATACTTGTTGATCATCTCTCCGGCGTTCTTGGAGGCGTTCTCCATGGCGTTGCGACGAGCCGAGATCTCGCAGGCGTGGCCCTCAGCCATGGCCCAGAAGAGGTTGTTGGCAAGAGAGTACTCGCGGAGGCTGCTCAGAACCTCATCATCAACCTCGTAAGAGGAGATGTTGGCTACATTGAATGTTAGTTGAAAATCAATGAACAGCGTGTAATAGATTCTGACCGGACTGGGTGATAGCCTCCTCGGAGTAGGCCTCGAGAGAGACGGCCTCGTAGCTGGTAGCGTTGACGAAAGAGTTGTAGATGATGCGAACGCTGGCGTAATCCTCGGGCAGAAGAGCGATCTGGTCGGCAATGGCCTGGGCATCGGCGAAGGTGGGGATGTCCTTGCAGACGTTGGCGAAGCTCAGAACGATGTTCTCGGGGGCGGCACGGGACAGCTGAGCCTTGGCCTTCTCACCGAGAATGGCAATGTCGGCGTTGGGGTTCTCGGCCAAGATACGGCGGGTGGCCTTGCTCAGACCGGAGTGGATACCACCGCAAAGACCCTTGTCGGAACTGGCAACAACCAGAAGAGTCTTCTTATCCTCGAGAGGCTTGGTCTCGGCCTGCTCGAAAAGGGTGTTGGAGGTCTGACCGTAGACGCGGGATTCGTCCATAGCACGCTGGGCACGGGTGAGACGAGTGGACGCAACAACCTTCATGGTGTTGGTGATCTTCTCAATGTTCTTGATGGACTTGAGACGACCCTCAATCTCACGCAGAGTCGCGAAAGTGGCGGCATTGGCGGGGGCAGGGCTTGATTTCGCAGTCAGCAATTGTCGTTCTAGCCTCCTCTGATGTCCAGCATAACTTGTAGTTTCAATGGTGTCGGGGTGGTTGCGTCGGAGTACGTCGGGTGGAAGGACTTTTGGCACGAGGTATCGGATGAAGACTTACCGAGCGACGGCGGCACCACCAGCCCGCAGGGCCGGGCGGACGGCACGGGAGAACATTATGCGAGAGATTTAAAGAGAAAAGGGAACGAGCAGTTAGTGACTGCGGAGAGGAGGGGTGTGACGAAGGTTAGACGGGGATGCCTCGCTGGTCGGGAAGGAAGTTGAGAACCAGGGAGGTTCTGTCTCCGTGCTGCCGCTAAACCGAAAGGGGCAAGCATCTACGGTGCGGCATTCCGACTTCCACCGCAGTGCTGCCTCAGGCGTCCAGTATTTACATAACATCACTTGGCGCCTCAGGCACCTACCTGTAGTCCCTCAAGGCCTCTTTTCCCATTCCATTCCTCCATTCCCAAGTCCCCAACCTCTCTCTCTCTTTCCTCACGTCTTTTCTCACCTCTCGACTCTATTCCTCCGAACTCACCCGCAACATCCCCTCTATGCATGTATCATTGATGCAGCATATCTATTAACACTATTCTTACCCTTCATTGGTCAGAATTTCCTTACTTTCCTCCTTCTACCAGGCGGCTCGATTTGCCCGACTAGGCGCACCGAGGCGTCTCCCCCAACAAATCACCGATCTCTCTCATTTTACCCTCGATTACCTGTTGCTAGTCCCAGGCCCACCACTATGAGCTCTTCAGAGGACGACGCACCCCTCATGCGCGTCAATGGACGTGGTAAAGGTACGTTCCTCGGGTGATTCGGTTGTGATTATGTACCTAGACAACTTGTCGCGAACCTTGGCTTTCACCGTACTTCATCTTCTCACTGTTCTATCTCCTCGTCTTTCTACACAATTGTACTTTTATAGATCAGTCCTCGATCACACTTTTGACGTCACTTTCTTCACACCTCCCACATTTTACACTTCCAACATAACTCGAACTGCATTCTAACATTTTGCTTTCGGCACTTCTAGCTTCGCCAAAGTCTCCCGAGGTCGTCAAAATGGCGGATTCTAGCCCTGCCACAAACGGCCACGTTGATCCTGGAATATCCATCCGATTCGGTCCTGTGGAAGACAAAGATGTGAAGATGGAAGATCCAGAAGATGCGCTGGGTGCCAGTAAGCGCAAGTCTCGGACTAGTGTTGGCGAAAAGAAGTCCTACGCGGAAGCAGAAAGCAGCGAAGAAGATGAACCTTTGGTACGCCTACCCCCCTTCGCGGGATGACCGTTGTTACTCCCAGTGCGACCTTTATGTCGCTTCCGGTTGAAGCGTCTGACCATTCGACAGAGCAAACGCCGGCGTACATCTGTGAAACATGAAGACCCGGAGACGGATGACGATGTGCCCTTGGCGCGCAACGGACGCAAGCTTCCCAAAGCTGCCGAAACATCCATCGGGGATGAATCTGATTCCGATGTCCCCATTGAACGGAAGCTCGCGGAGCAAAAGAGGAAGATCGAACAAATGGCGGAGAAGGAGACCAAATCTGCGCGCAAACCTGCTGCACCAAAGAAGGAGGTCAAGCCTGCGGCAGCCAAGAAGCAGGCAAACGGCATCAAGAAAGAGCCGGCTGCCACCAAAGCTGCTCCCAAGAAGGGCAAATCCAAGGCCGCTGTGAAGGCAGAAAGTCAGGACGCCGAAGAAAAGGAAGAGGAGGAGGATGAATATCGCTGGTGGGAAGATCAAACCAAGGGCGATGGAACCATCAAGTGGACAACTCTGGAGCACAATGGCGTGGTGTTCCCACCCGAATACGAACCGCTGCCTAAAAATGTGAAGATGAAATATGACGGTGTTCCGGTCACTCTTCAACCTGAAGCTGAAGAAGTTGCTGGCTTCTTCGGCACCATGCTTAACTCAACTCACAACGTGGAAAACCCTGTGTTCCAGAAAAACTTCTTCGGTGACTTCAAGGAAGTCATCAAGAAGACTGGCGGGGCGAAAGATCCTTCGGGCAACAAGATAGACATCAAGGAATTTTCCAAATGTGACTTCAAGCCTATATTCGAATACTACGAGGCTCAGCGTGAAGAGAAGAGAAATCTGCCACCAGCAGAGAAGAAGGCTGCTAAAGCTTTGAAGGATGAGCAAGAAGCTCCGTACCAGTACTGTGTTTGGGATGGTCGCAAGCAGAAGGTAGGCAACTTCCGCGTGGAACCGCCTTCTCTGTTCCGAGGCCGCGGTGAGCACCCGAAGACCGGACGTGTCAAGACGCGCGTGCAACCTGAGCAAATCACCATCAATATTGGCAAAGAGGCAAAGGTCCCGCCTCCACCTCCCGGCCACAAGTGGAAGGAGGTTAAGCATGACCAGGAAGGTACCTGGCTTGCCATGTGGCAGGAGAATATCAATGGCAACTACAAATATGTCATGTTAGCCGCCAATTCCGATGTCAAGGGACAAAGCGATTTCAAGAAGTTCGAGAAAGCCCGTGAACTCAAGAAGCACATTGAGAAAATTCGCAAGGATTATCAGAAGAATCTCAAACACGATATGATGGTGGAACGGCAGAAGGCCACAGCAGTCTATCTGATTGATCAGTTCGCCCTTCGTGCCGGAAACGAGAAAGGCGAGGACGAGGCTGAAACCGTCGGTTGCTGTTCTCTGAAGTACGAGAATGTTACGTTGAAGCCCCCGAACACTGTCGTCTTCGATTTCCTGGGTAAGGATAGTATTCGGTTCTACGATGAAGTGCAAGTTGATCAGCAAGTTTTCAAAAACCTAAAAATCTTCAAAAAGGCACCCAAGAAGAATGGCGATGAAATTTTCGACCGCCTTACGGTATGCTATTCCTTTCTCCTGCGAACTCGGACGTTACTGACAAATAAAAGACTTCTGCCCTCAACAAGCATCTTGCCAACTACATGACAGGTTTAACCGCCAAGGTGTTCCGTACCTACAACGCGTCTTACACCATGGGTTGTGTTCTCAACGAGATGAAAGCTACTGGCGGTACGATCGCCGAAAAGGTGAAAGCATACAACGATGCCAACCGTAAGGTCGCCATCTTGTGTAACCACAAGCGTACCGTCACTGCTGGCCATGCCAATGCAATGGAGAAGATGACTGAACGGGTGAGTTTTCTCTATCCCGCCCTCGTGGAGAGAGGCATAGTACTGATTTATGTCTCACTATACAGATCAAGGGCCTCCGATACCAGAAGTGGCGGCTGAAGCAGCAAATGCTTGACTTGGACCCCACTCTGAAGAAAAAGAAGGGCGCGGCGTTCTTCGAAATCGATGAGGATCTCGACCAAGAATGGATTAAAGAACACCAAACCTTTTTGATTGAAGAGCAGAAAACCAAAGTCACCAAGAAGTTCGAGAAGGAGAACGAAAAGCGCGTTGCTGATGGCGAGAAGGAAATGAAGGCATCCGAGCTTGAGGAACGTCTGCAAGTCGTGAAAGAGATGGAGAAGAAGTTCAAGAAGGAGAACAAAACCGGCAAGGTCGAGGTCGAGGCCAAAGGCGCCACGGTTGAAAAGCTCGAGGGTTCCATCACCAAGATCGACCAGCGGGTCGAAACCATGTCCGTCCAGGCTCAGGACAAGGAAGACAACAAAGAAGTTGCCCTTGGTACCTCGAAGATTGTGAGTTTTTTTTTTTTTTTTTCTTCTTCTTCACCCGATCACCCCAAGATCACCAGCTAATTATCCCATATTAGAACTACATTGATCCTCGCCTCACCGTCGTCTTCAGCAAGAAGTTCGACGTCCCTATCGAAAAGTTCTTCTCCAAGGCGTTGCGTGAGAAGTTCGAGTGGGCCATCAAGTCCGTTGAGGAGGACTGGGAATTCTAATTTACCACCCATTGCCTTTCTTACTCGGTTGGGATCACTGTTTCTCGCGCGCATTACTTTCTTCGTACAATATTTCCGGTTCCACTCATTCTGCTTTGGCAAGACGAGATGATTTTCATTTGTCGAACGATTCTTTCATATCTAGCTCTTGATCCATTAAGATCCCCAGCTGCACATGATTGAGAAGAAACAACGCTGTTATCAACGTTTTCATGGTTTTTGTTATAGGGGGGCCTGGCTCAGTGCGAGCCTGCATTAGTGGTGGAAGTGGGTACGATATGATCGGTATACCAGGATACACGAGGGGAAAAAAGCAAAAAGCAAAAAAAAAAACACATCACAAAAGACCCATCGATTCGGTTGGCTCAGTGACTTTGGTTAAATGCACACCTATGCATGGCAGTCGGACACCTTGCACATTTTATGTTCCGCTGCCCTTTGTCATTTCGGTCATGGGGTTAGAAGTTTACAATTCATTCCATTGCTATTCAAATTTAGTATAAATCATTGCTTTGGGTCACTCGCAATACTTGCGTGGTGACATAGACTTATATAGCTATTTCTTCGGCCTGGACTGTATGTCCTCTGCACAACATATCTGCAGGGTCTGTGCATGCACAAAAATGGGTAGCGCTGTGTTTTTCTAGCCCAAGCTACACTGTACAACTTTGGTATGTGTGATCAGTAATCTCTTAGATCAAAAGTACATAAGAGAACAGGGATTTGAGATGCATGATATCAAAGAAAGGGAAAGGCTGAATATGCCAATGCAGGGCCATGCGAAAGGTAAAAACACGAAGAAACTGGCGTAGAGACATATGCAGAAACCGATGAATACCCCCCATATAACAGCGATTATCAATTACAGTACAAGTCTCGATTCACATCTAGCGACGCTAGACAGGTCTGTCTAGATAAATAGCTTCATAGTCGGAGAGACGCGATGTGGGCAGGAGAGCGTATAGAGATGCAGATCATGAAAGGTCGTGTCGTAGGGGATTCAATGCATCCTTTTCAGACCCAATGCGATGGCTGATTTTCCTCGGTAAGAGAGACCGTTAATGAGAAGACAAATGGAAAGATAGCAAAAGAGTAAAATAACCGACAGACGGGATATCTTCAAAAAAAAAAAAAAAGAGAAAAAGAGAGAAAAAAAAGAGACGAAACCCCCCAAAACTAGTGAAACCTTCTCTCATGGCCACCAGCCCATGCGCTTGTAGCTGTCCACAATCTCACGGACACTATCAGCCCCAAAGTTCGGATACTTTGGCTTCCAGCCAACCTCAGTCTCGAACTTCGTTCCGTCAAGACTCATATCCTCGTCCTTGAGAGTATCACGTTCCAAGAACGGACTGATCGGTCCAGGTCGGGTGATATTAGCCCGTTCCAGGAGCTCAGCCCAAGTCTGCAAACCGACCTCATTCATATCATCCACGACATCATCAAGATTCAACTTGGCGAGCTGCGAAGCAAGCGACCCAATAAACGAAACCTTCAGACCAAACACCTCCGTCAACGCCTTGGCAACATGTTCCTGTTTCGTATCATTGTGATCCACAACATTGAAAGTCACCACCCCATCCTTTGGATCAATGAAACCCTTCGCCGCGCGCCACTTGGCAGCCTCGAACAACGCGCTCGCAGCATCCTTCACGTGGAGTGTATTAATTTTCAGATCCTTCGTATGCAAGAACACCAAATCCTGCTTCAGATCGACATGGACGGCCGAAAGACAAATTCCCGTCGCGAAGTAGCCGGGGTCATAGGCGCCGTAGACATGGGGCAGACGTAGGGCGCAGTATTGCAGGTTAGGGATTTTCCGCAGTTCCTCGGCGGCTTTTAGTTTCCACGCGGCGAGTTTATGCCAGGGGGCGAGCTTGTCGGTCTCCTTGCGTGGTGTTGAGCCGCCTTTGTAGACGTGCGCTGTGGAAGTCTCGATGAAAGCGGGGATACCGCGTCGGGCGATTTCTTTTCCGAGGGCGACGGTGAGGGCGTAGCTGCGCACTTCGTAGACGTCGTCGGGTTGGGAGTGGCGGGTTTCGCCGCCGCAGTTGATTACATAGTCGAATTGTTTGCCGTTGGCTCTGTCGAAGATGCGCGGGAAGTGTTCTGTGGGGGATTGGGGAGGTTAGGGTGGGAACTTGGAAGGGGGGAATGTGGTAGACCTACGTTCACGACTGGCGTCTGCTTGGACGAATTTCTCTTTGGAACATGCTTCTTCGAATTCGGGGGCTAGCCAGGCCAATTGGGGGAGGACTTTGTCGACTAAACGGACTTCGGAGGCTAGGTTGTTCTCGTGGAGGTATAGAGCGAGGTGTCGACCGATGAAGCCTGGATGTATTAGAGGGGAAGTACATTAGGATTCAGGGGGATATACCGAGACCACCGACAATTAGAACGGCGGGTTTGGCGTCGGCCATATTTGTTGAAGGGAAAAAAGGTGTCCCCGCAGGTTCAGGGGAAAGGGGGGAAAGTCGAAGGAGGGACCAGAAAAAAAATGGCAAATATAAAATGGAGAAAACCACACAAAAATACACAAACATACACAATATTAACACTAAGATTAATATTAATATTAAGACTAATGCTCGGGATTCATATCTCCCCTGCCAAGCCGGTTAACTCACGTTTGGGTTACAGTGGAAACAGGTCTACGGAGTACTGGTGTCGGGAATATAGTGGGGAGAGTAGTATTCATCAAGTTGGACATTTCTGATAGATAGTAGTATGAAATGTATTCCTAGTGTACTAAATGTACTCCGTACCATATACCGCGTTCTCCTTAATGTGAGGCCTCCAAAATCACATATACTAAATCCCGGTGTCCCATGGTACTGGGTTCCGATCACCCGAACCATAAGCCTCTCCAGTGCTTAATTCGACTTGAATCCCTTTCAATCGGAGATACAATGTTATGAAGGTCCTACATGGACTTACTAGAAGCAAATTTCAAACAAAATTCAAGATCGAGCTTAGGCCTATTCGGAGCATTGGGCTTGCCATTTCGGGCCTTTGGACACGTATAACCAAGAGACATGGGAGGTGGGGCACTAATCAAACAGCGTCAGTTGAAAAGCGAGCCTATCTCTCTATTCCGTAAAGAATAAGTGGAATTTAGGTTGGCATTTTTGCCATTAGATACTTGGCACAGGACGAAGCATCTGTGGTCCGTAAGGAACTAACCCATGTTGAAACGGAGCAGAGAAAACGAGTTGCCAGGCAGATGACGACTAGGTAGCCTCGGGGCACGGACAAGACACTCAGATAAGGCATTGGGAAGATAGTAAATCCTCGAATCGAGGACGTGAGGGGCTGACTGGGGGGAGTAGATTGAGAGTTGATCTAAGAAACGAGTAGACTACATAGGCCAAATTGACGCCCCAGAAGCAAATTATATATAACGTATTGCTCTTCTAAAAGCCGTATAACCCAAGGCCAAGCGGTCGATTGAGATCGAATGTAAGATAACAATATACGTCTAGCTACTGCCCAGGCCTGGCGGGAAAATCAATGCCAACGAATCATAGACAGGATTTGGGAGATTGCCGGTGTCGATCAGGCTCTATATTCTCGGTGTGAGACCATGCAGGGCAAAGATATATCGTAGCGGAATCTCGGAAGGGAACGAATGATACTTGAGATGAATAAATACGAGACCAGTCCATCTTTAACAGGAGTCACACTCAAAACCAATACATTTCAAAGCAAAGCAAGGTATATTCAACGTCCTCTGGCACCCGGAAGACTAAGTAAAATCAAGATCATACAAAGCTATAATCACGATGCGCCTAGATACTTCAGCGAGTTTCGAAGCTCCTTAATGGCAGTATCAACATCATCAAAAGTCAAAGCAGAGACCGCCCAACGAGCATGTTTCTGCGCCAACTGCACCGAGTTATCATCGATACTATGTGATGGTTGGGACGGGACATAGGGAGCCGGTTGGACGGGAGCGTGGGCAAGAGGAGACGGAACAAATGTGGGAGCACTTGGGGGCTCGATGGGAGCAGCAGCTGGGGTATCGTAGAAAGAAGCCGGGTCTGGCGCGGATACGGACGGGTCCTCGGATGGCGGGGGAAGGAATGAAACGCAGTGGGAGTATCTGGAAGTTCGGGTGCTGAGGACGAACCGCCAATGGTAGCTGGAGTTGATGGGAGCTTCAAGTCGCCTGTGTTGGAATCATCGCCATCCATCGGTTGCGGAGCAGAGCCAGGTGCGTTGCGAGGAACAGAAGGGATCTCAGGTGGGGGGCGAGGAGTTGACGATGTACGTGATGGATGAAGTGATTCATCGAGGGTTGATTGCCGTGCCATTTCTCGTCCAGCACGGTCAGGCTCGTCTGGGATCTCTTCGATGGAGGGTTGTCTTGGCTTGGAGGCCTGCTCCGCTACTGACTCATCAAATGCCTGGACGTCGGGGTCCTCGGCGAGGTCTTCATCTTGCTTTGGTACGGGATTTGTCTCATTGGGATCTTCGCCGGCTTTGAAAGCCTTGACAATTCGGACCGCGTGGAATTTGGCGAACTTAATCCGTCCAGCAAGTTCTGGGTCCAGGGGTCCCCAGATTGAACAAAGTTCGAGGAATGTGGCCGCCGCCAGGAAAGTATCTGCCGTTTGCCTTTTGGGCTGTTAGCCACTAGTAAGGCAAATCACCACTTGGGAGTGCTCACTTTGTGACTTTGTTGGCGTTCATAGCAGCCTCAGCACGGCCAAAGACCTCCAATCCGAATTGCTCGACATAGGCGCTCGCCGCAACGGTGTCCGTCACTGTATCATTATCTGGGTTTTCTAATTTGAACTGTTTGATGCCAAATTCATCAGCTGCTGGTCCTCAAGCGCGGAATGCGGAATATAGAGTAGTGGGGAGGGAACGGAAGGGTGGGGAGCCCGACTCACCTGTTCCAGCTTGTCCACAAGGTCTGTTGTGTAGAGTTTGATCTCATCATCGGAGTTGTGAAGACCCCTTTCAATAATCTGATTTACAATGTGGAAGTTACCTACATAATTGGGGTTCAATCAGCTCAAATGTTCAAATGTGTTCTGCGTTGGGGTCGTGCGACTCACACCAGTAGGCAACCACAGGCTTGGCCTTCTCGATCTGGGCTGCCCTGATGGCAAATCGCCCAATATCTGCAGATCGCAATCCAGCTGGTATGTTACTCGCCATGGCTCAGGGTGTTGAATTAAGGAGAAGATGGTGAACGAATGACGTTTGAAGCTCGCGGAATTCCCACCGCCTGTGTGCGGGGATCTTATCGACGTCTTATCTACTGGCCTTCAACCATATGGAGATCTATGAAATGGAAACGATTTCAGGATATATGTACTATATACACATTTCCAACTATACGGGGTATCATTCATCTTCAATTGCCCACTTTCCAATCTCTACTTTTTCCTCTGCCAATGCTTCCACTTCGAGATGATCCTCCACCTGCCCTCCCGGACCCCCAATACGCTCAATGACGATCCATACATAGCGTGATTCAGGGCTAGGTAGCAAATCAAAATCATCAACTCGTACCCCAGACGCAGCATCGCTGTGGGTTCCATCCTCTGAGGTGGCCAGTATCTCCTTATATGGTCCCTGGCCCAGCTCTACGGTCATGAGCACAGGAGACGGAGCAACGGCACGAGATCCGATCATGGACCGCTTACTTCTCGCAATAAGTCGGGTTCGTGTCAAACGAGGGACTTGCAGCGATGCCAGCATCCGGTCCTTGCCCGGTGGCAGAACTCCTACTTCGGATAGGACGGTGCGCCGTCCAGCAGACTCGGAAACCAAGGGCTGGACTACACACGGGATGGTGGACGAAATCCATAACGTAAAGCAGCCAAGCTGGTCAGGCGCAAATGTAGAGCAGACTATAGTGTAAATTCCTCTTTCCAGGGACTTGGTCTCGGCCAACGCACATCCCCGACGGTAATCGCCACTATCTGCAATGATGTCTCGGCTTCGCACACGCGATACTCGTTGCCCGTTTGACCAGAAGATTTTCACGTGGGTTGCTAGCTCTGCTTCAGTGGTTTCGAGCAATATTGAGACGTCTGTCGGTTCGGAAATTCTGATACTGAATTGTGGATTGGAATGATATCGAGGTGACTCGGCATTTCCGCCTGCTGTCATTGCTGTCCAGCAACCATTTGCCTTGGTCAAGCATAGATACTTATCTAGCGATGGTGCCACAGAGACAGGGGCAGTTGAAAATGCAGAGAGGGTGAAATTTTGGGTGGATGATGGAAGCGATTGCTCCGAGACCACTGCGGTGTATGTCGACTTGGGAGGCATTTCCAGCCTCATAAGCGTGTTGGGAGAGTCCACGTATGGCCCGCGATGGAGCGCACCGTCACTGAGAGACACTCTTCGGCCATCTGCTCTGAATATGTAGATGCTGATGAATCCTGTTTCATTTTCTGATCCTGCAGAGCTGAACTGTTGCTGGTCCGTCTTGAAATGCTTCCCCAGCAGCAGCCAGACTGTTCCCCCTGAATCACTTGAGATGGAGAATTGGGGATTCTTCACGAAGCAGCCGGCGATAACTCGACCATGCGACAAATCCCAAGTGAAATGTATGTCCTCGCGATACTTGAACAAACCGGGATTCCAGTTAAGGTAAAGGTTCTCGAAATTTTGAAGGACTTGTTCACAGTCCATCCAGAATTTTCCTGGAGAAAGGGGAGGTTTATCATTCAGGTCGAGTGAGCTGAGATCGGCCGTAATATTGCTTTGCATGTTGGGTTCTGCGCCAGCCCACGGGTTCTTCAAAAGAAACTGGCGACGACCATGGATTTCCTTCATGTCCAGGATCGCATAATCGTGCTCGCCCACTAGCCCCAGGCCTTGTTGTTCCCGTTCAGTCAGCTTCCCAGTACCGATAGTCAAAATCACATCACCATGCCAAAAGGCATTGTATAAACGTCCCCAGATCTCATCGGAGGTCGAATCATCGTGATGTAAAAAGACTTGTTCCGGAATCCAACCAGTAAGCACCCAAAGGTCGGTCCCTGAGTTACTTCCTGGGAAATCATAGCCTCCGCGGACTTTCAAGTAGGCCTTTTCCACAAGAGCAGGCCACAAAAAGTTCGAGTTATTTCGATCAATTACGTGAAGCGAGCGTGTAGTCTTCGAGGACGGCAATCGATCATCTATCACTACCTTTCGGAAAGATCCATTGAAGTAAAAGCGAAATATGTACTTTCCAGAAGGCGAAAGTTCCGGGTTCTTTTCCTCACTGCAAGGGTACAATGTTGGCGATGCATGCTGTTTGAATTAGCCTTGGGGGCACCTCGGGGTTGAATTGGATTATTAGCCCCTACCTGCCCTAGACCTCGCTCCGATCGAGATGTTGTAGCACAGAGGCTCGCAACTACTGAGCAGTCTGTCAAGACATCCTGCACAAGATCTGTCTGCCCCGAAGCTGACATAGCTGGGTCAATTGCATCATGCGTCTGGTTAGCCACATTCTTTGTCCATAGCAGATCACGAGGCCTTTTCCAGCCTGCAAAATTTTCTCTTTGGCATTCGGAGAGGTGTAAATCAGGCGCATCCCTATACGCGGTTAGAAGAGCTCAGCATTGGGTCCTTTCTCCACATACGTAAAAGGCTGTCCTTTATATACAAATTCATCCTGAAGCGGCGCACGACTCCATGGTGGGAAAATATAGCCGTTAAGTTTGGCGCCTTCAAGGATGATGATTTCTTCACGAGTGGTGAGCTTCCGCGTGGATGCCGGTGGCCGTAAGCTAGGGAAGGCTTTCTGGGGCCCCGCACGAGCAACAGATTGCCAGTCAGTAGCAGCTTTGATCTTCTCGGCTTTGGACAGTAATTCTTTGCATTTTGTGTCGAGCTGTTTTTTATCGTCGGGGGCTGCCAGGCGCAGCGCTTTCATGTAATATTCCGCGGCATTGATGGCCGCCTCCAATGCCGCTTTCTGGGAAGTGGCTGTGGCTACCGCGTGTTCGGCGCTCTATGGAGCCATTAGCTTCTTTCATATGTAAATGTGAAATTGAAACTGGATACCAAGGCTTGAGATATATACGTAGATGCAGGTCTGGACATCCTTGCGTTGACCGGTAGTCGTGAAGCAGGTAATCAGATCGAACAGCAAGTAAATTACCGGATTTGGCTGAGCCGAGAGAGGGCCCCCCGTACGATGTTAATTCCGGTGAAGATTCCGACAATTACATTATTAGACATTAGGAAATTGAGATATCTGATAAAATGATGCTAGGAATACTATACACATATATCAAAAAGCATAGACACTACTTACATGTATCATTCAAAAAGTGAAGTGAATACACATGATGTAATGAAAGCCATGACATAAGCTCATACCGACACCTTTCAGAGTGGACCTCGGCTCACTTTAAGGTGATACGGCCGAGGTGTTGGGAATTCCGGCCCATGAGCTCGGTCACTTTTTTTATTCGGTTGACTTCGGTATGATCGTCGTCTTGTGCATTTCTTCATTGTGTTCTTTCTTCCATTTCACTCTCTCCGTTGTTCGGAGTAAAGCAGTGTAGAGCCCCGCTCGATATTTCTCCTGTCGCCCGGCCAAGAGAAGCGAGCCCTCTCCCTTAGATTCTATTGTTATTTACGCTCCTTTGATTTCGAATACCATTAACCGACATTATGGCCGGTCAATCCAAACCTGCGCTGTCGCCATGGGGCAGCGCCGTGGCAGGTGCAACAGGCGCCGTCCTGGCGAACGCAATGGTGTACCCACTTGACTTGTGAGGTTCCAGATAAAGCAGTACTCAAATCATCAGACTAAAATCCGCTAACTGTAGCGCTCCCAATTTCCAGAGTCAAGACAAAACTACAAGTACAAGTCAAGGAGAAGAATGGACCCGTGCGAGCCGACGATCTCGAACATTATGAATCGACCATGGATGCTATCACCAAGATTGCAGAGAAGGAGGGCGTTAGTGGTCTATACTCCGGAATGGCTGGAGCCCTTCTAGGCGTCGCCTCAACAAACTTCGCATACTTCTATTGGTATAGCGTCGTAAGAACGCTCTACATGGCTTCCGCCAAGTCGTCAAACGCCCCCGGCACAGCGATTGAGCTCTCCCTTGGTGCCGTCTCCGGCGCCGTGGCTCAGCTTTTCACCATCCCAGTGGCGGTTATCACAACTCGACAGCAGACACAGCCAAAGGGTGATAAGAAGGGATTGATCGAGACGGGTCGGGAAGTGGTTGAGAGCGAGGACGGCTGGACCGGCCTGTGGCGCGGCCTCAAGGCCAGTTTGATCCTGGTCGTTAACCCGGCCATCACCTATGGCGCATACCAGCGCCTAAAGGATGTTCTCTTCCCGGGGAAGAAGAACCTCAAGCCCTGGGAGGCATTCTGTGAGTAGTGGCGATTCTGAGGGTCAAGAACGCTTTGCTAATCCTTATTTTAGTGCTTGGTGCCATGTCCAAGGCTTTGGCCACAATCGTAACCCAGCCTCTGATCGTGGCCAAGGTTGGACTGCAGTCTCGCCCACCGCCCAGCCGAAATGGCAAGCCCTTCAAGACCTTTGGTGAGGTCATGAAGCACATTGTTGATAATGAGGGTGTCCTTTCCCTCTTCAAGGGTATTGGACCTCAGATCCTGAAAGGTCTGTTGGTTCAGGGTCTGCTGATGATGACCAAAGAGAGGTATGTTCTCTATTTCCAAATCAGCATCTGCTTGTACTGACTTTCGCAAAGGATGGAGCTTCTTTTCATTCTCCTGTTCGCCTACCTCAAGAGCATTAAGAAGGATAAATTGCGCAAGGCAGTTGATTTGGCAGCGGAAAAGGCCAAGACCAGCATGCCTGCTACCCTGAAATAATTGTCTTATAGTTAGACGGAGGGATTTTCCGTTTATATTTCAGTTCCAAATTGTATCTAAGCGGCGCGTTGGTATGCTGTGGACTATTATGGTGGATCTTGAACAGTCTAGACATTTCACGGCCTTTTCTGGCCGACAGCACTTGATAGAACCCTGTGTTTCGAGCCTTTCAATATCGTTATAGATCTGTACATGGTCATGTCACGCTGCTTTTGCCCTTGTAACCTTTATGCTAGAACCGATTCCCACCGGCCTCAAAAGCTTACGACAACTCGTCCTATCAGGGTTTATGTAAATGTTGGTTTACGTTTTGGTCACAGCTAGTCGCTAGATACCCGCGTAAAATGAAACACTTGATATTAAGGCGTGATTAAACAACTAACCCCCTGTAGCGTATTCTCAGAGTTGTATAGTGTGTTGTATAGTGCCTACGGGTGTTGATAGTTTACCAATAAGAGGAACTAGTGGATGCTGCTTTAGCCGTGGAGATGATCTTCGCCTGACTGATCACCTTTACCCCAACAACCACCCTCACCAAACGCTCGATTGCACACGTAAACTTGTCACACAAGTGGCATGGGTCGTGATGCGATGGCCGCCATGGAGCTCCGGTTCGACCAATGACGAACAAAAACAAACACCCAGCTCCTGGCTCTCCTCCGCGGCAAACAACCCGAGTTCCATCCTCGACTGGACAGCGTTCACAGAAGCCAGAACCATTCTGCCAACCCTCGTCCTAACGAGCGGCATTCTGATCGCAGTGCGCTTCCACCGCCGCTACCTACGACGCATCCCCGACGCGCCTAGCATCTCGTCCTCGTATCTTCGACGGCGGAGCATCTTCGGCCAAGTCACCAGCGTCGGCGATGGAGACAATTTCAGGATATTTCATACACCGGGTGGTCGCATGGCTGGATGGGGCTGGCTACCGTGGAAAAAGGTTCCTACTCTGAAGAAGCATCTAAAGGATAACACCGTTCGTCACCCGCCACCCACCTATCCTCCCATCGGCGCTCCCAGCCCGGAACAGGCATAATTATGCCTTGGCCCATCATAAACCACGAACCTATGCTTTATCTTTACACATAGCTTACATATCTACTCAACCCCAGATCCACATCCGTCTCGCTGGCGTCGACGCCCCGGAACTAGCCCACTTCGGTCGCCCCGAACAACCTTTCGCACGCGACGCACACACCTGGCTAACATCCTACCTGTCCGGCCGACGAATCCGTGCCCTCGTTCACCGCCAGGACCAATACTCGCGCGTGGTAGCGAGCGTCTTCGTCCGGCGCGCATTTGACTTCCCGCCATTCCGTCGACGGGATGTTTCTTACGAAATGTTGAAGCGCGGCTTAGCGACTGTCTACGAAGCGAAGGTTGGTTCAGAATTCGGCGGCGAGAAAATGGAAAAGAAATACCGCAAGGCCGAGTGGTGGGCTAAGAAGCGAGCCAAGGGGCTTTGGAAAGATTATCGTCGTGTCGGGTCTGGCTGGGAGAGTCCGCGAGAGTACAAAAATCGGATGGGCATGGGGGATCCTCTTCCGATCGAGAAAGGGAACGGGAAAGGAAAGGCAGGGCAGAAATAAATGAATGAGCGCGGTAAGCTGGGCTTGCGATTATGGCTATGAGCGTTTATGTGTTTTTGTTTTTTTATGTTCTTGCATTTACTCCGTACATTACATTTGCATTCGACGAAACGACACGACCACAATCGCATTACACAGCGTTGTACATGTCTGGCTGGTATGCGAGAATCATGATCCAAATTTTGAATTCTGAATATGATACACCGAGTTGTGTTAAGCTATACATGCGCAGGGGGTGGTGTTGTTCCCAAATCAGGCTCCGATTGCTAAATAGGCATTAAGACTCGCGTGATCATCCGAGAGGTTGGAGTAATACAATGAATGAAGTCAGTATATAGGCTATGATTTGCTCAGCAAAACCGTCGCTCAACCTCGGCAAACAGCTTTGGGGTGATTTCATCGGAGGTATTACCCTCCGCACGGAATAGACACTGAAGACGGTCATAATGCTCCAAGAGACATTTGCTCGTCTCCTCAAACTTCCGTAGACGCTGCTTCCATGTTTCGAGAGAATCGTCCTCTCGCTGTGTCAACAGCTCGCCTGTGACATCGTCTCTGCCTGCTACCTTTGGTGGGTGGAAGTCTGTGTTATACACGCGCCCTGAAGGCTCGTGGACCCAGCGCGATGTAATGCGGGCGAGGATCACCGATGGTGGGGTGACAAGGTGCACGACGAAGTTGACTGGCACTAAGGTGTCCAGGCTTGTTGCCTGAGATGCGGTGCGGGGAAACCCATCAAGGATGAATGAGGCTGAGGAATCGATTGAGAGGGCCGAGGGGGAAGACTTGGCTGAGGAAGATGATGATGAGGATGATGAGGATAGTACTGAGGATTCGGTTGGTGGGAGGAGCCAGCCCTTGGATTTCATATCGTCGGAGATCAAGTTCAAGATCATTGAGTCGGGAACAAGGTTGCCGGACTGCATTGTGGCCTCGGCTTCCAGGCCTGTAACTAGGGTTAGAGATATTGGCTCTTTACGCAATTGATCATTGCACCGATGTCGATTCTACTTACCGAGGGGTGTGCGTCGGCGCACATTCTCTCTCAACAGATCACCGGAGCTGATTGAAGCCAGCTGGGGGAATCGGGCTAGCAGTCGCTCAGATTGTGTTCCTTTTCCTACCCCCGGTGCGCCAATCAAGATGATCCGCGCAGCCTTGCGGAGCTGCTTTGTCGTGTGCGACATTATATGTGATGGCCGTGTTGGGAGCTCGTTTGGGGTAGAAAGTTGCTGTTCCTGGTGAACTCAACGGTTCAAATGTTGAGGATACAGAGGTATCACAGGAAGTATTGTAGACACTTCACAACAGCATAATGGATTGAAGGGAAAGAATTGAAGCCTGGGGTGAGGGGATAAGCAGTTACATATCCCCAGGGCTAAGACTTTTGAGAATGTGATTCTGTGGGGGGAAGGTTGATCCTTTCGGTTGTCGGTGAACACTCCGAGGGAAATTCGCTGTGTACGGCGTATATAGCAGCACTCGAGTATAAGTTATGAAAAGATTATGTTATAGCATAAATATAAAAATATTATCTCTAGTACAGATCACGTTATATATCTGCTTATACTCGGTAGAGTTTCACATGTTTCTGCACATGGTCTCAGAAAACGCACTGTTCGGGGAAAATCGTCTCCCGTGCTGAAGCACCCCGGGCCCCTGCCCAGATGCCGGGGCTGGGGTATTGGCTTACCTAAAGCACACCAAATGCCGGTTTTCTTTCACGTGATTCTGCGCGATTCTGCGCGTGGGACGCGTTCGCGTTAACCAATTTAGGAGGGTCTATGA